GTACTGAGCTTGAGCTTCTCATGCTCTCCCTCTCCTCACGTGTCTTTGATCCGCCAGCTGCTTCATGCCTTTCAGCCAGCGACAGGTTCTTGGTAGCATTTCCAGACGGGAAATTCAGCAGGTTCGCAAAGCTATCATTGTTTGAGGGTGTGGCTGGCTTCAACGAGGGGGCCCTATTTGAAGCCGTGGTGGGTTGTGGAGGGAATGGGCTTGAGCGGCCGGACATGGGGGGTGTAGGACGTAGCGCCGTGGTAGACATGCTGGAGAGAGCATTTACCGGCGCAGGCTTCCGGGAGTTCGAGCTCTGGGACCAGTCAAGGCCCGAGAGATCGTCCATCCTTGCGACTGTAGGTAATGAACGTGGTGTATATAGAAGGACAATTGGCCTCACTCAGGTTGGTGGTTATCTTGCGTTGGGTGGGAAACTTGGTGGTGCTGGCGCAAACAAAGGGGGGCGAAGTAGAGGTGGTACGCCGGTGTTACGCACAACAAACACCACTCATGGGCTTCCAGCAGACACCCGCCCGTCATGCCATGCCGTCAAACATCTTCTATATAGCTTATAGTTCAAGATAAAGGCAAGCAAGGCCAACTGCGCGCTTCTCACGGCTTTTTGCTTCAGCTTTCAAAACATCAAGAACGAAAAGCTTGGACCAAGAGAAGTTCTACGGAATTCGGAATTTCTTTTGGCCGCATCACGTGGAATGTGCATTATATAATCTACAAGCCGAGGCTGGGCTGCTAAGGGAAAGAGAAGAGATAAAAAGAATGAGAAGCAACGAACAAAATAGCAAACGATAAAAGGATGAAGTGATTAACCAGCAATGGCAAAGAGAGGGAGGTATAGATATGGCATGTCATGCCATGCCATGCCATGCCATGGCTATGTACCCTTTTGTCACTCGGCGTTTCTCCGTTTTGCATAGATGAAGGCGTTAGTTGGCTAGAGACGAACAGGATCAGCTCCGTTATTGAATTGGCCACCCCCATAACAAACTAGTCAACCGTTCTCCTTTTCCAAAGGAACCTTCTTCTTCTTCTTATTCTTCTTCTTCTTCTCCGGCGTGGGCGCGGCGGGCTGGATCAAACTAGCTTCGAGAAACAGTGGCTAAACCAGAGTATCAACCTATCAAAGCCCAATCAACATATTTTCTCACCGAACTCCGAACGGGACGGTGTGCCTGTTCCGCGACTATAGCCGATTGGCAACCATGACTTAATGCCATATTAAAGGTTAGAGAGCAGCCTAAGAAGCAAGCGGGAGTCGAGGAGGCAGTGATGGGGTGTAGCTTTGATGTCCATAACTTTGGTCTCTGTCCGGACAACTATACGAATTAAGCTCCGTCTGCCGTCGACTTCCACACGCTGTCATCTGGTTCCCTGGGCAAAAGAGCGTATATTTATATGTACGGATGGAGTACTCCGTACGGCTGCTCCGTTGAGTGGACACTTATGTGCCGCCCCCCCCTCCTTCGCCAACACGGACAAGAATCGAGAAGCGCTGCCAGGGCGTTTTCTTTTTCTTTTTTCTTTTTCCCCCTTCCTTTTCTTTCTTTGCCCTTCTCGCTTTTCGTTTGATAATGTGCCGCTTTCCCTTTGCTTCTTCGACTTCGTGGAAAGGCTCCAGCAGGCTAAGCTCCACATGGCTTTTGGGGAGGCCGCGTATCATTCGTGATAGGCCGGTGCTAACAGGACCCAGCAGATGCAGGTTTAAAACATCTAGCCCACGTCGATGGGGAAGTTAAAGTACCCCGTTTTTTCGATTGAGGATTTGCGTGCTTTCTTACTTGCCAGTTGTCGCTGCCTGGGCGTGTGTCGTTTCGAGACGGAGGGTCCTCTTTTTCCCTTGTTTTTTTCTCTTTTGCCCTTTCCACTCCGAAAACTATTTGGCAAATGATATCCCCAGGAGAGGGCCTGAATTCCTTGACGAACAAGTTAAACCTGCCGGGGCCTTGTTTCTCCATGCCTGTCATCCAGCATAGCCGAAATATAGACATGAGTTAATCGACCAGGCTCCATTTTAAGTGGACGAGATGGCCCTCGCTCAAAAGAAGTTCGGGTTCGATGGCGGCATAAACTCCATAACTTTCCCACCTGGAGCAAAATATTAATGTAGGGGCGAATTAGCCAGAGCTTCTTTGCCATGGCCATGCGATCTTAACCCCTTTCTGCTCAGTCCAACCAGGGGCAGTGTGTATGTAACTAAACGAGTGTGTTGGAATACTCTCACAGGGATACACAGATAGGAAAGGCCACCCATCCACAAGCCTGGCCGGCGGGGAACGTGTGGTTTTGCTGGTCAACCTGTTATCTGTTATCCTGCATGGATCTATTCGGGGGGTCCAGAGGGAAGGACAAAATGCTACCATATCACCATGGCATGGCAGGGTCTGATTCTCGAGAGCGAGAAAGATAGTTAATGCATGCATGAGCAGTCTAATAATATGAGTTCCGTAGCCGTAATATTAAAACGGGAAGGCGGTTTTCCCCCTGATCCCTGAGCCTGTCGCGGTACCATGTTTGTAGCAAGTCAGGACTTGTCCATGCCATGCTAGTCGGAATGGCTAAGGATATGCAAGTCAGTATTGGTTAACTCCCTAACTATATATAAAAGATAACGCCGGACGGACAGTTTTGGCTACCTAGTTAGTTCATGCAGGCAGAGAGACAGGACTCGACTCGACTCGACTCGACGTACATATATAAGTACCATCACAGGCATCCCGTCTCCAACAGACAAGCATACCCGGCCTCGCCCAGGGACCAGAGATCCAGCAGGAGATCCAGCGAGCGAGCCAGAAAAAGACCGGGAGTTACCAGCACCCAGCAAAGCAGCAGGCCAGCCAGCATCCAGGACCAGAGAGAGATGGCAAGCTCGTTTCCGCCCCGCCAGCTAAATCTCCCCACTGCCTCAGCTCGTTTTCGATAAATATATATCTCTGGCCGGCTATCGCTTGGATCGAGATTTCGCTCCCTTGTCTCGTCCTTGCCTGCTTCCCGTCTGTCTGTCTGTCTGCGTTGTCCATATCATAACCGTTTTGACCTGCATAATTCTCGCCCGGCAGAGATAGGAAAAGTTGACTCTTTTTTTTTCTTTTCTTCTTTTCATCTTTCCTTTTTCCTTCCTGGATCTGCAAATCAAGTGACTCTGCAAGCCACGGACGTTTTTTTTTATTTTATTTTATTTTTTTGTTCTTATTTTTTTATATTTTTTTATATTTTTTATTTTTTTGGTTTTGGTTTTCTCGCCTGCGTCTCTTTTGGTCGTCATGGGCTTCTTCAGGCGCAGAGAAGGCCGGGCAGCAAGCAGCAACCACAACAACAACAACACCAACAACACCCACGCCCACAGCCACCATCACCACTACTTCGAGAAAGACGGCCAGGAGTCAGTGTTCTCTAATAGCAGTTCCAGAGCATCGAGCACGTCTGCGAGACTGCCGGTGTCTTCTATCAGGTCGTCGAGCAACAACAGCCCAACCTCACATCCGATACCCGAAGTTCCCATGGCGCCGCCGCCGGATCCCAACCTGGACCCAGCAGCCTACCTGAGGAGCATCCATGCCGTCCGTCAGCGGTCCGGCCTGGTGATGGAGAAGGCAAAGACGAACCAGCTGAACCATTTCGATGTCGACATGAGCAAGTTTGAGACGACCGCTCAGTACATCGTCTCTATCATCAAGGTACGTGGGGGGTTGACTTGTCTACTTTGACAGCAACATCAAATACAACAATAACAACAACAACAATAATAACAACCACATGCTAATGTATATACCTGTGAATAGAGAGACTACGCTCCGGATTTCCAGAGTATTCCGGATCACGGACGCTGGCAGCACTTTGATGTCGGTGGGAAACCTCGTATCAACCAGCTGCTACAGTCATGGCCAAGCACTATTGACAATCTCGAGAGAGCCCGCAGGCTAATAGACCTCTTCCTTGTGTCTGTACTGCTTGACGCTGGTGCCGGAAACACCTGGTGCTACAAGTCAAAGGAGTCTGGAAAGGTGTACAGGCGGAGTGAGGGGCTCGCCGTCGCCAGTCTAGAGATGTTCAAGGCCGGCATGTTCAGCAGTGACCATACCGAGCCATGCCAGGTTGATGGTGCTGGTCTGAGACGGCTGACTGTGGGAGCTTTGGCCAAGAGAATGCAGCATTCTGAAGAGAATCCTCTTGCTGGCCTAGAGGGCAGAGCTGGCTTGTTGGCCAGGCTAGCAGACGCTCTGAACAACCAGGAACTCTTTGGCGTTGATGCTCGGCCAGGGAACATGCTTGGTATGTGTATTCTCCCTGTCTCTCCCCCTCTTTACGGTTTACTGTTACAGTGCTAACTGCTTTTAGACTATCTTCTTTCTCATCCATCTACACTCGCTTCTTCTGTCCCCATCATCCCCGTCCCACTTCTATGGAATGTTCTCATGGACGGATTGTCTCCCATCTGGCCACCATCCCGCACCCAGATCGACGGAATATCGATCGGTGACGCATGGCCCTGCAAAGCAATGCCTTCGTCTCCCCCCGCAGCGCTATGGGAGAACATTGTCCCCTTCCACAAGCTGACGCAGTGGCTGTGTTACTCTATCATGGCCCCCATGACCAAGATATTGAACATCCGGTTCTCAGGCCGTGAATTGCTTACTGGTCTACCGGAGTATCGGAATGGTGGGCTCTTGATCGATCTGGGCCTGTTGACATTGAAACCAGATGATACTGAGCGGGGACTAGAGGCATACAAAGCCAACGCCATGATCAAGGGTCAACCAAACGTGGAGGTGGTCCCACTCTTCAGCCCTGATGATGATGTCATCGTGGAATGGAGAGCTCTAACCGTTGGCTTCTTGGACCAGTTGCTCGTAGAGGTAAACAATCTTCTAGAGCTCAAGGATGGACAACAACTCTGTCTTGCTCAGATGCTTGAGGCAGGCTCGTGGAAGGTTAGTCACACTTTTTTTTTCTCCCTTTCTTTTTAGTCTCCATAAATACTAACGGGATATACAGGGAGGACGAGAGATTGCCGAAGTCTCCAGGCCCAACACAAAGCAGCCCCCTATTATGATCGTATCGGACGGTACCGTCTTCTAATCAGCGCAGAAAGCAATACACACGGCCTACATTTTTTTTCCTAGAAGAAACTACAAAGTTATGTTTATGTCTGGGGCATCCGCGCATCTACCTACTACACTTTTTTCTTCTCGATTAACCCGTTCCTAACGCGTCTATGACTACTTAATCTTTGTTTTTTTCTATTCCTTCCTTCCTTACAATTCTTCATACTCAACTTCTCATTGTCTTATACATCTTCTTTTTACACCTTTATTCCGGCCTCCTTTTGGCAACCCCCTGTTTCCGGTGGCCCTTTTGTGCTTTTTTTTTTGGCAAGTTACATCAAATTCATAGCGACTTGTTCTCTCAATTTCGGTGGAATTGCCCTCCTTTGCTCCATCGACTTTTATTTACCGATACATCCGAAAGAAAGATCTCTTGTAGGCCCGCCTGGGTCCTGGCAAATCTTACACAATATTGGACATAATTTTGATTTAGCGAACAGAAGGAATTAAAAAAACAATCAAACTATCATTCTCGTTCTTTTTTTGGCTTTAATTTCTTCCAGGACTACCAGGTTGATTGATCTTGACGATATCCGAACCCCCTTGACCCCGTTCTCTCTAACGAACTAAGTCACCAAGCGAACTACCTAGGCAATTATGCCAACTTCGTCGCTAATTCAAAAGCCGAGATTAGGATGTGCAGTACTTGTGAAGGAGATACTGCCTATCCTTATGACGTTACGGAGCACATCCTGCGGATACTCACACGCCGTTGAGCCTTCAGGGATTCCCTTTTTATCTGGAGACAATTAGTTCAGCAAGCCATACAGCAAGCAGAGAGCTGGTGAGGTACCCGCTGTGGATAACTGGGTCGGCTTATACATGATCCTCATATTGCTTTGCGCTGCGTTTGTGCCCGGCCCTCGGCCAGGACTGATATTAACCACCCAACTCGTCTGTGGCTAGCAAACTGGTTTGCTCCTTAACTGACCAGTCAGTTAGAGAACAATCCTTCTATCTATCCCTGACAACGCCTCTCTACCTTTACGGAGTACATACATCATTCCATTCGACCGGCGAGGAAGCAATCAGGCCGGTGCAGATATTCGAAGTTTGCTCGCTGGCGCCGTCGTCTAGCCTGTGAAAACGCAAGAACCCGAATTCAGGGGCCCCGGGGGCTCCACGGCTTATCAAACATCAAACATCAAACCCAACGCAACGATTTCCCGCTGCCTCCTCAACACCAACCAGCGTACGGAGAACGAGGGTTCATACTTGCTAAATTTATATATGTAATCGACTTCCCTGCACCATCAGCAAGCCAAGAAAGGGGACAAGAAGGGAAAAATATCAAAAATAGAACCAACCAGTTGCATCTCTGCAAAGAAGCAAAAGAAAAAAATCTTCCGCTAGACAAGGCAAGGATTCGATGGTCCAATCGAAAGTGTCGATCAGCGTGGTCGGCGCTTACAGCTTTCTTTTAAGCCGTGACTGTTGGCGTCGTCATACCTGCTCCCTGGCCGCTTTCCCTGTCTCTACCTCGACCTTGCCTCTTTCACAGCACTTCATTCACGAAGACAACGGCCAGAGGGCCTCTTTAACGAGCAGTGATTGACATATTTATCTGCCTGTTCCTGGATATTAATGAATACGGGCTTATCCAACTTCTTGACGGTTTTTTTCCCTCAGCGCTAGCGGCCCGCCGTGTTTTAGGATTCCCCTGCACAGTTTAATTATATCTTCCCTTTCCCCACGCCCCATTCCCCTCTCCTCACACGTTTAGTGAATGAGTTGACCTCGATTTACTTGAACTGAATCGAGTCGAGTGTTTCTCTTTTTCCCCCCTTCAGATTAACCTCCTGGCGCTTCTGCTGTTTTGTGTCCTGTCGCAGCTGGAATTGCGAGAAACGGCGCTTAGCAGACGCGAGCGAGGAAGCGAAACGACTTTGACGAAGCAACGAACGAATCAGGCGGACCGGGGCGACAAACGGAGGTTGTGTTTAAGGCTAGGATGGGGTTCTTCAAACGGCTACGAGCAAAGACGAAAAGTCGCGGGTCGAAAAAGGATGTGTATGGAGAACAAGAGCAGGATCAGTATCCTCAGTATGCGCAGTATGCGAAGCAGCCGGGAGGGAGCTTTGGTCGGCGGCCGGCGCGAGACTATACGAAGACGCTGCCGCCGAATGTGATGTCGAATATCTTCTATCAAGTATGTCCGCATGTGCTGGATACGTCGCTGACGTCGTCGGAGGAGTCTATGACGGAGGATGGGTGTATGCTGTGCGACATGCGTGACCTGGCGCATGCTGCGCTGGTGTGCACTCACTGGTACGGCATAGCGCAGAATCTACTGTACGTTCCATCCAAAGAAAGCAGCAAGCAGAAGAAAGATGGGTTACGATCGAGAAACTAACGAAGAGGGATAGATACCAGCATATACGCATTGATGCGGTGCACTACTGCGAACTGGAGATCGAGCTGGCGGCGAAGCGCAAGAAGAACTCGTTTCTCAACCACAATGCCGAACCGCTGGATGCGCCGCGGACCCGGCTACTGCTGCTGATGCGGACGGTGCGCGACTCACGAGCGCTGGGATCGATGGTGAAGTCGCTACGGATGCCGTACATGACGCGTGAAGCAAGCAAGAGCGAACTTGCACGAACGATATCAGTGCTCCCCAACCTCCGCTACGTCGACCTGCCGGCCGGGTTCTTCAGCGACGACGCATCCTCACATACTCTGAAACAGGAACTGCTGGCTCGATGCCCGGACATCAGACGAATGAAGTTTGCCAAGGGGTCGGAGAGCAGTTTCTCACGCCTGCCCAAGGTCAAGGGGTGGCCTAACCTGGAGGTGCTGGAGCTTTCGGGGCTGAACATGGAAACCAACCTGCTGCGTACGCTACTGGGGTACTTTGAGCGCCTTACCGAGCTGAGATTCGAGGATATGCCGTGGTTGGAAGACACGGTGTTTAAGTCCGTGCCTACGCTACCTCCCTTGCCGGCACTGCAGCGCCTCACACTCACGGACACACCGAAGATAACAAGCCGCGGACTGTCATGGTATCTGAACAGCAACCCGCAAACCCGCCATGCGCTCCGACACTTATCAATGGTCAACACGGGCGTGGAACCACAACGACTACATGAAGTACTGGCCCAGGCACCACTGCTCTCCAGCCTCTCAATGCAGCAGGAAGTCACACACGAGTTCCCACCGGACTACGTACCGCCGCTGACCTCCAACTCGCTGCGTCTGCTTCACTACGAAATCACCTCTGAGTACTCGGGAACGGCTTCCTTTGGCGCCCAGGCCCTCTCGACCTCATACTACACCTACCTCATGTCCTCGCTGCTGACGGGTTCCCTGCCGAACCTAACAGACCTATACGTCCGCGACGCCAACTTCCCCGAGACACTGATGCTGGCCCCCCCACCGCCTGTGTTCGGCGACTCGAGCCGCCAGTCGCAGGCCAACGTGGGCCTGAACCAGGCGCTGGCGGTGTACAGCAAGGGCATGGACGAGCTGGAGTGGAACTTCACTACGTACCAGCCGTTTGCGGAGGCCGGGAGACGCATGAGCTCGACGAGGCCGGTGAGTCTGCATGGCGCGCAGCTGAGTCCGGCGTGGGGAGGAGAGGCGAGGAGGAGCGTGCTGGTTGGGAATGGGTTTGGGGGCTTTTTGGCTGTGCCTGCGGAGGAGGAGAGACGGCCGAGCACGAGCACGCGGTCGTCGGGAGGGAAGCGAGAGAAGCGAGACCTGTGGCGGTAACCATACTTCTTACTTAGCATAATATCATCTCTATCCTATCTCTACCTGTCCATCTCTGTCCATCTCTAGTAGTCTTCTAGTCTTCTCCTTCCCTTTCTCTATCAACTTCTATCCTTATCTTATCGTGTCAGCCTCTTAATAAGCACTGACTAAGCATCTAAACCTCGCTTGCTGACTCATCCCTATCCCCGACTATAAAAGCCACCAACTCCCGCCCTTCGCCCTCTTCGTCTTCTTCCCTTTTTTTTCCTTTCTTTCCCCATCCGAGTGCAAGGGTTTTACGTTTCCAGTGAAGGTTCGCCTGAGGCAACGTTTTTGCTAGTTGAAAACTACAAACCAGTGACCGCTCTAGTTGGTCTTCGGATCGGCTGGGAATTTTTGAAGAAAATAATACACAAAGCTCGTCTTGACGTGCTGCTCTTACGGCGGCCTGGCTGTGTCTCCTGTTTCTGGACGGTTGATGGACTAGTCGTGGCGCTGGAGGTCGTTAGGTCGGCTCTTTTCACTGCTTGATGTCCCCTTGTGGGAGCATGTAGGGAAGAGAAGTAGAATTTAGGTACTTGGATACAGTGTGTGCAGAATCAGTTTGACACCCACACTCTTCACTCTTTACTCAGAACTTGTGTGCCATGTACGGAGTACACTGTCCTTTTCATATTATATTCGCAGTTTCTAATCACGTGTATGAGCTAGTACTACTCACTGATCTATTAGTTAAAGAAGAGAGTAACCAAAATCGAACACGAGTCAGGATTTAGGGCTTGGGGAACCACAGTCAATACATGTCTATACGGAAGGAGATGTCAGATGCAGTTTCTATCATAATTGACAGAATCCATGGCTATCAAGCTATTAGCTGCCCATGCTTGAATGTTTGTCTCTAATCCAGGTAAGCAGATTCTGTGATGCCAGTCGAGCTGGATGGTCTTCAGCCAGTACTATCTTTTCTACTTTAACAACATGCTCAAGGAGCTGCACGGCCTCTTTAACTTGACCATTTGCCTGATAAGCACGAGCGAGTTCATGCTGTGATGCTAGTCGACTTGGATGGTCTTCAGCTAGTACTGTCTTTGATACTTTAACAACATGCTCAAGGAGCTGTATAGCCTCTTTGACTTGACAATTTGCCTCATAGGCACCAGCGAGTGCGTGCTGTGATGCTAGTCGACTTGGATGGTCTTCAGCCAGTACTGTCTTTTGTATTTTGACAACATGCTCAAGCAGCTGTATAGCCTCTTTAATTTGACCATTTGTATGGTAAGCAGTAGCAAGTTCATGCTGTGATGACAATAGACCCGGATGATCTTTAGCTAGTACTATTGTCCTTACTTTGACAACATGCTCAAGAAGCTGCACGGCCTCTTTAACTTGACCATTCGCCTCATAGGCACCAGCGAGTTCATGCTGTGATGCTAGTCGACTTGGATGGTCTTCAGCTAGTACTGTCTTTGATACTTTAACAACATGCTCAAGGAGCTGTATAGCCTCTTTGACTTGACCATTTGCCTCATAGGCACCAGCGAGTGTGTGCTGTGATGTCAGTTGATCCGGGTGATCTTCAGCCAGTACTGTCTTTTGTATTTTGACAACATGCTCAAGGAGCTGCACAGCCTCTTTGACTTGACCATTGCCATGGTAAGCACAAGCGAGTCCGTACTGTGATGCTAGTCGATTTGGATGATCTTCAGCCAGTTTTAACTCTTCAAGATGACAGACCTTCTCCCATAGTTTTACTCCTTTCTTGACATCGCCCACGTTGTACAGGTTCCGCCCAGCTAACTTATAGAGTGGCATATATTCTTCCTGAGGTTCAATAGGGTCGAGCTTCAGCCTATGAAATAAGTTATTCAATGCTTCCCTAGCCAGGTAGTCCATCCGTAACTCATTCATCAGTTCACAGCATTGGAAGACAATTTGAAGCTCTGGCATCGATGACGGAGGTATGCATGTGTGTCCATCTTCCCTGCTCAAAAGTGAATGTAGGTGCAGCTGTAATAAGAGCCAATATGGCGTCCACCTAGTAGTCCCATAGTAAGATAGTGCGATAGTACACCCAGCAGATACCCATGACTGGCGGCGTTGAGCATCAACCTGACGTAAGTAGGCCCATTTATGCACAAGGGGATGCAAGGAAACTGTTTTCGCACCGCGCTCCTCTCCCCTCTGGACCAGGGCGAGGGACTGTAGTAGGTTTTGAGCACTCTGTAACCGAAATGGGTCCCAGGTATTCTTGCGCCATTGTATAGTTTGGGGTAGTTGGGAGACGTGCCAGTCGGAAAGGTCGTCAATGTTGGCATTTCCTTCGGGTATCTCTTGAGCGACTTGAGCGCCGTCCCACGCATCCTTGAATAGCTCTAGTGGTAAATTGCTATAATGTAGAACGGCTAGGAGATGAAGCATATCCAGTGCATCCTGGCTATTCTCCCTCCTTGAGGAACTCAAGGCCTGCACAGATGCTTCAAAAGTGGCATAGACATTGTGGTACCTCGGCGGCGCTTGATCTGGACCCAAAGATAATAGACGTTTTGACTCTATTTTATACACTGCAGGATACTCCTCGACAGAGCAGAAGTCCTGTGCAATGTATGCCCCTGCTTGTATTAACGCGAGCGTGTGAGAGTCAAGAAGTTTAACAATACGCATTGCAGGCTCTTTATATCTATCTGACGGCTCAATTCCTGCTACTTGGTAAAATAGGCTTAGACAGTCAGCGGGCTCCAAACTCCCAAGTGACTCAGATCCAACGGTACTTAGTCGGTTGCACCTATTATTTCTTGACGTCAGGAGAATGGCACCTCTGGTTCCAGACGGAAAATAACGGGTGTAGTCAAAGTCAGGGTCGTCTGCATTATCCAATATGAGAAGCCAGTCACGCTCCTCGTTAGATAGTGATTGTCGTGCGCCATCAATTGTTTCAGCAGTCGACCTAAGTATCTTTGCTATTTTGATAAAGTCGTCGGTTGCTGCAGATTCACTCCCTACATCGACCCAAAAGACACCCCAGAAACTATATTATTTATTAGCAGTACCCTTAGTATATAGGCAGGATAAACATACGCTTCTCGCAATTCATCCGCAACTTTTAGGCATATTTCACTTTTCCCCAGACCCCCCATGCCTGTAATAACAAATCGTCTTTGTTTCTGACTCCTCTCTTGCAGGGTTATTGCTGATTTGACTCGCTTTATGATTTCGACACGGCCAGTGAAGTGCGTATTGACAGCCCGGGGCACGCACCAATGACCCTTTATAGTAACCTCTCGTAGGCATTGGCGTATCACATCTTTATCATTCGTGTTCAAGGACAGTCTTGGACCTTCGATAGCGTTAGCTCTGAATTGGAATGTTCACCAAAAAGTAAAACAATCAATTGCCCATGGCGAAAATATAGTAGAAAAGCTTAATGTTGATCTTCAGTTGCTTAAGATGAATCCTATGACTTAGGAGGCGTACCGAGATAATTTTTCCCAATGTATTGTTGGCCTGGACCATTGTTGTTATTTTGAGTTCCACCGCCTATACTGTTGCTTTGGGTACCGCTGCCATGGTGTGCAAAGGTAGGCGCATTCTCGAAGCCCTCGGGCAGCGAGGATTCCAGCTTAACCGCATCCTCAGGTATAACTTTTGCAAATAAATCGTGTAGACGCATTGCCTGGCATTTAACATTCTCAAGAGTGGGCCTGAGAGTAGATGGGGTGGTCTCATCCGCTACAGTTTCAATAGACTTTTTAGCATCTTCGAGGAGCTTCAAGATGGCGTGTAGCTTCAACGCTGACTTCTTAATACTTCTGGGGAGGCCTTTGGTGTCCTTGATAGCCTCGTAGGCTCGTCGAGTTGCATGGATAACCGTAATAACGGACGAAATCAGATCAAGGACGGGGCCTGCTTCGGCGCCAGACATGGTGGGCCTATCAGTAGGAGTATTAAGTGGATTCCCGAGGCTTTGCAATATAGATAAGTTAGAATAGAGACGCAGAATCAATGAGTAGAAACAAACTTGAGAGACGGAGTTGATGCCGGCGGCTAACCTCCACGTGATTGACAGCCTTCCCCATACCGGAATTCCTCATTACGATACACAACGGTATGGCTATTAAATAAAGCATCCATACACTATAAAATTAAATACCATTAAATCCAAGAAAGAGAGTCATATACTATGAAGATAGAGATGCTTAGATGATGGTGATGATGTGTTGTGGAAGTGAAGTAAAGTAATTAAGTAGCTAGCTAAGTACTAGGTTAACGTAAGTCATTCGTCGTAAACACATACACACATGAAACATAGAACCAGTACTCCATACATATACAAACAGACCCATCCGAAATAAGAAACAAACGAAAGTAAGTAACGAAACTAATCCGAATCAGCTTGCGGATGCTGGTAGTGAGCAGGCATAGGCACCTGACTCATATCCAACAACGGCTTTCCCATCTTCTTCCTATCACCAGTCGCGACGCCTCGACCCTTACTCGACGCTCCCTGCGAGACAGTCAGCTTCTGACTCTGCGCTACCAGACCTGTGGGCGCGAAGGGGAACGAGCCGGGCATCGACATGTGGCTGTGGCCGTGTGGGTCAGCGGCAAGATCGACGAGCGGACCACCTCCGGCACCACCGGCAGCACCAGCGGCTTTAGGCTGTCTTGTTGAGCGATGGCGGGAGGGGTCTGAGGTGCGTGGTTTGCGCCAGGTGGTTGAGGGGGGCACGACGATGGCGTTTGGATGGAGGTCGGGGCCTGTGGCGGATTCGACGAGTGGTTGGCCTTGGATGGGAGCTACGCCGCGGCCCTTGCGGGCGTGCTGGGGTGGTTCCTTGTATGTTGGGGTGAGGTCTATGAGGGGCTTGGGAGGGTGGCGGGTGGACTTGGAGCGGGAGGAAGTGGTTGTTGGTCTGGGGTCGGCGGGGGCAGTCATGGTGTTGGAGCGGCCGGTAGAGTGGTAGTGTTGGTGTTGGTGCTGTTGGTGCTGCTGTAGTGGTTGGTCTGGGAAGTGGTTTGATAAGTGTGAGGATGGACCTTGGTAGTGCTGGCTCTGGCCGTGGCGGACGTTGGAGAGCAAGCCGGTTGAGATGAATGGACCTTCGTCGGGAACTGCCTGCTGTTCCTTTTCACGGTCGACCATGGCCTTGTGTCGTTGGGTGTAGGTGCGTCCCAGCAGGCCCGAGGGAGCAAAGGGCTGTTCCTCGCTTAGACTGTCATCTGTCGTCGTGGTGGTCACTTTCTTCTTGGAGGTAGACTTGCTTTTGCTTCGTTTGAGCTTGACGGGCTCCTTGTTGACTGCCTGGTTGACCAAGGGCCCGGCAGGAGCTATATGTTGGTTGTAGGACGGAGGTCGAGAGCGTTTACCAGGTGGCTGGTCGTATGTATCGTCATCGATATTATGATCGAGGGACAGTGATCCAAGGTAAGGGGTATCATCATCTACTTCAGGGACAGGGACAGGGACAGGTTGTTGCTTCTTTTTGGATCCTTCGCCCATGACATGCACCAGGTACCAGCTCCTCCACTCCTGCACGGCGTTGTGCCATGCACCACCGACCTCTTCATGCTTGGTGCAGAAGTAATGCACAAAGTTCTCAGTAGACAAGAACATGGCTGACTTCTGCTGGCTCTTTATGGCAAAACAAAGTGGCTTTGGTGGTTTGAGACGCTTATACTCCCTTCTAGTGGGCGTGTAGATATCAAAGTCAGAGATGTGGCAGATATTAGTGATATCTGCGCTGCCTTGCTTCTTAGAGACCGTGACTTGTCCATCAGTGCGCAGGGTGACCCATCGTCTGTCCCATTTGCCCGTGCGCTGGCAGTGGTAGAGGTTAAAGGACACATCTGGCGGCTGTCTCTTGGGAGCAGATTTGGCAAGGAGAGCAGGCAAGATGTTTGGGTCTGGGTCCGGGATGATCTTGAGGATGTTTTGAGCATCTGTATTCCACGAGTTGAGGACGTCGCGGACGGGCTCGTACTTGCGCAGGGGACGCTCGAGGTTGAGCTGGGAGAAGGACTCGACGATGATGGCGGCGTCAGGGAAGATGTCTTCGTCGAGAGTGTTGGCAGCAGAGTGGATGAGATCCTGGGCTAGAGTGGAGGGAGTGACGGGCAAGGTGACGGAGGAGTCGTTGCAGGTCACCGTCACCTTTCGCTCGCCCGCGTTGACCGCAGAGACAGGAGCGTCGACTCCAGCCATGTTGACATTCTCAGCAGCAGCAGAAGTGGTCTTCTTGTCTTTGGGCTTCTTGTGACGCTCTTCGCTCTTGAACCTGCCCAGCAAGCCACCTCCTTTCTCCTTCAACAACCTCCCCTTGCTCTTCTTGGTCGTGGGGGCACGGTGAGGAGGCGGCATCGTCTCGTAGCTGTCGTCAAAGGTGTTTGGTCCCATGCCAGGCTCGACCACGAAGTAAGGTCCCGACGTCGTGGCGGGAGCAGGAGAGGGCCGTTCATAGCTGTCTCTGCCGTCGAAGAACTGCTGGTTCTGCTGGGAGTACGAGTGGCGCTTGGCCGAGTTGCGGTCGAGCGAGCGTCTTGCCGCAGACGCAGAGGCAGTCAAGGGCCTGGCGGTGCTCTGCTGCACGGAGACCCGTCGACTGGCCACGGGCGAGGAGCCATCCTGGGGGTCGCTGGGGTCGTAAGGGTCGTAAGGGTCGTAGGAGAGGTCGTAGCTGTTGCGCTGGGACTCGAGCTGGGCCGGCAGCGGGAGAGGCGGCGGCGGCACTCCATGGCTGCTGTTGTTGTTTGTAGTCTTTCTGTACCGCGACATGCTGCGGCTGATGGAGGAGACATGCTGCCCTGCGCCTGGTACCGGTACCTGGTGAGCAGCAGGAGAAGTAGAAGCAGCACCAGGACCAGAAGAAGGATGCGAGGCCCGGACAGATCGATAGCGCGAGAGCTTCTGTGGCGCAAAGTGAGCCTGGTGAAGGTGAGGATGCGCGTCTGCGGAAGCCATCTTTGGTCGTGTCTTTGCGGTGTCTGTTCTATGTCTATCTCATGTCTTAGGAGACGCACAGAAGAGAAGAAGATGAAGATGAAGACAGGAAGAAGACAGGAAGAAGAAGAGAAGAGAGAGAGAGTAACGGTGAGCCTCAAGTTAGTCCCTGCAAGTGTTCATGTAAGTAAGGACAGGACAGGACAAGGATGGTCTTAAGAAGTAGAGAAGTAGAGGACAGGAAGAGAAGAAGGACAGGACAGGACAGCTCCAGGGGTAAAGGAAGAAGAAGAAAAGTGCACAAAGTCAAGATCGTATTTATTTATTGCTCTCTTGTTCTTCTTCCTGCGCATCTACTTCTTAAGTCTCTTCTTTAAGTCTCTTCTGCTTCTCCTCGAGTCAATTGACTTTTTTTAAGGCAGAGAAAAAAGCAAGCAGGCAGAGGCAGAGGCACCAGTGTGTGTGATGCTGTCAGGGGGCGTCGGAAGGAGGCGTCGAGGCGTGTTTTAAGAGAAGAAACAGAGACGAAGAGACGAAAAGAAGAAGCAAAGAGAGACAGCAGAAGAGTAAAGAGTAGAGTAAGGAGTAAGAGATAGAAAGTAAGAGATAGAGTAAAAAGTAGAAGCAAGAGTAGTAGAGAGAGTAAGGAGGTTGGGCAGGCAGCGAGGCAAAGATTTACTTGGGTTGGGCAAGAAGACGAGGATCGATCGAAGTAGTTAAGGGGTCTTCCTTTACTCTTTACTCTTACTCCCCTACTCTATCTCTTACTCTTTACTCTACTCTCTACTCTCTATTCATCCCATCTCATCCTTTCCCATCCCTTCTTACAAGCATCTTCTCATCCCTTATCTTGTGTCTTTCTCTTCTTTTTTCCAACGGCCCAACTAAGAAAAAGCTAATCTTGCTGACAAGTCTTGGCATCGAGATCTCAGCTGAAGATGATGAAAGTTGACATCAGACAAGATAGACAGACATGGATGGTAGATATAGTAGATATAGTAGATATACAAGAAGAAGAGATGTCATGTCACGTCATATCATTCATCGTAGAAGTAGAGGTAGAAGTAGAGGTAAGCTAGAGATACACCTTCGACGGCCGCTCGACATATCTCCCGCCGCCCCCATAATACGACGCCGACCCCCTACGCCCGCGACTCCCGCTCCGACTGCCTCCGTGACTGTGACTGTAGTAGCTCCCACTGTGGCTGCGGCTGCGGCCCGGTCGGTTGTAGTAAGTCGTGGTGGCCACCGTTGGCTCTCGTCGCGATACCCGAGTAGACAGAAAAGCGCAGCGGATGAGCCACCAGAGGAACAGGAAGGCCGCGATGCTGCCGAGGACGATGCCTGCGATGGCGCCGCCGCTGAGACAGTTGCATGCGGGTGCGGGTGCTGGTGCGACGTATTGTCGGGGTTGAAGTGGTTGGTGGTTGGTGGTGAAGGAGAGTGGGAGTTTCTGGCTGTCTGTTAGTAGGGGTGTATATGCATAGACAGGGAGGTGGTGGATGTACGTACCATTGTTCAGCTGGATAATTGGATGGTGAGTGTAGAGTGATCAATGTCATGTCATGTCTGGCTGGATGGTTCTACTGTCTACTGTCTGTCTACTGTCTTCGTCTACGGCCTCTATATACTGCGATGTTTACCAGCCTCTGCCTGCCTTCCGCAGCTATGATGTCAGGCACTGGAGAAAGAGTGGACATGGGTAACTTACCTTACCCTAGGCAAACAGGTTTCGGAGGGATAAATAAGAAGTGACAGTGACGACAGAAGAGAGAGAATTGGAAGTTGTTTAACTTACGGGGTGGACTCCGGGGCTGAGGCTCGCAGGGTTCAGGGGGGTCAAGCAAGTATAAGAGCGTATAGATACTAAGTGATGATGTCTTTGATTTTTTAACTGTATAGACTAGCGATCCAACCAAACACCTTGCGCTAACATGAACCATAAACAGATAGATAGACAACTAAGTTAAGTAAGGAGAGGGGAGAGTTAAGCGGCCTGGTGGGTAGACAGACGCTTCGCTTGGACTGAAGAGGCCGTAGGGGGCGGCACTTCAGAAGATACTCCCTTTCCTCCGCCAGATGACTGTCCTAGTCCTTGATGCTGCTGCTGTGTCTGTGTCTGATGGAGTCTCGCCATTACTCCTACGTCATCCCTATACATACCCGATGCCTGTCCCGTCGCAGAAGACATGGCACTCACATTCGACCCCCTCCGCCTCAACAGCCTCTTCGCAGCGTCGTCTGCCTCCTTCCGATGCAGTGCTTCAGAAGGCAGCAGCACCGCCCGGTCAAGCGCATACGGCAGTCCACGGTGTCGTCCTCGGATCTCCATTGCTATAATCACAAGCTTAGACAGCGTGTGGAACTGGCCTGAGAAACTCGTGTTGCTGGTAGGATAGCCCAGCGATAGTCCCACGGTGCCGTACGCAGACACCACCTCGAACAGCACAGCGAACAGTGAGAAGCCTAGGTCCTTGGGGTTGTCTAGGCGTGTGCCTTCGATGATGCTGATCACGAACAGGCCCAGGAAGATGTACCAGATGTCGAAGCTGAGCTGTTTCTGCAAGTGCGCGCCGACGAAGCTGGGCTCTTTTTCGTTCTCGCTGTACTCGTCGGGGTCGGAGTAGATGCCCAGACTGCGCTCTTCGTACACGTTGGTGCGGCGGACGGAGATGGCGATCGGGTAGACGGAGATGTACATCATTACCATGTACGACACCTGGATCGCTGGATGGAGTGTTGTCAGACTGATGACGGACAGACCGGCGGTTCGGGTCGCTGCTGCTTGGAACAGGCCGTCCACGAAGCGGATTCCGCCGGGGATGCGAGTCACGTCGGGGTCGTTCAACTATACAGACGTTAGCAGACATCACTTTAATCACTACAATCATTGTATATAGATAAGGAAACTCACGTCGAGGATGATGAAGAAGATCAAGTCGACGCCGTTGAGCAGCACCAACACCCAAAACAACCACCAGTTCGCTGAACTAGGGAACAGTAACGTAAAGCATCGTCGGGGATGGTCAAGCAGGAACTTGAGCTCCTCCCACACCCCGCTGCCCTCAGGCACAATAATGCTGAAAAACCAAATAACAAACCGCAACATACACGGAAAGCCCGTGTTGCCAATCAAGATCAGAAAAGTCATCAGCAGCATCGGAAACACCGCATCGTAGAAAGACAGCATAGAGTCCGGAGTAATAGTGAAGCCCTGGTCGTTAAACGCCGAGCCGGCAGAGAAAACCGCCCACCATGGCCGACCTTGTCCGTACGAAGTAACGATACTGCCCCAGTGCGTGTTCAGGATCCAGGGAACCAGACAGATGATTCCTAGCAGATGGAAGAAGAAGAAGTAGCCTATCAGTACGATCGCTAGCGTCTTGAGAGCGCGGTACTCGATACCGCCTAGCTCTTCGCGCTGCGTCTCGGAAAGGTCCACGAACGCTGAGTTGCGCCCGATGGTAGGCTCCCAGCTCAGGTAGGGTGCGTCCTGCTGTAGTTGTTCCTGTGTACGCGAGCGAAGGAAGCTAGGAACCATGGACTTGCGGGATGTTACTCGTCGGATAGTAGAGGTTTCATCGCCGTCTCGGTCTCGGTCTCGATCTCGATCGCCACCCCTGGAGTGCGTGGCCTTGCGGGTACGGGTAATGTTGGGCTCGTCGATGGTGATGTGTTGGTTCACCGGGCCAGGGGAAGTAGGTAGCGATGTTCCAGTTCCCGTCTGCTCGGCCGACGGGTCTGATTGAACGGTTGCATTACGCGCAAGTTCAGACCCATCTGTCTCGTCTAGTGCTTCAGGCATGCCGCCTCGGTCGTACTCGCGCGGGCTGGGTATACGCAACGCACCAGTCTGTCTCCGCTGGTGCTCCAGGAAGGTGATGTGCCGCTCGTTATCGGACGGTACCGACCACTGTATTCTTGCGTCCCCTGGGAAATGCGACGGCGCAAGCAGCGTCTGGTTAGACTTGTTAGGGGATTCATCGTGGGTCGTAGTTTGTCCGTTGGCCGTTGACTCGCCCTGCCCTTCTGCAGGCTGGGTAGACGAGCCGCTGTCCGAAGTGGTCTCGGGCTCCTTCTTAGGCGTATCCATGAATCGTCCCTGTGCAAGGCCGTCGTTGTTGCGAATCACTACAATATCACGGCCACGAACGCCGGCCTCTGCCCGGTGAGCGTCGTTGCTGTCATTGCCATCCCTTGTCGGAGCCCGCGATCGCGACCGTGACCGTCTCAGCGCCTTTGCTTCTCGAACAACGTGCTGGAACCGCTGCTCAAACCAGTACAGTCGCACAAACACCACCGCAGAGTGGATGACAATCGGATTGGCAATCATGGATCCCATCCACAGCCACACCTGCTGGTACGTAAACAGCAGGTTCACGTCAATGGTGTTAAGCCCGCTCTGGGTTGCCGAGCCAGAGGCAAAGAAGAGTGCATCGATGTAGGCCATGTTCCCGCCCGGGTATAAGATGATAGATCCCACCAGTGTCACACCGATGATCCAGGCATAGTGCAGGCAGATGAAGTTATAATGGAGATCCTTGAGGACTGGTGTCTTTCGCTTGATAGCCCATAGCTTCTCGCGAACCTCCGGACTCGGCTTGCACCGCTCAATCGCAGCTTTGACTGTGTCCATCCTCGTCTCTCCCTCAGGGCCAAGCTGTGGTATATAGATATATAGATATATTCACCAAAACGGGTAACCAAAAAAAAAGTTGTGTGTATATATATTGCGCCGCCGTCGTCAATTCCGGACAGGCAATTCGACGAAGAAAGGCCTTTTAAGCTAGAGCCCGCAAGCTCATGGGAAAAGGATAGGTCGAGGGGATAATTAGGAGTGTGAGTGTTTTCGAGATAGGAGGAGGGGAGGGCGGGAGTTGGTAGTCGAGGTCCCGGAACAGCAGGAGAAGTCCAAGTCCCCAGTCGGCCCTTTTTATATCACAGCATACGAGCGGGACAGGAGGAGGCAGAGGCCAGTCTCTCTCTCTCTGTCTCCCTCTCTCTTTCTTTCTTCTCCTTGGCCTATATGTCTGATTGGAGAAGCGATTCCGCGACGGAGAGGACTGCTAAACGGCGCGAGCTGGATGAGATTGGGATATGCATGCTGGGGGGGACAGTAAAAGTAACGGCCAAAAAGCAAAGGATACTTCGGATAGACGACCACAGTCGATATAAAAAAGAAACAGACGAGAAGCCCTAGAGGAAAAGATAAAAACGAAGAAAAAGAAAAAAGCCTCCCTTTGATCCCAGATCTGACGTGAAGCCGGCCAAAGCGAGCGAGCGAGAAGGGGGAAAAAGCTCGAGTCGAGCTGAAGAAGTTGGCAAAAGTCGCTTGTCGTGGGCGGAAAGGCCGGGGAGGTGGAAGTAGAAGCTTAAAAAAGTTAGCGCTGACATAGTGTTATTCCAGGGTCCTTGGCTAGTGTGTGGGCAGTGGAAGTAACTAGCGTGGCTGCGTGGCTGTAGGTGGAGGCAAAGAAGCTTCTTACTATGGTTTCATCTTAATTTCAACGGTATAGAAAAGCCTTTTCCAGGGGCTTGAGTTGATAGACGGACAGAGGCGATAGATCGATATCAGCTATCACCGCTCAAGACACACCGCTCAGCCAGAGCCAGGGCGAGGGCTTCCCGCCCCCCTGCTCACCTGCCTGTACTATGTAACGATAGTTGTAGCCGGCCATCTCCGCTCTGCAACAGCTCTCCCGAGACTTTTTCGTTGGCCCAGTCAGGGAGCAGGAGGAGCCTGCAGTTCTCGCTTTTGCCATGCTCCTTACTCCCATTTGCTTTTCGATGAATAAGTATGCAGCGTGACGTGCAGGTCTCCCTCTGCTGCGGCACCGGAAGTATCGTCCGCGTGTAACATTCCTTTCTCTGGCTCTTTCCCCGTATATTAAAAGAAAGCCAGAAGGCAAAGGCTCTTTAATATCCCGATCAAGTAAAATGTTGGCTCTTCTTCGTCCGCTAGCTTGTTGCGCCCAATAGGAGAGCTACTGTATTCACCCCCGGACCCGTGTGTCTAGCCAGAAAAGACGTGAAACCCTGCATCCTCATCCCATATCAAAACGCCTCTGACCATGGACAGGGGAAGAAAGCAAAAAATAAACTCCGAAGCTGCGGGTAACTAAAACAGATGAGAGATCCCGGTCTTTTAAAATAAAGCTACACACACGTGGAAATATTCGTTGGCTGTCAGACACCAGCTCCTTTCGAATAACTCGAGGCCAAGCCCAACCAACGCTCTGATATTATTATATATATATATCTAAGACCTGGGACCTCAGCTTCTAAGCGGGCAGAAGGAATCGAAGCGGCGATCAAGGTTCGGGCCGTGGGCTGTTGGGCACCACAGGTCAGAATATATTTCTCCTCGGGTGCAATTGCTCTTCGCTGACCCCTTGGCGCACTGGCGCTTGTGACAAGTGGGGGTTCGCAGGAATATCGTGGGCAGCGCAGTGCTGCCGCGTGCCTTGGGTGGAAATTGGAGCATGGGAACTCTCCCGTGCCAATGGTACGAACGTCCAAGGGAACAGGACAGAGAGTTGGCGGATCATCGGTGTGCAGGCACAGATGATGCTGGCGTCACACTCTTCAACGATCCATACCGGGGTTGGTTTGAGCTGACTCCCTTTCCCCTCGATCAGCGTTTCTAACTTAAGTATACATATATACCACCCTCTAATATTCAAACCGGCCGCATTCCGAGATAGTTTAAAGTTAAAAAAAGGTCCCACGAAAAAGGGGTCAGAGCACTTACAGGTGGCGTCTGTCCATGAAGATGACGCGGCGATGGTGGTTGGCTCGATGATACTCGTCGTACAGACACTGGAGGGAGGTTTCAAGCCTGGTGCGAAGTTAGCTAACTAGTTCGCAGGACCATATAACTAAAGAAAACATGACGCCAGGGGAGAAGAAGAAAAGAGACGCCTACTTACAAGCCGCCAAGCCCCAAAGATGAATACCAACTCGAGCTTGTCCTCTTTTCGAAGTTGCAGCCGAGCCATCTGTGGGATTGGTAGACCCAAGATGATGAGGTCCGTCGTGATGCTGAGTACCGCCTACAATAGCCAGATTCCAAGGTGATCAACGCCGTGGTGGTTTGAGGCATTTTAGTCCCAAGACGCCTTCATTGGGCGGCATTATCAGACGGTTGCGAAGGAGAAAAAGAAAAGAAAACTTGACCAGCACATTGGACAAGATAAGAGCCTTGCATGCCTGGCGGAGTGACGTCTTGATGGCAGATGATCCCAGGTAAAAGAAGAGACTCGAGCATCTTAACAGCGAGATACATAACATATTGACATGTGCGACGAGAAACCACTTCTGGTTCTCAGTTAGATGCAGTCAGCTGTTGTTTGTTATCAGTTTGTGATGGGGCGGCTGTTTAACTACTAGCAGAATGTCTTTGCTGCAGCAGAATTAAGCTTATGGGGCTTAAAATAATAGTTTAATCCAACCTTCGCTTTCATGAGACTCTCCCTTGCAAAGGCCTTGGGGCATATTTGCCATCGCCCCTTGCCAGAATACCATTTAGTAGTATTTCAAGGGTAGTGTTGATGCCTGCGCCTAGATACCTGTGCTTTCCGAGCTGCTTTTAACATGCAACGGCGGGGTCTCCCTCATGCACATCTCTACCCAACCCTCCTCCAATATACACACCAGTAAAGTTGAGGTTGTCGGCTACAATATAATGTTTCTAGGCGGATAAATACGGAAATAACTGCTCTAAATATGATACCATTCTGATGCTCAAATCCGCCGCTTTCCGCCAAATCATGTCCCCTCTGAGTCTATCATGCTAGGAATACTAAAGCCGGTACGGAGATCCCTGCCTAATCAAAGGACCCCTTCACTGAATAGAGTGTGTTCCAGGTATGTATGGGGTAGTATTTCAAGGATGATTTACATATTTTGCCTTTTTCATAGACTACTTGTTTAACTATATAATGAAGAACGGCCTAAAACTTAACTTCTTACACGATCATCAGAAGGCTCATGTTTAGGCTTCTGACCAGGATTTGACCGCGGTGTCTTCAAGCTCTCGCTTCAGATATTGCATATCACCTATTTCTATCAAGTAATAGAGGTGACCATTCAGTCAAGTGGCTCAATAACCCGTGACGGCAGGTTAAGGTTCCTAGGATACCGATATACTTTCGGCTCTATTTCCGGGTGCAACATTCAACATGACCGACTACCATATAGCCTATATATGTCGATATCACACATCGATTCGGTTATACCAACAAGGGCTCTACACAGGGATGGCCATCTTCCATCGAAGCTGCTGACTCTTCTGCTCAGACCTTCGGTTGTATGACAAAAGTGACCGTTAAAGCCCCAGATAATTTCTCCAGCATATGCCCTCTCTGGAATGCTCGGGTCGACACTTCGCTGTTCCTACAGCCCAAAAACCTAGTTGAAGCCTGCTACTAATACTATATACGGGTCGGGCTAGTCGGTTATTCTAGGTCAGGCTAAATCTCAGTAACCCGATTTTGATAACAAACACCTTCTCGCATAATAGGGGGATGGATGGTTGTCTGCCTTTGTCTATAGAAGACAGAGAATTCGTACGGAGTATAGCCCTCAGAATCAAATACTCTGTGCTACCAGCCCCACAAATGTTGACTATAATGCGAGAGCTATAGTCAAGCTATCATATTCAACCGACCGAAATGGGACCCTTGAACGAGGCAGTGCCAAGCAATGCAAGGAATTTATCGCTGCAGATGCTTGCATGGTGGGTTGTCATCAGTTGTGTTCGGCAGGAGGTTGCCTAAGGAACAACTTGTCCTTCCCAGATCATCCCTACAGCTGTCGAGTCGGAGAGAAACCAACTCCAACTCTAATGAAAAAAGAGAATAAACACTGAAATTATGCTTTCGATTACCCAGTTGCTTGTTTCTCTCCTACTTCTGCCTATTGCGGTAAGAGGTTCGCTGGTTAATACGACCAGCGGACTAATAATAGGCCATGTATCGGCGTCCCGGCCATCTGTGGACGAATATCTAGGAATTCGATACGCACAGGCTCCCGTTGGTGACCTCAGATTCGCGCCACCCGTTAGATTTACGTCTGATGCGCCCTTTGAAGCTGCGAATTTCGTAAGTCATGTGTTCTTTTCTCCCTAAAGCGAACAAAGTAACCATCTATCTTCGTTTTCGTGGCCCAACATTAACTAGGGTTTCGTCTTTTACTAGTCTCTGTATGTCCTAACAAAACTACCAATAACTACTAAACAAATCGATTGTTGGCTAAGACATTTCTACAAACTTAAAGCGATTGCCTGCAGACCCCAAGCAAATCAGTTCATTACCCGAATGGAACAGCCCTTCAGCAAATCATTATTGCAAATTTTGCCAGTCAAAATGTGAAGCTACAAAGCGAGGACTGCCTAAAGTTGAACGTCTGGGCAAAGAATACACCACTTAAGAAGAAACCCGTGTTACTTTGGATTCACGGCGGACGTAAGTCTATTTTTATACCCTCTTTAATATCAGTCGGGTTAACACACCTGACAATGTTCTAGGCTTTTCTCTTGGTAGCACAAATAACCCCTTTTACCAGGGCCAATACATTGCCGATAAGGAAGACATCGTTGTGGTGTCGATGAAGTAGGTAGCCTGCGGCTTTCCACTGGTATAATCAATGCTTGAATCTAACTAGCGATCAGCTACCGCCTCAATGTTTTTGGTTACCCCAGTGCACCTGGTGCGCCTCAAAATGTTGCATTGCTTGATCAGCGTATGGCAATAGAGTGGGTTCGAGATAACATTGCGGCTTTCGGGGGTGATCCTAGCCGTATTACTCTAATTGGCCACTCTGCTGGCGGAGCTATGACTGATTACTATACATACAAACATATTGAAGACCCAATTGTCCACGCTGTCATACCTATGTCTGGTACTGCTCTGAGCTTTTCACCCAATACACAAGCGCAGTCTGAGAAATACTGGTACATCTTGTCTAAAGCACTTGGGTGTGGAAGTTCGGGCGATACACTGCCTTGTGTGAGATCTAAACCCGCTACGGATGTCCTAGCTGCAGTATCTAAGGTACCACCGGAACCAAGTAACTTGCTACCACAGCCAGTGTTTCATCCAACAGTTGATGAAGAGCTTGTCTTTTCCAATTACGAGGAGCGTGCAGCTAAGGGAATGTTTGCTAAATTAGTAAGTTGGACAACTGATTACCGTGCACATTATCGGCCTCAAATCTAACCAAAATAAATAGCCATATCTAGTCGGTAACGGCGATTACGAAGCTGGATACTACAAAGTCTCCGCTTATGCCCTGAACATCACAACTATAAGTCAAAAAGCATGGCATTTATTCAACCTAGCTGGATTCACCTGCCCAAACGCCAGGGAAGCAAGGTACCGCGCGGCAAGGGGCGTTCCAACCTGGCGATACATGTATTTCGGTGAATGGCCTAATTCCATCCTGTTTCCAGGAAGTGGATCGTATCATGGATGTGACGTCGCTCAATTGTTTGGCACAGCAGAGGACGTTAGTAACGGCACTGCAAACACCGAAACTGAGGCCAAATTTTCTGCTTATATGATGCACGCCTTTGCAACTTTCGCAGCAGATCCTCGTGAAGGCTTGTCAAAGCTTGGTTGGCCCAGATATAGGAAAGATGGCAAAGGTGTGTCGATCAGCTCTGTGAAATAGATAGTGCATTACTGACTGTAGTTATAGGAAATGCCTTGGTAGGGCTTGCATTTAGGAATGGACCCAGTGCCACGTACCTGCCGCCTTTATTCTCAGATAAGGACTGCCCGCTAGTTGGTACAAACACATCCTATGCCCATGGGGGATTTTAAAAGCCTTCGGTTTCGGGCCGTCTCGCCAAAAAAAAAAGATTTATGACCTTCACATTACATATCAACGCAGCTCAATTCAACTTGGGTTGATCTAAAATACAAGGATTAATGCATCCTGAGGGAAATAAATAGCTTTTATTGACCTAATATAATGTTGCTCCCTTTTGTATAGTCAAAGTGTTACTTTAAGTTTTATATTAGAAAGTTCAATGATCCGTGCGCAACTTTCTCGTATTTTTATTGATCCGTGGATTCGTGATGACGTAACATAGCTAATTTAGACGGGTCGGTAACGACCTTGGAAGAAACTGAAAACTTAGAAGGGCAGAGAACCAATCATGGGAAGGTCGAATAGATATAACACACTGATGAGGGGGTTACAGTGTAAGAAAGATGATAGCCTAATAAAATCGTCAAGGGCAAATAAATATGTATCATGGGCATATATGACCGACAGTGACTAGGAATGATATGAAATAAGGTCGAGAAAAGATGATTAATAGTATATGATATAGAACATATGGAAAGGGGATATCAATCACTCTGGGTGAGTAAATATGTAAGGAATAGAGGCTGCATGGCAACACACCCAAACCGTATTTCTATCAAGAGATCGAATGTGGCGCTAAGTTGTATTTTCAGTAGTAATTTTTCTCATTTGGTGATTTGATGTTCCATATCACCTGGGTTTATCTGTCTGTTTGTTGGTGATCGGGAAACAAGTTTAAACCTCCTATGTTGACGTTTGGTGGTGTGGAATTTATTGGACTTGAGCGACGATCTCGCTGGCCTTAGTCAAACTCTCGACCATTCTCTGGCATTCCTTGCGGCGACGAACGGTGAATTCACTTTCGCGGAGAAGGTCGTCGGGTTCTTCTGCTCTGTAGAGATTTCCTAGAAGCTCTCTTTGCATTTCGTCCTTGGTGAACCTGATGACTTTGCGTTAGTATGAAGGAACAATAAATAACGAAATATTTTCTATGACTTACTGGACAAGGGTTAACATGATGGCCTTGGGGACCATATCAATCATGGTTCGCTTGACGATATTGTAGTACGAGTTGATGAGGAGTTCTGTAAAGAGCGAGTTAGTTGGGAGCCAAGTAAAAAGTATAACATGTCTGACATACTTATAACCTCAACCTCGGTGTTTTCTCGCTCGGACAAGGTACCGGACGCCTTCAGGATTGGTGGAGGTGCCTCCATAGCGGCCATCTTCTTCTTGCTGTTCTTGGAGGAGAAGAAACTGCCGAAGAAGCCTGGGCTGGATTCACCAAGATCGAGACTAGGGCTAGCAGATCGCTGTGGTAGAGTGGCAGAAGGAGGCAGAGGCTTTCCAGTCTTTGGGTCAACCTGCGTAGGCTTCGCTGCATTGTGCCTTTCATTAATGATTGCCATAGCCTATATGTCAATTGTCAGAATATCATTCATGAAGGTAACCGTTTGAAATAATCTTACTCTGTGTCCGGTGATAAAGTCTGGGTGGCCGGTGTTGATGTAGCAAGCCTCCATAGCAACGAGGTCCTTGACAAGCTTATTCGTTGGGTCCATGACCTTTTTGAAAAACGATATTACGACTCCATGGAATCGTTCCTTCAGCTGTGGATACCTCCTGAACGGCTGCTTGTTCAATAGCTGAGCAAGGATTCTGACAAGTTCATCGTAGACGAGGGAAACACATTTTAAGCTGGGCTCTTCGAGTCTCTTGATCTGTTGCTTGACGATAGACTCAAATGCGCCTGTTCCAACGAACAGGGCAGGAGAAGGACCGGAGGAGTTATACAGCATTGTTCTGATATCCATGTCCTTCACTATGTCAAAGGGGTCAATGGCCTTGACACCGTTGGAGTATAGTTCGTGGAAAACGAAGCTGACACGTGCGCCACCAGAAAGTTCCACGGATGAAAGTTCCTGGTTGTTGCCGTCCAGAATGGTTCGGTACTCGTTGCTGAATTCTGTGATGATGTTGAGGATGATGTTGGCGCTGTTTCCAAGCATCGAGTCACCAAGCTGGTTCAATTCGGCGGTGTATTTCTGCAGAGAGGATGCAATACGGGCTTTGATGTCGGGGAGAGTTTGTTTAATGTGCATCATGAGTATCTAGAAATCAGCTGTTAGTTTATAGGTTATACCCCAGGCCACGGTCTCTGGTGATACATACCACATTGAGCTTTCTTGCCAGGTATGGTGTTCCGCAGTAGGCAGATTTGGAAGAATATGTGGCATGGTTTTCAAAGAAATTCTTCTCATGCTCAAGAGCATACGAGATTGTTCGCTTATTCTCAATATCTCGCTGTCCTCGGTTGACAACCGGCACATATCCCAGTCGTAGCGGAATGACTCTGCCAGCAAGAATATCCACAACATCAGTTCCGGCATCCATAAGATCGACCTTGGTCAAGACACCAATTGTCCTCTGTCCTTCCGGATCAACTTCTCGAGCAAGCTTCAAACCATCAGAGTTGGCCAGATCCTGGTTCGCAGCCGTGACGGCAAGAATAATCGCATTTGACTTGCTGATTTGCTTCAGCACCATCTCTCTTATCTGCTTCTCGATATCCTTTGGCTGGTCTCCAACAGGCACCTTGGTCAAACCGGGCAAATCGACCAATGTAAGAGTGAGGACGTTAGGAGAATAGATTCGCAGGTTGATAGGCGCGGGGGAGATTCCAGCATTGCGGCCAGTCTTTGCATCTGTCTCACGGACGATCTCTTCTCTAATCTTATTGAAGTCGTGGAACTTCTGGCCAGGAATGTGAAGGAACTCGCCATATTCATCAATGTTTGCCTCGCTGTCGGTAGTATCTAGCTTGTCTTCCTCCTTGACACCATTTGCTTGTTTCTCAGAGCGGGGCTTGTTGATAAGCTGGAGGACCAACGGCCGTCGAGTGACGATGCCAGATCCTCGTGGTAAACTGGTAGATTCTCTATGTTAGCCATCAAACGTCCTCCCGGCGTACAGTTGGGGAGGCAAACACCAGCCCTCAAAAGGGGGTGAGGGAGGGGCCCATATCCAACTCACAAGTCTCTTCCCACTATATTCTCTAAGACGGAACTCTTTCCACTGGATTGCGATCCCACGACGACTATCTGTGGTAAATCTATTGGGTTTTGTGCCTGTATAATGTGCGCCGCCGCTGGTTAGGTCTGCGTTCTGTATAGGCGGTATGGAACTGTCGGTGCCACTTTAGGGAGAAAGAAAACAACGTACTCCGACGGTCGTGAAGACATCTTGCAACTTATTGACGAGAGAGATCAGACCAGGGTCGTTGACGCTTATCCTACACCCAGATAAGTTCCCTGCATTAGCAACATGGCCGATCGTGGGTTTGGTGTGTTTGGGCAAGAGATGGATAAGAGTACTTACGAATAGCCAGCTTGGGCGGCCATGGTCTGGAGATATAATGTACAGTCGAGCTGGGGGAGATACCGGCGAAGAGGAAGAACACGACCGAAGAAGCTGTCTCGGTGAGGATCCTGTGGTTAGGCAAGGGTTGGTTGTTGTTAGGTTAGGTATATCCTCTTGCTTGGATATTTTGGGCGTTTTGAACAACTTCGATGTTTTTGGAGAGTTTGGGCTTGTTCACGTGCAACTGACCTCGTCACACGCAGCTTATATTTATTGAGCTGATATTGATAGACGACGAAGAGGACGGTGATGATGGTGAGGAGGATCCTGAAGCCTAGTGAAAGAGGAAAATAGGAGTACTAGAAGGGAGAAGCTACGGTGAATCGGTGAAGAAGTATAAAGTGTAAAAGTAAGGGCTTTATAGTGTGGCACCGATAATGCTGCTGCCTATACTGCGTCTACGTATATATAGGTATCAAAGACTGACCTCGCGGACTAGCACAGAATCTCAACAGTCTATTGTCCCGATAGGCAGGATAGATTATTATGATAAATGGCTTTGCTGCTTCACCTTGGTCCTGTAGGCCAGTTTTGATCGGTGAATTAACGTTTTTGCATTTGTACGAACGGAAAAAGGGGGGAAATAGATAAAAAAACCGAAATATTTACTCATCCGACACCGAGGCGAACTTTTCAGACATGTCCTGGAGAATTTTATCGTACTAGAGACGAGTTAGTAAGATGGTTGTATGTACGGATGGGTTATGGGTTGGTACAAAGGACAGGGACATACCTTAGCGGTGACTTCTTCCTCGTCATCAGGGACCTCGAACTTCATGTTTCGAAGAGCAGTCTGGATGGCGCTGGTGGCTTCTCGGACCTTAGCCCAGCTCTGACCTTGGGCAATGGCCTTCTGACTCTCATCGTAGTAGGAGACAAAGGCCTTCATCATGTACTCCGTCTTCCACAAGGGGCAGAACTGGTCGTAGTCAGAGTATCCGTTCTGCTGCAGGAAATCTTCCTTGAGCAGGGTGGCCACGTCCAGCGTGATCTTGTCAGCGTCTCCGAGAGCAGACTTTCCAACGAGCTGCACGACCTGATCCAGTTCTTCGGAGTTACTGAGCAGCTCCTTGATCTTGTCACGTAGCCGGGGGAACTCAGGGTGATCCTTGGCGTAGTACTTGTCAAGGATGCCTGTGTATTTACTGTAGGATATGGAAGTGTTGATGGACGGGAAGTGTTTTCTTTGGGCGAGCTTCTTGTCGAGACCCCAGAAGACTTGGACGATGTTGAGTGTACTTGAGGTGACGGGATCAGCAAAGTCACCACCAGGTGGACTGACGGCTCCAACAATGCTGACACTTCCTTTTCGCTCGGGGCTACCCAGGGCGATGGTCTGACCCGCACGCTCGTAGAAAGAAGCAAGTTTGGCACCAAGGTACGCGGGGAAACCCTGATCAGCAGGCATCTCTCCTAGACGACCGGAAATTTCACGGAGAGCCTCAGCCCAGCGGGAACTGGAATCTGCCATCATAGCAACGTGTTTACCTTGGTCTCGGAAGTACTCTGCAACAGTGATACCGGTGTAGATGGAGGCCTCACGGGCAGCCACAGGCATGTTGGAGGTGTTGGCAATCAAGCAGGTACGCTTCATGATAGGCTCTTTGCGTCCGTCAATGGTGATTGTAAGCTGTCAAAAGTTAGTATCTGGTTGCAGGCAGCTTAATAGTACTAAAAGGGAGCTGTCTCACCTCTGGGAAATCCATCAAGACTTCAGCCATCTCGTTACCGCGCTCACCACAACCGACGTAGACGATAATGTCACTGTTAGAGAACTTGGACACACTCTGACTGATGACAGTCTTTCCACAGCCGAAAGCACCGGGGATACAGATCGTACCGCCCTGGACACCGGGGAACAGAGAATCCAAGACTCGCTGGCCGACGATGAAGGGAGAATCGGAGGAGAGCTTCTCGTTAACTGGACGAGGCACACGAACGGGCCATACGTGCATCATGCTGTATTCGGTCTTCTTGCCATTGAACTCAACTTCCAGCAGCTTTTCATCGACGGTGAAGTCACCAGGCCCAGAGATACGTGTGATGGTTCCTCGGGCTCTTGGGGGTAGGAGGATCTTGTGGTCGTGAAGCAGGCTGTTCTCGAAGACGGAACCCCAGACGTCACCACCAGTGATGTGGTCGCCGACCTTGAGACCGGCAGGTTTGAAGGCCCATTTCTTCTTGCGGTCGAGAGCGGGCAGGGCGACACCACGAGGGATGTAGATGCTGTTTGAGGCCTCAGAGATGGATTTGAGAGGACGCTGGATTCCGTCGTAGATGGTTTCCATCAGACCGGGGCCCAGCTCGACGGACAGCGGCTTGCCCGTCCTGATAACGGGGTCACCGACAGTAACACCAGCTGTGGTAAATGGTCAGAAGGAGCTTCTCCAGGCGCTTCAGACGGGGTCAATTGGCCGGGACGTGCATACCTGTTTCCTCGTAGACCTGGATGGTGGCCTGGTCTCCTGAGATTCGGATGACTTCTCCAACGACTTTGTCAACTCCGACATGGCACTGCAAGCATTATCATCATCATCAGCATCCCATCCTGTAAACAACCCACCAAAAGGGTAGATCGAGGGTAGAAGAGCCACCGACCATCTCGTACATGGCACATCCTATCATGTTCTCTGCCACGATGACAGGACCGGAGATGGAGAAGACGACTCCCTTCTGCTCATCCCCGGCCTCCTCCTTCGAGTCCTTGGGTGCCATGGCAGGCGGCGACCTCGTTTCGATCGGTGCAGTGGACGATGACGATGTGCTTCCTGTCTCTGAGCCGTCGACGCTACAGCTGTCCTCGGTATCCTCGAGTTTCTCTCTACCGTCGTCCTCGTTACAGCTGCTGATGCGGCGGCTGTAGCTGTTGTTGTTGTTGTTGTTGTTGTTGTTGTTGTTGACGATGTTGTTGGTGGTGAAGTTGAAGTTGCAGATGAAGCTGCGTGGTGGAGCTGGATCTTGGTGCTGCTTTAGGGCGCTGCAGGCATCCTCATTATCACCATCGTCACCCGCAGAAGAAGATGATGATGAAGACAATGCGGAAACGAGGCCGAGCAGAGACGGTCGCGGCCTGAAAGACGGTCGTCCTAGTCCCAGTATCATACAGCTTGCTCTCCCTCCTGGGCCTCTTTGGGTGTCTATTTTACAGATGTTCTCTACTTGTCCGCTTGTCCGCCTGTCTACAGCAAGCAAGTTAACTACGGTGTAAGCTAGCAGCATAGATAGTCAACACAGCTGCCAAGGTGCTCTGATATTTGGGATTTCCAGCTTTGAAAAGGGCCGGCGCCGTGTTTCTCTCTCGTCTCCAGCTGTAGACGGTTGGGGAGATCCTCCAGCTTCCCCAGCTGCGGCTTCGGCTTCGTCTCCAGCCAGGCAGGCTCCTGTGGCAGATTTTCTCCATGCTTGGATCCAGGCTTGCTCCGTTTCCCTAGTTGTTAGTGCACCGCGGGTAGTAGTCCTTCGCTTGAGATAGTTCCAAGCTGGCTCTATCATATTACAACCAGGAGAGTTGCTAGGCCAGAGCATCTTCTGTACGTGGGCTCTGTTAAAGATAGGTTGACTGGCAACATGGGCATGAGAAGGTGCATTATCCTCCTGGATAAGAGTTTCGGGATGGCCTCTTTTGCAAAGAATAGCAAAAGAAATAAGTTTTGGTTTTAGAATCAACTGTTCTGTATGTTAGTGATATCCTTCTTCCTTAAGTCCTCCTACTAACCTTCTAATACCAGTCAGTTCCTCCTGCCTGAGCTATTGTGATAATGAGGAAGATATTTACAACGCCTTGGTACAACTTAGTACTGTTCCGCCACAGTATTTCTTACAGCCACCAGGGGCCTGCTGATGACTTTTGAGCGCGGCCTCCGTAGTTAGTGCACAAGCAATTCGTGTCTTTCAAGGCGGATGAGTAGCTATGCTAGACTAACATTCATAGTCAGGGATTGCTTGGGGGGAAATTACCTGGTATCAAAGACTCTATGTACTATTCTAGAACAAAAATATCTTAAGTATATAATAATCTAGTGAGACATTTTTCCGTGGCTCACTTGGAACCTTCGTTTGTTAGATCCTGGTTCATGACAATAATAACAAAACAACACCAAGACATTGCGATGTTAAGCTCGAAATATCATTCCCACCTGTGTGAGCACGAGCGTAGAGGATGCGGGATAACGATAGTTCTCCCAGGGAGCCTTGGGCTTGATTATACTGGGGAATTGAAGTCATCGATATCATCGGCGTCGATGCCAAATCGCTTTCGAGTCTTCGCTGCGTTGGATTGTATTGAGGTAGTACTCCCACTTAAGCCGTCGACGTCATTATTCAAAACCGCGCTATCTCTTTGGGATTCGGAATCACTGATGTTGTTGGTGTTATCATTGCTTTCCTTGACATCCCACCATTTAAGCGTAAACGTCTGTTCATGGAACACACCACGCTCTTTGAGCTGTTCGTCATTGCACCATTCGCTACCGGGGGGTATCATGCCCTTGGATCTTTCGTGGTTAGAGGTAGTACTAGAGCCGAGGATACGGGAATCAGCGAGTAGGCTCGCTGCCGCGGCAATGCTCAATGGGTTCTTGGGCAGGACCTCTCGGGTGTTTATGAGAAAAATACTGATTGCCCCACAGAGCATCATGGTGGCTAGGATAGCTTGCAAGATGCGCGTGGAGATCATATTCTGTGATATCCGGGTACTAAATGGGTTAATCAGCGAGGCAGAGTACACTGGTCGATATTTGATGCCGGAAAATGCTAAAGGATCGTCGTAGTCTTCTCTGCCTTGACTGTTGATCATTTGAGCAGTGATAATGCCCCAGACATTTTGCAGTTCTTGCTTTAACGTGTTTACATCGAGGAGGGCTGAGGCTGAAATAGCTGCTTTGCCGTAGATGATGCTTTTGAACAGAGGGCGTAGACCATTCGTACTATTATCCCCGGGATATATATCTAGGACCGCGTCTGAGATCCTCTCACCTTCAGGGCCGGCAAGTTCCTGTTTGTCTATGTATTCGCCAATTAGAGTCGTCGCCGATCCCGGTACGACGGACGGGGGAGATGATAAATCGAAGGTATAGGAAGGAAGCGACAACCTAATAGAGACATCCACTTGTTCAACCTTTGGTGTGCACGTTATCACTGTAATCGCTTCGACTGTGTCTGGTGTCGGGCCGCCAAGCTTCCCATACATTACAGCAATCGTGGGACAACTACTTGGTAGCCCTGAAGTGTTAAGTGAAAGCGTTGCGGCGAAGCCGCTAAAATAACTGTTCTCATGCAAGATAGCCCGACCCGTTTTTATACTGTTGGATTCGAATTCGCAATCATTAACCAGCCTGGGGATATTGACAACAATGCTGGTTATGTCGTCGTTATCTGGATCGGGACCAGTGACGTACGCATCAGGGGGTAATTCTTCGCAACCCATATTAAGCCTTAGGCCAGGAACCTCTGCTTTGACAAAATAACCACTGACATTTAGTGCATTAGCCATTTTATCTGGAAGGCTGGCTTCGTTAATCTTCAGTTTTGGAAGCGAGAGGTCCTGATAGGTCCACTGCGGATAGGAAAGGTTGTATTGAATAGTCATGTCACCAAGCTTGGCATCATTGGATGTGCTCGCGCTGCCATAAAAATATCTCTCGTCGCCAATGGTGACTCTGTTCATCTGGGTTAGGGTAATATTGCTGGCTGAGGCAACATTTGACACATTGTAGAGACCTGACACAACGATAGGTAGGGATGGTCCGATCAGGATAGCAATGCCAGCTGCCATGACTGACCACTGCCTCTTCGTAAGAGTATCCCAGACGCCAACAATGGCTAGTTTCCGGTGCTGATTATCCATAATACTTCTCTCAGGTGATGCATGGCCCCTCTTTAACTCATGGTAAGGTTGGAATACTCTTGTGCTAAAATACACGCATTCATAGAGGGATCGGACTCCCAGCATCACTAGCGGTGGAATATAGATCCATGTATAGCTTAAATAGCCTGAGCGTGTATTAATATTAGCAAAGCCATCTGAGCTTCGAGATTTCCAATATAATATCTCAAGAATAACCAAGAGACAGATTGGTATAAAAAAGACTAGAGCCCGTGCTAGAGGGGCTGCTCCGAAGGGTCTCCACCAAGATAGCTGTATAGTTAGAGCCGACTTTCTAACTTCAGGGCCATTTTGCTTGATTAAAAAGGTATCCCCTTTTGCTATAGTGATATAAGTCTGGGATGCGAGGGCCTTTCGAAGCTCCTCTTTTGGGGCATGGCCCATACCGGATAAAGAATCCATAAATTCAGGGCTATTAGCCAAGATTGTTCCAATGCCATTGATAGATCCAGGGTCTCGTGAGCAGACAGCAGAAGGAAAGAAGAAAATGCAAAATAATAGAGATACTAGTGCTAATAACCCCAGGATCGATATAATAGCATAGAATGCTTCATTTCTGAGTGTAAGACGAGTCTCCTTAGACCCCATTGTCCCTGTTACTGTGCTAGTACTAGGCACCATTAGGTATTCCGATGTAAGCTGAACTGCAAGAGCCTGGATTGACTTAGTGACTCGGTCTGTGAGAATTCTGATATCGGAAATGTTTTGGGGGCCGGCCTCGTCTATATTTAAAAGGCCATCAGCGATCTCTTCTGTTTCCATATGATCGGTACTCAGGGCCACCGAAAGATAGGACCCGTATAGTATGGTAGACGCGCTGACGTTCACTAGCCCAGGTATTTTAACAGGGTGTTCAACAGCTAAATTAGTCAAAGGTGTGTTGACATCTCCAGACCCGTCAATGTAACAGTGCCGCGGTTGGTAGAGTACGAGAGTTTGCACATTAAGCCTATAATGTCGGCGTAAGCAGTCCCGTTGGGGTATAGTGGGTATGGTACCGGATGCCCGTTGGGGTTTTCGTGTATTGAAGTCGCAACGTACATCCAGAGTCTCCAGTCGGTACTTGTGATATTCACGGGGTCGAAGTTATAATACGCCGGGAAACTGGGGGTGTTGCCGTCACTGTCTCCTAGTACCATCCCCAATGGTGGGAACTTGCTAAAATCCCGGTCGCCATTAATTACCATAGCATAACCATCAATTCGCAGTCCAACGCCATAACTTTTGTTACCAAAAGTTTTTACAGATGTCTCCCAGCATTCAAGCGAAGGCGTAAATACATTAACAGTAGCTTGGTATGTCGTGTTCTGCAAATATATAGGGGTTTCCGCTAAAAGTAACAATGTCAGGCTTGAGCTTCAGGTATAGCTGATTAAAGGGAACTGAGGAGTATTTTACTTACTTGGGCTGGTATTAGAGAAAAAACTCTCAAATACATGCCCATCTGCAACCCCTAATGGGTTGCTGAAATTGTATTGGGCAGCCCCCCACGTTTTGAAGTAGGTACGAGTATCTAAAGCAAATAGGTCGAAGTTATTCCCATTAAACTCTTTTAATACCTGAAATTCTTTAGTAAGCTCTAGCTGAACATCATTCACAACAAATAGGCCCGTGGATAACACTGTCATCAACTTGATAACCAGTGATACTGCGATCGGAACTGAGACCATGAAATGGCCACGTTTCAGGGATTTGAACAGGGCCGATACATTCCACGGGGAAAGGTAATCAAGTAGGACACTGTCTGCTGCCGACACGGAGCCACGAGACATCTGGCGCCAGGGAAAAAGCTGCAGGGTTCGATATTGGACCTGACCCCAGAGTGCGCTGACAATGGTGAAGACTGCGCAAGGGTATTATTTAGCCCAACCCAAGTGGTATATTTGTTCCTTTTACAAACCACTTACCAAATGTCGGGCCATAAGTCCAGAGATAGTAGTTGCTTGGGTTGACGGTACTCAGCCCATGATTATTCTCAGCGATCCGCCATATTGTTGCTAATGCAGACAGCAGCACGACAAACAAGGCAGTGAACGAGAGGAGAGTCGTCCGACGAAGCGAAAAGGGCACCCAGAGTCTTTTTGCGCCGTCCACAGGACTTGTATTTCCTTCGGCCAGCAAACTGGTGGAAGAAGAGATCTCGTTAGCGCCCGCCTGAGTGTGGATTTTGGCTGGTTCCAAGGATTCAGAGCGGATATCGGGCGGTTGGCTGGCTTCTGGGCCAGAAGCAAGGCGATAGTGCTTGATCTTTTGTGATAGCATCGTAGTCCGATTGTTGCTGGAGATATCTTTCAGCCTCCAGGGAGCTTTCCATGGACTGATATAAATGCTTGCTCCCTGGGTATCAGCGGCAGGACCCCTGGCCCAATGAGTGGCTATGGCGCATGGATCCATATCTTGCGATGGATGATACAGGGGAAGAGCCGCTCATCTAGCTATGTATGTACGTACATACATAGGCCATGCAGGGGATTGGGGGCTGCTGAGCCCCCCGAGTCACATCACTATGCAGGCTACGATATATTTGTTTTATCACTGCGCAAACAATCCATACCTTACCATGCCCTTTAACCCATCCAACCTATAATCTTCCTAAAATAATAATAATACAGGCTCGAGAACGCTATCAGGCTTAATCAAATTCAGTTCCTTCAGAGCCGCCATCGGCCAAGACAGGAGCTTTATATATGATATGCCCTAAGCGCCAAGGCCTTAGTACGGAACTTAACCAAGATTGGAACTAAAATAAACTATTATTAACCTTGTTATATAAGCTCCGTCTTGAGATTACAGATAGAATCCTGTCTTTCTTCTTTCCAAAAATACCATAAATACATACCCCCTGCTATTAAATATATACCCTTATACCACGCTAAGCCTAATATAGTAATTAAATTAGTTATCTATATCATATAATCACAAATTCATTAAGGCTCTCTATGCTGTATATCTTGTTCAAGCGAAACTACTAGCTTACCTAAGTGTAACAAACAACACGTGATAGTTGCTTATTAATAGGGTGTATTTCACGACAGGGGTGTGTGTTATTATCCAATCCCAGCCAGAGAAGCCGAGAAGAAGATGTCTTTCGAGTCGACAGACAGAGGTGGAGGCATGGGAGATGGGCGGGAGGCCCGAGAGATACATCTCTTGCTCTGCAGCATATCCTGTCCCTGTCCGGCCCGTCAAGCCCTGCCACGCCAGATACATCGACGCATCTAAGCTGCAGAAGCATCAGCACTTCTTGCTTCTTGCAGCTTCCTGCCCTCTCCCCGATCGAACCAGCAGCCCAACTGTTGGCCTCTGATAGGCGGCACTTCACCAATCACATGTGCTGGCAGGGCCTAGCAGAGGCGAAAAGGCAAAGGCAAAGACAGGTCACTTTCCGCCGAGAAGCCCGTGAAAGAGGTACCCAAGGACAAGACACAATCCATGTAAAGTAAGCAGCAGATATCGTCAAGTTAAGTTACCCTTAGACGTAATAGCGACTGCTCGTGTATATGTGGAGGTACCTAATCCGCATGACGGACATTGCTGGCCGGCAGCGATCTTGCTCTGCTTCTCTCGCGGGTTCGACCTTGGGCACCGAGCTAGCAACCGTTTTGCTATTTCACTAGTCAACTAGTTATCGAAGACTTCCACGGCTGCTTCTGCCGTTGATGAAGACGTTTTTGGTGGTAGAAGTGGCAGCTGGTAGGGAAGTCGAGCATGGTCAGCAAGCAGTAAACATGGTAAACATAGTCGCTATCAGTACGCAAGCATAGCAGGACGCAAGATACTACTCAGCTGGTGTTATGAAGTAAGCAGCCGAAAGTAAGAGCCAGAGAAGCAAGGAGTAGTTACTAGAAGTAAGCAGTTGAATAAACAGGGCGTTGTGGCTGATCTTGTCACTCGTTGAAAGCTTGACCGTAAGACGCATCGTCGTCTTCTTCCTCTTCTTGTCTTCGTCTTTCGTCCTTCTTTAAATATCAACGTCGCTCCCCATTTCCAGCCAGCTTCTCCCCTTCACCACCACGACCAGCCCGCGGAAGATAGGCAGACGGCTGGAAGAACCCTCTCGCTACGCTCTCTTGTGCTCTCTCGCCAGCTGCTTGCCACAGTCCTTTGTCCCTGCTGCCGGCGTCTCGCTAGGATATCTATTCACTGCACCGCAATCTTGATATCCAACAGCTGCTAGTACCGTACGCCCTCTTCGTTCTCTCTCTCTTTCAGTCCTCTACGAGCAGGCAGACAGCCAGATAGTGTGTTCTAACCTCTATTACTTCTGTCAGTTGCTTTCTGTAGCTCAGACGGTCAAACAACTACTTCCGCTGGCTACTGTCCTGGACCTTGCTCCACGACCATCTATATCCCTCCCTGACGAAACGGCCTAACTCAGCTGGTTCTTTATTGAACCAGACTGAAAGGCTCAGCCGCTGTCTTCGACCTGGCAGACGAACCTCCTCCACATACACCTGTCTCAGCTGGACCCGGCCTCCCTGATCCCTTATCGAGCTCCCTGTGAGTTCCAAACCTGACCAAAAAAAAAGAGAAAACCATAACAGAAAAGAAAAAGAAAAAAGAAATAAATAAATAAAAAAGAAAAAGAAAAAGAGAATACTATTCTGTTCGTTCTGACCTGTTGCTAATCCCTAGGGATAGCAGCGTCCGAAGGACAGAATCTGTTCAGCATAGCCAACCTGCTCTGGGAAGTCCTGATCAAGCCTCCCAGCAACCTACGAATACGCTCTCTGAGGCCGGGCCACGCCGTAGCCGCCGACGTCGCCGTCAAGACCTAACTCCTGACCAGCCCGAGAGCTCCGAGTCGACATTGGTGAACACAGCCGGAGCTGCTGCTGAACATAGCACAGAGACTTCTGCAGCTGGACCTCAGACAGACAACGAATCCCCGCCTACCAAACGAAGAAGGTATACTGTCGACGGTATGAGACCAGACGGTGGACCTTCCCCTCCCAATTCGAACGGTTTTGCGTCTGTTTCAAACGGTGCCTCGAGCTCCTTACAAAAGCCGTTCCTTCCAAATTCGCCTGTTGGAAAACAGTCGCAAGTAGAGTATCAGGATGCCACCATGTCGAACGGATCCTGTGCTCTATCTCCTACGTACCGCGGCCACGACCGGGAGGAAGTGACGAGAATATTGATACAGAGTCTATACGAGCTGGGTTACCACCAGGCTGCTTCTACCTTGACCGCTGAGAGCAAATATGAGCTCGAGAGTCCCGGTGTTTCTGCTTTTAGGACTGCCATATTGGGCGGAGACTGGAGTGAGGCGGAGCGGATACTCTTGAGCTCCTTTTGTCCCGATGGGGATGCTGGGGAGGTAGATGGGGTAACCGGTAAACAGCTTGCCAAGCGAGATGGACTCGTGTTGGCCAGTGGTGCCAATGAGAACGAGATGCTGTTTTGTATAAGGCAGCAGAAGTTCCTCGAGCTGCTCGATCAACGGGACCTAACAACGGCTTTGGTCGTCCTACGCCAGGAACTCACACCATTAAACCATGATATAACACAACTCCACGCCCTTTCGAGGTACCGTTTCACTTCCAATGACAATTTGTCTGTATTGGGCATCTAGCTAACTGTCGTCTTTATTTTTAGTCTACTAATGTCTACGCCTGAGAACCTGCGCGCACGAGCTGGTTGGGGACGCACTGTTAGTGAGTCTAGGCAGAATCTCCTATCAGAGCTCACCAGTAAGTATACCTGAGGCTATCATCGTCTAGCTTTCACTTTTGTTAACCTTGAGTGCAGGGTCTATCTCTCCTTCAGTCATGATACCCGATCACCGTCTAGCAGTGCTTCTGGATCAAGTAAAACAAACCCAAATAAATAACTGTCTGTACCACAATACCGCAATGTCACCATCTCTGTACTCGGATCACTTGTGTGATAAAAGTGGTTTCCCTCTTCGGACGGCATTCGAGCTTAGCCACCACACCAACGAGGTTTGGTACCTGGAATTCTCCCACGATGGTACCAAGCTTGCCACGACGAGCCGTGACTGCACTGTGCTGATATATGACTCCACAACCTTTGAAATAATACATCGGTTGACCGAGCACACTGAGCCCGTTGCTTACGCTACGTGGAGCCCCGACGACACCAAGTTAATTACTTGTTCTCAAGACTTCAAGGCCAAAATGTGGAATGTTCAGGTATGTCAGCGCCGCCTCCACAATAGTGCCTTTTAACATACTTATCAAGAATAATTATAGACCGGTACTTGTCTTTTGACAATAGAGCATCACGAGGCACCAATCACGTCCGCTTCATGGGCACCAGACGGAGAGTCCTTCGTCACAGGTTCTCTCGACAGCAAGTCTCAGCTCTGCCACTGGAGTGTCCCTCAAAAAAAGATAATATATGCCTGGCGCGGCCAATACCGAGTCCGTGACTGTGCTATAACTCCTGACGGGAAACGGCTGATTGCCATTTCCCTGCAAAAGAGAATATACGTCTATAACTTTATAACCCGGGAAGAAGAATACAGCGTTCTCCTCAAACTCGATCTTACTTGTTTGAGTATTAGCGCTGATTCGCGGTATATGCTCGTTAACATGTCTGAAAACGAAGTACAGCTTCTTGATATTGAGACAGCAGAGGTTGTTAGACGATTTTTGGGTCAGAAACAAGGCAACTTCCTTATCCGTAGCGCTTTTGGCGGAGCTGCAGAGAATTTTGTTGTCAGTGGCAGTGAAGGTATGTCTTCCTCAACCTCTCTCTTAAACAGCCTAGCAATACCTAACATTCTTTACTCCTAGATGCAAAAATCTATATTTGGCATAAGGAGAACAGCCGACTTGTTGAGTCTCTCGAAGGCCACGTTTCTGGATGTGTCAATGCTGTCGCGTGGAACCCAGCCGATCCTGGAATGTTTGCATCCGCTGGAGATGACCGCAAAGTCAGAGTGTAAGTGTATCTTATCATGTTCATACATGCTCTATCCGTCGTTCAATCACTAATATAACATCTATAGGTGGATGAGGCAGCCTTGTCTGGGGACCTCCTCAGGTAACAAATCCAGGAGATCAATTCGAAGCAATCCATCTTCAAGCGCCGTCTCTCTAAAACCTTCTGGCTAGACGTGCCTTGGCCAAATCTCATACAAGCTACTACCGTTCAGTTCATCCTCACCAACACAGCCTTATTTTCCCCATCACCTTCGAACATCACCGATTGCACATACCCATTGCTCACGGAGTTCATTAGTTCCCGTTTATTATTCCCATTCATCCATTTTATACTTTCGCCGTACCATACCGCTAACAAGTATCAATTGCATTATCACGGGGTTATTATGCGTTCTGATCCTATTTTACGACACGACACACCCATTTCATTCGTTTATCCACTCTATATGTTTCTCTTTTTCCTTTTTCCTACCCAATCATCTATTCATTCAACAGGGTAAGAAATGGTTCGGTTCGGTTGGTAGTTGGTAGTTGGAGGTATCTCGAACGGCGGAGGTTGACAATGCAGCGATTTTTATTCCTTCTCTCATGGCATGGCACTCTCCCCTTTTTCTTGCCCATGTCACATCAGGTCTAGGAACCGGGACTTGTCCCCCATATATATCTTGCCTCTTCTCGGCTTTGCTTGTTGTCTCTTCCCTCCTTTTTGGCGTATTCTGCATAATACATTTCTTTCATTTCGTTCTTTTGCAGAGATCATTATGCTTTGATACTGGTTAATTCATATACCACCAATCACCCGACTCAACCTTCCATTACTTTTAAATTTATTGTTTTTTTTTTATTAAGTGAGCTATCCTGTGTTTATCTGTAGTATTTTAATGACATTTCAGTATGGGCGGTGGACTGGTCGAATTCGTGCGTGAAGCCGGCCAAACCCGCCCATAATAAAGCCACTGTTATAGCGCAACCAGTCATAGATATGCCGTGGAATTGGTCGAAGAGCAGTAATTAACATGATCGAATAGTTAATATTTTGCCTTGGTTATGGGCAAAGGAACACCTTTCATCGAATGCACATTGAACAATATCCCTGATAGAAAGAAGGCTGACACACTAGCAGACACCAAGGTGGGAGGCTCAAGTACACAATACAGCAGACCAATGCTTTCGGTGCGCCAGACAGAAGAAATGATGTTTAAAAAAAGTGAACAATTCTGAATACCAATCAAGAGGAGCTGAACGTTAGTTGAATGTAGTTCAAGTAGTTATTTGGTGACTGTAAGCGGCAACGTACTTGTGTGAATAATATCCCCTGTTCCTCCACGCGTGCTCTTTCGAGACATATCCCTTTTAAAGCCAGGAGACGAATTGCTCCACGTTGGCACTGTTCCACGGATAATGCAGGTAGTGCACGAAAGGCATACTACGTATGTTGGCCGAAAGTTTTGTTCGTCTTCAATGCTCCAGGCATACTCCAACTCTTATCCAGCAAGTATATTAATTTTAGGACAGTGTGCCGGGAGTAAACTAAGCAAGAAGATCCGCAACTATTCGAACAGGTTAGCACATAAATCATAAGTAAGGTTGTCGTTTGAAGTTGAGGGTTACGTACCATTCATAGGCATTTCATCAATCTGAGTTGAGTAATAGAGTTCGATATCTCTTAGAATTCGAACGTCCTCACTAGTCACAAAGTTGATGGCCACACCCTTGCGACCGAATCTACCACTTCGACCAATTCTGTGAATATAGTTTTCACGATTGCTTGGTAGATCGTAGTTGATGACAAGCGAGACTTGCTGAACATCGATACCACGAGCCCAAACGTCAGTAGAGATCAGAACACGAGAGTTGCCCTGTCTGAAATCCTGCATAATACTGTCTCGCTCCTTTTGAGGCATTTCACCATGCATACTGGACACTGTGAAATTGGCTTCTCTCATCTTATCGGTCAACCAGTCAACTTTGCGCCTTGTGTTACAGAAAATAACTGCTTGAGTAATGGTCAGGGTATCATAAAGGTCACAGAGAGTGTCGAATTTCCATTCTTCCTTCTCCACGGCAATAAAGTATTGCTTAAGGCCTTCAAGAGTCAACTCATCACGCTTGACAAGAATGCGTACTGGATCTGTCATAAACTTGGTAGTCATGTCAAGAACGTCGTAGGGTAGAGTGGCAGAAACGACGACGACTTGGGTGGCTGGAGGCAGGTAGCGGTATACATCATAGATTTGCTCTCGGAAGCCGCGGTTGAGCAATTCATCAGCTTCGTCAAGAACAAGCATCTTGATGTTACGAGTACGTAGATGTCGGCGTCGGATCATGTCAGCAACTCGACCTGGTGTTCCGGAGACAACATGTTGACCGTGTTCTAGTTTCCGAATATCTTCACCAACATTTGTACCACCAATGCACGCATGGCACTGCACATTCATGTAATCTCCTAGAGCCATGACAACGGATTGGATCTGGGTTGCAAGTTCTCGAGTGGGTGAAAGGACAAGGGCTTGTTGCGCTCAGTCAGCTCATGGGATTAACTCCCTCCCACATGGACACAACGAAACGTACCCTGTGATTCGCGAAGAACAGTATCTATAACTTGGAGAATACTGATGGAGAAAGTAGCTGTTTTTCCTGTTCCAGACTGTGCTTGGGCAATGGTATCCCGCCCTTTGCAAATCTGAACGATCGCGCGAGACTGAACAGCTGAAGGTGATTCGTATCCGTACGCATATATGCCGCGCAAAAGGTTCTCCTTCAAATGCATATCATCGAAAGTTGGCGCAACAGTGACCTCTTTCGAGGTCGAGAACTCCATCCGCTCTGCAGTGCTCTCTAGTTAGCTGCGCATTTCAAGGTAAAGCTCGAAACAGTAACCTACCATCCGCCTGCCTGTCAATACCTTCCGCCATTTTGACTGACTTAATAGCGTAAAACTCCTTTGAATATATCCGTCAGGTGGATTTAAACGGAAACACGACTTAACTGGAACTATTTTATGAATGCGACGACGCGAAGAAGTTGAACTTGAGTTCTTTCTTTTTGCTAGGAAGATTTTAAGTGGTCACGTGAAGCAGTCAAGCTTAAAGCTCGAAAAGCCGAAATTTGTGATAGACAAGTCAGTTAACAAGTGAAGAACAGAAGAATAGTCTACGGAACGCGACAAGATAACGATTCTCATATCCATAAGAGATTTTGATTATTGCACTGTCCTAGTTAAACGCCGACATGCTATTAGAAGATCAAAGGTTCATCCACGAGGACCTAGAGAGGCTTGAGCAGGGAATCAGTGACCGCGTTGCTGAAGAACCTCGCAATGTGAGTATCATACGGGTTAGCTGATACAAAGCTATGTTGGCTAACCATAGAGATGACTAAAAATAGATTCGAGAGCGGCTTGTTCGTGACCATCAAGTTGCCGGTTTTCTCAATCGCATTCAGGAGCAGTCTCAACGGCTGCTAGACATCTACCAAGATGCAAACGGGCTTCGCGCTAAAGAGATCCAGTCCCTGACCGTCGGTGACCCGATGGACGAGTTCTATAAGCACTTGGAAGAGATAAAGGATTTCCACCGCCGATACCCAAATGAACCCGTGGAAAACCTCGAAAAGGCATATCGGCAAGGCTCTGGAGAGAATGATGCTGCTCTACAGGAGATAGAGAACATGTTCACTGGAGAGGAATCACTGGGCCAGTTCTTTGATCTCACTAAACTTCATGAACTATATCTCAACCTGCCGGGAGTGAAACGATTGACCTATCTACAGTACTTGGATTTATTTGACACATTTACTCAACCGGAACTGCCTGTAAAACGGGCCAACAAGCTCACAGACCAGTACTTCAACTATGTCGGCGAACTTGCTGCTTATCTGGAGGGTTTTATCAAGCGGTCTAACCCACTAGAGCCTCTTGATGAACTTTTCGCAAGCTTTGATTCTGAGTTTGCGGAGCTTTGGGACGCAAAGAAGTTGCCTGGCTGGACCGAGGAATCACAATCTAAGAACGGCACCGGCCCAAAGACAGAGGGTACGGGTGAAGGAATATGGTGTGCCGATTGCGAGAAGGAGTTTACAAACGAGAATGTGTATAAGAATCATTTAAAGGGCAAGAAGCATATCCGAGCTGCCGAAGCGAAGAAAGCGAGTGGCGACACTGAGATGCAGCAACCCCAGGCCGAAAAATCCAACGATGCCTTGGTCCGTGGACTGAAAGAGCGTGCTGTTGCAGAGCGTGAACACCGCATATCATCCCTAGCAAACGCTCTCAAGGAAGAACGGCAGGCTACTCGTGTTAATGTTGAGAGGAAGCAAGGCATGACGGAGCGAGAACGCCAAATGGAGCTTGACGCACTTTTCGCTGATACTGGCGACAAGGGCCCAGGACAGCGCAGAGACTCAGACTCTGAGAGTGACAGCGATGAAAAGGTCTACAATCCACTGAAACTGCCGCTAGCCTGGGATGGGAAGCCTATCCCCTACTGGCTCTACAAACTTCATGGACTTGGAGTGGAATTTTCTTGTGAGATATGCGGCAATTTCGTTTACATGGGCCGTCGTGCTTTTGATAAGCACTTTTCGGAAGCTCGACACATATACGGCCTAAGATGTCTTGGTATTACCCAACAGACAAGTTTGTTCAGAGAAATCACCAAGATTGATGAAGCCTTACGGCTATGGGAGACCCTTGAAAAGGAACGAAAACATGAAAAGGATATCAAAGAGAATGTTGTTCAGATGGAAGATGCAGAAGGCAATGTTATGCCTGAACGTATCTACCTTGAGTATGTGGCCCTAGCTATATACATATCGCCCCCCTTCCCTTTCCCCCGGCTGGGGCTCTTGTTTTTTTTTTTTCTTTTCACGTCACTAACTATGAATGAATAGTTTGCAAAAACAGGGAATTTTGTGAGCGGACACATATGTTACGGTCACCGTGTCTCTTGACTATCAAATACAAAGAGCATGACACCCCGATTCCGCCCAGTGTTCTTCCAGGAGGTCTCTTTACCCCAACGGCCAATGACATAATGGCAACGCCCTACCGGGCATTACCAACAGCAATACTCGCTATAAAAATACGAATCAAATGGCCGTACAAAGGCCATTCAAAGATTCAACGGAACTGATGATGCGTAGGTAGAAGTGGAACTAGATAAAGTGGTACTTGGGTTACTAACAAATGCAGATAATATTAGGCTACGATTTCTTTTTGTCATTCTTGCTTCGCTGAATTGACCCTGGCTGTGGAATACGACCACCACTACAATCATCGGTTGAATGGCCAAAGAATTTTGAATCCATTTCAGCAGTCAGTAGCTTCCAAGCTCCTAGTATATTATGTGCTTATACTCAATTTGATCGTAAATTTCCATGTTGACCCGAGAAAAGAGTTTTGAAATCAAAACATTCACACAGCGCAATTACTAGTAGTCAGGAGGAGGCCGAGCAACGCCGGCGCCTCTCTCCATATTCACATCCCGTTCACTATGCGGAAGGTCTTCCTTGTTCCTCGTGGTATGACCAATATCTCCCCTATGCAGGTCTTCTCCATGCATATCTCCTCCATGATGCATGTCTCCCCCGTGCATTCCTCCTTGGTGCAACTCGCTTTGCCCTTCCTTGCCCCTCATAGTGTTACCATATTCTCCTGTATGCATTTCCCTTTGTCCTTCTCTAACAATATGTTCATTCTTTGCAACGCCCTCTGGGTTGTTCATTTTCCGGTCAACAAATGCACCGGTGGACCCACGGATTCTTTCGCCCAATCCCTATATTACCATATATCAGTCTTCATACGATACAGTTCTCAAGTAATGCCTAACTCACATGGACATTTGCAGCAGCAGACTTTAATCCATGACCTGTTTCATGACCTGCTCCCTCTGCGGCGCCAGCACCGGCTCGCACAGGGTGATGAGTAGCTCCAACTCCAGCAGTGCCAGTTCTATGAGCCTCATCTGGATCTCTGGCGCCACCTGAGAATCCTCTAGACGTTTCAGAAGACATTATCAATGTGATTTATTTTGTGTAATAAGGTAATTCAAAAATATAGAATTGTAGTATCAAAGATGTTATCTAGAAATAATGCCGTGAGGTTTTTTGGGCTTTTTTATATTGGATATTCGAGCTATCAGCTAAATACTATGACGTCACAAAGTCCAGTTTCAAGTTTTATCAAGGACGAGCATTCTGCCTCTATCGAGTAGATGAGCTGCCTGTATATTTGCCATTCGGCCGCTTCCTTGCTATACTGACGTCTGCTTGCGTCACTTTGGTGCTTTTCGCTCGTGTAAGTAGTGGTGGGATCACCATAATAATGACGTTGGGGCGTGGACGCAGGTGTATCACGTGTTTTGGCGCGCTTCACGTGTTTTTGGCGCCGCTTCCATTGCGGAACTTGCGCTTAAGTCAACGTCTTCGCGATTTCATCAGCCGACTGGTAAAGGAGGCCACCATCAGGGTCGGCGCGTATAGATACCTACGGTCGCATCTCGATTCTATATTAATTCTCAGTTGAACTATATATACCCAATATACAAGCTATCCAGCCATTAGTGCCTACAACGTTTACGCGTATAGCGACCAGACAGTTGCCTGCATCATGCTCAATCCAAAGGTCGCGCTATTGGATCGGACATGGGGTTTAACTTTTCTTATATCTGCGACTTGCTTTCGAGCTTGGATGCAAACCGAACCATAAAAGCCACGACTACAGTGAGAAGCAGGGACCCTGACGTTGCAACCGTTGTAAACTGGTTCCATGCACACGGGAAGAAAATTCATGGAGGCGATACTGATTACGTAGCTTTCCTCTCATGCCTCTTCCCTGAATTACGGCCTGACCGAGTTCATGGCTTCAAAGAGCCGTCCCTTGTACAAATTATAGGGCGATGCTTGCTCCTTGGAGCAACTCGATGGCGGGAGTTGGAGGCCTGGAAGACTCCAGGACGCGGTGACCTTGGCGAATGCGTTGAAAGAGTCATGTGTGATGCGGAGAATGAGCTTTTTAAGGACTCTCCCGTGACTGTTGAGGAGATAGATGCCGCGTTGAATACAATAGCTTCTAGATGCCGTTTCTCCGCTCCGGATGTGCGCCGTCAACGCACCGCCATTCAGGTAGACGAGGCGTTAAAACCAATTTTTCGCCGCTTAAATAGCCGTGATGCAAAATGGTTTACTAGACTACTGCTCAGAGAGTACACGCCTGTTAATATCCCACAACGGTTGGCCCTGCGAAAATTTCATTTCATGCTTCCAGCGTTCCTTTCGGTACAAAGCAGCCTAAAGGGGGCCCTGGATGCAATGGACCGTGGACCAGTCAAAAGATTCCCGCCCTGCCCTGACCCTGAATATGCTCGGACTCTTATGGAACTCGCTATTCCCCACCTTGCTCCCCAGATTGGCGTCAAAGTTGGGCGGCCAGAATATTACAAGGCCCGAAACCTCAGACATTGCTGTAGAATGGCCGACAAGCGATTAATGAGCATTGAACGAAAATATGACGGGGAGTATTGCCAAGTACATATTGACCTGGAAAGGGGGGTCCAGTGTATCCAAATATTTTCGAAAAGTGGCAAAGACTCCACGGTGGATAGAAAAAACATTCATGGTGCTATTAGAGACGCGCTGAGGATCCGAAAGCCTGGCTGTCGATTTTCCAAAAGATGCATACTAGAAGGTGAACTCCTGGTCTGGAGTGATATTACAGATGAAATCCTCCCGTTTCATCACCTGCGAAGGCACATTATGAGAGCAGGGACTTTTATCGGCACTGAAAATGACTCTCCGTGCGTATATCATTACTGCATTGCCCATGGTTCGTTACTAATACGTTTGTAGGCCGGATCCTCGGGAACATCTATATATTGTATTTTTCGATTTATTACTTCTAGATGATAATGTTGCATTATCAAAACCCTATGTGGAACGAAGGGCGCTTCTTAGAGAGGTGGTTAATCCGATCCATGGAATGGCTGGAATTGCATCGCAGTTTAATATAGATTTCTCTACCATCGGCGCATATGAACATTTAAAAGAAGAGTTCGCTCTCGTCTCAGCCCAGAAATGGGAAGGGCTTGTTTTGAAGGGAGCGAATGAGCCATATTTCCGAACGTTTTCTCAGGATACCCGTGAATTTTCCTGCTGCTGGATGAAATTCAAAAAAGAGTCTATCCCGGGCCTAGGAGATACAGCAGACTTTGTTCTCCTTGGGGGAAGATATGACTCTCGAGATGCCGCTGCCCTTGGTCATATTAAAGGATTATCATGGACATCCTTCTTTATTGGCTGTCTGGATGATGTTGTCGGCTCACTTTCACCAAAACCAATATTTCGTGTTATTGATATCCTAAACAAACAGAACATCAACGCTAACCTATTCCAAACTCTTAATCAACTGGGGAAGTTCCAAGCGTGCCATGCTGATTCTGATGATGTTCCCTTTTCCCTGGGAATTGATCAAGTCAGATTACCGGAGATCCAGACCGTGTTTAGAGTGCCATTTGTTGTCGAGATGACTGGCTTCGGATTTGATAAACCCCAGGGTGTTAGATATTATTCTCTTCGATTTCCTCGAATCGTGAAAATTCACTCAGATAGGGAGTACGAGGCAGCGGTGTCCTTCAGAGACTTACAAGAACTGGCACGAATTGCTAATTCCGTTCCAGTCGAAGAGCTATCACAAGAGGCTGCCGAGTGGGCTGAAAAAATCGACCCGACTGACAAGAAACCCCAGTATATTGTGGACCATTCCGAAAACTCCGCTACTACCGGGATAACACCAAGTGCTGCCAACTTATCGCAGCCTTTGCTAACTGAGAACAACCCGGTTGATCCACAAGGATTCAATCAAGCGGCCGCAGTTGTATCACCTTCTCCTACATCTGGGAACGAACTGAGCTTCCGAACTCAAAGCGGACATTTATCTAGTACTTTTGACGAAATTCAACAAAGGTCCAATGCGATGGTGTCAAGCCCAGTTCGTATCCTCCCAGATGCTACGGAGACATTTCGTGAACCTCGACATTGCAAGGGATTACCTAGTCAGTACTTAGGTGATATATCCAACCCAAGTGAAGATAAATGCATAGCTCCCCTAAGAGTTAAAACCTATCATAACGACTCGCAACCTGTCACTGGAACTTCTTCTCACCAGAATACACTGCCCGATGCTAGATTCCTGTCAGATCAACTGCCCATGGATCCAGCCTTTCAGCGAGCCCTTTCCTTCCAGTCGTACCATACCCACAACAGCAATGAGAAGTTATCCTTGGAGTCCTCATTGACTAGATCTTCATCAGATATATCTAGTCACGGAAACAGGTCGAATGCAATGAAAGGCTCCCCGCTCTTAAAGTTTCCCGTTTTCCTGGGATCATCTCTATCAGATACAACTATCAGCCTACTTCGTCGCTACATACCATCGTGTAGATCGTCAATTGCGCCTTCTTCTATCCCTCGCTGGCTAACCTCGCTGGTCTCTTCACAGAGTGCCCCTATTATGCCATCGCTATATGGTATCGTACTTGTGGATTCTAACACTCGTCACTCGTCCAAGGTCGCCGCTGAGCTAAGACAAGTTGGAAGAGCTCTCGCCTCATTGCAACAACAGAACAAGCTACCAAATACTGGCAAAATCATATTTATGCATTGGAAAGTTGTTGGGCAAGAGTTCAATGCAGCAAAGGCAGGTGAAAATTTGGGTGAGCGGTGGCAGAGATTTGGCAAAGAAGTTGTAGACGTATGCATTAAATGGGGGTATGAGGAAGCTCCTGAATGCAAAGGTCGAGAGAACCAAAGGCTGCCTAGTTGCCCTCTCGGGTCACAAAATGGGAAGCTGCCTCAAAATATATGCTGCCGGCGTGATTGGACCGAGATTCTACCTCTATTATAGCCGCACCCTACACAGGTTGGCGCTATTTTCTAATGTCCCATTTCCCTGGCGTTGTAGGGCCATAGGATTTCGTTAATATAGATGTTGCCATTTAATTTCAACTATGTATACTATTATAATATGGGATACTCTTCTGATTTTACTCCATCAATGCCTCGCTTTGAATCATTCGTATCATTCGTAACGCCTATACATGCATCTCAGCTTAAGCCTGCTGCGTTCACTCAAAAGGATCAATATCCCAGATACTCTAGGAAGTCTGGGAGGGAGTATAAGAAATCTATTGTGCATCGAGGATTGCCCTTCTCGATTTGATATCCCTCATCAACGCCTGCGCCTCCTCAACTTCAACTCCATGTTGACGTAACTCACTGGCCATTTGGCCAGACCGATCGAGGTTATTGTGCTTGTAATAGTATCTCGCAAGCCATAAACGAGCCTTAGAGGTAGTTGCTGTCACCCCTGTACCTCCTATCTCAGTGTACTGATCAGTCACTGAGGAGGCATGCCCTCCATAATCGTCTTTTTCCTCAGGTTCGTAATCGGAATCGTCCTCCAGTAATATTACCTCCTGTCGCAGTGTAAGCTCCATATATGCACGCGCTTCGTCCATCTCCCCTAACTTTTCATGTAGAGTTGCAATCTGATAAAGTGTCTCAGGATCAAGTACTTTTGGGGGATTTCCAGCTCCTTTCGAATTGAAACCGCCAGCGCCCCCTGCGGCGGAAAATGAGTTGAGACCCATCCCTCCACCATCAGAGTAAGACCCTGCAGCCAGAGCACGTTTAAGTGCCCGGATACCTTGTTCGAGGCGGCCCATTTTGGAATAGCAGGATCCGACAGCCTGCCACATCTTCGGATCGTATGGCCGTAGGGCCGCGGCACGCTGGTAATAGAAAAGCGCATAGAAAGACATATCCAGTACTTCATAAGCTTGACCGAGACCATACCATGCGCGGTAGTCCTTGCGGTTGACGTCCACAGCTCGTCGGTAAGACTCAATTGCAGCATGTGTATTTTTCATTTCAATGTATTCATGGCCCATGAGAGTCCATGCTGATAAAAAGTTCCTGTCTAATGTTAGCGCGCGTCGAAAATACATCACTGCTTTCTCGTGTTCTGATTTTAAAGAATAATAGTTGCCCACAACACAGCAGGTCTCTGGGCGAAATTTGTCTGTTGCTGTTGCTAGCTGGGCAATGAATGCAAGCTGTGGACGGGCACCCATGACATATAAGATGTTTGAATAATGATCTAGGCAATCTAGACGGTGAGGAGAATTAATTAATAGTTCGGAGAACAGGTGGGAAGCTTCTTCAAAATCTAAAAGTTAAAGGTTAATAGGCTGCTTCCACTGCGGTTGCACTTGAGTAACATACCTTTTGAGTGATAATAGAGCAATGCTCGTTGGGTCTTCAAGAATGAACTTGACGGAAAGACGCTTTCAAGCTCGGAAAGGATCTGGTGTGTATGATCTGTTGCTTGATAGAGTTCTTGGCTGGAATATAGATGGAACACTAGAGTCATAATGTTTTGGGGTAATTCGTCCACTACTCTTTTGAGCTGCATATGAGATACAGTTAGCAACCGCGCTCGGGCTTTGTAAAGTACTTTTCAGGGAACATACGTCATCTGTACTGGCTAACAGGTCGTTTAACTCCTGCCATGCACCCCAGTGAAATGGGTAAAGATGTACACTCCGTATCAACCATTTCTTTGCCTCTTCCTCGTTTTTCGCTTTCAAAAGCACAACTCCATAGAGATATTCGAGCCATCCCTGCCCTGTATTTTCAAGGCCCTTTTCTTGCCGGTCAGAAAACCAGCCCTCGAGTCCTTGAGCAAGTCCTGGCAGTTCCTTATTCACGGTCATACCCCCATCCGCTGGCCCAAGCACCATTTCCGTCTCCTCGTCTTTTCTTTTCTCACCAGCTAAATACTTCGCATATAGTGCGAGAAATAAGGATTTCTGACTTAGAACTGGAAAGGGATTTTGCGATGAGGAGGAGCTGCTGTTCTTTTTACTGCCAAATAATGTCGTCGGTTCTTTGCCCTTTTGCGAATGTAGAGGTGTCTTAGATTTAGATGTTGATGGAGCCCGCGGAGCTAGTGGAATTGAGGACATAGACGGGGGAAGGAAAACGGCAGCACAACGGTCATATTCCCGAGTATCAAAGTAGGATTTTGCGAGAATGTACTTGTAAGCTTCTTTTGCTTCCAAAGCAGCTTCTTCCGGGTCTTGAGGTCCAAGGAACGGATTGGTTGGTAGGGCAGGCGAAACATCCATAGGCGAATTCGGTTCTGTATCTGCACCTTCATCCTCGTCTATCGGAATCAACGAGTCTAGCATTTCTGCCGCCCTATATAGGGTATCAGTCCTTTGCTATACAGAAACAGCCGCGGGTATTGCACAAGCTTATATTCAGTACCATACCATTTTGCAGAGTGGTATAGGCATCGCTCAGAGCACTTGATCGCAGCATCTTCCAGCCGGTGTCTCAGCTCCCTGACATTATCCGCACTGAAATTCATTATCGCGTCTGTATGGTGGATGATGATGCGAGATGTTATATGAGCATGGCGTTATGATCAGCTAGTTAGTTAACAGACGAGAAGAGCTCGGATTTTAAAACCGCCTGCAGCATAACAGCGTCACTAGTTATCAGCACAGGTTCACGTATCAGAAAGCCTCAATAAATAGCGGTCGTACCTTAACAAAAATAGCTGTTGAAGTCGTTCGTGTTTATTCTATTTACATCGCTTCTGCGGTCAAACCGAGCATCGCGGCTGTTTGGAGCTTTGACAGATGCAAACAGCGCAAACATGGTGGGCTGCGACCCTGAACTTCAACTTTGGCGTTAAGAAACAAAAACCTGGTTGCGAGACTCGTTGCTGCTGCTTTCTATACCATTGAGCACTGCGTCCGGCGTTCTTCGCGTAGCATCCTATTCTATTCCTTTTGGCTGACCGAGGACGATACCTTTTGTCTCGTTCACCATGGCTTCCAGCACCAGTCGCGAGGACTTCAACAAAGTCTTCCCCGCACTCGTACAGGATATCAGCGAACACTCGAAGCAATACAACATCCCAGCACCGGCTTTGGAATGGCTTCAAAAGGTCAGCCTTGTCTGAAATGGCTCATTCCTTGCGGTGGCTAACATGCGCAATAGAACCTGAACGAAAATACGCCAGGGGGGAAACTAAACCGTGGTCTCTCGGTCCCTGACACTGCCCTTGCGCTCCTCGAGAAGCCCCTGAGCGAGGAACAGTTCAAGCACCTTGGCCTCCTCGGATGGATGACTGAGCTTCTGCAAGCCTTCTTCCTCGTCTCGGACGATATAATGGACAGCTCGATTACTCGCCGTGGAGAGCCATGTTGGTACCGTCGCCAGGGAGTCGGGATGATTGCAATCAACGATGCTTTCATGCTTGAGTCCTCAATCTATGTTCTTCTCAAGAAGCACTTCCGCTCCCACCCTGCATACATCGATCTTGTCGAGCTCTTCCACGAGACCACCTTCCAAACCGAACTCGGCCAGCTGTGTGATCTCATCACTGCACCAGAAGATAACGTGGACCTGGACAATTTTAGCATGGACAAGTTCAACTTCATTGTCATCTACAAGACTGCTTACTACAGCTTTTACCTTCCTGTTGCCCTTGCCCTGCACTACCTGCAACTTGCGACGCCCAAGAACCTTCGCCAGGCCCACGACATCCTCATCCCATTGGGTCAATATTTCCAGGCTCAGGATGACTATCTTGACGTGTTCGGAAAGCCAGAGCAAATTGGAAAGATTGGAACCGATATTCAGGACAACAAGTGCTCGTGGGTGGTTAACCAGGCCCTGCGCCGCTGCAATCCTGCACAGCGCAAGGTTCTCGACGAGTGCTACGGCAGAAAAGATGCAGCTATGGAAGCCAAGGTCAAGGCTGTTTTCGACGAGATGAATCTCCAGAAGGTCTACCATGACTTTGAGGAAGAACAAGTTTCGAAGTTGAAGAGCATGATTCAGTCCATTGATACCTCCGAGGGACTCAAGGGCAGCGTCTTTGAAATCTTCCTGGCAAAAATCTACAAGCGTGACAAGTAGATATGGTCTACCTAATAATCAAGAAAAGCTCCTATGTTCACCAATGGTAAACTAAACCTTGTTGATCAATCATCCTTGCCCTTTTCTAATGTAAATACCGCCGCACTGACTGCCTGCTATGAAGCTCAAGAGGAAAGCATAAACCTAAGAAACCTAGAAACCTAGAAATCTAGCACTAAGAATGCAAACAAATGTAATAGTTAATGAATACAGTCTCATCATACAACCTAGTCCCCCTTCCATTTCATCTTGAAGGGTACACAGAAAGTTTAGTGTCATTGGAGAATTAATGAGTATAATCAAGTTATATATATTGTTTAGAGAAGTGATGTGGAAAGATGTAAAAGTACAGAGCATGGCACAGGTCATTGAATTAGTCATTAGGTCCGCTTACCTGTGCGCAGGTGACAATATCAAATAATAAATCAAATAGACAAAGGAGCAATATATTTAATAGCCAAATAAAGCTATTCACATCCGCGAGAATCCGATTCCTCCATCACTCACCCCTCAAAACTTTCTTCGGCAAACTATGTATCAAACTAACATTAACATCGCCACCGTCATTTGAAGCATTCAGTTATCAGACAGCCTCGACTTTGTTTCCAGTTTCAGCTCCAGTTCCATTCCCATTCGGAGCTGGACCCATCTTGAGGGAAATGGATTGCCTTTTAGGCCTAATAGGAACTGGGATCGAATCTTCTTCCTCGTCATCGCTGCCAGCCCTATGCGGGATGTTAGTGTTTGATTAATTGATATTGATTAGCATTACTTACGGAGGTTTGTAGGATATATAGTCCTCGGTATCTAGCCCTTCATGGCCTTCTTGGATGGAAGCAAAGTCTCCTGGAGTCATGGTACCGGTTCGATCCCGAGGGGAGCCTGGAACAGATAATGGACGAGATATTTTTTGCTCCGTATGGCCAATGGCCTCGTGGAAATCGTCGGCCGCATCAAAGGAAGAAGGATACGCTATGGGGAGTATATTAGAGAGGAATCGGTTACAGTAAAGAAGAAATAAAGATACGTACCACGTCTGAGAGCAAGCTGGCGGGCCTTGACGTACTCCAAACCCATACGTTTCCAGTCCAGCAGATCACTCAATCGTTCCGTTCTGTTCCTTTGATTGATTCGCTGCCTTCGGCTCTTCTGGCAAAAGTCGAACATATAGGTCGTAAGCTGGTTTACCGAATCATCAACACCTTTTAATCGTCGATCAACCACATATATACCATAATCGGCTGAGTTCTCGATCAGCTCTTCCATATAACATCCGAAACCAGCTAGGTTAGTTGTTATACTTGGGATGCCCATAACTGTGCATTCGGCGGGAGTATAGCCCCATGGCTCATAGTAGGAAGGGAAAACACCAAGGTTGGTACCCCTGACAAAGTCATCGTAGTCCAAGGGCAACACAGGGTTCGCAGAATTAAGAAATTCTGGGTGGAATACCACCTTGACACGATCAGTAGGGTAGTTGAAGAGTTGTACTCGGCGAAGTTGGTTGAGGATGGGGTCTTCGGAGTCATTGACCATGTTATGAGTGACGATTGGAGGGAGGTTATGTCGTTTCATGGCAAATAATCGTCGACGTATAAGCACACGGTCCTGATTTGTCATGAGGTCCTTCTCATCGGGCATATTATCACCTTCTTTCCAGCCGAGACAGCGTTCGAATAGTCGTTTTCCGATACTCTTTTCCACGCTTTCCAGGGTATCTCGTAGCGATTTGACCACAGCTTGCCCCTTAAGAGCCTCGACGGTGAGAGAGGAAGTCTGGGAAGGCATAATTATAAAGGCCACCACGGTAGTCTTGGATCCAGATACCTTTAACCGATGATTGAGTCTCGCGAGCGACTCAATAAACATATCAACACCCTTATTCCGGTATTCATATCGTCCAGAAGTAAAGAAATATAGTGTGTTTTCCAGGTCGAAGTCATTGTGACCATAGAAATGGCCACGTACAAAGTCGTTGATTTTATCCTTTGAATGAGAGTGCAAGTTTTGGAACTCATGGACTGCCGAGAATTTCTTAACGTTCAATCCATTAGGCAAGACACCGTCCGGCTTTCTTTTGAGTAAATGCTCACTCTCATACGCCGTAATGTGGGAGACTGTGGTGAAGACGTCGGCAGAGTGGGCTGCAGCTCGCTCGATGCAGTAGCGGTGGTAGATTCCTCTCTTCCCGGCCTCTGCATCCACATCGAAGTTCTTCAAGTTGTTGTAAAAGTCAACTGAGCCAGCACAAAGGTATCTTCCAAGAAGAGTTGCATGGGTAGTGAAAATAGTCGTCAAGTCCATCCGCCGCTTCTTGGTTAGAGGCAAGGCAACTCCTGCGAGCCACTCATGGAAATGAGCTATAACAGCCCTCCCGGTGTCTCGGCATATATACTGCCAAAAAAAAAAAACCAGCTGTTAGTTTTGATTTCTTAGGCTGTGTGCATGAGTACTGACCTCTCCTAAGAACCATGCAACAAGGTAGCCGAATGTAATTGCCTCGTTGGTCTCTGAATCAGCCGATGGTGATGGGATCCCAGCTGCATTCCAAAGATCGCCCTTCCACTCGTCGAGGTACTTATATCCCGCACCAGTGTCAATCAACAGGACACGGGGAGCACCCTCTATCAGCCATCGACCGTATACGATCTCTATGCCGCGCTCGGTCATGGCTTCAATTGCCCCGATCAAATGAGGGTTGGTTGGCGTGAGGGCTTCCACCTCGACCACCGCCTGAAATTGAACATACATCAGCACCCATCCGGCCATCTTGAGTAGAAACAGACTGGCGACTTACCGAAGCCCGGTTCAAGGGCCCTATTAGCGTATATCGCTCGCCATACTCTGCGGTTGTCACAGCGGCCTTGGACTTGAGTACCGAGTAGATCCCGCCAACTGTAACATCAGGGTTAACGTCCGCACAACGAAAACAGCAGCAACAAACAAGACGGTGAGGAAAGGGAGGACCAACCTCGATTAGCAACCTCCGTCGCAACCTCGAACAAGACGTGGTTCTTCACGTCTCTCTTCGGCTGGTCTGCAGCATCCCGGCGAGGAGGAGACGCCATGACGTAGGTAAACAGCCCAAGTCCCACAACAGCAAATCGCAGAAATGAGACGAAAAGCGAGCGCGAGGTCGAGCCGGCGAAGAAACAAAAGGTGATACGAGACGGCAGGCCGGTAGATTAAATAGTAGACTTCATTCAACAGCGAGCAGCTGGACTTGGAGGTGGCGCAATATTTGTTTATTTCTCGCAGAGCGAAGTTGGCAGCTTTGTTGCGATGGGCGGCACCAAGGAACGGCCAGACAAGCTTGGAGAGGGCGGGCCTGGGGTAGTTAGCTCGCGAGACGAAGCAAGACGTAGCAGGGGAGGACGGCAGCGAGTTCTTCTCTTCAGACGTTCTCCTTTGCGGGAGTTGTTAGTTGTCTTCCTTCTGGCCGGCTGTTGAGATGCTGTCGGTTTGAGCTTTTGGCCGGGCGAAGCGGCGGGAGAGGAGGACGAGAAGGCCAACCTCCGCGGCAGCCCAGCAAACATCCTTGTACGCGCCTAAGGAGGTACATGCCAATTGCTGGAACCTGGCACAGAGATAACAGGCGCAAGCGCTATTTGATCCAAGAGTACAGGCTGGTCGGACGGGGTTGGCCAGGTCAGATTAAAAAGACGTATGCCCTATCTCGAGCTGCAGCAAGGGAAACAAAGCTTGCTGGCTTCTATCCCAGATGCTGCTCTCTCTCTCTCTAGTTCAAGCAGAAAAAAGAAAAATACCGAAGAAACAGCAGTGGAAGAGAAGAAGAAGAAAAAAAGAAAAAGAAAAAGAGTAGATAAATACACACATTCCTCAACGCCCGGACACCGTAACTAGCTGAGCTTCCACCAGAAACAATATATCATACATTACTGGCTGAACACGCTGCTGCCAGGAGAGGACATCCGGCTTCTCTCAAACAACCATTTCTGTGTCATGACAGGGGACGTGGCCTTGCCAAACGGCGTAGGCGTCGAGGGAGCTCGCAGTGAGCTCCCGTCTCGTGCTCCGATGCTAGACCGTCCCAGGGGCGATGGCGAGCCAAAGCTGTTTCTACGGCGGCTATCCCGGCCACCGGACCGAACTCCCTTCTGGAAGAGCGGGCTGCCGGAGGGATTGAACGGCGGACTGTCGGAGAAACTTCTCGTTGGTGAGTCTTCAGCTCCGGAGAAGGAGAAAGGTGAATTGCCCCATGATCCTGAGCTTCTCCTACGGGAACTTGACGATATGCGGTATCTCGGTGGAGTAATGTATTCTGTTCCCTGTGTAGCAGGAGACGTGCTGCTGGGGTCGAGTCCCAATAGTGCCCTTTGGGATGGAGTCAGCGGGATGTCGGATACCTGGTCTGGCGCCCGGTAGATAGGGTACAGAGTCATGGCAATGTTGATAAACAGTAAAAGACGGATAGCAAGCAGTACGATGTCAGGGTAGGTCGGAATTTGTAAAAATGATCCAATCGCTAGAGAACTATCATCATCGTGTTAGCATGCGCCCTACTGCTCGCAGTCTAGAAGATTTGATCGTCTCATACTATTGCTTGTAGGTATTGCCAATAAAACCGGTAAAGATCAAAGTCCCTGCATTCAATAGCAGCCGTCTAACCGTCTTCTCATTGACGCTGGACGCATTCTGTCGTCGAATGATCTCTTTCAAATGCGGGTGCCGCCATTTGCCCGGGGAAGCTGTTGACGGACCATTGGGATCCAGCATCCGCGGAGTTGACGGAAGCGAGGAGGGAGCCATCGATGTAAAGGAAGATCGTACGCGAAAACAGGACAGCGATTGAAGCAGAACGCTTATAAACATTGTAAGCTGGTGCTTCCCTTTCATGATTCAATGAGAGGTACATTGGGCAACTCACCTGAAAACGAACACCTACTTCACTTACCTTCTAATTATCAAAATATCAAAGGAGATCGTCTCGTCCTGGTTCATAACATGGCATGCTCCCCTCACCCAACGCTAGCTTTCCTCCCTTGCTGTCGCTTTGCAAAGACCCAAAACTTCAATGTTTTTCTGTTTGGATTTTTGGCTTGATATTCCTTAAGCGCCAAAATTACCGCGCTACCACAGAAACCGGCGGCTGTCACGTATCGAGATTTCACGATTACCTTACAGCACACGCAATCAAGCCATCTCTATACGAGAGGATGTCTCAATTATGGTAATTAACTAATTGCATTACTCATTCTAATATTATATGTCGTCAGATTTTATATTTGATCCCGAGAAGGAGCAGTTTAGCTAAAGTCCACTTTGTACTCATCCCACCAAGACGACGTCACTACTAAGCACCGCTCCTTCGGCCGCAGCCTAACTGACTAGTTACAGGTACCTACCTACATACAAGAACGAACAAGCTATCCAGCCTTGGATACAGACCAAGTGAACACTCGTCTCTCACCATGGCAGCTGGAAACTCGACGCTGGCCAGAGCAGATGCGCTCCTGGAAGCGCTCTTCTCGGATTGGAATATCTACTCGACCCTGCTTGCAACACTCCTCGTCTCATACGTCGGATACACACTCTTATTCACCAAAGATCCAGATGCCCATCCTTTTATCCTCGCTCGCCAGGGAGTGGTAGCCCCCGTCAGACAGCGCGGGGAGTCTGCTACCGTACGGGCTATGGATGTTCCCCATGGCTACCCCCTCAAAGCTGGACTTGGTGTTCGGGATCCAGACACTCCTAGATGGACTGCCGGTAGACGGGGAGACCTTCGAGATATATGGAAAGCTGTAGTCCGTGGAGAGCTAAATGGTGATGGCACACCATCGGGCAAAAAAGGGTCTATCTTCACTGTTTTTGGGAACACAGCCCAGGAACGGAGTGTTGACGATATTACTCGGGAAATCAAGATTATCGGACAGTATATCCGTGATACCAAGGCACAAAAGGTGGCTATCTGCCTCACTGATTCGGTAGAGATGCTTGCAACTATCTTTGGTATATTGAACACTCCGGATAATGGTAATGCTATTAACTAACATGGCCACTAGCAAGCGCTTTCTATGGCTTTCCGACTGTTATCATTCCTCACAACCTTCCACCTCAGACACTTGCCGGTTATCTCCGAGAGGTGAAGGCAGACCTTCTCATTGCCGAAGCCGGTGCTGTGGATGTAACTGCTTTGCTGAAAACGTGTCCTTCACTGAGACATGGTATCTGGGTTGCCCAAGAGGGCAGTCGACACATGGACTGGAATGAAGTCCCCGAAGGGGCCAGTAGCAAGATTGAAGTGTCGACATGGCACGAATTGGTTAATGAGAAAGAAGGTTCAATTGGTCCCGAGGTTCCCGAATGGGACACTAAATCCCAAACCCCTTCTTTGGCCACTCTATGTTCATCTAAGGCAGGTTTGGGGTCATTCGTTGAGTATACTTCGGAGGTAACATTCTTCTCCCAACGTTGTGAGAAATATGGGTACTAACTTCCATAACTAGAACATTATCTCTGGTGTTGCTGCGTTGGGCTCTTCTTTACCTCGCAACGAACAGCTCAAATCATCAGACTTGGTTCTATCGATTGATTCACTGGCTCATTCTTATACCCTCTGTTTTGTTTTAGCCGCCTTGTACTCGAATGCATCGATTGCATTGAACTCTGTTGCTGGAGAAATTGTTGATTTTGAACTGGCAACTACGGGCGTTTCACCAACGATTATCATTTCCTCGTCACACACTATTTCCGACTACCATGCTCAATACATGGGCCCACAGCTGAACCCCCTGGTGAAAGTCGGCAGGTTCTTCCAATCTCGCGACTTGGACGCGGGAAGGATGCCATCCGGCAACATTTTCTCTGCCCTTGGTGGAAGTGGCCCTGTCTCTGAGCAGACTCTAAAGAGGCTAAGATTGATTCTCGTCTCTCATCGAGTTGAAGGCGATAGGAACAATCAGCTCACTAGTGACCAGCTTACAGATTTCAGGATTATGACTGGTGTCCGTATTGCATACGCGCTCACTACAGGGAAAGTAGCCGGAGCTGTTTGTCAAACAAACCCATATGATTACAGAAGGCACCGTGGATTCAGCCACTTTGGCCCTCCTTTGAATAGTGTAGAGATCAAGTTGGTTGATTGCGATGAAAAATCAGGTAATGAAAAGGCTTTAGAGGGAAAGGTAAGAATCTGCGAAGGCTTTTCATTTTGTCTTTTAACGTAAAGGTATGCTAATCGTGACATAGATCCACATATCCGGACCCTCTGTAATATCGGAGGAATGCAAGCTTGACGTGGATGGCTTATTCCAGGAGGATAACACTCTTGTTCTCCTAGCTTGATTTATAAATTATGAGATATGATATTTTTGGTTTGATCGGTTTACCTATGGTACAGCATCTATAAGTGAAGCTGGGAAGCCGTACTGGGATCCTTCAAGCGGGATAACTCCACATTTTTGCATGATGGTACAATACTAAGATAGCACGAGCTTATCCAAAAGGGAAAGGACAAAAAATATAATTCATACATGAAGTGGGTTGGGCAACAGATATAAAAGGCTTTCTATTATACATGTAGTAAATAATTTGGCACTGAAGACCAACATAATCAAAACGCCGTTATTGAATACATACATCTTCTAGATGCGGCTAGAAACTCCCTATTTATGCAGTAGTGACTTCGTCCAGGATACAGTGTGGGTAACCTCCTGGCGGTGTTTGTCAACAGTCTGGAGGCAACTTTCAATGGCCTTAGCCAATTCGTCCCTTCGAGCTTGGAGACCTTGTCGAAGATCCGGTTGAGCCTTGATTTCTTCAACCCGCAAAGCCAGATCAATTCCGTGCCACAGAGGCACATAGGTACGTAGTCTCCAGTTGGCCGTTGGCCATTCAGATGGCACAGTAAACTTCTCCAATGGCCACGTGCTGATAAGTTTATTCGCATATGATCGAACCCCCTGGTCCTCGTCGCGGCCTTTGAACGCGTCCATGGCGTAAGCAGCTTTCAACTCGAGCAGCATTCCAATAACACTAGGAAGTCTCTTTGGATCCTTTTCCGCAACAGGGTGCGTGTGTTCTGGGGAATTCAGTAGCCTGACTAGCTCCTTTGCCTGTCCAAGGGCAAGGTGAACATCAGGTCCCTTAAAGCCAGCCTTTTCTGCCTTCAGTCGTATAGCATATAGAAGCGCTCGAGTGAAATCAGCATTGCGCATGAACAGGCCTGTTCGACGCGCCTGCGCTACAGCTTGCAAAACGTGTGCTTCCATTCCAAGCTCGCCGGCTCTCCGTATAAGCATCTCGGCCGTATGTGGGGTGAGATCTCGTTTTGAAGCATGAAGTCCGCTTAGAAATGGAATGAGACTCTTCCAGTCCTCCTCTGTTGTTAACAGCCTGATGACTTTGGCGACTTCGCTGTTACTGGGGGCGTCTGCAATGTGCATTGGTCGCAGTGTGTAGTTATCGACCGCATCTTCAGAGCCAACGTTGACGACTATGGGATGGTTGAGTAGCTCCTGTGACTTCGACTTCTTATACATAGCTCTTTTGTCCTCATATGGGAGCCATGCTGGAATAAAGAGGTTATCTCGGAATTTCTGGAACAAGCCGTCGAGCTCGGGGGAAGAGGTTGGAGCAAATTTTGGTACGAGAGCTGTACATATGTTATTATCAGAGATATCAGATTGTTAGGGGCCATCTAGAGTATACCTTTACAGAGACTTGCGGAGCTTGAGAAGGCCCTGTATCGACCTAAAGATGTACTCTGGGAGGTGCACCCGAGCACAAAAGCCCTCCCCAGCCGTGGGTGCGCCATTGGATTGATCTGACAAAACCAAACGGTCCAATAGAGGTATAACTTCGAACTGACGGGTATAAAGTGCAATATGAATCCTCAGCTTGGTGCTCAGTAGTTGATCGTGTGTTTTTTGCTGTCTTGCTTCATCCAAAAGTCGAAGATCGAAAAAAGTCAAGTCTTGGCTTGGCACGGACCACTTTTTGATGGTTTCAATTTTCTATTCAAACTTGAACGAGAAGAAGAAGAGAGATCAGAACAACTTAACACGAGGAAGAAGACTCGCAACTATGGCCTCTGTGAAGTCAGCGCTGCGGCCGGCCGGCTGCTGTGCCAATGCATTCAAGGAGTTGAGACAGCAGGCGCCTCGCCGTCAATTCCTCCATACCGTCCATTCGCCCCGGAAAGAGAAGATCGCGTTCCCTTCCACGATCCCGGAGCAATTTATATCACAGATTCCCAAGTTCTGCCGGCCTGGAAAGGGTATGTTCTAGCTATATATCTCCTGGTCATTGTGGTTTGCTGGAATTACCGGTCACTGACATGGCTTGAAACGTACAGGCACCAAGGAGCTCAAGGTCTATCCTCCTCCAGCTTTCCCATACGACACATGCAAAGACCCTATTGCCGCATTTACATCTGAACAATTAGCTGTACTCGATCCTACTGGCGAGAGAAAAGCGCTTTTTGACCCGAAGAACCGCCAGGGCGCTAAAGTTGGCGACATTCTGCGGGTTACGTTTAAGAACGGCGACCCCTTCGCCGGAGTGTGTCTGAACATTCGCCAGAGAGGAGTTGACACCGCATTTTTACTACGAAACAAGTTGACCAGAATCAGCTGTGAGATGTGGGTTAAGGCATACAGCCCTAATGTTGCTGGTGTGGAGGTTGTCCAGCGCACCGAGAAGAGGAAGAGACGCGCGAAATTGACGTATATGAGGTATGACCACCCTCTGGCTTCGATCGTAATAAATCATAGAGGACATATGGAGATGTGTTTTCTACTCATGCTAGTGTTCATTGCTAATATTATGCCGATTGTAGAAACCCCTCCCATGATATGGGAAGCGTGGAAAACATTGTACGCAACTATCTCCGAACGAAGCGTATCTTGGCTGGAGGAGGTGATCAGAGGTCTCGCAAGAGGTAGAGGCGTTATATCTATTTCACGCCTTTGAACTCTAATATACCCGGTCCTCCTCAGCAGCACGTTAGCAAGGGTGTTGCCCACCAGTCGCATCCACGTTTCTGCTTTGTATATCATTGTACATCTTGTACAACCCCAATCCGATTTTGACATCTTGGAGTAGCATGTTGTCTATTAGACCTGTACTATATTTTTTATCTTTCATGACTGGGACAGCTCCAAGGGATTAATGCGAGAACTGCAAACACTCTTCCACTAAACACTCCACGTTGGTATTATTAAGATTAAGTGAGAGGTATCTGGAAGTAACATATGTAAAATAATCAACGAGAGCTCAAATCTACCATGTTGCCGATAGACAATGATCATCAGCCATAGCAGGTGACTTAAGGAAGGTAAACGATGACCTCCAAGCCACCCTTGAACGGAGTCGTCATGTGCTTGAAGCCATTCTTCGGGTCGTTAACGTAATCAAGTAGGTCCTTGTAGTCAATTCGAGCCATAACGGTGTTGTCGGCAATAATGAGAGCGCCTGTGCGGAGCTTTGGTTGGACCGCTTTGAGTGCCGGGAGAGCCATAGGAGTCCAGACTATGCCATTGTGTTAGTATAACGTCGTAACAAGGAGCAACAGAGAGCTGCAACATACTATCCAACAGGAGCATGTCAATTTGATCGACCTTCTTCATCTGTTCCGGCAGAGTTTCCCGAAGGTCGCCTTCCAGCAAGGTAATCCAGGGCTCCACCTCCTCCCCGGCCTCCTTCCAATGCTCCTTCGCCTTTTTTGCCTTGGTGGGTTCATTTTCAGTCGCAAACACTTGGGCACCTTGGCCTGGTGTTATGGACCCAGACGCTTTGGCAGCGGCATTCTGCCCAGCCGCAAGAGCAAGGTAGATTGTCGAAACGCCGAAGCTCGTACCCGCTTCCACGATGTTTAGAGCGCCAATAGACCTCGCCAGAAGGTAAACAAACTCGCTCTTGTCGGCCTCTAAGCAGATATACTTGTCCCGCATGAAGTCGTCATCAGCGGAATTCCATCTGCGGTTACCGAAGATCATGGCCGTTATCTTCTTGCGGAACCAGAATGAAATGATAGAGAACGATGACTCCTGGGCGTTAGACTCCCCGTGGAGCCGCTTGAGGAGCGCGGCAACATTGGCGCTTGAAACCACAGGACTTGGAGAAGCCATACTTGTTTATCTTATGAAAAGAAATTGAGATATGGGAATAAGTTATAGAGAAGAAACAATGGTTATATACCTGTGATTGTTAGCTCTTCCTACTTAATTATACGTCAACTGTGAGTCACTCCCCCAATTTATAGATAATTCCATTCATTTATTCGGTGAGAACGACCAAGCAACGGCCGATGATCTACCCGTGAAAGTGCCGGACTCGGGGATCCGTTACCGAGGTGACTGTTTGTGATATACCTCCTATCGGTGCACAGCTGAAAGGGCGTACGGAGAATACGAGGAGTTGCAATGTCCCGCCTGAAGATGCCCCAAGAAAATAGCCGGGCCAGGAAACTGCATCCACAACTGTCAGAAGCTTCGCCGAAACGTGCAGTTAGTCATATCAAGCTCAAACGTTGCTATCATTTTTCTTTTTTTCGGTTTTTTCTTTTCCTTTTATTTATTTTAATTTTGTATATCAAACGGCGAAAGATAACAAGTCTTGGCGATCTGATAAAATAGTTCCATCACGTGAGACCGGCTAGCACGTCACATGCTCATCGCACGATAATCTAATCAGATCATCCGAGTTGCCCCCCCCGAGTTATTGAAAAAAACCAGCGACGACAACCCATCTTTGCTGCCAATTTCACGGCCTCCGACTCCCACCACCACGCACCGTAGCTATCACAGAGGCCAATTGATAGCTGGCACAGCTCCCTCCGGTTCTCGCGTTACACTTTCGTTGGCCTGAATACGACTTCAACCCGATATATCCCGATAGGCCAGCCTCAGGCCAGATGAGAGCGATACAGCTTGACCATGTCGACTTCTTCTGGAACGCCCACGCCAGGCCCTGTGCCACTATCAATTGCTCCTGCAACGGCCTCGCATCAACGGTCGCTTTCCGTGAAACCTCTAGCTGCTGCCCCATCACCGGCACCAGTCGCCCAGTGCTCGATTACCTCAAAGGAATGGATCATTCCTCCACGCCCCAAGCCAGGCCGTAAGCCTGCCACGGATACGCCTCCTACAAAACGTAAAGCTCAAAATCGGGCAGCCCAGAGGGCCTTTCGAGAGCGAAGAGCTGCGAGAGTGGGAGAACTCGAAGAACAGATCAAAAAAATCGAAGAGGAAAACGAGCGAGATGAAGCTGCGTTGAAGGAGACCATCCAGAAACAACAGCAGCAAATAGAGGAGTATAAGAGCCAATTACTATGGTGGAAGAACCGATGCAAAACTCTAGAGGATGAGCTCATGACCGAAAAGGTTGCTAAGGAGGACGCCATCAAACAGCTTGAGAGGGCAAACAACTCAGGGAGAACGACGAACAATGGCCACTCTGTCATCGGTGGGTGCGAACGGTGTTCCTTCACGCGATGCCAGTGTATTGACGATGCGTTCAATATTGCCAACATCACTCAGATGCAGACAGATGATCCTCATTCCAAACGGGGCAGGTCACCTTCCCAAGGAGCTACCCAAAAGCGTCACCGATCAAACCCCGAAATCAAAACAGAACCCGAAGACCTAGAGACCGATTTTACCAATTCTTTCTCCCTTAGAAGACATTCAAGGCCGGGAAGCCATGCTGCCGCACCTATACTGTTAGATCCATGTGGTTTTTGCCAGGATGGTTCACCGTGCATCTGTGCCGAAATGGCAGAGGAAACACCAAGTGACAGAAGTAATCAGCCCTCACAATTGAACAAACTACCATCTATCCAGAATATATCGCAATTCACACCGCCTCCCTCCGAAGGAGACGTCCTTTCAAAGTCAGCTACGCTAGTGTCCAGCAACAAGAGCAATCCCTGTGCCAATGGGCCTGGAACTTGTGCTCAATGTCTTGCAGATCCTCGAAGCTCAGTTTTCTGTAAGAGCCTTGCTGCCTCCCGTGCATCTTCCCGTCAGGAAGGTGGGTGCTGTGGAGGAGGTGGTGGGAAGGATGGATGCTGCAAAAGCCGATCGCCCGGCACAGACTCGTCTAAGCAACCTACATCATCGCCTCCTATTACGCTCAGCTGTGCTGATACTTTTACTACCCTATCTCTACATCCGAAATTCGCTTCTGCATCAAGTGAATTAAGCAATTGGATACCCCAACTGCACACCCTTCCTAATCCCCAAAACCTTAATCCTGACCGGCGACGAGACCAAAACCTCACTAACCGACCTGCTTTGGAAGTTGAGGCTGCCAGTGTCATGGGAGTCTTGCGATATTTCGATCGAAGATTTGCCGATTCCAAGTGAACGAATTCCAGGGCTATTCCTTTTGTTTCTTTACTCTCTGCCATTTCCCTATGCTTTGCACGACCGTTACTGCTTACTGAAAATTATTTCCTTGTTCGCTTCACTTTTTACTACGTTCTAGATGAACCTTTATACCTAGAGGTATCCGGTAGGTATCCCTACTCCTATTCTCCTAGCACGTACATACACAATGGCTTGGATGAAGTTATGGGGATCAATAGGGAACGGCGTTACGGAGTCAATTTTTTTGCTCTATAATTGAGTTACTTTCATCTCACCTTTCTCAGTTATTGCTTTGGTTTGGTTTTCTATCCCCCGTTTGTATTACTAGCACCCAGTCTCGCCTTACCTTTTCATGCATCCTTAGGATACGCGCCGAATCCCTCATCGGTAGGGAATACCCTTGACACCGGTGAAATTCTGGGCTAATAGAGGTGGTGCATTTTTCCCTTAGATGTTAATGATCAACTGGGTGGCCAAAAATCTGATTTAATTGATTCTCTTAATCACTTATTGTTTTGATATTACGTATCTATGGCCGAATGCCTATAACGTATAGTACATTTAAGAGGGGATGGTTGGTCTAGTAGAAGCTTAGGGGATATTATAACAAAGCAGTCAAACAAAGCCAGGGATATTTTTCAAGACGAATGAAAGTAGGTTGGAGATAAAGGTAACTTCAGGTGGAAAGCCAGAGGTATTGTTAGGACGGTTTAAAAGGCACCTTTCTCAGTCCCTACATAACTTCCGGTTGATCCAAGGGACATCCTGCCCATGGAATCCGGGGCAATATCATCCTCTACGCCGCTCATCAGAGCTCCCAAAAAGCCAGATCCCCATACTCCGACTATACCCCACATCTCAAGCCTCCAGCTTCTGTAAAGTCCTTGGATTCCTTGGCCTTTTCGACGTTTCTGTATTCGCCGGGTGGCCTGTCTGCCTACCTCGGGAGTACGGCCAAGCATTTGCTCTACCGTATCTAGCTCAGTGGGTGTTGGGTTTGTGCCTTCTTCATAGATAATATTCCACATTGTTCCTATAATTCCCCTATAGCTTTGAGGATGTGGAACGATAATAGGCAAGGGTGTATTTGGATTTGAAGTTGTTGCTGCTTGCGTAGAGGAGCTCTCAGAGGTAGGTGACTGCATGGCTGTGGTTGAGTATGTGACGCCCGGTTGGCGGAGAGCAGGAGAAGTGAAGGTTGATATCTGTGCTCGTCTGAGAACAGTCTCCAGGGGTACTCGCACGGTTAACTCAACACCTTGGGCCATAAGGCTGAAGAGACTCCATGAGAATGGGTTTAGCACTGGGTCAAGGGATAGATATGACTTTAGAAAGAGGGGAGCACTGGTAGAAATTAGATTTGGTAGTGTCGATGTGAGAATGGTGATAGGGAGAAGATGAGGAGAAATCATGTAGCTCGGAGATGGAAGAAGCCTAATTGAATGGAGTAGAGATCGGGGGCCGTGGCCATGGGGTGTGAGAATCAAATAGGTTCGCGCGGTGTCAATCGGCGATAGTATTATTGCTGACAGTGCGGATGAGAGGCAGGATAGTATCAAAGCTGTGCCTGGGGAAGTCGATGTAATGATATCACTAGCCGGGAAGGAGGAAAACGAATCTTCCGGGTACCCTAAGATGGCTGATAGTAAACTCCGAACGAAGGTGTTCAGGGTGGGCAAGAGTATCGAGTATATAAATGTAGTGTTTGAAGCTTTCCATATCGACGTCGGTCCACTAGTTGTCCAGAGCTGAGATAGCACATCTAGCATAGAGGACGAGTCCTTGACCTTCAGCATGTATTTTGGCTGGGCACTCTGCGGTATGTAGCCACCCCGTTCAGTTATACGTTGAGGCGCTTTCTGGTAGCTCTTAGAAAAAGACGGTATATTTGTGGGCGCATTAGACGCGAAGTAGTTATTCTCATCGTCGGAACCGAACACATTCTGTGATGCCGCGAGTTAGCAGTGCTCAAGAAGCAGTCCATATGTCCTATGTATCTAGGTATGATTCTCACCTCTTCTTCGTAATGCTCCACCCGGTGTCTTTCCAGCCTTCTCATTTCCTCTGCCACTTCGGCGGCACCATCTTCAGCAACGTACACTTGCAGTATCGTCTTTGCGACTTCGAATGGCTGTGATATCAAAACTTTCGAGTACCCGCGCGCTGCGTTCTCAAACAGCTGTTTGACAGACTCTGCCACCGACGGCGAGGAGTCTCCTAGGTAATCTGAATAATCAAAATCAGACAATATATCCCGCGCAGAGGTACCAAAGCTCGTTATATTCTCTGCTGCCGCACTCGAAACGACCTTGGATGCGGCCTGGCTATCGGGCAATCCTATGGGAGGTGGCACATAGTACGGCCTCAGCGGGTTGGGGCCCTCCGCTGTCGAATTCATTGCCTATCTGTGGGCAACGCCAGAGTTTCGATCGTTTAAAGTCGTAACCGTCGTTGGATTCCTTTTCCTTTCCGCGTCCGCCGTTTGCTGTTTGTTTCTAGATGGTTTTTTTTCGTCTTGCTTGCTTGTTGGTCTCGGAGATAGAGAAAGCATCGCAAGCCCTTAACTTAATAATTCCGACGCCCGGCCTAAAAAAAGAAACTCAGCTAAAATATTTGTAAAGACCAAACGTTTACAGGCCTCAGCTTGAACAGCCAGAATTATCCATTTCACCACCAGCGCATCGTCAATCTTCGGCGCCTCAGCCGGCTTTGCTGTCCATTCCTTTCTTCACCTTTAGACCGGAGCCAGTGCGCGAGAGAAAGGAGACGCAGAGATGGCCGCAGCCAGAGGACTATGCCGCCATGCCCTTCAACCGCTAACACGGAGCGCCGGCCAGAGACTATCGACGGAGCAGTATGCGCATTTGCAGAGCATATCAAGACAGAGCAGGCTGCTGTCTACTATGCCAGTGGGGTCACATCGACATTTCCGAGCGGTCCTACGGACGTCGAGAACTCTGCAGCGCTCAAATGGCCCATCCATAGCTAGCCGTGCTTTCTCCTCGACTTCCAAGCTGCTACATGGACATATTACAAAGCCGAAGCCAGGTGAAGAGTGAGTCTTGATATTGAATAAGTTCAAAGGAAATTGAGTATTAATTGGAGATTTGCTAATATCAAACAGGATCAAGGTCACTTTCATTGATAAAGACGGCGATCGACATGACTTCGAAGTCGCAGAGGGGGACAATCTACTTGATATAGCACAGGCAAATGACCTTGAAATGGAAGGTTTGTCAATTGATCCTCTAATCATACTCTCGGCTAGTTGCTAACGGCTTTGCCAGGTGCCTGTGGAGGTTCATGCGCCTGCTCTACATGCCATGTAATCGTGGAGAATCCAGATATGTACGATAAGATGCCGGAGCCTGATGATGACGAGAATGATATGTTGGACCTGGCATTTGGCTTGACTGAGACGTCTCGGTTGGGATGCCAGGTGAAGATGACTCCGGAACTAGACGGCCTAGTTGTTACGCTACCGAGCATGACTAGAAACTTGCAGGCTAGCGATTTTGCGGAGAAGAAATGAGGATAACTGTTTCCCTTGAGCAGACCGGCCATACCCAAATCTCGATGCATGAGCTGTAGACTTTGCCTTGCTTGAGCTCTGCGGCCTAGACTCCGCTATTCAACATTTCCTCTGGATATAATCGCACAGTCCTTGCGCATAATGCGTGCAATTAACATGTTTAGTATTCTGTACAATAGCCATATAGACCTGCAAAAAGTACTCCCCTACTTGGAGAGGATGACCCGTGTATATCATGTTAGAAACACCCATATACCCCAAAACTCCTATATCAGCTCACACTTTTTTCTTTTCGGATATCAATTAACATAAAAATCAAGCTTCCTCAATAGGCTTCGAACCAAGGCCGTTTATCAGGTCCAAAAAGCCTTGCTTGCTGACTTCGTTGACGGCCTTCTCCCGCTCATCCATTCCAACCGTCAGGCGTTTCTTTCTTTCTTCCCTGGCAATTTCTTCGCCTCGTACCTGTGCTGCTCTAACAGCATTGAACAGCTTGACAACACCCCTCTGGGCTACTTTCCGCAGCCTCTTCTCCAATTCCGCAGTCTCTCCAGCTTCACCTCTATCAACACCAAGCACGTCCCTCACACGGCCACGGTCTAACTCTTCCTTCTTCTCTGCCCGTAGTTTCGCCCGCGCGCGATGCTCTAGCCTCTCGTTTGCTATATCGGCACTTGTCTGAGCTGCGGCTTTACTTCGTGAGAGCAATGGGTCTGCCCGAGCGGATGTAGGAAGCTTTGTAGATAGAATCTTCGATATGGAGGTGGAAAAGGCAGTCGGATCATTTCGTTTAGAGACATGTTTCCGGCTTGTTGTGCTAGTTGAGCCAGCATGCGAAGAAGTAACTGAAGATGCGTCCGAGTCTCCGTCGTCATCGTCGTCGCCGTCTGACTCCCCCGTCGCAGCCAATTCCTCTTGCTCTTCTGATTGTAGGTCCGGCTCGTCGTTTTCCAAAGAAATATCGCTATGTATCGACTTTTCAGCGTCGCTGTCCGAATCGTTGAGGTTCACTGCTGCAAAATCGGTTGGAACACCTCCATCCTCTTCGTCCTCTGAAGAACTGCTATTGTAGTATTCCTGCTTTCTGAACTTCTTCTTCGGCCGTGATGTCTTCCCCCTCATCCCCTCATCTACCTTTCTCTTCTTTATTGAAGGCGGCGCCATCTTCTTCAGCTCTGTGTTTCTTTCCTCGTCTTTTTTTTTTCTTTTTGATATCTTCAACTTTCTATATTTTTTTTAGTTATCTGATAAAAGATTAAAAAACCCGGTCACGTGAACAACCCCATGCCTTATCGCCTTTTTGTGCTTAAACACACACATCACCAGGAAGCAAGACGAAGACAACATCACTTGAAGCTCTTCTGTTTGCTTTTGAAGGCCGTTAACTGAGTACTAACATAAAAGATGGTTCTCCAAGACCTGGGGCGACGTATAAACGCCGCCGTTAGCGATTTGACCAGGTCAAATACAGTTGATGAAAAGGTACCAAGACGCAACGGCCACCGTTCCCTTTACTCCTTCATACTGACCCCTTTTTCCTAGGCACTAGATGCCATGATAAAAGAAATATGCGCAGCTCTTCTGTCCGCCGATGTAAACGTCCGGCTAGTTCAGCAGCTGCGCAAATCTATAAAAGCTGCTGTTCAGCTCCCCTCCATACCCCCAGCAGTCAACAAGAAACGTTTAATTCAGAAGGCCGTTTTTGATCAACTGGTTGCGCTTGTCGATCCACATGCTGAGCCTTTCAAACCGAAGAAGGGCAAACCGAATGTTATCATGATGGTTGGTCTACAGGGTGCCGGAAAGACAACCACATGTACAAAGCTAGCGAGGCACTATCAGACCAAGGGATTCAAGGCAGCCCTCGTTTGTGCGGATACATTCCGAGCCGGTGCCTTTGATCAGCTCAAGCAGAATGCTACAAAGGCGAAGATTCCATATTACGGTAGCTTGACACAGACAGATCCTGTGGTGGTGTCATCAGAAGGTGTGGCGAAGTTCAAGAAGGAACGATTTGATATCATTATAGTTGATACCAGTGGAAGACATCGGCAGGAGGAAGACCTGTTCGAAGAAATGACGCAGATTCAAGCAGCTATAAAACCAGACCAAACTATCATGGTACTTGACAGTACAATTGGTCAAGCCGCAGAGACGCAATCAGCAGCATTCAAGTCAGCAGCCGACTTTGGAGCAATTATCATTACGAAGACAGATGGACACGCTGCAGGCGGTGGTGCCATTTCTGCTGTCGCTGCAACTCGGACGCCTATTATATTCTTGGGAACCGGTGAACATATGCTTGACCTGGAGAGATTTGCGCCACAACCGTTTGTCCAAAAACTGCTGGGAATGGGTGATATGGCAAGTCTAGTAGAGCATGTTCAAGCGGTAACAAAGGACTCTGCTGGTGCAAAGGAGACGTATAAGCATATCTCGGAAGGAATCTTTACTCTACGGGATTTCCGCGAAAACATCACATCAATCATGAAAATGGGGCCCCTTTCAAAAATATCCAGTATGATACCTGGTCTATCAAATATAACATCCGGCCTCGACGACGAAGACGGTTCCCTTAAGCTCCGGCGCATGATTTATATCTTCGACAGCATGACTGCTCCAGAATTAGACGGAGATGGCAAGGTCTTCGTCGACCAGCCTACTAGGATTGTCCGTCTTGCTTGTGGAAGTGGAACCACAGTCAGAGAGGTTGAAGACCTTCTTTCTCAACATAAGATGATGGCCGGCATGGCTAAGAAGGTTGGAGGACAAAAGAAGCAGATGCAACGTGCTCAAAATATGCTAAAGGGCGGCAACAAGGAACAACAGATGGCTGCTATGCAGAAGAGGATGGCCGCTATGGGCGGAGCCGGAATGCCTAATATGCCGGGCATGGGAGACATGCAGCAAATGATGCAAATGCTCCAAGGAGGCGGCGCAGGTGGTGGTGGAATGCCTGGTCTAGGGGGTATGGACTTGCAGAGCATGATGAGCCAGATGAGTGGTCTCATGGGAGGTATGGGAGGTATGGGAGGCATGGGTGGAATGGGTGGAATGGGCGGTGGCCGCGGAGGCAGCAGCAGACGAGGCCGATGATCCCCCCTACCCTTGTTTATACCATGATACATTGATTATTTCACTGCATTTTATGACTCAAGGGTAAGGTACCATAGAAAATGGCGTTTGGGAGTACAGGACAACCCGAAAACAATGACTCCACCGAGCTATTACGTTGTGTTCAAATCTTTCTTTACCTTCGTTTAATGACCAAAGTTGGTATATAGCTAAAGCAAAGAGCATACTCCATAACAGGAATGAGATAAAAGATAAAATAGCTGATATAACAAGTATGATAAATACACGACTTTTAACGCTAATTTCACTCGTCTAGCTTTTCCTTTTTGAGAACCAACCCATTCACCCCTTCCACAAGCTTACTAACCTGTGTATTTAGCCAGTATAGACCTCTCCAGAACGACTTAATTGCCATACCCAGATTTTCGTTGGGTTGGTTAACCCGGTCAAACACCTCTTCGCCGTCGGGGAACTCTGCCTCCCCCTTCTTGATATCAGACGGCATTGAAAGCTTGTATTGCCATACAGCCTCAGAGCTCACGTATAGCGTATATATAAGGACAGACTCTCCATCAGGGAGAATTTCGACGTCCACAGCCCCAAACTTGAAGTTTCCGTTTGGAACGTACTTAATGGTCACATCTTCATCATCGGTCTGGTAATATGAACTGCTGGGAAGGTAGAACTGGCTCAATGGACCCACACAGAATTCATAGATACCCTGACCCTCAGCTTTGGAAATGGAAGATGATGTAGGGTTTGACGGCTGTGTAGCGGGATTGGGGAATTTTGTAGCTGCGAATTCGTGCCTGTCGCCGCTGAGGAGGACGATCCTAGTACCAAGGGTACGTTCAGCCCGCCACATAGCTTCTAGGAGAACTTGACGTTCCTTCAAGTAACCTCCCCAGGTATCGGAAGTTCCTATGTGCCAGTTCTTAGTAAAGGGCACACTGCTACTGATTAACTTCCATTTGACTCCCACTGGTTCAGGGCAGGAGATGTAATCTAGTAGAGATTGGAGCTGAGCGTATCCAAGCATGGTCGAGTTATCCAATCCAGGAGGAGAACGATATGTTCTTGAGTCCAATATGAAGAACGAGGCAGGGCCTCGAGTGAAGGAGAAATATGTTGTGTTCTGTTCGATTGCGTGAGGAGACTTCGCCCTTGGAGGGTTTACGCTAACATGGTAATGATGGTAAGGGTCAATGGCAGCAGGGTAGGGTTCAGTAACGTTGCCATCGTGCCAGTCGTTCTGGATTTCGTGGTCATCGAGCATGTGAATCCAGGGAAGGTTAATGGCTGGGTTCTTTCCAATATGCCAGCTTGGAGACGAGTAGACTTTTTGGTATTCGTCTCTGTAATGCTTGATAGCGGTACCAAATTGGTGAGGCACATCAATGTAGATGAAGTCTCCTAGGAAGAGCATAAACGAAGGTAGAGCCATGGTAGGTAGCTTAGAGTACACTTGGGAAAGCGTTTCAATTCCATAAATCCTGAATGGATGGGACAATGGATTGTATGGGAAGTTCGCCTTGATACAACTGGTCGTCCAGAAGTTAAGCCGCATCGATCCACTAGAACCCGGTTCTGGGGCCGTGGTAAACTCTCCAGACAAGCTGTTAGATAGCAAGTACTCGTATACCGTAGCAGAATCAAGCCCGTCTATCACTACCGGAAACGTATAGTCTGTCGTATCGTTTAAGGTGTGTATCGTTTCGTCCACTGTCCAAGTCTCCGGTGGAGGGTCGATTTTGGCGCGGTGATACACTGTCAATGGCAAATTTTCCGGGTCAGGTTCTCGGATGAGAATCTTAACGCTGTCCGATGAGACATATCCCACCCGGGCGAACGATAGGTGCGTCGTAGGGTATAAAAAGGACCCTCGGAGGACGAAATCCAGTATGAAGACGTTGAGCAGTACGTTGGCGCCCACGGTAGCCCAAGTAACCAGCTTCGAGCTGGTACATGGCAAACCAGTCAGCAGGGACCGTAGTACAGAAACCTCCCTATCGTTTCCATGTTTTTGAGTATCTCTGTCCGACTGTTTGGTCGTGGATGTAGCTGTGCGCTGCTTCTTCTGGCCGCTTTGCGAGGGACGGTCGCGCGTCGAACTCGAGGATGTCGCCCATATTAAGCTTAGATATACACATAAAGCCGACACAGTAATCGGAGGCGCATGATGGGCAGGAATCTAGAGCTCAGTGTCAGCTTCGGATCGACTCCTCGGTCCTAGTGGTGTGAAGGTGACGTACCCAGCGAAGGAAGATGTATCCCAGGAACCGGATCAGCGTCGAGCAGACGGTTACAAGCACTTCCTGATACCGCTGCATGTCTGCAAACTCATCGACCAGCGACTATCGGCTCAACCGAACTGCTAGGAAGTATTAATGGTGGAAAGTCGAGTCCTTGTGTCAGGAATTTTTCTTCATGCTGCTGTTTGTCTTTAGCTGAAATATGGCTGGTCGTGTTGTAGGCAGCAGGCGAAAGCTATTACGTCAGGGCGTAAACAGAGACAGCTCGGCTTTGGTTTCACTTGAAACATATAATTATATGCGATTCTACTCCACCAGGGGTCATACATTAAGACATTTCTCCTTTTTTCCCCTTCTTTTTTTTTCCCACTCTCCCTCTTCCGTCGCCCGTGGACACAAAAAATCTACATGGTGTTCTGGCTGTCTAAAGTGGTCGGGAAAGGAGGGAGGATATCAGTTTCTATGCGGTCCACCATTCACGGCCATCAGGAAAGCTCCAACCACCGCAGTGTCATAAAGATATTTCATTGCAAAGATGAAGGACATGATAGCCGCCCATTGCCATGGCTTCTCCTCTCCTCCAGGAAGAGCGTTGAAGTACTCCCACCCAGACACGCCACCGAACGAAGGATATTTTTGAATCAACGTCGCAAAAACCAGATTCAGCGTCTCCAAGGGAACATAGCCCTGGGTCCCATTCCGAGGGTTCGTCAGGACCCCAACAACGATCTTCTCAGTTGGCCACCCGTTGGACATGATAGTTTCATAAGCGGTTACGTCTGAAATCCCTCCCCAGCCATTGTAGAACTGAGTGTGGTACCACGATATCTTCGATCCTCTCTGTTCCTCCAGAGCAAAGTAGTCGAAGCCAGAAAGATGCCGTAGACCCCGTACCATAGCCGATGCAACGGGAGCAAGGGTAATAATAAAGTGATTGCCGAAGTCTGACTTGAGGCGGTCGATGAGTCGGATGATCCCTTCGAGAGACATCTCCTCCTCCACGTCCAGGTCAAGGCCATCGAGTTCACGGATTTTGATCATGTCACGGAGGGGAGTATAGTATTCTTCAAAAGTATGAGCCTCCCCGTCCAGCCGTTGGAAGCTCCCTTTAGCAGCGCCCCCAAGCATCCCCAGCACTTTGATACCTGCTCCCTGGAGCACGCGTACTTCTTCCCAGAGGGGCCCGTAGCGGGTATCATCCGGAGAGTCATCGTTTAGCGTAATGCTCTCTGCGTCCTCGTTGATATGGAACGCAGCCAGAATGACATGCGTTATGCCGCTGGAGCTCGTGTACAACGGGAGCAAAGAGACGTAGGTCCCATGCTCCGGAAAATACGTCTGGAAATAGGATATCACTCGCGGCCGAGCCAGGCCTCCTGTTGGGATTGGTGGCATCTGGGTATAAATCTCGATGCCTCTTAGGCTTCAGCTATAGATTGATGTGACGCTTATCGATTGTTCTGCTGTGTCTGTCTGTTGCTGCGGCCGTTGGGTCGTTAGATGCCAGAACGGGTGGAGTTGTGGCTGGTGAACTAAGGTGGTGTTTATTTTGGTTGGATGGTGGTTTCCCCCCTAACTGGCGGACTTGCTCTATCTAGTTACGGAGTACGCTCAGCTAACTACCAAGTGCCTACTACCAACTATCACCAACACCCCCAACGGCTAACCAACGCGTTACGTCACTGTCTCAGCAGGATCGTGTTCATTTTCTACAATGAGCGCATCGGTTCTCGGTAAATGCCCACTTAACCTAGCCCCATCTCGTCAGTCTAGGCAGCGAAAACAGGATGGTGAGACGCCCGGCGCATGGCAGGCTGTGCTTGCGAAGGAGGCGGCCGCGATCTAGATGCTGCTCCGACATAGAGTCACAGAGGAAGAAGCCTTGAGCCACAGAGTCTCTCGCTCGGTCATGCGGCTGCTACGCCATATTTGTGTCGTAAATGCTGTCACAGTTACCACTCCGAGTCTGGACGCAGCCGCGGTGGACATGGATGCCTATTCCCACCTCAAGCGCAAAAGAGTCATCCGAGCAGATGAAAAAGGCATCCAAATTGACGTCGATGCCTCTTATACACATGGTGCTTTCAGCCTCCCTTGCTAGTCATGCTCTAGATAAAGATAGCGGCCAGTCATACCATCTACCGATGCAATTGCCGCGCCATGTGCATGAACCTTTGGTGTATTGACATCGACTCTGGGCATGGAATTTACCTCTGATCCTATTCATAGAGCCTCATCCAGGCGCTAACTCGGTAGCTAAGGGACAAGGGGGCTGAATGTTTGGGTAAACGACGTCCAATCAAGCTTACCGCTGGGGGCGCATTCGGAGAATAGTCTGTGACTCTGACCAAACTGCTGGGCCTCCCTTGCCCTCTTCTCGCACCTGTGATAGGCCGTTAGCTGTATCTTGCGCATGGAAATGTCGTTTCTCGATGTCACTAGGGATGGACTCTGGCATTAACAGAGTGTGCGTTTAACCGCTGCGCCGTGAGCCCAAAGCGCTAAAAACAATATTGGTGTGAACGAGAGAACCCATCGAAAGCTATATAAGACGAGCTGATTCTCCCAGTTCCTTCTCTTCAAAACAATTCCTCTTCATGTCAACTCCTGCGGTGGCTCACTAAACACTCATACACTATTTCCATTAAAAGAATTGCCTACTTGTTCAACCGCCGTCAAGATGTCGCCATACGCATCAAATATCAAGATCAGATACCCTGAACGGCTTCTGTGGGAGGAATTCGAGGACTCAAAGTCGTATCTCGATCCAGACACGGAATCCCTCCCTACCCCAAAATTCAGTGCGTCAGAGTATCTGAGATCTTCCTCTCCAACACCAAACTTCGATTCCAATCGGATCTACTCCAGCGGCTATAAAAAGCTACTCTATCCGCCATCCCTATCGTCAAGCGTGCTACACGGCAAACACAATTCCAGTAAATACCTGTCAGACAGCCATGGGTATAGATGTCTCCGATTTGGCTGCGGCCAGTTGACCCAACTGGGTTCATACTACTGCTCAACTCGTAAGTTCTCTGCAGTATCTACTACATACATAGATTATAGAGCTAACCACCAACACATGGTTTAGACCACTGATAGGTGTGGTGTACCTTTTGTTACACTTTACGATTTAATGCCATCGAAGGGAGGATATAGTCTAAGGCGAAGGGAATTGGGTTATGGGAATGGTAACGGGTGGATGAGTCCTGTTTTTACTGTTATGTTGATGCATTGCTATGATCGAAATGTAAATGATTTTCTAGTTATTGCTTTCATGCCTTGGTAGTAATACATTTTGTGTTCGCAGCCGCGATGGACCAACGGGTTGAGCCTCATATCTAGTGAGCTGATAGAGTTGCGGCCCAGCTCCACCAAGGCGGGTCAGATCAACAACATCACAACATCACAAATGCTCAACTGCATCACAAAAGCTAAACCGCATCACAAAATCTCAACGACACGTACTCCGTATCATACAGGTGTGCTTGATGTCTACTTGGAGCTATGGAACCCTGACATTCGTTGCGCCAGTAATTTTTTCAATATCATGGAACAAATCACTGGCTTCCATGAAATAACCTGTTCCAGTCTCCAGACATCCTCCAACGTAAAGGCCGACAAATGATCCGTGTCGATCCATTATGAAAGAGCCCGAATCTCCCGCGTCCCCAAACCTCCCCTGGGGAGCAACTGGGACAATCTCGTGAAGCGACCCACAGATCTTGGTCCAGCTTCCATCTTTATTCTGTGACCATTTCTGTACTTGCGTAACGTGCAGTGTATTAAGCCTGCCTTCTGTGAAGCCAGTCCGACGACCGACCTTACACAGAGACATATCGGCTTCAACAGGCGTGGCAGCCTGTAAAACTGCACTCGCTGGGTGATACTCACCCCTGCGGCTTTCTGGAATGTCTTCCATCAATGGTATTTTGTTTTTGGAAAGTCGCTCGCTTCTCACTTCTATCAACGCCCAGTCCAACATTCTGCTCGTTGTGGATATCCTATATCCTGAAGCTGCATATACCCCTCCCAGATACCGGTTTCCTTGCTGGTGAAATGCATTGGCGAGCTTGACTTTCTTGATATACCCATTCAGACGGTCAGTGTCGTAATTGAAGGTGGTTTTTGTATTTTCAGACAGAGATGGATCTTCGTCCTCAAGCCGCTTCTTAATCTCATAATAACTTTCCGTTCGGATCCTTGTAGCCTTATTCTCATAATACCTTATAGACATGCTGTGGTCAGCAAGGCTTGGGTGATCAACGGAAAGGTAGTTTCTTGAGTCGCCAGGTAAGATTCCGTGTTTTTTCCAGTCGTCAAGATGTTTATCATTGGCCACACAGTGAAAGTTCGTGACGCCATACTTCCTCCACTGGCCATGGGAAAATTCCAGCTCTAGGAACCCGCCAAAGGTAAATGACGACGTGGATTTTCCTCGCAAGCCAAGGCTACCGCCGAGCTTGGCCTTCATGTCCCAGTCTCGTTCATCAAGGGTGCCTTCTTGGTCTGAGCAATGGAATATTGAGTCCCGGAGAATCTCAACTGTAATATGAGTCAGATAATTACTGTCCAAGTGCTGGACAATGGTATCTCTGGTATCGTTCCAGTTTTGCAATGAGTCCTCACGCACACAAATTACTATCGTGGGTATAAACGGACCGCCTGGTGGCCCCCTGAGGAGAACAGTGAGCAGTGTCCATTCCATGTCACTGAGAATGGCTAATATCTGGCTCTGTAGCTCTGGCCACGCGTGTGCAAATGGATCGTGTCTCGGAATTGACTGTGAGATAATCGGCTCAAGAGCTCTTCCGTCCGAGATTTCAATCTGTAATGTTGCCTGGCCATGTTCCAGAAAGAGGTCACGGATCCCCCTGCAAGCTAGCAGCCAAGAGTTGTCAAGCTCATGTTTTTTGGCAGAGACGATGACAGTTGCCGCCGGTGCTTCTGGCCTGGCCCTCACGGAATAACGTCTGACCACATTGATATACTGAGAGTCGACGTTCCATTTCTCGAGCACATCTCGTAATGGACCTATAAGTTCCTTTTCAAATAGTATACGGATAGGCTCACTGGATTTGATTACTTCGCTGAGTGCGGGGAGCCTCACGAGATTCGGACCACCACAGCGGTAGTCTTCGTTTCTCAGCTCAGTATCACCTAGGATTGCAGGGCCATCATCCTCTGAAGAGCCCTCTCTTTGTTTGGTCCTTCTTGGAGGTTTGCTTGGTAACTCTTCGCTAATTTTAGGGGTGAGAAGAGGACCCGCGTAAGAAACCGCTGATGTGTGAAAATGCCCTTCGGACATGTCGACAGTTTGATCTCGATGCTCCCCAGATGACAAGGTATCTGTCTATGCAGTGACTATAACAGTAAGAGAAGAAGTAGATGGCAATCTTGGGAGTAGAGCTTGAGGGAGACGCGTCTGAAGCTGAGAATTTGAAAAAAACTAAATAAAATAAAATAAGGAAGAGAAATGTTGAACAGGACATTCTCAGGTGTATACTCTGTATGTTTACTTCTGAGTCTCCCGCGTCATTACTAGGAAACAAAGGACCCACTTTTAGCCAAGGGACAAATCGGAGAATTTAGCAAACTCTGATTGCATCGGACTCAACCAATCAGCGGAGCTGTATCACTAGCCCGCAGCCTGGTCTAAGCGTTGATTGGTTGAATTAGCGGGACAAGATGCCTAGAACAAAGAAGCTTCAACGACGCCAGTGCCAACGCTCGGTGCAAATCTTCCGCTTCTACCTCGGGCACGTTGCTTTGGAAAAAAATGTCGCGAGCGTCAACCAGCAATCGAATAATACACCATACTCGCAATACCAGGGTACCAAACGTGGTACCATCATGTTTCGGCTCTTGATCTGCGAGCAACTTATCCGACTGCAATTCATCCAAAATAACGTCGATAATCTGTGACGGCAACACGCCGTTAGGGTCTTGAAAGGCCTGTTCGTATGAGATGCGTAGGTAGATTTCCGGCAGCTGGACTCGAACAAGTCCAAGCAATTAGGATCTTGCAGGTCCTCTAACCTCTCTATAATTATCAATAGTATCTTGTCCTTGGGCCAAGGTCAATGCGTTACTTTGCAGATACGGAAGCCTGATGGGCATCGATCCGTAAGTGGCTGTGTCCCAGTTGGCTCGTTGTGAAGGAGTGTCCAGGTAGATGGTTGTCGGCGGCCAGGCTTGATTGAAGGTGCTCAAGGCAAGCTCTACCAGCTGGTGGTTGGAAAGTTAAGCTGCCCATATAGGTCCTTAGCTAGGGACACGTTAAATGATTATAAATCGTAATCTGCTATTGAGTAGGTCTGGTCTTTAGTTCACCTCGCGTCCTCTGTTGGGTCCCAGATCCTCTCCCAGCAGCCTTGATGTGGCTCTTGCCGCCTCTTCCCCTTGTCATTCTTATACGGACCCCTAACAGATCAGCAATTCCAGCAAGAGGTAGACGGATAACGGATGACGGAGTCAGAAGGAGGGTATCAGAAGAGAGAGGATGGAAGAGTTGGTAGTGGGATATAGCTAAAAGAGCGCTAAGCGAGGGCACGTCCGTCACCACATTAACGAGCAGGCGCTCAGCTCAATAACAAAGGGTTTGTAGTAATTACCTAGATATTAGTAGCCTCGACTGGTTCATTCACATTGTAGTGATAAAAAATACATAGAATAAAACAAAACAGAGGGAGATAAGTGGTGAGCACCTAGTGCTCGCTTCGATGGCGCCGGTGGACTTCTTGATGGGCGTAGGAGCTCTCGGCCTGGGTGGTTGAGACGGAGGTCGATCTTCGTCCTTGAGCCGCTTCTTGATATCAGTATACCCTGCGTTCGGATATCCACAGCCATATTCTCATAATCATATTTTTTTGTTAGAGACACCGGGCCCTCTCGTGATAACGTCTGATCAGATTTATATACCGAGAGTCGACATTTTATTTCTCAAGCACATCTCGTAATAGACCTATGAGGTTTAAAGAGTGTATGGATAGGCCCATGGAATATGATTACTTCACTGAGCGCCAGGAGTATCACAGGATTTGGACCACCGCATCGGTAGTCTTCGTTATTCGGCGAGGGGCACCTAGGTAATCAGAGACCCGGCATATGAAACTGTCGATGTATGGGTTTCTTTAAAGATGTCGGGGCTGCTCTAATGATCTTGAGTATATGACACGCCTGGGCTGGGGCCCAGGGGCAGGAGATTAAGGAAGCAAAATGTTGAACAGGATATTACCTGCAGATGATATGCCTTAAAATATAGCTTCAAGCTGCTGGCCACTTTTGTGGGAGAACTCAGTTGACTCAGCCATTTTGACAATATGTTTTCTCTAAGTCTGTTGCATCATTTCTGGGGAAAATGGCCCTTTAAATAGTTAAAGGAAGTAAGGCTGGCTGACAAGTGAATGTAAATTTGCATCATAGTCTGCTTGTCACTGCTAGGAATCAAAGGGCCTTCACTGCAAGGCAATAATAATGAAGCAAGTAAAACCAACTAATCGGTGAATATCGGCCATATACGATCGAACAGCAAGCTGGCCAACTAGGTAGGTGGCCCATCGAGATATATCAAAACTCTGATATTATTATTAGGTTCCATCAATCAGCCAAATTCCATGTCTGGCCCGTTGCATAAGCCTAAGTGTTGGTTTATTAGCAATAATAAAAATACTTAACCAATGGAATATGTGGATAGTTAACAAGGCTACAACGGGCAATTATAAGCGCCAGTAGCTAAAATGTAATTGTTCTTTAATAGCCTATGATATCAAAGCTGGACGGCATATAGTGTGTGCTGCAAGACATTTCAAACAGAGAGTCCGGAAAGTTATATAACTAGGAGCAGGTTGAGTAACATATTGGTTAAATAAGTTGTTCAGTGGTTAGTCATTTCAATAGTAGAATTATGTATACAGATACCGAAATGCAGCTAACAAGCTAATATAGTTCATATGCAGAATGACCCGGAAACCTCCAAAGTATTAACGCATGCGTTTGAAATGTATAACTCATAGACTCTTCGCGCATACCAACAAATAAAGCTAGACCTTACCTCCTTAGTTTACCAGGCTGTATGGCCACCGTCCATCACGAGCGAGCTGCCGGTCATATAGCTACTAGCCTCACTCAGCATGAAAACAACCGCTCCAGTAAACTCTTCAGGTCGAGCTAGTCGGCCTAACATACTCTCCTTTATCCAAATCTCCTTGAGCTCTGGAACTTCTTCGAAGTTTTTCTCGACCATAGGAGTGATGATGTGTCCAGGACAGAGAGAATTCACACGGATACCCTTTGGACCCCATTCCATTGCCAGATTGCGGCCAAGCTGGATGACCGCCGCCTTGGAAGAGTTGTAAGTGGCTGAATGAAGGCCCTTGTTTGCTACGAAGCCGCTCATGCTAGCAACGAGGACTATCGAGCCTCGGGTCCCTGATTCTATCATATGTCGAGCAACTGCCTGAACCGTCATGAACAGTCCGGTGTAGTTCACATCCAACATCCTGGTAACATCTTCCGGGGTGAAGTCAATTGCATCTTTGAGCTGCTGAATTCCAGCAGCAGCCACAAGGCCGTCAATCCGACCGGAATGGCCCGCGACCCGATCAACCGCTTCCTCGAGATGTTTCAAATCACGGACGTCAACATGGTGGTAGTGTAGCGAGCCAATATGGTCAGTGTTTGCGATTTCCTGGGATACATAGAACTCTGAATCGGGCTCGGGCAGTACATCAAAGCAATGAACTATAACCAGTAGTTAATACGCGCAAACATGGAATACGGAGAAGTGGAAAGGACAAACCCTCGGCTCCCGCCTCAGTCATTGCCTCTGCAATCACAAGGCCTAAGCCTCTACCGCCCCCGGTAACGATGTATACTTTGTTCTTCAAGCTAAAATTAGGATACACCTTTTGGTGGTATTTCGGGGTAGAATCGCTCGGCATCTTGATATGGACAGAAGTAGCAACACATATATCACTCAATAAACAGTTTCCAGGCACCTAAGAACCGAAAAAACAGCTGGTACAAGCACCAGCATGGGGTATATATCTACTTCCTGCCACCATGGAGCAATCATGTACTTGACGTCATATAGACAGCCGTAACCAAGGATCGATCCAGCCATTGGTCAGGGAGAACTGGCAATGATTTCATATAAAACCTAGATGAGCAGCTTTCAAAGCGCAGAGTGCGGGGATCGTCAAGTCTCACTTCCCCCCAAAAAATCAAGGCGTACCTGGGCAGGCGTTGACTCGCATAACGCGTCATTCTCAGCGAGTTCCATAGAAAAAAGGTCCAAACTCTAAAACCAATTTATTCCTTGTAAGCGACCTGGGAGACGCGACTATTCACGTGATGAACACGAACGCTAACCGGAAGTAGAAAGAAGTAAACAATGCGAGAGACGCAGCGGCAAAAACTTTGAGAAAGGGACAGCATGAAAAGAAAAGGCAGCTGGCTGACTGCTCTAACATAGCAGACAGCATTGCACTCGTGGGTGGTCTTTAGCCATGGCAAACCGCTTTTCATCACCATGCCCAACCTCCCATGACACCCCTGGTCAGTCGGGGCTCTTCGCTAGCCCGTCTGGGTCCGCAATTCCACGACGAAAATCGCTTCCGCACCTTCGAACGAAGAGAAAGAGCATATCCAGCACCAACCCGCAGAGCCCTCTCAACCCTACCAGTCCTTACCTGTCACGGAAGAGTCGAATCCCCGTCAGAGAGTCTCCGAAGAAAATGAGCAACAACGATCACAGTGACGATGAAGTTGACCTTAGCGAATACACCTTTGACCTAAACAAACTTCCCGGTGAGCTGGTTAGTATTGGAAAGGAGGATGGTGAAAAGAAACAAAAGAAACAGGATGCTAGGGAAAACCCATCCTCTGATATCGAGGGTCCTGAGGATTTCACCCTGAACATGGTCGAACTCCTGAAGAACGTTGACCTGGAGGACACGCAACGAACTCAGGTGCAGGTTAAAGGGGAAGGAGGTAAAGAAAAGGTGAATGCCAGTAAAGAAAATAAAGGAGAAGCAGTGGGTGAGCAAGATGATAGACACGACCCCGAGGGCCCAACGAGAGCTACAGGATTACCAGATTATACCCAACTCGAGCACACTATGGAAACCTCTACGCCTGCACATTTCCTCTGGAGGGACGTAAATGAGTCTTTACAAAACACATCGGTATCGAAGCGTCAGTCCAGTCCACCTGAAAAAGTCGACAAAACAGATGATGTGCAGGAAAACTCGGTTATTTATACTCCTGGCCGAAAATCTGCTCCAACAACTCCAACAATAGACCTGTCTAGGATGGACGACACAATGAATAGCCAGGGAGACCAGACATTGTGTGCTGCCCAGCAGATCTGTCAGCTTGAGCTAGACCTCGAGGCTAAAACACGACGCATTCGGGAGATGGAAGCGAAGCTGACAGCGGAAGCCTCTTTACGCAAGGAGATAAATGAGCTGAAACAACAGCTGCAGAGGCGTGATGAAATTACTCAGCTGACTGATGCGGAGCTTAATGAGTTACGAAAAACCAAATCGCAGCTGGAACAAGCGCGAAGTGACATTACCAACCTGACCTCAAAGGAGTCTACCCTTAGGGGTAATTTGAAGGAGAAAACTAAGCAGCTGAAAGATGCAGAAAAGAAGCTGGAAGAAACTCGCTTAGCTCATAAACGCCACTCCGAGGAGATAGGCGCAGAACTGAAGCAAACAAAACAAGAGTGTGAGAAGAAGCTGGGTGGAGTTTACAGTCTGAAGTATCAGTTGACATCCGTCACCAGAGAACGAGACTCGATAAAGAAGACCTCGGAGGATCTCGAAAACACTGTACGAAAATTAAAAGCACAGGTGGAAACAGCAGAGTCACAAAAGGCCGAAGAAGCCGCAGAGAGTTTGGCAAGGCTCAGGGAAGTTCAGAAATTTGCAGGAGAGCTGGCCCTCCCTGCACTCGGAAAGCCGTTCTTTGAAATCGTCACTCTTTTACGAGAGCATGTTAAGAATCTCAGCGAGAAGACTTTGGAAGAACAGAAGCAGCGCTCAAAAGAGTCTGAAGACGCCCAAAAAGAATTACAGAAGCTGCTCAAGAAGGCTAACGGGGCAGCACGGCTTGAGGCTCGCAAGGCCGAATTATATCGTGACCGTCTCACTGAGACTTCTTCTAAGATAGAGTCGGTGAAAAGCGAAAACACGGAGCTCCTCGAGAGAATCGCTGTTCTTACATGTGATAATGCAAAACTTAAAAAGAAAGCAACAGAGACCACTCAGGAGCATGACCAAGCTCTCGACGCTCTGCGGAAACTTCGAGCTGAAGCTGAGGAGTCACACAAGTCACAGATTGCGAAGCTTAAATCATCCCACTCTGAGCAGCTGGCCAAATACCGAAACAACACACAAGGCCCGAGTAGCGAGTTACAGGCCCGTTTGGCTGCCTCAAAAAACAGGGAAAGCGTCCTTACGGCAGAGCTCAAGGCAGAACAGGAAGCCAGAGAGAGGCTTGAGGAAGATATGACACGGATGGAAGCTGAAATAGCACATCACCATATGACACAGAAGAGACTTGAGGCAATCATCAAGGCCAATACCTCCGCGGCGAAGAAAATAGATGGCAAGATTGTCGAAATCATGCGCGAGAGAGAAGATGTTTGGAAATCCCGCGTCGACGAGCTCACCAGGGACAACGAGAAGTTAGGCAAGGTGTTAATGACCATGTGGGGCAAGCAGGAAGTTGGAGACCACATCAAGTTGAAGAAAAATGAAAACGGGGATAAGCAGGGGTATAAGTATAAGTATGCTAGAAAGGTTCAGGACATTGAGATTGGGGAGATTTGGAATACCCTTTTGGGAGAACCGGCCAGCTGATCTAGAGGCACCTCACGGCCGGTTAATAATAGCCTGGATGCGCCTTTCTCATTGGTCCTCATCTATCTATTCGGATCTTTCTGGTACTTATAACATGCGTGTATGAATAATGTTTGTTTCAGTTATGTTATTGATGCAGAACTCTTGGTTATTGTTTTGGTGTGCCTAATTTCTTATCTCCCTTATCTCCCTTATCTTGATTTTTGATCTTATCAATCAATAGGTTGCATTGAGATTCACGTGACTTTATACCTCGGCTCAAATTGATTTGGCCCGAGCTCGGCTTCCTCCGTTATCTGATCGCGATATCAAAAGGAAGACAGGAGGGCAGTTTTGCTCCAATTATGTCTTGATGAAGGCCTTTTGCCCTCCTGGTGTACAGAGTACTACTCCTTGAATATTCGTTGAAATATGGCAAGCTTCTCTCCACCATTGCAGGGCATACGGGTGGTCGAGCTCGCTGGTTTAGCCCCTGGTCAGTTAGTAACCAGCAGTACCAATTGTTATCTCAACCACTACCCCAGTCCAGCCACACCTAACCTACTTACCCTTTATAGGTCCATTTGCGGGTCTGATGCTCAGCGACTATGGCGCCTCTGTTGTTCGAATCGATCGACCGCATCCCAATGCTCATTCGCAATCAAAGCCCCTCCCGCCTCCTACATTCGACGCACTCACACGACACAAAACATCCATCAGTCTCGATCTCAAGAACCCTGCTTCAAAGGCCGTTTTGCTCTCCTTACTATCAAAAGCCGATGTCCTGATCGATCCTTACCGCCCTGGCGTCCTGGAGAAGCTAGGACTATGTCCCACCACTGTGCTACTGAAGCATAACCCCCGCCTTATCATTGCGCGCATGACTGGCTTTCGACGCGATGGGAAGTACAAGGACATGGCAGGTCATGATATAAACTATATAGCTGTTTCAGGAGCTCTATCCCTCCTAGGCCGAGCAGGGGAGAAGCCGTATGCACCTGGAAACATTCTCGGAGATTTCGCTGGCGGCGGCGCAGTTTGTTTCCAGGGGATATTACTTGCGCTTCTTGCCCGCCAAACCACAGGAAGGGGACAGGTGGTCAATGCCAACATGGTCGATGGGTCAGCTTACTTGGCTACATTCCCCCGCTTGGCGAGGCAGACTCCAATGTGGGATGGGTCGAGAGGGAGTAATGTTCTCGACGGCGGGTGTCCGTACTACGACACGTACGAGACCAAGGATAAAGGGAGGTATTTTGCCGTGGGAGCGCTGGAGCCACAGTTCTATTCTGCGCTGCTGGATGGGCTGGGTCTAAGGGAGGAAGAGGTGTTTCCTGTTGGTTCGAGTATGGCGAGGGAAGATAAGGAGAATTGGCCGTTCATGCGAGCTGTGTTTGAGAAGAGGTTCAAGCAAAAGACCCGTAGCGAATGGGAGGCTATATTTGACGGGACAGATGCCTGTGCTACACCTGTGCTTACCATGGATGAGCTTGAAGAGGCAGGGTATGACCAGAGGCCTGTTGTAGGGTTGTCGGACACGCCTGGGCTAGCCATCGAGCCTGATGACGGTGGATGGAGCGGGGGCGGTATTCATCCTGGCTCTGGGGGCGAGGAGACATTGAGAAACTGGCTTGGATGGCAGGCTGGACGGGACTATCAAGTGCACAACGGAGCCCTTGTTAAAGTTAAGGTTGTTGCCCGGACGAAGCTCTGAGTTGGGCCATAATAAGTATTGATCTGGTCTCGTTGCTTTTTTACTCGCAGGTTGGTTGATTGTGACTGTTAGATATGTATCTCCAGGCTCATGTCTTTCTTTTTTCATTGTATTATTGCCTAACAGAGCTATTAACATGGATTAAGCATTAAAGAGAGCCTTTTTGAGATTTTTTTTATAGTGAAAGAGGTATGGTGATGCGCCTGAATTCAACAGCCTTCAGGGGTGCAAGTAAGTGGATAGTTTTATATCGAGGACAAAGGGGGAAGTCATGCATGCAAGAAGCAACTGTATTCTCGGAAGAAAGGAAGATAGACAAAGGGTAGAAGAAGTAGAAGAAGCAGGAGTGGAAGACGTAAAAGAACAAAAGGGTGGAAGAACTCCAGGTTCTCTAGACCCGAATGTTAAACTATTGAAGAGAAGAAGAAAAAAAGTGGGGGAGAAGATAGAGCGAGAGAGAGGAAGGTTGGCGAGAGAGTTGGCCGATTAGTCGCTTAGATCTGGATTGGCCACGAAGAGCCTGACGCCGGTCATGCTGGAAGTGCGCTCATCGACGCTGCCTCGTCGTTTGAGATCGTCTGAGATCTTCCGTTTCTGCATGGCTGTCGAAATGCCTGTGGGAGCAGCCATTTCAGTAATCTTGCCGAACTCGTCCTCTTCTTCACTGTGTGAGGTAGTCGGACGCTGGTCTGAGGTATTAGTAGACGATCGATTGGGTGTCTTTAAGAAATCTTCATCTTTGATATTCTCTAGCGGAGCAGCAGGTGTCTCGATGATGTCTGGTATATCTGCGTTGGGAGGAGTATTATTTGCACTGCTACTGCTGCTGAGACGGGTCTGGCCGGCTCGCTGGTGAGCTATAGATATGCGATTGCTGGCCGTCGAACTTCTGCTGCTCCCCGTACGGCGGTGTACAAGCTGGCTGGCGTCTATGCGGTCATCTTCATCGTCTGCATCCCCTACTTCGTTTGCGCTTAGTCGTAGGGGAACGCCGGCGCCAACCATTGTGCTTGTGTTGTAGCTTATAGAACGGCCGTTGCCGCTGTGTCTGATCTTCCCTGCGCTGATCAGGGTGCTGCTGCGTGTGGAGGAGCCGCCGTGGACTTCCAGCAGGGCTCGCTGTTTGGCGGCGCGACGCTGGGCGAGCAGGCGGGGGTCCTCTGTCTGGGCCCGGTCACACCAGACAGTAGCCTTTTGCTTGCGCATGAGAGCAACGTAGCTGACCTGTGGGCGCTGGGAGATGGTGCTGAATCTGGTATCGAAGCTGACCTGGCTCATCTGGCTCATCTGGCGGGCGGGAGGCGCGTTGCCGCCGCCGGTAGAGGTGGTGCAAGTGGTAGCATTCGACGCTCTACGAGACGGCGGGGCAGCACCGTACTGTGACTGCAGCTGGTGCTGGGGATATTTCTGCTGCTGCGGATACTGGTAGAACTGCTGCTGCTGCTGGTTCTGTGGTTGTTGTTGTTGTGGCTGTTGCTGTGGTGATTGCGGTGCTGCCTGGTGGTGGTGATACTGGCGCTGAGAATATTGCTGCTGTTGCTGCTGCTGTTGCTGCGGATGCGGATGCGGACGTTGCTGCTGGTGCTGCTGGTGCTGCTGATGGTGGTAATAGTACTGCTGGCTCTGCTGGCTCTGCGGCTGCGGGAATCCCACGATGGACTCTCTGGCAGGCAGCATCTCGGCGGGCAGGAAGGAGGAGCTGGCGGTGCGAGGGCGATACTGGGTGCTGGGGGGCCTGGCGATGCTGGAGACGCTGCTGGCCTGGAGGTGCGACGGGCCTTCGGTGAGATGCGGCGAGCTGCTGGAGTCGAGCGTGTGGAACTGGAAGCCGGCATTGCCTGGCACCGGCTTGCGGGGAGGCGCCTTGTACACGGGCGAGCGATAGTCTGCCATCGTCATTCGGCCTGGGAGCCTCGTCTGGTGTATTTCTTCTTCTCGTTCTTCGTGTGCGTTGCCGTTGTTGCTGGGTCTGCGGTTGGCTGGTGGAGGACGGGGAGGCGGCGGCTTCTCTGCTGCGTGCAACTGACAGCGCTGGCAGCACGTCCAGGGGCTCGATCGACGGGCGAGAATACGAGCAGCTCGAGGGCCAACGCTACCTCGTCTGTCACTCTGACAGTCCCCCTCTGTTCCGCCACTAGAGAGCTGTCAACGGTGCGGCGGGAGGTCGAGGGTTGGTTGGGATTGGAATCGCGATCGCACGCAGAAAACGAGGAAGAAGAAGAAAAAACGGGCCGAGGCGGACGGCGGCTACGGCGCGACTTTCACCGGGACACGGCGAGAAGGACGAGGAACATGCGAAAGACGAAGGACCCTGCAGCGAGGACAGAGAGAAGTGAAGCAGCCCGGCAGAGGAGGTGAGGGCGTGTCTGGCTGTATGTATGTATCTCACTAGCCGCCGCAGCTGGAGGTGTCGATGGCTGCCAGCGAAGAGCAGGCAAAAGCAAAGAAAAAGGACCAGGGAGCAAAAACCCTCCAACGCCACCGCTGAGACGCTGCGAAGTTTGGAACTGCTACGGTAACAGCTCCTTCGCGCCCAAGCAGGCGGATGGACAGTCGAACCAAGGAACCTGCTTGACCTGGTTGCAGTCTCTGGGCGCTGGAGCTCGCAGGGCGAAACAAGCATTGCCGCGACGCAGGGGATGGGGAGGATGTCGACATTTTATATACAGTACATCTACGGCTGCGGGACTACGGGAGGGACAGGAATGGAATCAAGGGACAGGAGTCAAGAGACAGGCAGCAGGAGACAAGCAGCCAGGAGACAGGAGCCTGCACTGCCTGGCATCGAATTAGAAGCGGCATCGCAGCGGTTGGCCCTGAATATCCAAACCGCGCCTCGACTGGCTGTTTGTCTCGCCAAAAAACAAAACAGGCAGCCCAGTCAGTAGCCAGTCAACTAGCTGACCAGCTATCATCAGGGAGCATTGGGGCTATAAATAGAGAGAGGCTCTCTTCTCGTCTGGCTTGCTCGCTAAATCCAGCTGCTCTCAGGCCACACACGAGGCGGCTCAAGCAGCTCGCTTGCTCTAGGAACGAGACGAGAGACGGCAGAAGGGAGACGCAGGCATGGCATGACCCGGACGCAAGGCGCAGGGCCCCGCGAGAGCTTGCCCAGACACCAGTCGACGGTCTGGCGAGACGTGGCTGGTTCTTGGGAGACGGTCTGTCAGGCCGTCAGGGCCATCGATGTTGGGAGCCAAAGATGTTGACAGTCTCGAGATGGGGCTTGAGTCTTAACACCTTGATATAGTTATTATTATGGAAAACTATCGAACACGATGACGGCATCCCTGGAGTTTTGTTTCTTTTTGCGGGCTCTTTCGCTTGGAGACCCTCAAAGCAGCCTTGTTTGCCCCTGACCTACAGAGCTCTTACTCCGTACAGACGAGAGGACGTCACAAACAGGGACAGCAGGATGGATTCCTCAAAACTCCCGCACTGACAAATACTTACACTGTATATGGAGACGGAAGCGATATCTCAGTCTTAGCCAGTGAGCCTGGGATGAAAGCCTCTCGAAACCACGGCTGCTGCCTGGCCAGTTCTATATCCTCCCACCCCACAGTGGAATATAGCCTTCCATGTTATATCAGTTTGAGAGAATATGGATTATTGTCTGTAGCTTTGGATCTATGACTCCGATACTACTCACGTCGCGCCAACATTCGAACGGAGCTGTCGATAGGCTTCTTTCATGTTTTGTCTATCTGTTAAATAGCCAACAGGTAGCAAAGTCCTGACTAAGGCCATTCACACCCTACACTCAGCGAAATAATACCCCCCCACCGAATTAGTGCATAGAGCTACCATGGACAACCGGCCTGAGGAATGCATTGTCTCGATCCCTCCAGAATACAAGACTCTGATGCGCTACGTTGGCTCGTTATTTGGAGTAGGCTTGCTCCACCAGCGTTCGCCGACCCTTTGGGCTGGCTATATAGATTCCGAATACAAAATCAAACAGTGTGTGTTAACAAAAGAATACATATAGGATATATTAATAAAGACGTGGGTCTATAACTATGAGGTAGTTACTGGGTGGGAGACTGGAGCCTCTAGAGACGGCTATATCTTTATCCTACTCTGTTGAAATCAGAAAGAAAGGAAACTATGGCGCTAGCGGTATGCCCAGATCTACTGGTTTATACTCCGTAGGGGAGAGTGAGGATAATATATATATATATATATTTATATCCGATAGTATTCCAACCTTCCTAGAACACTATATCTAAGACGCCCTAGAGCCTATTAATGAATTATACTAGCTTATCCCTTTGGATAATCATCCGCTATATCCACAGGAAACATCCCAATCACCCTGAATGATAAAGTCTGTGTTTCCTTTTCGGCGAATAAATATGTTTTACTGCATGTGTATTTATTTCAGTATCGGCTCTACCCTAAGAAAGGCCATTACACCGTTTATATTAAGCTTAATTTCGGTTCTCCTTGAATTCATGCAATAGGCCATCTTTGCGACAAGCCTGCCAGTTTTCGGCGCTTTCATCCAGGGGCTTGTCTCTCAGCCTCCTCTCAACGGCCCGTCGTTGCATCCTGTCATCTCCAAGCTATGGCTAGTAGCAAGACGGCTCCTTTCACAAGCTCCACCGATAGTCCTTCGGCTAGGGTTTACCATCCTTCGCTACCTCTTTGTGGCGTATTCAAGACGCTAGGGGCTCGACTTCCGGCCCTCCAGATCCAGCGTGAGTGGAGAGACAAACACGAACAAAGGAGCACTCGATCTTCGCCTCTACCAAGCCATGGAGCAGCTCGACAGCTTGGTTTGCTGCAGAAGTGCCGTGCCGTGCATACATACACCGAGTGAGCACAAGTGATTTTATGCATGGCTTAACTATGGCCCCCTTTTATAAAGCTGGTCGTCCTCGTATCTGCCTTTTGACCCTCTGTCAAAGAAACATCTCCTGCTCTCTCCACTTGCGACCCTTACACTTTAGTTTTTTAACTAATAACTAACTATGGAGTCCAGAGGTGAGTCTCGCGGAGTTTGCAGGGCGGGGAGGGATGCTGCAGTAGTGGAGAATAGTAACAGCACGAGCAGTCCTGCTGTGCTACCGTTGGAGGTGGACGATGATGTTCGTTGGTGACTCCCCTGATAACCAACTGACCCATGTATATAACCGCTGACGAAGGAGCGATGACTAGCATAAAAGCGACTATGGCGACGAGCTGTATGCATAACTTGCCGTCTCTCCTACCGTCTCTTATGCGGTGCAACATTATGATGCAACTCGTCTAACGGGCCTGCAGGTCGAGATACTCAGCCTCTCTAACGTCTAGCGTCGTCGATTATCCCGTTGTACAGGGTCGAAGATACCACGCCTACCACCAGGGCAGTGAGTGTGGCTGCTATTAAAATAACTGTCCTAACCAATAGAGCCAGCGAACTAGTTAGTTAACCAGCCCGTAGGATATCTGTTCCCCAATGACGAACAGGAGAATGAGAGACTTGACATCCATCATGGTCTCATCGACACCCTCCTGCATGGCCGGCTCCATTTGGCCCCTATCAGCAAACACCCTCAGCGAGTACTCGACTTGTGCACTGGAACCGGCATAGTACGTGCTTTCGTCCGTGTATCACTAGTTATTGCTTTACTAACATGCCACCACAGTGGGCCATCTCATTTGGTAAATATTTCCATTGAACGATGTGAGTTACCTCTAGCTAATACGACTCTATCAAGCTGATGAATACCCGTCGGCCGAGGTAACTATAAATCCATGCATCTCGACAAATCTAACCACGCCACTGACGTTGCACACAGGTTATTGGGAACGACCTGAGTCCTACTCAGCCTTCTCTGTATGCACGAATACTCCTGAAACCACCATCGTGATCCCTACTTACATGCAGCAGAGTACCCCCGAATCTGAAATTCATCGTTGATGATGTCGAAGATGAATGGGGCTACGAGAATAGTCCCTTCGACTATATCCACGGCCGCTTCCTGATCGCATCTATCAGAAATTGGCCAAGGCTAATACAACAGTCCTTCAAGTATGGATATTATACCTACTGGCCTTCAACCCATTATTCAGCCAGCGCATACCTAACTTAAGAAATATTTAGCTGTACGAAACCCGGAGGATGGGTTGAGTTTCAGGACTGGGACGGTACTATCCGCAGCGATGATGATACGTTAAAGGGAACCGACCTATTTAAGCTACAGGAAACAGTTAAAGAAGCATTTATTGAGATAGGCATCAACTCGAACCCAGGCGCTGAATGCGGCAGCTGGCTCAAAGATGCTGGATTTATCAACATCACCACCCAGGTTACTATATACCGCCTTACCATTTGTTCTAGTGTGTGCATGATGCTAACGCACGGCTTGGGTAGAAATATAAAGTCCCGCTTGGAACGTGGCCGAAGGACAAACACCTGAAGGTCGTCGGTGCATTTAACCTACTCCAACACTCGGAGGGGCTAGGAGGTATTGCCAATTTGCCGTTGATCAAAAAGGGCTGGAGTCCAGAGGAGATCCAGGTCCTATTGTCGAAAGCACGGGGAGACCTGAGAAACCGTTCTATCCATGCGTATTTCAATTTGTAGGTTTATACATGTCTTCTCCCCACCCTGCTTTGTCTGGGTGTTGCTAACGTTACAATGCTGGATAGTTATATAGTATATGGTCAGAAGCCTGAGGCTACATTGCTTACGGGATAAGACGAGGGTCTAAATGGACATAGTAATTCTTTCTTTCTGTGGATGCAGCGATGTTATTGTGCCTATTCTTCAAATATATACCCCCTGATTTTCAGCAATAGGCAAAATGTCAACCTCCCTTAAACTTGAATACCCAGCTAAAGCTCGCGAGATGTAAAATCCAGTTAACCCCGGAAGGAAAGTAAGGTACCCTTCTTCAATCAGCTGTGACTTATGTGTACCCATAGGTAGGTATATTCCTCCCAAATCCTAGGGCAAGTCGAAAAGGCCAGGACGGGGAAGAGAGAGCAATCGACCTCCAGGATCCATGCGGGACTCCGAGGACCACCTATAATTTCGAAACAACCAGAAGTTATAAAAATCGTGCGAGGAGATTGGTCGGTATTCCAGAAGCCCTAATGCAAATCGCAAGATTAGGCGCCGGCAGAAAAAGACGGCAAGCTCGACATTGAAACGGTGAAGCTGATAAAAACTGAAATCGTCCATCTGCTTCATGGCTAAGAACTTTGCGACCCTCTCACACATGCCCTCATGGTAACGAAACTGGACTGTACCTTCCGGAAGAAATCGACACTTGCCGTCTATGAGCCTACAGATATCGAGGTTCCAGTCCTTCCAAGGCGGCGACATTCGCATGTATATGGGAGCCCCAGCCTTCCGTTCTGGTGGGGTTTGGTGGTCGGCATACAGGCTAGCTTTCTTTCGTCTATATGATCCCCATGGAATTGGGACGTCTGCCGTGAACACTCCAATTTCTACTGCTATATCCTCAAACTTGGGTGTCGGGCGCTTTTTAGGTGGCGCCGGAATTGGGTCCGCTGTTGTCCAACGATGAAAGACCATTGACAGGAAAGCTTCCGTTTCATCATGCGTAACTTTAACTTTGGGGTCGGTGAGTTTCTTAATACAGCAAATGTAAGCCTGGAGCTTCTTTTTTTGCCTGGGAGAGAGCTGATCTGGGCAGTGAATTAACTTTATTGTGCCATCAGCCAGGGGACAAGGTAGTGAAGAGGAGCGAGGAGCTTCCATTCTTGTTGTTTATTTGATATACCGTATCTTCTCAACGAACCGCAATGTTTAGCAAAATTCTGGCCTCCCCGTTCAATATAGGCGAGGGAAAGAGTGCCAACAGAGTAGAAGACGATAGTTTTCGCCAGTAGAAGGATAGTTTCATCAGTCAACGCAATTGGTTGAGAGCTGGAATGAAAACCAGAAAGTAAAAGCCCACGTAGCTGGTTAAATACTAAAAAAAAATGAAGACCAAGAGGTGGGAAGTGAAATTCAAGTTTCTTGTTAAGGCTTAGCGGCCAAACTGGATAACCTGAGCTTGAAGTGCAAATGAGCGTACAAATTGCAGTGTTGCATCACGGGTATATAGCCTGTTCTCTGTTCGAAGATAAAGGAAATTTTGACAACGGCCCAACATAGAAGGGAGGAGTAGCATGGCCACACAAAGAGCAATTCAGAGAATCTTTAACCTCTACCCAATATGAGTCCCACATGCTAATGATAGGTCACTCGGAGGATAATGTTATATTGGTATAGCAAGTTATATGGAGGAACAATCGCATCATAGATACGCTATGGTTTTTTTCACCATGGATTTATTTCGAGATAATTCTCGTAATACCGCAAAAAGCATCGCAGAATAACATAGTCATTGTTAGTATGTATATCAAATGGTGGCCATTGTCCATCAAAATATTTTTTATCAAGATGTTGTAGTTCTTGTCTTCTCATTTCTTTTTTTTTTTTGACGCCGAAATAGGCGCCATGCTTAGTCATTTAATATAACATCACGTGCCTAATTAATCGAGTTGACGCGTCTAGTTCGCGTTTGTTGCAATCTTGAAGCGACAACAAGCAGGCAGCAAGCACACTTGGTGATTAGGAGACGGAACAGTTGTACGGCCTGTTTTCGTCATTGTGTCTTTTATTCTCCCTTCCGATAGAGATATACTGCCCTATTTCGCTCCCAAGCAGAGGATTGCCAGGTCCTTACTCGAGAACGACAGCCGCCCGCTACCTCTAATCAATGCGCTGACAGCATTTTAACCCAGAATCTTACCCTCTGGCTGTTATCTACGCATTGTCGGATAATACTAGATCAATTTTGACGTGAGACCTCCGATAATCGGCTGATAACTTAAGAATCGGAGTGCGGTGATACCTACTACATGGTTTAGATTTGTGGATTAGGACAAAGATCTATGATTATTCACGGTCCTTGGAAAACACTCAGAAAGAATTAAAATGACAGAGGTCGATGTCCGTTCAGGTATGAATGGAATACCGGCTTCCAGGTTGACCCCTGAGCCTCCAAAGAAGCGGGTATTCGATGAGCTGGAAACCACTGTCCAACTTAGTACTGCATCTGCAACGAAATCCAATGTCGATAATGCCGTTGATTTGAGTAACTCTACTACTCCTGCCCCGTCCTCGACAAACGCAGGACCAGTTTCCGACAATGCCACCCATCCATCACCCACCAATGACGTAACTACTGGTCAAGTCCCTTCTACCCCCAAAGCAAAGCCAACAAACCCGAACAAAAAACGCAGATTATCCCCCGCAAGCAAGGAGGCTAAAGAACGACAGAAGGCAGAGGAAAAGGCTAAAAAGGAAGCAGAACGAAAAGCAAAAGAGGAGGAGAAGAAAAAGCGGGATGAGGAAAAAGAAGAGGAACGTAAAGTGAAAGAGAAGGAGAAGAAGAAGCGAGAGGAGGAGAGGGAAGAGAAACGACGGCAGAAAGAAGAAGAGAAGCAAGCCAAGGAAGATGAAAAGCGAAAAAAAGAGGAAGAAAAGCAAAAGAAAGAGAGGGTATGTGACATTGAATCAGTGGCACGAAGGGTCGACATGGCTAACAAACATACAACAGTCCCAAATGAAACTTAATGCTTTCTTCACAAAACCAAAGCCCACGCCGAGCTCAACGAAAGGAACCGATGTTAATGCTACTGGAGCGACTGCTATCTCGGCTTCCGACTCGACCAACAAAGAATCTAAGCCTTCTTCGGACTTCGAACTTGAATTCCCGCCCTTTTTCGTTCAATCGCACGTTAAGCTGGCCCCTACCCATCGATTTGGACGAGATTCAAGCTCATTAGGCTACGCTTGCGAGAAGCTTGACAGTCTTTGTAAATCAGCTTTTGGGCTTGCCAATGATGATAACCCATCGCAGCAGTATAAGCCTGCTGAAGTGTTTCAGATGATATCATATAGACGTCGTCAGGGTGATCCTACAACCCCATCTGTGAAGGAAATTCTCCTTAAGCTGCAAGACCCTGAACTTAATAGTATTGGCCTTACGGGTACGAATGGCACACCAACCCAGGTTGAGAAAATGCTTCGAAAGATACCCATGAAGGTTTTAAATTTCAGAGAAGATGTTAGGCCGCCGTATCAAGGCACCTTCACTAAACGATTAGAGCAGAGGGCCGCTCGAAAGCTATGCCGAAACCCCTTTTGGCGCGGTGTACCTGATTTTAATTATGATTATGACTCGGAGGCGGAATGGGAGGAGCCAGAGGAAGGCGAGGACATTCTTTCTGAAGGGGATGATGAAGTCAGTGACGATGGAGAAGATGATATGGATGATTTCCTTGATGATGGAGAAGACGAGTCAGCCAATACTAAACGGAGAATGATCGTTGGGGAGCTCGAACCGAAATGCACAGGAATATGCTGGGCTGAAGAAAACGCGGACAATACAATATTAAATCAACATAGAATGGAAATTATACCAGGTATGAAAGAACATTGCCGTGAACTTACAGGAGTATATGAGAACTAACCGATCACAGACAATATAACGTTTCCTATTGACCCTTTTTCTACTCAATATTGGGAGACAAAACCGAAGGTATCTCCAGGGCAATCAACCTTCAAAGTTCCTCATAGGCCATCCACGGTTAAAAAGTCTTTATCGAAATCTCAGCAACAATCATTGTTATCACCCTCGTCGGCCGCGAAATCCTCTAAGAAACTTACCCCAATGGTAGTAGTACCAGTGGCTAGGCCTAAACCTCGAATCCAATTCCCAGAAGATAAGCTTGATGAATTCAAGGAAGCTGTTTCGGGGAGCAATCTAACCAAGGCTGGACTAATCGAAGTTTTGAAGAAAAGGTATATTCTATGTTTCTATATTACCCCTAAGAATTCATCAAAAGCGAAAGTACTAACCATAGATACTTTTTACTCGTCTAGATTCCCCAAAGTCTCTAAAGATATCATCAAAGAAACACTCACCGCAATTGCGGCACGACAAGGTCAGAAGGAAGTAGACAAGAAATGGGTTCTGCTTTAAACATTTATCATTTCTCAATATCTATATCGCTTCACTCCTTACCCTATGAAGGCTACATATTGTTCCTATACCCTATACCCATGGCCACTCTTTCTGTACCACACTGATTATCTCGTGTTCACGCGCCACAGGTAACATTTTTCTAGTTTTACTGATATCTGTTCATATACCTTGCATCCACGAGCAAACGACTTGCATGTTTACCAACGTTGTGTGAGCCTTTGTCTTGGAGGTCTGTTTTGATATACTTAGATGAAACCATTATACATATCAGATGTTCTGATAATACGAACGCATTTCTACACCAGGCTGTTTTTATAGCTAATTATACTCGAGAAGTGAAAACACATAATATTTATAGCACTAAAGGAAGAAGTACGAGGTCTCATATATTTTCCATGTATTAACATTGCTGAAGCCAAATATTGACTAACCAGATAGCGATCTCCAAGAAAAGCCCATACTTGTAAGGAAACTGGCCTAGACGGTATCCAACATGGTATCCAACATGGCCGCTGTCGCTTAGAAAACGTTGGAAGCATCCTTACGTCAGGTGTAACCCAGGGATATACAATAGATGTATGTATTACATCTTGCTCGCTTAATGAAGCGGCTGATAGCCTAGGACCACCAGTTGGCGGCTACCAGTTCTATATGGTAAAAAGGCGTATTTTGCCGACTGTACGGAGTATGTTCAAGGTTGAAGCTGTTGGCACACTCTGCTATGGGAAGGTCAGAGGGGCTTTGGAATGCATCGTAATAGGGGTATCATGTGTCCATTTGTCGAGTACACCGGCTGCTTTCGCTTTCCCTCGAGCTGAAGTTGATATAAAGAAGTTCCAGAAGAACAAGTAAGCTTAAACAGACGTCACCGCCTCAACCTCACCTTCAACTAGCGACAAAGACAACGACAGTGACGACGGCGACGAGATAACAATAGTCAGTTACCATGAGAGTTACCTTGACTGGAGTAGAAACAAAGAGGGATGCAGACACGAAAGCGAGTACTTCCTTCTGTCTGCTATGACATCAGATGAGAGACCACATGAGCGGATGGCTCAGCAGCGGCCTGACACCGTGGAAAGCCTGCCTGACTAGTTACAAATTCCTCATCGACCTGGAAAGCTGAGGCTGCTCCGTCCTATCCGCCAAAGTCCTCTTGAGCCTCCGTAACGGCGTCTGAGGCCGTCGGACTCAGCTGCGAAAGTCCCATAATTTGGCCACTATGGAGGCTAACCAACGTATTCTTCTGCCACTAACTACCATAGTCTGTCTGCTCAGGCTAAAATTTACGAAGAACGAGTCGCTCTTTGACAAAAAGCGAGCTGGAACATCTCATTCGCCATCTGGCTCGATAGCCTGTCCCGTTGCTCCCCCAGAGTTTGTTTTGCTTTCATGTGTTTATGGTGGGATGGGCGTGGCCCAACCAGAGCTGGTATATCAGATGCAAGCGGGGCGCTAGACGTGGTGGAATGCATGCATCATTGCCAGCTCATCGACCAGACCCTGTCACCATGCTAGTCGCTCATTTGGCGCATCTGGCTGCAGCTGCAGCAACAGTGTATGGTCCTCCAGATGTTTTGAATGTGTGTCAAGCAAAGGGAAATGGAGGGAATGACGAAGAGAGATAGGACGAGAGGGAAGAGAATAAAAAGCAAAAGGGTGAAGAAGTACTCCGTACACAAGAGCGAAAGAGAAGACTATACAGAAGATGACGAAAGAAGTCATGACTGGGCAAACATTCGGACTTGAACATGGCAAGCCCTTTACTTTTTCTTCTGCCCATTTTTGCTTCTTTTTCGCTCTTGACAAAAAGGTCGTTTGATGCATTGGACCAACGACGTGGCAGAGCTGATCTGCGACCAAGTCCAAGACCGCCCAACTTACCTGCACGGCGACACAAAGAGCGATGGGGACGGAGCCTATCGTGTCTTGAAAGGCCTTGTCAGCAACTCATCATTTACGAGGAGCATGGCAGCGACGGGGATTACGCTCCAAGACGGAAAATCTGCAAGAATGAATTCCTCTTCCTTTTTTTACTCTTTCGAAAGAAGGAAATGCTGTGGATGACCCCACGAAACTAGAGGAAGCCTCAGCCGTCCCGCCATTAGGTTGATATTTTAGGGCTGTCAAAGGCTGAATGAGGTTGATATTGCTTCCGTTCCAGGCGGTGAGACGGGCAACAGGCAACGAAAGGCATGGCTGTCTGCGCCTGTTCAACCCCATGCAAAGCCGTAACCATGGCCCGGGATAGAAGGAGGAAATTGAAGGAAGATGAAAAAATAGAACAAAACATAAACGATCTATTCTTAACCATCTGCCATAAAGTACGGAATATGAGCCGGGACAGCACTCCTGGGGTGTGGAAAGAAGGAGGGTTAGTCTGCAGACAACCAATTCAAGGTGCAGCTCGAGGTTTCAACCGCCGGGTTCAACCCTGACCGTTGAAGTATGACATCGCAAAGCTCGTCGCCAGCCAGGCGGTTCATCGAGGTTTCCCGCGTTTCATTTCACCCTGTTGGCATGTATCACTCTTGATCGCCACTACATCGAGCATATTATCTGGTAGTTACTCCAGACGACGAGTGAGCAATTTGCATCCTGCTGCTCCTCCTCGTCCTGCTTGTTCTGCCGCCTGGACTTGTACGCCCCCTTACTCCCTCTCTCTCACATGCAGGAAGAGATGACGCTGCCAATCACAGGGCGCTCCAGCACGCCGTCCTCGATCAACTCCAGCACTCTAGCCATCGCCTTTTTGATCGGAGGGAACCGAGCAAGTAAGAAACGACACATCTCTAGCCACTCAAAAAGCCAAACCCTCCTTCTCCTGCTTCTTTTTTCTCTCTCTGTTCCAACCCCCATACGGATCCAGGAGCCGCGAGAAACCTTGAGGAACAAACCGACCAGTCGATACGGGACCATCACTGTCCCTCTTAGTAACGGGCCTACGGAGTTTCCTTCATGTAGCGTAAGACTAGCAGCAGCAATAATCGTGATGGGGCGTAAGCAAAATATGTAACCAGCAAAGAAGAAAAGAAAAAGAACGCAGTCCTTGTCAGGCCAACGCACTCCCCCCTTAACCATCCATATCCCTTCGCCGCTCTGCCTCTCTTCTTATACACATGTAGGAGTCCTCCCGAGCAGCGCAGAGAGACTCCAACCGTCTTCTCCGTCAGCAGTCCAGCAGTCCCTGTCGTGTCTGCAGCTGTCCTTTTTTTAGATATCCCTCCCCCTTATCCCTAGCCATATCCCTATCCCTATCCCTATCTATCTAACTATCTGTCGCTTGCTGTCTCTCTCCGCTGTATCTTTCTCGGGCCAACTCATCAAACCGCTAACTAACTAACCAAAACCACCCCACGCTGGGCCAACTTCCAGCCACCTTCTGTCTCTTCTCTCGCCCGTTGATTCTTCTGCTGCTTCTTCGCTGTGATTCTCTGCAAATACTCAGGCCTCGAGCGACCATCTCGAGCCATGCGATAGTCTGCGTGGGCTCTGCTCTGTTCGCTCTGTCAGCTTGGGCGCTCGGGACTGCTACGGTTCGAGATCGATGGCCCTGTCGTCGCCCATGGAAATATGATCAGCTTTCAACACGCCTGTCTCCCTTCGGTTCTGGCGTATGCTGCTGCTACCGGTGCGTTAAACATACTCCATCTTGCAGCGCTGGGTTGCCCGTTGGAAGCTCGCTGACCTGTGGCTGCAATATCTATAACCATAGCTCTCCCTCCATCACCATCTAGTTCTCCGCCTAGATGCTATACCCCTACGATAACACCACCACCAACAACAACAACAACAACAACAACAACAACAACCCTAACAAGAGCAATAACAACACATCCTACTACTGACGCCGCAGAGAACGATACGCAGGATCCCCCATCAGAGCATGCTACGCCCCAGCCCGCTCGACGGGAAGTCCACAGCTCCGCCGCACGCGATGTTGCCCCAGAGCTTAAGGCGCCGGTTGATCCACTGGTTGCTGGTGTAAGTGCCCGACTGGAACCGCTGGAACCTGAACCAAAGATCGAAGAACAAGAGCAGAAACAACCAGAATCCGCATCTGAGACCGTCGAGGATGAGAAAGCTGAGCGTTCATTCAAGATGGCTCCGGAACCCATGATATCGGTCTCACAGTTTGCGCACCAGTTTTATCTACAGAGATACCAGGAGTCCCAGAGACGTGCCAGCCTTCTCAGGGTCAGCGACCTTTACATTTCCGTCCATTTCTCTGCCAGGCTGCTCCGTGTCGCTGCCGTATCGCACAAGGGGCTGGTCGACAGCCTCAGGCATGGAGACAAGTCCGCTTTCGCTTCGGTTTACAATGCTGTCCACGAGATCCGTGAAGTCTGCGAATCTACCGTCCGTCGCAGTATCCTAGACCATGACCCTTTGGTTGGAACCGGCTCCGTAAGGGGAAGACCACCCACGTTCCTTAATAGACTCTCCTCCGAGTCAAGGGCAGATCTTCTCGAGATCTTGACCCTGGCCCGTACTGATTCGCAGTTTTTATTTGAGTGTATCAGCAACCTGACTTCCTCGCAGCTTTCTGCGCTTGTGAGCCCCGTCCATTCCCTGGAGATTAGCTGTTCTTCGGATGCCAGAGGAAGAAGCCGGCCTCCATCTTCCTCATCCTCCTTTTACAAGCGCGGTGCTACTCATTCTCCTGCTTTCAAAGACTACGCTTTCTCCTTCGAGCGCACAGATCCTCTCTTTGCGCTTGTGTTTAACGTTTATTCCTCTACTTTGGATCCCGATTCCACGGAAGCCCAACTACGCCTGGACGTTTGGTCGTCAACCTGCGCCAAACTGATATCCCATGCAGGCAGCGGAATGTATACATTTGTCGGTCATCTCCTTAACATTTGGTCTGGACTCGGTGAATGGAAAGCCAAAGCCAAGTTTGAAATGTACCTTATGGACATACTGCAGAATGGAGCTTTCCTTCTTGAGTCTAACTCCCGCAACTCAGATATGGATGGCGATGCCTTTGACCCCATGAAAACAGACGTTGCTGAACAGTTTTTCAGAACATCTGTGCAGGCACTGTTTGAAGTTCTCGATGATTCGGATGGCGGGTTCCCAACCGGTTCCCTTGAGTTTGGAAGAGCCATCATTGACAAACTTGGGGTATCGGATACTTGTCGACGGTTTTTAGGCTATCTTTTTTACCAGTGGTTCTTTGGCAAATTCGTGCACAGCGCCATGTGTTTCCCTGAGGTTTGTTTTATACACTTATACACCTACAACATTTACTTCCAGACAGTCCTCATGCTAACTTTTTTCTTTTCAGAGCCATGGACTGCTGCTTGATTTCCATGTCACCAAGGATGCCAGGGAACGCTTACTTGGACACATCGCTCTTTATGCTCAACGTCAAGTTTCTCATATCCTCCAGTCATTGCCGCCATTCTCCTACATCATTCCCAAAATCAAGACGCATGTAGACCGTATGCTCTCTAGACTCGTCGATCCGGTCAAAAATACACCTGATACCACCCCATCGACCTCCCCCCTCGACTCCAGCTTGGTCCAAAGCTCCATGGAACAGAATAATGCAGGCTCAGTTATTCTCCTTTCCACGTCTGATATACTAACCATACTGGATGTCTTCTTCCCGAAGTCGCCCACTTCCGGCTCTCCTGACTTGTTCTCCCAGCAAACTTCCTTCCCCTCCTCACCGGCATCAACCTTCTTCCCTCGCTCTAGCCAACCACTTCAGTCATATGAACCGGGTCTCTTCCAAGGAAGACTCGACAACCTTTCATATTACCCGCCTACCGCAAAAACTATGTTCACCACTGAGTTAAGTTTCCAGGATGCCACAAAATCCTACTTTGTACGACCTAGCAAACCGTTAACACCGGAATCGCCCAAGGACCCCAAGATTCGCAAGGCAGATCGCATTCGTGATGAGATCATGGAGATTCGGGAGTCAGAAGATAGGCCGATGCTGGACCACCCTGCAAACGAGGATTGGGCGATGTTCTCTGTCAACGGCAGGAAACCGGTAGGTCTGTATGCAACCGATGCCGAACAGTCTAGCCACCAGAGCCCTGCCTTTAGAACCGAGCTGCTTCGCAACCAGGATAAAATCGAAGCCGCGGTTGTGAAGATCGTTCACGAGTTTGATTTCCCCCGAAACCAAGCTCTCGGCCAATCGTCACCATCCCCCACCGCAAATGGCGAACTCAGTCTGAAGAAATGGTTCCTTCATGCAATGGGAATGTGCCAGCGAAAGTCAGATTTTTCTGGTGCTCATTTCTGGTGGGAAGCCTCCCTTGCTTTGCGTGACGCATATGCGGAATTAGGACAGACTGTGGCAGACACGAAGTACCTCAGCCCCATGTACCGCTCTGTTACACAATCGGCAGAGCTGGACTCGAACATGATTCAACGCTGTGAACAATCGTTTATTGACCTCAAGAGAAAGATGGACGTTCTCCAGTCCCAGGTTAATAAGACAATGGGCGTCATGGCACAGCTGCGGAACAAAATGTGGTATATGACGGACGTCAAGAACTCGCTGCGCTACGAGGATGCAAAGAATGTGGCTTTGGCTTTGAAAAACATGGCCCTTGCTCAGGCTACACAACCGCCCGCAGAATCTAGATCAAGGGCGGGAGCACGAACCCTCGGCGGATCTTTCCTGCAAAAGCCCGAAATACAGGTCATGAACGTGATGCGAGCCGCGAGAAGCCAAGGAGGCCCCTTCAAGCTGGCCGATGAACAGGTAGAGCTTACTCGAAAATGGCTCCAGCGCTTTGGAATAGATAATTTCTGCCGAGGTGAAGAACGAATTCATCGGTTCTGCTATGAGGTCAAAACCAGTGTCAAAAAACTTGCTGGTGAGACCATGTATGATACCCCTGTGCTCTGGTCTAGCGAGCTTTTTCAGCGTGAACGGTCAAAATATGAGACATCCGGTACTAGGCCGATGAGCGGAAGTGTGCGCCCGTCAAGTATCGCAAGTGAAGATTCACTGGGGAACCCTATGCAGCCTCCGGCCATTAGATCTCTAGATCAGCTATTCCGGCCTCCAACCGACCTGCCGATGCCTCCACTCGTCCGGAAGTCGTCCTTCCAGAGCGTAGCATCCGATAAATGGCAGACGAACGGAAACGCATCTTCGATTAGCGATTCCCCGGGTAAGACTGTATCAACTGCTACCACGGATTCTATTTACCCATACTGGTCCCCGATGCAGACCCAAACCCAGTCCATAACGAGCGCCTCAAGCCTTCGGTCACGGCCTCCGTCTATGTTCAGCGATAATATGCCATATAGGCGCCCCGAACATAACGCTCATGGCAAACACACTTTCCTGGATGGCCTCAAGCGGAATTTAACAAGTTTACTGCTGAGTGACCTTGGATGTCCCGTTTGGAGCTGCGGATCAGAAACCGACGCCTGGTTCTCTGCCTACTTAAATCAACCTCGAGTGCAGAGCCAGATGGAGAAACGTTCACGACTTGACAGGTTCCTATCGCAATGCTCGACTTCTTTGATGGAAGATTTCCGTGAACGGGATGTTGCCGGTGGGAAACTTCGTCGAAGTCGGTCTACACCCTCTCTAGGATGTAAGGCGGGTGCAGCTCAACAATCTAAGGAGAAAGGTATCATCAGAGGAGAGGTGGATGGCGAGTATAGCTTCGGTTACGAGGAAGCCTTTGAGCAGCTGATGGACAAGTTCTCACGTCCAGCCAATCCATACGTGAAGCTGGAAGCACTGCACGAGATGTGGACTCTGGTAGCGACATCTTTGAGCAGTAGCAGAGACGCCCCTTCGCTGAATGAAGCGCGATTACGCCATTCGATGGATGGAGTCTACAGACGTAACAGCCTGCAGACCCGCCAGCAACGGCGCAAGTCCATCGACGACCAAACACCCACTCCCTCCTCACCTGGACTTAGCCCTGCTGAAGTTCCTTCAGGTCTCTCGATCGATGCAGCGATGAACGAGACACAAATCACAAACGCTCTGCGAGATCTGATCCAGAAGTACCAGCCCCGAACCCTTTTCCGAGACCTGCAGTTCATCTCTTCCTTCGTTCCATCCGACATCCTCAACAAAACCGAAAGTGGAACTGCCTTCCTCCAGTTCAGTCTTGCTGCCCTCAAGCTCAAGGACGATGTTTGCAACAGCATGATTGAAATCGCCGATAAGATCGTGTGTGAAGAGCTTGCTCAACGGCACCGACACTCACAACCCATCTCGTACGACTTCTCCCCCAAAGTCGGCAACGGGATCAAAGATGCAGCGAATATGTGGATTGTCACTGCCAGGGAAGGCAACCCTGTTGCTCAGCGAGAGCTGGCAATCCTGTATCTTACCCACCCACACCTACTCCGCCCCGTTACACTCCCTCTCACTAAACCCGGGGACACCTTCAAAGCCGAAGTGATGTATCGACAAGATCAGGATTCCAAGTCCGACCCCCAGAACATGTGCCTGGCTTTGCACTGGATGCAACTATCGGCCGCTGGAGGTGATGAGCTGGCCAAAAACTGGCTCAGGGAACGACAGGAGTTTGAATCCATCTCTTGATACTCGATACGAATGAGTTACGAACCCGTCTATCCATCAATATTGTGAAAAGACTTGTGTTATTGTGCTTTGAGAAAGAGACAAAAAATCTGTTCTATATCGGCTTTTACAACTTCCCTTCTTTTGCATTCCCTTGACTCTGTTTTATGCTTCTTTTGTTTTTATTAAAGATTCACCATATGTGTCTTTCTAATTACCCCTTTAACTATACATGCAGTGCATGACTGTTTGAAAACCTCAGCTGCTTTTCCTTTCCTTTCTTTTCGTTGCTCTCTTTCTACAATGCTTGTTACCAGCCTATCTTCAAAGAGAAATGTTTCTTTCATCTCCTTTGCTATATGGCCTGCCAGTTTGAGAAAAGACCAAACATATACCAGCCCTCGAGTCCATTGTGCCAATCGCTTTTTTTTTTCGATATCTTTTCCTTTTACATCACCTGTCTCAACTACCTTACTGATTTCTTTTACTCCTGGGAGGCTGAAATCTTGCTATTTGCTATATACTCGTTTCGCCCGTTTTCTATAAGCTATATTCCCCCCTACCCAGTTTGCTTGGAGCCCATGCTTTTTCTAAAACAAAAGGTGCCTGTCTCTTGCATTTCAGCGTACGGCAGTTATTATTGTCCTTGTCCCTGAAGCTGTCTGGACCAGTACTTTCTCTTTTGCTTCCTATATCCTCCTCGGCTTTGTATGTTACTACCAGCAGATGATATGGTACGGGGCTATCTATATCTATCTATGTCTATGTCTATCGTGACTCGACCACGCCCGCTGACGGGCAGGTCTGCAGACAATACTAAAGGGTACATCTACTGTTCTCCTCCCCACGGGTCTCTTATAATACAATAGTGCTATAACTGGCTATTTATATACATGTATTTATGTACAAGCATGATCAGCTTCTTTGGGCGTGACCAGATCAGGAACGAGTCGAGTTACGTCATTTTTCACGTGAGGCGGACAAACAAACAGTCGAGTTCGCGATGCTCGAAGTCCGACGAGGACATAAAACTAAAGACAAGCTGATGGTTCTTTGCTTCGTTGCCTCTCGGACTTTGCCAGTCTTTATAAAAAGCGGACATCGAGCTGCTGCCTGATTGCGTCGACTCAAAGAAACAGCTGCATTCACACTGCTTAAGTGTCTGTCCCCGCAAGAAAAGGAAAAAGAAGAAACGAGAGAGACCCCTCCAAAACGCCCATAATTGACCCGTTCGAACTGCAATTCATCTCGAAGCACAGAACTCGTCGGTGAAGGTGAGAGTGATACGCTGCGATCTGTGGTATAGCTGGTATGGCGTGAACTGACTTGTTTAGCAGGATCGAAAAGAATATACTATTAGAAATGTCTACAGTGCAAGAACAGACGTTGGCGGCGGGCCATCATGACCATGCGACGGTACCACGGCCAAAGGGTATGCTATGCCCTCTCTGGATCATACATTGCTTTGAATAAGGCCTGTCTAACGAGTGAACCTACCCAGGTATCCTCAAGCAGTCGCCGGTGCCCATATCTACCATCACACCAAGCGCAGACCCGGCTCTAATGTCGCTATCGCCGCTCGAGAACAAGGAACTTACAATGCAGAACACAATGCAAAATGCCGGCGTCGGCGTCAAGCAACGGGCTCGTGCCTCTTCCCATCGCAAATCTACCAGTTCTAGAGCCTCCAACGGCGATGAGGCGGCAGAGAATTCACCCCGATTGAAATGGGACGAGGCGAACCTCTACCTCACCGAACAAGAGCGGAGTTCGACCATGAAGATCGATGAGCCCAAGACACCATATGTGCCGCACTACGACTACAACGAAGAGAATGACGACATGGATCTCGGAGAAGACGATGTCGGGTTTCATGCTGAAGGAGTGGTGGTGGATGAGCTGGATATGAACAAGGCGAAGAGCAAGAGCAAGTCGAGGGCAGACGACATACCTGATCTCGAGCTTGGAGACCCAGAGGAAGACACGTGGAAGGACATCAGAGCGAGCGAGGCGGAACGGATCATACGAGAGCGAAGTCTAAGCTTTGGAAGCACGGGCAGCAAGAAACGTGTTGTTGTTGGCGGCGACGACAAGGATGAGCATGATCCGACGCAGGAGGAGGCGCAGAAACATCATGATTTTGAAGAGAAGCGGAAGAAACATTATGAAATGGGCAACATCAAGAGTTTACTTGGGTGAGTCTAGATTGATCCAGGCCCCTGCCGTCCTGACTGAATCTGAAGATGCTTACTTTTGAGAAGACACCCTGAGAAGATAGACGTCGATGAAGAAGATGACGACGAGGACGATGACAAGGACGAGGCATCTGCGGGTGCTCCGAGACAACCTCCGGCCGTCCCTAAGATTCCCGAACAGTTCGCAAAGCAGTCGCACTAACTAGCCGGGACGGCATCTTGCATGCTTCCCTTCTCACCGATGTACAGCCTCTTAACCACTTTAACTGCTTGGTCAACCGTCTCGCATTTCATACAGCTGCTTAGCAGGTCTTTGCTCATATTTTCTCCTTTTAATGCCCCAGAATTGGGTGTACCTAGCTTGCATAGTCCTTGTATACCAAATCGCAATTCCCCCTCCCATGCGCACGCTAATTCTGCTGCAGTTACCAGGTATAATAATCCCAGCTATGAACTAGTCGAAGCACAGGCAGAAGATCTTCCAGCTAAGATTGAATGGGTTTCCACTCCGGGTTTTCATCTTACCAGAGGCTGGTCCTCGCCCGTTTCGTTTCTCCTTTAATCTCCAGTATCATAGGTAGAGGTAGCCACCACCAGCCAGTATTTGGTGATATCTATAAACAACAGCATCAGCATCTCCACCACCAGCAGGAGAAGAGGAAGACAGCCATCTCTGCCCTTTTGCCATGCCTTTCTTGTACTTGCTAGTTAACTGAAAGGAAACATCTTTTCTGACTTGTAATAAAAAAACCTGGACTGCCAGCCATGTATGCAATTTCTTGTGATACAAAACAAGGCCGCCCCCTGGTTTCCCTTAGTGTCGCTGCCGTTAAGATTAAGCATCTTTCCTGTATAGCTAGCAAAGGCCTGTCTGAGATCTCAGGGGTTCTTGCTGCTAGTTAGTCTGCAGAATAACCCAGCAGCATTAGCAAGCACTCTCTGTAGATATAATAACGATAATAATAACAATAATAATAACTTACTCTCCTTGCGATAGTAAGAAATAACAAGCCTCTGCTAACTACTAAATACTTAACTATCGCATGGCTTCTTCTGCTCGCTGACGAAGCGACAGGTTTTTCTTTTGCATAAAGACATTTAAAAGAGACAAGAAGAAAAAGGCTTCTTTCCTTTCCCATTCTTTCTCTCCTCTTCCTTTCGTCTCTTGTTATCCTGTCTGGACAAGCTGGTGGTGGGCTGATCTTGTTGTTGAGAGCTTGAAACGTGACTCTTTCTGTCTCCAGGTAAGGAAAATATCCAAACAGCAGGAGAGGGAGAAGAGGAAGAGGAGGAAGAAGCTGGCAAGGAGAAAGAGAGAGAGAGAGAGAGGGAGAGAGAGAGACTGACAGTTGACCTAGTGAAGTGAGCGCGAAACTCGATCGTCGATACAATGGACAAGACTCAGGAGAAGGTCGAGCAGCCTGTAGCTCAGACCGAAGCCCCTGCGGCCGTCGAGAGCGAGAAGGTCGAGAAAACCGTCGAGAAGCCCGTCGAGGAGAAGAAGGACGCCGAAGAAGCTCCATCGAAGCCTGCCGAAGAGAAAAAAGAGGTTAAACCTGCTGAGCAGGTCAAGACTGAGGCTGCTGGAGCTGCTACAGCTCAGGTCAAGGCCGAGGAGCCTGCGCCAGCGGACAACCGCCCAGAGTACCTGACCAAACATGCAGGGCTTGCCCAGTTCTTCGACCGATTGCCGGCCATCCTCGAGGCTACGGGACACAATGAGATGTGGGGAGTGACCCTGAAGGACGCAGAGGACGTTCCAACCGTCAATATCATGATCAAGTTCCTTCGTGCCAACGAGGGAAACCTGAGGCAGGCTGAGGAACAGCTGACCAAGGCCTTGCAGTGGCGCAAGGAGATGAAGCCCCTAGAGATTGTCAAGGACATGAAATTCTCTGCTAAGAAGTTCAAGAACTTGGGCTTCATCACCACGTACGGCACTGGCGAGGCCAAGTCTGTTTTCACATGGAACATCTACGGCGCTGTCAAGAACATTGACGAGACCTTTGGTGACCTTACTGGGTAAGACAAACCTTCATTGACAGCTACAGCTTTTCCTCTAGTTGTATAGAGGCTAACCAATGTAGATTCATCAAATGGCGCGTTGCTCTCATGGAGCTTGCTATCCGCGAATTGAACCTGGACAAGGCAACGACCGTCATCCCTGCTATTGGCGAAGACCCTCACCAGATGTTCCAGGTCCACGACTACCAGAACGTCAGCTTTCTGCGCATGAGTCCAACCATCCGCAATGCCTCCCGCGAGACCATCACCGTCTTCAGCATGGCCTACCCAGAGCTCCTGCGCGAGAAGTTCTTCGTCAATGTCCCTACTGTCATGGGATGGGTCTTCACTGCGCTCAAAGTTTTCCTGAGCAAGAACACCATCCGCAAGTTCCACCCTATCACCAATGGCTCTGCTTTGGCTCGCGAGTTTGGTGAAGCTGGCGCCGAATTCCCTAAGTCATATGGTGGCAAGAGCCCTGAGCTGGCTGAGAATGGCATGACTGTTGCTCTCATCGATGACGTTTCCCAGGAGAAGGAGGTCAAGACCGAGACTGAGACCAAGACCGAACCAAAGACCGAAACTAAGGCCGAGGACAAGCCTGAAGCCAAAGCTGAAGAGCCAAAGGCCATAAAGGAGGAGGCTCCTGAGATCAAGCTAGAGGAGCCTAAGACCGAGACTCCTGCCGCTCCTATGCCTGAGAAGACCGCTACTGAAGTTACTGATCAGCCAGCTGCTGAGACCAACGGAACTCCCAAGGTCGCTGAGGAACCAACCCCAGCCGCTGCACCAGCCGCTGCCCCGGCCAGCTAAGCAGCAAAAAAAATCCCCGATACCCCTTGGGCGGCGCTCATTTTTTCTTCCTACTTCAATACCCGTCGGACTCGCTACTACGCGCAACATGACACTCCCTTCTCCTTTTTACAATAAACAAACTACAATCAAAACAGACCAAAAAAAAGACAAGATTTCTTTAATAAGCTTTTTCAACAATGCGGACTGGACTTTCACACACCTTGCCGTACGACAGCCACGAGACGAACTAGGAGCGGACAGAAACGACGACATACCGGGGGCTTGGTGTTGGTTGGGAGTTTGCTGTTTGTTGATTTCTTTTTATCGTTGCAGAGCGCCTGGCTTAACTATTAGATACCATGGGATGTCCTTCAGGTCGTGTTAAATCTCTACGGGTTCAACTCCTCGTTTTACACTAGGCAGTAATAAAATTAAAAACCCGTCTCTTTATCTTTTTGACCCGGAACCTCCTTCGTATGTCTTTCAATTTCTAGTTGGTAGCTTGGATTGCAAGTAAATAAAAAAGAAAAATGCGAAACGCGATATCTAAGCGACAGCCGCTCTAAGCGCCATTCATCGCGTTTCTTCTCCCAAGCTTCAACTTTTCGAGAGTGAAAGATATGAAAAGAATCGATAATTAACAGGACAAGCCAGTCAGCGGACGAAAAAGACGGCGATGAGCTTCCACTGAAGCATCGGACGCCTATACTGCTGCCTCGGCCTACCCGCGGAAGATGCAGCATCTCTCACCTGTGCCTCCACTCCCGTCTTAACACACTAGGAACACACCTACCACCACCACCGCTGCCGAGCTTAGCTATCCGGCTGCACAAGTCGAAGCTCCCACTATGTCGCTCTGGAACCCAGATAACATCCGCGACGTTGCCGAATCCGTCGGCATAAACTCGCTGAATGACGATGTGGTCGAGAACCTATCCCGCGACGTCGAGTACCGCATCTCGCAGGTGCTGGAGGAAGCTCTCAAGTTCATGAGACACGGCAAGCGAACACTGCTCACTACACAGGACGTATCGAATGCGCTGCGAGTGCTGGATGTCGAACCGCTATACGGCTATGAATCCGCGCGACCTCTACGGTTCGGCGAGGCAACGATAGGTCCTGGCCAGCCGCTGTTCTACGTTGAGGACGACGAGGTTGATTTCGAGAAGCTGATCAATGCGCCGCTTCCAAAGGTGCCCAGGGAAATATCCTTTACCGGTATGTAGTTGTGCGATTTGCTTTACATGTGGATTTACCATGTACATGCTAACCGATGGAATAGCGCACTGGCTTGCTGTTGAAGGCGTACAGCCTACGATACCGCAGAACCCTACGTCGGCAGACACAAGACACCTGGAGCTAGTATCCAAGGGTCCGAATGCGAACGCGAACCTGGCTGCTATGAGCGGTAACGAAAACGTGAACGTCAAGCCGTTGGTTAAGCATATACTGTCGAACGAGCTGCAGCTTTACTTTGAGCGGGTGTGCAATGCCTTTCTGGACGAGTCGAATGAGGAGTTCCGCAACTCTGCGTTTTCTAGCTTGAAGGAGGACCCGGGCTTGCACCAGCTAGTTCCGTACTTTGTGCAGTTTATATCGGAGAAAGTTACGCATAACATCAAGGATATCTTCGTCCTGACGCAGGTGATGCATATGATTGAGGCTTTAATACGGAACCCGACGTTATACGTCGACCCATACGTGAGTTTTTTTTTTTACCCTTTAGTTAAGAGCAGGCGAAGGAAGTATAATAAAAAAAAACAAGGGAAGAAAAGAAAAGACAGGCTGACAAGTGGCATGCATGTGTGTGTGTAGGTTGCACCGCTGATTCCACCGGTGTTGACATGCCTGATAGGCCGCCAGCTCGGCAGCAGTAACGACGCAGTAGAGCACTTTGCCCTGCGAGATCTGTCCTCGTCCCTGGTGGGGATGATCGCGAAAAAGTACTCGCAGTCTTCACACACTCTCAAGCCCCGTCTAGCACGAACGTTCCTGAAGACGTTCCTGGACCCTGGTCAGACCTTCGGAGCCCACTACGGCGCCATCATTGGGCTCCAATCCATTGGCGGCCCAAACGTCATCCGCGAGCTGATTATCCCTAACCTGCCCGTGTACGAAGTGGTGCTGAAGGACGCGGTGACCGACGAGGGCCTGCGGAAAGCAGAGGCAGAGAAAGTGACGGGGGTGATCATTGCCGTGCTCTCGACGATCCAGGACGAGTCTCTCGCCCACACCAACGGCTACTCGGACGCTGCCGCTGAAGCGCTGGGCAAGGAGCTCGCTGCGAAGGTCGGCGAGCTCGTTGCCTCGCGCATCATCGAGGCCGGCCAGCTGCCTCTTGCCAGGGCGATTCTCGAGAAGCAGCAGCAGTAGCAACCGCGGCAGCAGCAGCAGTGAGCGATATTCCGACTTTTTCCTTGCTTTTTTTCTCTCTCTTCCCTCCCTTTTTCTCTGCTTATTATCGTCTTGTATATCCCATTAACGAACCGGGGGACCTGGCTGTTTTCCACTTCTTTTCTCTCTTCTTCTTTTTTTCGCAGCGGAGTTTGATTCAAGTCGGGCAAAAGGGATGCCAGGGACAGGACGTATTTGACCAAGTATCACGCAGCTATCTACCTTATCTATCTCTATAAGAGGCAAAGCAAGTAATAATATAAGTACCACCCGAAGATCTGCCCTTTTCTTTTCTTTTCTTCTTCGTCTTCCTCGTCGCCGTCCGTATCACACACACTAAGTGCGGTTTTTCCCCTTATATTTGCTTCTTCCTTCGCGCTTGTGCGTCATTACGTTATCCGCCGTTTTTGACACACACGAGAAAGAACTTTCGCCTTTTCGCTGTCGCATGAACAAAATCTTCCTCGAGGGGCAAACGACTTCTGCGTCTCTGACCATCGACACATCTCGTCTTCGTCGTCTCCTGCTCACTATTCGCCTGCTCGCTGCTGCTCGTATCTGCTTATCGTATCGAAAGTGCTTCACTGGCTGCTCTGTGTCAATGTTTTGACCTGACGCCTCCCACTCACTCCGCAGCTCTAACGAGGACTCCATTAACCCTCCATGAGTCGTAAGGACCTGCTACGCTTCCTATCCAAGCCAGCAAAGTGAGTCTATCGTGTCCAGTTCTCTATAAGTTGTTTCTAGCTGTCTCTAGCTGTCTCTAGCTGTCTCTGGTTGTCGTTGCTGACTGACGTCTGCCTGCCAGACCTCGATAACATCCCCAAAGTACGAGAGCAAGAAATAAAACCCACTGAAAAAAAACCACACACAAGAACAACAACACCGACCGGACGACCGTCTCTCTTCGTTTTTGCGCCGGAATAGATCTCTCTATCCATACAGCAGACATCCTCCTCTGCTAGACCCGATACTTTCACCGGTATCGGCATCTGTCAGGTCGAGGGTCACCGACATCTGATCACCATTCCGGCACTCAAAGCGTTCTACTTCCCCCTCTCCGCCCGCCCGCCCTAACACCGTTAACCAGCGGTGTTTTGTATCTCTGATTGAACCAGTCTCTGCCAGCGTGCGGCTACACCTCCCCCAGGATTTCGGGCCTTCTCCTTCTCAGGCGAACACCGCATTGTTCGTCTGGGTGGCAGATTGTGCTTCTAAGTCTTGCTAGGTCAAGCTCAAGCTCAAGCTCAAACGTACCACAGTTGTCTGCTTAATTGCATTCAAAGTCGGAATTACCATCATCAACAGCCTTATTACGAAGAAAGGAAAAAGATAAAAAAGTATCGGATATGGTGTACGCCGGAATTCCAAACCACTATACGGGATCTCCATCCTCGTATGTGCCACCGTCTTTGACGATCAATCATGAAGCCACTGTGGATTTAGACTCTACCAATGCATTCGAAGGTGAGTTTGTCTTTTTTCCTCCCCAGTTGTGATGGCTACCTTGCTAAATGTGTGAACAGGGCCCGAAAAGCTCCTTGAAGTGTGGTTCACTGCGTCTCCGGAGGACCTCGCCAACTCCCCGGTACCAAATGGACTCAAGGCTGTGTCGGCGGACACCTGGAAAGGCATGCTCGACCTCGTCAATTGCCAAGTTCTCTCCATCGTTGAGTCTGACGACGTCGATGCCTACCTCCTGTCCGAATCGAGCATGTTTGTCTTCCCTCACAAGCTGATCCTCAAGACCTGTGGCACCACCACCCTTCTGCATGGTCTCCCTCGCATTCTCGAAATTGCTGCTCTCTACGCTGGTTTCCCCAAGTCCAGCCCTCCATTGGTCGGCGGCATCACCACGGCAACTGCTCCATACCGTGTCTTCTACAGCCGCAAGAACTTCCTCTTCCCCGAACGCCAGCGTGGCCCTCACCGTAGCTGGAGAGATGAAGTCAGAGCTATGGACAAGCTCTTCTTGGGCGGAAGTGCCTATATGATCGGCAAGATGAATGGTGAACATTGGTACCTGTACATTACCGAGCCGTTCACCTCATTGACACCTCCTGCATCTCCCTCCCACGAGACCGAAACCAGACAAATCAACTTCCCTGGTTCTCTCGAGAACGGTGTCGGAGGAACCAAGCAATGCGAGAGTGACGAAACATTGGAGATATTGATGACTGACTTGGACGAGAAGAATTCCAAGCAATTCTACCTCGACCATGCGAGTGCGGTCGCAGAAAGTCGTTATCGATCTGAACACGAAGAAGACGACGACTTTGTCGACGTTTTCAGCAACACCTCCTCCAACAACAGTGATGCGGGCTCCCCTCTTCCCTCGGAGCTCTCAAGCGAAGGCCACGCCCTCGGTACCGTCGTCAGCGACTCCTGTGGACTATCCAACATGTATCCCGCCGACAAGCACCCAGGCTCTCGAATCGACGCCTACCTGTTCTCCCCCTGCGGCTTCTCAGCTAACGGCGTCATCCCTTCCAACGATGGCAAATCTGGCACTAACTACTTCACCGTCCACGTCACACCTGAACCCCACTGCTCCTACGCATCGTTTGAAACCACCGTGCCCCAGGAGCAGACCGGCCGTGACACCGCCGAAATCGTCAGCCAGGCCGTAGACATCTTCAAACCAGGCCGTTTCACCGTCACCTTGTTCGAGGCCAAGTCCCCCAAGGCCAACGCAGAGGAGCTCGGTCAGTCCTTTGAAGTGCGCCGCAGTGCTCGCCTTGCCTCCCGTCGACATGGCAAAATGGAGAGCATCCCTGGATACCGCCGCGTTGACCGTATCGTCCACGAACTCGACGGATACGACCTTGTCTTCCGCTACTACGAGCGTCTTGACTGGCGTGGAGGCGCTCCACGTATCGGAGAGAACTACCCCTAAATTGCTACTTTGATCATCCTTGATATTTCGGGTTTTTTTTTTATTTTTTTCCTTTTTGATCGTGTTTGTGTATCTGCTTTTTGTCCTTTCAACTCCACTCACATCGATGTTGATCGAATTGTTTGTTTTGACTTTCGGGACTCTAGGTCCATGGACCACTGATTACTCTTTCTCACTGTCCTTAATGCACTTGTTAAGTAAATTGCAGCTTTGACCTGACCTAATAATAGCGAAATTCTGCAAGCACTCCTTTCGTATCTTCGATACTCGGAACTGTTCAAGCGTTCAAGATATTTTGAATCATTGGTACGTACAAGTTAGTAGTGATTACCTTGTTGATTGGCTACTCAAAGCGTTACAGTCCAAGCAAAGCTGTCAAAGTAGGCCAAGCTGGCATTCCAATATTCTATACTAAGCTCGTCCCTAAAGCTCCGGCTGAGCCCTAACGGCTAAGATATATCACAAGCAGTGGTTATCTGTACAAGATTTATGCAATAGCAGTGCGGCAATCAATAATCATTCATGTTTAGAGACCATTAGAGATCATCTGCGCACTGTCTACACAGTACCCATGGCATATGTTAAGCATCAAGCATTGCCTATACTAAAGCCTGAGAAGTTTCAGGAATTTTCATACAACCGGCCACATATAACAACTGATACAACAATAAAGCATATCTCTCGCTTCAAGGCTATAATAAACCCCCCGGTAAGTTGATAAAAGTTATGGGAATTCCATTTCTATGTTCAATCTACGGGGAACAAACGACTGTTTTCTCAACGTGTGGACTCTCTGTCTGATAATAGTTCTGGCAATTTCATTATGGCTGTGAAGCTTTCGTTTTATTATTTTACATTGGGTTGCATATGTCTATTGATATTCCTCTTATCTCATGAAACTCCGTAGGTACGATTAGTACTAGACAGCCCCAAGGTCTGCGCTATTGAAGAATCTTGGCACAACGAGAGTTCGCCACATCAAGGTTCTTCCCGAGCCCCACAACGCTTATATTTTGTAAGACGATCGATATCACTGCTTTTTGAACGCTGCGAAGCTCGTTTGGCTGCGGTGTAGTTACATCGGTACGTTGCTAATGAACTTATGGCTATGGTAGTTAGCCTCAAGTGTGCAAAGCTATTTCGCCTTGTCCTCGTAACAGTATTTTGAAACTGGCGGTGGGTGGGGGGGAATATCGGCATCTTAATTATTCTGAGCTCTTCAGTTATTATGCTTATACTTTGCTCTCCTTTTTTACTTGTCTACAATATTTCTCATTATTTTGAAACGACGAAACCGATAGATTTCCGAAACGGGCAGGAAGTCCAAGTTGTAACCGGAATATAGTTTACCCGTAGAATTTTAAAAAACTTAATTAATAATCTCCCCGGCAAACCTTCCTTCTCTGTCACTCCGTCATATCGCGAAGTTCGTCTGAGTTTGTCGTTTCTGTCTTCTGTGTTGCTTCAGCATCTTTGGCGCATCATCAAGATAGCACATGTTTTGTGCTTATTAAAGTCAGAGGAGAATATAAATACAAGCTTCACTTCACCTGAATTTAGGGATTCTCGCGTTTGCCTTCCACTTGCTCCCCCACTGTGGTTGACGACACCTGTCACAGCCGCTTGATCAACTTGAAGGCGCCCAATATGTCGCTCTCACCACCGCCTCCAGTCTCTCTGAGTTTACCGAATGCAGCTGCAAATCCCAAGAAGCGTTTGTCTATCGCGTCGGCCTCGTCAAACCCCCCAAATCTGAAGCGCCAGCGAACGCACCCTCTACGGCAGACGTCATTTCCTATATCCGCGGATAATGACCCGCGCGTTTACACAGGGGCTAGCTCAAGGTCAGAAGCCGAAGTAAGCGTAACAGGAAGCTTCACTGGGTCATTTGCTGGAAGTGTTGGTGGCAGTACTGTGGGTGGAAGGGGTAGGAAAAAGAAGAGTAAAAAGGACAAAGACGCTGCGGCAAGTGTGAAAGGTGGAGCTGAGAGTACTGTCGGTGGGCGCGATGACACGGGTACATCTGTGAAAAACGGAACAAACCAGGGCGATGAGGATGGAGATAATGACGATGATGATTACATCGAGGAGCCCGAGATTGACGGAGGTGCAGCCGTTGATGCGGCTGCCGAGAAGAAGAATCTTGCGTACGTTGGATATCACCCTCTAGACTCTGTTTAAGAGATCACACTAACATAAAATGGTTTAGAATTTTGATGGATGCATTCAACCCTGAGCAGTCATCCCGATACGATTGTTTCAAGCGCACCAAACTGAATAAATCCACCCTTCGGAAGATCGTCAACCAGACACTATCTCAATCTGTTCCGCCTAATGTCGTCACCACCATTGGAGGTTATACCAAAGTATTTATTGGAGAAATTATCGAAAAGGCGAGAACAATTCAGGCTGAATGGGCAGAGGCATTTGATGCTGGTGCAATAGCCGAAGCCGAAGCTGAAGAAGCAGAGCAGCTGCGCAAACGGCTGGAGCAAGAAGCAAAAGAGAGGGGAAATAACAGTATACAGACTCTATCACAAACAGCCAACGGAAATAGTTCCGGCAATGCAGCTGTGAAGCTTGAATCACCGGAAAATGGGGCAGGCACCGATGCTATGAAAGGCGTCGAACATGTGCCTCACGTTGCAGCTCAGGGCACAGGCACTATGCAGGGGGCTAACTCTCTTGATAACCCAACTTTTGCGCCGAAGAAGCCAATCAAACTTCCACCAAACCCGCATCGTGGTCCACTTTTACCGTCGCATATTCGTGAGGCTTTACGGCGATATAAACTCAGTGCGCAGGGGGACAACGTTGGATTCTCCGGCCTAAGTCTGAAAGGATTTGGTGTAAAGGGGCCATTCTCATGGAGTGTTAGGGGAACTGGCGGGAGAAGACTCTTCAATTAAGACACCTTTGGGCTTCGGATGGATATCAGAACTGCTATTATTTTCTACTGCTGGGATCGGTGTTTCTGTCATTAAGGATAAAAAAGGGCGTTACGGGGTGGAAATTGCAACCGGTGCAGTATCCTTTCAGGACATGGAGCATTTGAACACGGGATGGATTTGATACCTATACGTTTTCTTCGTTATCTGAGTGCGGTTTTGCCTTTAATGTGCGTCTAAGTCCAAACTAGCCAAGGAGCATTTACTAATGGCTAGACATCTACATCATTCAGGAGTTCGATAATAATATAACAAAGATAGCTCGTAATATACACTGGAAAAGATCATGTAAGTCTTTTCAAAATGCCAACCAGACCTCAGATGACTCCATAGGTAAAAGGAAAGAAGAGTAGCAAATTAAAACACTGGGGGAGAAGGATATAAACGACGCACTTCCACCTTTATCACTCCTTCTACATACCAAGTCCCTCTTTATTCCCTTTGCTCTGCTTTCCGCATATACTTGGCTCTAAGTTGTTGGTTTTTTAGCTCGCGCTCGGCTCTAAGTTCCGCCTTGCGCCGTTCTTCGTACGCTTTGGCGTTTTCGAGTTCCTTCTTGTTAAGTCGTGGCATACGACCAGTCGAGTCAATTTCCTCCTTTCCGCCAGTCAGTCCCTCCATTTTATCTTGTGCATCTTTAACGGTATCTTTATAAGCAGTCTTGACTCCTTCCATCGCTCGGTCAATAAAGCTGACATTTTGGGGTGGTGTATACACCTCGGGCTTTGGCTCTGGTGTAGCTGTTGTTGAGATGGTTCGGATTCGGCTTGGAGCAGGTGTGAACGAGTCTTGTGAGGCGGGTTTATTTGAAGGAAGAGGCCCAAGACCGACGAGTTTGCGGAATCGAGGGGAGGTCATCAGATAGGCCTGGCACATGGAGAGGAAACCAGTAGTGAGAAAGTAGAGTTGCAGAATACCGGGCCAGAAACTCATGGTGGCCATAGTAATAGCAGGAAGACCATATAACATAGCTTTTCCTAGAGGAGAATTGGTCAAGTTGGATGTACCGGCATCACCTCCGCGCTACATAACGAGTACAAGGTTAGCATGAGATTATATGATGCGCAAAAAAGGGGAAGGAAATTACCTTGAGAGCTAAAAACATCATAGCACTAGTTGCTACCGGAAGAGCGTAGAAAGGGTCAGACATGGTAACGCTATGTAGCCATAGGACGCTTTCACTATCCAATCCTGGGACAGGCAGAGCAGACATCCCTCGGAGAACTCTGAAACATCCAAAACCAAGTGGTACTTGGATAAGAGGTACAAAGGCCTTCCAGGGCTTCACTCCGTGTTGCTCATTGAGGGCAGAAAGCTCTTGCTTCGCCTTTAATGCCCCAACATTGTCATTCTCACGCGCGCAATGCAACATACGTTCTCGAATTGGCGTAGCAAGTGGTTTTATTGCGTGAAGTTTCCCAGATACTTCAGAAGCGGATAGGATTGACTTGAATAGTGCAACTCGAATCAATACAGCTGCAGCTACGGTTGCACCCCACCATGGCAAGCCGCCTGTTATATGCAGTGTCTCAAGCAGAAACTGGACCATCGAGGAGGGACCCCATCCATAATCCAAGCCAAGTTCTTTAAGGTACCCGATCTTCTCAGGGATGAGCGAGAGGTCGATATCCGTCAAGCTACCGCCTGAAAGCGCATCGGATCCGGATGTGATCGTTTCAGGTACCGTGTTGGTTGTAGATTCGCCTGTGGCAGTGTCTATAGCGGAAGGCGTTGCTGCGGTGGATGCAAATCGGGGAGAAATCTTGATCGCTCCTGAACTCCGCGCAGTCCGTATGGCATTCAATGCACTGCCATTTCCGCCAATTAAACTCGATCGAAGCTGGAAATTCCTTGCTGGGTTTAGGGAAGAAAACTATTCCATTAGAAACAGTCAGTTGAACCCGGAGAGAGAAGGAAGAAAATTTCGTCCCAAAAGGCGTTTCCTTACCTGTCGTTGCGATTGCGCAGATCTGAGGATTGGAGACTGCGTGATTGCACGGGAGTGCCTAATTCCAGCTCTAGAGAGCATCTTGACAACTGGATCCCCGGAGAGGTAGCTCTGGTTATAACCGACCGATAAGTGCTTGTAGTTCGGCCAATTTTTCGAGATGTTGAACTTGGAGGAAAAAAGTTGGCGTCTATTTCGGGAAGGTTTGCCGACCGCGTTTAAATGGCGGCTAAAATGTCACTGCAGGAATGTATTAATATTATGACTGGTTAATTCGGCGAGTGGTCGTAGATTTACGTGCGAAAGATACATACAGCAATTGCAGTTTTCATCGTATTTGTAACATTAAAGGAGGACGCGATCTCAAAAGGGTAGCATTTCAGGATCCTAACGCCATTCACCTGACGGTAGGCCTTCCATTACACTTAGATGGCTGTACGGACATTACTACCGTGTACATGTAACTAGTTTAAACAGGTAAAAGTGGTATATCGATAAACAGTGGTGTTTGCCCTGGGTAGCACCTCCACTAGTCAATCAAACGTGCAAAAAGAAATGGTCTATTACTCCAATACCATGGTGACATTATTTGATTATGTAGCTCGACTGTATCCATTCTACCGCCTACGCGGTGGGATATCGTGGAGATCGATTCCACCTCCAATAGGCTGCTGTGTTCGTCGATGGGTAGGGAATATCTAGAAAGTATGTCAGATGATATACTGCTTGCGAAAGGTAAATTTGAAGGCCTACCTTCGTATTCGACCAGCCTAGCCTAAAGGCAGCCTCATGTGCAAACAGCTCTCCAAATCCTAGCATGAGCCCGTTGACGAAAGGAAGGATGAGGTTGATAGCGGCACCCTGTATTATCCGCCAGTAGGATGGAGGCGTATAGAGGGTCACAGGAGCCGCGAGAGCAGGCCCGGATGGCGGAGAAAGCTCGATAGTGGCCGAATAGTTCTCAGAGTCTGAAGGAAGAGTGACTGCTGAGTCTGAGAGCTCTACCCTCGGTGTGCTCTCGTTTGACGCCATGTCTGAGTATTTTGCGGGAGGTAGAAGGCTGGTTTGGTTGACCGAAAGTATTCCGGGCTGAGTAGAAGGGACGCCGTCAAGCCACACGATTATGGAAGGAGGTGAAAGAAAGAAAAAGACAAGCAGTGCGTTCTCCCGAGTCCGGCTCTGACAACAGCTCTGCTTAACAGGATGACTCCGCCGTCTTGCCCGTTTATTTCCTATATTCCATCGTATTCATCTTGCTCTTCTTCGTCGTCGTCTTCCAACTTGATGAGGCCGGAAGATCGATGTCCCGTGATTGCTTACCTAATATTCCAGACACCCAAAGTGACGTAAAAGCAACAGAGGCTGAAAACTAAGCACGACGAAAGACAAACAATAGACACCAACAGCTCTTCTTCCCGTTACCAGCCCTTGATTCATAGCGAGTGCCCGTCACTAGAGTGATTCATAGTCGGATTATCTTTCCAAAAACAGATTTTTAATTCTTTAGTCAGGGGTATTTATTATTGATACCCGCGGAAGCAACCCCGCAGCCGCCGACCATGGACTCTGCTGAAGACGAGATGATCTCGCACTTCTGTGCTATCACAGGAGCCACTCCGGCTGTGGTACGTCTGGTTTTGTGCCCTTTAGCTCTGTATTACTCGTTCTTCCTGATTGTCCAAAGACTGACATGCATCCAAGGCTAGGCAGCACCTGGTAGCCAACAACTGGGATCTAGACATGGCGATTGCAGGCGTTTACCCGGAGGAAGAGGGGCCAGAGTCGGATTATGATGATATGGACGATGACCAGAGTAGACAGGCTGGAACAACTGCCGGAGGTCAGGCGGCCGCGGCTTCTCGTGCACAAGGAGCTGGGTCAAAATCTAGAGCTGGTGCAAAGAAGTTTGCAACTCTGGGGGACCTTGGTTCTGGGGATGGTGGAGGCCCTCCTTCTCAAGATCTTGACGATGATGAGCCCCAGGACCTCTTTGCAGGAGGCGAAAAGTCCGGACTTGCAGTGCAGAATCCAGACGATATCAAGCGAAAAATCATTGAAAAGGCCAAGAAGTACGGGCTCCATTTGTTTTGCGATCTTTGACCTTGTTGCTAACAATGCTGTAGGGCAATGCCAGCCGCCGAACGTAGCTCAACACCAGCAAAATCGCATTTTACCGGAACTGCTCGCACCCTCGGGGGAGACGACACTCCCAGCCGAGTTATTGAAGACCCTAACGCAAACCAGCCGCAGCCTCTCGAGCGCGTACAGAGAACTCTTCACTTTTGGAATGATGGATTTTCAGTTGACGATGGCGACCTATACCGATCTACCGACCCCAAGAATGCACAAATATTAGAAGGCATCCGACAAGGACGTGCTCCGCTCTCCATCATGAACGTTCAGGTTGGACAGGATGTAGATGTCCAAGTAAAACAACACGATTCAGACTATGTGAGGCCCAAGGGGAAATTTAAGGCCTTTTCCGGATCCGGTCAACGATTAGGCAGCCCAACTCCAGGTGTGGTGTCTACTGAACCGGCATCTGGACCTGCAAAGGCGTCTGCTCCGGCTCAGGCTAGCACTGGCCCCGAGCAGCCAAAGATTGATGAGTCTCAGCCTACAGTTACCCTACAAATCAGATTGGGCGATGGCACAAGGCTAACCAGCCGATTTAACACCACGCATACTATCGGTGACGTGTACCAATTCGTTGCGGGAGCCAGTCCACTCAGCCAACAGCGAGAATGGGTTCTCATGACTACTTTCCCGAGTACAGAGCTCAATGATCGCTCCGCTATCCTGGGAGACCTAAAGGAGTACAAACGTGGCGGCGTCGTCGTTCAGAAATGGACTTAGATTATGTGACTATTAGAGAAAGCCCTGTGTTGATAGCTGTCTATCTGGAGGGGAATAGTCTTCGTCCAAAGGCTGCCCTACCCTTAGAGAAATGAAATAATGGTCTCTGATCAATTGATGTTGATATCCGTCGGCAAAATAGAAGCTGTTGCCCGCTTAATAATCCAGGCGGAAGCTTGATAAGCCAAACTTTTTGATAACCGGCGAAAAGATTCAAAGAATTCCAAACACTTGCAAAATTCTATTATAACGATAGCTATAGCTTGGAGAGATTTTCTATCTGTGAATATTACTCTACTCAAGGTGAAAATTCATCATGCCGCTGGACGGCGTCAAAAATATACTCCTGGTACTTTTACCCCGCGAAAATGCTTGTTATCGATAGCAGCACTAAGCCTGCATGAGGTCATGGATCACAGCAGAGATACTCACACAAAATAAAACCTTTTGAATTTATAATATTATATTGAGGACATAGCTAATGTTTGATTTTCGCTGTAGGTCCTTTCTGGGAAAGGCGGAGTTGGAAAGTCATCAGTCACACTCCAACTTGCGCTCTCTCTTACACTCCAAGGCCGGTCAGTTTGCATATTGGATATCGACCTTACAGGGCCTTCGATGCCACGGCTAGTAGGCAAGGAGAATGCGAAAATAGTACAAGCTTCAGGCGGTTGGATTCCCGTTAGTGTATATCCTGCTTCAGGCCCGACCAAAAGCACCGCTACATCTACACCTACATCTTCAACAGACAAACAAGGAGAGGAGACAGAAGACAATAAATCTCGCCCCCATGGATCCCTACGGTGCATGTCTCTTGGCTTTTTACTACGAGACCGGGGCGATGCAGTGATATGGAGAGGTCCGAAGAAAACAGCCATGATCCGCCAGTTTCTATCAGATGTCATATGGGGAGAGACAGATTATCTGTTGATAGACACACCACCGGGAACAAGTGATGAACATATCGCAATTGCCGAACAACTACTAAGTCAAGCGACCACGTCTCCCGTCCTGGGATCAACGCAGCCGCGCCTTGCCGGTGCTGTACTAGTCACTACTCCTCAAGCAGTAGCTATATCCGACGTCCGAAAGGGTGTCAACTTCTGTGCAAAGACGAATATTCCTGTTCTTGGCGTGGTAGAGAATATGTCCGGGTATACATGTCCTTGCTGTGGTGAGGTGAGCAATGTATTCTCAAAGGGCGGGGGAAAGGTGATGGCTGAGGATATGGGTATACGATTTCTGGGGGCTGTTCCGATCGATGTGAGTTTCGGGGAGATGGTTGAGGGCGCTCGTTCGGGCATCAGTGAGAAAAAAGACGAGAATGAAGCAGAGATGAATGGTAGTTCTTCCCAGGAAAGCTCGTTGGTTGAAAGATATCAAAAGTGCTGGTCCCAGTCGACTTTCGAAACATTTGCAAAAGAGGTGATTCAACTAGTGGAGGTAGCTTGACCTAACCATATCATGATGTCCCTTTTAGTCTTATGAAGAGGGTGTTGGAGTTTGGGCCAGCCGGAGTTTGGAATGAGGGTAGAATGTCAATTTATTTTCCACTGGAGATCATTTGAAACTATGTATACACCAAAGGATATGAAACGACCAGGTATCATTGTGACAAGCGAAAACTCCCGTTGAAACGCCTTGACGAAATTCCAAATAAAAAAGCATCAGTAACATCGTTAAGCCGTCAAGAGATAAAATGTTAGGGCATAAATCAATTGAATAGAGTCATGATAATCGTGAAATCGTCGTTATCTCGCTTCGTAATATGCAAGCCGTTATTTAAAAGCAATCTTTTATGGCATAACTTCATTCATCAGGCGTCTGGCTAATCCGTGCATTCTGTTTCTCCAGTAGCTCTCGTAGCCTTTCTTGTGCAGATACAAGGGATGTGGCTTCTTGGCTGGATTTGCCGTGAGGACGACTTATGTTCCCGACCCAGCTAAGGAACCCTTGCAATTCATTTAGAACAGAGGATTTTCGGGAGTGAGACTTTTGAGTGTGACCATTGGTATTTAGAACATCATCATAGTCTGGAATACCAGCCATCGGGTCAGTCGAGGGCCATGGTCTATCTGGTTCGGTTAGGTGATAAGATCTATCAGCTTGGGCGTCTAGATGGACTGCAGATATAACGGGACGTGTCATCATCGACTGTCCTGTAGCATGAGGATCGCCGCTTTCAAGACGATTGTCGAGAGCCCAAGGTAGATACGGCAGTCTTCCTTTCTCTAGCGGTTGGCGGTTGTGGACTTGGGAAACGGTCTCTTGGTGTGCCGGGACCAATTCTCTTCGTACGGGAGCCCTGTGAGCCTCGGTCTGCTGCTGTGTGGCGTTTGTCTCTGCCCATGCCTGAGGAAGAGAATTTCGAAAATCAAAGAGACCTGTAGGTCGAGGTATTGGATTGAGGTAGTCGTAAGTGGACGAATACCGACCATGGCCATCCACAGTGCTGATATCATCACCGACTACCAAGACATTGTCGTCTGCCAGTCTCTCTGTGCTAGAGCTTGCTTCTTCGACTGTTAGAAGGCCATGATCACCCGTACGTGCGGGTGCTCTGATCTCCCCCAGCGGCGGTCTATGGCTTCCATATTCGTTTGCAAGGCTCAGCTTGCTTCGACCACATATCTCGGCTATAGCATCCAGAGTGACTTGTATGTTAGGTTCAATGGACTGTAATATACCGTCGATACCAAACTCCTCGACTGACGGCAGCTGCGCAGGAGGACCGTTTCTCGCCTGTCGCTTTGTATCTGAGCTTTGCCGCCTTGACATTGTAGAGTTCTCCCCGGGCCCGCCGGAATAGGTGCGAACGATAACCGGCTGTGAAGACAGGGAAGTCCTGCTAGCAATAGAAGCAGACTGCCGATGTTTTCGCTGAGGAGGCCTGGCAATCCCGTGAAGCTGCCGCAGAGCAGTAGTCCGTCGAGCAAGCGTAGGATCGTCCAAGGCGGGATTGAATACCCGGCCGCGAGTCCCCAAGGTAGAGACAGACTGGTTTGCCCATGGCTGAGAATTAGGAAGAGACGAAGAGAGATGCTCTATACTGGCCAGGGCCGACGGCCGATCAGAGCTGGAATCCATTCCGGGTGTGCGTGTGTGTGCGTGCGTGCGTGTGTATGTGTCAGGCGCAAGGCATACGTGGAGTAGATCTATCGGCGGCAGCAGGAGTCTATCGTGGCCTGTTAAGCTGGGATATGGTCAGGCTGTTCTCTCCAAGACTATATTGGCATAGGTAGATTGATGCAGCGTGTCAGGATATGTATGACGAGATGGTCGTAACTATGCGACTGGACTGCATATACGCATGTCCGCCAGGGATTGGATGGTCAGCGGGAGAGCGAGCAAGGCCCAGGGAAATGCTGGAGATGCCACACTTTCTTCAGCCTTCAGCAGCCCCCGGAAGCCGTTGAGGAGGGATGTCTCAGGCTTTAATCAGCGACAGGCCCTCCATGATGCGCGCAGCCTGCAGAAGATGTGTTGGCACCGTTATCCGTCGCTTGCTATACCATGCTCATGCTCATGCTCATGCTGGCCGGGAGTCGTGGGTTAAACCCGGCGGAAGATCGATGTTCCGCTGTTCGAGGGCGTCCAGGGAGCCAAAAGATACAACTCGGGGATGCACGATGCACAGTTCGACTGGAAGCCGTTAGACGGGCAGACATAGCAAGGGAAAGACATGAAGGAGCCTTGAGGGGGCCATAGTATCGAAGCTGACGGGGGGGATCGTTGCCTCAACCATGAGCGGATTCTATGTTTGTCTATTCCCCTTCTCGACTAGAAGCCCGTAGATGTATGTACGGATGGGCTAACATGGATATCTAGTTTGGAGATTCGGACGGGTCAGATAGTGACTTGAACGATGATAATCTTCCGTTTCCCAAGCCAATATCGAGAACGTCCTTTCTGACGCCGGATTTCGATGCCACTACTTTCCTGGCCTCGCTGTCAAACCGCCACCAGTCGCTGGCTGATCTACAGACCGAGCTTCGAGAGCTGAACGAGACCCTGAACAAAGAGCTTCTTGACCTTGTGAATGAGAACTACCAGGAGTTTCTGTCCCTTGGGGCTGCTCTGAAGGGCGGCCAGGACAAGGTCGAGGAGGTTAGAGCTGGCTTGCTTGGGTTCCAGCGAAATGTACAAGGAATAAAAGACCAGTTCGAGTCAAAGAAGAAAGAGATACAGGAATGCCTCAATGAGAAGAAACAGCTACGGTCAAAGATTTCAGTTGGATATGATCTACTAGATGTTGCTGAAAGAATTGAATTGTTGGAGACACACCTCATGATTCGACCTGGAAAGGATTCAACAGCAAAGGAAAATGGAGCTCAAGCGGAAGACGATGAGAGTGACGGTCTTTCAGATGTTATACTAGGAAGTGAAACAGACGATAGCGAAGAGGATGAAGAAGAGGACGAGAACGAGAGCGGAAACAAGGCGAGAATATCCCTTCGAAGGCTGGAGGCCCATATACAACAATATCTGAGCGTGAAGGTAATGGCGGATCGAATTGGGGAGAAACACCCATTCATCTCCAGTCATGCCAGCAGAGTCGATGCCATCAAGTCGGCCTTGCTTCTTGACCTGAGCACCGCACTAAAGGAGTCGAATCAACTCGGATCAAAGCGAGATGAAAAGGTATCTACAATACTACGATTATATGACTCGTTGGGACATCATGATGAAGGGCAGCAATGTTTGAAAAGGCTGGAACAATGACCAATTCATTGAAGCTTGTGGATCTTTACGAAGGTTGTAGAGGAAACTGTTCTGGAGTTTGGGTTGATCGGCTCTTGTCATGGAATAATTATTTCTATCAAAAGGCGCCCAAAAAACATATAGATATACAGGCTAATTTACATGTCTCCGTCCTGCCAGCTCTTAACATCCCGTCAACATGTGCAGAGGCGGAGAATTTTCGCTCTTGTACTCGCCGTTCAGACTGAAGCCAGGGCCATTGGTGGTGCTCAGTACCTAGAACGAGTGTTAGCTGAGCGGTAAAGTCAATAGCAAACGGAAAGGAATAAGATAACTTACAACTTCAGCAATATCCTTGGATACCTGGTCTGACATGCCAGCCGCATCTTTCTTAATTGAAGTAATGAAAGCACCCAAGTTGTTCTTGAGTTCTTCAGGAGAGAAGCCTAATTGACCAATTGCCAACTTGACAACACCAGAACGTTCTCTATAAATGCTGCCTCCACGCATATTTCGTACAGTGGTAGCAACATTGTCTACAACGGTACCCAGCTTCGCGCTAGGCATCAAGCCCTTGGGACCAAGCACTCGGCCCAAACCGGCCTTATTCAGATTCGGCAAACTGTTGGTGTGGCAGATACAGACATCAAAGTCGATATTTCCTGCCTTAATAGCGTTGAAAACTTCTTCTTCGCCAACAATGTCTGCACCGGCGGCTTTGGCATCCTTTGCAGCGCGAGATCCTGGCGGACAGATAACACAGACTCGAAGATCGGACCGAACTGCGTGTGGAAGACGGATCTGGTTTCGAATCACGGGTCCATCTCTTTTTGTGCGTAGCTTGACGTGGACTTCGTACTTGACTGAAGAGGTATTCCGGCCGGCTTCGAATGCGCGAAGATATCTTGTTGCCAAAAGACGCCCAAGTTAGCATTGAAATTTACACCTGAGATGGAAGAACAACTTTTCCGCAAAGGGGGCAATTGATGAAACTAGGCAGTACACACCTCATGGCATCGCATAGGGAGAATTGAATTGCATCTCGGATGTCATATTGGGTATACATTGGCTTCTTCTTCTTGGGTTTGGCATCCTTGGACTTGGACGACTTTGAGGCATATCGTTGCTGCTGTTGGAGTGGGCATATAAAGGAGGGAGCTGAAATCTGAGGTCGAAGAGACGAAGACAGTACTCCCCTCGACAGGGGAGTCAAGTATCTCTGGGTTGCAGCCATCGCAGCTCCTGAATTGATATCAACCTCCTCGATCAAGCATCAAATTCGAAGCTGCGCTCAATTTGCGGCCGGAAATTCTACCGGATTAATAAAACGCCGCTTCAGATTACATAAACACATCGGAACCACGTTTAATTATTATTCCGAGATTATGTAATTGGTTTATTTGTCAACAACGACAAGAAGAGCACGAAACGTTTGTCGGTTACACGATTGTTGAAATGAAACGTCTTCGATACTTCTCTTCAAACCTCCTCGTTACCCTATGGGTTGACACGGGCACTGTCCATAATGATACAGCTAAAGTCGAAGTAACAACCAAAGAGCGAGGCCACACCACAGCTAGCATTGAATTTTGGTGCCGAATATCGCTTGCAGCAAAGGACAAAATGTTCGGCAGCAAACATAGTAGCAGGTCCCGTTATGTCAAAAATAACGCCCAATTGAAGAGCGAATGCTTGCCGGGGCCCTTCTTCTATAGACTCCCTGGCTCCATATCCCTCTCTGTTGCTGCAGGAAGATGCAGGCACCAGGTGTGATAATACCTCCGATATACTCCGTACTTGGTAAGCGATTCTTAAGATGCAGCGTTGTTTGCGACATGCGTGCGAACCAATTACATGGTCGGAAATTTTTGCCCAGTACAAGGGACATCTCATTTCACCATACTCCGTACGGAGTAAATTGGCCATATTCCGTGGGAAAAGAGCTCAGAAGCTTCTCAATCCCTGCAACATCCAAGGGCGCTGCAGTACTAGTTCACAATGATTTCAGTTCCATCAACTTGTTTTTTTCAGACTCACACTAGTATTTGGGGTATGGAAGTACTCCGTACGTATTCGTGAAGCTTGCTTGAGCTCAGTATTCGCACAAACATCCCAGCGCCGAAAGCAGTGCAGACCCGCCCAAAGACTTTCCCCAAATTGCCTTTTTTTTCCAGATGGAGATTGCCGATCCCCAAGCCGCTTCCCCAAGGGGCGCAAGGAAAAAAGAAAGCAAGGAAAAGCAAGAAATATAAACAAATTTGAGCAATTCAGTTCACGAATTGATCTGCAAGCTCTGGCCAGTAATATCCTCTCATCTTTTTCTCTGCAAGGTACAAGGTTGAGATTTGAATTCATCCCCCTTTTTAAGTATCTAGGTCTCGATTGGGGCTGAGAAAGAAATAAACTGTTCGAGAACCACGGGTATAAAAACAATGGCTTTTCTCTTGGTGGTTATTGTCTCTTTATTATTTTCCTATGTCATGACAGGAAAGATAACCATTTCGACGCCTGCCCGCCCTATACCTTCATCACTGTGTAAACATGGGTGCAATTGCTCAAGTTCTACTGGCCTGCTCCCTTGTTGGACGGTCGCTGGCTTCATATTCTCTGGTCGATAACTTCGAAGGATCAACATTTTTTTCGAATTTTGACTTTTTCACCGGGGAGGACCCAACTCATGGCTTTGTGAAGTATGTAGGAGAGGAAGAAGCTCGATCTGCCGGCTTAATCGATTTGGAGTCGCGATACGACGGCAGCACGGTGGTTCGGATGGGCGCTGACCACACAAATATCACCCCAGATGGCCGACCAAGCGTGAGGATATCAAGCAAGAAAAGTTATAACCAAGGCCTCTGGATCATTGATTTCGAGCATGTCCCTGGGCCTTCATGTGGAATATGGCCGGCTTACTGGCTCCTAGGACCCAGTTGGCCAACGAATGGAGAAGTGGATATCTACGAGGGTATTAATCTCGATCTTTCCAACACTATGACTCTCCATACGGGCAAAAATTGCACGATATCGAAGGATGTTCAGTTCTCTGGCAGGTTGACGACGCCTTACTGTGACCAGAACGCTCCTCCACCGCTAGGTGGCAATGGCTGCACAATCAAGGCAGATGATCCAACAAGTTACAGTAGCGGTCTTAATATTGCTGGAGGAGGTGTATATGCGACTGAGTGGACCACTGAAGACCTCAAGATCTGGTTTTTCCCAAGAATCACTGGCATTCCAAGCGATATAGAGGACGGAAATCCGGAACCTTTAAACTGGGGCACACCAGCCGCCCTTTTTACCGGAAACTGCAGCTTCACGGAAAGCTTCAGGGATATGCAAATAATATTTGATATTACCTTTTGCGGTGACTGGGCTGGAAGCCCGAAGATCTGGGAAGAATCTCCATGTTCTGCCGTCACATCGGAATGCAAAACGTTTGTCGAGAATTTCCCGCATGCATTCAAAGAAGCGTACTGGGCAATCAAGTACCTGAACGTATATCAAAAGCCAGCGGAAGCACCAGTCGGCCACAAGCTCCATAGTAAATGGCAGCATAGACGCACGCATCGCCATCAGCACTTGCTACATTGAAGCTAACAGCTGGCCACTAGTCGCGGACTCATAAATTTACCATTCATGTAAAACATAAGGGAGATTAATAGAATTTAATATATGTCATTTTCATTGTCTATTTTACTGGAACAAACGATCCATAACCTAGCTAATTACCCTCTACTTAGGTAACTTGGCAGCCAAGTAACTTTACGTTCCTAGTTGTGAATTGGTAACGAGCACATCAAGAGAAGGCTACGTACGATGTCTGGTCTCAACATTTAACAGTTGACACAGTTCATCCTAGGCAACTATACAACCCCCAAACCAACCCATCAATGCGCCATTTGATATCAATCGCAGGTCTTTCACTCCAAAATGACGTCTATTTGCTATCTGGGTCAATATGCGACTACTACCTATGCGAAGTCACATTCAACGGCATAACTTTTCCCGGGCTTTCGAATACTATCGACCAAACGACGTCTATACCAGGTTTGAGGCATCCACAACGTACCCAACCCATGATAATATGGGAGTTCTTGAAACATGATTTCTTGTCCTGAATAGCTACAGACCTCTGCAATCCAGGTCCATTGCTGATAAAGGCTCGTTGTTAGATGATGTTCCTAAATACCCGAGCCCCTTCGCCCTAGGAGGCTATAAATACAGTCGCTGTACTACGGCCTTGTCGGCGATGTTAAAAAACCTCTTCTCCAGAAACCAATGGATGCATTGATGGCTGCCAATCAATGCAACAAGTACTTAGGTTGCTCACTCAGCCTAAGTGAGAGAGTTATAGGTATAACCTATAATGTGTTTATACGCACGATTATAGGTGGCACAATCGCCGATTTGACCCACCTACATAACTACCTGGACAGCAGATAACATGTCTCGTTTCATGCCTTCCATGTTCTATCGCCATCTCCATCAAAGGGAGCCATTAGACTGATGGATAAATTCATGCAGTCCTTTAACCCTTAAGCATAAATTTTATAGTTCTGACAATCCTGGTTGCTCACCTCGTTACGATAAGACGCTTGACAGATCACACGAACTATGCGCCATGTACATCAGTAGTCAGAGCCACGAGCTGGAAAATGATCGGTGGTGGCGGACTTCGCCCGATCTCTGCAACTATTTTATGCATGCAACAGGGGTGATTCTTAAGTACAAACTCCGTACCCCATAGTTATGGAGTATAAATAACTATATAAGTAGTGGCCGTTTGATCCCATCGATCAATGTTTCCTGGCTACTCGTCGAGCTGACCTCAATCAAAGTGCTTGGATCGATAATCTACGCCAATGGTTGGTGGTAACTCAGCTGTTCGGGGCTCGCGTGTAGCGCTGCCATATGCCGCCCCTTTGCCGCGTATAAGCCAGGAACACGGTGGCAGCGATGGAGATGACAAATACGAAGTTGTAATCGTTGGTGTAGGTTGTCCCCGACGTTTTGACATCACCACTCGATAAGTTATCTCTATGATTATACTTAATATCATGAATAGGCAGGGCCAGCTGGGTATACCCTCAGTCTTCTTCTCGCTCGTCACGGCTTAACAGATCGATCTTTGCTATGCATCGACCTCAAGCCAGGAAAGGTGATGTGTGGCCAGGCAGACGGGCTACAGCCTCGAACTCTGGAGGTCCTCAAGACCATGGGGTTAGCGGGCCCCATGCTGCAGGACGGATGCTATTTGTGGGAAATGATGGTTTGGAAGCCCTCCAAGGACCAGAATATCGAGAGGTTCTCCATCATTGATACCAGGATTGGCCCTGCAAGATACCCGCAGGCTATAACCATAAGCCAGGGAATCATCGAACAAGTCTTCGACGATGACTTAGCTCATCACTCGCAGAGAGGAATTCAACGCAACAGCAAATTAGTTGATATATCCCTTGATGAACTCGGCGATCCGGATTTCCCAGTCGTTGCAACTGTCGAGACGAACGGGGTGCCACGAACTATACGGACCAAATTCCTTGTGGGAACCGACGGTGCACATTCAAGTGTTCGGAAATGTGCAGGAATTCAACTCAACGGGGAGTCAATAGATGACTTCTGGGGCGTGATTGATTTCGTTGCTGACACTGACTTCCCGGATATTCGCAGATTTGGTCGAGTTCATTCCCGCAAAGGGACCATCATGGTTATCCCCAGGGAACAGACCGTGGATGGAGATTACCTGACACGCCTATACGTTCAAATGCCACCCCAGGAGGTGTCAGAGGATGTAGGCCTTCACGCCGAGAGCAATAGCGCAGAGCCGAGGAGATCTCGCAAGAGCCAAATTACGCTAGAAAAGATTTTCCAGCAGGTCTCTGAGATATTTGAACCATACTATATCCGGCCTAAGGCAGGTGTAGATATCAACTGGTGGACTGTATATCAAATTGGTCAACGAATAGCTGAGAAGTTTGCTATCAGAGATTCTAAAGGCTTGGGCAGAATTTTCCTCGCTGGAGATTGTATGTTGTTTTGTTGAATCTGAAATTCCTAGTTATGTCAGATGTTGCTAACTCTAAAAAATGGTAGCTTGTCATACTCACAGCCCAAAGGTTGGTTCTACCAAAAATGGAGCTCGTTAACCAGTTGAGTTTAGTTACTTAACTTAGTGTTCAATTTCGCTAACTAGAATATATATAGGCAGGACAAGGCATGAATATCTCAATGATGGATGCTCATAACTTATCGTGGAAACTTGCATACACAGTCAATGGGCTTCATCCCGATGTTGGCGATCCTGGAGCCCTCCTCAGGTCATACGAAGTGGAACGATACAGTATTGCCCAGCAACTGATTGATTTCGATAAGAAGTATTCTACGGGATTCTCCAAAAGAAATACTGGGGAAGAAAATGAAGTCCAAGCCGCATTGAAACAAAATTTTGAACTCTACGAACAGTCGGTAGCTTTTGCCAGCGGCTGTGGAATTGAATACCCAGAAAATCATCTAATTGATAGGACGTTCCCAGATGGATATAAAAATCCCGTTAGTGGAACTGACTATTTCCATGGAATACTACGGCCAGGAAGGAGGCTGTTGAATGTTACTATGAGGAGGTTTGCAGATGGACTTCACAGAGACATACATGACGGTACGTCGAGTGTCTGTTGTTGGGAGTATATGAGTTGTATCGGTTTGAACTAATGTATGGAACAGATTTGGTCTCTAATGGACGCTTCCGCATTGTCTGCTTAACTTCGACAGACCTATTAGATCCTGAGGGGACTTCTGTCAAAGCCATACTCTCAATTTTAACCCTTCTTCCATATTTTCCTCCAATTATTGAAGCTGTTGTGGTATACCCCCGCCTTTCACGGGACCTTGACTGGACTTGTGTTCCTAAGGAGCTAAAGCAGATGTGTGAAATGAGATTCTACAGTGGTTATGAAGCTGAAGACGTTTATAAGGTATACGGGGTTGATCCTAACGACGGCGTCTTTGCGGTTATCCGGCCAGATGGGTGTGTTGGGGTGGTTTCTAGGTTGGATGATATCCCACGGTTAGAAACATATCTGGAAAAGTGCATGAAGAAATTGGAGAAAGCCCCTGGGGCTCCCAATCTCAATTAGACAGCATATGGTACGAAATACTGTTTTTATAGAACTAATTTCCTTTTCCTTCCTTCTTAAATCCATCCAATATAGTATCAGAATCTGTCGCAATAATCTACAAAGGAACTTTTTAACTTATAGTCATGTGGGTATTGGATTGCAATATTCCGCCTCTACTGACTAGCTTGGATACCAATCACTCTATTGGCCGCTTCATCGTTACTGATGTCTTCTGGGACCACTCCAGCAGTTTTCAGTATGTTGATGACGCTTTGGATCATACCTTTGTCAGCACCTCGGGTACTCCCTTTAACAAACCGCACATCCTTAAGCCACTCCTTAGCATCTGACTCCGAGTAAGTACAACCGAACTCGCCAGTTCCAAGCTGTTGAACCACCTTTTCTGAATCAGCCCGGAATGTGGAAATACCCGAATCCAGAAGATTGAACAGTTGTGTGAGTCGGCTGTCCGATTCTGGAGATGGGAAAGTAGAGGTCGAAGCTGCGATCTGCCAGGACGGCCAAGGGGTAAAGATCTCTCCAATCTTTTTCAACGGCGGCTTCGGGTAAGCGGTAGTTGGCTCAAAAAATGGCTTTGTGGTAAAGTGTTCCCACATGAAGAAATCTGCCGAGGGGTTTGGTTGAGCATCTGGCTGCTCGGGATTATGCCCTGTTACTCCATCTCGTAGGGACGGGAACGGCCCTAGGATGGTGGGGTTAAGGGGTGATGTGGATGGCCAACTTTGCTGTTGGGCCAGGACGAAGGACATAATATGAGAGCCACTGCGAGTAATATTAGTAAAGATTGTAATTACGAGAATATATGATATGGAACTTACCTGCCCAGGCGGGACACCCCAACTCGGCCACCTTTGAGGTCACTGACACTCTGGATCTCGTTCCTGTCATGTCCCGTAACAATGGCCCACCTCAAGGGGGTATCAACCCATTGGCCAACAAGCTTGTAACCCCCATCTTTTTCTCCCTTCTCCAGCTGTTGTTTGCCAACTAGGCCTGCAACCCAGCCTTCAGTCAGGCCTATGGCAACGTCAATCTCATTCTGTCTTAAGGATGTTATCATGTGGCCTGTTCCGGACGGGAAGGAAATCAATGCGATTTTAAATGGAAGAGAAGAAGCCTCTGGGCTGTGAACAGCGAGGTGGAGAGGAGCTAAATAATGCTCTGATGATAGGTTAGGATTCGTTAGTAAAGAGCCGCCGTTCCTGGTATGTGGTGTAGCGGGGTAACATACCTGGGACATAGCCAATTCTTATAGTGTTGGGCTCAGAGGCCATGTTTATGAATATATCAAGCCAAATAACTACTTAGCGAAACGGAAAAATTTCCCTTGGGTTAGATAAATATTTCGAAGGCGATGCCTAATAGATGATCAACGAAGGGGCGGGGAAAGAATAATATGGATTCCCGAAGCCTTAACTAACTTCGGTTACTAAAGAAAGCTTTCTTAGCTAAGCTTTAACTAGGGATCATGGCTGCACATCCGTGATTTATGTACTCCGTATACCCGAACGAGGCGTTATAAGAGGATGACAACATAACTCCAATACGCTTAATTGGACTGCTGTCCACGCTGGATCCTGGTGAATTTGATTGGGTTATATGCATAGGGTAATTAATACTACACATCTCTTTCTTTACCTTCAAAACTGACAGTAGAGAGCAAATCACAATAACCACACCAAGGTAATAATACTCCACAACATGGGTTCTAGACTGAAAGTGGTGTCGGAGAGAAGTAAAAGAGAGTAAATACTGAAAGACTAGCATGTCGGCTGAATGCTAGTATCGCTTTTGGTTGATTGATAAAAACCTTTCTGATACATTGCCAATAGGATAAAGAGATAATCATTGATGCCGGATAATGTGCTGTTGCAGCTAAAGCAACCCTCAATTATCCAAGAGAAGTAGATCTTGATAAGACAAAACGAAGAAACTTCCATAGACCGGCAGCCAGGAGGCGGCGCATCACGTGACATAACTATATTAAGACGAAAGTCTTGGCACAAACACTTTAAATTCACGTCGGTAAAATTAAGGAGACAAGAAGCTATTTTTAGAACGACTTTTCTTTCACTTCGTGTTGGGCTTGTTTGAAGCGTTATTCGATTCTCGTAGGCAAGAGGCAAGCGGTTATTTCAAGACCTGAATTTGATAATGTGATACCCCCTTGAGGAGTGCATCGTATGAAGCTACATCGGATTCAGCCTTGCGCAACACACAGCAGCACTCTGAGAGCTCCAGAGAGTTACCCACACCTGAAGCCCAAAAAAAGATCAATTTACTCTGTGACCGGGTAGCTTGAGATTTCTAACATGGCTGGCTATAGCTCGTATCTTTATGCCAGGGGACTTCTCCCGCCTCGATGCCTGCAGATCCCTAGCCTTGCAATAGAATCTTGCATTATTCCCTCAAGAATATAAAAGTGGTATCCATCCATGGAGTTGTACTGGGAAACGAAGTTCGCTTCTATGCAGCCATAGCCATGACCTGGATGCATAATATCTCCCAATTTTCGCTGAGACTCTTCAAGCAAAGCACCTTAAGTTCTGCCCCTGGTATATTGGATGTTACTAGGGGAAAGCCTAGAAAATGGCAAAAAGGTTGGAGATTTACCTTATATACGGCTTCGGGCACAGGAATTCTTGTTCTCTGCTTCAATCTTGGACTCCTGATCTGGGTGTTACCACGTCATAATCTCATTAATGGACGTGGGGTTCTTTATGACGGCGACTGCGATAAGATCCACAACCTGAGCATTGTGCTTCACTTGGTGATAAACATTTTTAGTACCTTACTATTGAGTGCCAGTAACTACACTATCGTATGAACTCTAAAGATATTATCTCGTTGCATTTTACTAGATATGCTAATGCATTGATAGCAATGCTTGAGTGCGCCAACAAGAGCCGATATTGACAAGGTTCATAAGGAGCTGCGCTGGCTCGATATAGGGATATTGAGTGTTAGAAATTTCCGCCAAATACCCCGCTCTCGATCTATCTTGTGGATAATTCTGGTGCTGTCCTCACTTCCTTTACATCTGATGTAAGCCGGGTTATATTACACTATTATTTCAATAATCGAATAGCATATACTAATCCCATCACCTTGTAGGTATAACTCCGCCATTTTTGCTACGACATCGTCAAATGCCTATTATGTGTTTCTTGGAGATAAATCTTTTGGACACAAAGCTTTTGAGGGCCTTACTTTGATTCCGTCAAGGACACAAGTCAGTTCTATGGATTACTATGAGCATCATAAAGACTCTGCCACTGCGACGTTTGCTCGACTCTACAACAGAGCTCGGAACGGGACTCTGGAGAAATTGGATAACGCTGCCTGTATCGACACGTACACGAAAACATACCGAAATTCTTATGCCAACTTACTGTTAGTGACGGATAATCCGCACAATTACAGTGCGTATACATACGTTGGCTACCAAGAAGTATACAGGCCTGTGACAGGATATCCGCTCCATTGGATTTGCCCCGATGAATATGATAGCCAGGCTACTGGCTGCCAGTCCTACTTTACAAATACCGCACCTGAAGCAATAGCTACTCACTGGAAAGTGTTAACCCAATCGATAAGGTACTGTCTCGTAGAGGTTACTCAACCTCACTGCAAACTTCAGTACAGCCTCCCATTGACTTTGGTTGTCATGGTATTTATTGTGATAAAGGCTATCACTATATGCTACGTTGCTATCACAATTGACGCCCCTATCCTGACGATTGGAGATGCTATCTCCTCCTTTCTTGAAAAGCCGGACATAACCGTAAGAGGGAAATGTCTACTTTCGATGAAGGACCTAACGGAGCCTTCAAGCAACTATAATCCGTATTGGGTGCGCCGAAATCGCTGGGAGTTCATCCAGACGCCTAAAAAATGGCATTCCGCCGTCCCAACTGGGCGATGGTTCTTTGGTATAATGTCGTATGTTGTACCTCACCTCTTATGCCATGCATTTCTATTAACTATTGGCTTTCGTTTTGTAACAGGTATTGTATCTCTATAGCCTTTTGTGCTTTTCTCTTAGGAATCGGGCTAAGCACCATGTCGAGTAAAACCGGGATTTGGGCTGCTGGCTTACAAGCACTCGATTTCCGTACCTTGATAAGTGCAAATTTCTGGCCTACGTCATTGATATCCAACACGCTGATAGCTAATCTGCCACAGCTTGTTTATTCAATCATATATTTTGCATATAACGGCATCCTCACAACCATGGCTATGTCTGCAGAATGGAGTAAATACGCGACTCAGCGAAAAGGCCTCCGAGTTTCTGCTGCACCGAGAATAGCACAACGAAGCAAATACTTTCTTTCATTGCCTTACCGCTATGCTATTCCACTTATGGCCGCGTCGAGCATACTACATTGGCTCATATCCCAAAGCCTTTTCCTGGTAGGAGTTGAAGCGTACGACCAGAATCTCCAGCGTGATCCCGCATCAGACATCAGCGTATGCGGCTACTCACCAACTGCTATTGTCTGTAGCATCTCCCTTGGAATGGCAATGGTGTGCTGTTTAGTTGGCTTAGGATTCAAGCGCTTCAAGTCTGGCATGCCAGTTGTGGGGAGCTGCAGTCTAGCCATTGCTGCTGCGTGTTTCCCTAATCCTAGTATACATGACCCCGAGCAACAGGCCGGGTCAACCTCTGATGCGGCATGTTTTCCACTGAAATGGGGGGTTGTACCTTGGAATGAAAGGTCAACTGGTCATTGCGCATTCTCAAGTAGGGAGGTTACTATGCCTATAGATGGAAATTTATATCTTTAATTGGTTTGATCTTTGGGTTTTCGATGCCGAACGCTTCAGATGGTCAGGAAAAACTGACCTCTGTCTCTATATGTATGCATGATTAGCTTACCGCCCCCATAAATAGTGGCAACCTCAGTAAGCTCATAAAATTAAAATCACATCTGTATAGAGATATATAAACAGAATGCAGATAGCATGACCCTCTAAAATGAGCAACACCCTAATCTTTATGACATCTGCATATCCGATGATTTCATACCCCATCTATCAAGTGATGGGAGATCATTCGTTGTCCATGAACGCCAGTCCGCAAATGTGTAAAACTGAAAGCCCAGGTATATATCACAAAAACACTGGAACACTCCGCATATCCTGAACGCCAGAGGAATTGTACCGCCGCTGAAAAAGAAGTAACTCATCTTCATAGCATCTCCAAGGAGCCAAGAGATAAGAACCGAAGGTCGGAAGCCCTTACATGATCGTGAACGCTGATTGGCGACTATTTGTGGAATGGGTAGGAAAGCTTCGACACCGAGCCCGCTAAACCCGAGTAACTCAATGTATGCTGAAGACCGCGATATTGGAGGAAGGAGAGTATGAATGGCGAGAAGTGTTAGAGTAAAGTAAGCAAGGAACATCCAATATCTATATCAAAATCACATTAGCGCCTGGAAACCCCCGGGTTATCATTGCATGTTATGGATAGACAGGATAATGACGTACGGACGGGCTGACTTCCATTGCCAGAATCCATATGGTCTAACAAAACCGGGCTCTGACCCCTGCCCGATGAATGGAGTGTGCTCGACACCAGAGGAAGGTCGATTATCGAGAGCAACTTTAAGAAGCATAAGTTGCACGCCGACCATCGATATCGCCTGTATAAGTAACGGAGTCGAATAATATGACCCAAACCAGAAAAATACTCTATATAGTAAACAACCATTAGCTTGCAGCTTTTCTCCACTTCAACATGCCCCGGAGCTATCGGATAGCGTGGAATTGTGACGTACTTGAATATAGAAGCAACGAGCATAATCAATGGTATATCTAAGGAGAAGCCGGTCGAGGTCTTTGTCCGGTGTATGCTCATGATCTGATCCGCGTATGAAAGGACAGGGGAGAGGACAAGTCTAGTAGATATCCAGCTGTTAGTAGGTGCATCATAGGCAATATCATCAGAGCACGCGACCAAAATCGAATAGCACGTACAATGGCGGAGCCCCATAGTCAATTATGAAGGTAATAAACGACATCTTAAGCAGATACGGCAGATGTATCCAAGCCTTCAAGCCGCAGTTTTACTCCCTCCGAGCGCTACAGCCAGTTCGCTTATCGATGTTCGTTCAGTCGCACCAGTGACCGACGCTCACACCCTCCAGCTCATTTCCTTCTGTAGGTCAAGGGTAATATAGAACCGCTCGATCGCAATTCTGGGAAATCTAATCGATGAATCCCTGTCGATGTCTCGGGTGCTGCGGGTATGGGGTAGAGTGGTTTGTTTATAATGGTAGAGATGTTGGATGGGCCATGAGACGGTCGTCCGGGGTAAAAAGCAAGTTATATTCTATGTTGGGCCGGCGCGGTCGCATTTGGCCTCAGTTTGACGAAACTTGCGGACCCTCGAGAGCTCGTCCGGCTAGGTTGTTGACCCTGGGGAGAAAAGTTTGCGGTGGATTATCTAATGTTCCTCCGACGAACTTGGCAACGTCATACCGTCGTCAGCTTGCATATGAAAACTGCGAGGATGGAGAAGCTGGCGCCTCGTGTGAAGCTTTAGGCAAGCGAAGAGCCCGAAGACCATGGAAAGAGAGACAGGGCGTTGCCAAAATGTTCCAATTTGATGTTTCACAGCTGCAAAATAAAGATGCAGACAAACATGATCGCTACATATAGTGTAATTCAAAAACACCAAAATAAACCCAGAATTATCTCTATCAAAATACACTAATTGCTGTAAAACTGCCATCTATAGACATGGTGGTGATGGTGAGCAACTATGCAAAGTCGATCTTCCATGTCTTGGCGATGGAAACCCCAGGTTTCTTCACAGTTGCATATGCAGCTTTGCCGTTCTCCGCCTTATGCCAGTCCATGCTGGCCTTGATACCGGACTTTGCGCCGTCTTCAAGTACCAAAACGCTGTCCTTACCCTCCCAGCTGCTAGGGGCACCCACAATAACGATCTTCTCAACATACACTTCAGCCATAGTTTTAAGGTACTGATTTGTTTTGGGGCCGCTGGTACACTGATCTGTAGAAGAAAGGCTGGCGTCTGAGAAAGAGAATTGGCGATGGATATATGCTCCTTCCTTATAGTCAAAAGTTTCACCATCATCGACATACAGCTCGCCTGCCGCTTGGCCCTTACTGTCAAGAACCACGATAAGTGTGTATGGGTCATATTTCATCAGCCCACTGCTTCGTCGTGGTCGATCTTTTCTCGGAATTATGTGACCGCCTTGCATGAGCATGGGGATTTTCTCCAATGGTGCGTTGACGGTATGCTTCTTGTTGGCCCCCTGGTAAATGGTCAAATCAAAGTAATCATAGTACTTCTCTTCATCGGAGATGTAAACATCAACGCTAGTAGAGCCTTCAGTAACAACTGGCTTGACAAGGAGGCCGGTGTGACCGAGGTAGAACTGGTCATCCAGGGCAAATCCTTGTTCATCTGATGGGTGAACGTAATACTGTGGCCGAAGGATTGGGGAGCCGTTGATGGAAGCACGGTGGAACGCAGTGTACCATGCTGGCAGAAGTTGATACCGGACCCTGAGCGCCTGTGTAATGATGCCTCGGTATGGCTCGGCAACCATGTACGGCTCTCGCCTACGGGTGTCTATATGTGCATGAGCACGGAAGAAGGGGTAGAAAGCAGCTGCCTGGTACCATCTGGCCAGAAGCTCCTTGCTTGGGTTACCGAAGAATCCTCCGACATCCGCTCCGGCAAAAGGGAAACCAGCAATTCCATTATTAAGAATCATAGAAATCGATGCAGCCAGGTGACCCCAGTCTGCCAGGTTATCACCAGTCCACATAGGGCCCAAACGCTGAGATCCGGCAAAGAATGACCGAGTGAGGACAAATGGGCGCCTGATCTCTCCCTTTTTACGTTCAATGAGTCCATGGTAAGTGGCGTTGATGAATGTCAGTCCATTGACATTATGAACATCACGATGCTCCCAATTATCATGGTGGATGTTGTCCTTTGGCATAGTTGTCTCAGGCCCGTTGAAGACAGAAGGTTCATTCATATCATTCCAAACCCACGAATTGGATGCAGTTCCCTTAAAGTTTTCATACTTGAAGAGATTCATCCACCATTCCACAGCAGCTGGTTTAAAGCAGTCGACCCAGTGAGAAGATCCAGGCCAACACCATCCCTCAAAAATCTCTCCGTCCTTGTTCAGAATGGCAAGTCCCTTCGCCTTCATTTCATCAACAATATGGTAATTTGCCTCGGCCTTGATATGTGGATCAATGATATAGACCAGCTTGCGTCCGGAGTAATCAAGCTGTTTCTGCATGCTAAGCGGGTCAGGGAAAGTTTGAGGACCCCAAGTGAAGTACTTCTTGTCATCGGTGTATTCAATGTCAAGCCAGATAACATCGTATGGTATTTGGTACATATCAAACTTGCGGTCGACATCCTTAACGTCTTCGTCAGTTACGTAGTTCCAGCGGCATTGGTGGTAAGCGATAGCGAACTGCTGTGGGAGTTGAGTAAAACCAGTGAGTTCACCATAGGTCTTTGAAAGAGCATCAGGAGTTGGACCAAGGAATACAAAGACGTCCAACTGTCCGGCTTCCGAAAACCAATGAGTTTCGGTCGTGGTCTTTGCCTCCACTCCGATAGACATGGGGTTGGGAGCAATGGTCGATTTGACGATATCAACCCATGTCTCAGCGGTATTTAGCCAGAAAACGCCAACCGTAGAATCCTTTCTGTGAGCGTGCATGAAAGGAATTGACCCATATAGAGTCATTGGGCTGTTTAGCTCATACTCAAATACATCCGAATTGTACATTCGGTATGGCTCCGTATGCTGGCCCTCACCGCCCCTGTTTATTTGGTCAGTAATGGAGAAATAAAATAGCCATGAAAGAGATGGGACCAACCTTGTTTGCTTCAGTGACATGGAGTCCGCATGCTCAGGGATTCCAAACACATGCTCGTAGCCGGGGAAACTGATATCAAGACCAACACTCTCCGGTCCTCTAGGCTTGGTATCCGTGTTTCCTCCAAACGACTCATCCCACCAGGTGCTATCGTCCACGGCATTTGCGTCTTCAGTCTCAGATTCAGATCCAGGCTCAATGATCTCGTTTCTTGGCCTCCATTCCTCAATGTTGAGAAGACCTTTGGAGTTTAGCTGTACCTGAGTCTGACCATCTCTCTGGAAGTAAACTTCGAAAGGTGAATGTTTTATGACTGCCTCAAACTTCAGATCTGGGCCATACTGGACCTTGGTAATACCAGTGGTCTTGTCGGTATGAGACTCAGCGGAAGAGCTAGGTTTCATTTCACCAGTAATTGCCCATTTCGCAGCCTCATTATAACGTTCTTTCCTGATAGTGCTGTCACGTCGTAACTTGATGTCTCCTTTCATTCGTCGTTCCTCATCGATTGTGATGCGAGCTGCCCCAGATTCCAGGAAGGAGGCTACCAACGGGAAACGCAATTTCTCATTGTTCCGTACGGTCTTGATGACGGTTCCAAGCAGCTGACCATCCGAGAAAGTTAAAGAGCCGGCTTCAAGCTCGAAAGGAGAGGTCCATGCAGAAGCCTGGGTAGCTGCGTTGTCTGCATATTGCCGGTTGCGCTTACAGAAGCCAGACTGGGAGCACGTCTTGAAGTTTTCATGCTTAACCATCACTATGCGGCTTGCACATTAGACAGACAGCTTCGGTTTACGCATACAGAGCCCGACTTACCTGCTGGAACAGCAAGAAATGAGACGATGGTGACTATCACCAGGATGAACGACCATCGTGGATGGGCCCGTAGCGGCGCCATGATGTGCAAAGGAGAGTAACACGAAATGAAAACAGAAGGAAGAAGAAACGCTTTGCTTATTGTCGAACCATTGGGCGTGCTGGACGCTCCACCTGCAGCTTCTCGCTGTCTTGAAGCTGTCTTGCGGCCGTGTATCTGTCTCTTTCTTCCGTCTTGATGATGCTGAGGTTGAGATGGAAGATGCCAGCGAACGATGAAGCAGGGGCAGTCTTGGCACGGGAGACCAACCCAACACCGCCTTATTTTCTGCCCCTCCCTAGAAAGCGTCCCGCACATAAATTCTGCAGCTTCTTCTCTCCCGCTTCCTTTCTGTCTACAACTTCTCACCAAGGACAATTGACAGTTTTCATACAAGCCAGCTCACTCTCATTCTCTCAAGATGTCTACCGAACAGACGTAAGTGCTATTTACCTCTAAGGGAACTAAAGCTAGATGTTGGACAAGCTCTTACTTTTGATGCTAGTTTCATCGCTATCAAGCCCGATGGCGTCCAGGTATGGCCCGCATTGTATCACCAGCACAGCACCCAGCAGCTTCGATGGCAGCTCGTCAGCGATATATAGCTAATCTGGATGTTCCCAGCGTGGCCTCGTTGGCCCAATCATCAGCCGCTTCGAGTCTCGCGGGTGAGTTAGAGCTGCCGCAATACTTACCCCTCCCTGCGGTATAGCGTTAGGAGGCCAGTGTGCTGACTGAGCGTTAGATTCAAGCTCGTTGCCATGAAGCTCGTCACTCCCTCCAAGGAGCACCTCGAGACTCACTACTCTGATCTCTCCAGCAAGCCTTTCTTCAAAGGCCTCGTCACCTGTGAGTCGGCTTGTGCCTCCGCCACTTCATAGCCGGTGCTAACACCTATCCAGACATGCTCAGCGGACCCATCTGCGCTATGGTCTGGGAGGGCCGTGACGCCGTCAAGACCGGCCGTGGTACGTTGTTCCTTCAGTTTTTCGACCTGCAAAACATTCAGTGTCACTAATAGCATAACGCTGCAGTCCTTCTCGGTGCCACCAACCCTGCTGACTCCGCCCCTGGCACCATCCGTGGTGACTACGCCATTGTGAGTTGAACTCCAGTCGTCAAATGTATGGACTCTCTTTGCAACGAGATCTAACAGCCAATCCCTAGGATGTCGGCCGCAACGTCTGCCACGGCTCCGACAGCGTCGAGAACGCCAAGAAGGAGATTGCTCTCTGGTTCAAGGAGGGTGAGGTCCTCAACTACAAGCATAGCCAGTTCGACTGGATCTACGAGAAGGCATAGATACCCTTCAGCGAGTAGTTCCTCCTGGGGCGTTTCGAAACGGCTGTAGCAGAAGAGGAGAGCAGCTTGATGAAACCAAAAAAATGAACAAATAATAAATCCATTCTAAGGTTCAATTGATCAATTCTTCTCCAGCCTTATCACGTCGAATGAGCAGGTATATGGGGAATGAACAATGCTTCGTCTCTATCTTCCTTTATTTCCAGAGGTCAGCCGTCCAATGGCTCGTCCAACAGGTCCAAGAACTGTTCTCGCAAACCATGGAGTTGCCCATATGCTCCAAGCAATCCTCACTGGGAGTAATGCTTTGGTAATCGCGTACGCTGTAGCAAATTCCAGTATTAACCGTAGACCTTGATTATCTTTTGCAGTAAGCTCGCTCGCGCTGTCTTCAGCCTGTATTGCCTTCGCGTCCATGGTAGATATATCTTCGGCATCTTGTACCCATCCTCGCTTCCGAAGCCATTTTCCGAACTTCCTGACTCCTTCATCCACAAGCGAGGTTCCATCTGAATTGCCCAGAGATGGCAGCCATCCGCCATAATGGAATACCCCAGCAAGACCAAAAAGTGGTACAATAGCTGTTAATTCGTGAAGGATAAGGAACGAGGTTATGTGTGTGACTGGAGCATCGAAAAGGGGCGTTGTATAGGACCGAAGAAACTTTGGAAGGCGGTTATTGAACGATTGGAGCCTCATACGCATTCGAGAGGAGGATTGGGATTCGGAATGGACTTGTCGGCGTAGGATAGGGCGCAATAGATGGTGACTGTTATAGGTATAGGAGGATGCTCTTGGAGTCGCTCTCCATGCAACAGCTGAGAGAGCCATTTCAGGGCGGGTGTCAAGCAAACCAGCACAAATCAAATAATCTAGCTAGAGAATGCTTTCATAGCATTTTGACTAGCCTTATAGCCTTTTCAACACTGTCAAACGTCATGGATATACACAAGTGCTCAATTTCAGTCTCGCTCAGCTTAGCATGAAACAACACGGAAGACCTCGGCAAGTTATAAATAGCACTGTCAATACTCCGTGCCGATGAGCGCGGAGATATCCGACGGGGTTCCTGCACAGATTTTGGAATCTGAGCCCGTCAGAAGCTTAACAGAGGTCTGAAGTTAGAAGGAAAGGACCTTTATCTTCTATAGCAAGTAGATGAAAGCTGCAGAAGCTGCCGTCGATCTCCATTGAACGGAAGAATCGGATGACTAAGCAGCTAGTTAGTTAGCTCGGCTGTTGCAGGGTTCAACTTTGGGCTTTGGGCTTTGCATTGAAGCCGACCTTGAGAACTCCCGCGGTAGAAGAAAGAGCCGCTGTAGTATTATATTTCCACGGAGTCTGGTCCTGTGTCCTGGAGAATATTTTGCCTTCTGGTGTTACCCGGATAGCTGGTACCTAGATACATCAGCAGTGTGGGGGATTCATTGCCGAGATAGTTATTATTCAAATACCTGCCAAATATATCTTGGGCTGCCACCAGAGATAGCAACGGAGGGAACCAAAAATATTACAGATTCAACCTATAGCCATGGAGAAGATATCAGACAAGATAAATGCCCTTCCCCAGGATGCGCACTATTTCTCCCTGGAGTTTTTCCCTCCAAAAACTCAGATGGTGAGACTTGCCTCTAACCCCGCCATAGCTATCAGACTTACTGATTACCACCTATAGGGATCATCCAACCTCCAAGCCCGGTTAGAGCGTATGTCCCAGGCCCTACGGCCTCTGTTCGTGACAGTCACATGGGGTGCTGGCGGAAGCACGGCTGCCAGGTCCCTTGAATTGGCAGAGATATGCCAAAGACAACTTGGATTAACGACATGTCTCCATTTGACCTGTACGAACATGAACCGGACATTGATAGATGAAGCCCTGGAAGAGACAAAGGCATTAGGTATCCGGAATATTCTTGCTTTGCGTGGTGACCCGCCACGAAGCGAGGAGTACAATATAGATGGTGAGGACGACAGCAATAAGGATTTCAATTATGCAGTGGACCTTGTGAGATATATCCGAAAGAAATATGGTGATTACTTCTGCATCGGTGTCGCGGGATACCCTGAGGGTCATGCGGATGAGTCTCATCCAGAAGTGCAAGACCCGTTGAAAGATTTGCCTTACTTGATAGAGAAAACTCAAGCTGGCGCAGACTTCATCATGACCCAGTTAACGTACGACATCGAAGCATATAAGAAGTATGAAGCCTTGCTCAGGAACCATGAGTCCGGAACTTTCAAGACCATCCCTATTATACCCGGCTTGATGCCCATTCAAAGCTATCACACTCTGACCAGGGTTACTAAGCTGAGCCATGCCAAAATTCCTCCAGAGGTACTGGCAAAAGTTGAAGCTTGTAAGGCTGATGATGAGGCTGTGAAGCAAGTTGGTGTCGATATCGTGAGTGAGCTTGTAGAAGATATAAAAAAGATTGCCACGCCTGGGCATCGCGGCTTCCATTTCTATACCCTCAACCTGGAGAAATCAGTATCCTTTATTTTGGAGCGGTGCAAGTTGATTCCTCCATCATCCGAAGCGTCTAGCGATAGCGAGCTTGATTTTGAGTCCGCTGTCTATGCCGCTTCAGGTGCATCAAACGGTGTTGTAACTCCCGACGGCAGATCAACAAACGTCAGCCGAATGCGGGCTTGCTCGATGAATTCACAACCTCACAACCGTGTCATTGTCGATAGACTCACTCGTGCCTCTGACAGATCTGAACGAAGTTCTACCGTACATGAAACTTCCGCGCAAACGGCAGGGTACCCTGCCCTCAACCCACCGACTCGTAACACCGCCCTGCAAATATCTGAGGGTCTTGGTTCTCTAGGACGAGAAGCTACATGGGATGACTTCCCCAACGGTCGATGGGGTGATGCCCGTTCTCCAGCCTTCGGTGAAATCGACGGATACGGACCATCACTCCATGTAACGGCACAGGTAGCTAGGAAATTATGGGGCACCCCAACCTCCAGAGATGATATCAGCAACATCTTCAAAAGACTATTATCCGGTGAACTGCACGCTGTTCCCTGGTCTGAAGGTGGGGCTGGTGAAGAAGGCGGCCTTAACCCAGAGACCGCCACAATCAAAACCGAGCTCCTTAAGCTGGTCGAGCGCCAGGGATGGTGGACGCTTGCATCTCAGCCAGCAGTTAACGGCGTACGTAATGACCACCCGGTATTCGGCTGGGGACCTAAAGGCGAAGGTTTCGTGTTCCAGAAGGCTTTTGTCGAATTTTTCTGTCCAGGGGAAGACTTCCACGCAAAACTAAAGCCTTTGCTCCAGAGTTACGGCCATGATGAGTTCGCCTGGTTTGCTACGAATTCTAAGGGAGATTTTGAGTCATCTACCTCAACAGAAACATCGACGCCGTCACCTCCAGATCCTGCTGAAGTCCCTTTTGATGCAGACCCATTGACCGAGCTGGATAATGGCAGCGTCAATGCTGTAACCTGGGGTGTGTTCCGCAATAAAGAAATCGTTACCCCAACTATCATTGAGGCAGTGAGTTTCCGGGCATGGGGAGAAGAAGCGTTTGGCATTTGGGAAGAATGGAGACGCGTATTCCCTCGAGGAAGCGCAAGTGAGAAGCTTATAAGGGAAGTTAAGGATAATGTATGGTTGGTTTGCGTTGTTGGCCAAAACTTTGGGGCCGGTGGGGAGGTTGGAAAGGAGTCCAACGATGAAGATGGGAAATTACTTTGGAAGGTATTGGCTGGGGAACAAACGAAGTAATTGGTTACGGCATTTGGAATAATGAGCGATGGACCTTTAATCAATGGTTTAAGCGTTAACATACAGACGTCAGTCACAAGTATCTAGAACCATGCAAATTCTCCAAGAGTTGGCATTGACCTATTTGTCGTACAGGGTTTAATTTTGGATCGTGACTAATTTATTGGATTAGGTAGCAACGAATCTTAACTTAAGTCTCATTTTCCCCGGCCCAATCCTAGGTGTAACCGAAAAACCAGCAAGGGGATGATGGCCAACCCATTTGATGGGATCTAAGTACAGATGAATGGCAAATAAAATACAACCTATGGGATGTACCTAAACATAGGGGCCTGATCGGCTAGAAGGGAAGTGTCCACTTCATCTAGAGGATTTGGCTTGCCGTATTCCTTGTTTCTCCGGGCGTTAACAATCCGATGCCGAATGTATAAGATAACAGACGTCACGAAGCTCAGACACAAAAACGAGAGGACAATGGCATACCCTCGTATGTACATGGGGCCTTCATGCTCGGGAAAACTTTTGCTAGCGAGGATGCTTAGGCAATGTCCCGCAATCACAATCATGCATAGTGCCATTGCTTTCTTTGATTCTGCACCAGCGTTGTCTGACACCCATTGCACTTCCAGCGGTATGCATGGAAAAATGCCAGTGACAAGTAGGAATACACCGCCAAGGGCAGCTTTGGGGTTTTCTTTGGCTGGGAACGTATACATCAAGGACACTCCAATGATGGCCAAAGCAGTTCCTCCGATGATGAATGGGCCTCTTGCTCGTAGCCTGTCTGATAGGAGGCTGAAGCTAACCATGACCACCCAGCCGGCCATGTACGGGCCAATAGTCATATACTGCGCTGCGGTTTTTGAATATCCAAGGGTGTGAAGGATAGTTGGTAGGAAGATTGAGATCGTTGCCAAAGATGCGTCATGTCCCATTTTGACAAGGCAAATGGCGTATATCTTCCAGTCCTTAAGTGCGGCGATAACATGTCTCATGACAAGAGAATTATGGCCCTCACTCCGTTGTCCTTGATTCATTCGGCGGATCGCAATTTGCCTCTCCTCTTCATTTTTGAAGAACTTTGAGGTCTCTGGTCTATCGGGCAAAAAGAACAGAATCACAAATGCGAAAGCAACTGTTGGAAGGCCTTCAACCAGGAAAAGAACCCGCCAATGGCCGATGGTAGTGTGGATAAGCGATATTCCATATGCCACCAGTCCGCCAAATGCGCCTGAGAAAGCCGACATTCCAACGAACAGGCATGTTCTAAATGCAAGTTCGCTGCGTGTGTACCACAAGGTCAGATGGAACACTGCCGTGGGAGCAAAAGCGGCCTAAATCGAGAACGTTAGTCGAGCTGTGATTATTTGTATTGGACAGCTCTTCATATATACCTCGAAAAAACCAATGAAGAACCGAGATGTAGCAAGGCCAGCAAAATTGAATGCCCCAGCTCCGGCTGTAGCAGCTATGCCCCATCCAATAACTGAGACGAATATAAATCTCGAGGGATGAAACCGTTTACCCCAGAGGGTGAGAGGAATGGCGAATATAATGCTATCTAGAGTAAGCCAAAGTCATTATATCAACCAACCCGAGGAATACGGCAAACACTGACTATCCAAAGTAGAAGATGCTAGCAGCCCAGGAGAAGTTTGAATCGTTTCCATCCAACGCTTCTTCTACTACTCCCTGGAGCTTTGCATTCCCTAGGTTTATTCTGTCGAGATATGCCTATCACATGTCAGAAACTGACAGCGGGTATAGAGTGATTGATTGGCAAGACCAACCAGTAGATATAGTATTGCAAACTGGGGCATCATTATCCAGTCTTGACGCCGTACGAGTTTTCTACCGGAAAGTCAGTAACAGTCAAGGCGTAGTAGCTCAATATTCTACACAGAGATACTCACCTTTCAATCTCAGCCCTACGCTCATGGGACGAGCAAGACGATTTTTCGTCACTCTCATTTCCTTGAGCCCCTGAAAGTTCTACATCTTCAATAATGTCTCTTGCTTCAGCAGGCTTCTCGTCTCCCTGGGACAACGCCATATCCACACAGTATCTGCTCGTGGAGGGCAGCGAAGACAGCAGTTACGCGGGACATCGGCAGGGAAAGCCATGATATAAGTACTCCATACACTACAGAAAACAGCCAGATTGACCGCTTATCATTGCCAACTACCAGGATGGGCTTGATTTCAGTCCCGATCCGCCATATTTTCGAGATCTGCCGTTGTCCCGTGTAATTCGCTGGCAGGTTCACATCTCACCCCTTGCCAAGTGCGATGGCTGCCGATGATCGACGTGCTTGTCTCTGCCGGTAGACCTGGAGATCAGGCCGCGGAACTCTCTTCGACGGATAGCGATGACCGAGTTATCCTGGTTAATATATTCGTTGCAACGTCATGGGCTTTAGATGTTGCAAGGAGCGACTCGACACCTGACGCACAAGGGTTAATTGCCTAGGTAGTTAAATAGTTATGGGTCCAGATATCTATCTGCAGGGTCACCATGTCTGCATGTTGGTGCCCTACCTACTGCTGGCCAGTGTAGTCATAATCATATGTCAGCACCTCTTTGCATGGGAGTAGTTACTTCTCTAGACTTATACCATCTACCCTCGAATACTAGTTACACTTATATTTAAAAAGCACTAATTATCTGAAGAGGCAGGTAGAGGAGGCGGTAGGACAACTACTAGGTACCTAGGTACCTGCAGTTACCTCCATGAAAAATGAATATAGGGAGAAAGTATTATTGGCGGCGATATTATTTAACCGTATGTTAGCAACTGCATTTCCACAACTCAACTGGAGTAAATATTGATAACTGAACTTATCTCTACACCTGAACATCAACACTTAACTAAAATGGCCATTTCAATCTCGCCCGTCCAGCCCGGGGACGTAGATTTTCTTACACGAAAAGTTGAATACCCTGCGCATCTAGATGGCCCCCTTTACCGCGTGATGTTCCCACATTCACAAAAGCTACGTTGGGAGGAGGAAGAAGACGAAATAAGGTGGACGGCCGATGCAATTCTAGAGGCGATTCATAGAGAAGATGAAGTTCTATACAAGGCGTGTGGAGATGATGGGCTGCCTGTTGGGTTGATCGGCTGGACGACCAGCGCAGGAGCATCCGCAGAGTTCATCCAAGGTGGCCGTGCAGTTAAACCTGGAGTAAGGAAAAAGCGTGCTGGCACGGCACCTCCCTCGACTCTAGATATGAATACATTGCTTGCTATATCCAAAAGACTGAGGGAAGAGAGACGAAGAGTACTCCAGAGTTACTATAAAAATGAGATGTACCGTAAGCCAGCAAGCAATATATTTGTATAGCTATCTATGGACTTTGCTCACGTTTCCCTCAGGGATTACCTTTAAGACTGTCAACCCAAATCATCAACGCGAAGGTGTTGGATCTACACTCATGGAGTCATTCTGTCGTAAAGTCGATGAAAGTGCTGCAGACGCCTTTGTTATGTCGTCGCCGGCTGCTGTGAGACTATACTCCAGATTCAGGTTTAAAACAGTTGGCACTGTAGAAACAGAACAAGGAACTTTTACCAGCATGTTCAGAGCGTCGGTTTTGCCCTGGAAAAGGCTGTAAAGACAATCATCTAAGCAGCCCTGCATCAAAATGACATATGCCAAAGTTTCTGGGTATCAAACGGGCGTTCTGGAGTCAGGGATAGGCAGCATGTCATTTACTTCGTACGATACTATGAGGATGGGAAATGTCGTCAAGTAAAGCCGGTATATGGATGGAAATGTGTGTGTTGCCACACGCCCTAGAGAGCCACCAAAAAGACCTGGTTGGGCAAGGAGTGTATGACAACAGCACGGTCATTAGTGATTGGGCTGAGATATTATATGCTAGAGAAGCAGACTACAGGCTTGCTTCTATCATATGGCATACAGATGCATCACTATATCTTTTCGGCAAACCCACGTTCTTCGAGCTCCTCGGCCCCAGCATCAGGAGTAACTATAGATGACTGAGACTCCAGCAGCTTTTCAGCAACACCATCGAGGCGTCCAAAGACCTTTGGATTGCGCTTTTCTCCCGGCCCGGTTTTAAATTGATAACCTCGCATCCTAGTGATCGGACGGTTAGCATTGTGATTATACTATAAAAGGGGTAAACACTCAAGAGCCTACCTTGGGCCTTGTCCGCTGGGCTCGGGAAACTCCGACATATAGGTGCGTTCAAAGGACTTTACGTCTTCTTCGAATGTTCCGCGTTCAATACTTGTTCTAACATCAACAAAGAATCTATCCATAATTGCGTGGTTGTGAATCTGAAGCAGCGTCCAAGCAAGCATTTCTTTTGCATTGAGCAGGTGGCGGAGATAGGCTCTATGGTATGTCTTGCATGTGTAGCACTGGCAATCGGAGACAAGTGGTGAAGTGTCGCTGGAATGAACGGGCAGTAGCATATCAACTGCCAACGGAGACGGTGACGATTTGTTTTCATCTCCCTGAGCAGCCCATTGTGGGAAGACAAAATCAAGAGCGAGTCCTGCATCAGACGCTGTTCCGATAAATGGGATTGCTGAAAGATCTAGCCCAAGTGATACGCCCCTGAGTACTTCCTGAGGGGTGTTTGGTTCACCAAGAGACAGTCGGGGTAAATGCCACAGTGTTTGAGGGACCAGCTCGATTGTTGAAGGATCCCATATCGCAAAGCCAGAGACCGCATCGGCCATTTCTTCCTCTAGATCCCGCAAGTATATAGTTTGCCGTTCCCTTTCAAGCGGGAGAATTGGTGCAAAAAAGGAGGTTCCAGCAAGTCGGTTGCCTATGTCTGCAGGTTTAAACAAGACGTCTATAGCCAATTGCGTCCATGCGTGTGTCCGATCAACCATTTTCTCCCGTCTTTTCACACCCGGCTGCCTATCTAGCACGTCAGCCAGGCCAATTGCAATATCTGGTTTTAACGACTTGATAGAATTTTGATATTGTTCCACCTCCAGTTGCTGGTACCCGACTGAGGTGAGAATGGTCACTGAATTGACAGAATTCGAGTTTGCCGTGGCGACTGGAGGAAGCCTCCTGGGACCAAGAAACAGCAGATATTCATCATCGAAGGAGAGGAACCTCCGTAGAGCAGACTCTGACTTTCCAGCTGGTGTAGTATATATTGGAGGTGTTTCTTTCAATGAGCTTCTTTCTATGACTGAACTGCCCCCGCGAGCAGAGACGTTAGTAAATACGCACTCAAAGAAAATAGTTAACCAACCAGATCATTCACGTACAATCTTCAAGAGCAACATATAGACTGCCTATAGACATATGTTCTTTTATATTATCGTGGCTAACATGTGGTAGCACCCCTCTTGATGTGATGGGCAAATAGCCCGGAGTCAGTATTGGCTTGCGCCCGACCCTGCATAGTCTCCCTAGCCGCGGAGCAAGGTGTGTAGGCTGGTGCGATAGTAGACTGAAGCTGAGCATTTCCTCAGGCTGATCGGACGGTATGTCAGTAGCCATGTTCAGTTATATAAAATAGTGAAAAGACGTTGGCTGGACTTTGCGACTTTGCGATCGCCGGCTCTTTTTCTCTTTTCTTTTTGGAGCTAGCAAGAAGTTGACTTTTGGCCAAGATGACGATAAATAATTATAACGACTAGACAATCTACAGCCAGCGGGACATATTCTAGCTATTCGACAAGCTTAGTGTATATATAATGGACATGACGCTGGAAAGTGAAGTTCAAGCTACTAGACGAGGTGCTCTGGTCGTTGTGGAAGGCTTGGATCGCGCAGGAAAATCAACACAATGCACAAGACTGCACCAGTTCCTTGTAGATCAAGGACACAAGGCGAAATACATTCGATTCCCAGGTGCGTCAAGGCAGGTTGAGCATTAGTGAAGCCATACTGATGGTATATCAGATAGAACTACATCCATTGGCAAGATGATAAACCAATATCTTCGTGCGGAAATACAGCTTGACGACCATGCGGTCCACCTGCTCTTCTCCGCAAATCGGTGGGAGGCCGCTGCACAGATACGACAAGACATAGAGGCCGGGATTACCGTTATCGTTGACCGGTACTCGTATTCTGGGGCCGTATACTCGGCTGCAAAGGAGAACAAGGAACTGCAGCTTGACTGGGCATGGCGGCCTGAAGTCGGGTTGCCTCGACCGGATATATGGTTCTTTTTGAACATATCGACTGAAGTTGCGGCCGCGAGAGGGGGATATGGAACAGAGAGATATGAGACTGTCAATCTGCAACAGAGAGTTGGGAAACTCTTCCTATCTTTGTCTGGGCTGAAGGGAAATGAAGATATGAGAATTGTTGATGCAGGAAGGGAGATGGATGAGATATCTAGTGATATTCGGGATGAAGTGCTACAGACGATGACCAAAATTGATTCTATAGGGCCACTGCGGAGGCTTGATGCTTTGGTGTTTACGGAGACAGGAGACAAGAGCTCTTCATAGACGGCAAAAGGAGGCATTATCATTCTACTATATCTACGTCATCCCAGTCGTCAATTTTCCCTTTCACTGGTGGGTTTGATATTGACTCATGTCTCCGCTGATTATTGATGTGCAAGTCAGGCTTGAACGTTGAAGGTCCAAAGTCATCATCGTCACTACTTAGCAGGTCGATAGGGCCTTGGTGTCCGGCATCGTCGGATAGTTCGTCCCTTGCGTCCTCATCTTCTTGCACTTCTTCTAGCGAATCTTCGTCATCGAATGACCTTGTCCTACTGTTATGAATCCTGAGTGTCATTTCTCTCATGAGAATATGCCAATCAATGGTTGCGTCACAGCCTGGACACCGCCCATTGACTGGAACAAGTCCATTGCTAGAATCTTCGGACTGTATAAAGCTGGAAGAGAGGCACAGGAGATGTGACGCACATCGACATGCTTCAGACGAACACACCACGACGAGGTCATCATTCAGCCGAAGACGGTCATGGCAAACGCCGCAATTAAGTCTATCTCCAGCATCCAGCAGAAATCTAGCCTTCTCCTGATACGACCCTAAGCTTTTCCCCAAAACATCGAGTTTCTGAAGGGCAATTTGAAGCGGCAGGCCTTCCCGGGACAAGGCTCCATCATCGAAATCAGTCTTAAAGCTGATATGCTCTGGAATGAATGTATTGGCACTATCAACCCAGCCTTTCCAGGTACGATGAACATCCTCCTTGAAAAACCTTACTTGCAAGGGCCAGCTTGAAAAGTACGGTGAACGCAAGAGAACGTGTAAACGCGCCATGATGCTTGTCATTGACTCTCGGGGGTTGCTTGACTTTTTAGCCAGACGTCTCCCAGTTTTCGGACATATTCGAACATTGATCTCTATTTTGTCGGTGGTAGCATGGCGAGAGGCTTGTGTGTTCTGCCACGCCCACCTAGCATGTTATATACAATCAGTTCAGCTATCCAAAACAACGGCTGAAAGGAACTATCTGTAACCAACGTACTCGAACTGCAAGGCCGCTGTACGACTGGTAAAACCACTGACTATCATGACCATCTCCCACGGCCGTAGCTTTTCTCGGTGGGTTCTGTGTGCCCCTCCCTTGATACGGCCGTTATGCTGTGCAAGTCGGCGCGCTGGGTTAGGAGTAGACCCGATGTAGAGACTGGCATGGCGCACTGTAGAGCGAAGTAGATATGCACAGTAGAAGGGCGGAATGCCCTTTGCGGACTCTCTGCTGCTGCCTGGAGCAGGACTTAATCGGGGTCGCTGTGGCATGAATTTATAGGGTATTTATTAATGGTTGAAATAGATTAAATAGTTAACAGTTAATAGTCAAAGGAGTATCCGTAAATAAAACAAAACATGTATATCTTTATCACTAGTTAGTGTATCGTCTCATCATTAGCCATGCTGTTTGGTGCTTTGCTGTTGTTGTTTATGTTGTGTTATTGTTTATTTATTTGAAAGGCGCCTGGCCAAAGGCTTGGTCATGTGACACCTCCTGGCGATGACCTCAGTCAAGCTTTGACGGCACCAAAATCTCGCTGCGCTACGGGAAAGATGTAACAAGCAGTGGTTAGGGGCCGTCTCTGAGCGCGCTTACATTGAATTCGCCCTAGTAAAGCGACCCTTAGCTTCGACAAGCAAGCAGGGCGAGCTCCTCGGCGCTTCATCGTGCGACTTTTGCTCGCTTTCTCCCGCTGGGCCCCCTTGGAGACCTAGTAGCCAATTAACTAAACGTCCAAGTCCCGAGTCCGGCCCCAGAGTGGAAGAACGAGAAGACGCAGTTAGGAGAAAGTCGGAGCAAGCCAGAGGCTGCGAGAAAAGGGCTCCAATTGGCATGGGATTATGCTGCATAGCCTGTGCCACTGGTTCGCCAGCCATTCCCCCGAACCTTTCCCAGACACAATGTCTGTACCCTGCGCTCAGGCAGCTATCCTGGGGCGTATGAAAGCGTTGTAGGAACTAATCCGGCAGTAGTAGTACTTATAATCTCAGCAGTCGTTAGTTGACTAGCGACTCCGTAGTTCGTCTTGACTAGCTGTCGAGCTCTCGAGGATCCCTTCTACCTGGCTGCTCCACATCGTTATACATAAGTACAGCCAGCCGAGGCTAAGCAGCGCATCAGAGGACAGATACTCACCTGTACGCTGCAGGCACAAATGCCATCCGCCGTAGGGGCGTCAGACTGAATCTCTCGCCGCCGTCGCCATCAACTCCGTCATCGTCATCATCATCATCGTCGTCGTCGTCTTCGTACTTCGCTTCTTGGGTCTGATATCGTCAAAACCAAAACTGAAAAAAAAAAAAAAAAAAAAAAAAAACTCAAAAAAAGCAACACAAAATTACATGATTACATGACTAAGCTGTAACACTGTGACATGACTAAGCCAAAGACGCCTGCAGCAGAAAAACCATCGCCGACCTTCGACTTTCTCGACTTTCCGACCAGAAAACCCGTGGATGCAGCATCGTCGACTCTCTACGCCCGCGACCCTCGATGGTATGAGACCTCAGACACGGTCCAGCTTGTCCCTCCGCGACTGTTGACCGACCTGGGATCGCCGGAACGTCCCCCAGTGCGCCATTCGATCCTCGCAGCTGAGGAATACACAGCAACCTGCCCTGCTCTGTTCCTTTTCCCTTCTTCCCGTTCGGTCCCCAGGAATCGCTCCTAGGGCGTCATCTATATAAAACCCTCGATATAATTCACCTACGGCCAGCATATCCATCGCCGTCTCTCGCCTTCGATTCTCTTTTTTATAACCAATGCATTCGCGATACGCCTTCTATATATCATTACAGCCGTGACGAGATTCCCGATCTACCTTCCTCCTCCCCTCCCTCTGTAGGCTCCCTCTATAAGCCTCGCCCATCTCCCTCGCTCGATAATGGCGATTGCCGCTTCATCTGAGGGCCATAATGCTGGCCAGCAGCCCCATACACATACACAGCAGCAGCAACAGCAGCATCAGCAGAGCTCGCAGTCGAACGGCCGGTCTTCGATGCAGGCAGCTAATGCTACCAACACATACGGCCTGAATGTGCCACTGAGTGCGAGACGGTCCGCACCGTTAGACCTATCTACCGTCGAACGTCGTGAACAGATCCCTGCTACTCGAGATCCTCCCAAACGCAACAGACCTCATGATTTACAGGAAGCACCGACCTTCTACCCGACTGAGGAGGAGTTCAAGGACCCGATGGCGTACATTCGGAAGATATCGCCTGAAGGACGGAAATACGGTATCTGCAAAGTCGTTCCTCCACACTCATGGAATCCGTCGTTTGCCATCGATACGGAGGTATGAACGAATAAAATTTTGACCTGAGCCGTTTTGAGGAAGAAAAAGTAGATGATATACACGTAGTTACATGATGCTGACATGTTCCCGTTCTTTCTTCTTAGCGATTTCACTTCCGTACTCGCCGACAGGAGCTTAACTCCGTTGAAGGAGGTATGCAGCACACGTCTTTAGTCGATTTATTGCGACTTAAAAAAAAGGACCCGACCTGACTCTTTTACTCTTCTTTCCAGGCACCAGAGCAAACCTCAACTACCTCGACCAATTAACCAAATTCCACAAGCAACATGGAACCAGCCTTACTCGATTTCCTAGCGTTGACAAACGACCCCTCGATCTATACAAGTTGAAAAAGGCAGTCGAAATAAGGGGCGGGTTTGAACAGGTCTGTAAGCTTAAGAAATGGGCTGAAATCGGACGCGATCTAGGTTACAGCGGCAAAATCATGTCGTCTTTGTCTACTTCGCTCAAGAACTCGTACCAACGATGGCTACAGCCTTACGAAGAGTATCTACTCGTTGCGAAACCCGGAGTGCAGCATCAGCTCGAAGTTGAGAACGGTGGACCCTTCACCCCCTCTCCAAACCAGTCTCCAGCGGAAAAGAGAAAACATACACTGCAGAATGGCCATCAGGCATCCTCAGACGCTCGCGCTGACGAGAGCTCCTCCTCAACGCAGAGAGCATCCACAGCCCCTAATACTTCGGCAGCTGACAGTGAGGAAAGCAATGGAAATGCAGCTGAAACTCCTCGGGAGGCTACACCGGTGCCCATACAGCAGCCAGTTAACTCAGGATTTACTGCCGTGAACTCCAGGCCTAGTGGTTTTGCGGCGATCAACGTTCCATCTTCGTTTACCGCCGTCAACAGAGCAGCTCCCGAGGTGAAGAGGGAATCAGACGAGGCAGCAGGGAACTCATCTCATGTGAATTCCACCCCAGCCTCTGGGAAACCGTCCCCAGACCAGAAACGGGCGAAGTCTAATTCAACACCCCTTGCGAATGGGCAGAATGGGCACGATGAACATTCCTTGAAGCGCGTCCATAGCAGTGACGGTAACTCTCAAGCTGCGAATGATGACTCGGAAGAGGGCGGTAACGGTAGACGAAGCAAACGCCTAAAGAAGGGTATGTTGACCTGTTTTCTTTTTTAGATGTTATCCGTATGTTTTGATATTTAAACATTTTGCTAATACTGGCTGTAGATGGTATGCCGAACGTTGCGGGATCAAACCCGAATTTGCTACGGCCGTCTCCTTCTCAACCAAAGTCTAAGACCGGGACCTGTAAAACCGGAGATGTAAGCAAATATGAACTGAAGTCACCTAAAACATTAGCACATTGTGATGCTAACGCCGTTATAGAAATGCGAAAGTTGCGGCAAGAGCGACAAGGAATCGACAATCCTTGCATGCGACGGCTGTGATATTGGCTATCATATGCACTGCCTAGACCCCCCTCTTACAACCATACCAGACTACGACTGGCATTGTCCGAAGTGCCTAGTAGGAACTGGTGAATATGGCTTTGAGGAAGGCGGCATATATTCGCTAAAGCAATTCCAGGAGAAAGCCAACCAATTTAAGAAAAATTACTTTGGTTCTAAGCTACCATTCCAATCAACTTCTGCGCCAACTCCACAGCTCTACGAAGCCGAAGACAGCGTTGAACGTGAATTCTGGCGACTTGTCGAGAGCTTGACTGAGACGGTAGAGGTTGAGTATGGCGCCGATATCCATTCGACAACCCATGGTAGCGGCTTTCCGACGGTTGAACGGAATCCCCTCGACCCCCACGCGACTGATCCATGGAATCTAAACGTACTTCCTTTACACCCAGAATCACTGTTCAGGCATATTAAATCTGATGTTTCTGGCATGACGGTCCCATGGGTATACGTTGGCATGTGTTTCTCAACTTTCTGCTGGCATAACGAAGACCACTACGCATTTTCGGCTAATTACCAGCATTTCGGATCTACCAAGACATGGTACGGTATCCCAGGTGCTGATGCGGAAGCCTTTGAGGAGGCCATGCGACAAGCTGTTCCAGAGCTGTTTGAGACCCAGCCTGATCTCCTATTCCAGCTCGTCACTTTGCTTCCGCCAAATCAACTGAAGAAAGCCGGTGTCAACGTCTATGCTCTGGATCAGAGAGCCGGCCAGTTCGTGATTACCTATCCACAAGCCTATCATGCTGGATTCAACCACGGATTCAACTGCAACGAAGCCGTGAACTTTGCACCAAGCGAGTGGGAGCCATTCGGCCAATCTGGAGTTGACCGGTTACAGGCATTTAGGCGACAGCCCTGTTTCTCGCATGACGAAATGCTGTTAACTGCTGCTAGCAAAGATAATTCCATCACAACTGCAAAGTGGCTCGGTAAAGCATTGCGGCGTATGTGTGATCGCGAAATGGAGCAACGAACGAGTCTCCTGGCGCGATCTCGGGAGCTTGACAATCGGAATAGCGTACAGAACGGAGACCAGCATGAACCTGCTGAGTCGCTTGCATTAAACGTTTCCGTGGAAGAGGCTGATCTCCTTGAAGACGAATATCAGTGCAACTATTGCAAGGCGTACAGCTATCTATCCCTTTTCAGATGCCATAAATCTGGGAAGCAGCTATGTTTAATGCATGCTGGGATAACTGAATGCTGCGGTATTGAACCAAGCAATTGTCTGCGCAGACCTGACCATTCGATTCGATATCGGCTATCTGATGAAGACTTGCAAAAAACCGTTCAAAAAGTTGAAGATCGCGCCAAGATTCCCGAAGCTTGGGCGGAGAGACTAGACAGAATCCTGGAAGATGAGCCAAAACCATCGCTCAAGGCTCTCCATGCTCTTCTATCAGAGGGAGAGAAGATACCATACCACCTCCCTGGGCTGCAGGATCTCTCTGCCTTTGTACAGAGGTGTGACAAGTGGGTTGAGGAAGCGAACAATTACTTGACTCGCAAGCAACAAAACCGACGCAAGAACGAGAAGCTCTGGCGGAAGGGGAACCCAGCTAAGGCCGCTCAAATGGAAGAAAGAGACCGCGAACTACGTAGCATCGAGAAAATCCACAGCTTGCTAACAGAAGCGGATCGTCTATCCTTTGATTGTCCTCAGATAACCGCTCTACACGAGAAGGTCCAAGAAATTGAGCGCTTCCAAAGAGACGCTCAAGCCGTCTTCATCAGCGCGCATACCGCGTCTGCTCAGGCGGTTGAGGAGCTAGTCGAGCTAGGGCGGAATTTCTGCCTTGATATCCCAGAGGTAGACAAGTTGGAACGCGTCTTGCAGCAGATGAAATGGAACGAGGACGCGCGCCGTCGACGTGAACAGTACCAAACACTCGAAGATTGCGCGGATTTCATTAAGCAAGCTGAAGAACTAAACATATCCGAGGCTAATAACCACCTGCTATACTTCCGTGAAATGTACTGCAGCGGAGTAGCGTGGGAAGCAAAGGCGAAGGAACTCATGTCTGTTGAATCAGTTCACTACCAGCAACTTGAGGCGCTTTCAGCACAGGCAGCTCGATTCCCAGTTTCGCCAGACACACTCGCCGCTGTCGACGCGATCCTCACAAAGCAACGTGAAGCTCAGAGGCAGATTTCCACCATGTACGAGAAAAGCAAATCGAGTGACTTCCGGGAACGTCCACATTACCGCGATGTACGCGACCTGATGGAGTCGTTAGTGCAGTTGAACAGCAAGCCTAATGGCACCATTGACCTCGAACGTGAACAGAAGCGTCACGAAGACTGGATGAGAAAGGGGAAGAAGCTGTTTGGCAAAGCCAATGCTCCCCTGCACATTCTTAAGATGCATATGCAATACGTTCAGAAGAGGAATTCGTACTGCTTCGACCTTGATGATCGGTTCCGTCCCCCGGTTGAACCTGCGTCGCGAGAGGCTACTCCCGACGGCTCCGGGGAGTCACAGCCCTGGGCCGGCAGTCGGTCAAAGAAAAAGGATGTCTTCTGCATCTGTAGACAGCAGGAATCTGGCCTAATGATCGAGTGCGAAGTCTGCCACGAATGGTTAGTCTACTAACAATTTATATCTTATTTTCATTTTCGTGTTTTTGCTAACTGTTGGAACAGGTATCATGGAAAATGTCTCAAGATTGCCCGTGGCAAAGTGAAGGAGTATGACAGCTACACCTGTCCTATCTGTGACTGGCGTGTTAAAATACCTCGCGATGCTGCTCGCCCAAAGCTGGAAGACTTGCTTGAGTGGCAATCTGAACTTTCCGATCTTCCATTCCAGCCTGAAGAAGAGGAAATTTTAACATCCATTATTGACCAGGCGACGTCGTTCCGTGATTTCTTGCGCCCATTCACAAACCCTGCGTGTATGACTGCCGAAGAGGTTCCGACGCAGATCTTTTACCTACGTAAGATTGAAGGTGCAGAAGTTCTCCTTGCATACGAAACGAATTACTTCCGCCAGGAAGTTCATAAATGGAATCCAGTTGCTCCTGACGCGCCACCGATCCTTGAACAATCACTCTCCACCCGCAAACCACGGCCAACCAAGCAACAAAAGATCATGGCTCAGCTCGGTATTGAGAAGCCTGAAGACATTCCCCTTCATCTACGTACTAAACACCACATCTTCCCTTCCAAGCGCAAGTCTATTGAACCCCAAAATGGACGGCCTCCACCACTTCAACCAGCGCCACAAAACCGATCCAGCACCCCTGTCGATAACCCACGATCTGTTTCTGTTGGTACCGATCAGGTTCCCTCGTCCATGGCTGCTACCCAAGCCCCTCAAACCCCTGCTTCTTATCCGTTCAGCCACCCTTTCCAACTTTCATCTAGCGAACAGAATACCACATTCGGAGCCGGTTCCGGCCCGTTCTTGACCCAGGAAAATGGCGACCAATCGCCGTCATTCTCACCCGGCTCTCCTGCTGCTCGGCATTCTGGCCTCGATCCCTCGTTCTTTAGCCCTCCAAGCTTTGAGCGCAATCATCAGTTACCTCAAGGCTCAGAATCCGGGAATATGAAGGGTAATACGGGTGTTGGTGTAGATGATGTCGACGCCAACAATCCATTCGGTAGCAGCCCTCGAGCAAACATGGATGAATTATTCGCTGACTTGACGAACCACGATACCGAGCCCGAGCACGTTGAAGAAATAAGTCACGCCAATGAAGCCCTAGAAGCCCTTAAGAGTGCTCAAGCCTGTGGTTCCCGCAGAGGTTCAATTTCTGAGGCAGAAAATAACGGCACCAACGGAGATCCTGATCTTCATGAGAATGCTAGCCACAACGGCGACAATGGGCATCGAAATGGCGGTGGCTTAGGTGAAGAATATCTAAGCTAGGTTCCCATTCGCACTGCAGTCCATTCTTATTCCTATCCTTATGATTAATGTTTACCCTTTTTCTTTTCGCCTCCCTATCCTAGATTAATGCTCTGTTTGTTTTTCGTTGTTTATTCTTAGATGATTCATTCTCTGATGAGTTCGAAACATTCCCTGCCTTTTTCTATTATCATTTTTCGGAAAAGGCTTTCATGTACACCGGAGGAAATTAACAGGGAGTCGTCAAGGAGTCGAAATGGGAGGGATAGGTCGGCGTACCTGATATCATAATTCTGTTTATCTTATATTTCCCCTTTTTATATGCACCTTCCTATCATTATCCCACGTTTATTGCTTTCTTTTCCTTTTTCTTTTCGCCGGGTGGGTGGGGGAGCATTAATGATCTAATGCTTTTTTCATCCTGGGTAGGATCTGAGTCGATATATTTCAACATCTTGTTGTGTTTACGTTGATTGTCTTGCTTCCTATCCTTACCTGCAACTGCTGTCCACTTCATAATATCATGTATTATTCCTATCCGCGGCTGTCATCGTTCATTACTTATGCGCCTGACCTTCTTATGTATGCTATCTAACTGCGCCAGCTGTTGTAACAATATATATGGATTGTTCTTAATATATTAAGGTTGACATATTTAATGCACTCCGGAAATTCTTTGGCCAGGGCTCATTTATCCACACGAGGTCTCTTGTGGGGTTTATTATAATACGTGCGTTGTATATAAATAAGTAGGCATACAACTTCGACTCAGCCATAGCCAATAACGAAGCGTCAGCAATAGAAACGCGCTTAACCAACTGGCTACATAGCCGCGATCCTAAGCGCCTCTTCCAGGTTTCAGCCATTTCAAGGAAGTAGCGTCATATGGTTCAATGGACAACTCCAACAGAAACCTACCAACAAACGAAACAAACATGGGTAACAATGGTCAGAGATGTCTTGGTTTGCTCTCCTTTCTGAGGAAAGCTGTTCAGCACTCACGGACGCCTCCTTCGGTAACTGAAATACCGCGCACTTACGTCCTTGGGAATACGTCAGCAGATCTAGATTCAATCATTTCTGCAATCATATACTCTTACTTCGCATCTTCAGCAAAGTCTGAAAAGGAGCTTCATTATATACCAGTGATAAACCTATCGGAAGTCCCAGCAGGGCGAGAATTTAGAAGGTTACGACCAGAATTCGTCACAGCTTTGAGTCTTGCTACCCAGCGTCCGTTGAAAAATGCACATATCAAGGGCTCGGGTGGTTTGAAAACTTTACCTAAAGATGATGATACCGACAATCTACTCCAAGAAAGTATCCTGACGGTCTCAGGCTTAAGGGATGATCTACTTAACTGGAAAACCTCGAATGATAAGCAGTCGATGGCATTAAATATTGTTATGGTGGATTGGAACGCGTTACCAAAAACACCTCCTCATGGGTTCGGAATTCCTGGACTTTCAGATACGGTCCAGGGTATCGATCTGTCTGTGGTGGGTTGCATCGATCATCATGACGATGAGGGCTTTATCTCAAAGCATCTGGTTCCGGGACCGGGAACCCAAGTGTCACACATTCAAACCGGGGTGGGGAGTTGCACTTCCTTAATCATCCGTGAGCTTCGAAACTTAGGATGGTGGAATGACACTATTGACGATCACCAAGTGACTTCTGGCGAAACGGGCCCCGGTGATGCGGAATTCGAATCACAGGCTGCACAACTTGCTCTGGCTGCTATCCTAGCGGACACTGCGAATATGACAAATGAAAGCAAAGTCTCAGACGTGGATCGAGAGGCTGTCAAATTTCTAGAAAAGAAAATTACGCAGTGCACGTCTATCGCCTGGGATCGTAACAGCTTCTATGAGCTCATTATGGATGCCAAATCTTCTAGCGTGGACTACCTTACGGCCCACGAAACATTGGGAAGAGATTACAAAGAATGGACAGAGTCTGTTGGATCTGGAAATAATGTCAAGATTGGGATATGTTCTGTTGTCAAGCCGATGTCTTGGATCCTTGAAAAATGTGGATCAGAGTATTCTCAAGAGGAGTATGACGAAGAAGCATTCTTTGATGTTCTGGGCTCCTTTTCCAGTACCCGAGACCTTGACATTGTTGCAGTCATGACCGCCTTTTCATCCTCTCCTAAAGATGAGTTCCAGCGTGAATTGGTTCTTACGGTGTTGAATGATGAGTATCTTTCTAAGCTTGGAGAGTTTGAGGAGGCTGGCTTTGACTACCTACGCCTGGAAAAGAGACCTTTTAATGAAAAGGATAAGGACCTTGGGAACATAGGGAGAAACACGCGCGTATGGCGCCAGTTGGACGTTACAAAAAGTAGAAAACAGGTAGCTCCTTTGGTGCGCAGGGTATTCGCAGGGGTAGCCTGAAAGGCTGGTTGATATTTGGACTTGAAGAATTGTTTCATATTAGGATGCCCGTACAGAATCTATCATCACATCGGACGAAAACATGTCAACATGAAGTCGTTTACAGTAGATAGCCCAGAATATAAAGACAAGAAGTAGAGTGAAAGTAGTCCAAACGCTTTTTCAAAAGAAAAAAGTCAACATAGAAGAAAATAGACAAATTTCATCAATCTTAAGACACCCACAGATGAGCCGCACCAATGACAGAAATAATATTTGACTTGAAAATAAAAAAAGGGGGAAAGCCAGGAAACAAAAAATGCTCAAATACAGTAGTAAGTTAGGCTCCTTATCAACTCTAAACATAAACCGGGTATAGTTCGTATGCACCAATCGCCGAATAACCGCCAACATAACATGGGCAAGGACCTAGAAGTTAAAAATAAGAGGGCAAAGAGTGTCAGTAAAAGGCAGGGTGGACGTGGAGTAAGTAAAAGTGGTATCAGAAGCACTCCCACTCGCCCCAGACGCACCACCTTGCTGTACGATCAGCGAGGACTAGACCTCTCCAAACACCACGCTCGCTGACTTTGATAACTGTCTCCCAGACACTACCGTCTGGAGGGCCATCAAACCCAGCATCCGCACTGGAGCTTGTAGTAATCATATGGTCTGCTTTTCGACTAAGCCTTAAAATTTTCCCAGACGGTGTTTGTATAGCCAATTTTGCTGGTTTGTCTCGAGAGCTTTGGTGTCTATAGTTACTCGAAACGTTGGAGGACGTGGTTGACGCATTAGATATAGTAGCAACGGAAGACACCATACTTAGGGCACTGGAAGGCCTGGCAAAGGGATTTGGGGATATCCGTCCACTGGGTTCCTCGGCTTTGGGAGATGATGGTAGAGAGGACGGGTGCTGGCGGACGGCAAAGACGAAAGTATTATTAATGGTAAGTCTTGCACACTGGGGCTGAATGACGTATAGATCGTGTCTTTGTGCATGAGGAGTCGGGTGACGAAGAACAAACTCGTAGGGAGGGTTGTCTCCGGAGTGGGTGATTGGTAGAGCGAAAGCAAGAGCATGGGGTATATCCTTGATGGAATGCATGAGACCCTTCTTCCCAGCGTAGACTTTAAGAACTCCTTGTCCCTCGTCGCCGGGAAGCGTTGCTTTGATAGTAAACCGCTTCTGGCCCTGTATCCAATCTGGTTGAGCCAGTGCGCGCTTAGTGATGATGTCACCGCTCTCAAAAACGTCCCCATCGGCGTCTCGAGCAAACGCAATTGCCTCGACCTCTGCAATACACTCGACATCAGGTGGGACAAGAATCCTGACTTGTAGCATTTCCAAATCCGTGAGGCGAACAAGGCTTGTGTCATAGGTTGGCATATGGAGGTTATTCTTGAAATAAGCTGGACAGGCACATGGTAGCGCAAGAAGGACGTCGGGGCTAATCGGAGGGCATATATGCTGATGTTCGGGAGCAAGGGGTATATGCGTGTAACATATCTCCATCGGACGAGCCAGGAAATACCATGACTCTGCTGCTTGGGGATTAAAACTCGAATAAAGAGCTCTCCGTGGGTGGGTTGGACTGGCAAGTGAACAGTCCATGATCCTCCATTCACCGTCGATGAGTACATTATTCCACCAGTGGTTGACACGAGTATAACCGTCGAATTCCAGCTGTTCACCAGGTGTTTTCAGGTATCCCTGGACAACTTCAGCGTGGAGACCAACAGCGTCACACATTTCCATCACCAAAATAGCTACCTCCTGAGGGCTACCTCGTTTCATTTGAATGACTCTTCGCACATCAACTGCTCCCTCGATTTCTTCATCCCACACAACCTTTTCTGCGACCCAGGTAAATATAGCACGTAAACGTTGAACGTCACTCCGATGAGGCCTGCAGACAAAGCCTTGAGCTAAACTCGCTGGGCTTGTCATTGGAGGTAGGCTGTTAATGAACCGAGAGCTTTTATCAACAAGCTGCAAGTTCACTGCAGCCCAATTGGTGGGCTCTGTTACTGGTAGTCCATCCAGCCCTTCATCGCCTTCAGCACATTCATACAGTTCTTCCACTGCATATATGACAGGGTAGTCCATCATCTGGCAGCGCTCTGCTCTCTCTACCATTTCATTCCGGCTAGGAGAAGTTGCACGATTAACATCTCTGCGGACCTGAACCCAGTCATTACCTCCTAAGCCTGTATCAGGTGTATTAGTATCTCGATCCTTTGTCGGAGAGAAAGTTCCCATGCCACCTGAAAGAAGTCCCTTGGTTGGAGATAATGAACGGTTATGCTGGGCAGTAGCAATACTACTTCGTGCAGTTGCTGCTCCTGTCTTTGCGGATTCGATCATCTTTTTCAAAAAACCAGTCTTCTTCGATTTAGGAGTTGTAAGTCCCCCGAAGATACCAGGCGACTCCTCTTGCTTGTTGTATTCTGTCCAACCAACGGCGGAAGTAGCCCCATGTCTAGGATCATCTTGGGGAAGATGAGAATAACTTCCGGATTGAGACGTCATTGGGGTGTACGGTCTTGGTTCCCCGTCATCGCCAAACCCGGTAAAGCCACCTGACCTTGTGCCATCAAAGGACCTAAACATTCCGTGTCGTAGATGGGACGCCTGTTGATTACGCTTTGCAAAACTTCCTGCACTGGTAGCACTAAATCCGCCCGCAGATGTACCGCTCATGAGACTTGGGTTGGTGGTACTTGTGCTTGCAGTGCTGTGTGTTGTATTACTTTGGACGCCAGAAGACGAGTTGGTAGCAATGGATCTAGTAGTAAAGGTCCGTCCAAGAGCATCCCGGCCTGAGTCATATGTCATGCCCCGTGGCCTTGTAACTAGTTGCTGTGAAGGTGAATAATTATATTCGCCTCGCCGGGGAGGAGGTGGAGGGGGATTGTCCTCATCCTCTATAAGCATGGGATTCCCTCTGTCAGAACCTTCCTCCTGATTGTGCAACTGCCTTAGACGAGACTCCATTCGCTGAACGTAGTTACCGAGCTGCGGAGGACCATCCTGGAAGCGGTCATGGAAACTCTCCGACGACTTATGAGCAAAGTGGCTGCCGCGGCGGCTGTATTGGCTGTTCCCAAGTCCTAGTGAAGTAGACGGCCGGCCACCAAACTGTTGATTCGATGAGCCGCGTAGATTATCGAATGCAGCAGGAGACCATGGATTAAAGGGAGAAGGGGTCCGCTGTGGTTCTGAGTGAGGATCATGGGGCATACTCATGCCTTGTAGAGAGGACATCACATCTTCCATGGCGTCCCGCAACGGAGAAGGCGTGTGGCGGTGGTGAGTTCCAGGAGAGGGCGGATAGGGGGATGGCGTCCTAGAAGCCGGCCGGAAGTCATGGCTTGGTTGCTGGTAATGGTAATCATGCATGGAGGATTCGGGTTGTACATATGAAGGTTGCCTCCGAACTGCAATTCTATGTGGAGGAGGGGGCGGCGGAGGAGGTGAGGACTCAGGTTCAAACTCACGAGACTCGTGGGGTATCATCATTGGTGGCGGGGTGCATCGGGACCAGTGCAAGCTGAGGAGTTGGTTGCCCGTTCCGGCTCTGGCGTAGGCTGTCGTTCCGGCTGTGGAGTTGGCTGCCTTTCAGGCTGAGGAGTGGGTTGTCTCTCAGGTGGTTGTGAGACGCCATGTCGATTAGGTAGAGGTGTTGGCTGCCGTGGTGGTTGTGCAGGAGAGAGTGCCCGTGGATGGACACGAGACGTGGATTTGCGACGCGGAGTCCTATTTATGACCGATTTGCGTCCTCGTGGAAGTGGTTCCGGTACAGTTGGTGCCTCTGTCTCCTTCTCCGCATTCTTCTTTGCCAGCTCTGCAGAGGGGCCCAGTACCTGCTTGTAGCCCTGAAAGGGTTTCCTGAAAATCGTCTTCTCCTTTTTGGGCGCATACAAGGGAGCATTCGACGGGCTATCCAGTACCGGTGGCAGTGGGCTAACAGACCGTGTAGCGGGCACGAAGTCATCTTCCAGGACCTTCACGAAGTTGGATGGAAACACGCCAACCATGCGCCTGTCGCGCCGTAGCCTGCCGGTCCACCATGATCCGTCTCCAGCATTAAGACACTCGATCAGGTCTCCCTCGATAAACCCGAGGTCTTGCTTCGATTCACCTCCCCATGAGTATACTGCTCGACACCAGCAGGGGAATTTGGTCGGCAGCTGCGGTGCCTGGGGCGCCATTCCACCGAGTCGCTCAGTTCAGCAGCAAGAGAAAAAGGAATACAGAAGAGCAGCTCGAGCTTCAGCCCGATGGAGCGTCGTTAAAGATAGTCGGGGGCCCCAAGAGAAACGAGCGTCCTAAGCCATAAGAAATAGCACGGCCGAAGGGAGAATGGGCGGTGGTAGTGACGGTGTTTGCTGTATCCAGTGACGCTATGCTGGCTGTAAACAGGCAAAGAGCGGTGAGATGGGAGCAACCTAACGAGCGTAGATGGTAGAGACGGGCAGTGTGCAGCGCCGTAGAGAGAGACAGACACCGCAGATGCAGTGAGAGAGCGTGGACGGTGACGGCGCAGTCCTTGGATCGCAGTATGGTCCTTCGTCCGTCGTCCTCGTCTCGTCGCTCTCGATGTTTCTTATTTGCGACTTTTCTTGCTTTGTTGAGGCGCGGCTAGGTCACGGGGGCAACGCGGCTGTCAGCCGTGTTTACATTTTGCCCCTTCGGGCCTAGCGCGCTCTTATCGATAAAGCTCAGCTTTTCTCGCTCGCTATCAAAAGAAGAAAAGACGGCGACGGCGACAGATACGATCTGACAGCTAGGTTAGCTCTCTCGATCGATACGGAGCATTGATTAAACTAACGATTATCGATAACTAACTATCGATAGTGGCCTCAGATAAGAGCTCCAGTCGTGGCCAGCCTGCGCAGGGATGACGAAAAAGTCAGATTCCCCAGGCACCGGACAGCGCTTGCTGACGAGGGAGCGAGGGAGGGACATGGTGTCGCCGCAGGGCATAACAACACCCATGACAGTGAGGTTGATGGTGATGGTGATGACTGGGATGCTATGCGCCGGGTCTGCTCCGTGAAACTTCTTTGACATTGATTGTTACTAATAATCGGTCAGGCTAGAGATCGCTGTCCTAGCCTTGGCCCAGCGACAGTGTCCCATCTGCTCAAGCAGTGTGGTATGTATACACGAGGTTCCGGACCGTGAAAAAGGTCGCAGATGGTTCTTTATTGCTGCAGAGGAAAGAATGAATGCTGAATGCCACAGGGGGGTGGAAAATCAATATTGTCGGCACAGGTCGACTAATTATCTGCTAACTAACTAGCGATACTGATGACAGCGAAGCTGAGAAGAGGAAATTCTTCTTCGGCCCAGCCAGAGGAGCTCTCCACTCGCCACATGATAGACGTGTAACGGCTGCTTTCCTGACGGTAGCACAGTCACATCATTCATATGAGCTAGCTATCGCCGAAGTTCGACCGTATCTCGCTCTGATCAATCATGTTGGACAAAGAACACATAGTTATTTTTGTTTCAACCCAGCCGGCCAACCAGCCACCCTTGTTTGCATGCAGAGTCGCATAGCCAAGACACACCGCAGGGAAGCCGAACTTTTCCTCCGTGCCCGTCTTTTTATACCTTTTATTATACTCATAGCACTATGGAGGATAAACGGCTTTTCAACAAGGAGGGGAAGACAAGGCGTCGATCAGCCTTACTGCAGCCCGTGGAAGGTACCTGGTGCGAAAATCATGCTGCAATTCGACCATACGTGCCATCACACTGCAGGCCGGGCATATGGCAATGTCGCCAAGATATGCAATATCAATCACCAACTTCTTTCCCTTTTGTCCCGTTTGCCAATTTCAAAGGAAGCTGGCTTAGAGTCTTGTTTCGAAAGTCGCAATCGTTTGTCGATGCTTAAAGGACATGAACTATGTGATACTTGGCCTCTACGGAGTACAAACAAAACACTCCCTGGTGTCTCTTACTGCAAAGTCAATGAATAGAAAAAGGAATCGCAAAAGGCTGGCGGGACGGAATAATGGTATATGCTCTCTCTGTTTGGAAACAACCCCGAGTACTCCATACGGAGTGCTTCTACCAATTGGCCAAGGGTCCCTTGCGTCTGGAAACACTGGTTGCAGCCAGCAGAGCCAGGTATAATCGCACAACATGTGATGATAACCTGCGTGAAGCTGCCGTCCCATACCCCTTTGAAGCTCTATATGATATCCAAATATAGCTATCAAGATATATAACACATCTCTCTCCTCATACCCTTTGGCGTGGATTATGCTCGAACGCCAGCCTTCATGTTGATTCAATAATGGCTATCAGCTGGTCACACATACATGTCTATCCTCTTGGACATAGTTTCTTTTTGTCCCCAACGGCATGAAGTCGGATATTACAGGCTCTGTATGTGGGGGTATCTGCGAAGCTGAACTGACATGCGCAGGTATTGAGTGGCACCAGGGAGTTTCCTAGGCTACCTAATCCGGCCCGTCCCGTTTTGTAGTCGTGCATATCCACAGCTTTATATCCCTTGGTCCCCCTCCCATTGCAGCAGCCAAAATGCTCCCTTGTGGCATATACTACATTCCCTTATATATACTGCATTTCCCCCTTCCGAGTTCTACCTACTGATTATCCTGACAAGTTTCACCATACAATAACACACACCGCAAACCACCATGGGTCCCTTACCATCTCTTTTCACCTCCGAATCGAACGATTCCTTCAAGAAGTCGTCTGTGGCTACCCTTGGGGAATTCGTTGGGACCTTCATGTTCCTCTTCCTCTCTTATGCAGGATGTCAAATTGCCAATATGTCCGTGGATCCCCAGAACGCTGGACCTGAACCTAACCCTACCGTTTTGATATACATATCACTTTCCTTTGCTACCGCCCTTGCAATCAATGTTTGGGTATTCTACAGGATCACAGGAGGGATGTTTAACCCCGCGGTATGTCTTGATCAGTTCATACGTTTTGACTACTTCGAAGGTTAATTCTTTGACATAGGTATCCCTGGCCCTCGCCTTAGTCGGAGCTATCAGCCCTATCCGAGCAGTAATGGTATCTGTTGCCCAGGTTGTTGCTGGAATTGCTGCTGCCGGGGTGGTCTCCGCGTTATTCCCTGGACCACTGGTTGTTCAAACTAAGCTCAGTGGTGGGACAACAGTCGCCCAGGGGCTGTTCATCGAGATGTTCCTAACCGCGGAGCTCATAATCACGATCCTCATGCTAGCTGTTGTCAAACACCGTGCGACCTTCCTTGCGCCGCTGGGTATTGGTTTGGCTCTTTTCATAGCACAGCTTACCGGTCAGTACACCTCTCCCTACGCATAGTGGTGTTTGGTATAGAACTTCAGCTGATATACAGTGTTATTTACTTAGGTGTCTACTTCACTGGCGGATCTCTCAACCCTGCCCGTTCCTTCGGCCCAGATGTTATTGTAGGAGGATTCCCTGGATACCACTGGATTTACTGGGTCGGCCCCTTGCTTGGCTCTTTGCTAGCAACTGGCTTTTATCAGGCTCTCAATTATCTGCGCTATCAGAACGTCAACCCTGGACAGGATTTTGACGGTATTGGATCAGAACTCATGGGAAATCCTGAACATACCGAGTAAATCAACCATATACTATCTCTAACTGATAGTTGTTCCCGTCAACCACCTGTTCATTTTATAAACTCCCCATGTTGTCTTTCCATAGGCTTTGAACTGCTTAATAATTAAAATCATATAGTTATCTGGCGTTAATTTTAACCTAGACCAAGTCGCTGTTACGTCTTACAAATTGTTAAACATTTCTATATGCCTTGTGACTACTATATGTTGTTTTTAGAAACCGGCCTATCGCCTGTGTCACCCTCATGTAGGCGCCAAATGGCCATTCTCCCAGTAGTAATGGCTACAGCTTAAAAAAATTTTTACAAGCAAAAAGGAGATTAATAAACAATGTGTAAAGGAATGGCCAAAAAATGTTGACGTGAGCAGTTGGATAATAGGGAAAAGCCGTGGAAAAGGAAATATAAGAAGAGGGAGAACGTAAGAAGAAAACAGAATAACAAAAAACCACAAAACAAATAAAAAGGAAGAAACAGGTTATCACAAAAACAAAAAGATCAATTAACTCCTCTGAGTTTAATTTTTATTCTTTTTAAAAAAAGTTTTTCTTTCCTCCAGGCAATTGCTGCTTCCCGCAGGAAGTTAATATGCGCAGGGCGAGTTCCACCATCGCCTGGATTACCGTAAGCCATCCGTCTAATTCCAAGGGTCATGGAATAAGCATTACGAATCACACTATATTTCAGCCCGAAATTTGAGGGCGCTTCCCCGAACAGCCGAGCCGATATTGTTCGGCCCGGGGCTAGACGGTCGGCTTGCGCCGTACTTGGGACTCCGAGGTTGCATGCTTGTTGCGCGGGTAGAGGGGCGGTTCTTTTTCATTTCACGAATCTCCTCTTCTTTCCTCGTCAAGAGAGTCTCCCTCGTCGCCAATAGGGATTCTAGCTCCTTGATACGAGCTAGTTGCAGTTCCCCATCCTTTTGCATCTTCAGCTCTTTAAGTCTTACGGCTTCGCCGTTTGCTTTCTTTTCCAGCTCCTGGACTCTTTCCTCAAGTCGACGGGCTTCCATTGTGGATTGTGCAGCTGACGTGGAGGCATTTTGGTATTGTTGTCGGGTATATTCTGTTTGCGACCGTTCCTGTTGGACCGTACGCTCAAGGCTCGCCATTGTCTTTTCAAGTTTCCTGATTTCCTCGCGGGACTTCTCTAGATCAGACTCCAAGCCACCACCAGATTTGATGGTATTCCTCGCCGCTTCCAGCTCGGTGACTAGCTCGGCGTTTCGGTCCTTCAGTCTTGTTATTTCTTCTTTCTGGCGCTCAAATCTTGCCAGGTTCTTTTGAGCCTTTTCTCGCTCCAGTTCTAACTCATGTCGAGTTTGATGCAACAGATTATGCTTTGCTTCATAACGGTATTGCAGAGCACCAATACTTGCTTCGAGTGACTTCACTTTAGTTTTGCTACTTGCTAGCGTGTTACGGAGGGCTTCAATATCTGCGGTGGTGGCAGAGTGATTCGTGTGACCCTGGTTAGCAGAAAGGCTGCTTTGATCCGCTTGCGTCGAATTCTGCACTGAATCACTGATATGTGTGATATCCTGGGTTGGTGTTATTCTCTGCCGTTTTGATGGATTGATGCTGTCGCTTAGTTCAGTCTCCTAAAAAAACACACGGGTCAATTATTGTAATTTTCGTATTATAGATGAGCTGAAAAAGGAAAAAGAAGCTTACCAGCCATCTCTTTTGACGCGAAGCATGATTAGAAGACATTGGGTCAAGCTCTGATCTAGGGCTTTCATCTTGCCCTTCTATCTCCAAGGTTTCCATATATGGAAGCTTCCACGTCCGCGTAGCAGGGTCATCCATGATGTACATCAAAGTTTCTTCAGCATTCTCTTGAACACCGAGAGCATCATCTTGTAGCTCTCCAGCAGAATCATTGCAAGCCAGTGTGTGTTGTACCAGCAAGCGAAGTCTAGTTAGCTCAGCGCATTTGGGGAGGCACACCTTGACATGCTCGACAGTATTGGCGATAATTAGACGGACAACGGGGACAAGGGAGCTGTGGCCTGGGCAAACCCTAAGCTTCTTTATAGAAGCAAGGCTGGCATCGAAGGAGCTATCCAGTGCTATGATGAGCGAGGGCGATCTCGAGGCCGGGATGTCTCGTTCTTCCGCGGTTGAGCGTACTTCGAAGTTGATTTTCTCTTTGCTGAAGACGGCGGGAGAATCGCCGTGTCTGCCCACAGGGAAAGGCATCTGATTAAAATTCTTCCCCATCAAGTAGCGTTGGACTACATCAACGGTTCTCCCTGGTTTTGCCATTATGATAACATATAGATCAAGTCCATTGGACGCGTCAATGAAATACCCAAGATATTGAAACTTTGAGCTAGAGTACTCAGCCCATAACGCTTCTTTAGCTGTATCTGGAGAAGCCCCGGCGGCCTGGCTAGCAATATTGATATCTGGATGTGTGGTAATATTGTCAAGTTTCTCGACTAGCGTTGCCATTCTAGTGAGCAGTCCTTGGTTCTATGCAAGTGAAACGAGTTAGAGGATTAGCGCAAAGAAGGCTAGGAAGATTAACTCACATCTCCGTCTAGAGATCCCATTTCACTCGATTGTGGTGCTGATTCCAAGAATCTTTCCACATACTTGTTCTCACCTTCCAGGGTATTATCGTATTCATCCTTCACTCGACAGTCCATGGATAGCGGGATCGCAAATTCCATCTCACTAAGAGCCAAAACATTAACTTCCAGTTCCAGTGCATCTGGATTTTGCTCTTGAGGGCTTGATGCATCAAAGTCTGTCGTCTCCGTTTGCATCATTGACTCGAGGGCCTCTGGAGCGGGGGTAACTTGCTCAACATTATAGTGCAAAGCTTGAGGGGTAACGAATGAAACGGGTATCGAAGTTTGTGCTTCAGTTCCAATGGCGCTTGGAGTACTTTTTTCCAACTGTGTGTTGAGAGGTGAGATGATATCCGAAGCATTTGGTGGCGCGGATGGCAGAATATCTCCAGCGGAAGAGGGCGTTGTACTTTGAGGAAGGCTGTTAAGTGGCTTCCTCAGAGCACGGTCAGTATCCCATAGCTGCTTCATTTTCTCAGAGACACTAGTTGCTCGCGCATGGCGTTCTAGCTCTTCAGCATTCGCCGAGATACCCGGAGGATGTGTGTTAGGCGCTGAGCTATTCATGGTAACGGAAGACAGGTGGAGACTTGGATGTTGTGGCGATGCAGACAAGCGGTTAAGGTGGTGTTGGTTGCCGCTTCTTGGCACCACTTCGCTAACCGTTCTTCGGAAGGCCTTTCTTTTGCTCAAATTAGAACTGGCGATGGCTGTTGGTGATTCTTCGATAAACGAACGAGACAGTGAAGCTTTGGGATACCCGTTCTGATTAACCGCACCTTGGTATTCTGATTTTGGAATTGACCGGCAAGATCCGGTCACCGTACTAGACTCGAGGAACGGTGTCTGAAGTTCTATACAAGGATAAGGAATTAACCAAAGTACCCATCCCGAGAAAGGGTAGGCGAACTTACCAGAGGAGCTTTGAACAGTGGTCCTACGGCTTGTCGAACTGTGGATTTCAAAGCCTGGTACGTCTATTTCCTGAGATGAACTGTGGTCCGATATATCTCGAAAGAGCAGTCGGGACGGTGGAGTTTCCAGTACTTCAAGGGCGAGAGATTGAGAGCGTGGCTTGCGTTGACTGTGCCCCTTTGACTGGGAAGTTGAATGAGCGGCACTATTCGTACTAGAAGTACCTCGCGATGCCTGAGAAGAGTATTGTGAGTTTTCAGGATTCTGTTCTGTATCCTGGTGGAGGTGCCGTAGATGGGATACACCTGTAGAAGTTAATGCTCGCTCACGCAAGGTGTATGAACTGGTAGTAGATTCAAGTACCCAGGTATCGGCAGTAGAATCAGGTATACTGGAATCCTGACTATATTTATGCGTGCTTCTAGGTGTTCGGGTATGATGTGATTGGCTCTCAGTCGATGAGATAAATGAGCCTCCACCCACACGACTGGAAGATAAATGAGATGCCTGGGTGCTTTGAGATTGGGTATCAGGACAAAATATACTGCCGCTTGAATCAGTTGCTTGGGATAATAATGGAATAGATGAATGTGGGTTGGTGGACGATGGTTGCGAGGCCTCAAGACTCTGCTGAGTAAATGCTGCTGGCGATGCAGAAGATAACAGGCCCAGCGGGTTACGGCGGGGAGTTTGACAAAATCTCCTCGGTCTTTGCTCTTTGTAGTGTTTTGCAGATATATATCTCTTCCGCTTTTCAACTTCCCAAGCCTGTACAGCAGCGTAACTAGCGCAGCTCTTTGGCTCCTATAATCAAAAGCGTATGTTCAGTATAATAGAAAAGGAATTCAAAAGAGCTGAGAGCGCAAAATAGATATCGAAGCACCATAGATAGTACGTCAATATATATTTATATATATATCTTTGCCTCATAAGGGCGGCCCTTTAAACGGCAGGCTCACTCACCCAGGTCGGTTCGAATGGGCCCTCCCACGCGATCAAATATTTGCCACCAGACTCGTCGAGTATAAACTTGATTGGGTATTCCTGGCTACTGTAGACTGACTCTTCTCCCGGTAATTGAGAGGTGGAATAATTTTCTGATTGTTGGCTGGCCGCAGGGCGATTATCCAATGTTTGTGAACTGGAGCTCGATGGATTTGTAGTACCTTTGACTCCGGGACCCATCTTAGACTGCCAAACAGGAAAAGGGAGCCATTTTCATGTAAACAGGAAATGCAAAACTCGAGGTCTATAAGAAAAGAATAGCCCCCAGTAGCTCCGGCGGTCTATGGCTTTGCGCAAAGGAGTCCTGCAATATGAGTGGGAGAAAGAGAGAGAGAGAGAGAGAGAAAGATGTTTTAGTGTTAAGCATCTCTATGGGGTCTTAACTCCAGCAAAGGGTCACGTGGTATTATGTCATGGCCTAATTAGTTATCTATTTATTAGAACCAAGAAACAACTAATTAACTAATTTGCTAGCGGGAAACTAGCTCGGGGGCTGCAGGCTGGAGACACTCTGTTTCATGCTTGATTTTTACGTGTTTTCCGTGGTGTTGATAGGCAGACTTGCGGCAGAGTCTATGTTTCATTACTCTATTTGGTTACCTTGCTGAGTTAGGCCTTTATATAGGTCACATTGTTTAATTTTCCTGCGATGCTTGCGATGCTTCAAAATCGAAACCAAGATCTTCGATTGTCAGACACGCTGTTCTCTTTTCTCCAAGCGCAGCATATTCTCGCTTTATCGAGGTGAACTTGGATCTTATCCACCTCTCCTTTTCACCCCATCTTAGTCCCCATTTCCCATGCCCACCATTCGCCAGCCCAGGCCTTGGTTTCGCGCTCGCCACCCAATCATGCATTTCATTAAGGTAGTCTGCGTCAAGTGGATAGGCTAGGGCGTGAAACGTTTTCCCAGAGCCTCGAGCTTCAACATTGGAGTTCTCCCATTCGTACATCTCCCTTTTCGAAGGTAGGTTAAGCCTCCCGGACCATACTCGAGCAAACGCGGCGCATTGATTCTCCGCTTGTATGAAAGGGATGACCTTCTGGTGTAGTCCTGGAAACACAAGTGTGGGCTGCTCAATGTAGAATAGGTGTTGATACACATGTAGCGTCCTACCGCCATCAGAAACCACGGGCGTGTCAAGGCCTGAGAGAAAGGGGAACGAATAGAGATATCCTGTACAGAAAAGTACAACGTCGACATCCTCTACAACTTCACCATTGGTGAACCGGATTGCACGATTATGAGTCTCCGGGGCCAAGAACTCGGCAATGGGCGGGTACTCATTTCGGTCTGACGCTACGCCTGATAAGAAATAGGACTCCGATTTGACCGACGAAATAAGAGGCTGTTGGCAGACTCTGTTAATCTGCGCCCCGATATCTAGTCCAGAAGCGGAATTCCCAACAATAACAACCTTCTTGTCCTTATACGGAGCAGAATCGAAGTATAGCTTGGAATGCATTATTCCTTGAGGGTATGCTTCCTTCCATGCTGATATTCCAGTGATTGACGGCAGATATGGCACATTATAGTGCCCATTTGCAATCACAACTGCATCATATATGCCGGTTTGCAGTACCCCACTGACTAGATCTTTCCGGGTAACTGCCCAGGTCCCCAGGGTCTTATTCGCGGGTTTAATATCCACGACCTGCACTTGAAATTGAATAAGATGTTCGATGTCCTGACTGTATTCTTTTAAATACTCAAGAACCGTTTCGAATTGTGGAAACAATCGAGTTTGGTCGGGAAATGATAAGTCAGAGAATTGCATGAGCCCATGTGGTATATTTGTCTCTAGTCCATTATACAACGGTGAAAGAAATACTGCTTCCTTTTTAGAAGACTGCAAGTCTTTGTGCCAGAATGGTGTTTCCAATGGGGTATTTGGGTCTTCTGATGGAATAGCAGTAATGGCCTGACCTTTCTCTTCTGGCGGGGTCAAGTTCCATACACCACCAACACGGTTTCTCTGCTCAAAGATATCTATCTGCTCGAAGCACTGTTCGGCGAGAAGGTATCTAGCCTATATATTAGTGGTATAATAAAAATATTCAAGATAGTTGACTTACTTTGCAGCAACCAAGCCGCATGCTCCCGCTCCAATAATAGCCACTTTCCTCACTGGTGGGGTTGCCCTTGTCATATTGGTGGCTACTGCGTTACGAGATGAAGGAGGTAGCAATATATCATATACTGACCGGCATAAAACTTAGATACAATCTATTTGGATCTATTGCAGTATAATATAAACTATAACAGAATGAGTAACTCCCTGAGCCGGTTGTATGTATACCTACGGAGTTAAACTACCCCTTCTCGGGAAAGGTCTTGAGCCGCTCTACAATATTGCCCAATCAGCAATAACCTCGGCATTGGGCAACCTATCGGAATATTATATTTCCGGTAAAGCGTTAAGGTTTCGTACTCAGTACTTGGGATGAAAGCGGGTTTTATCGGCGTAAAGCTTGACGTATCGTAATATGTCTAGTTTATTGGAAAGTAGTCGAAAAATAGAAACTCTGTAGCTTTTTATGGAAAAGTTATCATGTGTGCATATTATTTTGTAAGAATAATCACGTGGAATATTATTAAGTAATTTATTACATCACAGCTGGTGTTGAGCACTGACCTCGACGCGGCTGTGAAATTCAATAACCCAGAGCTACGTGAATGTTTGGGAGTGAAGTTGGCATCATACTGGGATACCATCCTACAAGTTAGTTCAGAGAATAACGCTAGGAGCGTCGCCAGTTATTCATGGCGTATCGGTCACCATGGATAACAAACCCACCGCAAGCGAGTTTTCCAGTCTTGCGGTGACACCTATTGCCTCCCTTTTTCCCGACATCGGTTCCCCCGGAGAGCGGTACCTCCACGCGGTGGTGATTCTTCTTTGGCCCTTTTCGTCTGCTACAAAGCAGTTTGTCCTACTCCTGTCAGAACCGGATCCCCGTTTGCGTGGTGGTAAAGGTCAGATAAAGGCAGTTTTTCGATATGGCGCTGCTGAAGCTGTTGCGAAGTCCAGTATCGGAATCGGAGATACCGTTTATCTAAGCCTACAGGGAGCTAAATGGAAAAGCAGTGGCCATGCAGACTCAGGGCAGTTGGAGTATTCACAGTGGGAGTTAATATTCAGCAATAGAGTCTTTCTTGAGGTATGTCTGATTCGATAGGAAAAGTAATTACGACTACTAATATCTTCGTAGGCGCAACGTAACTCTATACCATTAAGTATAGTCAATTTCAAGATCGATTCACATGAGGTAACAACGGAAGGGTCTACGGAGCTACCGGTTACACCAAAAAGGCTATCCGCTGGTTTTTCGAGCCCAATATCTACAATAAATCGCAGCTGGGCGTCACCTGCTTTCTCTAGAGGCTCTAACACGCTCTTTAGCTCACCATTACTCGATGGTCAAATAGAGGAAGATGGATATATACCAGGAAAGGGAAGAAAAAGAACCAAGTTCAGCCGGCCCAGCAGCGATTGGGTATACGTGGACTCCGCACCCAGCCCTACGAAAGAAGGGGATATGTGGGACGATGAGGATCTAGAGGCAAATGTTAGTAGCCCGGATGAGGTCTTGGGTGAACGAGGTATTGAAGCTCCGCAGCCTCCATCTGAAACCTTGCCGCTTACCAAGGAGAACGTGGAAGTCTATGAAAGTGAAGCCCAAAAATTGGTGGCAGTTCATGATTCTGAACCCACTTTTAATGGTGGCTCCCCAATTCCACGAATTTCAAAACCACAAGATATAACTCAAATTATACAACATAGCATTGCATTGCAGCCGGCTGCGGAATGCAAGCGTGCTGTACTGGATAAGCAACCCTTATTCCCCGATATTCCGGGTATACAAAGTCCTCAACTTCACCCAGCTATACCACCAGATACTCCAACTATTCCCGCCCCAGGCACGTCGGTGGAAACCTCAAGCCACAATTCTATAGTGTTTGTCGATTCCACCGACAAGGAATTTTCACTCATTAATGAAGGCCCGGCTATTCAGGGAGTTGCGGAAGCAAGTTTACACATTGGGAATGATGAAAAAGGCGCCTTTGATCCAGGCGCAAAGGCAAAGTTGTCCGATGATACATCCAAGAGAGAATACCGTGTGCCTTCTGATCGCGCTACCGATCTACCGCCTGAATTAGATTCTTACTCTGGACACTCAAGTAAATCTACCTCTGCTGGTACCGATAGCTCCCCAGAGAATATGACTGAAAACGCAATATCTCATCACGGAAATTCGGAGCCTGTTAACATTGAAAATATCGAGGTACTTTCTACCGATAGTGATTCTTCGTCTGTAAATTCAGCAGATGAAGAAAGAAACACGGTGCGACACTCTCAGGCTGGGCTTGAGGTATATAAAAGTGGCGGGAGTTCGACCAAGCGTTCTACCCCAGATGCTGAAAATCTGGAAAGAACGCTATCACTAGAGTCTGACTCCCAGCCCTCTGTTTCGTCGGATGTTGATATCTCAAGTGATGACGGAAGCGATAACGTTTCGCTGATCCCTTCAGCAACGGAGCCCAATAAGCCAGAGATCTATGTGATATCCGATGATGAATCAGAAGCGTCTGAGTCCGAAGCCGAGAGTATAACTGAAAGACAAATGAGCAACAACATCTGCTCCTCTATTTCCAGTGATAGGAAACCGTCCTCGCGTTCCCCAACATTCTACATTGAGAAATCCACGTTGGACGAACCTGCGGGAGGTGCTACCCACAGAGAAATAATAGGAACCCAAACTTCTAGCTCTACGCCCAATACCAACGCTGAGCATCACTCATCACTTCCACCTGGGTCGCATGATGACAGTGCAGCAGACAATGAGATGCACGCATTTACTGAAGATCAAGATATGTCTATATCGTTTCTGCCGACTGTTCCTGATATTCACCCTACAGCGGAATCTGATTTCTCGCATCACGGCCTTCACCATTACCTATCTGATGCGATATGCCACCCTGGGACTTCTCATATCCCTACAGACTTGGCGGTTCATGCAGGCCATCCGAGAGAACCCCACGGGGAAGAGCCAATGTCACATTTCCTTGAGCCACAGCCAACTGATTTCCGAGCCCCCGGAAATACCCAAGTCTCTTGGACCCCATTAAACCCTGAGCCACGCATTCACCCTTTCCCAGTCCATTTGGATCCTAGTTTACCTACGCCAGAAGATTCGCAATCGACAGAGCATATACATCCTTCTATTCCTGGTGTGGATGATCAAATTGATGCTTCGCATCCTTCCCACTCTTACACTCTTCCGGAGCATCCAAGCATATCCCGACCTGATCCAGTGGAAGCTGAGGGAACAAAGGGCACGCAGGTCCAAACTCATGTAACCGAAGCAATAGACCATCAGCGCGATAAAGAGTCTGAGGTTACGCATCAAGACCCCTCCAGTGACCACGTAACTATTGAGCCTGCGAGTGAATCAAATACTGACCTAGAAACCTTCGGACTGCGCACCCAATTTTCATACTTTTGCCCACTATCACGCCTAGTTGAGAACTTTAACCAACTAGTCGATTGCATCGCCATTGTTGTTGATATTACCCCTATCAACCGTGCAGCCAAAGGCGTTAAGGAGTACTACATCAGCCTTAGGCTAACTGACAAGTCATCTGGAGGGTCCACTACTACTGCGCAAATATTCCACAAGAAAAAAGACGCACTTCCAGTCCCCGCGGAAGGAGACACAATTCTTCTACGGAATTTCCGCGTTCAGAGTTTAAATCATATGATGGTACTCAACAACATGGAGAATAGTGCATGGGCGTTTTTCCCTCAGGAGGGTGAGGTAGATGCCCAAGTCGACGATGCCCCAGTCGAGTTTGGTTCTGAAGAGCAAGATTTTGCCGCACATCTAGGCGAATGGTATAAACAGGAGGGTGCTGAGTTAGTTGTAAGAAATGCCTCCAGAGCTAACCAGCGTGAAAGCATTGGTATCAGCAGCAGGTCGGCTAGTGAGGCTGGTAGTCAGCTAAGGAATATCGTCAGAAAGCGCCGGCGGGAATCGCGAATTACATATCATGAACTACGGGACGGAAAGCGATATGCCGATGTTGGATCTCCTTCGGACAATGAGACCATCCATGAGCTCCGAAATGGGACTTTGTATGCGCACCCTAGCTAAGGTTCAAATCCTGGATGGCAATTGGTAACATTAATTTCAAGCGTTTTGGATACGCGCCGCAACTATTTGAGTAATTAAAAAGCTGAGTGAAGCGTCTTGGTTTCGGTTATCACGGCCCGAATTTGGGCTGTTGAAGAGATACAGTCTTGGCCATGAGGTGATACAGCTCGTCAAAATGGATAAATATGGGTTATGGAACCACTGAATCATGCCGCTGATCAATTTATTAATCCAAGAATAACTCTTGATGGGATTATTATTAGTAGCTGGTTAGGCTTGTCTTCCGTTTATGACGAGAGAAACAAGTCTTCAAAAGCAAATCCTCGACGAGTCGGAATATCTGAACAAGAATCTATGCATTTTGTGCTGCACAGATTTCTTATATCATAACCTACCCAGCAAACATCTAGATGGTAGTGGGCCATGCGTTAGTTACACTGGACATAGCAGACAAACCACAACTGGTGCCACGGTCAGCACTCATGTCAGACTTTGCCATTTGAACTCCAAGCTCCTCCAGCAACGTAGAGCGTTGATCCACGAGTGTAAATGCGGTTGAGCACATCAGATTACCAGAGCTGTCTAATACGTATCTTCATTTCATGCTGTGCTTCCGTCTGAGGCACCAAGTGGGTGGAATAAGGGAAGCTTAGATTGCTTACAGAAATAATTGTACCATTGAGCTTCCTTGGCTTAGGTAGAGTAGTACGCCATCAGGAGAAATAGAATGCATCATCCATATTGTGCAATCATGCATATATCCTAAAAAAGGTGTGTCTTAGACGCGTTCATCTGGTTGTCCCTACTAGAAGGTCATCAGCGGGTCATGGAAGCTCGAGAGAGCCCTCGTGCTGATGGTTTTATAAGCGGGCATTGCATCGATCTGGACACACACATCGGAATCGCCAAAGCAGTGAAGGTAAAACAAAAATGCTGCTGCAACTAGCGATGATTTGAGTTGGTGGTCGTTGAATTGAAGAAGAAAAGAAAGAGAAAAATCGAAGATGAAGAAAAACCGAAGAAAAATCAAAATTTACTAGTGAGTTATGTAAGCATAAGTTTAAACAGTGCAAACTTGATATTTTAGGACTAAGTTAATTACATAACTAATCGTCTAGCTTGATGCAAACTGTGCAAATTTCCCGTCATGTCTCATCTCGACATCCATTAACTATTAGAGTCGTTAAAAGGTATCTAGGTACATATTCGAATAATAGAAATATCCTTGCGCCGCCCGAGGGATGGAATGAATAACCGGAGAATGGACCATCAATACGTCACGTCATCAAAAATGCAATTCATCAAAATAATAGAGCAATCGCTCTATCTTAGCCCCAATCCCAAGGCGAGTTCAATGCGACCCAAAGCTTCATGCAACTGATCCGGTTCAACAGAGAAGGACATCCGTACCCATCCTCTCTCCTTGAAGGTCTTGTGGAAGCTTCCTCCGGCGTTGTTGACCACAACACCTGCGTTTTTTAAGTGCTGCACAATCTCCATTTCTTCGTCCCGCGACCTTGCGTTGGGTGCCAAACGGGCAAATATGCTTAGGCCTGCATTGACGGGGATATATTTGATGCCATGTCGTACGAAAAAGGAGGTAATGAGCATGTAGCATTCGGCCAGGCCCGCTGAGTTAAGAGCAATCAAGATTGGCAGCCTGGGACTGGAAAGAAGAGAGGTTGCAAAGGCGAGTGATGCTGGTGTTATTATGGAGTTTTGGGTATTCGTAAGTCCACGGATGAGTTCTTTGTTTCCTTGTGATACTATGCAGCCCTGCGGATTTGGTATCGTTAGTTCTTTATGCTCTGCTTTTGCCTAGATTATGTTTTGATTTCTTTGATGAATTGACATACCACTTGAACGCCGGTTGCTCCAAAATCCTTACTAATGCTCCAGATAGTGTGTATTCTCGACAAATCACACCCCAATACCCGGGTATTCAAAGCCAAAGCGGAGACAAACGGGACAGGGTCGGATATTTCCGCACATGAAAATGCTGTGAGAGCATATACTTCGTCAGAGATAAAGTGGATGCGTCTCTGTTGGCAAAATTGAAGGGCAACTTCAAGAAACTCTTGCGGGTAGCATTCGCCAAATGAGCTGCTCATGTTCCTTAAAATTAAAGCCTTGACTTTGCAAGGAGCACTGTCGATGGTATCGTTCAAAACCCTGAGGAAATGGTGGGCTGTCCCGCAGGTGTTGGTGTTCACTGTTACTGTCTTGACACCGGGGTAAGAATAGTTCATCTCAATGTCTGAGTCGCCTAAATTATGAATACTTGTTAGCTCCTTTCGGTCTCTCAATATGTTAGCGGAACATGACTTACCCCATTGGGGTCCGGGTATAAGGACACCGTCACCAGCGTTGCAAATATTATACAGAAGTGCATCGAGGCAGCCAGCTGCGCCTGGAGCAGTAGCAATATGTGATCGACTGACTGGAATACAAGGGTTGAAATAATTGTTGAAGAGTCTTGCCAAACACTCCATCAACAGCCTTGAGTCTCCTGCGTCGTCGTGTGAGGAAAAATGGTGCTATATCGATATTAGCAACAGCGAAGCTTAAAGCACTGACGCACGTATAAACATGCATGCATAGAATATATACCTGAGAATCATGTGTTTTGGCCGTCTTGACAATCTCCGCAAGCTCTTCTCGTAAGAGAAAGTTCTCTGTTCTAGACAGGTCGATGGTGCCGGGTCTCATATAGCCATTGCAGGCATCTGTTGACGAGGGTATAAAAGGCATTTTTGAGGAAATCTTAACTCTAGTACACGATGCCGAAGATATTGTTGATGTTGATGTTGATGAAGACGAAGCCAGCGGTGTCGAGTTATTCTCAAACATCATTCTCAAAGGTCCCTTCTTGCCCGGTCTTTAAGTATGAGAGATATGCTCCACAACTTGGTGTGAGAACCGCTCAGGCACTAATAGTTAGCCGCGATGACACGGCTCAGATTGAAGATTGAGTGTGAGCGAGGAGAAAAAAGTAACTCGAAATGGCAAACAAGTTGAGTTATACAGTTGCAATGACCGCTTTGGTGCCTTGAATTATTATTATGTCGAAATTTAAATGGGGTAGAAGGTTGGGAAGAGCCGGTATGTATGGCGTACTTTCGAAACTAGAGAACGAATGCGTCTCATGGGACGGGTACGGAATTGCCTTCTTAGCGGATAACCTTTTGCGGTACTCGGCCTCCTAGGTGTGTTATATATATGTGGGCAGCGCATTGTTTTCGTATGGAGCCGCCGTCCGCAATCCGGGCTTCGTTTGACGAGAGCCTATACATTGAGATCAGATGCAAATGTAAAAAAAAATTATAAAAAAAATGAAGGCACAGCAACAGAGTGCAGGACGCGCAGAGACAGACAGACACATCGCTGCACGGAGGAACAGGCGCAGAGATGCAATCTGCAAGCTGCAAGGCCGTGAGAATCATTGCTTTTTCGACTAACTACCATGCGACAGGAGCTCTTGGTCACCAAGCTAGCCGGAAAAGGGCGCTAAGACAAAGCCGTCTATCCAACCACCTACTTTTTTGGGGAAACAGCCAGGCCACCGTTATCTCCGCCACTAGGGAAAGATCTGGTTGTCACTCCTTTGTGCGCGGCAGTAGTAGAGGCAGCCCGGAGGGAAACTGGTCTGCAGCTGGCCTTGGTCTGCATGCTTGCATGTATTTGTATGATGACGGAACGTCAGGCCGTGCTGACTAGTTAGTTATATAACTAGATATTTGTCGCCATCCTGTCTTTGTGCAATAGTCAAGTAAACGAACCCATCTTTGTGTACTCCGCGGACCGATACTGGAAAGATCGTATGTGAACCCTATTGCGCATAGCTTCTAGAAAGAACATGGTTATTTTTGAACCAAGATGGAGTGAACGGAGTAAGCTGTGACTTGTCCGAGTCATTCCTAAACCACGGTTTGATGGCCGCTCATCAAGACCAAGAGCCTGGTAGCCGGCATGAACTAGTTGAGCCTAACGATGCCAACACCGCTTTTGCCGTCGACTTTCGCTTATTCGCAATAGTAGGGAGAGGCCACCGGCCCGCACTCTGGACGGAGTATCATGACGACTCCGGTTCCTCTCGTCTCTTCCGTGTCCCTCCCCGTGAGCGTCACCCAGCGCAAAGAGGAAAAAGAAACGCGCTATTGAGGCGGCAAGCCATCCGCTTTCCCTTTTGAGTTGTGGGTCCCTGCCGCGCCCTCACCGCCGAGGAAGCAAAAAGCAAAGAGAAAAAGCGAATAACACAAACCCCTTGCGAACTTCCGCATTGGGTAGTCAGATATCGCGCTGCGCCAGTAAGAAATCACGGCCTGTTCGGCCTTTTTCTCCTCTCAGCTAGTCATGAAGCTGCTTTGCATAGTGCCAACATGAAACCGATGAGGCTGTTTGACCAGATAACTATGTAGGTGGTTTTGCCTCTCGATGCAGTACGGAGTAGGTAGTCCAGGGTACAAAGTAACAACTGGACATGCCTTTCCACAGGTAGCATCCATGTACGGAATACTCTGTACGCACATCCAGAGAGTATCTATATGCATCTGAGACCAGACCATGCATTGCGCCCCTCTCATTTCCCCGCCCTTTCCATTATCTCACACATCATCGCATCGGACGGGAGAGAAGGAGAAGAAGGAAAAAAAACGTGTTCTTTGCAGTCGTTATCATAATCTGGTCTTGATGCCACGCGACGGTTTTCAAGGTCTCATCCGCCCTCCCGAACCTGGCTCCATTGCGCTGGTTATCCGTAGGATCGCCGTATTGGGAGAATGCAAGGGTACTTGGCCTTTCCAACCTGCTATACAGAGTACATCAAACCTGCTATTCCGCACACTTGATTGCTGGGCGCGGTTAGTAGGAGGTATGCCTAGAAACACGCCAACATATTGCAGTGTAGTTGCGGAATAGCTGTGATCTTGTCGGTGCAGATTCCTGAAAAGGACGGCGTTAACGGGCCTTCTCCTCATCTCGGTCTCTGCATCTATGCAGGGTGGCGTTTGAACCAACGCACTGTTAATCACCAGCTGGCTTTTTTTTTTCGCTTGCCGGAAGGAACGGTGAGGTACGGAATACATAATCTGGTTGAGGCTTATGTAGATGCACGCACCTTTTCCCAGATTCGTACAATGCCCAACGTCCTTCTCCGTCTTGGTGTCTGGCTCACACCTGGTCATTGGCTCCCAGGCGTTGGGGAAGGGACAGAGTAGGTTCGGCTATCACCCTGTCGTGTCTGGAGATCCATTAAATTCTACTGGTCTCTAGAAACTTTGGGGATGCAGAAAGAGGAGTAGCTGGCTTGACGGGCTGTCTGTTCATTCAGCCCGATGGGATAGTTGACATCATGCAAGCCCTTATCAGCCAATGGTGAAGCAGCCATTTTACTTGCCTGGCTCCGTGAACAATCTGACTGGAGAGTTTCCGAAGCATCCAAACTAGCCTAGCGGTAGGTATAAGTTGACGTACTATTATATATGTCGATAGAATATGCGGTGCGCTACCTCTGTATACTTCTTGATACTTCTTTCCGCCCAAGCCAGCACCTCCCAACCATATCATACGCCTACTCTTTGCAAGCCCCAAATCCTCTCTAGGCAAAATGCCAGGCTGGCATCAGCATCCACTCGCACCCACCCATCTTCACTGGCGTAACATTCCCCAGCAGAATGGCCCGTTGAGGCTGCACGACGCCGTCATCAGATCATCAAATCAAATGCAAACATCTTCGTCTACGCGACCAGCAAAAAAAGCCGCGTGGAAACGATGAAACGAAGTAAGCGCGCGGCACGTGATACTCTAACTATATTAGGCCTAGAGGTCAGAGTAAACGCGCGTGTAAAAGTAAAATGCGGCAAAAGCTTGATTTGTTCAACTTTCTCCGCCATCTTTTTCTCTCTCTTGTTGTAGTATCAAGCAAATTCCAGCTCACGAAAACTGTTCATTTCTACGATTCGCTCTCGCCGCAACCGCTCATCCTATCGCCTAACCTGCGTTCCGCCAATCTCCTCGCTTCTTGTCCTGCCCGCCGCCCGCACGCCCCCCCCGACACACTCCTCGCTTCATCACCGCCCTCGCGCAAAAACGAGCCCTAGGAATTTTTCCCCCCTTCCATCGACTTCTAGGCGGCCGCTCCTCCTCGTCCTGCATAATTAGAACCACCCCATACCCTTGACTAAGTAAGCCAATGGAGAACGCTAATTTATGGACTCGAAGATCTAAGTAAGTGTTGTGCCCTGCTGCCCTCCTCGCACAGGTTGCGTCTCCAGTCCTGCCTGTCTGTTGCATTTCTGCATCGTCATCTATTCCAGTGTGGGGAGAACAAGTATTAATCTTTCTTTGCTTTTTCCTTTTTTTTCACCATCTGTAGCTCTGCAAAACTCTCCTTATCGACTTCTTCCGGCTCTGATAGTAAAGACGGTGTTGGGAAGTCGGATTCATCTCGTGGTCGCTCCGCAGGCCGCTTCGACGGCTCGCACCCGCGCTCAAACCCATTCAACGCCATATCGCCTCTTTCATCCACGGTCTCCTCCCCCTCCGTGGCCGCATCATCTGCTTTTGGGCTGGGCTCAGGCGCCTTTGCTTCGTTCGGTTCGACGGCAAAGTCATCCAAGGCGCCCAACTCGACTGACGCAATCGCTGGTAAACAACAAGGCGATAAGCGAGATATACAAGCTGATCAGGAGGGTGGGCCTTGGAAACCAGTCAAGTCAAAGGCGTCTTCGTCCTCTCTTGACAAATCTGCGTCGTCTGTCAGCAAAGATAACGGAGTAAGGGAGCTCCCGCTTAAGTCGACGTGGATTGTCTGGTACCGTCCCCCGACACCCAAGTACTCTGATTACGAGAAGTCCACTATCCCTCTCGCCTCTATCTCTTCTGTCGAGGGGTTTTGGACCGTTTATTCACATCTCAAACGACCTTCCCTGCTACCGACCGTGTCCGACTACCATATATTCAAGAAGAACATCCGTCCAGTATGGGAGGATGAGGCCAATAAGAAGGGTGGAAAGTGGATCATCAGGTTGAAGAAGGGAGTTGCTGACCGATATTGGGAGGATCTACTCCTTGCAATGATTGGGGACCAGTTTGCCGAGGCAAGTGATGAGGTCTGCGGCGCTGTCCTCAGCGTTAGGAGCGGGGAGGACGTCTTGAGTATATGGACCAAGATCGATGGTGGCCGCAACATTAAGATCAGGTATGCTATGTTGATTGCCATCTCTTGTTTTTGAGATTGTAGAAGATGGTGACTGACACCAATCCACAGGGAAACCATTAAGCGACTTCTGGCCTTCCCACCAGATACCAACATTATCTGGAAAAGCCACGATGACAGCATAGCACAGAGGTCAGCCATAGACCAAGCTCGCCTGGATAAATCCAGTGGCAATTCCGGCCATCACCATCATCACCACCACAACCAAGGTGCTGACCGCCGCCGCAATGCCAACCAGGAAGATTCCACTGGCGAACGAGGTAAGAATGCTACGAACTCCTAATCAGGAAGACCATTTAGTTTTTCCAGCAGGCCCGATGTACACTACCTTTATTTAAGTGCTAAATTCTATTCACTGGCATACCCCCTATATGTCTAGCCCATTGTTATTTTCCTCTTCCCTTTCTTCCACCCATTCTTTGGCTTTGCTCTTTCTTCCTTCTGCATATGTTTCTTCTCTTGTTTTATCACGATTGATTAATGCCTATTTCTGAGACTACATCGAGATATGGCAACGCTTTCTTCTGGGTTCCTGGGTTCAAATACTTCAGCATCACGGGTGTACTGTCTTTTTGCAGAAATGGTCAAGGCCAACTGGTTTCACAGCTTACCTGCCGTTCCTCGTAGATATTCTCCAATCATATGCACTCGTAGCAATGTACACGTCGGTGGTCTTTCTGCAGGCCTTTACCTCCGTCTTTCATTATCACCCACGTCTTTATTCGTGTGGAAAGGGAACAGCAAGCTATGCGCTTATTGGTGGCGGATGCGGCAGTTCTATCAAACCCTAAAAACCGTCGCGCGTTTCTGGTTATCGATAACTCCGTTAAAGGGCCACAGCACTTCATAAACAATCTCCCATTATATTCACTCCCTGCTCTTTCATTGCCCGGATATTTCACCTACCTATCTCTTCAGTGGATTCTATCGCTCATTCGCGGGGATAATGGTACCGGAAATTCGCCGGCCTTAAAGAACAACTGAAAGTGAAAGGCTAGGTGATGGTGTCCGGAGCTTCGCTACAGAGTCACTGCACCTCAGCTGATGATAAAAGGCAACACCTATGCCTCGGGGGAAGGGGATCATCGTTATAAGAGAGAGCCAGGAACCGTGTCGAACCCGTGTGAGACCGTACTATACAAAGGGTTGGTTTTATTCCTCCGCTTCTTTTCGCATGGCCAGCCGGCTTGTTCACTCAGGCACTTTTTTCCTAGTATTAAACTAACCATCCACTGCCTATAATTCAGGATGCCAGAAGTCCTCTCGAATTCTTCCTCCATATTCGGCCACAAGAAGAAAGCTATTGGGTAAACGAAGCTGGTAGACCAACCTTTTGACTGGTTGGAAGTGGAAGCTGATAGATGGGGGTTTCCAGTCGCAAATTAAGCAACGATGAAAGAAAGAACTATAGGGATGAACAGCGCCTGCTACAGGGTAGTCAGTACGTTTTTATGGTTCTGTTTCTACCTATTTGGAAGGTGATTTGCCAACTGACATTTACAAGACCTACAAGGGACCGTCGTGCAATTCCTATCCAGCCAGGCTCGTTCGCGAAGAAGCACGAGACGTTTAAACCCACAAATACCATAGGAATCAAGCCAGGGACACGGTTAAACCAGCCCTCGTCAGCGTCAAGTCATTCATTCGCCAGGCCCAAACCTTCGGGGTTAGATAGGTCTACGGTTATACCAGATTCAGATGACGAGGGCACACCACCCAAAAAACGATTGAAACGACAGGATCCCGAAATAATTGATCTTGAGGAGAATGAGCAGCCGTTGACAGTCCCACAATCTCCGAACACCAAAATTTTATTTGAAAGATCCCCTCCTCGAACTCCAGTCCGAGAGAAGAAAAGCACGCCGCCAATAATTTCACGATACGGGCGCATCGCGGGTGCTGACCGAAAATCCCCGGCTCCTTTCACTCCTAAGCGTAAGCCCTGGACTGGTCGCAGGATAGATGTAATCCCCGAATCGGAAGATGAGACGCCTGAAAAACAACCAAAACAAGAGCAAAGACGAGCCACTGTTGGTTATTCCAAGGATAAGCTTACCACCCCCAATAGACCCCGTGACCAAACTATCCCCAAGGTGGTGGTAGAAGTCCCGGACCCGGCAACGCTAGTTGACTACCCTAAAGAAGTCGAGAACATTGTGAATCACAGTTCTACTCAAGGTGGTGATCGGCGCATTTGTGATCTCAGGGAAAGTCCGGATGAGCTTCAAGGAAACAAGACTATCCCAGATGTTTGGAAGGAGCACAAAAACCTCAAAAGAGAAGTTTCACCAAGCAACATTCGTCACACCAGGTTTACCAGCACCGCAGACCGGAAGCTTCCTCAGCCACCTGCAGAAAAGAAAACGAAAAGGAAGTCTACACCAGTGACCTTTGATTTAAGCATGTTCCGCTACGGAGACTTCTCAGCTGAACCGTTGTCTCGATTAGCCTACGATACAACGGAGACATCTAAGTTTTTTGTGACTTCTGCCGGTAATGATGTTTGCTCTTCGAAGGGTCGGTCTTTTGACCTATTGAGAGCGATCAAGATGGACTATGGCGAACCTAACTGCAGCAAAATTCGACTCACCTTTCCAAGGTCACATAACCCAGGTCCCGAATTTGCCGACATCGAGTTTTCCAGTGATCAAGAGAAAGAGAGATTCTTGGATTTTATCCTAACGAAAACACCTTCCCTTAAGCCGTATTCGAAGAAAAGGTAGCTATCAGTCTCATATCACTTACCCCATGGGGACCCTGTGTACTAATCAAGAACTAGGAAATGGATGGAACGCATATTTCAACTAAAGGATATTACCGCGATAGATGAACCGAAGCCCCAGAAATCTAGGACATCAAATGCTGCAAGCGAGGCGAACTTACCAAAAGTTCAGCCAAAACGAATGAAACTAAGTGATAATCTTACGAATGGAGACCAGCCTGCGTCTAATCGCTCAATTGAAAAATTGAGTCACGCTCACCCGTCTCCGAGTCGCGCAGAGCCAGCTACATCTATCCCTATCAAGGTAAACCGGATTCCACCGCTTACACGATATACTCGGTCTCTTTCCCGGAAACAAAACGTTGAGATTGATAGGTATGTAATTTATCTCCTGTCATATAACATAAGAAAGTAGTTGCTGAGTGTATATTTTTAGTGAGAATGAAGATGACAATGATACGAGTACTTCCGTCTCTGACGTGCCCGGCAAGCGATGGCAGAAGTAGGTAATTTCCTGATATAGATTATATGGAATTCGAGCTTACCTGAAACTAGTCCTCTTGTATACCCAGCGGCTGGTAAGAAGAAGGCTGAGGTAGAAGAACATGACTTAGACCGGCTTAGACCGCATGAATTCTTAAACGACAATCTTATTGGGTTATATATTCGATTTCTCGAACATCACTTGGAACGCCAACACCCGGATTTCGCAAAACGTGTATACTTCTTCAACTCCTACTTCTTTGCGACTTTGACAAATACCTCGAAAGGCCAGAAAGGGATTAACTATCAGGGTGTTGAAAAATGGACAAGATCCTTTGACATATTTGCTTTTGATTATCTGGTTGTACCAATTAATGAGGATGCCCATTGGTACGTGGCAATTATCTGCAACTTGCCAACCTTGCTTTTACCAAAGGCGGGAAATCGATCTGGCTCAGAAGACGTTGAAAAAGCTGAGATCCCAAAAACACTTGGTGCTGCAGCAGCAGCAGATTCCCTTAATGCACCGTCTAAGGTTGGGGAATTAGATGCTGGCCAGTCACCGCCTGATGCTACCAAGGAAGGCCATGTCCGAGAATCTTTCACATCTTTGAACCTGAACGATGATTCGGCAGAACCTAATTTTTCTGGGGGAGATAAGGAAGCTGAGCCCCCCGAAGCTGACGAATGGCCGGACGAAGATGAAAACCGAATGCTGCATTTGACATACCAGAGGAGAGCAAAATTGTTGCTGGAGAAAGCTCTTGAGCCCGTAAAGGAGGCTCTCAAATCTTCTAAAGTGACCGAACCAGCAGTCGTCTCCAAAACATCCAAGGTCGCAAGAAAGCGCGGTAAAAAGGGGAGGAACCCAGGCATTCGATATAACGAAAACCAACCTGCGATCATTATTTTTGACTCGTTGGATTGCCCGCGGCGCCCTACTATAGAAATTCTTCGGGAATACCTTGAGGAGGAAGCCAAAGCAAAACGGTCATTGACAATCGACTCCAAAGAAGTAGTAGGAATGAATGCGAAGCAAATACCGCATCAGCCGAACTTTTCCGATTGTGGACTATACCTACTCGCATATCTCGAGAAATTTGTGCGGAATCCAGACCTCTTCGTGAGATCAGTGCTTCGCAGAGAAATGAACAGAAACAAGGACTGGCCAGCTATGAAACCAGGTTTATTTCGGTCTCGCTTGCGCAAGTTTCTCTTTGAACTTTATGAGGAGCAACAAGCATTGAAGGATGGAAAGCTGGAAAAGAGCCAGCCCCTTATGGCCGACGCGAAGTCTTTAAATATACTGTTGGACAATACCCTGGTGGAGGATAACGTTACGACTGATGATGATGGAAAAGAGCCCGGGGTAGCCAAAGCCTCTCCAACGCCATCAACTGCCAAACACGCCATCTCGGACCATCCAGTGACCCCTACTCGCACATCCCCTCGCAGTATCGGAAGGATGAAAGGTGCCCCTATGTCCAGCCCTCTGAAGACTCCAAAGACTTCAGTCGCTACCACTGTTCCTTTATCTAGCGATTCTATGCTTCTCAGTTTGTCTGACACCACCGCTAAACAAGACAAGCTTGATGAGACCGAGAAACATAGCGATGAAACCATTCAAGTCCCTATGACACCACCCCCAATAAATCCAATTACTGTGGACGCCAGCCCAACCCACATGTAATCCATCCACCTTCGTTATCTCAGCATACCCAACTTCACACTCTCATTCGACGTTTTTTATCGTTTGTTTTGCTATCATATCCCGCTTGCATGACACATACCATACAGATCTCTTTTTCCTCGTTACGTCTTTCTATTTGTCCAGAATGTCATTGTTTTGATCATTCCATCTAAGGGGTTATACAAGGCATCCATCTTCAGGGGCTGCATACGAGGCGTTCGTCCGGGTCTAGGACGTTTTTCTTTCTCTTCTCACGGAGCAATGTAGGGTGGAGAATATCGTTCTGTCGGTGTAGCATAACTTCTAGCTGTTGTATACCATTGTTGTTTTAAGCTGGCTTGCCTGCCTGCCATTTTTACTTCTATATAGATATAGATCAACTTTCCTTTCGCTATAGAAACCTTCCATTGATTGGGCAACTAATCAGTCACGTGACGCTCTATGGGCGCAGTCCAAGGTCGATGTCGTCAATCTTATCTGGCCTCATCTAGAGCTTGGAAGAATCTTAAGTAGGTAGCCATAGCCACGAAGCTATCCACGGCCCAGTGGATGTAAGGACGGTCATCCAAAGCTGCCGCAATGCATTCAGTTTCCACCCGCTTTCAGAGTCTCTTCGGGTTTCTAACCACAGTTGCACTGGTGCTGGGCGCAATCATTGCTGCTTCGGATTTCCTTCATCCAGTTGAGCCCACTACCAGCATAAAGCTGTCGAACGTGCAAGTGTATGTTAACACATGAGCTTTCTATCCCACCGGGTATACCCTTGCGAACCATATGCTGTCAACTGAGATACTAATTACCGCGCCAATGTTTGCCAAAACAGGGTCAAGGGAAGACCTCACTACTATGCCTCAAGACGAGAGGAATATGCGCAGGTCAAGTTTGATTTAGACGCTGGTATGCTGATAGATGTAATGCAAGACGGATTGGACTTAACCTGATAACTGATGCTTTCTGTACCAGACTTGACCTCCCTCTTCCACTTTAACACGAAGCAAGTCTTCGTCTACGTACTGGCCTCATACCCTTCTGCCTCGAACCAATCCCAGACGACCGAGGCAGTGATATGGGATAAAATCATCCCAGCTTCCGTATCGCCTTATTCCCTCGAATCACTAAAGTCCCAATTTTTCCCAGACGCAAAGGCATTGAAGAACAAACGAAAGACCCTTAAGAGCAAGGCCAAGGCCAATGTCGAGAAGGCTGTCGTGCCTGGGAAGCTAAAGCTCCGGAACCAGAGACCTAAGTATCAAATTACTGATATCTCAGGATCCATAGCGGAGAAGGAAGGCGTGAGATTGATTGTTGGATGGAACGTTCAGCCCTGGATAGGCACGTTACGGTGGAGCTCGAATACGAATATGGAAAAGAATGTTGGTGGTGGTATTTTTGGAAAACTGTTTCTTCAGAACGCTGGCTCTATGGGGTCACTGAGCGGGAGGAGCAAACCGTTTAATTTCCCTGCTTTGAAGAAGCCACAGCCGGCCACCCCTTGATCTCCCAGGTATCTTGCGCCTATTTCCCTTTAGAGGGTACATTTAATACAATATATGCAGTATATTTCTCCAATATACCCTTAATCCTACGGCGATCCTAGTTGGTAGGACCGAAACTATTGAAGCCGGGTATATACGGCTGTCGAGATGACCAGCATATGCAACGGCTTCTGATTTACCATATTTGATCTGTCCGACAACAAGAAGCAGAAATAAAAAACTTATGCCATTAATACCCCAACGGGGCCAGAATTTAAGAAGAAGGATTGACTATAAGGATATTGATGGTGGTATACACCGTCCAAACCCAAGCAAGAAGACAATAACAATGGCTGCCCAAACACCTCTCCGTCTTTCGCCAAGAAGTCACCCGCACATTACAGTCCATCAGGGTCAAGTGCATTTCGATATTTATTGTGTTGTTTGTGTGCCACCATTGGCAGTGGGAGCTGATGTGGCAGTCATGCCGTATCCCTGCTGCGCGGTAGCTTGTTCTTCCGAGGAGTAATATCTTTCGCCGCCGTTCAAAATTCTCTTTGAAAAGATACCTGGTGGATTCTTGGCTTTATCTCTGCCTTCGCGACCTCTGCCTTTACGGTCGTAGTATACCCATAGAGTGTAGAAAGCATGGATATGGCCAGGGAAGTATCTGTTAAATGGGAAAAAGAATCAGCCTGTATTCTATGGTGCCTTCAGGGGGGTTGATTTACCCGAGTATAGTTAGGACGATGTTGATGAGGAGGTCTGGGGAGCAACCGCCGATGAAGAAGACTCCTGCTGGCGGGACTGGCGTGGAATATATTAGCACTTTGATGCCTATATACGGAAGATGAATAGGGGTATTCTAGGTATAGCGTACAAAGGATAGTCACCAGGACAAGGATCACAGCTGCACAAGTTTCAGCACTCATCTTAGCTTTGGTATGAATCCCAGGCGGTATAGATTGGTATAATTTCTGTTGTCCGTGCTGTAAAATAGGGGGTTAAGTCAGAATAATCAACTTCAGCTTCGGTGTTGTTGGCCACGGTATTGCCTATAGAATATAACCATGGACTTATTATTTAACGAAGGATGAGAGAAAAAACACCCCCCCGTTCCCCCTGGGGAGGTTTTGTTTATTATTTCGCGCTTGTTGACTTTACAATAAAATCGGCAAGCGCACACAACGTCTATTTAGGATCGCAATGATGTCATAGATAAAGGAAGGAACGGTTAAATCACGTGGTATTAGTTTTTGGATCGAGTATGAATTCGTTCCTTTGCACAGATCTATAAAAAGCACGGGGTGCAAAGACGAAGACAAAGATTTTTGCCTATTTATTGATTAAGTAAAAGGGAGAGCCGAGCTCGCTAATCCATAAAGTAAAAAAAAAAAAAAAGAGGAGAGAAGAGAGAGGGGGAGCGGTGTTTGGGTATTGGTTCTTTTGCAATCATCCGATGGATTGTTTATATATAGGAAGGATTGGGTATGGTAAGAGTGGAATATGTACCTCTTCATTCGGCATACGTGTGTGACAGAAGCGGGTTTATACAGCATCGATGGCCGCTCTCTTGGACACTTGCTCGTTCTGGTTCCCTAGTCTGGAAATCTGTAGGAAGGCATCGACTCCATAGCCCTCAAGACTATGAAGCTCTAGTGTCCCGGCCCAGTATTCTGCATAGACACGGCTCATTGGGAGTCCCATTCCGAGCCTTAAATTGGGTGGGCGGGAGCTGAGAGAGTCGAGGGAGTTTTCCTTTATTCCTCTAGGCACTTCTGGCGAGTTCTCATGCGAAGCATTCAGTTCCTGCATAGTTGCGGCCATGGCGTGAATCTGACCGAGATTCTGCAAACGGGTTTTCGAACGAGGGCCCTTGGAGAACGACCAAAGGTAAGGGAGAATATCACGAGGGATGCCGCCGCCCTGGTCCGAGAAACGGATAATAACATGTTGCGGAGCCTCGCAGATGAGGACTTCTATTGGTGGTGGAGGACTATCACTGTCCTTGTATTTCTCGATGACTGCCTGCATGGAATTTCGCAGCAGCTCTCCGACAATATATTCTAGATGACTTAGAATGTAGGGGAATGTAGCGCTGAGATGGCCCTGGATGGATATTTTGGGGATCCTTGTGTCCGGGCCGAGGGTTTGTCGTAGTAGATGCCTGGCTAGCTTTCCACAGCGTTCTACGACATCCTTTGCGTTACATTTGAGGAAGACTTCGCCGACAAAATCCGCACCCATGTCGCGGTCAGCAGTGTCGGGGAAATGCCATGGTGAGTTGAATGTCTCTGTTAACGCCAGGTGTTGCTCTGCTATTACTCGCCGCGATATTCTCTATAACCGCTGTATTAGTTTATTTCCAGGGAAGCCACTATGCGGAGAATGTGGCGCTATCATACCGCTCGTAAGAGAGTGTTCATGAACCGGTCCATGACATCGGGCTTGACTAGGTCCTGGCACTCCAATACGCCCATCGCAAGGTTAGGAATAACGGTGAGGTGCTCCTTGAGAGCATGGCGTAGGATATCACAGTATTTATCATTATCTTCTATTGTTTTGATCTCGGGCACCGTCCGGAAGCGCTCAAAGGCCTTGTAGTATAGTTCATAGACGTAGGAGAGGTGAGGATTCGTCACGACAACATACGGCAGCTTCTGCATATCACGTAGGCGGTGGGCAATCCTGTATTCTCATCAGTGCCGCCCAAACATACAGTGATATGAATAAATAAACAGATAAACTAGGAGCATGCCTGCCTACCTAGTGGGGAGCTCCGTCCGGACATAGTTTGCAGAGCTGATGAGCCTGTTCTCGGTGAGCGTACGGCCAAAGAAGGTCAACTGGCGCAGGCTGATCGGCCTGACGTCTCTCTCAACCCAACTGCCATCGTATACTCGTCGTCAGCCAAGATGCAAAGAAGTCATGTCATCCGTCCAGAGGTGCAGTCCATACTCATCGAGAACAGAGCCAGGCCGCCACGGAGGAGGTCTCTGGCTGTCCGCGGAGAGACAGCGGACCTGCCGACAGCATCTCCAGCGAATGCTCTGCCGGCACCGACTCGACTGGCTTAGCAGCATGCCGGCGGTGCCATTCATTCACGAGTCGGTGCAGCTCAGGCCTTGCGGGAGGTGACTGGGCCAGGCTGGGGGACGCAGGATGCCGCAACGGACTTTACAAGTCATGGCTCACAGTCGAGGCATGGCGTTCAAGCAGTGTAGCCGAGCAGCTGTGTCGTCGAAGGCAGGTTGTCTGGTAGAAGCGGGTGAAGCAGAGGAAGAAGCAGAAGCAGAAGAAGAAGAGGTGGAAGTTGACTTTTGCTTGTGTTGATGATTCTTCGTCTTGCCGGTGTCGGAGGCTGAAACTCTTCCTCGGCTCGTACGATACGAAGCAAGCACCAAGCAAAAAGTCTGCCTCGACAGCTGCAGCGACGGCTACAGCGAGTATCTATGCATGGATCTACTGGGTAAACACATATCTCTGCGTGTTGACTGGCGAGGGCCCTGCCGGAGTCGCTTTTTGACTGCTTCTACGCTGCATCTTGGTGGCCACTAGGCGGCCTCCTGCATCCACTGCCCGGCAGCTAAACAATAAATTGCATGTATAGAATGACATCTTTCACTGTCTGCTCTGAGACTGAACATGAATAAAGAAGAATCAGACATCCAAACGTGATTGCTCTTGCCCTGAGCTGCCTTCGCCTTTAAGAAAAAAAAAGTGTTTAAACCTGCGGATTTTCTTCTTTTCTTCTTTTTCTTCCATCGCCAAAAAGCAAAGAAAACCTCACCAAAAAAGGCCATCTAACGCTGCGCTGCCAACTTCATCCCAGGATAACAGCCTCACCCAGCACTGTTGAGCGGCGGTTTCTAGGTCGATAGCATCTAGGTGTCTAGCTGAAGACGGCCGTACTGTCTCTGCCTCGCCTCGGAGCGCTGGTCAGCCACGATAAGAGCTCTGTTGCGTGCCTGTGTTTGGATATACCGAGCTCATGGACCATGTAGGCCGCCGCCCTCACCACCCTCACTCCTCTCCCTCGCTCCTCTCCCGGCCCTGACTGCACCCGCCGGAAACAGAGATCCAGGCTGATAAGCGTGCGTTGCTGCTGCAGGTTAATGATGCTGATACCATGGTGGACGATTACGAGCAGTTCGAGAACAATGACCGGACAGACGTCGTCGTCGTGTCGCCTGCCGGCTCAACCTCGAACGACGTAGACATGGAGAAACCGCTCGCCAATGACTGTATGTACTCCCTCAGCTGCTGTGGCATTTGCCTCCCAGAGACCGTTTGCACCTCTCTGCTTGTTCCCCTGAGCTTCGCCGTACACCTGGCCCCTCCCCCTCACTCCGTCGTGTGCCTGGCCTGCAGTGCTTCGGTTGCCAAGAGCACAGCCGTTACTTTTGCCGGTAGTTCACCCAGGCTAACACTTCTGCTTGTTTGATAGATGAGGCGATGATGTCAAGAGTCCTACCGGTGGACCCGGACCTGGAAACCGAAGCAGAGACCTACCACACATGGCACATAAAGAACTGGACAAAGCTGCCGCGGAGGGAGCACGGGCCGAAGTTTGAATGTGCCGGCGCACCATGGTATATCTTCCTCACAGCACGAGAGCAGGCCCGATAATAAGCAGAACGAAGTCTCTAACTGGTGGCTTAGGAGAATATTGTTTTTCCCGTACGGTAACCAGGTAGAGCATGCTTCCTTCTACCTGGAGCATGGGTGGGAGGACAACGTGCCGGAGGACTGGTACGCTTGCGTACAGTTCGCCTTGGTCCTATGGAATCCAAACCACCCAGACATATATATTTCAAACAGTAAGGTCTCCCCCCGAGCACCCGGAAATTTCCAATCAAAATCGAACCTTGGGCTAATCGAGGTATAGGAGCGACTCATAGATTCAACGCGGAAGAATCGGATTGGGGTTTCACTCGGTTCTGCGAACTACGAAAGCTGTTTCAACATATCCATGACGACAGAGGTGTACCGCTCGTAGACAACCAGGAGGCCTGTCTCACTGCATATGTTCGGGTGGTGAAGGATCCTACTGGCGTCCTATGGCATAGCTTCCAAAAGTATGCTTATTTCCCCGGCTTTGGTGACTGTCCAGACAGCTAACATACAGCAGCTATAACTCCAAAAAAGAGACTGGCATGGTTGGCCTCCGAAACCAGGGCGCAACCTGCTACCTTAACTCACTCCTCCAATCCTTATTCTTTACCAATGCATTCCGAAAGGTAGGCCAAAATCCTAGCTACACATATCCTGGATCTTTGTACTAAATAATGAACAGGCCGTATACCAAATTCCCACAGAAAATGAAGCAAATAAAAAGAACTCTGCCTGGACCCTCCAACGTTTGTTCTATTCGCTCCAAACATGTGAAACCCCTGTTTCAACTTCTGAGCTCACTGAATCCTTTGGATGGAAGTCGAGAGTAATCTTTGAACAGCAGGATGTCCAGGAACTCTCCCGTCTACTCATGGAGAAGCTCGAGGCGCAGATGAAAGGCACACCCGCTGAATTAGCACTCCCGAACCTCTTTGTGGGCAAGGCCAAAACTTACATCTCGTGTATCAACGTTGACTATGAATCGTCGCGAATAGAGGACTTCTGGGATATACAGCTGAGCGTCAAAGGAAACAAGACTCTGGACGACAGTTTCAAATCTTACATCAACGTCGAGATCATGGATGGGGAGAACAAATACGACGCCGGATCTTCACATGGCCTACAGGATGCTAGGAAGGGGGTCATATTCGAAAGCTTTCCTCCTGTCTTACATCTTCACCTACAAAGATACGAATACGACTTCAACCGGGATGCGATGATGAAAATCAATGACCGACATGAATTCCCAGAGGAATTTGATGCATCTCCTTATCTATCTGCGGATGCGGACATGTCTGAACCCTGGGAATATAAGCTCTTTGGTGTACTTGTTCATAGCGGTGACCTTAATGCTGGCCATTACTACGCCTTTTTGCGCCCTACCAAGGACGGCCACTTCTACAAATTCGATGATGACAAGGTGATCAGAGCAACGACCAAGGAGACCTTGGAGGAGAACTTTGGAGGAGAGTACGCGAATGGAGCTGGGATGCGTCAACCTTATACCAGGAATTACTCGACAAAACGCTCGATGAACGCATACATGTTGGTCTACATCCGAAAGTCCAGGATCGACGACGTTCTTGTCAGCGTTGGCAACCAGGATGTGCCTGCCCATCTTGGTAAGTTACTGGTTCACTTTGCCCGTTCCATGCTCCTTGGGATGTTTACTAACGAGGGAAATAGCAAAACAAGTTGATGAAGAACGCTCCGAGGCTATCAGGAGGAAAAAGGAGCGTGAAGAGCAACATCTCTACATGAACATCGCCGTTGTATCTGATGATTCGTTTAGGGAACACCATGGCTTCGACTTGATGGGCACAGATTTGGACGCAGGTGACCCAGCTCTCCCAACCACCTACCGAGTGCGCCGTACCATGAAGGTCGGCGAATTCACCGAACTTGTTGCGGAAGACAAGGGCCTTGATGTAGAACGAGTCCGGCTATGGGCAATGGTCAATCGCCAGAACAAGACCGTCCGACCAGACCAGCCGCTACGGGACCCCGAAGATACCGTCGAAACAGCTGCTTTCAAACTGTCGTCAAGAGGCGTTCCTTTTAAGGTGTATGCTGAAGTCAGAGATCCTGGAGATGATGGGAAAATCGCCTGGCCTGAAACGCAAGGGCCGAATGCATCTGTTCTCGTCATCTTGAAGCACTTTGATCCCATAACCCAGACACTCTCTGGTGTCGGTCATGTTTTCGTTAAGAAGCAATCCAAGGTCTTGGAACTTGCTGGGCCTATTCTTCAGATGATGAAATGGCCGGCCGGAACATCTTTTTCATTATATGAGGTATGTTCTCGGTAATTCTCTCAACTTTCAACAGATGGCTCTCTAACTTTATACTAGGAAATCAAACCTTCGATGATTGACCAGCTAAAGCCCAAGCAGACATTCCAAGCTTCTGAAATTCAAGATGGAGATATAATATGTTTCCAACGAACACATAGTGAATCAGAGTACGTAAATTAACTATTTACGGAACATATGTCAAGCGTGACTAACCTCGATATACACATAGACTCGGACCCAATGCTCTGTACAAGGACGCAAGACAATACTATGACTACCTTCTCAACCGCATCATGATAAAATTCGCGCCAGTAAAAGCTGAATCTGACGACTCAACCTTCTCCCTTGCTCTCAGTCGCAAAATGACCTACGAACAATTCTCTGCCAAAGTTGGCGAACACTTAAAAGTTGATCCAACTCACCTTCGTTTTGCCCCTGTTGCAACTACCACCGGCAACCCCAAACCATTTATTCGACGGAACGTTGCCCAGAACCTTTCCCAGATCCTGACCACGCAGTATTCCGCTTATGGAAACTCAGGGCAGAGAAGCGATGCATTATATTATGAGATTCTGGAGACAAGCTTAAGCGAATATGAAACCAAGAAGGTGGTAAAAATCACTTGGCTTCCTGAAGGAATCATCAAAGAGGTTTGTTTACCCCGTAGCGTACTCCCTGTTTAATGTTTTAGTAGATGCGCTAACGCATTTTGTTACAGCAACCCTTTGAGTTACTTGTGCCCAAACAAGGAAACGTCACTGATATTCTGCAAGGGCTACAACAAAAAGCTAACCTGGATAATGATGTCATCCAACACGTCCGCGTTTTTGAAGCACATTACAGCAAGATGCAGAAAGAACTAACTGACAAATTTGGCGTCGCTGGGATAATGGATACCATCTCCCTCTATGCGGAGCCCATTCCAGAGGACGAACGCAACATGAAAGAGGGTGATTTCAGGATAAATGCTTTTAATTTTGATAAAGAGCCAAACAGGGAACATGGCATACCTTTCAAATTTGTGGTTAAGCCAGTATGTCTTACCGTTACTATCTTAACTGCTTTCATCGGGCTAACACATACCTATAGGGAGAGAAGTTTATTGATACCAAGGAGCGCTTATCCAAAAGAACAGGTATCAGAGGCAAACAATTTGAGAAGATCAAATTTGCAGTTGTATCTCGAGCAATGTACTCAAATCCAACATACCTTGAAGATGGTACGCCATACCCCTTACCACGATGCATCTTTCGTCAAAAACAAAATAGCTAACATCGTCTAGATGACGTCCTTTCCGAACTCGTCGGCGACTCCGACAGCCAACTTGGTCTTAACCATGTAAATAAGAATCGCAGTTTCCTCTCCAAGAGCGACAATATCTTCATTCGATAGATACCCCCTGGATCTTTCCGATACCCTACCAGCTAGCACCTCTTGACTCTTTGAAGACCACAATGATCTCCCTCAGTTGCCAGTACCACGCAGTTTTCTTGGCGTTAAAACAATGCTTTCTTCAACTTTAACAAAAGACAACACAAATCACTTTCGTTTTGCAGGGAAAGGGAAAGCGGAAAACGGGGAAACGGGCTCTCAAGTTTTCACTCAGGCTTTGAATGTTATGTTTTGCTCTATTTACAAATTCCCCCCTCCATTTTGCTAGTTGTCATTGCTTGAACTGTCCTGCCTTTTTCTTCCATGGCCTGAAATTTTTCTCTTACTCTCTCTATTCTCCCGCCCATCCAGTTTTATATTATTATCCATCTATCGTCTTTTTTAAACGGGCGGTGTTCTGATGGCGGCAAATGATGCGGTTTTTGACTCCGGGCGTTTGCTTGCATCCCGCATAATAGCTAAACATAGTAACTAAAGGGGCCAGCTGTAAGCTGTCGGGAAAATGCATATGTCCTTAGTTAGACGGTCCCCTTTCTAATAAAATACTCTGCAATACACCTGGAATTGGATATTGCATCCTCTCATCATTGGCTCCTTTTTATATGTTGTTGTTGCTTGTAATCCAACCTAACAGTGCAAACAATGCAAACAACGCACTAAAAAAGTGTCAACATCTTACGCAGCGCATTTTCCCCTTGGAACGTCGAATTACTACAACCAGGCCTCGACAACAGCTCGCTCTCGAGGATTCCACAGTATACTCGTATACTCTCGCCTTTTCTGGTTGCAAGGCATTATGCGGTTCCAAGCTATTGCCGTATGGCTTTTCGCCTATGCGGTTTCGTCGGTTTACGGTACCGCCTTGACCTACAAGCTCGATGCCGCTGAGAAGGCCTGCTTCTACTCCTGGGTTGATAAACCCCCAGCAAAAATTGCCTTTTACTTCGCTGTATGTCTCCAGCTGACCTTCACTACGGCGTGCTTCTGTCCGTATCTTGTTGGACCTGTTTACTGATTCGTGGCCATGTGCGTGTGTAGGTGCAATCTGGCGGTTCATTTGACATCGATTTCTCCGTTTATGGTCCCGGCGAGAAGCTCGTCATGGATGGAACCAAGGAAAGACAGGGCGATTTTGTCTTTACTGCTCAGTCTGTGGGAGAATACCGCTTCTGTTTCAATAACGAGATGTCCACATTCGCGGAGAAGACGGTTGACTTTGAGATTGCGGTTCGTCTTCATTATCTTCTTGCCCCCGTGTTTCTTGTTTTTTTTTTGCACGCTTCTGTCCCAGTTGCAGAATGCCGTGGGCGTCAATTGAGTTTGCGTAAGCCCTCGTATTTGACCGAATACTGATGAGCCTTCCTGTGCAGGTTGAGAATGAGGAACGAACCCAGCTTCCATCAAAGCCTGGAACTTCCCCTGAACAAACGTCGGCCGTTGAAGACACAATTCTTAGACTAGGCGGTCATCTATCGACTATCAGCCGAAACCAGAAGTATTTCCGAACTCGAGAGAACCGAAACTTCAGCACCGTGCGGAGCACCGAGAAGAGAATATTCAACTTCAGTATTATTGAAAGCTTGATGATGATTTCAATGGCCGGCCTCCAGGTGTTCATTGTCAGGTTCTTTTTCCAGGGTGCTAGGAAAGGTATAAATGAACGGATGGGTCCGGCCTTGGGCATATTGATCGCCCATGCAGCCCTCTTCCCCCCTCCCCATCCCCCTCTTCAATCCCCCCTTGCCCTTGCCCTTGCGTCGCCTTATCGAGCTGCCGGCATGCTGACTATGTTTAATAGGCTATGTATAATCGAATAACGACGACGATTCTCATTATGGTTGGACTGTGTTTTCTTATTATATGATCATTGTTTTCTACGACTTTTCCTCGGTTCTTAGATACTGATGACCTTAAGGGCATCCAATCTCAAACAATTATTAGTTTACTGCAGTGGTTCAATCATCAACACAAGCCTCAATATTATGACAACAGATTCGACATTGGCAGATTTCTAGAGACCCTGACACCTGACACCTCAAAGTCTGTCTGCACTACCCTTGTGGTTAGGGTACCATAACTCGGATTCTGGTGACGACACCGTGCAGCTCTTGAATAGAAGCCCACGGAAACCCGATGACATCCTTCCTCGGCCACAGCAAAATAGCACGACTCCGTACTTCCTCGTGTCCTGGTGAGACGAGGTTCCGTAGCTGAGTATACACCGGTTTTTACTGCTCATTTGAAATATCAATCAGTTATATTTCGTTTTACCATGTGGCAACCAAATCCAGGCACGTCATTGTTCTCCAAAGTGCCTGCCGTCAATCAATCTTGAATTCGATGTTCGGTGCTCATCACTGACGAGGTTTTCGTTGCTAGCTAGCCACACCCCTTATTAGCGTTTTTATGGGAGAGCAGATCATGCAGGGTGCAAAAGTTGGCCATAGAAACCCACAGGTGGTCCGACGTTGTACCGACGTAAGCCCGAGACCCGCCCGGTACCCATCCTGTCTCTCGAGACGGGCAAGATGTCATAACATCTCTCCACTACTGGGAACGAGCGCCCTCTGCCTCGTACTCCGTGTTAATCCTAGACCTTCCTCGTTCAAGACGGAACCCAGGCTGGGGAACAGGGCTAGACCTGTAACCTCGCTACGCTATGGGCATATAATGCGGAATAATATATCTAACTAATTGTCGTCGTTGAGAGAAGGGCGGTCGCCACTTTGGTCGAGAGCCGAAACCGCTGTGACGAATTACGAGCTTCGCAGGATCTCGATCGAGCCTGGGGGCTTCCTTGTCCCTTGATGCACCTTTTGAGTTTGTCAAGCCGACGCTAGCTCGCCTGTGCTGGCGTCTAAGGGGGGCCTTTCTAAAACTTGGCTCAGACGACCCGATGCCCCATGCGAAGTGACGACATAGTTATCTCACGGTTCAATATCCATGCGCCTCCTAGGGACCATCAGATTCCTGTCCTACGGTGCATAACGAGAGCTTGTCCCGCATGATTTTCCACCCTTCGATCTCCATTAATTAGGATCCGGCTTTCGGCCGCCACTATGACCCCTTTATTGAGCCTGAAGCAATCTGGAGCCATTGGCCAAAACGGCGCGCAGCCTTCTTATTATTTCTTGCTCTCCATGACTCTGGGCTCGTCCAGCCACATAGCTGCAACGGGCTGAGACGTCGACTGATAACCGTCTCCCTATGACGCAATGGCCCCTCCAACCCTGTATCAGATTTGACGATGCACCTATGTGAAATTTTCATCAATTCCCATAATAAGTACGAGGGGCTGTCTTAGTCTAGAGAGCCTGACCTTATACCATATATATTGAACATACATGCATCCGTTACCTCCCTCTCTTTCCTTCGAGATACTCCTTTCCTATCCCCGCCACGACCCTTCCCATCACTTGCTGCCGATAACCCGTATCATAAACCATCTACAACCGGGGCTGGAGGTCTCCTGCTAATTGGTAAATGCGAACTCGCCTTCCGTTCCTCCCTTTCTCTTCATATTTGATATCTTGTCCGAGTCGTTTCCTATCAAATATAATCCACTAAGAGTCAAGTTTAAACTCCTCGAACCAGCATACTACAACCTCCTTATCCCGTCTCCATACTCTCAACACTTAGACCGGTCACTTCGCTAGTTATATGAACACATGTCTTACATCATTCACTCCTTCATTAGGCCAATATCAAATTCATACCGTTAAGCGAAATGGACGATACACTTGCTCCGATCAAGATCTCTAGTCCTTCAGGGGGTCGCCAACATACCTTGTCCTCGTACACTCAAGTAATGTACGAACACACACAGCGGCAGATGGAGGAACTTCGAGCTTCTGAGTCACCACCGGCGGTCGGTGAACCGAAGAAAACAGAACACAGCGATCGCATGAAACATCATAGCCCACAAGAGAACGGGTTACCGCCGTCCATAAAGAAGCATGATTACGCTCTGGATCATGCAAAGACCAGCCACCCGGGCAGACGATCCGGGTGCTGACATATGTATGACACAGCCGTCAACGGTATGCTACGGTATAGCGGGAGATATCCGCCTCTGGTGAATGCGCATAAAGCGAAGACATAAGAAGCTAATGAGACTTATGTCACATTCTCTTGAAGATGAAGAGACGATTGGCACCATTTGCGGTCCTCTCCCATGTCAAAACACACTGACATAATACCTCGAACGTACCTTGTTAAGGCAGATATCGAATCTTCCTACAAGGCACTCACTCTCCTATCAACCCGATTACGCCGACACGACAACTTCCACTTTTTCTCTCTCAAAAAAGAAAATGCCTTTTTTCTTTTTTGACTAGTTATTTCTGGTCAAGTTACTTCATGACTTCCAAAATAATTCTCAACTCCCCCCTTTGATATTATTCGGTTTTTACTACACTTCAGACCCTTCGTTATATTCTTGCTGACGCTTAGCATTGCAGCCCTGCGTTTGCTTGCGGCCATTTTTATTCTTGACCTTTGCCTAGATATGGGCTACTTTCTCCTCATACTGGTATGCTGGGAGTGTCTCTCGTTCCCAAAAATACATAGCCGAGTTTCAAATTTTTCCGTTTTTACACAACCCTTGGGCATAGAAAAGGGCCTTCGCATGATGACATTTATGTATATTTTTAATTATAAAAAAATACGAAAATTGTCTGTTGCCTGCTGCCTGCTGCATACTTTGCCTGATTCATGATTGATTCACTTGGAATCCCCTAGACCATATATTTATTAGAGTATTTTAGGGTATTAGAGTAAAACGTAAAATTTAAACTCCATGCAGTGACGTAACTCGTCAAGACCAGCCGCCTTGGTTCCATCTACCCATCCCATTGGGGCTGGAGCTTGAGTTTCTTGGATGTATCTGTCCGTGCTGTCCGTGCTGGCCCTGCTGGCCCTGCTGGCTCTGATGGTTCTGCTCGCCTTGGTGGCCTTGCTGCTGCTGGTGGGGATGCGGTGGTGGATTGAAACCGAAGTTTGCCCCTTGATGGTGCAGTGGAGGCATGAACTGCTGTCCGCCCATAGACCCACCAATCGTCGATGGTGGGAGGTTTTGCTGGAATGCTGGCAGGTTCATATTCATACCCATGTTCATGGCCATGTTTATATTCATAGCTGGGGGGAACGGACCCCCTCCCGGCGCAGATATGCCTGGCGGTGGAGGAGGAGGCGGTGGCCAGGGCCCATGATAGTTTGGCGGTCGAACTGGCGGAGGAAATATTACTGGCTGCGCAGGGTTTATGGGTAGCATACCTAACTGCTGCGCGCCTATGAAAGGGAATTGAGTATTGACGTAAGGTGCTTGGGTTTGATTTGCAGGCTGCGAGGGAGGAGGTGGAGGTGGAGGTGGCGACTGGACTCCGCGAGATACAGGTGGTTTAGGCGAGTACGACGCTGATCTGGATGCTGAACGGCCTGCCCTGGATCGACGGGGAGGTGAGCGAGAGCGGGAACGGGAGCGGGATTCTGAGCCTCTTCGTCGACGTGCACGGGATAGTGAAGAGCTCGTGGAAGGTGAACGGCCTCTGCCATCTTCGCTCATGCTATCACTGTACCGCCGCCTTTTACTTGCTGACCGCCGTGAGCTGATGCTTTGACTTGCGCTCCGGCTTCTACTGCGAGTCTTTCCGCTCCTGCGTTGCTTCATGTTTTGGCAAAACTCCCGAGACCAGCCGTAGTATGTGCCACTGTCCAGCGATTCCCCCGTCATATCATTGCGCGTCGTAGTTTGCCCCAGCTCATCCACATCTACTATTGTAAACTCCCGAGACTCGTGTTCATTGGTATCGTAAATCCTGTCTACCTCTGCCAGGAGGGATTTCACGGCCTTGACAAGGGACTCATCAGCGGGGCCAGCGGCAAATTGGAGAGGTTTTAATGACTGGGTTCGAATTGCAGCTGAGGAATCCGGAATTATGTGTGGCAGCATGTTTCCTGCAGGCAATTCGTAATACGGCGCATTGGGATCACCATGGGTCGCCGGCATGATATACGGTATATTCCGCGTTTCAGTCTTTTTCTGCTCAGCATGTGCTTCCCCATCTATGGTAGTCTTGTCTCCAATGGCCTCGAAATTTTCAATCGCATCCCTCAATTTCTTCATGTATTCCGCGCTATAATATGCATTGCTTTCCCATAGCTTGATAAGATCGTCGACCCGCTTGCGATACTTGGAGTTATCGCCACGGCTATAGCTTCCAGCATGGCTAAAAAGCGTAGTCAAGTACGGGCGTAATGACTCGGCTACCGTTGAGAACGCAGAGGTGGGTGTTGGGTCATGATACTTCGTATGGTGAAGCAAATCGTTCAACAGGTAGAGTATGTGTAACGTCTTTCTCCTCGGAGATGCACCGCGCTTTCTACCGGCCCCATTTTGAACTTCTAGTTTATCTGCTGGTTTCTGTTGCAGGAACTCTGCCAGCGCAACGAAGTATTTGCCTAATCCCCCTATTCGGACGGCCGAGGGAGCAACGTGTTTTAGAAGCCATGATTTGCAAATCTGGTGTGAAAAACCCCAAGGCGTAACAGTTTAGTAAGCTTGGATATTGCCGGTGCAATGATGCAAGGAGCTTTAAATTGTCCAAACCTGGATATGTGCTGGTGAGCAATGCGACAGCATCGTGTCAAGCTCGGTGTGAAAGCGCGATATCTCCTCGCCGGAGACTGGCGACGGATCAGGCCGTAGCAGGCCGGCGGAGAACGAAGCCTTCGCTACAGCAATCTGATGGGAGCTCATGGTGAAGCCGCTGTGCAGCCACTCAGGCGCTTGCTCGGATGGTAACGATGATGGCGCTGGTGTTGCTTGTGCTTGTCTCTCGACTTTCGGCGTTTTTCGTGTTGACGTTTCCCGAAGTTCTTTTTTATGCCAAGACCGAAGTCCAGACATGGTCACGTGGTTGGATAAGGCTCCTTGGCGAGCTCTTGAGTGATCCACCCTATATATAATTTAATTCTCCCTTATATATAATCAAATGTTGAGATACTCCATTAGCTACGACTCTAAGGTGTTCTTGGGGCATCAGGCCTTTATGTCCCTTGTCCAGGAGTAATAACCCAAAGACTAGTTGGTTATTGCAATATACACAAGCACGCAGTATACTGGCCGTTCAAGAGTATATACCCACACCCTGCCTGACCAGAAGTTACCCTCTGGGATATTAACTATCTCAGTTAACTACAAAGCGAGGCGGTTGGTGTTGCGTTGCCGATATATACCCGCATTCTCTAGTTAGCTTGACGAGTTAACAAACGTGCGCTTCGTCGTTGAATCAGCCCATCCATAACTAACCTAATAGTTATTACTCTAACGTGTGTCATTGGGTGACGTAACTAACCACTTTAGTTGACTTTGACCTCACTTCGAGCGAATGCCGTCATAACTAGATGGTCACATGGAAAAGATATAAAATAGTTACATACGCGACATTTCACACCTCTTACTCAACTAACTACATGAACAAAAAGGATTTTTCAGTGATTAACTACTATAGATATAGTTGATCAAGACTTACTATGGAGAGCCAGCCAAGTTTTCGACGTATAGGTGCTGGATTTTGCGGCACAGTGTGGGCTTTAATGCCCAGTGATACTGTCCTGCAGGGCGATGCCTTCAAGCGAGAAGACGGGGGCCCTGGAAGGTCCCTCAAGAAGGAGTTCAAGATGCACAAGATCATACTGAATGCCATGGAGCAATATCAAAAGACTCCTCCTGTCTCCATACCCAGATGCCACCAGTTCATTGACCCCGAAGATGCTTGGTGGACTGAGAATTTGGAAAAGTTCCCCCATGGATATTCCCCCTGCAACACCATTCGATCCGACCGCATCCCCCCTGTTGGCGAGCCGACCCGAGAACTATTGATCGAGAAGTTTTGTCCTGCACCGCTAATATCGGAAATAAAGGCCAGTGATGTCAACAGAGACTGTCTCATACGCCTATACCTCGGAAGATGCAGGTTCAGCTCACGGCCAAAGTCACCCTTCATGGCTTTCTCTCTTCGGAACTTCCCACTGCACCTCGACCAGATGCAGGAACTTGAGATACCGCCCGCTGACCTCCTCACCTACTCTCACTTGATGGCAGAGACTCTGGCAATACTTCATTGGATAGGCAAGACTGACGCCAACGATGTGGAGTTTGTCCTGGCACCACCACGGAACAACTCAAAGTCAACAGTAATATCGAACTGCCTTGGGGAACACACATTATGGATCCTCGACTTTGACTGCTGTAACGACATCTCACTGGATAGCCAAGGGGTCGATCAAGCAGTTAGGGCTTTTGTTAAAAATGACCCTTTCTATCCACGTCCAACCTCCAGTCTTGATCTGTGGTCAGCATTTCGACTCCGGTACATTGAAACAAGCAACAACATACTCGAGGGGGCAGCTGATAAGTCTCTCCTTGAGCTTCCGGTCCGGTTCATCAACGCTGTCGAAGCTGCATTCTAAGTTTCTATGACTCAAGTACTCTGGCAGAGGCCCTTTCAACCTCCTGTAGAGCAGGCGTGGGATGCAACACACGATCAATACACGAAACAACACACAAATCAACATACAGTTACTGCGTCATTAATCTTTAGCTATAAAACACCTCTGCACAACCACAAATTTTGCCTCCAGATCCCCCTCAAATCCGGTACTTCAATCTTACACCATGTCGGACAATATTGGTGATGGGGATTTTGGGCGCTCGATCCACCAATATGATACCTCGAAAGACTCAAACGCCCCTGGATTGGATAGGATGATCAGTAGATTGCGGCTGAAAAGGACCAGCACCTCGAGCACGACTGGCCCGAACACGATAAAACACCCTCGAGAAACTCCTATCAACCCAGTCTAAAATATCTACTGCATCCTCCTATGCTGATTTCCAGAATGCTTCCGCAGGCCAGGTGACGGCATGTAGAGAGATTGGAAGGGGGTCCACGGGGAAAATTTACGAACAACCAGGTCGAGTACATATGAACGTATTGCCAACGTTCACCAAAACTTCAAGAAGACTTTAAGCCTATAGATAAATAATGAGCTAAATAGAATTTATTGCAAGCAAAAGCTATTCTGAATCCCCTTAAAGAGCTGTTAGAAGTAGGAGGATATTCTGAAAGAAGAGGTCTTATAGGAAGGTTAGAACTTTCTCCATGTATACAGGGGGAAGCAAGGGCATCTGAGCATATTCCGCACTGTAACATAGTGGAGAAGAGACTCCTCGTAAGCCGGAGAAGGGAATAGGGGGCATCCAAGCAAATAGGCGCTTTCTACAAGGCAGTGTAAAGTAGAAACGAAACATTTTGTTTCAAGAAACAGAGCAAAGTTAACGAGACTGTGTCTTCCGGGGAAGCTTTTCCACCTCCCGGGGAATTGCTGAGCAGTTAATTGCGTGGTTCAGTATTCCTAGCATAGCTACAGCTTAGACATCGCCCGGCGGCCACGAATAGGCTTGAGAATCGCCGAGTGAGCCCATAAATGAGGTCACGGCTTCCCCCGTTGCCGACCCAATCCCATCACGCGACGGGACATCTGGCCATCTTTGCGTCATGCACGATCCCTGGATGGTTCGGCGATGCGGAAGAGCCGTGGATCTAGCGCCTGCCGCCCAAACTCCCGACTGGGCGTGCCTGAACCGCCGAAGGTGAAGCAGCTCGAGATGCCACGAGGTTGCAGAGGCAGCTCAAGTCTATTTAAAGCTGCGTCTGATCCTCTGTGGACATGCTCTTCTTTGACAGTTACAGTCATCTATTTGGATATCGTTGAACATTGAACATCCGAACGAACTACAAGCGGGTAATTCCTAACTAGTTAGTTACAAGATATAACTAGCCGGCCTCCTTAACCACGCCACCGTCTGTCTATCTTACAATGAACCAGCCCACGGTCATTCTTCGAACCTCGCTTCGGCGGTTTTCTGCTCAAGCACCAAGGCCAGAGACCAGGGCCCAGCGATATCTGGCCGCGTCGTGCATTGTCTCTGGAGTCCTGCTGCCGTTTATCCCGCCGGCGCTGGAGAGCTCGAGGAGGAGGAAGCTGGACGAGCCTCCGCAAGATACGTGAGTTCTATGCTTCACCTCCCTGGAGTAGTTAGCTAGTTAGTTATATGACTGGCCCTAACTAACGGGTACCTAGTTATCCTCCTCTCTGCTTCCATTCTCGCTGAGGCCATGTTCACGGCCTTCATTGTATCGGTTTTCTTTGTCTCTTTTGCATCTGCAGGTTATGATTACCATGAAAAGGCGTTCGGTATTATAAGGCAGCACAAATCTGAAGCGCTGCGGCTGTTAGACGCTGCAATAGCGCTGGATGGCGGTAGACTTATCGCCTTTTTCCCTCTACCCCCTATCTAGTTATCGGGAGATGGCCTTTGCTTGTATTAAGGGGAAATTCTAAAAATACTTTTATAAACTCTATCAGTAAAGCTTACTAGTTGATTGTTAAAGCGAGGATTCAACCCTTAATTAACAACAAAGCTTTGAATATATAATGTCAAGTTCGGAGCTCCTGATAGCGTATTCTATAGTTATCCCATTGGTAACTGGTTGCTTTTGTTGCTACCAGCCAAAGCGACGGCTACGGACAGTAATCGACCTCACCTACATCGTCTGTCCAGGAGTAATGCACCACATCTACGATCCTCCTGAACGTTGACGGTTTCAGCAGCAGCCTTACCATATCAGCTAACCAGGCTGAATGCGACTCTGGAGACCGCCGATAACCGTGGTACAGTTTGTCCAGCTCCATGCGCTTCAATTCCCAGAGCGGTCCACCAGACCCCAGCGAGCCGTATGGCTGCAGAGCCTCGAGCAGCCGGTCATACTGCTCGTCGAGGCTGTCATATTCGCACTGTGCGATTGCAGTGCCCTCGCGGACACCATGGACTAGCTCGTATAACTTATGGTGGGAAGCCATGACAGTCCAGTTACAGAAGGCCATGGTCACCATGGCAAGCAGCTTCTTTGATTCAATCAGCTCTCTGGCGCAGATTATGCACTCTAGAAGTTTCTCCTTGAGGTACTGACAGGCCGACCCTCTAACGCCGCGGAGAACTGGGTTCTCGCGCTGTTTGCGCATCGTATCACTTCGGAGGTCGACAAGGTCGTTTACCAGCGTCGTTCCATAGGAGAGCTTCATATATTCCGCTTCGTTTATCCGCTGGCCTGTCGCCAGAGACGCTGCCACAATCCCAACTGCATTGGCGATGTCGATATGCCTCTGTGTAGTCAGATGTGTCATCCGACTACCATATAAACCTCCTGGTATCTTGGAGACAGCATGGTTGCGATAGTAACCGAGGACTCGGAACTGGATATGAGCTGCTGCTAGGATATCCAACTGCCAGCTACTGACGATTCCCGCCAGGTTGCAGGCTTTCAGAAAGGCAACGGCTGCAGCTCCATTCTTCTGTAAGATCTTGAGGGTTTCCTCCGTGGCTGCTTCACAGTAATCTCCAATCAAAACGTCATTCCCAGCATCTGCTATGGCGCGCAATATGCCTTCGTCCACCGGACTGCCTCCACAGGCCATTGCGTAAAAGTATTTTGCATCCGCACACAGCTTTATTTTCTCAGACGTGGGGAAATATTTATTGAAAATGCGAGGAGCATTGTCACACAAGGGGTTTGGTCGACGATCGGGAGCCTTGATTGGAGTGATAGACGCAGCACTCGCACCCGAACAGATGGTTGGACTCCCCTGCATATCAAAGTTGCAGAAGATCAGCTCTTCAACCGCCCCTCGCAGTTTCTCCGCCGTGAAGAGGCCATGTCCATTCCACTCCTGGTCTCGTTTGATCACATTCCTTTGAGCCACAAGCATCTTCTCAATGGATCGACAGGCGGTTACGTTTGTAAGGCTCGCATCCTTGACGGATGACATGGGCGATATACCATCGCAGGTGCACTGAACGCGGGGGTTGTACCTTTCTGACAGCAAGTCCGTATCTTCACACGACGGTGGCCGTGTTCCAGCTAGAATTATCTCACCTTTCCGATACCTCTGCTGGAATGATGTTACTGCCGCGAGTAGGAGAGCTGGATCTAGGGCCCTGCTCAAGCTTGAATCCTGAAAGAGGGACGATAGATCATCAACATCCATAGGTGGAGGCTTTTGGGTATCATCTCTATTGCCAGATGCATTGAGCCAAATGTCCACCCAAGCAAGGTAGACTTTCAGCCGAGGACTCTCCGAAGAAGACGAGGCCGGCATTTGTTATTTCTGATATCAATGCTCTTACAGATGGCTAGAAATGCCAGTATGAAATCATTTCAAGATGCATATCGACCAGACTGGGCCGTATCTATTTAACTAACGGCCATAACGGAGATGTCATGACATTGGCGGCACTTAAATCGACTCCAAACGAACCGCTAGTTAGTTAATTATCCACAAATCCCTTGGGAGGCTCCGTTGAGAAGTCCGAGATCATGTTGGCTCCCAATCGTTGAATCTCGTAAAAATTTCCTGCTCCACCCTGTCAACTTTATCTTTATTCTTGTTTCATTGCTAGATCCTTTTGCTCTGCTGATGCATTAACTAATTGGTTTGTTGCCGTTTGGAAGTTAGATATACGAGTCAAAAAGGATGACATCGGCGGCAACTTGAATGGTTAACTACTTAAATATGTGATTACCTATATCTTAGGTGACAACTAGTTAGATAAATACTCCGTATAAGCCGTGCTATCCGAATTGCCCTTCACGAGCTTCCTAAGATAAACCTATGGGGTAAGGGGCTTAATCGAGCTGCAGCGACGATGTAATAATTGGACGTAGCGGTTAGTATCAGTATCAACGAGGTTGCACGCTGATATCTCGTATCATTAGCGACCCCTCAGCCAACCAGCGAAGGGTTCAGACACGCTGCAAGAGAAGATCTCAAAAACTTGGTTCGAGTGAGTACGCTAGGATCTGTATGACGCGAAGATCGACAGATTGCTTCTTGGACAGCAGCACAAGGATAGGATTCTCGGGACACATTTACAAACTACATGCACGTCAGTCTCCGCGAAGGTTCCAGGGAGCATTTATGGCGGACAGTCAAAAATGGCACGACCTATACACTCGATCGATCGGAAAACTGATTATACATAGATAGTTTCGACTCTCGAGACAAGATTCATGCTGTTAAGCTATAATAGTTTCATACCCAAAGAAGAAATGGGAATCATCCCTTTTTTATACATCAAAGTTCTATGGCTCTAGCATCTTCTTCCTCTTCGCCCGATCTCGATCAATTTTCTTAAAGAACGAGCTGCGTTCTTTCAACTGCTTATTTCGACTCTTGTTATGTTCGATATAAGCCATATCTTCTCCTCCAGCAAGCCCGCTAAGGGTTGCAGCATTCCTGCGCACACCCTTCTTACTACCACGGGATTTCCCTCCGGCCGTCCGGTCGTTGAACAAATCATCAGCATTTTCTTCAACAGCAGCGGAGGTTTCGTTCTGAAGTGTTACATCAGCTAGTAGCGCCAGGCGCTCTTCAGCCGTAGCGTACGCAAGGCCCTCGAGATTCTCGATCCCTTGCAGATGGGTGATCACCTTGAATGCATAGCCTTGATCAACCAAGAAAGCTTGACGTTTAGAAGAGTAAAACATTTCATCTGTGTCTTTTGACACAAGGGAGTAGAAGAAGGCATTGAAACCTTCGTCGTTACGACGCTTAGCTCGGAGGATACGTCCTAACCGCTGGGCTTCCTGTCGACGAGAGCCGTAGTGAGATGATATTTGAATCAAACAGGTAGCTTCCGGCAGATCGAGAGACGTATCGCCAATCTTGGAGAGGAATATCGTGTTCACTTGATCGTTATGTTGGAAGTTCTCAAGAATTCGCAGACGTTCATTCTGCGGCGTTCCACCATAAATGTACGCCTTCTTCAGCTTCAAAGCATATCGTTCAAGTGCAAAGACATTGTCCGAAAAGACAATAATCTTATCACCTCGCTTTTCGTGGTAGTCAATCAGGAATTGACAGGCCTGGAATTTCCTGGGGTTCATGATATATAAAAGTGCGGCTTTCCTGGACTTCTCACGCATATACTCAGTATAAAACTCGGTGGTCATGGGGCACCACACTTCTGCGCATTGAACCTTGGCAATATGGCCTTGCTCTGCAAGCTCCATCCAATTTGCTTCATAGAGCTTCGGTCCAATCAAAAAGTTTAAATCTTTAATTTTGTCATCCTCTCGAAGAAGAGTCGCTGTCAGCCCAAGCTTGGTTTGCGTAGCAATTGCAGATGTGACTGTTCGAAACATGAAGGCGGGCACGACGTGGACTTCGTCTAATAGCATCAGCCCCCACTCGCGAGACTGCAGCCATTCCATCATCTTTTCAGCATCGTGAGATCTGGCTCGGGTTTGTGAAACCATAGAGTATGTAGATACAATCACACCTGTACTCCGTCGGAACTTCTCCTTGTTGTCTGATGTGAAGATGGCGATGTCACTCGGGTCAATATTTGACCATCGGATAAATTCATTCCGCCACTGGACAACAGACATGGAACTAGTGCAGAGGACGATTGTTCCTTTTTTGATAGTGCATGCTGCTGTAATACCGACCAGCGTTTTTCCAGCACCACACGGAAGCACAATAATCCCGCTCTTTGCTCGTCCGTTACCAAACATTTTACTTAAACTCTTCTCCTGGTAGCTTCGAATTTGTGCAATGGGTTTGAGGTCAATGTCCAGAGTTGGGTTGATTTCATCATTGCGGAAATCATATTCCTCCAGTGCTGGACAGCCCATAGACTGGCATCTAGCCTTGACTGACTCCACTGCTGTATTTGGAATTTCAAAGCTGTGCACCTGAGCTTGTTCTTCGTCATCGTCTTCCTCTCTCAAGTTCACTAGAATGTCATCTTCGTTTGGCTGTGCAGGCCGCTCTGACATCTGGGCTGCACGCTGTTCTGGTGCCTGTTTCATCATAGCTGCATCCTTGGTTCCTGGAATTACCAAGCCTCCCATTTTTGGGGCCGCCTGCTGTGTAATTTCCGAAGATTCTATTCTCTGTGGTCCAATAACTTCATCTTTCAGGAGCATCTGTAGAGTAGCGGTATCAGAGCTTTCCACGAAGAATCTATTATGCTTCAGCACCAGCTTTATTTTTCCATATGATTTCGTGAAATTGATAATAAATGATTTTATAGATTCGGGGAGAGGAGTTTTCGACAACCGGTCAAGGAAGTTGATGATATCTGTAGGGAGAAGTCCAACAGACACAGCAGCATAAAGACTGTTGCCTGTGAGCCGGTATTCATGGAGATGCGTGGGTCGTGATAAGGGCTCAGCAATGGTTGTCAAGAAATCTTGAGCTTGTGATGCTAATGGAGAAAAGCTCTCCAGTGTAATGGTCCCTTTGAGAGGCTCTATCCAAAGAGGGCGGTTCGCATGATCAGGCTTCAGTGCAAGGGAAGAGAAATCTTTGTATCCAAAATGCGGATCCTGCTTTGCAGCCTGTGACTTTTGGCTGTAGGATTGCAAAGTAAATTTCTCCACGACATCTAATTCAATATACCGCTATTAGATTTTTGCCAGAAAATTGCAAGGTAGTATCCGAATTGAACATGCCTTTCAAGTTATCCCCTTCGCCATCACTGCCCTCAGGCTCAACATACTCATCGCTACTTACACTCTGAGGTGTTGAAGTAGGATTCGGCGTTGCACGCTTCGACGCTCGCCCTCTAGCACCTAGGTACCAAACGTTCTTATCAGTTTTCTATTCGTCTACATCAAATGCTTGGTCCGTTGGGATTATGTACCTTCAACCGCCTTTCTCTTTGGCGGCATTTTTCCGGTTGTCCCTAGCCAGAGAGCTCAAAAGAGCTGTCTCTCAGAGGTCCTGTATGTCCGATAAAAGAGAGCCCAGAGACCTAAACCATTTTCTCGAGCTTTTATCGTTCCTATGTCTGTTTTGTCGTAGCACCAGGCCAGTGGTGCCGACTTGCAAGTTATAATCAGTCAGTCATGAGCAAGGCAATGACGATGTTGAGTCTCAAATCTTCTTCCATAGTTGCCTATCAAGATAACTGTCACATGACTAAATTACTAAGCATGACTAATTAGTTAAACCTACCCTACTCCGTACATCCCGAATTAAAACCGAATTTCTGCCAAAGAATTTTGGAGACAAGCTGGCTGGCTTTTATAGAGATCAACGACGCCAACAGATTGGTGATTTCGGCCTTGTTATATTATTTTCAGTTCAATTATGAATACCGTAAGTAGATATCTGCTATGTTTTATTCTTTATTGAAGCCAAGGACACTAATTCTGTGGTGTTTAGATCAGATCAACCTGGTACTGACTACCCTCAAATCAATTGGATGGATTAAGAGACGACTAAACATATTCGATATACCTAGGATTGGATGGGGAGCGCTGTGTGTTGGTATGGCTCCCTGGTGATATCCCCTTTGCTTTTGCATACCTCAAACAGGAAGATAACCAATGCTATGTTACTACCAGCTGGCGGCGGCGCATACTATTTCGCCAAACGTTCTATAAACGCCGACCGATTGACGAGATTTGACGCTACTCAGAAACGCAAAGATGAAATGGCTAAAGCTGAAGCTTCAGCACGGGTACGGACACAAATTGACTTCCTCCATGCCGAAAAATCATTGACTCTTGCGCTTCACTAACCTGCATTTGGTCGTCACTAAAGGCGGCGGCTGAACAGTCAAAGACGACGATTTCCCGAGCAGGGCAGTTAAACAGCGGATCGCAAAAGGACGATGCATATAGTCCGAGTGACGAATTAGGCCATGACCCAGCCCCTACGAGACATGAGCCGGAAACCGATGCGCAGCGTCTAGCTGAGAAAGGGAAATACGAAGCCGCTGAGGTATTTAGATCGAGGAAGGGTGACCGTTTCAGTTGATTAGCATGAAGTACTCTGCATACCCTTGGCCGGGTATGCCGCCGTAGTGGCACTGTAATATATTTGGTGGCATGCACTTGCATTATTCGCTTCTATGGTCAAAAGCAAGATCTGTTCCCTTAAAACAATATGATGAATGAAGAATATTAAATAAGTTGAACCTTAAGATATGTAGAAAGTCTAAGGAATTAATGGATGCATATGATATACTAGATGATTTCAGCTTTGGCCATCAATTAATTCTCAGGTTTATATTATATTTATTGGATAGGACAAGTAGTTATACTTAATACCTAGTAGTAGTAATCATATATATAGATCAGGCTTGAAGCTCAAGCAACAAAGACTGCTGAGATATACCAAATCACTACTCCGTAATTCCTAACTACCTAGGTATCTCTAAGCGAAAAGAATTATACAATGATAAACAGAAGGACTGAAAAAAAAATATGTAACAAAACTCCAAAATGCAACACAGAATGCAAACACAGACAACAAGCCGCAGCATTATTTGTATCCAACAGAGAAGAAGAGATAAGTGGCAGCGTATTGAACGGGTATCTAACTATTAGGTTACAATAACATGTTAAATACCGGCTGGCCGCAATAGTTCCCCTTAATATCATCAGAAGTCGGCTAGTAATTCAAAAACTATGGAAACATTAAGAATCAAACATTAATCTTCCTTTAACAAGCGGAAGAGGCTCATAAGAAGCTCAGAAGGACCTGAAGTAAATTGAAATTGGCCGTTCTGGAAGGGTATCAATTTAAAGAGAAAGAAAGGTATAAATCCATTGATAAAGAATGAAGCGCCTGGAATGCGATGTCATGCAGTTACTCCTCAGAAATCGAAGAGGCGAGTTTCGGCACTTGTTTTTTCGGAATAATTTTTCCAAATTTGGATTTTGAGTCGCTCCGCCGGAGTTCACCACGGGATGAGGAATGCGAAAGCGTTTTATCATTGGCCGGATGCGTACCTGCAGTTGGAGGTCTGTAAACTGCGCTGGTGAGCAGTTGTTTGTCCGGGTGTGTGGATTGCGAGGGAAATGCCCTCAGCATGCTGCCTTGTCCATTACTATTTTGCCTACCAGAGGATGCGGAATGAGGTTCCTGTCGCACTTGTAATTTTTCAGTGTCCGATCCCGATGTGGTAGATGATGGAGATGATGCTCCAGAGCCAATAGTCTTCTCGCTGTCCTTCGACTCAGTGGAAATTCGGTTGGCACCCGACGTAGCTTCGAGAGCGACAAGCTCACAGCGAGTACAGGCCGCTGCAGCGAGTTCAAGCATGCGAACCTGTTTCTCAAGCCTTGATCGAGCGAGTTTAACATCTTGAGACTCGGATGCAATATCTTCGATTTCATCGTCAGACATCTGAACGAATTTAGACGGTGTGATCATATCCTCCAAACCATCGATAAGACAGCCTTCAACAGCCAGGCTCACAATATTGTTGATGAAGTTGTTGAGAGATACTGAATAATACGCCAGCATACAGTCCAATATCTCTGAGTGCATTGCGCTAATACTGATAGCTTTGATACCGGTATTGGCTGCTCTCCGTATCTGAGAGATTCTTATATTAAGCTCCGGATCAACGATTGTCGGTATGACCCTTTTGAATGGAGCCACGAGCTCGTCAATCTTTTCTTGCAGTTTCTGCAATTTTTTTTCCATTTCGATATTGAATATTTTGTGAATCAAAGCTTCTCCAAAGCTGGCATCCGCAATATGATGTAGAAGGTCGGTAAGAAACTGCTTGATTTTTGCCCACATCTGGAAGACATAAGCCTTAGCAATTTCCTTCCATCGAAGAGAGTATCGAATGAACAATTCGCCAACAACTTGGGCATTCATTAGACCTGATATTTCGCGGCCCTTGCTCTGTTTTACAAACTCTTCAAGTCCGCTCATAAATTCACTCTTCGTCACAGGCTGCGGTCCATCCTTCGTCCGTGGAGGCACTTCTGTGTGTTCAGCATCATCATAAATGTTATAACTGTGACCACGCCTTCTCATATCTTGAGAGAACTCTTCTGTCCAGTTACTTATCGTAGCACGCAACCGCCGTATAGAATGAGTTGGACGATATCTGAAATATGGGTCATGATATTCCCCGTGAATGGCATCTTTCGTAAGGGATTGATACCTTTCCCCTATTCTGGCCAGATACACGCGACGTTCCACTGTCGTGTTACGTGAAGCTCCAAGCTTTTCGTATAAAGAACGATGGGTATCAAGATCGATATTGATATCTGACTTAAGCACAGAAAGGTGACGCTTGACCTCCGCCAACAATATTTTACGGATCCTACTCCGAAGAGCACCAACGCCAAGGAACTGAAGAGGCAGAGTTCTCCACGGTGTTGCAGTAGCAAAGAAGAGTTCCTCGACGTCATCACGGCTAACCCTCACGGGCCGTTCGGCTCCTTCGCTATCCGAATTCCGTAGTAGATGCCATCCAAGCTGAAGCGAGTTATGTTGTTGCTTGACGCGGTCAAATGCCTTGGCAATAGTAGAGGCGTCAGGGTCTAGGCGGTCAAGTTTGGTAATAATGCCCAGTGTTCGAGCCGCAGAACTCCTTGTCATGGGTAGTACCATTTGCTCTGAGAGCTGGCGTTCTGCAGAAATGACAGCAAGGATGATGCTGCGTGGGTTTTGTAGGTAGGTTAGGGTGAGGCTCTTGGCGACTGCGATGTCCGCGGTAGTTTGATTATCACGGGGTAGATACATCAAACCCGGCAGGTCAACGACTGTAAGATTGGGTAGTGTCGGGCCGGACATCTCTAATTGTAGGACGTCCTCTGAATAGCTTCCCTCGCGAGTAAGGCCCATGATTAGACGAGCTTCCGAGAAGAGCCTGGGTATATCCGATAGCCAGTCGTGCGAGCGAGAGAATACCCCAAGTTTGCTTTTGTGATCTGGTGAAGCATTTGGTCCGGGGCGGATCTTAATTTGTGTGCCGACAGTTGTTGCTCTGCGAAGAACCACTTCCACGACGAACCGAGTTGAGACTCCATTGTTGACTGGCAAAGGGACGCCGGTGATGGCTTCGAATACCGCTGACTTGCCGGAGTTTTGGTCGCCGCAGATAACGAGGGTGTGAGAGAAGACTTGATGATGCAGTCCTAGCCGACGTAATTCATCAAGACGTTCGAGGAGGACATTCTGTTCCTGGGATTGTAAGAGATTGACGGGTAAACCATCGTACTTCATGGCGTTTTGGCCCATCGTTGGCAGCGTAAACGGGACAAGAAGACCGCCAGGTTGAAAGAGCTTCAGCGTTCTCTATAGACAGACAAGAACGTAACTGCGGACGAAGGGAGAGCCATCTAAATATCAATAAGCCCAAGCTAGCACTGGATATCCTGTTTTTGCCTCAAGCTACCGGTTATACGGAAATCCCGCCCCTCAAAAGTAAAAGTCTAGGCTTGCCTCGCTTCGATGTTATATGTGAAACCATATCAGTATGCAGGGTGGCAATTTGGGAACGATATCGAGAATATATTTCTGCTGTCAAAGCGAGCACTGTGAACCAATTAATACCAATACCCGCGGGTTCCTAGTCGTCGATTTTTTTCAAAAATAGCCATGGTGGAACGGAGAATCTAACGCAGTCTGGCTCTGTCGACATTGAAGCAACTAGGGGCATCCCTTCGCCGTTAGGGGCGCCTTAACCGAAACAGTGCAATGGCCCGAGATGTGCCGACTCCGCATCATTTTGTGCGCAAGATAGGCCTAGGCGTTACCAGCGCATGGCACGCTAACGCAGGACAGACCCATTTTGCTTAGCTGCCAACCTGTGGATTGAGCAACAGACTGAAGTTTTCAGGGGCCACCCTAGCATCACAGCACTGTGTCAACGTTGAACTCCGCATCCAGGGGATCGGCGTGTGAATGAGCCTGATGAAAAAAGAGAGCGCCGGCATGCCGGAGAAACCGAAAACAGATCTTGCTGGCAAATTTAAATCTCGTTCGGCATTGAGGGAAATTCTGCGTGTATTGCTCTCTGCGTCTTCTTTTCCCTCCTTCTCCTTGTCGTCTTCTCCTTGCTCGTCTTCCGCCTGGTGAGGTTGATGCTTGTTTCAAACATGTCGTTGGTTTTTGCCTTTTCCGGATGCTAACTAAGCGGCGGTTCCTGCGGCTGAGGCTTAAGTCACCTGACATATTTCAAGGTTTAACGCTTATCTAATATTAGAGTTTGCACATGACGTCACGTGGAAGGATCGACGTCACCCGTTCAAACGCTGGCTTGTTTTGTTTGTCCTCTTGACAACTTCGCGATCAACAGCGGCACAAGAGGTCGAGATAGCTAATCAGCAGCACACAACCAGGTCGATATTTAAATTGAACTTGAGCCTACACGGAGAGAGCCGGTCAAGTCAACCATTAACGATGGCGTCGGATTCGGGGCGTGATCGCAGCCAGACCTGCCCTCATGGCGGTCGCCGCAGCGGCGCCGGAGACGACGAAGAGAACCCGTTTATATCCTTTCGTCGTTATGCTGATAAGCAGCTCTCAAATTTCCTTCAATCCGTCGTTGGGCTCCCCTCCGCTGTTCTTCCGCCCGCAAAAGACTGGCTCGGTATGAATGACGAAGAGTTGAGCCAGGCGCTAAGCGCTCGCCGAGACAGCTCAGATAACGATTGTTATCATCGCCACAAATGCCGCGATTGCAATTCAAACGATGACTTCTCCCCGTCTCATGGAGGGTATGATGAGCGGCTCTTTGGGGCTAATCCCTCTAGCACTGAACAACATCGAAGGTACTCGAGTCAGTCTATCCCTGCCTCAGCATTCGATGCCTTGTTCGACAGTGCGTGGCCCACGGATCCTTCTTTTCTATTCAGAGATACGGCCCATTTGCATGGGCCGTTTATTTTAGACTTTATGGCTCCCTCAACTTCCGCGGGCTGGCCAATCTCGTACCTTATGTTTTCCCCTTATTCACCCCTCCAGCTGGAACGACAGCGGCAGTTACGCCAACGATATCAGGATGATGCCTCGTCCTCTTGGTTTAGCTCCTTAGCCCCCTCCCATGAGCACAGAGGCCTCAGAGAACCTCAGTGGCGGGAAGCGTTCGAAGATTTACTCCGTATTGAAAACGGGAAACCTATGCTTGATAGGGATCCCCGGGAGGAACGTCCGCGCGAATCTAGAAAGTCCTGGCTTGCAGGCTTAATCCAGCGCGGTAGCCTCGGTGACGGTTGGTCTCACATCAATCAACCCGACGGTGACGGTGACTACTTCAAATTCCAACATATCGCCTCCAATGATACCTCTCCTGACCATGAGAGGACGTCGCAGAAAAATGAGGCGAGTGAGGAGGGCAATCAGTTCTCAGAGCTTGATCTGTACGATAGCTTCCTTCACAAAGTTAATCACGGTACCGATATCTCACAAACAAGTCCGTTGTTAAGAGCAATACTTGAAGAGCGAAAGCAACAGCGCCAGCAGCTCGAAGAGTTACAGCTACAGTGGAGAGAGATGTTCCGCGAGAAAGAAATGGAGCGTGCAGATGATCGCCAAGCGATTGCTGATTCTGCCGTCATTAGGAGCACAGCATCACGGACTAACAAAGATTTACTTCAACCTATAGTTTCCAGCGTCACCACCACACAACGCGTGATGCAGCCTGATGGGTCGATAAAGACCAAAACAGTTGTCAGCAAACGGTTTGCCGACGGACGAGAAGAAAATACTGAAACCGAAGAAGTCACGAGAAATAAGCATTCAGCAGTTGATGAAAGCAGCCAGGTGGTGGCTAGTCGGGGTGACAATCAACGAAGCACACCAGATGGGCGTGAAAAGAAGCGCAGTGGCGGTTGGTTCTGGCAAGAGTAATGCGCTAACAACTGGCCGGTATTTTGCCCAAGGTTTTACTTCCCTTCAACCCTAACAATCTCACGCAAACTTCCATACAAGGCAAAAGATGATATCTCCTTTGCCATCTAATATTACATCAATCCTTGATATGTACTATCAAGGCACTCCTCTTTCCCTATTTTCGGCTGTGGAATGCATATTCACTTCGATCGTTTATGTCGATCTTTTTTTTAGCGTTTGTCGAATTTACAGCTGGATCTGTACATTTATTTTGGGCCTCTTGAGCATTTTGATATGTTTTTTATATTCGACAGTCAATCAATCCAACCTTCTTTTCGCCTCAGCTCTTTACCCAAGGCGTGATTACTAATGTATAGCCGCTTAGCCAGTTACATTTGACGAAGCTCCTCGTACCCGTAGCTTCCGGGACCCACGAGGACGGCATCAGATACGAGGCAGTTGGCCTGGACTATCGCTGACCATTTGATATTTACTCCGTATATCAGGCCGCCCTTTTTTTTTTCACAAAATCCCCCGCTCAAATCAATCGTTTACACTCTTCATCCAAGTAGACCATTCCCTTACATCATGTCTAGAGACGCTATGCCAAACCCGGCGCACGTTGACGCCGATACCTTGCTGTCGAGAAAATTTGGCAAAGAGACAGTCAATTATTTTGCCAGTTAGGATACCCATATTCTCTAGTATGCGTGCAATACCCACTGACGTCGATTCCACCACACAGGTTCTCCTTTGAATCGGGTATCGTTCCTTCGGTCCGACAACCTGTTCATATCAAATGCCCTCAAGCACCCCTCAGCGAAGTTTTTATTGTTCAATCAGCTTGCACCGCTGTCTCGAAACCCCAAGGAGCTATATTATGCGTCATACCAAGAAGTTGAGTCAATTATACCTCTAGACCTCTTCGATAAGCCGGAAAAGGAGATCATTGAAAACTATAACTCAGGCAAAATGGTTCCCCTGGTTATTTTTCTAGGATTACATGAATCCCAGCCAGAGGATGGTGGATTCATGTATAGATCGTACAAGGGAACTCCGTATTTTGCCCTTGATGTTACCCCTCATGGACCGCTGGGGGAAGTAGCTAAGAAGATAATTGAGACTATGGAGTCGAAGTCTCTCACATTCAACAAGGCTAGAGCAATTACTTCATTGCCCTCGGATGATGGTAAGACAGCAGGCCCCTTTTTAGGAATAAATAATGAAGGTACTGATGGGATTATTACTTGAAGCCGCTATATATGCTCAAGCCAGGCATACAATAGACTGGAATGCTCGCAACGCTTTCTGCGGAGCATGCGGACAACGGACCATTTCAACAAATGCAGGCTCAAAACGAGCCTGCCCTCCAACTGACCTTGGATTATCTACGGATCAGTCTCGCCCTCCCTGTCATACTCGCAACACAATTTCAAACCTATCCTTTCCCCGAACAGACCCAACAGTCATTGCAGCAGTTGTATCCCATGACGGAAAGAAGGTGCTGCTTGGGCGCCAAAAAAGATACCCACCACACTGGTATTCAACTTTGGCTGGTTTTATTGAACCAGGAGAATCCGTCGAAGATGCTGTCCGCCGCGAAGTTTGGGAGGAGTCTGGTGTTATTGTCTCCCGCGTTATCATTCACAGTACTCAACCATGGCCATACCCAGCCAACCTTATGATCGGTGCTATTGGCCAGACTGCAAAACCTGAAGACGAGACTGTATGTCTCAGCCACGATCCGGAGCTGGAAGAGGCAAAATGGTTTGATATTGCTGATGTCCAGGAGGCTCTGAAAACCGGGGTATCCTCTCTGGGTGCGCCACCGCCACCTGGGTATAAGGAAGGTGGCCTGCGGTTAGCACCGAGCACAGCTATTGCGTACTTTCTCATTGAGGCTGCTGCGAACACCGAGCTTCTGGGAAATCAATATGTGCCTAGAATCTAGTGTCGACTTTCGGCTATCAATTTAATGTAATGCAGGGAGTTCGGATAGATTAGTTGGTTTTTTGGATTTGATTTCGGCCATAGGTTGGAATTTACGCTCTGCAAAGAAAATATGCAAAAGGTTGAAAAAGGGGTTCACTTGATTACAAAAGGGATAACAGCGGGTGGTTATATAGCAATCTCCCCCAACGCCAAAGCCAATCACTCATTTAGCTTCCACATATACTCAACGGGTATACCATGGAGGATAGAGTTATACATTTTCTTCCCGCCTCATACTTTGCGCCGAAAAAGGGAGTTAATACTAAGAACAGGTGATTAAGGAGGAAAATAGAACGGCCAGGGAGAGCAAAAAGAGAATATATCCTATGCAGATCAGTGACGTTTAGTTCTCTGTCTCTGCGCCCTGCGATGTTGGTGCACTGTCGTCGAGTCGTGTACGTTTGGATTCTCTATCTTCGCTTAGTTCGGTAGAGCCAGCTATTTTCCGCTTTTCTCTTTCTCGTTGTTCTGCACGGCGAGCTTCCTTATCCTTCTCTTTTCGGTGGGCTTTGGATTCGAATTCATGCCAATCACCCTCCACATCTGCTAGTCTAAAGAGAGACTTATATTAGTACAGTCGATACATGATACAGTTTTCAGAATCCACGACTTACTCCATAGCTTGCTGTGGCCCTGGCTCCTCAGACACAAAGTAGGGGTGTGCAAGAATTTCCTCTGCAGATGGTCGTTTACTAGCATCGTACTGGAATATGCTGGCAACAAGGTCAAGGGCAGCTGGAGATAAACAATCTCGATATAGATCCTCAAATGCCCTCTTCTTCCGCTCAGCGGGGCGCATGAGTTCGAACCAGGGCATATCAATAATGTCTGGCCAGTCAGCTCTTGTCGGGGTCCCAAGAGAGTTGTAGAGTTTATCTATTTGATTTAGTTCGCTGCCATCTCCAGGGAAAATGGCTTTCTTGGTAAACATTTCCATGTATACACACGCGGCACTCCAAATGTCAACCGCAGGGCCATACCGAGTCTCTCCAAGGAGTAGCTCTGGAGGCCTATACCATATTGTGATGACTCTGTTGGTATAGTCAAGTTGCCGTGATTTGGAAAAGAATCTGGCAAGTCCAAAGTCTGCAAATTTGAGTTGGCCTTGATTGCTGATAAGGATATTTGCTGCCTTGATGTCACGATGAAGCACTCCACGATGATGCAAGTAGTTTAGGCCCTCGAACATTTGTTTGGCGAGATGTTTTTTGTGTGCGGCTGATAGTACGAAAGTGGGATGGTTGATGAGGCCAGTAAGGTCGTGGGAAAGGTATTCGAACACCATAAAGCATTCATTTTTCTCCACCATCACCTCTTGAAGGCTGACGACGTTCTGATGGTGAAGATGTTGAAGGAGTCTTATCTCTCGAACAGCAGTGATAGGAAACCCATCCTTTTCTCCTTCCATGCGTATTCGTTTTAAGGCCACCATGTTCTTTGTAAAAACATGCACTGCCTTGAAGACTTTGCCGTAAGTACCAGCTCCCACGACAGACTCATTCCCAGGCTTGCGGTAATAGACGGAGTCTGCACGTGAGAATTCTTCAGAAAGGGTCGGCCTGGGCTTCATTCGAGTGAGAATTTTCTTCTTAGGCTTTGAACGCTCGGTTGTACGGTCTTTTCGCTTCTCAGGCCGAGACTCTCGTCGGTCTTCACGTCGTTCCCGCCGCCTTTCGTCCCAGCCATCAAACCGACGCTCTCCACGTCGGGGATCCCGACGATCATCCCGACGATCAGAGCGTGTCTCATGTTTTAATTTGGAGGTCACAGACTGTGGCTTTGTTTTTGGGAGCTCCAAAGGCCGAGGAGGCTCACGCATTTTATGCGTTAAATCAGGAATTGGCTTTGGAGCCTGGGATGGCGTAGCTTTTGATTTGAATGCGAAGCTGAATTTCCCAGATTCCTTTGGTTGTGAAGTGGTGCTGGTAGGCTGACGTTTGGAAGGAGGAGGCTCAGGGCGTTCTAGATCGCCTGCTGCCCCTTGATCCTCCACCTGCAGGTCTTTCGACGGCCGAAAAGGATTGTCTTCTTCATCAGTATCGAGAGACATTTGCTCTTCAGACGGGATTTGCATTGGAAGAGGCGGCGGGTGCTGATGGGGCGCGCCACGGCCCCGACTAGTCCATTGTACAGCATCCAAATGCGACCCTCTGGAACGTGAGCCTGTGAATTCGTCAGAACACAGCTAACATTCCGCTAGAAAAATCTTTAAACGGAAAGACGTATGGGATGATACTTACCACGATATGATGAATTACTTCCTCTATAAGCTTGAGCCGAATAGCCCGGCGGGAGATGGCCTGAGGTTGGCGGCTGGCCTTGATAATATTGACTTGGCGGTGCATTTTGAGACGGGTAGCTTGACTGTCGATAGGGTGGGGAGTAGCCATGTAGTTGTCTAGTAAACAGTAAGTAAGTATAAAATCACGCCGCTTAAACATTAGAGGTCCACCTCACCTCGACTGTCCATGATACGGCTGTGATTGTTGCTGTGCGGACCACGAGCCGCGTCCACCGCCACTGTAAGGGGAGGCAGATTGCGGAGACTCGTGCCTGGAGCTGGTAGGAGTTACATACTGTGGTGATGTGTATGGCTGACGAGTATCAACAGATGGGTGTGACGGCCGCCGTGAAGACCGGGCTTCCGCCGGCCTTACACCATGTACTGGATATGTGTCACGCATGTGTTCGTCCTTATTGGCTCTCCGTCTGCTGCTGTCTTTACGCACACTTGCGATGGGAAAAGGAGAGAAATCGGGCCTTGAAGGGTTGCTCGAAACGGATTCTAGGTGAGAGGACGGCGTAGGGAGGGAACGGTTATGCGAGGTTCTAGAAGTAAGCGGGTACTGTGACGTTGGTCGGGAATGGGGTTCTATATTGCGAGTGAATGGGGGAGTAAAAGTTCTTGGGGAAGCGGTAAAATGGCTTTGCTCGTCGGACGGGGGATGCGATCGAGAGCTGGTCCCAGCGAAATCTTCAACAAAATCGTTAGCGGGTCGATTCTCCTTGTCTGAAGGGTGAGATCTCTTTGAATAATGGCTGTGCTCGCGAGATTTCCTATGACTCCCGGCGAAGCCCTCACTACCGCGGGCTCGTCGCCTGCTAGAGGAAGAGTGGCGGCGACGCGAAAGGGGTGGTGAAGCACTCCTCAGTCGCTTGTATTCCTCTCCCCGTGAATGTGAATGTGCCTCTTCATCTTGTCGGACCCTTACCTGTTGCTCTGGGCTAGTGTTGCGCTGTTGTTGAGCAGTAGAATCGTCGTGTGGGGATGGGGACGCGGTTCTTCTCCCTCCACCTCGTCCCTGATCGGTTCGATGGAGCGAAAAGCGTTGATGATAGGAGTCACCGCGACCTCTGCCCGACCTATCCTGCTCCTTGCGACGCAGCGAATGCCTGGGTTGCTGGTGATAGGAGCCTCCTCTGCCCGTCTTTTGCTCTATCGTTTCGTATTCGTCGTGCCTGTCTCTCCTCTGTTCTCTCATCGATAGGTTCCTATCGTATCCGGCCATGTACCTCCAAGCCGCATATGTTTTCGTAAATAGATAAGTTGATCGACTGACAATGGCCGTAGCAATGTCAGGATGCACCAAAGGTATTGTCGTCGTCTCGGTCGTCGTCTGCCTTGCGGTCTTGTTGTGTTGCCAAATTAATGTTCAGAAAGCGTTTTTTTTTCCTTTGGTCGATAAAAAGTGGCTCTCGGAACAACGGCGGGCGAGAGGCACCACTTGCGCACTTCCCTGTCTTGCTGTCGATATTTTATTCCTTCCCGCGCAAGCCTCGCGAAAAGAGATCGGTTCCGTAAGGAGTCGATGTATCTTGCATGACGATCGTTGGGTGGGAGGATTAGAAGGTCGTTAGCCAGCGTAGATATTGGTATATCTACTAGTTTTGTTTTTTCCATTTCGTGTGCGGTGAAGCTCTGGTGTTCAGTTGCCAGGTAACTAGAGTGTATATCACCAGGACGGCGAGGTCTTGATATTACTCAGTCTCCTGCCACCGAACAACAATGATTGCCGTTGGGCTCCGTGTGTTCGGGCTGATCCAGGCTGTGTAAATCACCCGAGATTCACTCCTGTAATAGCTTCTACGTAAAGGAGCGGCGGGCTCCATGGTCTTGCTGTAAAAACGGCCAAGACTAACATGGGACAAGCCAACAGCAACGCGCCGGTAGCGTCCCTATCCAGAGGTGCTCCTTCGGTATTCACATATCTGCAAAGACTGCACCTTTGGTCACCGCATAATTTCTGCTGGTGTCACCAACCGGCGGAGCCACAATCCACAGCATACCGCCACCTGTCTATCTACGGTATAAATTTCTCCAACTCGAGGTCATTCATCAACGGCGGGGGAAGCCAAACATATCGTCAGCTAACGCTCCTCGCACGCCACATATGTGGTGATAAAACCTGTTGATTTGCATCAAAGTTGCAATGTGTGGCAGAATATCCCCCAATTGACTCGACGAAAAACTGCTTGTAAAAATTCCTATACATAGTCAGCTTGGAGCCAGCCAGATTTTCCGGCACCCTTTCAGCCAGGATAAAGTCATATGGCGAGGATTTTTGTTGAGAATGTATAACTCAACCTTAGATGGACGGAAAGTGCCGTTCCCTTCCATACTATTTTGACCGAATCGTATGTGGGCAAATTACTCAAGAAATGGCCTGTGGTGTCATAACTGAATAGGCCAGCTGGTCGATGACCCTCTCAGAACGTGTAGAGCAAAGATTGCGCAACACGAATTTACCAAAAAAAAATTAAATGTAAAGCATAGACAACCCCATCCAGGACACGGCTAGTGAAGAGTAGGATTCCATCCTAACAGCCGAATGACCCGTACTCCCATAGTTAAACTGCGGTTTGCCTGTCAATATTAAGAGGTAAAAGAAATCACTCACAAGATGAAAGATATATGAATCGGGCGCATACCTAGTTAACCTGGAAGCAAGAGAGTAAGCAAGTCTATATATCCAGCTATTCACCATCCATCGGGCAAATATTCAACGCTGACGTCAACTACATGCAATATATCGTCTGCATAACAGAATTTCGCCCGTCTTCCGGGGCAACGGGCGGCTGAGAGCTCTGGCTGTAGGAATAAAATAGATGGCTTTAATAATGTATAAAACATAGGTGTATAGAGCACGGCGTAGACCTATCAAAGACGCAAGGTGTTATTCGAGTCGGCTCCAGCATCTGGCTTGCCCCTCTCGCTTCTGCTTTATTGCAGTGGAGATTACGCATCACCCGTGCATTAAGAACGCAAGAAACATACCTTCAACACAAGGAGTAGCCCACAGGCTGCCCACAGCACTAAGCGGCACCGTATAGCCGTATTCTCGACCTTTCTTCCTGAAGAACTACATCCCCATGTTCATTTGAAGCTAAAAACTTCCTGAAGTTCACTCTTGACGTTGGATCCATCACGTGATATAATTCGCGCTTGTTGATGACTAATATGACTCTCCATGTGACGTGTTTATATTGCAATAATCTCCATAGGAACGCGCTCGAAGAAACAACTTGTGCTTGTGGCTATATATAAAATTAAAATTATGAAAACACAGTTCATTCTGGTACTAGAAACGACATTGCAAATCATTCTGCACAATAGAAGTTACTGTCGCGCCGGGACTTCTTCCCATGCCTCTTCAAAACCCGCAGACCTCACCCAGTTGGGCCCTGGAGCATTAATGGAATCGACCACTAGATGGATGGTTCCGTTAGTTATCCTTTTTCTAGAGCTATAACGGCGGCATTGCTTACCCATATTTCCCAGCTTCAACCACATATCACCTTTAATACGGAAGCTGTCCTTTCCTTCATACTGCTTACAAACCTTTTCACCGTGAGCGGCATGCCGGACAAATTTGGCGGCATGCCCATCATCCTGCTTAAGTGCTACAGTCTCCTTGAACACTCCGTCCCAATCCAGCTTGGCAGGGTAACTTGTGATGTCCTCCAGGTGTGGCTCCGCGCATCCGCGAGAGACGTAGGTAAGGACATCGTTACGAGCCTTCCATTCGAGAAGGCGTACCTTATTCTCCTTGGTCATCCAGGGCTGAGCAAAGAAAGCAGACAGGAAAATGTTAGAGTTCAACGAGTGAATGTAGAAGAAATCAAACTTGATTGCCTTCTTGGGATTTTGGGCCGTGCCGGTAAAGTACACTAGATCATCAGGTTAGCTCATATCCCTCTAGCAAAAGCTGGGGATAATATACCCGTTGAATTGATTAACTCGGCAAATTTCTCCTCGAATTGGTTGGGTTCAACACTGAACTGGCTGGCATATTTAATCATTTTGTCCGGGCATCGGTGCATCACGCCATCAAAAATCTTATTGGAGTCAGCCCACTCAATGGAACGTTTGATATCGGAGTCGTTTCGTAGCTCATCCTGAAGCTGAACCAATGTTTTGTTGCTGGGCGTTCCAGCATCTCGTGCCATCTTCTCTGCGGGCTGAAAAAAGATCTCCAACTGTTTACTATGCGTGGCTGTTTGAGCAAGCCCCTGGGCAATGATAGAAGGCTGGTTGAATTCAATCCCGAACCCTAAGTGGATCAACGGATGCATAAGCCCTATAATCATCTATTAGCAACCTTCGCCGGGATCGGCAGGATCGAAGGAATATTCCTAGTCTCGAGAAAGGGGATTCAGGTTAAGGGGGTTTAAGCACCTCCAAAAAGCCGTGCCAACATCTCGTCAGCAAACTCCCCTCCCGCAAAGAGATACTCATTCACAACGGAGCCGACGCCCTTGGATTCAAGCTCTTGTTTGAAAAAACGCAGGAAGTTTGGGTAATGCTCTCTCTTTCCAGCCAGTTTTCTAAATTCATCTTGATTGCTTAGGCGCTTGACAACGTCCTCATCCACTGGGAGAGCAGGCCGTTGGTAGCTTGAACCGCTAGCGTAGGCGCGCACTACATCTTCTGGAGATGCCCCGAGAGCATAGATAGATAGTACGTGGTGATCGATGTGATCTGCGATGACTGTTAGTCTATCATAAATGGGGCTTTTCATTGTGGGTGCCAAAACAAGAAAGAAAATACTGACTGTGAAACCCCATGTCATTGAAATATATGTTATGTTCTTGTTCATCTTTCTGCAACAGCTCGCTTGCCTTCTCAGCGGTTTCCACTTTAGGGTGGAAGCTAAAGACAGGCGCATCTGTAACGGACAATTTGATATTACTTGGGGACGCCATGGTTATCCTTCGTTTTGGTACGCAAGGTAAAATAGTATACAGCTCTTTTGATAGCTTTGTAGGCAAAATGGGACGCGGAATAGCCGTGGATACCTGTCTTGTTAATAAAGAAGACCTGACAAGGACTCCAGGTTCGGACAGATATTTTCTTGTCAAGATTTTAAAACTCATAGACCCCGGATATTATTTTAAAAGAACACTGTTGTACGTTGAACGAAAGACCCTGGTAAAGATAGCTTATTTATAACTAGTCAAGGAGCAGTCGTAGCTTGGCCAACATTAAGCAACACCAATACGCAGGAGTTAATTAGTATTACCAATCTACTATGCAAGCTAGTCTTAACGGCATCGAATATGAAATCTAGAACGCCTCTTTTAATCAGCTCTAAGCTTTATCCCGTGTTGAGCAAAGGAGTAAAATACTCCGCGATGCATTCTTGTTTTGTTGTCCTTTTCTGCCTACGTCATAGGATTATTAATAACATGGTCGGGACGCACGGTTGACCCGAGAGGCCGATGCTTGAAGCTTAAGTTGACATACTCCGGACAACAAAACATTGAACCAAACGACCAGACGATGGCCTAGAAGATATGGCGAGGCTAATGCTTTGAAATGTTGCTTCCTTGGATGCTTGACTAGCTAGTTCACTCGTTAGAACCTAACTTGGTTGGTCTCATCTCAAGTGAGCCTCTGATGCCCTGCCCCTTTCCCTTCTCCGTTAACCATACCTCAACCGTTCCCAGATAAGAATACAGAAACACAAACTCCTCGTACCAAACCGCTTTAGTTATCGGAAAATATTTTCAATTCCGAACTCCACCAGTCAATCTATGTGACAACCTCCAGTATTTGTGTATTTTCCAGGATGCCCAAACCAAACGTTACCAGGGAAGCTGCACGCAAACAGCTGTGATGTGGATATTCAGTTTTGCAGTCAAGCGTTTGACTAGGTCCGTCTGTGAACGGCTGACATAGCTAATTTTGCTCTCATCCGCTCTTCCTTAGGCACCAGTATCTCTTCCATCCCCTCCAGCCTATCCAGAGTACGCGAAAATGTTTCGATCTCAGTGTTACCCCTCGTTCTTGGATTGACATACCCCCAAAGAAACATATCTGTGTAATGGAATTGCAGATTCAACCCTCGGCGAACCGACTCTCTTATAATGAGTTCATCAGGGCGTAACAGTACATATCTGCTTCGTGTCTTCCCCCAACCCTCATATTGTGTCATTCCAATTTCATTGGGCGGAATGCCGAAAATTGTCTGGCCGAGTTCAGGATGAGGAGGGTGATACCTCCAGCGGACATAGAGCTTCATGACATCCAGTTTACTGACTAGAGCTGTACGTCTTAGAGCTCTCCATAACACAGTTAGACTAGGCTGTGCAAGGAGCAAGCGACGCATACCATCCTTTCCATTGCCCGTGATAGGATCCGTGAATCGCATATCAAACTTGACAAAGAGCAGCATGGCGAAAAAAAGGTCAACATCACTGAAAATGGATCCTTTTCGAACCAATGCAAGGCGTCGATGGTTGTCCGGAATATCCATTAGGAGCCATATCTTTTTCAGGACAGAGCTGCATACACCAGGGACCGGCACACCATCTTCTGCCATGATGGTGACTATCTCATGGCAAACCATTTCACGGTAGCATACCATCAATAACCATTTAAACGAGGGAACTTGACGAACTTCTCCTGCCATTGCTCTTTCGCGGACTGGGTGTGGCTGTCTAGCGGGATCGGTGAAGCAAAGCTTATTAAAGCAGCGGAAGGGGAAGATCTGGGACGATTCCATAGCTCGGCGTTGCGCCTGGGAAATAATGATTCCAGTAATACGATTGCGGACAATATGGTGAAATGGTCTCGACATGGAATAGAGAATTAGCAGTTCTTGGACTCGAAGATACTTTGCCATGATAATGACCAGTTCAGGATGCTTGACCAAGTGCTGAAATATGTTGAATTCGGGCTTTGAACTTTCGCGGGGAACAACTGACATGTTCCTAAAGTCGGGGAAATATTTCGACTTCATGATTGAGAAATTCCCAAGAGAGGGCGAGTCAAAATCTAACTGAGCAAAGTCACCAAAGCTCTGGTAACCATTACTGTGGCCACGGTTAGTAATGCGGCATCTGCTGATAGTTCTGGAGGTCCAGTCCGTATATTCTGGCCTAGGGACTCCGATAGCATGCCAGTCACGATTTTTCCAGGTGCTAATGATATGATCTGCAAGGAATCCACGGCTGAGATGCGGCAATGTTGCCACAATTAAACGCACTGCTTTCCTTATGTCTGGAAGGACAACTGGCCCGCTCTCTTCTTTGCTGTCTCTGGGTGCCTTCACAACAACCCCTCTTAAGGCTGGCAGCTTGACAGTTGGAAAGGCTACACTTTTTGGGTTGAGCCCTTTTGTATAAGCATGTCCTTGGGCCAGGTGTATGAGTTCGGCTGTAGTGGGGTTTATGTAACATTGATGCTGATTTGGCTCAAACTCACGACCGGAGAACTGTGATCCTCGATCTTCAGAGACATGATTGTCTTTTAGAATGGCTGTCAGTGGAGGATTGGGCAACAGACATCCATCATACCCTGCGGCTACAGCCCATTGGTAGCCTTGAATATTTGCTGGAAATATCTGCTCTGGCCCAGTGCTCTTGCGAACGTGTAGTGGATTCGAGACTCTTCTCTTATCTGTGAATGGCTTATTTGCATCCAGTTCAAACTTAGGCATGGGAGGGTCCTCAGGGACAACCCTAATTCGACCAGATGCATTTGGAACCGGCTTGTACTCGGGCAAATGTCCCGGACCAGATAACTGTGGGAGATATGCAGGCCCGGGCACGAACCCAAGAGGAAGTTCACCAACTTGTTGCTGATTTGACTGCTCCTGGGGTCGTATTGGTGGAGGCTCCTGCCTCTGTTTGCCTTTGTTGATTCTTGTTTTACCCTTGTTTTGGGCACGGCGTGCTCCCAAGGACCCCTTTCGAGTCCCTTTATCAGCCATCACTGGTTCACTATACCAGGGTCAAAGGATGCTTGCTTGCTCAGTATGTTTCCTATAAATCGAAGATTTATACTATGTGAAACGTTAGCAACACTGCCATAAGAGGTTAGGGGAGCAGAGTGAGGAGATATAAGGTCCTTTGGATGCTTTCTATGTAGCACTTTGCAATCCCAGGGGTCACACACTTGCTCAGGAACAAACTAGACAATTTTTGCTCCTTGTGATCTATCCCTAGCAAAGTGTTAGTTTGGTTAAGCCCACAACAACACGGAATTTTGAGCTGGCCTTAGCCAAAGATGTGAGAAGAGAGAGGGAAAGAAAGAGACTATGTGAAAAGATCATACCTTAAGGCCTTATAAAGACCAGCTTCTGGAAGATGGGAAGTTCCGACACTAGAAATGTGATATTGTGTTCTGGATATGAACACCCTTTGATAGCCCCTATAGGCTAGTCAATATCTGTTCCTGCAATAATAACAAGATCCAAAGAGCAAGATACCTAGCATAAGGAAAGCCTGTGAAAGGTAAACAGGAAGACTACAGCAGGACGTGTTTTAATATGGTAGGTATTTCGAACACATGTTTGATATCGCCGTTTGGCTTATTATCAACTTGTTACCACAGCGATAGTCACCTTTTGTGAATAGTATAACAACCTTCACTAAACATAAGAAGTGAGGCCAGAAACTCAGACAAACCTCATGTGAATAATAGTAAAAGACACATAATTACTACATGGGAAACGCTCTTAAGGGAGAGTAAAGACTTTAAAAGTCAGCTGGGTTAGCAAAGCGCTGGTTGAATCAGGTTTTGCCTATCACTATGGGCGAGTTTGTTTAAACAGGCCAGCTATAAGATATACATAAAGGCTGCGCTTGAGAAGAGTTAACAACTTTTCAGGTTTGGTATAAGCAAAATGAGAAAGAGAAATGGCATATAGAACCAACAGCTAATCGAGTTCGTTGCTATGTAGTTCCATCTATACATCCTAAGAGTAGGCTGCCCGTTAGGGTGATAAAGGCTCTTATTGCAGTGAACCTCGGCTATGGATATATTTTCCGCTTGTATATCCTTCGAGTAAGTGCAGTTATCAGTGCGTTGAGCAGCATGAAATCTCATCTATCATAACCTTCGTCATTGGGGGTTGTTGAAATAAGCAGTAAAGTTGAATGGGGGTATGCTACGTGGACAGAAAACCAACAGGAAAAAAAGTAGGAAGTGCTAGAAGGTAAATCAAAGAAGAAATAACGCCAGGTATTATCTTGTTGAAAGGCGAATTGGAGCAAGACCGTAGTCCTGTCTCGAAGCCATGTTGGTGTAAATGCAGAAAGGGAAATAATATACTTTGTGCAAATGATTGGGGAGGTGGGCTCCATAGGGCTATGTTGAAGCTCTTGAGCTGCTGCTGAGGTGGCTAAGGATGACTGTATCACATCCGTGGTTACCTGCTAATATGCTTGTATTCTATCTGGTTTCAAGGTTTTTTCTTCAGGGCGATTTGGAGTTTATCTCCTGTTCAACAGGCTGAGGAACTCTTCTTTGGTCTTTGCGCTTGACCTCATACAACCAAGCATGCAGCTAGTGGTTGTAGTGCTGCCTGTCTTTTGGACACCACGCATGACCATGCAGAGATGGCTTGATTCCATGACTACAGCAACGCCTTGTGGTTTGAGAACTTCAACAATGGCGAGGGCGACTTGCTTTGTTAGTCTTTCTTGAACCTGAAGTCGGCGAGAGAACATTTCCGCAAGACGAGCAAGTTTCGAGAGACCAAGGACTCTACGGTCAGGAATGTAGCCAATGTGCATCTATATTGGGGAAAAGCTGTCAGTCGTACGCCGGGCTGGTGGAAGGAGTTAGAATACCTACCTTTCCCGAGAAAGGAACCATATGGTGCTCGCATAAGGAGAACACTTCGATGTCCTTGACAATCACAAGTTCATCGTGATCCTCATGGAATACAGCACCATTAACCAGATCGCGTACATTCTCTTCATATCCCTTTGTGAAGAACATGAGAGCTTTGGCGTATCGCTCTGGCGTCTCGAGCAGGCCTTCACGCTCTGGATCTTCTCCAATGCACTCAAGAATAGTCCTCACGGCACCTGCAAGCTTCTGAATCCGCTGTTCGGTTTGTTCAGGCGTCGACTCCAACCGCTCTCTTGTTCCCAGACCTTGAAAATGAATACACAGTTAGCCTTCCTATTCTAATAACCCCGAATGGGAGGTTCAATGTAACAGCGACTTACTAGGCCAGCTGAGTCCGTCAAAGTCTATCGGTGGATTCAACGTATATGGACTGGCAGGACGACTGACAGCAGTCGATGGAGGAGATATCTGATCTCTATGCTCCCTTAAGTGACTGTTCCCGTTGTATTTCGGTTGCTGTGAGGCCACATCGGTCACCATCTTCAGCCCGTTCGGCTTCTGCTCCTCGCCATTGACCTTGCTCTCGTCGGTACCGGAAGCAGGGCCATTTGTATTCGACGTATCCGTGACAGTAGCCGCGTCTCTGAGCTCTTCCGGCCCCAGTGCATGTTTCCGTTCAAAGGACGACTTGATCGAGTGGTTCAGGCTCTCGCGCTCTCGACTGTTGCTCGGCATGCGCACCGAAGCGTTTCCATTCAGCAGATACGACGGCACCGCCGACTTCGGCTTAGGATGCAGCGTCTGTGAATCTCCTGGAGCCATTATAAATGTGCTTTGTTACTGTGTAAGATAATGAATGATGGTTGATCTAAGTGGGAGAGAAGGGAAGGGGGGGTATTTTTTTTATCGCGGCTGCTTCTGATGGCGGGATAACTTTTTTTTCTTCCTTGTCCGTTTTCCCGGTGACGCTTTTTTCGCCCTGCAAGCTTAAGTGGACTTCACGGAGTAACTGGTGTAGCTATTCAGTTCAATTCAATAGTCAAGTACGGAGTACAGCGACACCGAACTGTCAGTGAGATTCATATTCTGCACGACCAAAGCGATCGCTCGGAGGAGAAGGAAAGAGAACGATGACTCCATCGCTGCGACTGTCTTCTTCCCGCCGAAAATTTCCTCCCATGGCAGCCAATCAGCCTTTGCCCGCAGCCCGTATGGGATTCGGAGAATTGTTTAAGAAAAGCCACGGGTTGTGCTATTTCCACCGACGAGTTGGCTAATGCCAGGGCTGGGGCCTCTTTTCCGGGGAGACGACGAGGGCGAGGGAGGATGTCTTGCGAGTAATACAGTGACAGCTGAGGGGATCTTTTGGTGACGGCGAGAGGTAGAGCATTGTTGGAATTTGGGCTGGGCGGGCGTTTTGCTTCGAAAAGAAAACGGCCGCCACAGGAAGATCTACAAAGCACAGCGAGGAGAGGTGGGATGCAGGCAAGGGTAGTTCTGCAAGGTGTTTTGTCATGGCTCGAACAGCCGGCTACACGGCGAGTAAGGGGAATAAGTTATGGTTACAGGGCAGTACAGGATTCCATCATGACTCCAGCTCTTCGGTGGGAACATCCTCCATATCCTTGCCGACAATCGCGTCCGCGACCTTCCATACTTGTAGCAGGTTATCTTCAGCAGCTGAGCAAAGAACCCAGGGGTCATTAAGGTTCCAGCTGAAGTCGGATATGCGGTTTGTATGTCCGCCATGCACGAACAATCTAAACAGTAGGAAATTCGAGATTAGCAGAGGAGGCTTTAAAAAGACGTAGGTAGCGACGGATGGGGAGGGTACATACAGCTCTGGAGGTCCGTCTTGGGCGTCTTCCTGGGTCTGTTCTTCACCTGCGCGGCTGAGATCCCAGAACATGATCCGTCTGTCGTAACTTGCACTCGCCAACACAGACTCTTCGAAGGGATGCCACGATAGTGAGGTTACTGAGTCCTGGTGGCACTCGAGCGCATGAAGCTTTGACTTGAGGTTTCGTAGGTCCCATAGACCGATGGTCTTGTCAGCTGAGCCAGTAGCTACTACTGTTTCGGCAGCGGGATTGAAGGCCACAGCATTGATGGCATCTTTGTGCTGTCCCTTTGCAGATGCAGCAGACCGTGTAGTGTCTGATTCACGGATATCAAGAATTTGGAGGGTGATGTCATCGGAGACGGTGCCGACGAGAGACGAGTGGAGTGGGTGGTATTGGACATCATTAACAATAGAGGAGTGGTGCGTATATGTTCTCACGGGTTTCAATGCTTTATTGCCCTTCGTGTATGTGTTGAGATCCCTGCACGGAGGTTAACAAAAACCGAGCGAGCGCTGTAGACTGCCTTTTAGAGGATACACGTACCATAACCGGACAGTCTTGTCTTCACTTCCTGTGGCCACTTCTCCTGCAGTATGAGGGTTCCAGCTTAAGCCAAATCCTTCGCTGGTATGGCCTAACAGCTCCAACTGTGGGTTGACTGTGCCCTGAGGAATGCTAGGGTGTTTCGACCGGTCCCATATCATAACCCGTCCATCGGTACACATCGTTGCAATAATATTAGGATTCTGCGGTTGGTACCGAGCCTTGTTCACTTCTCCCTTGTGATCAATCTTCTGCACGATATTAAACTTCACATCCATTGACGTCTTATTGGAGCCCCCATAGCCTCCAATCTCACCCCTCTCTTCATCATAATCCTCAGCTTCTGGATTCTTAGGGTTTGGTAGCTGCACTTGAGCTATTTGAAGGTAGTTTTGTGCTTCGCTTGATGTGTGTGTGCCTAGCAAAAGGCGATGTGTGGAGTATGGCTTGTCGGGGTCCCTGGATCGGTTTGTCAGATTGAGCGGGAAAGCAAACACGGTGTATACAGTGACAGAGACTCACTCCTGCTTGTCTGGGAGCCATTGCGCTGTCAGAGTTGGCCACTCTAGCGCGGTGCTCAGGATCATATCGTATAGAAAAGGCGCATTCTTCTTCCATGTTTTGTATTCTACAGAGCTCGGTCAGCGCTCAGCGGAAGGCGATCCATTCCCGGAAGCTCTGCCATACCTTCATTGATGATCTTCTCCTCTGCAATCTCCTCCTCGTGGTCTTCTTCTAGGCCTGCCATTCCATATATTAGTATTCAATCTCCCTCCGTGGTATATGAAGACTATCGACGTACTTGGTGAAAAGTGGTCCATCTTGCCGTCTTCCTCTCAAAATAAACCAGATAAAAGTGAATTAAAACACGGGTGATAGCTTCAGCTGGGAATTTTCTGGATATTCGCAGTAAACAGCGCGCAACAACAGCCTCTATCAGTGTGCAAGAGGGAGAAGGGAAAAGACGTCGCTTGTTCTTGTTTGAACTTCAAAATACGCGATCCGCGCGCGTTAATTGAAGCTTCGCATCACGTGTATGGAATAGCGTTAATCCGCGGCTGAATCACGTGACAGAATCGGCGCTTCGTGGCTGCAACTTCGGAAATTCACTAAACACGATGATATTCGGCCAACGCTCTTCTATCCTGATAGCTCGCTCACTCCCTCTCCCTTTTCTTTACTTTTATAATTCATTTTTGTTATTCACTGTACAGTATCTGCCATCCTCGGGGTTGCAACGAGGTAGTCTTCACGGACTACTATCTTGAATATTACGTACAACATCGACTGAACAAAGCAGCAGCTTACTAGACACAGCCATGGGTGTCCCAAAATTCTTCAGATGGCTCTCAGAGCGATATCCGGCGATATCACAGCTTATTGCTGAGAATCGAATTCCAGAGTTCGACTGTCTCTACCTCGATATGAACGGAATCATCCACAACTGCACTCACAAGGACTCAGACTCGCCCACATTTCGAATGACGGAGGATAAGATGTTTATTGCCATCTTCAACTATATTGAACATCTATTTGGAAAGATCAAGCCAAAACGATTGTTCTTCATGGCGATCGACGGCGTAGCTCCTCGGGCTAAAATGAACCAACAGCGCGCGCGACGATTCCGCACCGCCCTTGATGCCGAACTTGCGAAGGAGAGGGCCATAAAAGAAGGCATAGAGATGCCCAAGGAAGATGCATTTGATAGTAACTGCATCACTCCAGGAACCGAGTTCATGGCCAAACTTACGAAACAATTGAAGTATTTCGTCAATAAGAAAGTGTCGGAAGATGCCGAGTGGCAGGGTGTTGAGGTGGTTCTCTCCGGCCATGAAGTCCCCGGTGAAGGCGAGCACAAAATTATGGAATACATTCGCCAGGCAAAGGCTCAACCTGAGTATGATCCAAACATGCGCCACTGCTTGTACGGTCTAGATGCAGACTTGATCATGCTGGGACTTCTGAGTCATGACCCTCACTTCTGCTTACTCCGAGAAGAAGTAACGTTTGGACGGCAGAGCCAGAAGAAATCCAAGGAACTTGAACACCAGAACTTTTACTTGCTTCACCTCTGCATCGTTCGGGAATACCTGGAGCTGGAATTCCAGGAATTGAAATTAGATGGGGCTCTGCAGTTTCCTTTTGATATGGAACGGATTATAGATGATTTCATCCTAATGGCCTTCTTTGTTGGAAATGATTTCTTGCCCAACCTTCCTAACCTACACATAAATGAAGGCGCTTTGGCGTGGATGTTCAAGGTATATAAAGAAATTTTACCGAAACTGGGTGGTTATGTCAATGAACATGGAAAGATCAACATGGAGAGGCTGAGGACATTGCTGGCAGCTTTGTCAGATGTCGAGTTTCGGTTTTTTGAAGCTGAGTATTCTGACGCGAGATGGCTCAAATCAAAAACACTCGATGGTGACCAAACGCCAACGCTGCCGGACAAGCCCAATGTGCTTACAATAACTCCAGCACAGAAGCATATTTTTAATCGAATAAAGAAATATGTTACCCATCGACCAATGGACGAAGCTGGTCAGCCCGTACCTCTTGATCTATCGCCGTCTCTACCAGCAAGAGATCGGAAGTTTGTGGAGCAGCTAGCAGATAGCCTACACCTGAAATGGAGCTCTATTTTAAATCAGCATGAGGAACGATTCTTGCGCGTCCAGTTACCCGCAAACGATGATGATGAAGATGACGATGATGATGACGAATCCCAAATTGCAATTCTGCGTGTCTTGAAGAAATATGAAAACGCGAAGGTCAAAGAGCCCACTGCTGAGGATGCGCAGATGGCCGCCGAGAAGAAGTACGAGAATAAGTTTCAAGACTGGAAGGATAAATACTATAAGGGGAAGTTTGGATGGGGTTTGGAGAATGCGGAAGAAATGCGAAAGTTGACGGAAAATTACGTCCAAGGTTTGCAGTGGGTGCTCTTCTACTATTATCGTGGTGTTGCATCATGGCCATGGTTTTACCGTTACCACTACGCCCCTATGATCTCAGATATCCATCTTGGTTTAGGAGCCGATGTGGACTTCAAACTCGGACAACCCTTCTTCCCATTTCAACAACTGATGGGTGTTCTACCGGACCGAAGTAAGAAGATAGTCCCGGTAGCATTCCACAGCTTGATGACGACTCCTGAGTCGCCTATAATCGACTTTTATCCTAGGGACTTTGAGCTTGATATGAACGGAAAGAAGATGGAATGGGAAGCTGTGGTGAAAATTCCATTCATAGAAGAAGAACGGCTTCTTAAGGCTATGGCAACAAAGGAACATTTGTTGACTCCTGACGAGAAGGCCAGAAACTCTTTCGGCGTGACGCTTAAGTTCACGTATTCGCCTGACGTTGAGTTTCTCTACCCCAGTTCCCTTCCTGGTATCTTCCCCGATGTTTCTCGATGTCGCTGCATCGAGAACGTTTTTGAGCTACCTACGATGGAAGGGTTGGACCCCTATGTGGGTTTGGTAGAAGGTGTGAAAATTGGGGCTGAGGCTCTATATGGATTCCCAAGTCTGCAGACACTTCAGCAGACTGGGCAGCTTGGCTTCCATGGAGTATGTGTATTCCAGCAGGAGAGCCGTAACGAAAGCATGGTTGTTACCATTTCCGACCCTGAGATTGTGGGGAATACTGCGGATGCGAAAGCCAAACTAGGAAAAAGAGTCCACGTTGGATATCCATTCCTACAGGAAGCAAAGGTGGTGTGCGTTTCAGACGAACTCTTTGATTATGTTCAAGTTGATGGCGAAGAGCATGTTGTAGCCATCCCGCACACTCCAACGCAAATCAACCAGTGGAAGAAAAAGGCAGAAAGGATTGAGTCTTACTACAGTAAACGACTCGGAATGGTTATCGGCGATGTTGAAACGATCGTGCGCGTGGAAATGCTTAAAGGTCTAACGAAGACTGCAGATGGTGCCACGGTTAAGGAGTTTACGGAGATTCCAGGAGTCGAAACGGAGTACGCCGCTCAAATTATCGTCGATTCAGTTGTAAGTGAGGATCTCCGTTTCATTGAACGGGCTGCAGTCCCAATTGAAAATGAGTTCCCCGAAGGTGCGAGAGCATTCTTCCTAGGCGAGTATAATTATGGTGCTCCGGTGCACGTTACTGGACATGAGGATGGGAAATTGTCCGGCCTTCTCTCAGCAGTGAAGGGTAAAGAGCCAGAGTTTGGCAGGGAGCACGTCATGAACGCTGAAAAGCTATCAAGATACACTCCTTCCTTTGCTATTGCGCGAAACTTGCGCCTCAGCCCTCTTACACTCGCTAAAATCACCTCTTCTTTCTCGGTTAATATGGATGGAACACGAGTCAATCTTGGACTCAACCTCAAATTCGAAGCGAAGAAGCTGAAAGTGCTTGGCTATTCGCGACGAGGAAACTCTGGATGGGAGTTCAGTGAAAAAGCCATTGGTCTCCTACAAGACTACATGATCAAATTCCCAGACTTCATTGCTGGTATTCAAAGGAAGCCTCAAGGTGACGTGTTTGAGCCTAGTGATTTCTACCCCGCCGATATTGCAAAGGACAAGATCAAGGAGATCCAGGCATGGCTTAAGTCGATTGAGTCAAAGAGCTTTGAGCGCGTCCCACTCGAAGCTGAACAACTGGACTCTAGCGTTGTGCAGGCGATCGAAAAGTCCGCTGACGAACTGTCGCAAACTCGGCCTACCCCAGTGGCACAAAAGATCAGAGGTGTGCCACGCAATGCGCTGTTGAAGCCTGCTGATGCAGAGCACCGCCTCAACAACCAACATTTCCAGCTTGGTGACAGAGTGCTCTATGCACAAGATTCTGGAAAGGTTCCAATTGCTTCTCGAGGAACTGTTGTTGGTCTCACACGGACATCGAGAAACTTGCTTCTTGATGTGCTGTTTGACGTCTCATTTATGAGTGGTACCACTCTAGCAGACAGATGTTCGCCGTTCCGCGGCTCAACTGTCCCTTCGTCATCGGTTCTCAATCTTACGAATAGACAGCTGATTGCGTTGTCTCGCGCTACTGCACAGAACAAGGAACAGGCTCGGGAACAACATCTGCCTTTGCATGCCGCTCCCCAAGGAACGGGTGGTATGGCCCAGCTGAAAGATGCGCCGGCTCCACCACCTCTAATGAATAGCTATCGGGGTGCTGCCGCAGGCCAGCCCTCCAATGGTAAACCAAACGGTGCACCAGCTTCCTCCAACTGGCGTGGTAGAGGGCGAGGAGCCCTACCAATTCGCAACCATGCAACGCCTGAGGGTACGCATGGATTCGGCAGAGGACGCGGAAATGCCAATTCGCACAGCCCACGCAGGGGCAACGGCCCGCCGAGCCGCGGTTCTGGAAGAGGAGGCTATGTAAATGTGGAAAGCATGAACCCAGATGCCGGTGTTGTGAACCACAACCCAAATTTCAGGCCGCGACCATACAACACAGTCCCGCCGCCAGCATCCCTGAGCCAGCCTACCGGGCGAGGCCGCGGGCAACGGGGTCGAGGAAGGGGCACTGGTAATGGTGTGCCTCGAGCTGGGAGGGGACGAGGCAGAGGCGCACATGCAGGTGCAAGCGCTGGAGAGACCACAGCCTAGCTCTATCCTTCTCCGCTCCTCTCTGGCGGATTGATGAGTGTAACACTGTGAAGAATAAATGGTTAAATCTTACAGTGTTGCCAGGCCAGTAGATGGTGCATTTTGTTTACACGTTCTCCTGGGAATTGGCAGTGTTCTCCTGCCAACTACTGTGGGATGGCTCTTTGTATAGCATTATGTACGAGCCAATGAAGGCAGCGAGGAGGATAATTGGCATCGGTATGTCACATGAAGGTATAAACTTATAGGCAAAGAAAAAGAATTTGGATCGGGATGGACGTGGCAGTCCTTCTTTGGTTTGAAGCAGAGATCTCCTGTGCATCTTCATGGCATAAACGCCACTATCCCATGTCGAGTTTAACCAACGCCTGTTCTCCTGCAGCAGTTGACATGCAGCATCACTAGACCCTGTCTGGCTTTTCTCCTTCGCCAGGTCATAGCTGTAGGCGCAGCATCGTACATATGTAAGGGCACCCAAAACGGGGCATCAAGAACTGGCGCTGCCGCACCTCTGAGGAGTAACCATCACTTCTTATTCTATCCTAGCTTGCCCCTTAGTTACCAGCACGTCCACCATCTTCTACTTTGCTCGACCGCGAGGCCCTCCACAAATACGAGCCTTCACCGTCAGACTCGATCGTGTGCTTCTTGTTCCTGGTGACGTCACTGGGGGAAGCTGCTTTTTCTGCTGCATATCATCGCGACCCAAAAAAACTTGCGATCGTGATGCATTCCAACGCCATGCAGCAGCGACCTGATGCAAGATGCCAGCCGTACATATAAGATGCCAAAGGCCAAACTTCACCGCGAGTTCTAGGCCATTGACTGTGCTCGGGAGAAAATAAGAAAAATAAGAGAAAAAGGCGAGAAAGGAAAAAGAAACGACCGATCAAGTTTTCGCCCCTGAGAATAGTTCCAAAAAGGGCCTCCTTTCCTTATCTTTTATCTATTTAACCGGCCGACTGACTCATTTCCGTATCACTTGAGTCGAAGTATTCTCGTTGGAATAGCCGGGCCAATATTTGAGTAACGTCTTTTGTACATCTATCGTTCGTTTATCGTTTTTACCGTTGACCAGTGTTGGCCGTTGTGTGATCCTGCGTCTTCCAAAGCTGTCTTGAGTGTCACGTATATCCCCATATGTTCTACGGCTGATATTCAAAGCTAAAGAGCTCGCAATTGCCGGTCTCGCGTTCATGTGCTGTCCGGGGTCGTCCGTTATCAGATATATTGTAACTCCGGAAACAGCCATATAGGGTTTGCATTCATGATGGCTGATAGATCTCGGTTCTCGGCTGAAGTCCTGCTAATGGTACGAAGAAGATAATATCGTCTGATCGCTCCCTTTCGTTACTCCTCGTTGAAAGCTTGACTTTGCTCCTTCATTTAGGATGGCCGGGGTTTTTAAAGCTGTTCATTTCGCATATTGAGGCCGGTGATAGTTTTGGACTCATGGCTAATACCGAACTCTGTATAGGACGACAGATTGGCCCTCATACACATTCCAATAGACCTATATCCTTTTTTCGTGAGCCCGATTCTTCGACTTCTCTTCCATGATGGAGAAAGCGAGATATCGTCAAAAAGCTCGGCCGGTTTTGTGAATATATCAATTACTCCTGTTGAGTGCTCTATAATTTGCTCCCGAGAGCTTGCAGATCTCTACTTCATTCCCATGGTAGAAGGATTCGAGAGAGCAGCCATATCAACACACGGCAAAATTCAAATCAGTTCAGAAGACTATCTGGTCATGCAGGTAGAAGGGCAGGGTCTTGATGCTGGGCAGCGTGTGGTAGAACTCACCAGCCCTCTTGCAATGGCTGGGATGTAAGTTTATATAAACGATAATCCCTCTTCTGTCTTGAAGAGATGCTGACCTTTGAAAAGCTCCATATTTTTCATTTCAACTTATTTCTCCGACTATATCATTGTCCCCAAACACTCGAAACAACAAGTGACAGAGACCTTCGTTGAGAGGGGATTTAATGTCGAAGAAGGGCCAGTCGACCCTGATAGCAGACGGGGTTCGTCCCCTAATATTCATATACCCAACTCCAGGCCAGATACTCCGCCTCCATGCAGCGTATCAGAGCTCCAGTTACGGGCTTTCAAAACGCTCAAGCAGCACAACGTTCGACCGCAGGCTGATCGGTCCCTGCGGCTAGTCCAGTGTGCAGCACATTATAGAGAATACACAGGGACAAAGTCTTACTCGATTCTCCGGCCTAACCTGATATCCGCCCTCCTGAACGATAACCCACGGTTTTTCTCCCTAACAATAGCAGCCACAGACCCTGCGCCGTCGCTGCTTCTGGAAGAGCGGCTGTTGCCCCGTTTTTCTCTTCCAAGTGACCCTGACAGAGAGCCGTCGTCACCAGTAGAGGAAGACACCAATCTACTGCTAGGTTCAAAGGACGAGACCCTAATTGCTATCACTCTCGACTTGCGGGAACTGCCCCTAGAAGCTGCTGGTATTGTTTCAGGTGTAGCCAGCGCATTAGTTGCGGGCGCGCTGGTTGCGGGCACACGCCGGGAAGGTAGTGGTAGCAACAAAGTAAGTAAATGTCATTGGGGTATTTAACATTACACTGAAGCTGACTGGGCGCAGGACCTAGAAACCAGTTTCCTTAGTACGTCCCGTGCTGGGAATGTTATTGTCCGCGAGGAAGAGCTTGAGTTAGCAATGGAGTGCTTGGAGGCAGAATTTTAACATTGCATTATATACTGAGCGTTATATCTGGGAGGCTTCATGATGATTTAAAACACCAAGTGCAACCAATTATCAGACCTAAAAATTAGCCCTGGGGGTGAAGCTAGAGGTCGTCGTGTATAAAATGCAATACTCCTCTCTTAACTATTTGAATTGGAACATTCTCGGCATGACGATACCAAGCTATCCATACACTTTGACAGTGCCTGCAAAAATACATTAGCAAAATAACTACTCCATCCGTAGAGAAACAGAACACTCCAAACATACCGTCAGAACATCCTCCAGCCCAAGACGAGCCTTTCTCGTTCCATGCAACGCAGCTGACAACCTTAATATCAGCACCCACTGGCACGGTCCGAATAACATTTCCAGTCAAGACATCCCATGCAAAAACAGTCGCTGGAGTAGTTTGTCCACTGGCACCTGTTTCCGGAGTCTCGCCGCCACTCAGAACCACACTATCTCCTTTAGCAAAGGTAGACCGAATGCGCAAGTCTTTATTATAATATATAGGACCATGCTTCTTCTCTGACGGGTCAGGGTTTCCATCGCCAAAACTCTTGAGAACTGCACCATCGTCACGGTCGACCATGCGTATCCGTCCATCAAGACATGAAGCAAGCATAGCTTTTCCGTCTGCAGAACCATGTATGCTTGTAACCGGATGCGCCATGACGTCCACCTTCATCTCACCCATTCTTAGATCATATGCGCGGATTCGACCGTCGTAGCTGGCTGTGATTATACTGCTGGTCAACATATCGACGTATATTGAAGAAACCGTATCAGAGGCTTCGGTAAGTGTTTGTATCGGCCTTGACGTTAGGGACCGTGTATCCCATATTTTCACATCCGAATCGGCGCTTCCTGTTCCATGGTAAGGCGCATATTAGCTCAATAGCCCATGGAAAGATGAAGTATGGCTAGGCCAAGTTCTCACCGGATACCACCACTGAGTCGCCCTCTCCCCCAAAGGCCACAGCTTCAACTCGTCCGGCATGGCCGCTCCACCTTCTTATTGTACTCCCTGTCTCGACGTCCCATAAGAAAACCTGTTTGTCTCCTCCTACGCTGGCAAAACGCGCATTGTCTGCACTGACTGTTATGTCTAGTACGGAGTATCCGTGTGCTTCATATCGTTGGATGGGCGAGGTTGTTATGTGAGGTGAAGAGGAAGAAGACTGTGGCAACGCGCGTGACAGGTGGATAGACCGGTCTGAGGAGCCAGTTAGGAGATATGTCCCCGGCGAACTGGAGAAGGTAACGGCATTCACAGGTCCTAAGTGCCCGTTTAGTATGTGGTCCACTGATGGCGTAGTAAAGGGCGCGAAGTATTGGGCAACAACACGCTTGTAGCTTAGCAATTATTTGAAATATCTACATACCACTATGAGTTCTAAGGGTGTGAAGAAGAGTTGAAGGAAATTTCGAGGACGTCGACATTTGTCCACCAGTATATGGTGGTTGGTAGGTAGCAGATGCTTCGTTTACGCTGGTTCTGGGGACAAGGTATGAAAATTGCCAGGTTTAGTCTGATCTACGTTTGGCGACATTAAAATAAATATAGCAACAACATCAAATCGGTGGAGTCAATAAAGTCAATTGTTGGAATTAAGATATTTAAAACTTATAGCAAGAAAAACATGATCTTGGAGTAAAGAAGGGTAAAGAAACACATTAAGGTGAAAATGGGTTAGCAAGAATCGCTGGCTCCGGGAAATATAAAAAGGGAAGACGGGTATACAACAGCCCAGGAGCCACTACATCGCCTGTCAAGCATCGATCGCCCAACGTAGGATCGAGCTTGGGAGCAGGCATGGGAGACCCTGGAGGGAAGAGGCCATCCGCCCGTATCTCACTAAACCATAGCGGTCATTTAACGGCGACCATGACTGCGAACTTGTGGGGCCTGCATCTGGTCGAGTTCCTGCTCGAGTTGTTTGATCCTAGTTGAGAGTTAGCTATGCATTTAGTAAATTTCTGTTTGGATTAAGACTAACGCTGCGTGAGTGGTCTCCAAGTCCTTGTTGAGTCGGTCTCTCTCGGCAATGAGTTTCTGCTCCCACTGTCTGAATCGCTGTTCCTCGATCTTGACTTGCTCGGTGAATCTCTTTCGTAGGTTCTCCTCCTCTTCCTTGAACTTGGGGTTGTCGAGCTTTCTTGGTCGGGCCTCTCCGAACTTTCTAGTCTCCATCTGAAGTGCTCGGTAGGCTTCGTAGTGCTGTTCTTCGGTGGTGTGGATGAGGTCAAGCATGTGTGTTCGAATAAGGATGGAGCGGAGTTTCTTGAAGTCACAGTGGTCTTCGTTCTCAACCTCTGCAACACCCCAGGAATACTGGCGACCCTTGACAATATGGCCATCGCTGGTCTTGACGTCCTTTTCGGAACCAATGACGGAGAATGGCATGACAGCCATCAAGCTGCGGGCGTGCTGAGCAGCTTGCTCATCATCCTCTTCAACTGGAGGCTGGTAGATCTTGATACCTTGGGCTTCGATGACAGCGCGGATCTGTTACACAAAAACTGTCAGCTGGAGAAAATTTTCAAATAGGGGGCGCTTCCGACAGCAGGAAAAATTATGGTTTACTTACTCTCTGCTTGAAGCGGGCAAGATCGGAAGGACTTAGGGTATCGGCCTTTGCAACGACTGGAATCAAGTTCACACGGGAGCTGAGACGCTTCATAACCTCGATATCTAGTGGTTTCAGGGTGTGGCCAGTTGGGCGGATGAAGTACAGACAAGCGTGGACACGGAGATCGATCTTGTCAATACGGCGTGGCTGTTGCTCCTGCAACATGTAGGACTCGTGCTGGTCATCCAAAAACTCAATAATGGGCATCCATGAATCACGGTTGTTGACATAGTCGCCGAAGCCAGGAGTATCAATAACGGTCAACCGAACTATAGCAGGAACCAGATTAGCCCCAATCCCCTAGCACATAATACGTCAGGTCTCGAATCGAGCTAGCATGCCTTTGAAGAACCGTTCCTCGAGCTCAGCCTTTGTGATCTCGATCTCAACGGTCTTGTCAACCTGCTTGGCGTGTCGGCGTTTGTGGTCTGCATAGTTCTTGATCGTAGTCGAGAAAAGGGTGTTGATGAATGTGGTTTTGCCCAAGCCAGACTCTCCAGCAACCTATGTCATATCCATCAGTCAACAATCGCTCTTGGGCTTGGTAGAAATCTTCCGGAGTGAAAAGGGGGGGGAGGAGCAGGTAGGTCGCACCATAATCGTGAAGGCGGCACCCCGTTTCGCGACAATCTTGTGTCTATTCGATTCAAGTCAGTCGATGCTCTCTATGCCCTGAGAAAGGCGTCTCTATGGTCTCATACCGTTGGTTGGGTAACTATGCGAACGGTCAGCTATATTTGATCCATGCTCCTTACAACGGTTGGCGGGAAAACTTACATTGGCGATACCAATTGGCGAAGCGGTCTCAGATGTAGTCGACGCCATTGCGATGGTATTGAGGCAGTTCAACCGCGGGAAAGAGAGTAAGGCGAAGGGTCAAGGGGTGCGAGGAGTGTCAAGAGAGAGCGAGAGGTGAGGTTGTTGCTTTCAGCCGCCGTCGTCGCTTTTTTTTTGTTTGCTTTGCGTTGAACTTCCTTCTTTCCCTTTCTGCCCCTGAGAAGGGGGACTTACTAATTTGGACAAGGGGGAAAAAAGGGCCCCGACTCTGCGCTAGGCCGGAAGGGGGATAGCGTGCGACTTTCTCGTTTGGGAACGGGTTATCTCAGCCTCCGAGATCCGGTTATCTTGCTTACATAACAAGCATATCAAAAAAAATTAAAGAAAAGCATGAAGAAAGAAAGACGCAGCAGTAAAAAAGGGAAAAACGTCAAGGGAGTTTTGCGCCGGCGAGGACACGCTTATGCCGGAGACGATGAAGACGGATTTCAAGGTGGGCGGACCCTGTTCTGTCACTGTTTGGAGCAGCATACTGATTCATGCCAGTTTTCCAATCTTCTCGGGACCGTCTATCGCAAAGGGAATCTCTTGTTCACTCCCGACGGCTCCTGTTTGCTCTCCCCAGTTGGGAACCGAGTCTCTGTCTTTGACCTGGTCCAGTAAGTGGTGAAGCTGGAGTGTTCAATTGCTTCTGTATCTGTCCGGATAACTAACGTATAAACTTAGAAACATCTCCTATACCCTCCCGTTCGCACACCGGACAAATATTGCCCGAATTGATCTATCTCCCAGAGGCAATCTCCTGCTCTCAATCGACGAGAATGGCAGGGCTATATTGACCAATTTCCCGCGCCGGCTACCGATCCATCACTTTACGTTCAAGTCTGCTGTGACTGCGCTCTCGTTCTCGCCCTCCGGTCGTCATTTTGCCGTGGGGGTTGGCCGGAGACTACAGATATGGTGTACACCCTCTACTCCGGGAGCTGGTACCAGCGGTGAGCTAGAGTTTGCCCCCTTTGTGCTTCACCGAGATTTAGCTGGCCACTTCGACTCGATACAAAACATTCATTGGTCTAGCGATTCGAGATTTTTGTTGACTGCATCAAAAGATCTAACTGCGAGGATATGGAGTGTGAATCCGGAGGAAGGGTTTGAACCCACAACTTTGGCAGGTCACCGTGATGGAGTTATCAACGCATGGTTCTCCCATGATCAGGAGTCGGTGAGTTATTTTGAACACGTTTGTATCCGGGTTCGTCAGCCAGCTAACTATCAAATCAGATATATACCGTCAGCAAGGATGGTGCTTTGTTCCGTTGGGGCTATGTATCAAAAAAGAAAGAGGACGGTAGTACCTCGGACGAACGGTGGAGAATCGTCAAGAAGGATTATTTTATGCAAAGTGGTGCCAAAGTAAACTGTGCAGCTTTCCATGCAAAGGCTAACATCCTGGTTGTCGGTTTCTCCAACGGCATCTTTGGCCTATGGGAAATGCCTAGCTTCAGTCAGCTCCATCTATTAAGGTATGTATACATTTATGCCATCTATCACTTCTATTTTAACAGTTTATAGTGTCTCTCAGAGCAACATCGATTGTGTTACTATCAATAGCTCTAGCGAATGGCTCGCATTTGGCTCGTCGAAACTCGGTCAGCTACTTGTATGGGAATGGCAATCCGAATCTTATATCTTGAAGCAACAGGGTCATTTGGATTCTATGAACGCTCTAGTGTATTCTCCTGATGGCCGAAAAATCATTACTGCTGCTGATGATGGCAAAATCAAAGTCTGGGATATCAATACCGGGTTTTGCATTGTCACTTTTACAGAACATAAGAGCGGCGTTACAGCGTGTGAGTTCACAAAACGCGGAAATGTGCTCTTCACGTCATCCCTGGACGGGTCAGTGCGAGCATGGGATCTCGTGCGGTATCGAAACTTCAAGACCTTCACGGCCCCTTCACGGTTATCCTTTTCTTCCCTAGCTGTTGATCCCAGCGGTGAAGTTGTATGCGCCGGATCCCTAGACTCCTTTGACATCCATATCTGGTCAGTTCAAACCGGCCAGCTCCTTGATCAGCTATCAGGCCATGAAGGACCAGTTTCATCATTATCTTTTTCGGCAGATGGAAGTCATGTTGTCAGCGCTAGCTGGGATCGCACAGTCCGGATATGGAGCGTCTTTGGGAGGAGTCAAACCAGTGAGCCATTACAGCTACAGTCAGACGTCCTATGTGTAGCTTTCAGACCAGATGGAAAGCAGGTCGCTGCATCGACGCTTGACGGCCAGTTAACATTCTGGTCCGTTGAGGATGCAGTTCAGCAGGCAGGAATTGATGGCCGGCGGGATGTCTCTGGTGGTAGAAAGATAACTGACAGACGAACCGCTGCAAATTCTGCTGGGACCAAATCCTTCACTACCATAACATACAGCGGCGACGGCACATGTCTCCTAGCTGGTGGGAACAGCAAATACATCTGCCTCTACGACGTTGGAACATGTTCTTTGATCAAGAAATTTACAGTGTCACTCAACACCTCGTTAGACGGAACTCAAGAGTTTCTTAACAGTCGGAACATGACTGAAGCTGGCCCCCAGGGATTAATTGACGAAACTGGCGAAGCATCCGACATCGAGGAGCGAAAGGATAAGACCCTGCCAGGTGCTCGTCGTGGAGACGACGGAGCTAGAACAACTCGCCCTGAAGTCCGTGTTACATCGGTATCATTTTCACCCACCGGAAGATCGTTTTGTGCTGCGTCTACAGAGGGCCTGCTAATATATAGCCTTGACGATGACATGGTCTTTGATCCTTTTGACTTGGATATTTCTATTACACCGGACAGCGTCATGGCCACCGTTGCAGCAGCTAAAAAGGCAGCTTTATACCAAACCTCCAACTCTTCATCGGAAACCACTACATCCGACTCTTCATTCCTCAAAGCCATCATCATGGCATTCCGCCTTAACGAATCCGAACTCATAAGAACAGTTTACGAATCTATACCCCCCTCCGAAATACCCCATATTGTCCGTTCAATTCCCACAGTATACGTAACCCGTCTCCTGCGCTTCGTTGCTAATGCAGCTGATGAAACCCCCCATCTAGAATTCAACTTACTCTGGATTCAGGCCTTGTTAAGCATACGAGGACGCTATATCAAAGATAACGCAGCCTCTTTTGCGGCAGAGTTAAGATCTGTTCAGAGAGCTATCGATGGTATTCGAAATGACTTGAAAAGACTCGCGGACAAGAACTCATATGCGCTGGAATACTTTCTGTCAAAACCTGCCTATGCACCCGGAACCAAGAACATTGCATCGGAAGAATCAAATAGGATGCTTCTAGAGAATTCCAAAGACGAAGAGAATACTCCGGCGGAGGAACAGGACGAGAACAAAGCCAATGATAGCGATGGGGATTGGATCGGATTGGAATAAGGGGCTTAAGTCTTCTACTTGCCTTGATAGTTTCGTTTCTGGGCGCTGTGATGCATATTTAATCTGCCTTTTTCTATGAGCATAGACTTGCCTCTGTTTTTGTCTTTGGGCGGAATGGTGTTTTGTTTAGGTGAAAAGCATTCTGTATTACTCGTTCAAAAATCTCTGGATTTTTTGGCTTTCAAAAATAATGTATTGAGATCTGCGCTGGGGATATAGGTATAAAAAGAGAAATGATAATACATTGTGAAATGATGTAATAATGTCGTAGAGATATTAAGGTATTCCCTTGACTTGCGCATAAATCAAAGGGTTCCCAATGTATACCGCGTTAAAAGATGAGTACCCAACGCCAAAATACGCCTATCAAAGTTGCCGAGTCATGGCTTGAACGAATACTGGAATATGCGGGTAAATGCTTGGAGGGGTGTTTCTGTCGTAGGCGGGTTATCTCCTTCGGTCACGGTCTTCATCGTCATCATCTTCTACGCGGGCTCTCTTTGATCCTCGCTGGCTAGACTCCGCCTCCTGGATGCCATATCGTTTCTGTCCACCAGCGGATTGACCTCCGGTAACTTCAGCAATCATTCCGTCGATACCAAAGGGATCTGCAGTATCCTTTTCAAACTCGACAGGGCCTTCGCGAGCCTGATATTGGGAAACTAAATTAGCTCAATTCTAATAGCATAGACCTTAGAACTATAATCACTTACCTCAGCGTCCTCAGTTCCTTTGAAACCTTCCTTAGCACGCCCTAGCACCTCGAAGCGACCGCCTCTGTTTATCCGATCCATTTCTGCTCCTCCAGCATTTTCATCTTCATCGTCCATTTGAGCGCGAGGACGGTATATGCTATTAATAGCGTCCTGTGCAGCGAAAAGAGGCTTGTCATACGGTTGATCCTCATTGAAACCGCTCTGCAAGCCACTGGTCTGGTTGAACAGTCGAGAATCGTACATAGTCTCCTTGCTCTGTGTCGGTTTTGCCAATCCCAAAGCAATCTTTTCGGATATATCTCGGTTCTGCTCCCGAGCCATAACCTGAACACGGCGTTCGGCGCCCATTCTGGATTGGCGTAGCTTCCTTTCATCTTCCTGGCGTCTTTCGCGGCGTCTCCTCTCACGTTCTCGTACAGCTTCGTCTTCCCCGTCTGGGCTAGGTGATCTAGAAGAATAAGGCGAAGGGCTTCGACTACCACTGCGAGATCTGGATCTGGCGCGGGACTCATTACGGCTGCTCGACGCTCCAGCTCTAGCCTCTCTTGCTTTCTGAGCAAGCTGCCGTAGATGCTCTTCTTTCTTGGCCTTTTCCTTCTCAGCCAGTTTCTGTTGCATCTGTGCTCGTTGTTTCACTTCCTCACGAGCATGTCGATCAGCAGTGAACAAGGCTTCTGCGAACTGGGCAAATTTATCATTAATGGAAACGTCTTGCAACCCCCTTCCATCGGCCGCCAATCGTTTATCAAGAGGGACCGTGTAACCCTTTGGATTTTTCCAGTTTGATACCGGTGGGGGGATCCTCCACGCTTCTTGATCTTCAGCAGTAAGTTTCCTGGGAGGAGAATGTAAAACTGGTGGAGGTGGTGACGGCGGGCCCCTTGGAATTTTCTTATGTTTGAATTTGGGGGGCTCAAGAGGATCAATTTGCTTTTCTACAATTTTCATAATCCGATCATTCTTGCGGTTGGTGTTGCCCATCTGGTTTGCAGGGGTATATCGGACAAATGTAGGCTCGCTCCTCTTTCCTGTGGCGACGTTCTTTGGCTTCTGAGCTGAAACTGCTCCGGTAACCAGTTTCTCCAGGGCAGCCTTTGTTTTTTCCATTTGCGCATTAACCTCCTCCTGTGATGGCCTGTCTAATGATATCTCCCCCATATCTACCCTCTGTCGTAATGGAATTAGATCTTTAAACGATGCGTGTACGATTCTGTTTTCGTTATGGCCCTGCTTTGCTATGGAGTCGTATTTCACTTTACCCTCAGCATCGACTTGCAGGGCCAAAGCATTCGACTTGTTCGGCGCATCTTTGCGGCCCATATCAAGGGGGTACTGAGCAACAGCAATCTCAGGGAATGCGCCGCCATCTCCAAAATCTTCCAATGACCGTGGTCTCCATCCTGCGCGTTTTCCGTACGGTGGCGGGCCAGTCCTCTGCAAGAATAAACCTCGTTAGAAACGGACAGAACGAAGAATAAGGAGAACCAGGACTCATGAAGAAAAGTGAAAAAAAGGAAACTGCCTACCTTCACCACTAGCTGAGTCTCATCAATCGCATCAGCACCTATCACCCTTGGTCCGCGTCGTTGGGCGTGTGCTGGAAGCTCCTCATTTTCACCTGTGTACTTTGGTGCCGGGAGGGACTTGAATAGCCCTTCGCTAAGGGATGCCATGGCCTTATAATCTCAAGCACAAATCCAGTTGAACAAGAAGAGAATATTATCTGGTATCAAGCTTGATAATGTTTTATTCTCTCCGTCTAATCGTTTCGAAGCTTTTCATGGAATCGGAAAAACTCTCATGAAATCGGAACATAATTACACCGGAAGATTATGTTATATTTATTTCTCAACGTTGAACTTCAGTTCGAAATGCAAATTGATTGATTATTGAGTGTCGATTGAACCACGGACAATCGGGATATGATTGTTTTGAGTGCTAGTGGAATGATAATACACTAGGGGGGGATTATTTATTCTTCCATCTTGTTATCTAGAGTCCTGGATTAATTCATGGAACGTTTAGAAGACTCCTGGGCTGAGTTATTCACATCGATAAAGAATGCCTGCCGCATGATGTCCGATCAGAACTGCTGTGTGACTCGAGCTCGAGCAAGGCTGAACTTGAAAAGAAAAGACAAAGACCCATTTAACCCGTCCAGAAAGTATTGAAATGTCACCTTGTAATCTCTCTCACCGCTCCCTGCTCTAAAAGCTGCTCAACTCCATATTCTCCTGGTTCTGTGATTCATGACTCAAGGAAAAGGTTCGTTAACATAATTCATGTCGAAGGATTTGCGTTGCTACCTGTATGGTGGGCGAAAGTGGTGTTATATTAGCCAAGGATATTCAACTGTGATGAGACACTCTGTACTCACCGAGCCGACGAGGAAGCAAACATCGTGACTCATCGAAGAAGTAACCATTTAGGCAGCCTGGCGAATGAAATAAGGATACCCAGAGGATGAGTATGCCCAGTATCCAGGTTGCAAGTTCTCCATGACGTCAGTCGTGGTTCGCAGGGTGTAGGAGCCGTCAAGTTCGCGACACCACCACTGTTGGCCTTCAGCTGGGCGGTAAGGCACCATGCTCTGGGACCTCATTGCACCGGTGGCTCTGGCGATTGCAAGGTTCTGTGCGTCAACTTCGGCGCGAGTTGGGCCAATCCAGGGAACTGTACCTGCTGGAACCTGGTAGGTAGGGCGAAGAGGTGCTGGCGACATGTACGGAATCGCTTGACCTGCTTGCTATGGTAGGAGTTAGTATGTTTAAACCAAAAGGAAGAGCAAAGGCAAGCACAACGGCGCAGGTGAAGTAGTGGGATAGCAGAATGAAGGCATAACAGCAGAAAAAAAAAAGATCAAAGTACAGGATGGCCATTTGAAATATGCTGGGTCACTCCAACCGGACCGACTTGAATGGTCTGGGAAACAGAATGGGCTGTCCCGGGGGACCCTCCGTTAGGACAACCGTTTGGCAAGACAGGGACTGGAGCTGGTGGTGGTGGCGGCGGAGGAGGCCCAGAGGGATTGCCTGCGTTGATTTGGATGTTTTGCTGCAGCTGAGGGGGCACATATGTGTAGACCGTAGGCTCGTTGCCAGGCTGAACATGCGGATAGGGTGAATATCTCGAGCGGCTCGGGTCGGCTGAGCCATATTGATAGAACTGGCCCATGGTGCCAGCAAAGAGATAATGGATATGAGATGCTTCCCAGCTCGCTTTGTAGGTGACGGACAAGGACGCTAGGTGCCCAGGTAGGAGGATCAGAGGGAACAGAGAGGCTGCTGGGCCGTGAATGGAAGAGGCGAAGAAGCAGTGAAGGATATAAAGAGGAAGAGAAGGAGATAAGGAGGCAGAGAAAGATTGAGGCTGCAGGACTTTTGTCTCGAATTATATCCTCCACCTCACTAGGAAACAAGAAAGAACACACACAGACACACAAACAGCTGGCAACTTACATTCACCGGGTAGAATCCATCTCCAGGCCGTACCATGTACCACTGCCTACTGGGCTTCTTCGCCTCTGTCTTGGGAGGACCGTCCTCGACCACCAGGGCGCGATAAGGAACACATCCGAAGCACATATTGCGAGGGACAAGATGGGGGTTTATCACAGTGTAATATGAGAAAAGGGGCCCTTGAGACGGCTAGAGGAAGAAGAAATTTGCAGATGAAGAAAAAGAGAGAGAAAGGAGAAGAAAGAAGAGGATGAAGAAACCGGCCACAAGGAGATGTTTACATCCTCACCTTCATGGCCTCACTCGGCGCAGAGACCTAGCAAACTACAGGCACAGTGAAGAAGGGCCATGCTCTACCATGATGTTTGATACGCTGCTAGCTATCTATTGTAGTGCCATCCACGCAGCTATCAAAGATGAACAAAGCTGCTCTCGGGAACTTCCGCCAGTAGCCAACTGACACTGTAGGGATAGCCCTGCCCGTTGCTGCGGTGGCACCAGAACTACACAGCATGACAGCCTCATTCTAGCACTGCCTGCTGTATCAGTTATGTACTAGCTTCATCCAGGTCCTGAAGACAAAGGAAACAAAAGGTGAGTGGCTCATTGTGCGCACTCTTTAGCCTGGAAAGGGGGGAATATCTACATTTGGTCAATATAATTACAGCGGTGAGGCGAGAAGAATTGGCTTATTTCGCGTGGCAAACAAGGTATCAAACACGCCGGGACGGAGTCGCCCGACAAAGGGTAGTGCCAACAGGTTAGCTCTGATTCGAGACTTCCGAAGGTAATAATGGAGATTGGCTGATGGTCTAGAGGGATCCTGGTTTAGGTGGAGGTATATCTGGCAGATTATATGGATAACTATGGGACGAGATCAAAGGCCCTAGATGTTGATAATACATCATTGGTATATGTATGGATATATATATGTATATATATGGCAGCACGAAGAGTCCGGGATGTGGGCCTGGAAGTGCAAGTTTCGGTTCAGATCATGACCTGGTCGGCTTAACAGGCGTTTTTTGTCATACGTTTCCCTGGGGCGCATGGCGGGATCTAGTTGTGGAATGATCATATTCAGTGGTGTTGCCCGTATCCCGTAATGGAGTGCAAATAGTGAAACGGGCATTTTCACTGTGGGAATATTCAAAGAATCCGCTGGGGCACAAATCCAATTTATGCCATGTGTGACTGCATTGGGCAAATGACAGCTTCGCCATCTGGTATCTCAACAAAGTGTTTCTTCCACCCAAAGATGTACTCTATCCGCAGAATCTTGGGCATAAACGGAGCAGGGTCACTGAAGCCGACAATATCGCTCTATATACCGTTTGTTAGTGAGCTACCGCATTATGGAAACCCTGCAGCACCTTACGTACCTTGACTGTGCTACGGGGAATGTTCAATTGTCCCTGGTCGACAAGCGCCGCAACTGGAAGAGTGACGTCAACCATATTCTCATGAGCCCTTGAGTTAGATCTGCTGATGCTGAAGGTCGACTGAGGTGGTATGTGTCCGTATTCGGCATGAAGAATCACTAAGCCGCCCCTTTGTTCTTCCATGTCCTGTCTTCGGGTGACATGATCCTTCATCAACTCGATAGCCTCCAAGCTTTGTGCTTTCCGCTTAGCCATGAGCCTTTGTACTCTTCTTTGTTGCTTGGCGATTGCCTTCTTCTGCATCCGTCTCTGCCGGGGACGCCAATATCCAAACTCCAGAATCGAATATGTGAGCCATGGCACTATCACTGCCATGCTGGCAATATCAGCATTCACTACACCCAATGGGCAGATTGCGATTGGCAATTTTAATTTTTGTCCCAGTCGACTCCACGTAATTGAACATACCAGCCCCCTACCACCTTCGACCCCAATACCGAGTCCCATGCGAGTGAATCTTCCAACCTCGCGGGAACCCGATATCATCCAACCTGTGGAGAGGTCTATTGAAGCAGTTGCTGCGATTTCTAATCGGACAGGAGGGCTGTTTATTACCTCCTTTCGAGGAGTGTAACCTTCGTAGCTCCACTGGGATAAAGCTGGCTGTTCGGGTTCAGATGTGAAAAGATTCTTGGCATAATTTAGGGTAAGATGTAGAGTGCCGGGTGAGGAATGGAGCAAAATCCCCCAGTTCCCACCGGGCTTTGAATGCCTGCTGCTGTCCTCTGCTGTTTCTTCATCTTCATCTATGTGCTCTCGCTGGGTCCTAGAAAATGGTTTGGAAATGATCTGGAGTCCTAATTCAAATTTGCTCTCCTCTTTAGGAAAGACGAAAGATATATCTCCGCCATATATGAGTTTGGCTACAGAATCAAAGATATTGGAGATGAAATTTGGCCATGAAAGACTTCCGCTGGACCAATTGCAGTACATTAACTTTCCATTGCCCACTCGTCTTTGAACGGATATGTCCAAAGGGGGTGGCGTAAGCAGAGGAGAATTCGTTACTGCCGTTCTCAGATTGAATTGGAAAGGGTATGTCTGCGGAATGAGGACGAGGGACTTCCCCAACTCTAAAGAGAGTAAGGGAAGTGGAAGCAGTGAGGCGCCAACTTTGATTGACGACTGGCCCAAGAATGGAAATAAGAGACGATTGAGCAGAGCATCATTGATGTCATGACTCTGTACAACATGTTGTACATGAGCTCCCACAGAGATATTGTTGACTAAAAATCTTCGCGGCAGTTCTTGCTATAGAAAAGTAAGCCACTAAGTCAGATAATTTGAAGGAGCAAAGTCTGGGTACACACCTCTAAATCTCTTTCCCCTTCGATTCCGGGATAGACAACAGTGATGACGCGCGTCATCCGTTGAAGTTTTCCGCCCGCACCTGCATGAATTACCACTTTCATACTCTCCTCATCTTCTTCTTCGGGGCCGACACTTTCTTTTCGTGCTGATCCATTCTCGTCCTCATCACCCTCATCTTCGCCATGGCTACTTGACGGGCTGAATCCAGGAATAGAAGGGAAAGGGATATCAAAATTGAAGCCAAGGGCAAAATGCGACGGCTTCAAATCTGGGGTACTAATTATGGTATCTTCCCCTTCCTTGCTGAACATATGTGCATCGAGACCAAGTTGCATGGTTACCTACAGGCGAGTGTATTAGCGTGTATCGCTCCGTATAAGGAATGGATTAACAACAGTACCTTGCTCGAGACCATGTCCTGCAGCACGGAATGCTCCCTTTCCTTCATCTTACGTACAAACCACCGGCGGAATTGAGTTTCGTCCATGGCTTTCACGCCCACTTGCATCCTTTCAGCCTCACCGAATTGTCCCAAAAGGCCCGTCTTGCCCCATTCTCTTTGTACACCTTCCTCACCCATCAAGTCGTAGACTACCCGCTTCTTAGGATCTATGAGGGTCTCATAAGCAGTCTGTATCTTCCCGAAGTGGTTTCGGGCGGCTTCTTGGAGATGCGACGGCTGCTTGTCCGGATGGAAGCTCAATGTCAAGGTCCGGTAGGCAGAGCGAATCGCGGCATCGGTGGGAGGTGGATCGCGCGACAGCGCCAGAAGGGAGTAATAATCCGTTGTATCGGTATAAGATGAGAGCAAGTCGTACTCCCGTGCTATGCCCTCGTCGTCATCCGGAAGAGCTCGAGCCCCTTGCATGGCTGCAGCCATTCTTATCAGTCAGATTGGGGAGCCACAGCTCTTGACATCTAGAAGTCATACAATCCCTATAATACTCTCCTTCCCCTGTCTAGCAATCTTCAGCAGTAATTCTTCAAGGCCAGACGACAGCCTCCCGGAAAACAATAAACACCGTGGTAAGTTGACGATGGTCTTAATTAGCTGCATCCACTATTTTGGTTGGGCCGGACTAAACCTTAACTCCGAAGCTCTACGTTTAACTCCAAGACAGCTATTTCGCAAGACAGTTAGTATTCGAAACCGGCGGCAGCTTCAGTCTCTGCAATGTACTGGATGAGGGCATTTTCTACTATGTTTCTGCCCTTTTTTTGTCCTTAAAACAACAAATTTTCTTCATTTCTACCAGCAGAAGAGCTCGGCAACGGAACTGCGGTGTTTCTTTATTCCGTAACGGAAAATTATTTTTACCTCTGAGTCACGTGTATTATAGCCTCATCTAGAGATCTATTTTAATCCACATTTAGTCGCGGCGAAGCGAGAAGATGAAATGGATGAAACAGATGAGGCGGATGAGCAGCGAAGTACGATTTGCAGCCTTGCTAGTGGATAATTAGTATCATTCTGCCTAGAAAAGAGCACCTTGGTACCCCGTACGGTATGGTAAAGTATCTATGATGGCAGTGTTAGTGTCAGGCGGGTAAATTGGTGGCATTTTGCCCATACCCCTTTGTAACAACGACGTGATCCTCCAAGCTGTGTTCTCTCTCCGGGACAGTTTGACTCATTAGTTGCTGCCTGTATCATTAAATATTGCCTCCAGAAGGTATATAACGATTATATTTCCAGGGTTATTGTTTTCTCGTCGCCCATCTCTCTGCAACCTGCTGTTCAACCTGAAAACATCAGCCTTCAAACATGGCTGAGCCTAGAGAACCTGGCGATATACCCCCAACCTTCAAGATTGATCTCTCACTTCCTCCCTCAGAAAGATATGTTGTCTTGGCCTCTTTATATCGACAGAAACTAAGGTCGCTCGTCGACATTTTTCATGAGATTGTCGGCTGGTTGGACGGCATCATTTCCTCAAAATGGATCTACCGAGCTGCTCCCATACTTCTAAGGAAGCTATATACCCGCGAGGAAACAGAAGAGATTAAGGGAATATCTAGAGTTACGGGCATAGACCTCTATATCCTTGTATCTCTGAATGTCTTCCTCGATCTCCTTATGGGATGCACCAGCGGGGCAGCCTTGACAAAACAGCAACACGATACTGATGCAGGAATGCTTCACTTTCGTACTCTCGACTGGGACATGGATGAGCTCCGCCAGCTGGTTGTGAAACTTGAGTACGTTCGCGGATCTGAGAGTGACACTGTTATTGCAACAAGTGTAACGTACGTGGGTTTTGTTGGAGTCTTAACAGGTGTGAGGAAGGGACTAAGCATCTCATTAAATTTCCGTCCGAATCACAATTCAAGCAGGTTTTTGGCCAATTATCGGTTTTACGGAAGCCATTTACTTGTGCTACTGGGGGTGAGACGGTCGATATCTTCATTACTTCGAAAATACCTACTAGCCCCAGATCTGGAGCGTATTCATAGCCGCTCCTGGTTTGATCGAATGTTAAGACGGAAGATAGCAGGGAACCCTTCACAAACACCTCTAGACCGGATAGTAGAACATTTACCTCGGGTGCCAACGACAGCAGCTTATTTGATCATGTGTGATGGAAACTCAGCGGCTGTTTTTGAGAAAGATCACAGAAGCGCTGCTATCCAGCGGTCGTCATCATTTGTCGTTGCTACTAACTGCGACTCAGTAAATGGCCCTTCGGCTCTTCAGAAAGAAGAAGCTCTTGACAACGAAAAAGGCCATGATGACAGGGTAATCAACACCCCCAACGAGCCCCTGGATTTGGACGATCTCATTTTCCTCAGCAGTGAGCGACGAGCCCACATGCAGGATGCATGGGATAAAAAGGTAAAAGAGAAGCAAGACACATTATCAACCTCTCATGATTCTTCTATGGCCGGACCCATTCCGCAAGATCGCCAACCGAGACCTACTATAAAGTGCTCTTCTACCATTTCACCAAGTCTATGTGGCGACAAGCAAGTTACAGCAACACCCTCAGAGGTTGCTGAATGGATGAATGGATACCCTGTCACTAATGAAATGACTCACTTTGCTGCCATCCTGGACCCTACTTTAGGCAAAGTGACCTGGCTTAGGCGGTACATAGATCCGCCCACCCATAATGAAACCAGTTGAACGCTAGGACAATCTTTCTCTACACTTGGACATACTGCCTTATATTGTTTCTTGACATTGGGTATTATTATTATTATTATTATTATTATTTTAATATGTCTGTTGTCTTTGACTTCAACCTGAACATCTTGATGATAACTTGAGTTTACGGGGCCATACTTGTATTTTAGGTACGCTATTTAGAAGCTAGCATAGTTTGCAGAACGCATGAATGCTATTATTTCCTATCCCCCGCATTTTTATCTAATTTCCTAATGTACATCAGGCCTTCCAGCACAGAAATAAGAAGCAAAGACTGAAACAGCTGTTTGTTCGACATTGCCACCCCCTTTAAGACATAAAATGTAAACCCTATAGAGTAAGAAGGAAGGAAAAAAAAAATCTCAACCAGACCACAGCAACTAAACTCTTTCCACTACATAGAGATAATTATGCACCATGACAAGGGCTGGGCACACTTGAATGAGTTATTATAAAAGGTATTGTCAACCATTTATGTTTTAAAACAATCAAGTAGAGGCAACGCCTTCGCTCTCTGGCTCACTCTCAATCTGCTCATCAGCAGATGCAACATTCGCCTCATTATCAGATTCCATGACGCTTTTATCAGATTGCTTACTAACAGCGGTGCTAGAAGTAGAGAGTGCTGGTGGTGGATGGCGGCGGCTTCTGGCAACCATGAGATTCTCACACCAGGCACTAGCCTCTTCAACAGCAAGGTGAGGCTCTCGTTTGCGAGTGAGGAGGAAGCCTTGAATCTCGGCAGGAGAGAAGACGTATTCGGGAAGAAGAGCCGAGAATGAGACTGCCAGGTCGTCGATATAGTCGATGGTAACCTGCTGGTTGGCACTGATGACTCCATTGGCATTTGTACACGGTTCTGCCCCCATTTTTTCCTCGGATACAGGCTGATCGTGGTTAATGACAGGTTTCTCGATCTTGGTAGTGTTGAACAACTTGGTGTTGAGGATAGAAAGAGATCTCTCGATCTGGGATGTTGAGGCGGACTTTGCCTTGATGTTGCCGGGTTGGTCAGGGGAATACATTCTGATAAAGATTTCTTTGATCTGCTCTCTATTAGCCAGAGTGAATTCCACCATCATGTCGACTCTACCAGGGCGGATGAGGGCGTCGTCCAGTTTATCTGGATGGTTGGTTGTCATGACGAGAACGCGTCCCTCGTGAGATGCCACTCCATCGATCGCGTTCAAGAGACCAGAGAGAGAAATACCCTTGGACTCCTCATCGTTGTTCGAATTTTTTGGCTTTTTCGTGCGGTTAGAGGGTTGCTGAACTGCCTTGTTTAAGTTGGAAATGACATTTTCAGTGGCTCCATTAGCTGCTTCAGTCGTGTCTGGCGAAGAGCCCTCGTTAGCTGCAGTACGTGACAGGCCCGCAGTATCGATATCCTCCAAGAGAACCACACAACGTCTGGGCAAGGAGTTGAAGAGTAGGCTCAGATCTTCCTCTGTCAAGCTTGGCTCCAGAAGGGAGATGCAGTATATGTCCAGCCCAAATACACCGGCTATAGCGAAGCTCAGCGAAGTCTTTCCAGTGCCTGGTGGCCCGTGAAAGAGGTAGCCGCGACGATAAGGTATTCCGCGGTTTGCATACCATCTCGGGGTAGCGGGATGAAGATATTCGTTTATGTCAAGCAACAACTTTGTTTTCTGAGCATTATCGAGAACGACAGTTTCAATTGGTCGAGAAGGGCGAGTGGCAGCTCTGCTCCAGGCGTATATTCCTCGTGAACGGAATTCTTTGGGACCAGGTCGACGGATGGTGGTCTTGCTTCTCTCACGGGCAAACGATGCATCCCTCGCCTCCCGGATCAAATCTTTAATAGGCTGCAACGATCTTCCAAGCACGGTGATGGTCAGGGACTCATCACTGCTAACCATATTGAAGCCCATGCGTCCGCTCAAAACCTGTTCCTTTTCTCTGGAAAGCTTGAAAAAGTTTCCCTTATGGCGGAACCAGGAGAACTCATAGTGAGGCTCGAATCTCGGAGGAATTTTTGCTTCCCAGTTGCTGAAGTTCAAAAGCGTGTCTTGAGAGTCTTTTCCGGATACGTCAGTACGAACATCTTCTTCGGAATCCCAACTCATGTGGCGTTTGCTTTTGGCACGCATCGATCGACTGCTGGTGGCGATGGCTAGCTCGGATACCCAGGCTATGACTTGATCATAGATATCGTCGTGTGAAGGCACAGTGATGGAAGCGGTCATATACGTCATGAGCAGGGAGTAGGAATATTTGTAGCAATACACCCATGCCGTGGTGAGGGTGAATATCAACACACTCAGGGAAACACCAACGGAGACGTCAAAGCCAGTGATTTGAAAGATGAACCCCGAGATGACTGAGTAACCCGGCAAGAGGGCATCGAGGATGTTATTCGGCAGCTGGGTCAGGTTCACTGGAGCAGAGCTGTTCCCTGCTGCTCCTGCAGCCAGTGCATTTGGCAGGTTGAAAGCCATGGCGAAGAGGCCACAGACGCGTCTCTATCTCTCAGAATTGCACATAAAAGCCTGAACTAGGCACTCAACCAGCCGTTTCTAGTATTTGCTTTGTGAGAGAGACGCGTTCGGATAGCTGCTTCTGCTATCTCTGTACCACAGGCAGGGTGGTAGGGGGAGGTAAACAGACAGAAAAAAGAGTGTGATGTGATCAGGGGCCTGGCAGGCAGATAGAGACGGGTATTCGCTGTCTTTATATCAGCAGCTAGTGTCCACTATAACTAGCAGCCAGGTAGGTTGCCTTGCTGGGATTCAGTCCCTAAGTGCTGCAGGAAGGGATACAAGAGCAGAATTCAGAGCGGGAGGATGCAGATGCACCTTTTTTGTTGTGGGTTGATGATAGTCAGCTTAAGGAAGGTCACGGGCTTAGGAGAGGCCTTCACGGGACCAGCATAGGACAGATAGCAGCCACTGCAGGACAACCAAATAGCCAGACAGCCAGACAACAAAGATAAAAATGCCCTTTCTCTCTCTTGCTTTGTCTCCCCCTCCCACTTTTTCTCCCTTATCCTTCAAAATAACAGGGTGCAGATGGTATTATCCCAGTCCCAATATTGGATGATATAGCTTCTCAATTCCAGCACCGGATGCATTTGAATGATACAATACTGCTATCAAAAAGAGAACCAAATGACAGGGATAAAGGTATATCAAGCGAAAGAACCTCGGAAAAGGCCCCGGGAACCTCTAGCTTATCAACATGTATAACCGTTCAGGCTTCAATAAAGGGAAGGAAAAAACACACACACAATGCACTCCGGCAGTGAAGCACAGGGCGCAACTGTTGCGAAACCAGAGAGAAGTCGAAACGATGATAACAATCTCGGAAGACAACGCAAGATGTGCCACAAACCAAGCTCGATACAGGTTAAGAAAAAAAGACCAGCCTCATATAACGAACCCTTCTCGCCGAAAGGCTCTCGTTTGTCCTGGAGGAGAGAGAGAGAAGAGAGTGGCTAGGGAAATGAAGGGCTGGAAAAAAGAAATGGCCGGGCTTGCAGTCAGAGTTGATATCTTGCCAGGCGGGCTCTTCAGTGAAATAAAGGGACAAATTCGTGGCAAACGCAGGGCTGCACGCTTGAGGCGGCTTTACGAAGGGTAGCTTATAACTAACTACCTATCCACCTGCCTGAGTTCCGTCTTGTCTGACCATGGCTGGGGCTTCGGGAACAGGGAAGAAAAATAAAATAAAGAAGACAGGCGTGCTAATATATGTCTGCATTAGTTAATAGACAGCAAAACAAAACTTGGAGGCCGTTTATAGGACAAGTTTCCAGAGCAATGGTTATGGGGTGGAGGCATCTGTATCTGGCTGCGGCTCACTAGGGAGGACATGGCTCCATCGCCTAACTAGCTAGTGTTGGTCGACTAGTTAGCGGGCGCCAGGGGGCGCCAGGGTTAAAGCAACAGCCCAACTGGCAGCCATGCTCACAGGCGATCGAGGTCGGTCTGCGGCAGCAAATAATGAAAATCGAATCGATGGCGAGGGCAGGACCCTGCTGCTGGATCTCACACCGGCCCAAGCCGCGGATTCCAGCCAGAAAGGTTAGGTTTCGGCTTGACTGTTTTCCTCCCTCGCTTTTTTCTTTTCTCGTTGTCATATGATGGTCCTAGGGTGGTTTGACCGTAAGAGCCATTGGCCGGGCCCATGGACGGCTCTTCCTCATCCCTCTCCTTGCTTGCGGCGGGAGAGCTTAAGCTGTCTCTGCCGCATGACACGGGAGTGACGATGTGGGAGCGGAGGATTTACGAGCAAACTAAAACCACAAGCTGGGGTTTTGGTGCTTCATTCGTTTCAAGTGACTTGTTGGTCGTGACGGTTGAGTCAGTGGGTGGGTGCAGCGTCACCCAGCGTGATGGTGTTGCTGTTAGCCAGTGAACAAGTCAACCAGCCCAGGCTCCATAACTAGTTAGTTAGTTAGCTCTACGCCGTGTTCTGTTTGACCCGGCTGGAGGGTACCAGAGCAGAGCAGACGTTGCTCCAGCCATCGTTTTCGCACCGGACGGCTCGCCGTATATGTAGAATGATACGCATCATGCATCTGGGACTTAAAAAACGATGCACGAAACCAGCCAGGCCAGCTCCCGGCTTGGTGACCCTTTGAGCAGGAAGGAGATTGTGGCGCAATCCGACCCGACATCGACACCTGGTTCGTATTCACTCCATTCACCATTGCAGGCCATGCAAGGCTCGCAGAGTGTATGAGAAAGACACCCATCCTTAGGCAGGCAGCCAGTTTATCAGCTTCCTTGCATTGCTCGCCGAAGGTGGAGAGACTTTCTGGAGTTTGTTTTTTTTGGCCCCCAACACCTGGTTTTGAGAGCGTCCGTATCGGTACATATCTCGACGCCCATCGACAGGGTAATATAACATGCATCTAGATCTGGGGTTGTTCTCAGCACGGAGTAGACTGGACCAGCGGATCTCTCTGCTATCTGAGAAGGAAAACGGTTGCACGTTCACCACTCCCCAAGCCCAAAGTTTTGGGCAAAGCCCTTGCCTGCTGCACTGCGTATATGCCTTATTCCATGGCAGCTGGTTATTGGAGCGGATCCGAGGTGGAACCAGTGAGGCGTATCTTAGCTAGCTGCAGACGAGAAAACAGATGCCATCCATGAAGGATAGCCTGATCAAATATGCCTGAGATGAGCAGACCGACATTCCTCTTCGTCCTTCGTACTCCGTACGCCAACGCACTCTTTTGAGGCCAGGAGTGAATGTGGAATACCGTTTGTCCTGCGGCGCATCTGTCAGATTGATAGCTGTCAAGACGAAGAGGAGAACCCAAGAGGGGCGGGAAAAAAGACGCAGGAGAAGCATCACTTTACGTCATAGTTTCGAGAATCCCAGGAGAATATCAAGTCGGCTTAAGGTGAGTTGGAGATCCGTACTCTGGGCTCTTCTTGGGAGGCAGCTTGCCGCTTGTGGTGCGGCATGGATCGAGTAGATGGACATAACGTCTACATTGGCAGGTTGGTAGTTTGGCCGGCCTTTCGTTGCTTTGGAACATAAGAAACCCCAATTTCGCCGGTGCCTGGGCCGTACCTCACGGTTAACTCTATATCCCTATATATCATATCGATAAACACAGCTTGAATGTGAGAATAACCACATTTAGTACATATCCAGTCTCTTTGCTCTTCGGAACCAGGACGCCCTGAAAGATGCCAACATCACGCATGTTATCTCCGCCGTAGGACCAAAAGAGCGGCCGTCAGTGATTAGCAGCCTGCAGACATACGACGGTCTCCAGGGGCATCTCATCCTAGACCTACTTGACCAGGACAAGGAGAACATTCTCCAGCATTTCCCGCAGGCTGTTCGGTTTATAGAGGCGGCCATTGCTGATGGCGGCGCTGTCTTAGTTCACTGGTCAGATATCATATACCCGCTACTACCCCTGAATGTTACATGCATATATGCATTATTTCTGACCCTGAGTTATAGCGGTTTGGGTGTATCCCGGTCAGCTACGATTGTTCTTGCATACATGCTCTACCAGGGTCGTCCGAAGTTGGCCCCTACAGATGCCCTGCTAGTCCTTCAAGGCAGCCGAGCTGGGTGCCAGCCGAATGCTGGGTTTACTGAGCAGCTAGCACTGTACCATCAGATGGGATGCCCTGGAACTCTCCAAGATCTGGTTTTGTATCAACAGTTTCTCGGTAGGAGGATGTGAGCGGCTAGATGGAGCATCCGTTGGCCTGTGGAGGAGCTCTACAGGGCAATTGATATTATTACAAATACTGTGGTATCATAAGACTAGTTCATTATGGTAGAGCATTTTTTTATATCATGGCAACTACCTCATATTTGACAAGAGAAAAGGAGCAGACCCCGGCATCAGAACCCATTTGAAAGCATTGAATTTAAAAGTTTTGGTATTGTACTCAAAGAACAGGATCACACATCTATGCCTCGTTCAAGAGCGTATGGAAGCTTTCAGGAGCACGCTCAGGTGCCTTATCGGTCTCGATACCAGTCTGGCCCAACTTCTGTTTCGAGAAAGCAGCAGCGTATGGGTTGAGTCTGAGAAGAGCCTGTTTGTTCTTGAGAGGGTTCTTCTTCTGGACACATCCTCTCTTGGTCTTGGCCTCACCCTTGGGTTCTCTGAGAACGGACTGGATTTCAGAGGAGTTGATAAGGCGAGTGACGTCAGCATTAGAGACAATGTTGGAGGGGAGGAGGAAGTCTTTCTTGAGGGCGGAGGCGGTGGTGGTGGTGCCATAGATCTCGTCAAGGGCGCTGAAAGCAGCAGAGGACCAGACAATGAAACGTCCAAGGTGGCCACCTGGGGCGAGCTGGAGGAGGTTAAGGGAGAAAACGGAGGAGGTCTCAACACCGGGAATGTTGCGGAAAGCTCTAACGAGCTCCTTGCCATCGACTTCTGGGTTGTAGATGACGAGGGGTCCACGGCGCTGGCGGTACCGGCGGCCTCTCAGCTTACCCTTACCAGCGCGGACTTTGCGGGACTCCTTGACCTTGACGAGGTCAGGGCCAGCACCGATGGCCTGGAGAAGGGTGATGGCAGCCTTGGTCTTGGTAAGGGCATCACCCTCGAAGGCCTTGGAATCGACAACGAGTGGGACCTCGGGGACGTTCTCGACACGGTGGCCACGGGCGAAGAGGAGAGCTGGGACGGAAGAGGCAGCAAGGGCGGAGGCGGTAGCAAATCGTCTCTGGCCAACGTTGACCTTCTGGTGCCACTTGCGCCAGACCTTGGTGGGAGCAAACATTCGTCCAGATCGACACATGTTACCGAAAGCAGCCTGACCAGCACGGTGAGTACCACCACCAGAGACACGGGGGATACGGGCAACAGCACGACCTAAATCCCAGCATCATTCAATCAGCATCCAATTCTTCCTCGTTGGATTCCCTCATTCCCTTTCCCATAAACATCACGAGGAAAAATTTTATGTCACAACGTACCGGTACCCCAGGACTCGGCGGAAGTCTGTTCACCGGCCTTCTCGCTCACGGCATATGGCTGTCTCTTGTTCTTTGCGATACCAGTGTGTACGGACCTGGCCAATCAGTCAGTATATGTGTCCCATCTCTCAATATCTTCGGCATCAACGGGTGTGTATATATCGTACTGGACAATATCGGGACGGATAGGCGCAAGGAAGACAGTAGGGAGCGGGTGGGTAGAGCCGCTGGGCTTACCATCCGCCGAAGCGATGGAGACGGTTGGGCGAGAGGCCATTGTAGTCGACGTGATGCTGCTTGGTTAGTCGGACGTCTTCAAGAATTGTCGGCGTTTGAAGATGTTCAAACCTCGTCGCGAAAGTCGCTCTTTTTTCGCTTCGCTCGATGTGGGAAAGCACGAAAAAAGAGTTCAAGCCCTAAGCCCTAATTACTACAATGTTAAAAGTCTTGGCATTAACTGTGTTATGTAATTTGTCACGTGGGATGCTAATTTCCCGTTTCCCAAAGAGGAAAGTCGGACTTCATCCCAAAAATTATATGGTGTTCAAGATGAATCTTTGCATAGTCTGCTCCTTCTTATATATCTATATAAATCTGCAACCTTAGCTTCCTTCAGAGGGGTGTTTCTTCTGGCTACCAACCCCTTTGTGGTGTAGAATCCGGCCAAGTCGCGAAAGTAGCGATGTATGGATAGGTTTGTTGCTGGAACTATTACTCGATGTATAACGTATGTAAATCGATTTAATACGGCATAAACATTTATAGCTACTAACAGCAAGGAACTAGGTAATACCTTTATCAGTTAATGAGAGAAAACGTTCAATATTTACTCTGTACATGCGCCACTATAGCAATTAGAGCCAGAACAATAGGCACTCGTACTGCCACAATACCCAGATTTAGAACAACAGTTTCCAAACTGGGTGCCGGTGCAGGTTTTGTTTCCAGCAAACAGCGGTCCGCACTCGCCATTTGTTGATGGGCCACCATTATCTGTCTCACAGGCGCCGGAGTGGCAGTTCCCAGCGCCGCAGAAGTCAGAGGTACTGCCGCAGTACCCGTAGATGCTGCAACAGGTGCCAAACTGAGGGGTGCAGGTCGTGCCACCGTGGTCTGGTCCGCAGGTACCGTCCTTTGTCCCTGTGCCACCGCCCTCGACGCAGTATTTGGGGTCATTAACGCAGAAGCCATATGGAGAGCAGCAGTCGCCGAAGGTGCTTCCCACACAGGTCACTCCCGGCGGGCAGGCCCCATCCTTCGACACTGTCTGAGGCGTGACGCGGGCGACGCACACATCGTAATGGAGCCACAAGTTGAGGCACTTGGAGTCTAGGTAGGTGTTGTATGTCTGAAGTTGGCTGAAGGTTATACCCCAGCGCTGGGAGACGGTAGCGCAGTCGTCGCCGGCTTCGACGAAGTCATAATGGCCACAGTCCTTGATAGTTCCACTCTGGGTTGGGTGGGCTGGCGTGGCTGTTGTGTAGTATGTTGGCGTCCCCGTTCCCGCAGGCGCCGTGATGGTTGCGGTGGGTTTGGGATATGTGCCGCCCGGCGCGCTTTTTCGGCCATTGGGTTAGCACTACTAAATCTCATAACCCAGTATTGTTAATACTAGCTTCGCAAATCCGATGGACTTACCCTTTACATACACGCTGTCCCATCGCAACTCCCGAACAACTACCCTGGATGTTGGCGTTCCAACTGAGGAATTGGCCAACGGTGATTTTGTAAGTTGAATTGGAATATCTCTGTGCAAGCTCGTCGCTGTTATTCGGGATGACGGGATTCAGCATAAATCACAGACCTATGTACAACTGTGGGAGTTACGTACCAATTTGGCTCGTCCCAAACGATATCAAGCATGCATGGAAAGGGAAAGCAGGTGGTTTCGTTGAAATAGCAGTTTTCATTATTGGTGATAACCCGAGCATCACCAGTTGAGATACCGTACGTATCACTGAGATCGTTGCAGGTGAGCCATTGTTTCAGCGGCTGCACCATTTGACCCAGACAAGTTGGTGTTGCTGTTGGAGCTATAGTCGATGGACCCGTGGTGGTAGGAGCCGTTGCCGTTGCCCGCCCTACGTACAAAGTGGAGGCCGAAGTAGTGTAGGGCAGCTGTGTGGAGCAGTTCCCCTAGAGGTGGTCGAACTGATTGATTAAATAATGGGTGAAATCGCTACCCGGTAGCCATGGATCCAGGAGGCGCTGCCGATACAACTTCAAGAAACACTCATTGCAATACTAATGATATCAATTTAACCATGACGACAACTTGCTACGATGTAAGGGGCTTGCGTACCAGTTCCTTGTCGTATATCATGGTGAGGGCGGACATGTCGTCTGTGACGGCGCCTATATCGAAGTCGGGATCAGTGCATTGAGCAGGCACTGAACTCTGGTCGTCGCCGTCGCTGTAGCACATGGTTGGATCCCAGCGAATGTAGTCGCTCCCTTGCCATGTCTGTGACTCCACGAAACACCAGTTGGAGGCGCTGTCTTTCATGCATACAAGGTCTGCATTATAGGTGAAGGCCATTGGGAGCGCCCTCGCCTTGACAATGACGCCGCCCTGGATAGTTTTCTGCTCGGGGCAGACGGACTCGACGTTGCTTCTCCAGGAATTGAGGTAAGCAACACAACCCGGAGTTTCATCGATGCATATGGCTTCGATGAACAGACATCCAGTTCTCTGTGCCTTGCCTCATATAGTTACACCGTGGGCGGAAGCGTCTCAAATACCCAGGTTGTTGACCATGGCTTCCACGTTCTCGATGATGATCCGTACGTAACCTCCCATCTACCAACCTTTAAAGCAGTATCAGGTAGTAAATTGTCTAACTAATGAGGCGGGTGTTTTATTTGTAGCATGTATGGACTTACCTATGGCTGGTCCCGACAGTCGTGGCTCATTGATCCGCGTCCAACGGACGCTGCGTACCGGGCATACAACTACCAACCCGGTATATTCCAAAAAAGAGAGTTGAATCTGAGCGGCAACTACAGCAGCACCGGAAACGACACCGACCCTTCGCCTAACCAGGACACCACCGCGGCGGACAGGGTGTGTCACGCAAACATCAGGCCGCTGGGTAACTACAGCGATCAGCTTGTCGAATCATCTGATGTTGATTATAATAACTTCTTCTTCGTCGATATGGACGGCAACCCCATCGATAGTCGAAAGTGTAGCTTCATCTATGAGGATGACTCGAAGATGCACATTGTGCTCGACGGGCACGGTAAAGTGGTGCATGTTTATACGGGCGATGAGGATGATGACGTGTGGTCTACGCTCAACATTCCTGCCATGCAGACCGCGGGTCCAGTCACGCAGACTGCAGGTCTGATTACTATCTCAGTAACGACGGGACTGGCACATGTGGCCGGTCGCGCACCTCGCTCCATGTTGCCTGCGACGACGACGTGGTCGACGGTGAGCTCAGGAAGCATGGTGACTCCTGCACCCTAAAAGCAGTAATATTTCACTCCAAATTGTATATATCTAACCGTTAGCTTTTGATAAAAAGTTTAGCTAGGCCAGCGGGCAACTCGTATCACTTCCTCGAGACTGATCGCGCCCTTGGGATGGTAATATGAAATGTAACTGCTCTTACAAAGCACTCCGAATGATAGGGTCTCGTTAACAAGCCCTTTTCAATACGGTAGCTATTTCAATCATTTAGACTATTCTTATGGGTTATTTATAGAGTGTTAAAGGCGAATTACCATGAGAGGGGGATACAATAGTGCCTCCAAAGCTCTCCATCGGCCTCCCTGAATGTATCAAGCGTGCCTTCTACCCCTTCTGGCCCAACAGACCAGATTCCATCGTCTATGAGCTTGCGCCAACAATTGAACAGACATTCCAATCTCTGGGGACGGATGACGTCACCGCCAAAAGGTTTGAATCCATGCTGAAAGAGGCTCCCCATACTCTCTGCAAAAGACCCGTCGCTCGTCCGTACGCCTGGTTCGGTGCTTTCCCCATAACGCTTCTTGAAGCCGAAGGGAAGTAATAGCCGAAATCCTTCCTCCGCGTTGTCATAGTTATTCCGCTCAACAGACTCACCGTAGACACCAGCATTCACTCGAGGTGGAATGTTTGAATTATATAATGGACTAAAATCCTCAGTAAATGTGCACGTCCTGCCCGTTAAGTAGACCAGACGCTCCCCGTCGGCGGGGAAAAGGCAGATGGGCGGTATTGAGTAAGGTGAGGAGCGATGCAGGCTGGTGTATGGTTGTTGTAGCGCAAATCCCTCCTTGTCCATCGCAGGCAACACAAGTCCTGGGGCAATGCGGTGGAATAGAGGCCGGCGTGCACGAGTCAGAAAGGCACGCGCAAAGCCAGGGTCAGGCACTGAAGCAGCGTCTAGGACAGCCGGAGGTACCAATGGCGGCTCTGAATTATGGCATTTATTATTACAATCGTCATTATTAACCGCATTGCCAGCCGTGCGGCGTAAGATGCGCGCCTCGATGGTCTCACATAGACGGTCCCACGCAGCAATACAAATATCAACCTGGGCGTCACTGTAGGGCCGCCACTCCCAGCAGCCGAACTTTTCACTGCCAAATAAGCTAGGCTCGACAGGAAGTGAGGGCACAACCTTGCCAATAAGAATCAAGTTAATCCAGTTAGAAAGCACTGTCTCAAGTGGGTGCCAGAGCTCCTGATACGCTTCAATAGGAAACGCATAGTCATACTCATCCATATGCATAAAGAAAACGGTGTGATGGGAGCCTTGATGGTAAAACAAGCCGCCACCGGTTTCAATATACATTCCGCCTTCATAGAGGTTCACCACACTATCCGCTGGCATATCCTTCAGGTCGGCCAAGTGCTCATCGAAGAGATATTGCGGGTAACTGAATTCAGAAACCCAGAAGAACCAGCCCCCAGAGATTGGGTCATCGTGAAGAGGCACTATCGCTGCGTCCAGGAAAGCCGCCAACGACGGGTGAAGTCTAGGACGTAGAGCCTCTGCAGCAGCACCATGGGCAGCAAAGTAAGTAGAGCTATTTCGGCGCAGAGTATCTGGCGAGCGGCCCTCGGCCACCCAGGCATAGTGAACCAGATAGTTGTGTAGAGCAACACAGCGGGCAACATCCATCCCGTCTGCCGGGTCGCGGGCCGGGTTGGCTGGCGTGACCAGCTGGTCGCTGATGTCTGGGAGCTGAGAGAGATCCATAACTAGTTAGCGAGTTGCTATTCAAGGAGAGAAAAAGAAAGATGAAGAGGCTGAGAAGTTGGAGGTATTTATGCCCAGCGCTACTATCACCCCTGTATTCTGCCCCTCTTTATAAGTGATATAACCAACATAACGCTCTACATATGATAAATACCTATTATTCGGTTGGTCAGGTTAGATTCAAGCCTGTTCCTTGCGAATGTATGTATAAAGGTACGTAACTATTGGTTACTATTATTAGGCTACAAATAGGGTTGAGCCTCTCAAAAGGCTTGACATAACTAAACTTTAACTATTTATGTCATACAATTACGTGATTGGTTTTTCCGTCTTTTCCCGAAGAGGAAAGTCAGACTTCATCAATAAAATAGGGGGATACTGTTGCGATTATTTGACCTGGAGTCTGACCTGACCTGCGCTGCTAAATCAGCCTTAGTAGGCGTCAGAGTAAGGATATAATGTTTGACGGTGTCAATTTTTAAATACCTTTTTAATAGCCTATTAAGGCCTTTTCCGCGCTAACTATATACGGATATCCAGGATAGTAAAAAGGGCTAGTTTTCTAGGGTAATGGCTGTCCTAAGTTTGTTCTAGTAGCTACCCTATGCTACCTAGTATGGCCACGGAATAAAAGACTGCCCTACACGGTGGAGCCGCTTAAAAAGCCACTAATAGGGGTGTTATAAGGGTATCCTAGTTACTCTTACCCTTTTAGGAGATCTAGGTCAAAATTTTTATTCCAGGGCAGTCAAAAATACACAACAGTATCCCTCTAATACATGACATTGATTTTATGTTGATGGCGTGTCAGAAAGTGGCAGCAGCAGGTCTTTCAGGTCGAATACACAGATATGCGGCATTATGATTCCCTCCACCGAGCATTACGGCAGGGTGTTTTGTTTACGTCTATCAGAAAGCCAATTGCTCCATAAAAAGTGGTTACATATGATTTCATGCATATTCTGGAGGTTATTTCTAAATTTCGTAAATCGTGCACAATGGATGTGCTGGAGAAGGTAAAAATAACAAAAACACCACCGCCCGAATAAACCATTTTTCCCGTCATATGTAGAGAACCCGACCGTTGGGCGAAACTGAGAAAATGTGTACATTCAATTTGAAACAAACCCTCCAAAGCAAGCGTGTCAAACGATGCTAAGTGAAGTATCCCATTGTTCGCTCCTTGCCATGAAAAAGGAAACATCAAAGAAACAGGAAAATATTTGCAAGGGAAAGAAGTGAAACTGAGAGACAAGATGTCTTGCGAAGAGTGACAGTTGAGTTCAGCTTGTCAAGTGAATGGAAACTGAACATTGGATCCAGTCAAGACTTGCAGCCTGCTCCTTTAGACACGGCGAGGAAGGTAGTGTCCGCGGCGGCGGTGCATTGGGGCACGCTTGCCGGGGAGGGACTCGCAGGTTACTCCGGAGGGGAGGTTCATGGGGACAGTCCACTGGCCACTAGCACAGCGTTGGTACTGGGTGCCAGAGCAGCTCCACTTGCCCTCCTCAGTGCATGGTCCAGCGTGGGCAGTGCCGTTACCGGGTGTGGTTGGCATACCGGTACCGGTTGGGGCGGGTGCGGAGGGAGCAGTTGGGTTGGCAGTTGGAGCTGGAAGGAAGATGCCGCCGTTTCCAGGACCAGAGTCACCACTTGGAGCAGTACCAGTGGGTCCGGGAGCATAGGTAGGAGACTGAGTAGGAGCTTCAGTGGGGGATGGGGCAGTTGGGGGAGCATAGGTGGAAGATGGAGCTGGAGAGCCTCCACTACCACCGCCGTTGCCGCTGTCGCCGTTGCCGCCGCTTCCGCTGCCACCAGATCCGGCTTTGGGGGAGCTTCCTCCCATGTTGGCGCAGACAGAATCACCCTCCTTCTGGAGGCGGTTGGGCATACCAGCCTTCTCGACAGAGTCACCGCTAGTTGGGAACATAACATCGACACCCTCTGCAGTTTCACAGTATGGCTGGTTGCCTAACTCGACGTTGGCGATGAAGATGCTTGGCATGTCGGCGCGCTTGGAGAGGGGGGTAAAGCTGCGAGGGTCACGCTTGGGAGTAGGCTCCCAGCGCTTCTTGGAGCCTCCAGTGACTTTGACGGGGGCACAGTTCATGTACATCTCACGGTTTCCGATGCGGTTGAACCATGTCCAGGCAAGGGTGTACTCGCCAGGGGCAATGCTAGGTGGGATCTGGAACTCGAACTTGGATGCTCCATGTCCGTTGGGGTCCTCTGGAAGGTTGCCATCGACGTTGGCAGGGCATCCTCCAAGGATGGAGTGGATGACCTTGAACTCAGAGTTCTTGGTTGGCTTCTTGTCGGTGGTGAGACTGACCTGGCAGGATCCGCCTCCGTGAACAGCAGAACCCTTGAAGGTCAGGGGGATCTTCTCGCCAATGGCAAACACGTTCTTGCTGGAGTCGAACTCGCCGGGAAGATAGCTGCCACCGGTCTCCTTGGACGCGGTGAACTTGCAAGGGTAGTCAGCTCCGCTTCTGAGCAGGGGACCGTTGTCAAGGTTCTCAGGGTTGAATGGGATTGGGCTCTCCATGACCATATGGGCGTTGGCAAGGCCCATGAAGGTGGCAGCAGCAGCAACGAATGCTTTAGAGTAAACCATGGTTGCGGTGTTTGTTGATGTTATTGGTATTTGATCTTCTTGAAAAGAGCGGTATGGAAACGTTCGACACGATAAGTCTTTTTGAAGTTGAAGCTGTTAAAGAATGAAGGTGATCAAAGTTGACGATGAAGCCTTATATATCCTTCTTTCAATCACTTCGTGCCAGACGATGTCAATGTAAAGAAAGATAGCAGCTCTGACGGAACTTTGTCGACAGTTGCAGATTGCTAATTGATTGAATAGTCAGCGTCAGATCAGCGTAGATGTCACTCAACTTTGCTGGAAGTGAAGTGAAGCTCGCGTTGATAGAAGATGATGGATAAAGTAGAAAACGCCCAATGCGGAAATTTCCGACATCATCACCAACAGCAACACCAGCAACACACACGCGCGCGCATCAATAGTGGTAACAGCACCAACAATTGAACATGTCTCACCTCGAAGATATAATTCAGCTGGGAGAACCCGAACTATACAATTGACGCAAAGATGCAAATGTTTTTGGAAAAGGAAGGTGATGCTCTTCTGCAATGCCACAGGCAAGCAGGTAAGGAATGTGTATAGAAAGAAAGAAAGGGACTGGCCCAAAAGGAGAGAAGCTAATGAACAGTGGTAGATCGAGTCGAAACGTTCCAGCGTGATGAGAAAAAGAAGAGAAGAAAGCCGGAAAGACAGAGGAAGAGTGACGGTCTTTAATACTTTTCGCTGGCGCCGTCTGCCAATATGCAAGCCCAGCACGAATCCATCTAACTGCCGAAGTCTGCCTGTTCCACAAACCCCTGGTGCCTTGAGATGTTCAAGCTGACCTGTACGATGGATAATCCGACTGGCCTACCAGTCGCCAATGCAAGATGCACATCAGGACAGGCCACGGCATGCACACGAGAAACTTACATTTGAAACGCCCAAGAGGGGCATCTGAAGAAGGAGTTTTGACGCCCCAAATTCTTGTCCCATGGGGATACGCAGCGGGATTGGCCATCTCCTGTCCCCACGCAGCCACACGCTAGGCTTGCTCCGAAAAAGAAACACCAAGAGCCCCACGACTGGTTGAGGCGTCAAGCAAATGACGGTAAAACAAATGTCGCACAGCCACAGATGAGTGGCCCAGCAGTGTGGGATCATTAGTTACTATTCCTCCTCGGCTGAGTCGGTCGATTTCGTCTATTGGGATAGAGAAATCTGTCGTGATAAACAGAAAAGAAAGAAAAGTAATATCATTCGCGCCACATTCGAACGATGTAGCGACCCTCAAAGGCTCATCCGTCTTGTTCAGGGGCAGAAACGTTAAGTGAATGAAAAATGGAAAAGCTTGCATGGGACGGATGCCTGGTGGTGTTGGGCTTCGCTCTCTCATTCGCTTCTTCAGTGAGGAAAGCCATTTTCTTGCCGCTGCTATATTACGTGTAATGGAGTAACTATATGCCAGGGCGAACGGCTTAATCTTGCCAGAAATTCTTACCATTTTTCGCATGTGGAAGCATCATCCCAACACATGGATGATGTCTGGCCTCGCAGAGGGTCCATATTATCTGCAGCCCACACTGCAAAGCGAGCAACCGAAATTGATGATCTCAGGCGAATCCGGATGTTCCCTAACCGCCAGCAACGAATGACGGCTAGGATTCCCCGCTCCTGGCAGCTAGACATGGTTGTGTTCGTTGATAAAAAGTCCAATCCGCCACATGGATTGGTAGGAGATCCTAGTAGAGGCCCCTGCTAGCTCTTATCTTCGACTGGGCCTCTCATTCTTTCCCGATCTTTGCAGGCGCTCCACTCTCATGAAGAGCATTGCTTTTCTCATATGCCAGGGCGAATTTCTCATTGGTTTTTGTATTTCAGTGGCTTGTGAGAGATCCAAGCCTGTTCAGGGGTGTACAACCACTCAGATACATCTAGAATGAAAACCTGAAACACCTCCGCAGTTTGCGCTCGACCATCAAAGAGAGTAACCCTGCACAACGGCATTTATCCGCAAATATAGTTAGACAGAACTGTATTCACTCATCCATGATGGTGTGAGCCTTGAGAATCAGGGGTATTCTGCACTGCTTGTCATGCCTAACCGCCGACTTCGAAGCGATTCGAGACAGAACATTCACCTTCTGCATGGAATGCTCCAGAGGTAGTTAGCGAGCGCACATCACGGGTGATAGTTACGTGTGTGGGATGGCAAGATCTACATTTGTGTTTAACCGAATGGCGGTTGATCCGTGGCTCAGAGGCAAGTCTGACTACGGTCAAACCCACAGGTACGGCAACACCCACAAGAGTGGCCAACAACCGGTCCTTTGACCCGTGTTTCCCTCTCGATGGCTTTACTGATCTTGCAATCCTCTGACATATCATGCCCCATTCATCTTGGGCAACAATATGGCAACCAATTTCAAATTTCAGGTGAAATTTGGAGAATACGCACCGAAATGCCATTCAATATACGGAGTAAGCTGACCATGTTCTAAAATTGTGACCACCCCGGACCTGGTTCGGCGGTAAGAAGGTGATCATGCTGCTTTTTACAGGGCGAACCCCTGACCAAATCTATGACTATCTACGTGCATACACTTTTCACGATGGCATTTGAAATGTCTGCCTTATATTTTCATCAAGAGATGAGGTAGCCCGGATGTGAAGTTCCAAGGGACTTTGCAGAAACATACATAGGGCGCCAGTTAAAACACTGTGCCCCCCTCGCCTGAGTCATCGCAAGGCTCGCAAGTAAGATCCAAACGATGCGCTTCTTTATTTGGATACATCTCGCTTCCCCTACGGAGTGAGCACACCACAGTTGGATTTAAATGGTCAACAACATGGTACTAAGGGCTACAGGCAGGCAGGCAGGCAGGAGCAAGGTTCAAGGGCAAATAAAAGCATTTGAAACATATCAACTTGCGGAAGGCTCCGTGCTTCGTTTGTCGGCTCCAAAGGCTCACGTCTACTCCGTACGCAACCAGTCTTTATTCTGGGTCTAACAATATATGACATGTTCCATTTTAAAGCCAAATGGTGTCTAGGTTCCTGTCTTGGGCAGTGATGAAAGAAGCTTGTCCGTAACATGCTGAAATCTTCATTTCCATCAGCGTCTGATGGGAAACCATAGATTGAGGAAGGACCCTTAGGTGCCACTAGATCCAAAACATAGGACCCAGCTGCGTTGTGACTGGTGGCATGTCACGTTTCAAGTGAATATTCTAGGCCAGTTGGTGGGTCAAAAGGGTTGCCGTAGACGCTCGGGTCCCGTATCTTTTATGAAGAAGGGAATGGGCCATTTTGACGGTTAGTTCCCTCCTCAATGAAAAGAGAAGACACGTCTTACCCATTCGACTGCGGACACATTGTAACTAGCTAACGGCGCTGAATCTAATGCTGTTTATTTTTTCCCCTTCTTCTTCCCTTTCTCGGTCGGTTGACTTGTTTCGAACCCTCCTTTGACCAACGCATCTCTAGCAGCAGCGTTGATAATTCGAAAACGATCAGGTCCAAGTTTCACTCCGCCGTACCATCTTGTTACAACGACCACGACATCCCATACATCCATCAACTGCATGAGATGCAGCAGTCTCCCGCCAGCAGCCGTTTCGCCGTCATCATCAAAATCCTGAACAACAGTCTCACGGCCTGGCAGTGGTTGCGGGCCGCTTGAAGGCTGCTGGGCTTGTCGAATACGCCATGCAGTGATATTGTGGGTTGCAGATGCGACTTTCTTTTCTGTAGCGAGTAGATGGTTGAGGAATTTCTTCGCCTGCTCCTTGGATTCTACTGTCGCTGCTCGCGCAACGAACACAGATTTCTTCTCAGTGATAGGATCTGATATCACCCACGGCGGCGGGGCAGTCAACCCAAACGAGTGCGTATCCTTCTCGTCACGCGTAGAAGTAGATGGCCCGTCGTTTTCCGAAGTACTTCCATTCTCTTCGTTCTGTGTAGATTTAATTTCACGAAACTGCTCTTCCGCATCCATTATCAAATCGTAAAGACAGACTGATCCCTCCGCCCATACTTTTGCAACAGAGTCCGCCAATATATCCGCATATTTCTTCCCTTCACCTCTTGAGCCGCTCGATGCAGGCCCAAGAACACGCGGAGGAGTTGTTGGATACTCGGAATCAAATCCTATCAGAAACGAGACTGTCTCGTGGTTGGGTATCGTGAGTATTATCGTGTGCTTTATCGCCAATTCAGGGTGCGGAGATGAAGTCGTAAATGCTATCGTAGACGGATCGTATATAGCATTAACAGAATCGATTTCTTCGGCAAGGTCTTCATTCTCTACGATCCGCTCTTCGCTGTCCATGGAGTGAATATCTGCGAGCCCGCTACCCCCGCGGTTAAATTAGGGCGTTGAAGTGAGCAGGGGGATGTTGTGGGACGATGAATGGTTATCTAATTAGTAAAAGCAACTTCACGAAGAAAATCTGTGATTAAGGGCCTATAAATCCTCTTTGGATGGCGTTTACCGGCTAGGGTTGAAGTCGTGTTGTGTATGGCTGTCAATTTCGATATAAATTGGGTTGAAGTTTATGAATGGCGCAAACTAAAAACAACGTCATCACAGCTTTTAGCTAGACTAGTCAACAATTAGCTACTAGTTGCCTATCATTAGTGACCTATTGTAGGTAACTACCGGTCGGACATGGGATAATAGATGATATCGATTTTTTATAAAGATACATATGACTACTCCTGAAAGGCTCTACGAGATAATTATCATGATGAATAAGCGTAGCTTTAAATAATAGCAATCGGCCAAAGTCACAATTAGTATATCCGCAGTTGACTGATAGGTATATGAAATTGAGTCTCCTTTTACATTGCTATATAACATAACTTAGTTACCGTTAGATGAGTTAAAATATTATTTCGTAATTCATGTCATTAATCTAATTACATTACTCTATTCTAAAGGCTAAACTTAGCGATGTCTTCACTCACAGGCCACCAATGGTCATCCTCAGGATCGTCTTCCTCCCTTTTGCAGGGCATTTGGTCTTGGTTGAGAACGCATGTTGCGTATGAGGAGATGGAAGATGAGGATGGAAAGCTGTCGTCGTCCGAATCGTCACCAGTTAAGTCAATGAATACGCGCTTTTTTGGTGAACGAGATTTGTTTTTAATGTTGCGGTATCGTGCCCTAGACGGTGACGACGTAGCTAGCATGGTTCGGGAGCGCAGTGGAAGCTTGCGGGTTCGTCTGCGGGAGTCCATGTCGCCTTCATCACTGCTGATCTCAATTACTTCTTTCATATAACCTTGGGGCCTTTGAGAGGCTGTTGGCGTGACCGTCTGGTCGAGACGGCGAGCCTTGCGGGGGGGCTTGCCAGGCACGCTTTGCAGATTTCTAGCCCAAGCTAGGGAGATATTCCGGTAAACAGTTTCTTGCTTTTCTGGTGTGAGAAGTTGTCGTTGGTGGGTGGGTGGCCCATTCAACTGCAAGGCTTGAAGGTATGGTTCTAAAGGGGTATGTGGTATCTCGTCTGGAGATATACCCGGTGGTCGAGCCCAAGTAGCGTAAGGCCCTTTGTACAAAGGGCCTTTACCAAATCCAAATACCGGATGACGCGTGAGCCCTCCAGAAGCTACAAATTTCCTTGCCTCCAAAATGCCAGCTATAGACTCCTCATCGTTATCACTAACTTGAGCATTTACCTCAGCGGCATGGTAAGTTAGATCTGGGCCGTTTCTACGGCTAAAAGGTGCCGTAGAGAGGACATGGACTGATCCACCACTATCACCAATTAGCATGTTTGTATGATCAGGGGATAACTTCCCAGACATAACTCCATGACTGAAACTGGCAATATCCTCAAAAATCACGTCGTCCGTAGACCGCCTTGTATCCCATGACTTAACTACTCCATCTGAGCCTCCTGTATAAAAAGTAGAGCCACTCCAGGCGGCGAAACAAACACCCGTGTCATCCTCTTCTTGTGTCCTAGATGTATCTAGTTGAAGGATGGGCTTTCCGTGTCCAAGCTTATGCAAGATACTGGATGGATTGCGGCGATCCCAAACGTAGGTTATATTATCAGTGCAGCTACTCGTGATATAATTATCATCACTCGGGCAGAATGTAACTTCATTGATATCCAAGGCTGGGCACTGAAAGGAGCTAACTTCGTGCTTTGACCTCAGCGGATCGTAGAGCCGGACAATTGAACGGGCATTGGTCCAAGTTGAGCTGTGTGGGGTAGAGCATCCAGCAATAAACATCGGTTTTGTTGGGTGCCATTTTATATCAGATATATGCAAGGACATCTCCCACTCTGCAAAGATGTGCACGTTGGGAGCCTCAATCTGCCAAAGGACGATTGAGCCATATTTCGAGGAGGAATAATTTAGCCTAACCAGCTTGCGAGAGAGGCCCGCGGCTAAAAACTCACTGCAGGAAGAGCTGGTGCCCCAGGCCAATGATGAGGGTGAATAGCCTGGATATTTATGTAGCTCAGCACAAGTGTACGTGCCGTTTGACATAGCGGACCAGATTCGGACTGGGCTGCTATCTTGCAACCGGTACCTATAAGGTGAGGTTCAAACCAGAAACAGCCATAACCTCTAGTTTTTGGGGTGAGGCAGCGAATGAGTGCAGCTAACTGGTTGTGTGTCCCAAACTCTGATTGTTTGTCATAACTAGCGGTATATAAATGGTACTCGACCACTGACTGCACTGATCGTCATGTAAAGATCTGGTCAAGGTTAGATAGAGTCTGGGAGGTAGGTCGAGGTACTCTATGGTCAGGCAGTTCTCTTATTGAATCTGTAACCAGGTCCCCTAACAGCAAGTTGTTATTACGATTGTATTGCATGTTGTTATCTTCACAATGTGTGGTGGTCCCTGCCACAAATCGGGTCCCATCTGGAGCCCATGATACCACCATGACATCGTGAGAGGCGCCCTTCCAGGTTTTCCACAAGTCCCATTTCCGGGATCGCAGGGCGCGTAGGGTGGAATTTACAGGCCTTCGTCCTCTATGGTGTGTGAGACCTAGTTGACGGGACCGCAGTAGTGCAGACGGCAACTTGTCATCTGAGCTGGCTAATACTTGCGGTGTGGAGGGCGGATATGGATATACCACAAGTCTCGAAGGTATGCTGGAGAGAGTCTTTGACTGCCCATCTAAGAGGAACTGTAAGATGGAGCTGGCTTTTCTGCGTTGTAACCCCTTGACGATGTCACATTCCTGGAGTATAGAGTCGACGTTAGTACGGCCAATTTTCTCAGCCATAGTTTTATATCCCTCTGACTGATATGTATTAGAACCTTCAAGTACTTTTCCAATTTGCTTGAAAATTTTTCGAAGGTCGATAGATACCTCTGATTGAGGGAGATATAGACAATCCGCATCGAAAACAGGGGGTAGAAGAGCATCCAAATATTTCAACCGTCGGATTCTTTCGGTAAGCTGTTTAACATCAATGAATTGAATAGCTTTAGCGAGATGATCCTGAATGGGCGTCTCGTCCTCTGGCATAGGATCGCCACACAGAAGGGTGTAGATCGTCTGCATCTCGCTCTTAGAGAAGTCTACATGCGAAATGAAAATAATGCCACGATTTTTATTTCCTGTTGATAGTAGCCTTGAGCGGTAGATCCGCTCATCTGTTGGGATGTAGGGGAGTGGATCCAGCGAATCATCCCCGTTCAAGCACTGAGGAGAAAGTAATTCTTGCAAAATACATGATGTCCTTGATCGGTGTATCCACCGAGAAGTGACTGTGTCAGCTCGTTTTCTGGCCAAACTTGGGATCTGTGGCGGGAACTGCAGTTCAACAGATTCTTCAGGGACTTCAGGTTCGTGGTTATCTTCGAGATCGGCAAACCCGGGGGGTATGGCGTAGTAATTATGTGGCTGCTGTCTTTCACGGCGAGATCGCCGCCTTGGGGTTGTGTCCTGATTTCTTTTCGACATGTTTAACGAACCTGGTGGCCTCCCTCGTGGCCGTTTAGGAGGAATTATAGGATGTTGTGGATTTCCAGGAGACGCTGATGAGCGAGAGCGTAAAGAAACAGATGAAGGAAGAGTCCATGACGTATTATGGGAGCAGGGAGATTGGGAGGACTCAACATAGGAAGTTCCCGACTGTAGCGCATTGTTATCATCACACTGCGTTGCTTCGGGCAACAAAGCCCATGTTCTGCTAGTGCCATCTGGAATTGTGTAGCACCCATCACGAGCATTAATAGCTTCTTCAGGCCAGTTATGGGTGCAATCCAGCGAGCCATCATTCTCAATCATGCCGGGGAGTTGACTTTCCAAGTTACCATTCTTATCCAGGGCAATTTTCTCGGTAGTTGTACTGCTCGTTTTAGGAAATTCATTTGTAAGATGATTTTCAGAATTAATTTCAGGTATCGGTGGGGACGAGTTAGCCACTACAAAAGGAGACTTCTGCCTATCAGTGAGGTATTCAGCCTTTCTCTTTAATGGATTCGGCTCTCTTGACGTCAAAGATAATTCCTTCGGAGATAGAAATTGTTGAAGCAGTCGCTGTGCTTCCACATCAGGGTCATCATCGTACTCGTCATCATCGGATTCCGCAGCTAATAAATTTTGGAGGACCCGTGCGCTTCTCCTAGGCAATGATGTTTTCCCAAGCTCCATAGGCAAAGCTATTTAAGGTGCGCCTCTCCTTTTAGTCTATAGAACGAGTCAGTCATTTGCCGCTAAAGGAAAAGGCAGTACGGAAAAGCCACGCACCTTACAGTCCATATATGTATGTATGTATATATATCCTGATTTTAGATACTCCTGGTTTTTCACACCAAGCCGTACGTGAGTATAGCAAGCAGAATCTCATGGGACCAGGGGACAACGGGTGCGAAAGGCACGCTCTTGTCTAGCAAAGGCAGTATCTTGACTTAATAAAAATTTCCGAGTTCAGGCAAAAATAGGATATCAAACAACTGGAAAGTCTACCCCCAGCCGATATAAAAATGATTCCTTAGTTCGAGGCCCTGTAGGGAGATATCAAAAGGACGGCTAACAATAGGGTCAAACGAGGATATACTATGCGCCTGGGGAACTGTGTAGACAGATTCTACGCATTATAAAGCATAGCTCGGTGGAAAAATCCGCTATACAGACGATGCAACGCTTGTCAAGAGTACAAAAGTAGTGGATACTGATCCTTTCGTCATTTCGTCGTTTCGTCGTTTCGTGAAGTCGCGTTGGCGCAAAGAAAAGCGATGGCGAGACGTCGCGATCTCGTTTTATGATTATGTAATAAGTAACTGATCGCAGGTCGATGCGGCTCGTTTTCACGATTACTCCATTTAGTGGACCGAAGCATCACTCCATAGAAAATATCCCGTATATAAAAAGGTCAGTAACTAAAATAAGGAGAACGAGTTTCTAACGAGAGACAGAAAAGTGGTAGCACGTAAAAATAATGTAAAAAAAAAATCGAACCTGGCAGGACTCGAACCTGCAGCCTCCTGATCCGGACTCAGATACTCTACCATTGAGCCACAGGTCCAGCTTTAACTTTGACAGTACGAGGTGTATACTGATATAGGGTACCAGAATAAGCTGTCCGTTCCAAGGATGCTCCTTTACGGGGTACGTGAGGCCAACTTAAAGGAGAACGGAAGATATTCAAGGAAGGGTATTGAGGATTTCTTTAGCTACATTTTAGCTACATATGTGTATTTATACAATGGCGTTAGGTCTTATCTCTTGATGTTCTGCGCCTTCTCGCACGGCATCCACCGGCGAGGAATAGAAGAATACCTCCTGCCTGCTACTTGGGACTCTTTAATTACGGACAGTTCGTCGGCGGAGAGCAACCATGCTATCGTAGAGAACGTCCTTGAAGGCAAACAAGAAAGCAGCAGTGAGCACACTCTGGCTGACCTTGGGGCCAATTCCTATAAATAAATATGGAGTTAGTACTGTCAAATGCAATGTATGTCGTGACATAGGAATCCGATCGCACCTTTATACAGGCCAGCCCATCCTTCCTCCTTGATGATCTTCTTGAACTTGTCGTTCAAGCTCTCCTTTGGCCCCTCCTTGTTGGCAACATGCATCCGGCTCTTCACGGTGATGTATGGGTAGGTAATAGAAGTAGCCAGGAGCTTTCCAAGTGCGCCCAGATAGAATGCATCCGTGGCAGTCATCTTTCTCCGTCGCTCAACGATGTTCTTCAACTGTTCGAAGAAAGTATATTGCAGGATAGGGTTGATGACCAGGATAAGCGCTGGCAGGACGCCGGCGAAGAGCGCAGCAGGGCCCTCCTGGCGCAAGAGATCCTTCAGCGTCTCGATAGTCGTCTTCGCCTTTTTGTCACCGCCTTCAGTCGAGGATCGCTGAGCGGTCATACGGGTGTTCACTACCCAGATAGGGTTGGTGATCATCACCGTAGCGCTACCGGCCAGTGCACCCGCAATCATCGATTCTGCGGTCGTGAGCTTCTTTGATGCTCGGCCAGCTTTCGCGGCAGCTTTCTCGAATGCAGCGCGAGTCCATTCGTACCAGTAGTAGTAGACGAAGTTGGTAACGCTGATGCCGAAGACGGCGGACTCTAGGCCAGAGTAAAGTCCGCGGATACCTTCTCGCTTGATGATATGGCGGATAGCCTCGATTGTCGAAGAATCAGCACGCTTCGATTCAACTTGCGCCCGAGTAGAGAGTGTGATCAACGGATAGCTATGATCGCGAGGGCCTTTTGTTAGCGCATTTGTCTAGTAGTGAATGACAGTATTTAATCTTATAGGAAGAGAATCGGAGAAGCGCACGTCAAGATCATGGACAAGATTCCACCACCTGCTCCAGCCAAAGCATGGGCAATATTGTCTCCCTGCTGCGCGGCGATAGTAGGCGCAGGCTTAGGCTTCTGAGCTACAGTAGTAGCGGCTGCTTGAGACTGAGACATCTTGTATTTGGTATATATTATATATTATATACCGACTAATAAGTGAAGGCCGGCGTTCGACGACAAGGGCAGCAGGCGCAAACGAAGAGAAAAACAAATCGATCAACAGCAAAAGCGGCGAAGAAAATAGAAAAGAGCGAAATGGGAGCCGCCGTTATATATAACTAAAAGGCCAAATCAATCAAAGGGCGATCGAAACCCGGCAGAGAACCGAAGCTGCTGTGTCTCTTGCTCTCTCCTTGTGATTTTCCTCATCCCTGAGAACGAAGAAACTCCGGAAGTTCATATGACGTTTAGCCGCGGTCGATTTGCCTCGGCTCTTCCCCGATACGGACACGCTCTCTCTCTCTCTCTCTCGCGTATGCTCTCTTATGTATACACTTCATGGATTTTCCTGCTGAAATGAATTAAATAAGATATGGAGACAATAAGTACATAGATATTTCGCTATGAATGAATGAATGAGAAAAAACCAACACCTGCCAGTCATGGTGATTAAGATGACGTTGCGTGCCTCCCAATGCCCCGTAGCGCCTGAACATTGCTATCATTAAGAAAAGAAAGGTCGTTAAACAGGAGACTTAGCCTCCCAAGGCTTTATCCTCTGCTCCCAATACTCTGCGATGTTTTCCTTCGATTCCGTCCGTATGCAGACCTCCGTTACTTTTGTGATTTCGTCTGCGTTCTGTTCAGGGACCGGAACGATGGCCTCCTGACTGCTCGCTGTCTCACTCTGTTGTTTTTGCTTATACTTTTCCTTTTTACGACCACTGTTGTTGTATTTAGACATCGGGTAGCTATCATCCCCGGTCATGGTTGACATGCTGTATCCTTCACTAAAGACCTTCGTGCTAGGGCCGGAGCTGACGGTGACTGTCGCGAGTGATTTTGGCTTTGGGTGATATGATGACGATTGAGTGTATTTCGGGTATGAGAACCACCTGAATCCCCTTGAAGATGCCAGGCGTGTGATGTGTTTGCATAGAGGCCCAAGAGCGGGTATCGAGGCAGTAATAATGACGAGGTAGTGCTTCAAGGAACCCCACATAGCCAAGTCGGCCATCTTCCAGGAGTAGTCTGAGCCTTTACCCATGCGATGGATGTAGTAAGCCTTCATAACAGGCGCTACAAAGGCACTTTTAGATGTAGACGTTAGTTGGACGGTTTAAATATGCAAGGAGTAAGAAACATACATTAAACTCAACGACATTATCACCGAAAGGGTAATTTTGGTGCGGAGAGGCATCCGCAGGCGTGATATCACAATTACAGGATATCCTGCAAGGATAAGGTCAGATAAACAACAGCATGCTAGATAATAATATTTAGTTAGTATCAAGCCAACCTCAGGAGGAGAAGGTCAGTCTAACCGCTTTGAAAATAAGCAGAGGTCTTCACGACGCTCTTTGCCCAGCATCTCCCTCGAATACTTGGGTTCCAGGCCGCCTCCATAGGCCTGCACTGACCTAAGATAATGAAAACGTCCGTGGTGTTGACAAGAGTGAGAAGGACTATCCCAATGTAGAAGTAAACGGCGTGACGCTTTGCTCTGTCCACGACACGTATGAGCAATAGCATTGCAGACACCTTTCCCCAATTCACAGCCAAGTCATGTATAGGCCCTGAAACCCAGAAATACCTGGTTAGTAGTATAACCTGGCTTTCTGTAAGGTTGGCCTGATGAATCCCAAGGCCATAATCAACAGAGACGTTGACGAGAGCTGAATGCACGCATCCAAATGCCTGCCAGGAAATAGTCAGAACTTGCCCCCGTTTAACACCAGGGAAGAAAAGGAAGACAGTATCGTACCAGCGCCAGGATCATGAAGGCATCATCCCACCCGAAAAGTTTTGTAAGGGAAGTGCGCAACCATACGCGTACTCCAAGCACCAGAGCCGCTATAACAAAAAAAAGCCAAGCAACACAAATGACCATAGGACCTTTATCGTCGCTGGATGACTCCTGGTTGATATCCCAACTTGACGCCATGTTTCCAAGTGGCGATTCTCGTTGCTTAGATGTCGAGTCGTTCAGTTGCTTCGTTGAGATGCCTCATTCGGCGGATCTCGACTGGAAAGCCTTTGTTATGAGCCCATCGGTTGCAGCCAACGGAGTAGTTGGGTAATGTGGGAGAGTATATAGCAATAGGCGCTGGTGACAGTTAGCCGCTCCAAGGCAAAGAACTCTCATGGCGTATTTTACTTCCAGCCCCTTCTCTCGGCTAGGTGGGCAGCTTGGGTCATATATGTCAAATGAACGCCTTCAATCAAGCCTTACGATGACACGGGAAAAGCAACCTGAAATCAACGACACCATCACCACCATGCAGACCTTGACATGGATGCATAAGGTTGAGATCATGGAAGCTTGCGAACGCCTTCATTTTTCGTGATGTCTGACAGCTATTGGATGCCAGCATCGTCCATTCCCAACAGGTACCTTGACTTGCCACACCTTCGGGCCAGTTAAGATTGGCCGTGGCTGCCAACTATGCATATTTATGCTCCGCCCGGCCGTCCCCGGCGTGAACTCGAGCCGCGTTTTAGACCGAAGCTTTGAAACCGGGATGGACAAGGGACGTATAATGGGACGAGCTGGGGAAAGACGCTGTGGCGTTGATTTATGGGTATTCTCTGTCAGGGAATGGTAAGCCAGAGTGTTGACCTGTACACACTTGGCGTTACACTATCTTGGGCTTTGCATATTCTCAAAACGTAGATCCTAGTCTGAACCATGCTGAACAGAGTATCAAATCGATCTCTGAATTAACTATCTCGTGCTCGTCGCGCTTCCTAAGCCCTGGATTTCGGGAGGTCTTATCCATGCATATATGCCGAGGGACATATACGCTGTCGTACATACGGCGTAACATAATATAACTCCCCAGTCTTCGAGAAGATTTATCGAAAAAAGTGGAGGAATTTCAGCTCGCCAAAGATTCAATTCTTAGAAAAAGAAGTGTGCCAATCACTCGTGTTCATTCCTCAAATGATGAAGAGTGATATCAGAAATGAATCCAACATGTCCCAACCAGCAACTGGATGTCGAACCCAGGCGAACTCCTAAAGCAACGAAAACTACTCCGTACTTCATACCTGGTCTGTCAACTAGGTCCCTTCAAGATTTTTTGCCGCTATGGCTCTGTGCCGACGCTCAAAGCTCCCAAAAAAAGCCAAAAATGGGAGGAAGCCATGCGAGGCCCAAACGCTCACTAGCCAGAGGTATTTGTACATCTGGAGATCACCACCGCTGCTCGTATGAAGGATTAGGGTGAGGGTTTGAGGGCTTGCTCCCTTAACCATCCCGTTTCGGAGTGAGAATAGGGCTTGCCGAACGGTTGGAATTGCTGCTCACGGCCTGGCTAGCGATACCATCTAACTCTTATTGCTCTTTAGGTCTGAGAAAGATAACCTCTGCGGATATCGAGGGACCCGACCACCTAGTTTATCAGCACTGAGGTTCAGGGTTATCTTCATTCCGGACCAAGTCAGGGCATTGATCGAAACCTTCAAGCCGGAGCTCTAGGCCGGTTGCTTACAAGCGCCGTATGGCTTTTTTCTTTTCTCCTGTTCCTACTGCTAAAATATGATCAGTTCGTTCACAGCGTCGAGGCGTGGCCTGAGAAACGCCCATATCCACAAAAGGATTTTTTATTTGCCTGCGGAACATATCGAGCGCTCAGCCAGTAATCCGTAAGCCATATTGTCTGTTTAGATCTGTTTTGCATCGCCACTCTACCTCTTTCGAACAGTGTCAAAATATCAGGTGTGGTTGGGATGAGGTTGACATGGTGAAGCCGCAAACATAAACAAAAGAAAACTGCCTCGGCACGGAAAAAAAACACTGACACGTGACTCATCCCTATTTAGGGTGATTATTAAGCAAGTATGTGATCTAAAGAAAAGGGGCAAAATAAAGAATTATAGAACTGGAGATCGAAGGAAGACACGAGACAAAGGAAAGAGTTCTGCATCTACTAGTTGCTCCATACAGGCGGCTACACTACGGAAGACATGCATGTAGGAGAAGCAGGAGCAGGGAACAAGTGGAAACATAATTCTAAGGATAACCTGGACGTTTACGGAGTACAGAATATGTGTAGGTAGGTAAGAGACGGGGTTCAGACAAGGAAACATGTATAAAGGGGGTAAAAAGAAATGATGATAAGAGATGCTTCATTCCATATCGGCTATGGGCGGTAGGGCATGATTAGTTATCTGAAGCAAGCAAGAGACAACGGCAGATGGGTTTATAATAAAGGAAACAAGGGGGTGATAATGGAATAAACACACACATACACACATACACAAAGCCAGAAGTACGGGGAGCGCGGCATTAGGTTTCTTTTTCTGTCATAAGGCGGGTAGATGCCTGGCATTCCCGCAGTGGTGAATGAGCCGTGGGACTGGACGGTTCGGGAATGGGGCTGTGCTATGGGAGGGGTGAAGAGTCAAATTCGTCATGGTATGGTACGCATGGGGGCACACCGGTAGGTAGGAAGGAAGCTGGATAGGTTATGTATGTAAGACAGATCCGGACTGGATTGCAGAAAAGAAGGGAAAAAAGGAAGGTAGATAGAAAAAAGAGGAAGAGATAGTGAAAGAAAAACCAAGTGTAAACAACCCATTTAAAACGACATTAAATTAAACCCCACCCCACCCAATTCCGGTTGAAAAACTGCGTTCATGATGCCAAATCTCACGCCAAAGGAGAAAAATTAGGGCACGTTGTAGCGTGGGAAGGGAGGCAAGGCATAGCATAACCACAGCATCGGTCGAGGTGCAGGGAGTAAAAAATGGAAGGTGACTTAGCAGCATGAGCTGCCGGAATTCGACTGGACTCCTTGGCCCTGGCCAACCTGGACGGTAGGCTTGTTGTTGACAGTTGCGGTACCCATCCGTTCTTTGATCTGTCTGGCCATGGTCAAGAAGGCTTGTTCGACGTTCGAGGCGTTCTTGGCGGAGGTCTCCAGGAATGGAATACCAAGACTATCAGCGAACTCCTGCCGTGAGATGCATTAGCATGAGGTTTAATATTTAACGGAGATGTGGGAAAGGGTGGTGATATGAACCTTTGCAACGGTGTATTCAACGACCTTCTTGTCTTCCATATCGCTCTTGTTGCCCACGAGAAGCTTGTTGACGCCCTGTGTGGCGTAACGGTCGATTTCTTGCAGCCACTGCTTGACGTTGTTGAACGAGTCCATATCCGTCACGTCGTAAACCACGCAGATTCCATGGGCGCCTCGGTAGTAAGAGGATGTGATGGTTCGGAATCGTTCTTGGCCAGCGGTATCCCACTGTTAAACAATATAGAGTTAGTGACAGAACTCAGTTGGCATTAGTCGGTGAAAGGCAGCAGGCAGCAGGAAACTTACGATCTGAAGTTTGACGGTCTTTCCATCGAGCTCGATTGTTCGAATTTTCTATTCCTTGTTAGAACGCTCCTCTATGCTCATATCATGTAAAGCTCCCACGTACGAAGTCAACGCCGATGGTAGAGATGTAGCTCTCTGTATAAGTATCATCTGCGAATCTGAGAAGCAAACAAGACTTTCCGACACCGGAGTCACCGATGAGGAGAAGCTTGAACAAGTAATCGTATCTAACCACGATCAACCCAAGTCAGTATCTAATAAACCGTTCATATGCATGATGACGACTGCAGCCTGGATGGGGGTATTTTTTTCCCCGAAGGGTACGTAGGAGTCGTCAGCCGTTGGGGGGAAGATCTATAGTAGCCACGGAGCGGTTAGTTCAGCTGTTTCAACTATATTTCCATCGGATAGGGCATGGTCCGGGGCCCTGTGGGAGGACAGGGAGTCGCTGGTTGGGAGGAAGGCACTTACTACTCAGGAGTCATTATGAAGGCGACAAGGTGGTGATGGGATAGTGAGAGGGGGGAGAGAGGCAAAAGGCGACGTCAGATAGCTGGCTGCTGGTCGGCTGGAGGGCGACAGGGTCGAGACGGGCGGCGGTATCAGGCTGGCGGGTTGAAGGTGCTGTGGTCAAGCAGAATGCTGGAGATGCAAGTTTGCTGCTGGTCGATGATGCTGCCGTTGCTCTGCTATGCTTTGCTGGCTTTGAGAGGCGGAAGGAAGAAGAGAAAGAGCGAGAGAGGTGAAGGTTGAAACAACGTGATACGCTGCGATCCATGGCCGCGCTAGGCTGTTTTGGGCACAATAAGGCGGAAGTATAAGCGGGTAGCCTCACCGGTATTTTTACGCTACGAGGTACACGCATGTACTTTACGGCGCAGCTGGAGCTACACTTGACAGCATACGCCAGCGGTAGACACGCGTTAACATGTATATTATGACGTTAAGATACATAGAGATTTTGGTTTTGGAGCTGCTCATGTGCTCGGTGCCAGCTGAGTGACATGTAGGGAGCGAAAGAAAATGCATAGGGAGTTATGCGGATTTATAAGGCAAGCTGGACCATGTGATGTGAATGGCTGCTCGCTTATACGTAGCCACGCTGGGTGAGCCACTCGAGGATAGCCTTCTCCTCTCTCTCGCGGTAGCTGGCGTTGGACCTGATGGTGTCCGCTGCGATGACAAGGGCACGGTCGTAGCCGTCCTGGTCTTTGTCGGCGAAGAACTTGGTGATGTCCTTCTCAACGTCGTTATCAGCGTACTTAATCAAGCTGAGGCGCAAGAAGCGCTGAAGCAGGACCTTATTGGCACCCAGCTTCTCCTCAACACGTCCCCAGTTGGCCTTGATGAAGTCCCACAGGAGGTAGCGGCCCTTGGGGTTGGCGGCCAAGCCCGACCCACCAGTGTGGACGTCCTGTCCGGAGACCTTGGGCGAGAAAAGGAACTCCAGGAACTCCTTGATGAGCTCGGGGTCGGTGGCACGGGAGAGCGCACCGAGGCAGATCTCCTTTCCATCAATGCTGGTGTTGGTCTCGTACTCCTTAACGAGGAGGTCGTACTCAGGGCGACCGCCCTCTCCCATGTTGATGGAGAAGATGGCAGATCGGAGGTTGGTGTGAATGGCAGTCTTGTCACCATCGGACCAGGCTTTGAAGCGGCGCTTGGCCTCAGTAACAGTGCTGTCGTATACATGTTAGAATTACGGTTGGATAGATAGGTGAGATGGGTGGCTTACCCTTCGTGGCCAGAGCGTCCGGCAGCAGCAATGAGGATCTGTCGGAGCTGCTTGGTCAAGAAGTCATCACTGTCCTTGAATTCCCAGCCGATCTTCTCAGTGGCGGGAGTGACGAGTTTGCAAACATAAGCCTTCAAACCCTTAGAGATAGCCTCATGGGTTCCAAAGATAGATCGCAAGTTACCGAGGGAGGTCATGATTTGAGCCCAGACACTGGGAGAAGTTAGTAAGAGCACTCATTAAAGAATGAAGGGTAACATACAGGCAGTCAGCCTCATCCTGGAACTTCTCAACAAGAGCGAGCAGGGATACGGTGCTTCCCTCGCCAGAGACAGCCAAAGAGGCAGCATCGCCAATCAAGCCGATTCTGTCCTCGGAGCTGAGGAGGTTTCTGCTGTCACCGAACTTGACGAGTCGGTCTTGTGGGTAGTTAGTGTGGTAGAAGCCACACTGGTCTTTGTTAACCTTGTAGAACTCGCTGCAGTTGATTTCAGTAACCGAGTCTGACTTCTTGGTCAAGTTCCGGATGTTAGCATTCTCTGCCTTAGGGCCGGATTTGATGCCAAGTGGGATCCACCACATAGTCTCGTCCTCCTCTGGCTTGACATCGCCAGATGCAAGGAATCGTCTTTGATCAACGTTGATCTGGTTAGTCTGTTCAGTAACGTTGACGACGGGGAAACCGATCTTGCGGATCCATGGGTCCTAAAGCCATTCAGTATACATTGTTCAACGATTAGTGGAAAATGCAGAACGAACCATAAAAGAAGTGACGTCCTTTCCAGACACTTCACTAAGAGCAGACCAGAGGTCGTTGGTGGTAGCATTTCCTTGAAATGTTGTCAGCATTATCCTAGTAGTGACTGTAAGGCTAAAGTTTGTTACCATATTTATGGGCCTTGAGGTACTTGGCAACACCCTTGAGGAAAACTTCCTGGCCAAGATGGCTGCTCAACATGCGAATGACGGAGCTTCCCTTCAGGTAGCTGATGTGGTCGAAGATCTGATCGACTTCGAGGGCGTTTCGTACTGGGACTTCAATGGCGTGGGATGCGCGGAGGGAGTCGAGTTTCATGGCTTGTTGCACACTCTCAGTCTGTAAAACTGTCAATATTGGAGCTATCTAAGTTCAAGGTACCTCTGCGGTGACGTACGACAAACTGTGACCAGACGTTCCATTCTAATGACTGTTAGCTTTGGTTATGCCGCCTAATACTATTTTTTAGGGGAAACTCACCTGGGTGGAAGTGATCCACGGCAAGCCATCCGACCCAGGTAGCGAAACCTTCGTTGAGCCAGAGCTCGTTCCACCAGTCCATGGTGACAAGGTTACCGAACCATTGATGAGCCAATTCTATGCTCGATTAGTAAGGTGCGGATTGTGGGGGTATGGGGTGGTTAATATGTGGGTATAAAGCATACCGTGGGCAACAACGTAGGCAACACGGTTTCTGTACTTCTCATCAGACTTTCCTTCCTCGAAAAGGACAGCAGTGGTTCTGTAGGTGACAAGACCCCAATTCTCCATGGCTCCCATCGCCTAGTAACTGAGTTAGTATACTAGCCAGGAGTAGTATATAAGATGGAGGGCCGGGCTTACAAATTCATGGACGGCGAGCAAGTCAGACTTGGGGAGAGGGTAGTCGATCTCAAAGACCTCAGAGAAGTAGTCCAAGGTTTGGGAGGCACACTCGAGGGCAAACTGGGCTTGCTCCTTGAGGCCTCTGGTAGTATAAACACGGACTGGGATGCTGGCGCCATTGTACTTGCGCTTGGTCATGGTCTCGACATACTCGAAGTCACCCACAGCCCAGGCAAGGAGCTGTAACACGGCATCATTAGTAAATTGGCCCTTTTCTGTGGAGACAGGCAATCCTTACATAGGTGCTCATGATAGGAGTCCTCTCGAAAGAGACAAACTCAAGGTCAGGCTTGCTACCCTCACGCTTGCTCTTAACGGGCATGTTGCTGAGAGCTGTTAAACCTTTAGTAATTTCGATCTCAAAGTCGAAAGTAGCCTTGAGATTGGGCTCATCGAAGCAAGGGAATGCCTGTCTGGCATCACAGGACTCGAATTGGGTGCTGAGCATGTAGTGCTTGTCTCCAACTTTAGGCGTGGCAGGTCCTGGAGTAGCTGCCGATTGGTATCCAGCACGGCAGAAACCAGCCATGAAGTTGTTGATGGTTCCGGTGAAGGAGATGGTCAGCAGCATATCTGCTGGCTGTATCTCTTGGTCAAACTTGAAGATGGCACGCTCAGACTTGCGGTCATATGAGATGTCGGTGGCCTTGCTGCCGGCACTTCCTATGGGGCAAGTCAGCACACCATGTCCAAAAACGCACCCACAACATACGAAACTAAGCAGATATACCATCTTTGGCAGAGATTTCAGCTGACTGGACGTCAATTGCCTTAACATTGACCACAATCTCCTTAGTAGGACGCGTGATCTTGGTGTCTATCTTGACAGTTCCCTTGTATCCCCAGTTGCCGCCAATAGTGAGATCGTACAACGAGACATGGTAGTGAGATGGCTTAGCCCTGTATCTATATCAGCAACGCTCTGTTTATTTCCATATCTCCTGGCTTAATGTGGTCCTACTCACACGTCTGGCAGCGTCTCCCTGTCGCTCGGATTCATCGTGCGGAATTCAGCAGAGCAGGATCTTTTCTGGAGTGGAATAGCTAACCCGGCAGACTTACGAGCAGCAGCCGGCCTGACAGTAGATAACGACGATAGAGAACGAGCAGAAGAAGAGGAAGAAGGGGAAGAGGAAGAAGTTGAAAAGGAAGATGAAGTAGAAGAAGAAGAAAAATAAGAAGACGAAGAGGTCAAGAGGGGCCGAGGGGTCCGGGAAGAGGCAGAAGAGAGGGGCAGCGCGCCGGAAGAATAACTCGCAGGGCGGACGGCATGACGTCGCACTCCATGTTTAGCCGCAGCGACGCTTCTTCCCGCGCGCCCGCCACAGCGCAGCGCCAGAGCGACCACCATTACCACCAGGACGCCTACAGAGCTGACGGCGGGACAGACACGCGACCTATAGCAGGCCGACAGGCAGCGAGACGTAGATGGGATATATAGGCCTGCAGGGGAGTTTGGTGGACAAGCTTCGGTGAGCTAGCCGGCTATCTTGGCCCCGTTGGCCGTTGAGTATTCAATATTCCCTGTAATTAGAAGCTATGCTAACAATTGATATAGTAAAACAAGAATAAGAAGAACGAAGAAGGAAAAGAACGACTGGCTTGGCTACGTGCTGGACGTGGTAAAAAGTCTGCAAGCTCCGTCGCTATCAAACGCGACGATACGAAGGTTCCAAATACAAAAAATCTCAACTAGTGAGAGAACCCTGCAGCCGCGACTCCTGCAGCCAAGGCGCCAGAAGGAGATCGACTTCACGCGAGAAGACTTGATCTCTAGCGCGGCAGCGTCTCGAAACAAGCACCCCAGAGAAGCTTCTCAAATGGCACACTCGGACGAAGAGTACAGTGACGCAGTGTCGGCGGACGAGCTGGACGAGAACCTCGAGGAGGAAGACGAAGACGAAGATGACATCGTTGACCCTCGAACGGCCGGCAGCCGGCGAAGGGATCGAGACCGAGGCGGAAAGGGCAGGAAGAAGAAGAAAAAGAAGCAGCACGGAGGCGCGGAGTGGGAAGTAGCTAGGACATGGGAGACACTGGTAGAAGGTGCCGATGGGACCATCACTGCCACCGTAGACAGCCTTCTCGAAGCTGACAAGAGGAAGAGGTGTGTTTTTCTTGTTTACTCTGGGAAGACATAGGCCATAGGCTGGTTGAGTGAAGCACAGGAAGTTGATAATTTGCAGGTTGCTCAAAGACACAACGCCCTTACAGCGAGGTATCATACGACACATGATACTCGTCCTCGATCTCTCCTTCGCGATGGCGGAGAAGGACCTGCGACCGACCAGATACCTCCTCACCCTCAGATATGCGCAAAAGTTTGTGCAAGAGTTCTTCGAGCAGAACCCCATCTCGCAGCTGGGAATAATGGGCATGAAGGATGGTATAGCCGTGCAGATCAGTGAGATGAGCGGGAACCCAACCGAACATATGCTGGCTCTTCATGCCTTACGGTCAGAGGACCCAAAGGGCCTACCGAGTTTGCAGAACGCGCTCGAGATGGCCCGTGGATCCCTATAGTGCGTTCTTAATTTTCACCATTGATACATACGCAAGCTAACATTCAGCCAAGTCACACCCCATCACACGGTACTCGAGAAGTTATCATCATTCTTGGGGCCCTCCTCTCATCAGATCCAGGTGATATTCACCAAACTATCACCTCCTTGGTAGCAGACAAGGTACGGGTAGGCATAATTGGTCTGGCTGCCGATGTCGCCGTATGCCGTGAAATATGCGCCAAAACAAACGATGGCAACGACTCCAGCTACGGCGTGGCCATAGATGAAAAACATCTATGGGACCTCCTACTGGACGTCACCACTCCACCAATAACATACTCACAACGCTACTCCTCTAGCTCCTTGCTAATGATGGGTTTCCCTTCACGCACCGTAGAGCCCTTCCCTTCGCTCTGTGCATGCCACTCGAAACCGGTTCGAGGTGGCTATATGTGTTCGCGGTGCGGAAGTAAAGTCTGCTCTTTACCCGCCGAATGCCCAACATGCAACCTCACACTCATCCTCTCCACCCATTTGGCGCGATCATACCACCATCTTTTTCCATTGATAAATTGGGTTGAGGTTCCGTGGAAAAGGGCCTCGAGAAGTATCAGCTGTTTTGCCTGTGGCAATCTGTTCCCTGCTGTGCCCCCACGAGATAAATGGGATAAAAGAGATAAATCTATCAAGGGTATGTCTGTCAGCAGCAGGTATGAATGTACTGTGTGCCATCACCACTTCTGCATCGACTGCGACGTCTTTGCTCATGAGGTTGTGCATAACTGTCCCGGATGTCAGAGCGGCAAACCCCCGGCTGTTGGCTCTAGCCACAATCCAGCAGCAAATTCCCAGCCTCATACGAATGGCCACTCTCAACCTACCAATAACGGAGATGCCATGGACACTGGTTAATAGTTTTTATGTGCTTTCCACCGCCGATTCCTTCTACGATGCAACGACCTGCTTTACCCATGTATTATACCTGCCGTCATTTTTGGAACAAGCACCTTGCTCCACAAAAGCAACTTCACCCCATAAAGGAAAATTTTGGCGTTTTTAGTCTAGTTGGCTCATTGCAGTCTGACAGCATGTCAATATCAAGTTCTAGTTTAGTCAACACTTATCTCAAATCTAATGGCAGATGCCATCTTTATGCAGAACCAACTTGACCTTTGTATCTCGTATACCTCAAAAATTGCATGCGACGAGATATGCAAGTAATGGTCACCAACTCCTTTACTATAATCATTAGCTTTTCGCTCCTGCCCAGGATGACAGTTTCCAAAAAAAGAAGACTCAACCTTAAAACGGCGCTAAATTATCCGCTCCCGGTATAATATTCGTAATATTACCGTATTTATCATACAGCCATCCGTGCCTCGGCCCTTTATTTAGACGTCATTCCGTAGATATCCTATTCTATCACTAATTCACTAGATCTAACAATCAATGCCTACCTCAACCCTCGAAGGAGCAAACGAATACTTTTTGTAGAATAGTTACTGGGCCGATCACCTCTCCAACTACCTTTATACTGATATCCAAGAGTACACTCGATATACAAGCCCACGCAGCCAGCAATGGCTTCCCCCGCAATCCCATCTACAGATCCAGCTCCGACAAGCTCGACATCAGATTCTATCGATATATATCAGACTCTATCCTCTTACTCTTTCACTGAGGATCCGGAGTTCAAGCTCGGTCTAGCGGTTATCCTTGGCCAGCCAGGAACTCCAGCGACAGATGAACAGATCAATAGAACAGGCGACCTTATTATAAAAGCGAAATGTTTCTATTTCTCAAAGTATGCCACTGGAAGCTGAAGAAAGAGTACCCTTCACTGACACATACGGACTTCCTTAGGAAATTTGCAATTCAACCTCCAATTAACCATATCTCATATAAGCATTGGCTTGAGCAGCAATCAGAAAATAAAAATATACTCATACCTTCAACGTCGAATAATAATAATGATAATGAGGCCGCACAGTTGGAAACAGCAGCTATAGCCGCAGTGCTAGAGGAGGGCAAGACAGAAGAAGAACAGCCTGTGTATCCATCGTCGTTTGCACGAATTGTGGAGCTTATCACCACAGGCCAGCCGATACCGGGAATTCAACAGATACCTGATACTGTGCTAACGGGCCAAGAGACAGCTAGTACAGCCCAACGGAGACGGAAGCCATGGGAAAGGGACGAAGGAGAACAAAAGGAAGAACTTGAACAAAAAGAGGATAAAAGGAAGAAAAGTGAGAACGAAAATGATGAGAAGTAGAGTGGTAATGTCCTTGAGGTTGGAGATGACAGTCAGTCGTTTACTGGTCCTGCCAAACTTTTAGACTCGTAAATCTGACTTCTCAGATGTCACTGTCATGAGAGGAGGAATGCACAACACCTAGTGCTACCATTATCCTTTCAGCCACAACCCGAGCGTTTAACGCCCACAGCAAGCATTTTCGAAGATTCTTATTAACACTTATTTTTATATACAAACATCATTTAGTTTATGATATGTATAGACGGTTGGGATGGATTCTATAATTTCAGTGGTTATAAACTTCCCTTTATGGAATCTCCGCAACTAAGTGCTTTCAAGGCTATCATACATGAACTTATCGAATACAAACATAACGTATCAATGACCAAATAACCCCTTAACCTTCACATACCCATAATCCTATCGAATTGCCTCTTGGGCAAGCTTCTGGCGGAAATAGAAAAGGTAAATGGTGATAAGGTAAGTAAGGGATGGCTCCATGATAAAAGAAGAGTGAAACAAATAGAAATACCACACAGTAACCTCACCGAATACAACATGTTGGAGACTGAACCCTTCAGGTAAACCAAAGCACCGGGTAGCTACCCATGCCTATTTGGATAAGTTCATCTTCACGGCAGATATGACAATTTAAGAGAATGAAATAGGGAAGTAAGGTAGACCCGAACAGGGGAAGAAGGAATTGGAGAAGGCATGAATAACAGAGATGGATAAAAAAGAAAAGAAAAGAGGAATCAGATCGGGTGTTTGTCAAGGGACCTTCAACAAACCAATGCGCAGATATGAGGAGTTAGGGCTTTGAACCAAGCACGACGTCCCCGCACCCGAGAATCCTAGAAAGAAGGAAGATAGCTGTAAATTAGACTCCGATATGAGTATCACTTTCGTTATTCGCTGTAGTTGAGCACTGAAAGTTTGCATCATACAATATGATGTTAGCGAGTTGAGGGGAAATCTGATTCAACGGAATGGAGGGTAGTTGCTACTCCACTGAGAGTTGCGGTTGAACCTAGTACCATTCATAGTGCTAGGGCCACGGTCTTCAGAAGGAGCATTGAAGCGGCTGATTTGAATGCCCGCACCTGGTCCTGGACGAGTAACATGGTTAGGGTTGCAGCATAACATGGCAACACGGGACCCAAACTTGGAGCCCCTAAGAGAAACCATGTGTTTGCTAATGCGTATATGTTAGTCTAAAGCAATAGGCGTGATTTATAGGTGCACCAACCGAATATGACCTGCAACTAGCTCACGGTGCTGGTTCCCAGCATTCAGAAGGATCCATTGAATCAAGTAGTTTCCATACTGGTCTCCGGCAACTGTTCATATTAGTACGGAAAATCAGGCAAAGTGCTAGTTAGGAACGCTTACTATCAATTAGAGGCATGCGGGGACGGTCAGGGCGGCCAGTACAGACTCTAGCGAGGTACCTATCGAGGAACTCAGTTCCACCAATTTTCAAGCACTTCTCCACAACTTTGGAAGCAAACTGGTCCATGCTGTAATCGGTAACCCAAGCTAAAATGTGTTCAATCGCACGGCTCTTATCAGGTGGGGCACCATGTTCACAGATATGTTGGATGCACCAATTGCCAAATTGGCCATGTGCTAGAAGGTCAATTTTTGCGAGAACTTCCTCAATTGCTTGACGCTTCAAAAACATTAGCATGCTATAGAAATATTCACTTGTTGTTGGCATACCTTCTCATCCTCAACGCAATTTTCAAAAATATTTTGGACAACAAGACTCCCAGTCTCGCCCAAGGCAACCTCATGCCACATTCCTCTGAGTGCTTCGTTAACTTTAGCCATAATCTGTGGTGGTTCACCACTCCAACGGAGTTCAAAAAGTTTCTGCCACACATGACAAGCGTATCTATGAATTACGGTCTCGGGGATACGGCGAAGTAGCTCATGGACCATAACCGCTTTATGCTCCTCTGGGACACAGTCAAATGCTTTTTGAATGACATGACAACCGAATGGGTCCATGCTTAGGCTCAAGGTATTCCCACGAATTGCATTAGCAATAGAAATAACCTGCTCTGGAGTACCGTGCTCAAAGCAGCGTTGAACAAGGAAATTGCCAAAGCGATTGATCATCAACGGGTATGCCTGATTGGCGATTGCCTCAATGATTTCATACTTCTGCTCAGATGTGCCAACCTTAAGCTTCTGCTGAAGGAAAATGGATGCCTGTTGATCGTTGTTGCAAACGATCTTGTCTACGATATATTTCCAATCGCACGAAACACTTTTGTCTAGAAGACGACGATAATTCAATGGCTCAAGCGGAGAGACATACGTAGAAGCAGCTCCGGTAGTGGCCTAAAGACAAAATTAGATTAGCTTAGCTGGAAATTCATGAAGTTAATTTCAATACTTACAGAAGAAGCCCAGGATGCAGGGGTAGCCGGGTACGCAGTAAACTCAGCTGCCATGGGGGACAACGGGGTGCCAATTGGGCGGGGCTGATACGTGTTTACAGCTGGATAGGTATTTTGAGGCTGGAAATTGGCAGCGTGTTGCTGACTAGCGGGCCTAGGGATGGGAGTCAAAGATGGAGGGAATGTACCCCATGGCGAGGTCTGGGGAGGGAAGCATGAGGATCCGCGATTAACTTGAGTGGCACGGCGGCCAGTGGGTCCTTGAATTTGAGGAGCTGGTTCTGCAGAATAGCGATTGTCGAACCCATAGGGTGGGCTTGCGTGACCCGGAACCATACGTTGGTTGACCGGAAACCCAGCCTGGGGGGTATATTCCGGCTGACTTATGCGCGTTCCCCAGCTCCTAGTAGAGTCAGTGCTCATGTTAGAGTCGTGAAACATGATATCGCGGCCAATCTTGTCAACGTTGCCAAAGTTGTTCACCGGTGGCTGGGGTTGGGCATTCCATAGGCCACGGGCTCTATTGTAACCCCCAGCAGAGAGGGCGTCTGAGATATCAGAGTGAGCGTCATCTTGCAATGACCATTGTTCTTGATGTTGGTTGAACTGGCGAGTGGACGCGTTGAAAGCATTCTGCAAGCTGCTGATTGTCTGCTCAGTAATCTCACGGCCGCCAAAGTCAACTTCAGATGGTGGTCCCATAGCTTGATCCAGTGTCTGTTTGATAACACGGGTCTGGGCAAGCTCTTGCTCTTGTAAAGCAATGCGAGAATTCGCAGCTTCCAATTCTTGCTGCAAGCGGAACATCTCCTGGGTATCCATACCTTTTCCCGTATTCACAGTATTCTGCCAACCGTTCAAGTTTGGTTGACTGGACGTGGTAAGCGGGATGGGCCCTTCAACTGCTGGAGGTAATTCCGTATGGTTTACAAGCGAGGTAGCATTTTCTCCAGATGGCTGTCTTGCTAGACGGGGCTGGGCATCCATGGATTTCGTGACTGAGCTACCAGCTGGACCACCTGAGTTGTTGTCCTTTGGAGACAGCTTTGCAAGGATCTGTTCCATGACTGACTGAGGAACGGAAGAGCCAGGTTGATCAGCCTTCATTTTCTAGGAAAATTAGCTAAAAGTCTTGACATCACGCAGATTGTATGATGCAAGCCAATGTTCATTCACCTTATCGTCCCCAGCCGGAGGAGCGTTTTGAATATTCCCCAGTTTGGACGAGACGAGCGGGTTGGTTCCAGTAGTAACCGTGCCCAAATTCATCGTTCCCTATTGTCAGGTTAGAAAACTCTGGGTGTATCAACGGCAAGGGTCTATATGGTGTCTAATAAAGGGGCTTCTTTTGAAGGTACTTACCGAGCCTAGACGCCCATGAGATGCAATGTTACCTGCAGGGTCAATGTGAGCTTTGAACTGAGTAGATGGCTTTTGGGACGCGTTAGAAGAGTCCATGCCTTTGTAAGACATGATAACGACCACTTCAACACAATATTTCTGGCAAAAGTAAGGGTGATAAGTAAAAAGATAGTAGATAGAACGAGATCCTCGAGGAACTGATCCAAGTCCCGCAGCTCTGACAGGGTGGAGAGGTAGGATGATATGCAAAGAACTGAGAAAAGCCCACCCACCAGGCTCTGATATCACAGGAATCTGGCACCTCGACGCGTGTGAGCGACTGATATCAACGCAGCAGAGAATCAGACGAAGCTGTAGAGCAACAGAAGATGACGGGAAAACAAAACAAGAATGCTGTGAAGTAGATGGAAGAAGTTCAGGTTGAAAAAAAAAAGAAGAAGACAGAAGAAGATCCGGAGGAGAAGATAAAGCAGAAAGAGCCGACTAAAAGAGAAAGTATGAGCTGAGATCAAGATACATGGAACAAAATAACAAAGAAGGCAAGGAAGTCGAGCTGACAAGCAGCAGAAGGTGAGGTTGAGGTGGAAGAAAGCGTGATGGTGATGATGATGATGATGATGATGTTGTTGTTGTTGTTGTTGTTGTGGCTTAGAAGTTAAGAAGTTAAGGTTGAAGTTGAAGTTGGAGTTTTCCGAGGCCAAAAGGGGAAGAAGGGCGGTAGCAGAAGGAAAAACAAGGGCAATATCTGCTAGTGCCATCGCCGGCAGGTTCCTGTTAGTAGACATGGCATTTACATGCAAAACAGCAACAGCTACGGCCATGGATAAAAATATACGATGGTATAGGGGTATAGGGGTATCACAGCAGCAATGGATAGAGCAAGCTCTATCTATTCTTGATAGAAGACAGAGACGTATATCACCATACCATTTATTGAAGTCTGTCTATTGTATATGTTAGTGAATAAACCCTACACAGCGCTTCGTTTCTAATTGTCACATAGACAGCAGGCCTAGCTACTCAAGCTCAGGAGACATAGGATGCCGCAGATACCCTCCACTCAGAATCGAAGAAGCCAGCGGCATAGAGAGAACCTTGTCCCTTCAATGGAGTCCCCTTGTTGACGACCACGAAGTCAGGCTGGCCAACTCCGGTAAGGACAGGGACCAAACGAGCAGCCTGTTGGAGGCCAGCCATATCGTATCCCCAAATAACCAGTTCTAGACGCTCGTCTTCCAGGGGTCGTATGAAGATGGCACCGAGGCCTGTCTCGAAGGGGTAACTTGTTGTGCCCTGGGAGGTCTTGATGGCCAACGACTCTGTCGAAATAGATATAGCAGAATTACTGTCTGCATTCCCATTTGTCGAAGCACCGAGCAATATGGTGACGTCGTTGCCTGCTGCATTAGTTGCATTGCGAGTGGGTGCGACGGACGAGATGACACAATCAGCCGACAGGTACTGGAACAAATTCCGGCAGGTTTGCAGGGCAAGATCCCGAGTTTCATTGGTAGTAGCAATTACGGTAAACGGTGCTCGTGTGCGGAGGATTGCATTCACACCAGCCTGTCTACCATATTTCTGTGAAATGGTACGCCATGAACCATCTCCAGAAGTCCACTTCCCAGCATCATCCTGCGTGTACCATGTTGTGGTAGAGTTGCTAGGAGTGACCGGGAACTGAGTGGAGCCATCAAGTTGAATATTTAATGGAACCTGTGATCTAATTGCACTGGTCTCCAGATGGAAACGGCGGATATTTCGTGTCTTGAGCTTCCAGAGTCCACCGTTTGTCGGGTCTCGCTCAACATCAATGGAACCAACCTTATCAGGAGTATGTGATTGATCAATAAATATACCCCCTCTAGAGCCCATATTACCCGCAGGCGAGAGAATGACCGAGAATTTCGGGGGAAGAAGGTCGGTGGCATTTGGGAGCTTGACATATGTATAATAAAAGTCCTTGAGGAAGTCGGAAGTCATGATCCCAGTGTACCAGTGGTTTTTACCTGGAACTTCATGATACTTCGAGGGTGAACCACTCTCTTGCAACAATCTATGCATCAGACGAGAATGGTATACAACCACATTATCGTCAGAGGCACCATGCTGTTGATATACGGGAATTCCCGCGAAGTTATCAACTAGAAGCTCATGCTTAAAGTCCTGACGCGCTCGATAAAACATAGATGCCAACAGAGAGTCCGCGTTATGCCACATGGAGTATGGAACATAATCTAGTTAAAATACCATAAGTTAGGGTTCTCTGTAGAAGGGGAGAGCATACGTACTCTCAATCGAGGTGTAGCCGGCAACAGGCGCAGCAGCAATGATTTTATCGGGATAATGGGAGATGGTATACCAAGTTCCCTGGCCTATCCCTAGTTAGATTTATATTAAATACCAGTGACAATCCGTACTTACCGCCGTTTGAGTGTCCAGCTATTATCCAATCTCCGTCAATGACCCCAGCTCCGGTCCAACCACTGTGATCAACATAGTCGTTAAGTGCTTGAACTGAGTTTTGTAAGTCGGCAAATCCCCAGGTATCTGAAAAAATCGGTTAGTCAGGAATTTCAACAGCTAAGGGTTCGAAAGCCTACGCCAATCATCTCCACTCCAGGGAGTTACGCCGCTGGGGAATAAAGTCCATGCGCAGATATCAGATATCCCATCGAACATAGTCCGGATTATCTCATCACTTGCGGCCTGTCCTGCTCCGTGGAGACCTAGCAATACTGGGAGTTTTGTCCCATTCCCTAGATTGCATAAGGAGGATGTTGGAGGCCGCATAGTGGCATAAGATACCACTCCTCCTGGGTGTATAAAAGTGTTTTGTTGGACTTCTGACAGTTTCCGTCGTGTAAAAGTGATGGTCACGGGTTCCGTCTCCTGAACGCTGGAGTTTCCAGGCAACTTATATTCGAAGGACAAAGACACTGAGGATGGAACATTGGTTTTATTGTTTGCCTCGATTGTGAATCCAACTGCGCGGGATTGTGTCCCCTCTAGCTTCACAGAGTTGTTTAAAAGATTCAAAGAAAAGCCGGAGGCCTATAAAAGGTTAGTCATGTATATGAGGGTATAGGATTGATAACTCTAACCGGGGTGTCAATTTCCTTGATGCCAATCACATCAACAGAGTTTCCCATTGTATTGTGAAGGGTAACGGAAGCATATGGGCTAATCAACCGATTTTCAACAACATCCGCCACGAGAATACTCTTTTTGTCCACTGCAAGGGTTTTAGGCAACTCTTGTGCAATAAGCGTAATATTGATATACGGTTCGCCAACGGCCCCAAGAGCCCTGACATCACGGACTACACGAAGGTCAATTGTGTGTTCTCCAGGGGTCAAGTCCAGAAGAAGTGGGGCTCTGCGGAAACCAAAGAAATCTCCACCAAAGTACGACTTGTTGTCAATTCGGTATTCCCAGATCCTATCCGTATACAAAGCGACGACGGAGTCAGGTTTTGAAACGGTCAGATTTCCACGTGCCCAGGCTTGGTACTGCTTTGCATCCCACCCGTAGACTTCTTGGAGAGATGTCAAGTTATCTGGGGGTAAATTGATATGGAGTACAGTCTCCTTTGGATCAGCAGTTTGGTTGACATATGTTGAAGCTATGGACCAATTTGCAAGGCCATTAAGTGCCAGGGAGCTGTCAAAGCTGGCCTTTGGGTCATATTTCAGAGCCTGAAAGCCACCATATGCCTCCAGTGGGTCGGCACCCCAAGACGATTCTAATAAACAATGTTAGTACTTGGTGCTTGGTCATAGAATAAAGCCACGTACCCCTAGTTCCTATCTCGAAGGGCCCAAGTACCTGCCAGGTCTTAGAAAAGCTAGAGTCCTCATCAAACTGTAGTTCCGGGCCTCTGTCCGCCGAATTGGTTGTTGCATCGACACCGTGACATGTCAACAATGGGATGCAGACCCAAGTGGCTATCTGGTAGTATTTCATACCTCCCGGGTGCAATAATCCCGTTTGAACGGTAAAGCTGCCGACTGTATCAGTTGCCGAGTTGTGAGGTAATAAATCAGCAAAGCCGTGGATCCACCGAGAGCACAGGTGGAATGTCCAAAGGACAAACGACGGTATTATATGCATTTTCCCTTCGCAGTATGCTATCCTTCGCTTTTTTGATGATTTCGACCCGGACTGGCTAAAGGACGCCAGGTATCACTGGAATGGTCAAATTTTTGGGAACTTTGACAATCTTTTAGAATAATATTTTGAACCGGACAACAGTTGAAGCCTCGATCTGCCTTGGCTTGAAGCGAAAGCACTTCCCCTCATTATGACGGCGAGGTTGAGTGGTCAGCTGGATGAAGCATTGGAGAAGTGGCAGCTAATACGGAAGATTAGCCTTTTTTTGTCGAAATAGCTTCGTTCAACGTCAAGAAGTCAGATAGGAAAAGTCGTCATCTTCCGCTGAAGGACCAAGCCATTCACCGGAAATCAGCCAAACTGCAGCGATCACCGTATGAGACCCCAATTCCTGAATTCTCAGACCAGTTTCTCAGACCAGTTTCTCAGACCAGTTTCTCAGACTGGGAGAAGTCGTAGTTGACCTGGTGGTTCTATGGTTCTGTGCACAGTGTAAATTTTGGTAGTCTTGTGTTCCAGGCTAGTGGCGTAGAAGCCGACATTACTACGGGGTATAGCACCACCTCCCAAATTGTTTCCTAGCCATCTTGGTGATGATTTCCTTGCGGGGTTCACCGACATTCCGTCAGTCATCTTAGCAGGAGACTACTTCATGGCTGCATATCTCATCATTGGCTCTCCTGCCAGGTTGAACAAAAGGTCATTCCTCGCTCGGAGACAAACGTCTTTCAGCTGCCCGGATTCCGGGCGAGTCAGGAAGCGAGAACTGCAGGCCTAGCCTGGCGAGGCTTCCCGCATGAAGTTAGTTTTGGCAAACAGAACATAGCTGGTGGCGGCATGGTGTGGAGGGACATATGTAGTGTTTCGACTTTAGGGTGGTTTTTGCCCCCAAGAACAAGATCCAATGGAGGCTCAAAACTTGGTTTTGGGTCAAGAACCTTGAAACCTTGGACGGTCCGTGGCACATCACGTGAATGACAGCCGCCGCTTATGTAACTAGATTCATTCCTGCGGCTATAAATAGCAAGGACGTCTGTCAAAAGGTGCCTATAAGCGCCGGGGAAGTGTAGACGAAAAGGTAGAAAGGAGCCATCTCCCGCATCAGGTATGAGCAGAAGTCAATGATATGAATAGTCCAGGATCCATTGGAAATTCATAGTAAGAGTTGAAGCATGAAGAACGATGTATAAGCCGACTCCCACCATGTTTTTACATATTTTTCCCCCTACTTGCTCGAATACTACCATTTCCACCTGCCTAGCTTACTATGGAGTAAAGCCCCGTCTTAGGGCAAGGCCTCTGTTTTATGTGTATCCCCTAGCCTCACCAGACTTATGCCTATCCTTTGATTTCCCCCTTCTTCTCCCCATTTGTGCCTTCTTTTTATTCATCCATCTGATCCCCCAACTTTCCTAGCCTTCTAAATATCTAACCCTAACCTAAGGTTAAATAGAAGGAGAGTAATCGAATATTAAGTAAGCCAGGTATGGCTAGGGTTACATACACAGACCATACCATCTTACCCTAAGAAGGGAGCTCTACCCCATATAGTTGGGCAGGTGGAAAGGGTGGCATTTAAGCCGCACGTTTTGAAAGAGAGTCATCCGAGTAAATAGGCGCATATCTTTTGTCTTTGCGTGCAAGGTAGGAGTTTGTAGCACAGTAGACGACCATAGACGCCCCTAGGTTATAGAGCATAATATTAATGGGCTACAATAAGTTGACAGACGGGGCAAGAGAGGAAGAGATGAAGAGATGACGCTTACGAGTAGAGGGAAAAGCTGTGTGGTAGTCGAGACGCGTTTAGGGAAGATAAATAGGTGTGGTAAAGGTCCCAAGGTCACCCAAAGACACCACCCGTATAAATTGGAGATATATGCCCAAAGGCCACCTATTTCAGTGAATCTGATGACACCAGTATTAACTCTGTCGACACACTCCATATGTATTCATTGTATAAGATTCCACGTGATAGTGTGGTAATTCCTGTCAGAGGCTCACTAGCACAACTTGAGACATGTCTTGCTTTCTATCTGTATTCTCGTATCTTTCTTTCTCCGCATCTATCGGATAGTTATCTAGATTCCCTTTATCATTTGGCTTCTATCAGGCCTGTTCCTTATCTCTCCTCCTTCTCCATGACATATGCTGACTCATCCGTTCGCCCATGAGCCTTGCAACGACACGTGTTTCTCAGCCAATCAGAGGCCCCGCTCGACCTGCCCTGTACACGCATTCTTCTCATCCCATAACTTTTTCGAGTCGAGAAAGCAGCGAACAAGTGGTGATATGTCCAGCCACAGCGCATCACCAATTCGACCAAGCCGATAATGAGCGTTACCACGCTTGTCGATACACGGCAGCAGAAGTCTTCAGGTCTGCCACCTTCCTGGCCTCCTCAAATGACCGCCGACACCTCTGCGACCGAGAAGTTCCCTACCCTGGACGATGACGACGCACTGATTGAACAGGAGAAGGAGAACGTTTTCTTGCCGTCCACAGTCAAGTACGCGGGAGAGCCGCTATGGCAGTCACGGAAAAACAGAGCATACTCACGGGGGGCACCATCGGCCGAGCGTTCACATCGTCCCCGGAAAAGCATCAGTGAGGCTCTGGGGTCGTTTAGGACCCGGGGAACAAGCGTTAGCGTAAACGCTCAGGAGCTGGCAGAGTCGTTAAAGGCGCCAATTTCCTATAAACTCATTGTGAGTGTGACCTGGAGAACCTCAGGAAGAAACTATGATAACGCCCGGTTGCTAATTGACTGGTCTCTAGGGTCTTTGCTTAGTCTGGTATATGACATCAGCGCTCACGAATACCTCGTCGAAATCTATCCTCATAGCACTTCCAAAACCTATCACGCTCACGATTGTTCAGTTTGCATTTGTATCAGCATGGTGTCTCTTTCTTGCATATCTCGCATCCGTCTTTCCGATGCTAAAAACTGCGGTTCCAGTCCTCAAAAACAAGATCCGATATCCCTCATACTCCATCATCTCGACAGCCCTACCCCTGGCTGGATTCCAACTATTAGGCCACATACTCAGTTCTATGTCGACCTCGCAAATACCCGTATCACTCGTTCATACAATTAAGGGGCTCTCGCCACTTTTCACCGTTCTTGCTTATCGTATCTTTTTCCGCATTCGATATGCCAGGGCCACCTACCTCTCTCTCGTCCCTCTCACTATGGGGGTTATGCTTGCCTGTTCAGCAGGGTTCTCAACAAACTTCTTCGGGATTATCTGCGCCCTTGCAGCAGCTCTTGTTTTTGTGGCACAGAACATCTTCTCAAAGAAGCTGTTCAATGAGGCCGCGCGTGCGGAGGCAGATGGCCAATCACCAGGGGACACAAAGCTAGATAAGCTCAACCTTTTATGTTACTGTTCTGGTCTCGCGTTCATCTTGACGCTACCAATCTGGTTCCTGTCTGAGGGTTATCCGCTGATGATCGACCTCTTGTCCTCTGGTTCTATCAGCCTATCAAACAAGAAAGGAGCCCTTGACCACGGCCCATTAACACTGGAGTTCATTTTCAACGGCGTCTTCCACTTTGCCCAGAATATCATGGCTTTTGTTTTACTGTCCATGATCTCACCAGTTTCATACTCAGTTGCTTCATTAATCAAACGAGTCTTCGTCGTCGTTGTTGCCATTGTCTGGTTCGGTAATTCCACCACCCCCATACAAGCATTCGGCATCGCCCTTACTTTCCTCGGTCTCTATCTATACGACAGGAACAAGCAGGACGATGCAGCAGACCGACGAGCCAATGCCGACCATTTCCATAAGAACAACACTATCCTTCCTCTTAGCAATGCTTCCAATGGCTCGGCCAAGGTCTGGAACTCGAACGGGTATACCTTCCCAACCCCCTCCGTGGGCGGATTGGGCATCCATCCTATGGATGTCAATGGGAAAAAGGAAGACGACAAGGCGAACGGTATCTCGAGGAGGAATAGTGTTGCTCGCCCATGGTTACCGCCAGGGACTAAGCAAGAATCGACATGGCAACCAGGTGATGCATCCTCACCGCCTCAGAAGTAATATATGTTCACGCTACCTATCATGTAATTTTCTCTTGTTGATTTTCATTTCCCTTCCCAAGGGTTCAAGGAGTTTAGAAGGGATTCGGGACATATTTTTTTCTGCTTCCCCTTATTCATTCTTGTTAATACTTTACTGTCTCTTTTAATTGCACGATACGGCGTCCTGCAGACGGCGAAACCCAACGCCTTTTGTTATTTTTGGTAATTCGGAGGATTGGATTTCAGAGGATTGGATAGAGTTTATATACCTTATAGCTCCTTTATTTGAGAGCAACAAAAAAAGATATATTAGAGAAACCATATGTCTATACAAAGTACTCCATACTTCCAATCGTCTCTCTCGAGTTAGTTACTTGACAATGTGTAGCATCCGTCGGTAAGGAACTGCTCCATAACAAGGCCAACAAGTCAGCCCTAGGGAGCTCCAGCTACGGTGCAGGGTCTGCTCTCGGATCACACTGTAGAGGAGGAAGGGCTGGCAGCATCTCCTAAGAGAACGTACCCTCCACCTACAATAATCTATGTCCGTTAGAAATGAGTTGGAGAAAGAAAGAAGAAAAGAAGAAAATCCAGAAAGATGCAGTTTTCAATTTATGTTCGCGGCGCCCAGTGCGGATGTTAAGTTAACCCGCGCCGTGACCATCAACCAATCATATACGGAGGATTTGAATGAAGCCAGAGAGGAAGCAAAAGAAGCAACAAATAAAGTCGAATCAAGACCGACGTCGAAGTCTTCATTGCATCGCTCGCAGCAGGCCATCGCTCCGTCACCCAAGCCTTCACGGTCCTCGACTCTCCCTTCATAGCGGTATCCTGTTTCTGATTAGGCTGCCTCCTTCTCTTTCTCGCCAGCTATGCGGCCACAATTGTTCCGTGTCGCCGCACGATCGAGGAGATGGACGGCCCTCAATTGCTCCCGTCCATTCAGCTCGACGGGCGCCAGACAGGCGGAAGTCGAAGTCACAATTGGTCAGTAGTTAGCATCTTTGGTCTCTCTGGATGGTTTGCTAACTTGTTGTTGATGTTTTTAGATGGCAAGAAGGTATCGATAGAAGGTATTATGCGCTCTCCCCACCGTGATCCCCAACGACATATTGACCGGACTATTTAGCTGGTTCCGCACTTATCCAGGCCTGTGAGAAGGCTGGTTCAACGGTCCCTAGGTACGTTTTTATCAATGATATATTTACTAGAACTAGATTGCTGATTTGTTATTGTAGATATTGTTACCACGAGTAAGTCATATTAAACCTTCATATAGCCGAGAAGAACACCGCTGAAACATTTTTCAAAGGAAACTATTGATTGCAGGAAACTGTACGATGATCTAATTCATTTATATATCACGTATGTTTTTGGCTTACGATTGTTTGTTTTAGGCCGAATGTGTCTTGTTGAAGTCGAGAGAGCCCCCAAGCCAGTCGCCTCATGTGCGTGGCCCGTTCAGCCCGGAATGGTGGTCAAGACGAACTCGCCTCTAGTACATAAGGCCAGAGAAGGTGTTATGGAATTTTTACTTGCCAACCATCCACTTGATTGCCCAATTTGTGACCAGGGAGGAGAATGTGATCTCCAGGACCAGTCAATGAGATATGGCGCGGACCGAGGAAGATTCCACGAAGTTGGCGGAAAGCGTGCTGTAGAGGACAAGAACATTGGTCCTTTAATCAAAACATCCATGAACCGATGTATCCACTGCACACGATGTGTTCGTTTCGCCAATGATGTGGCTGGTGCACCCGAATTGGGAACTACCGGACGTGGAAACGACATGCAGATTGGAACGTATCTCGAGAAGAACCTAGATTCTGAATTGTCCGCCAACGTCATTGATCTTTGCCCAGTTGGTGCATTGACTTCCAAGCCATATGCATTCCGCGCTAGACCTTGGGAGCTTAAGCACACTGAGAGTATTGACGTTCTTGATGCTCTTGGTTCCAATATCACTATCGACACTCGAGGAATGGAAGTTATGCGTGTTCAACCCAGGCTAAATGATGACGTTAATGAGGAATGGATTAACGACAAGACTAGATTCGCATGCGATGGCCTCAAGACGCAGAGACTCACCACCCCTCTCATTCGTCGGGATAACAAATTCGCACCTGCAACCTGGGAACAGGCCTTGACTGAAATTGGGAATGCCCACAAGACCCTGGCTCCCAAGGGCAACGAATTCAAGGCCATTGCTGGTCACTTGATTGAGACTGAATCTCTTGTTGCCATGAAAGACCTCGCCAATAAGCTCGGATCTGAAAACCTTGCCCTTGATCAAGCCGGTGGTAGCCAACCAATCGCCCACGGAGTTGATGTTAGATCTAACTACCTCTTCAACTCCAAGATCTTCGGAATCGAGGAGGCTGATGCCATGCTCTTGGTCGGAACTAACCCCCGTCATGAAGCCGCCGTTCTCAATGCCCGCATCCGTAAGCAATTCCTCCGCTCTGACCTCGAAATTGGCTTGGTTGGCGAGACCTTTGAGAGCACCTTCGAATTTGAACACCTCGGAACCGATGCTACTGCCCTGAAGACTACCCTTGCTGGAGCATTTGGAAAGAAGCTCTCTGCCGCAAAGAGACCCATGATTATTGTTGGAAGCGCCGTAGCAGAACACCCAGATGCCAAGGCAATATTTGAAACCATTGGATCCTTCATTGATAAAAACGCCGCTACATTTATTACCCCAGAATGGCAAGGATACAATGTTTTGCAACGCGTTGCGTCCCGTGGTGGAGCTTACGAAGTTGGTTTCACTACACCATCTACCGAAGTGGCCAATACCACTCCCAAGATGGTATGGCTACTCGGAGCCGATGAGATCAGCGAGGCTGATATCCCCAAGGGTGCCTTTGTTGTCTACCAGGGCCACCATGGTGACCGTGGGGCACAGCTTGCAGATGTTGTTCTGCCAGGTGCCGCCTATACCGAAAAGAGTGGAACTTATGTCAACACTGAGGGCCGCGTCCAAATGACTCGTGCAGCCACTTCCCTTTCCGGGGCCGCTAGGGAGGATTGGAAGATCATCCGAGCAGTTAGCGAGTTCCTTGGTGCTCCGTTGCCATATGACGACGTTGAAATGCTTAGAGACCGCATGGAGGAAATCAGCCCAGCCCTTCGAAGATACGATATCGTTGAGCCATCTTCTCTTGGCTCGTTGAGCAAGGTCCAATTGGTAGACCAGAACCGAGGCAGCAAAGCAACTGGTGCTCCCCTTAAGAAACCGATTGAGAATTTCTATTTCACAGACGTTATTTCCAGAAGGTATGACATCAACCTATTTTCTCATTTTTATAGTTTCTCTACCGTTCTATACCACTAACTTAACTACTTCCTAGCTCAACAACCATGGCAAGATGTTCTGCTGCCAAAGAAACCGGAAATCCAGAAACCAATTTTATGGCTCCTGGCGAGAGCTCGGCCACAGCCCAAGCCGTCCAGGGCTAATCTAAGATCTATCTACATACCCCATCTTCCTACCAACCTGTCCGTCCCCCTCCCAAGCATTCCCATGCCATGCCAAAACAACCTGATTCCATGTACTTTCTTGCGGTTCTAGGCGTTCCATTCTCCTTTGTCCTCGACTTTCTTATTATGTCTATATACATTCTAACTTCCTTTTTTACATCGTTCTATCCTTTTTTCCCATCCCGTCTTTGTGACCTGTAGTATCACCCACATAGCTGTCCTACCTTGCCATCTTGTTGTGCTTGTCCATGTGGATAGAAAAGTGGCTCTTGTTTTGCGTGGCAAAGGGGAAAATAAAGGGGGCCAGGGCAGCCGATGCAGAAGGGGCTTTGTTTTTTATACAACTTGGGGCCGACTAATCTAGAGATAACCCTGTACAAGAGAAAAAGAAAGACGAGATAACTACTATTTTACTCCGTACTTCATCAATTCATGATTTTATCATAAATGTTCCATGATAAACTCCGCCTTCTTTCAGGCAGCAACAAGGCCGGGAAACTTCCAAAACGAACGTCGTTACAGTTCATCATCCTCCGAGTCTGTTTCACCGTCCTCATTGCTTTCAACAGCTGGTTTCGAAGCAGCTCGTTTCTTGCCGAACGGCAATTCTCGCGGAGGTGGCGGCTCCGTAACTTCGGGCCTTGCAGACAATGCACGCGTATTCCGCGTCCTGTTAGCACCCGAAGTCACAGCAGTTGTCGTCTTGGGACCTTTTTCTGACTTTCCGCCCTTCTTTGGAGCCGGGGCATGAGGCACCTCATCGTCTATTTCCGATGCTGTCTCATCCTCGAGGGGCTCGGGTGTGTCCTGTCTTTCATCTGTGGTACTGCTGCCCTCGTCCACGTCAGCAGTAGCGTCTTTCTTGTCAATGTCCATTGCATCAAAACCGTCATCACTCTCCGATTCTTCGGGCGGCGGTTCATCTGCCTTTCGTTTCGATCGTCTACTCGCGGCCGGTTTGCGGGTTTGTTTCCGTGGTACTTCTGTTGTAGCTGCTTCTTGTTCTAGTTGCACGACTACATCCCGTTAGCGGTTAGATACCTGAACAAACAACATAACAGGTATTGTAAACCAACCTGTATCCGGGTTCTCCTTGGCTTTTGTTATCAGACGCTGTTGACTTCTGATCTTGGATTTCTTCTCATTTAGAAGACCAACAAATTTCCCAATCAACTGCTCATCGTGTCGGTTCTTGGTTTCGATGAAATCTTCCAACTGAGCTTTCAACTTATTAATCGTTTCCTCTGCTTCGCGATATTTTGTTTGCAAGTTAGAAACTTGTTGTCCTAGTGTCTTCGCCTTGGATACGGCCATTCCGGTCCACTCGAACAGTTCAATTGCTTGCTCATCGTCCTGTTTCAAGACGACAGTTCCTAGTTTTTGCTAACGCCGGGTTGTTGTTAGTAGCAAACGCAGGGGGTTTGGTCAAACCGTTTATTAGGGCATACCGTGATTGAGTCAATCCGTTTCCTCAAGGTAATATGTAGCTCCTTGTTTTCTTCATTGTCATCTCCTTGTACTGCTGCCAGGACTTCTAACCCGGAGATCCATTCTGCGTTTGTGTCGGACTCAGGCATCCGATCAAAGCAATAGGAGAGAACTCCGATCCACTCATCGTCATCACCCCGGTAGTTTTTGGCTCGTAGCTTCTTGATTCCGTTCGACCTCACTAGAATACATATAGTTGTGAGACAACGTTGCCGCCATGCAAAAGCAATTTGCCATGCCAAAGAAAGGGAGATAAGGCTTACGGGATCCAATGTATGGGTTTTCGCCCTCGGTTCCAACAAGCTGCAAGTCCAAGTCAGAAGTCCCAGACTTTGATACCTTGATCAGAGCATAGTCTCCGGAACTATCACTTCGGGGAATACGAAGGATGCTATCCTGAGACATTGCTAACAGCAACGCAACACAAGCTATTCGATCAACAAGCTGAGGGAAATTGAATGGTAGCTCCAAACATAAGACAAGAACGGAGGTGCCAGATGGAGTTGTTGTTCAATAGTCTATAAAGTAGTCTGTTGTAGCTGCTGCCTAGAGCGGCGATAAGGACGGTCACATGACCGATAACAGCAGCGGCCCACCCACGACGTCCACGCAAAGGACAAGGCGGCGAGAGAGCTCGACAGAAGCCAGAGAGAAGCCATAGAGAAGCCAGAGAGAAGCCACAGACGCGCCAGGAGAGCGAAAGACGGGGCTAGAGTGCATAAATTGGGTGCTACTTGGGTACATGCCAGCTTAATACTCGGTGAGAGCTTCACCGGGACACTGCAAGTCATCCAATTGCCTGTGGACAACGCTGACACTTTTAATCGCTGGCCAGCACCAACCCTGCCCAACGACGCCCAAGAAAAAAATCAGCCAGTGAGCAGTGCTGCGTATTCACCGTCTCCCCTGTGATTCGGCCTTGCCATTGAGCCCCCAGCTCAAGGATTAACAGCTACTGCAAGCTCCAGCGCCGCTGCTGCGCTCCCCTGGAGCCAAGTGTTGCTGTCGTCTGTTGTCGGCGGCTGAGTCAGCTGAGCGCGTCGCAAAGCGCGGCCCTCTTAGCCGCATCGCTTAGCTGTCCAGAACCAGCTTAGGCGCCTTCTGGGCCCCCAACCTCCCTTCTTCCTTACCTTCTCGCCCAAGGGTCTGTATCAGACACGGCCGCAATCTTGTCTGAGACACCCTGTCCTCCAGCCCCTGATATTTCAACTCCTTTCGCTCGTTCCAAGGGGCCATTCCCCCTTTACCCATCACGACGCTCTCGCCACTGTTCAAACCCGGGGACAACGATCGCGTGCGGACCCTGCTTCCTTCTTTTTCTTCTTTTTTCCTTCTCCTCCTTGCCGCGCCCTTTTTCGAACGCAACCACCATTCCGTCGACCCATAACTCTGCGCCCGCCTGTCCCGTCTTTCACCCGTTTCGACGTACGGAGTATATAATATATTCCAGAAGCCACAATTGGGCCAGAGGGCGCACCTTCTGCGGGAAACTCTTCGCGAGTTCTTCTTCATGAAGCCTCCGCCGTCTTGCCGGAAAATTCGGTGGTCATGGAGTCCGGTATGGACGCTTTAATCATGCACAAGCCGAGAGAAGCAGAGATCGAGTGCTGGGACGATGACGAGGATTTACACTGTGGTGATGGCATTCAGTTGCGTACAGTCTCTGCTACCACGTCGGTTACAGGGTCTTCCGCTCGCCCGTCAGGCCACCGTGACTCGATCTCGTCTCGACGCTCCTGGAGGTCAGACCGTGATTCGAACTTGGGTGATGATGAAAGTTGGCAGCTATTGCTCAATCCGAGTGATGACTCGCCCAACCAGGACGCAATTGTATCAGCAAAAAATGCTGGGATACCCATTCCGGCAGATATACCAACCTCCGCATTGCTTGGGGGGTCAATAAAGAGGCTGGGTGGCCGGAAACAACGAGCCATTGTGGGAGACGACTGGTTGGAGGATCTTGACCTTTCAGTTTTTGAAGCAGGGCCCAAGGTCAAACTATACCATGACACTACAGCACCCGATTCACTGCTTCACTTGGACTCTTTGCCTGCTCCCAACTTTGACAAACAGGTAGATACCCATCCATTTGTCCTCCATGACCTTGTCAAATTTCGCGACACAGAAGAGGACATGTTGTTTGGTGACGTTTCCACCATTAAAATTACCAAAACTCGGTCCAACCAGCCCACAAACGCTCCCACGAGGTTAGATTCGCGAGAAAAAGATGACGATTTCGAATCCGAATTAGTCTTGCCAGACGATGGTACACCCCTACGCCTCTCTCAGCGTCGAGACATGTCCCTAACTTCCGATTTTCTAACTGATGATTTTGACACCGAGTGGGCGGAAGGCAGTATTGGCGTCCGTTTCGGAGGCACTCGAAGAGATGGTCGCTCCAACCGCAGCTCATCTGTAGGAGCACTCAGCCCGAGCATGTCCAGCTGTCTGACTATTGAAAGTGAAGACGATGGCATTGATGGATTAATACTTCCCGATGGGCCCCTAGACCTTGAAAAGTCGCTTCAAAAAAGGGCCAGGCTACAATCGCCGCCTCCTGGTATTCCAGAGACACCTACTGAACAACAAGCCACCCCTAGCAATAAAAGCCCCAAACACGTTGAACCAACAAACGATGATTTCTTTTCTGGCATTGAAATAGGGGATGGCGAAGCCTTTGACGCTGGAAAGTTAACCCTTAACCGGAATGTCAAACGAAGAATTGAACCACCATCGACCCCCCCGCGACGGGGAGCCACAAGCATTACGTTCACCAATAAGGCTCCTACTGCTGGGACTCGAATACCCCGACTCTCCGCTCATGAAAGGCCGCATTCCACCTACTTAGAGCCTGTTTCCGAAAGCGGTGCGCCTGTATCCCAAACACCAAGGCGTCCTCACTCTCGTCTAAGCGGGCACGCAACCCATTCATCATTAACAAATATCCCGTTACCAAACTCGTTAGCATCAAGTCTTTCACCGCCTAGTCGACGAGGAGTTGGAACTAGATCCTCTAAAGAAGTGTTGCGAGGTGACCTCGCGAATACAAACGCTCAAATACTCAAGCCCAAGCGCTCGACACCTGTCATACGTCCTTCGTCAGCTGGCACTACTGGTTCCCAAACCCAAGTTTCGCCATCCAGGCAGGCCAGCTATAGTAAACCAGCAACCGCAGCTCGTCCCAAAACACCAGTTGACCGCCATGCAACTGAGACTCGTCTTCATTCTCAACGTCGACCTCAGGTCCCTTTTCTCCCAGCAGGCGTATCGCCTAGCCAATCTCACCATGTCAGCGTTAAATCCAGTCGACATTTCCGTCGAACAGACTCGGAAAGCTCGGGGGATATGCTTATAAACCCTAGGTCGACATCCAGGTCTTCAAAGCGAACGCGGTATGACAGTTCCGGTCGGCCCTCCAGCTATTCGGGGGATACTATTTCTGCTACCGCAAAGCAAACCATCACAAAACCAACCCGTCGGAAAAACTTTGGCGACGGCACGGAACTAGACATATTTGATGATCTTCCAACATCTGCATCTCTAGAAAGTAGATTTATCAAAGCCCCCATCAAACGCGGTGCTCCACGTTCTCTTCGAAGCAAATTAAGTCAGTCACACATTATTGCACCAAGAACGGATACCCCAGTCCCATCCACAGTACCAACAAGCCCGCCAGTACAAGACTCAACGCCTCGGTTTGCCCGCGACACAAATGCATCGAGGAATGCACGCGAGCAGCGCATAACGTCAATGGGCAACAATCTGCATGGCGGTCAACTCACTTCTGCGAACCTTAACTGGAAATCACAGCCTGCCAATCGGCCATTGGCGAGCCCTTCTCTCACGCGGAGCCGTCATGGTCATAAACGTTCCCTCAGCCGGCCCCATCTCATCAAACCAATGGGTAATGGGGTTCACGATGCTAAAAGTCAGTATTCCAACACACTTTAGTTCATTCTTCCATTACCCAGCTTTACTAATTCGACTCCATAGATGTCAAAGGTATGCAATATAATCCTGCACTCTACAGGTGGGAAGGCAATGAGAATGCCACAGCCGTCTTCGAGGCGCCGTCGACGCCTGCACATTTGAAACCATCCCCTGCTCTAATCTCCAATGTTGGAGGTATTTCAGGGTCCCAGGTGGTTGGTGGAATGGTATTCGACCCCCAGCGAATGTGCTGGCTCAAGGCCCCCAACTCCCGGCCAGGCAGTAAATCTGGGCCTTCCCTATCCGTTGACGAAGAAGAAGACGTTTTTGCCGGCTTTGATGATCTCGAGGATCACCCTCGAAAGTCCATTACAGCCGTCTCCAGTGCCCCGTCATCTCCCAGCTGTGTTGAGGCAGACGCCGCAAACCTGGATGACAAAAGCGGCGGTGAATCATCGGACGAATGGGCAATTACGGAAGAGTTTGATGTTGGACCTGAGTTCATCAGGCGGCAGCGTGCTGAGGAAGAAAAATGGAGGCGAAAAGTTGGCAAGTGGATAAATGAAGACCGAGCCAGACTGGGGGATGAATGGCGCTGGGCTATTCGCAACCTAGTCGGCAAGGGCAAAGTTGTATGAAACGACTTGCCCAAACCGCTAATCCTGCTTTATTCATATACCCTTTATCCTATATCATTTTATATTTTGGAGGTGACGGTTGCTTCGATACCTCAGAGTACCAAATACCCACGATAGAATTGCGAAGCGAGATTTTGCGTTTATGTTGTGCTGTTTTCTCCTCCATCCTACCATACCTCTCTCATTTTGAGGTATGCATATGCATTTGGTTGCATCGTGTTATCCGGCGCATGGCTGCGATACAGACCAGCCAACTTTGGGGCGGGGTGGATGCGGCTCTGGCTTTAGTCCTTTTTGGTCTTTTGGTATTGTTATTTGTTTATCTGTTTCATCATTTCTTCACCGGTTTTTTGTTTTATTTTTATGACGATTTATCACGAACATCTCCATTTGGGTGGGGGTTATACACTGGCAAGATAGAAGGGGACAATTGTCCGTTCAATCTCCGTCATATTAACCCCCGTTAATGACTTGACGACTTATATTAATTAGTAGGAGTTTAATTAATGATAGCATTTTCTGAGTTCTTATTCTTGGTCAAGTGCATATTATGGACAAGCGATATAGAAACTGCCCTTCCATCCATCTTGCCTAAGCGAGGTTGTATCACTCGGCCGGGTTAACCTCTTCTTAGCAGAACTACTAAGAGGCTGGACGCTGCTGGACAATCTTAGGTTGACCATTAGGTTGCCTCATTTATGTTAACCATTACTATATACTGCTCGTGGAAGCATCTGGGTAACCCGTTTACACCGCTACAGACAAGAGCGCCAGGCATTCGGGTTGGGTTATTAGATTATACTGGATAACAGTCCGGCTATTTCAGTTGCACATAGATAACTAAATAAGCGTCGTTTGGACCTTCCTGGCCTATATATCGCCAATATGAGCTTGCGTTGGCTACATGCACATGCCGCTTATCCTAAAGCCCTCCATCCTTCAAGGGGTCGAGAGCGAGAAAACGGTGTTAAGAACCAGCGAGGGTGGCGATATATACACGGATGAGGGAGTCTCTAATCACTGTTACCGGTACGAAGTATGTCTTCGTCGTCCAGTTCCACGGATCTCCAGGTTTTCTACCTTTCTGCGGTTGCCTATATCACCTACAACTTTCAACCTTTTCCACCTAGCAGCTACATGTGTATACATCTCGTATAGATGTAATCACGGCTGTCAGTCGGAAGTGACTTGTAAGCGTACATGGGTTCCCGGTTAATGAATTCACTGACGTCATGTCATAGGTCTATATAAGCTTGTGATGGTTGATGGCCGGGGCCATGGCCGTGGTTATGGTTGCGGTTGTTTGACCATCACCATGATGTCTGACATAAGAGGCGCTGCTGGACTATGCAGCCAGCCTTCAAGGATAAGAATAACTAATGACGATCTCGACTCTGAAACCTGGAAACGGTTCTCTTTCACCCTGGACCTGAGGTCTGCGTCTAGATGGACATTCCCCAAGGAGAAATCGTCTGGAGTTTGTACATGTCCACGTTCGCTGTGGCCCTTCCTGAAACCCCAGAGCCATGGTATGAACGCGTAACGAGTCACATACCTTCTTGCGTCCACGATCATGCCAAGTTAACTACATAGCAATACGAATGTCTTTTCTTTAAAGAGAAGCTCGCCCGCGCACCGCTATGCTTCCAGGGAGGACAAGTCAAACCTCACCCCCCAGCCGCAGGATCTGCACCTATGACTTGGTCTTGCATCGTCCACACAGCCATGTTTGTTGCGCGAAGGCAGTTGTTTATTTTTATCAGCTGCAAACAATTATTCTTCTCTCCCTGGCATGCCGCCCGGTCCTCGCGTTCAGGCTGATGGGAAGGAGCCTTTGGTACTTTAACTACCCGGGTCGGGAGAAACGGGTGATTCCACGAACTGGCAAGCTACCATTCGATCTTGAGCCTTGGGCTCGTATTTACGAGGGCACCTTACATGCGCAGGAACCACAGGTGTGGGCAAGCGCTAACACTGCAGGTAGGGCATTTCCCGTCGTCCCCGTCCCTTGTTTGCCCCCATCTTCCTCGATCCGTTTGTCAAGGGAGGTGGCTGGCGGGATGGAACCCGTTCGTCAGCAGACGGAGATATTTTTTGTTGAATAACCGCTTTTTTGTACCCTTACCCCTTTGCTTCTCTCTTTTTTTTATCTTCGGTGATTCAGCGGGGAATGCTGTTCCGTGTCAACTAGTCTGTACGCTGACTGACTATTGAATATGAAAGTAGGGCAAAGCGAGGCCAGGGTTAAACGGGCAGTTCTGGCCAAACATATTCTTCCCCTGGTACTTCCTCCACTGTAGCGTCCATCCTAGGTTCTTGACCAGTGGAATGAATTGTTTGGAAACTTTGTTTGTTTTTGGCTGGACCCTATTCGTGGGAATTTAACTATTCCCTTGATTTCTATCCTGTCTGAGCGGCTGCAGCAGTACACGAGGTTTATCTCAATGACATGCATCCCTCTGCCACTCCCTTGAAATCCCGCAAAAAGTTGATCTGTCCACACAACCCGGCAGATGGACAGTGCCGAGCACCTAATCAGGCTCAGATTATGCAGAGCTAGGCGCACGGATGCCTCTGTTGCTCTCCCCGGCGAATACAAGCGGATGCCGTGACGAGACTGGCGGCGATTTTGTTGGTCAGCTACATTGTGTATCTCTCCTGGGTTTTCTCGCTCTCTGATTGCCTGGTTACAGGTTGATGCTGTGACAAACGACGCTGTCACGTCTTCGGGCAAACCGCCAACTACGAGCGAAAAGGGTGCAGGGGAAAAAAGAATAGAAATATTGCAAAAGGCGACAGCGAAGAAGATAATTAATTTATTATTGACAGCGATGCACAAACGCGAAGTGCCTTTTCAGTTCCAGCTTTCCCGAAACCCCCATCCGTCCAACGAGGATTAAGAAAGGCTAAAACAGCAGGTGAGCTTTGACGCCCGAAACCTCTGCAATCAAGGGAAGCCATGTCATTGCAGCCATCGGCTATAGCACCCTAGGAGATAAGTGGAATACGGGAGGATTCCTTAAAGGAAATGCAAGCAGGAAGCAGAGATTACTCTTTAGCGTGAGAAGAATCCGCGAGTGGGGGTTGAAGGTGAACTGGGTGCATTTAAATTCCGGAATACCCTGCTCTCGCTCTAGGTATGAATATGCGTACTTATTTTATCCCGTTTGATTTATGCAAACCCAGGGATTCGTTCCTCCCTTGACTCTGTCTGCTATTATCTAGATATGCCTGAGAGCCCACAACGCCTCGGGCGGCATCTTCACCCCCCAGCACCTATCCCGCGCATCGCATCTTGATAATTTGGGGTATGATGTTGGATGCTGCCAGGTGTCACCTATGTTCTAGATGTCGGCTACATGTTTCCTCTCTGTACTCCGTACAGCTTAACTATGGCATACCCTTGCAGGTCGCTCAGGAATCCAGGTTGGCCTTTTTCAGGTCTCCTGCCGTATTCTTGACTATTGATAGATCGACGATTCCCTTCTACCATTCACGCCCATGCGGATACCGCCCTTCCTGCCATCATGACAAACTTGCTCTCTCAACCTTGGAAGGCCCTGACGACGGGTACATGTCTCTGACGAGAGGTTCATTCGTCGTCTCTACAAAAAGAAATAAAAAGAAACAGACATAAGCAACGAACGTAAAAAAAAAAAAGCGGAACAGGAAGAGTTGTCTACTTTTGGGGCGGAGTGTCTCTAAAGATCCTGTGTGGGGGGGCGGACAAGGGAGTGGCCGTGGTACCTACGAATCACTGTGCCGTAGGGAAGACGCAATGTAAGTGTAAAAACTAAAAAGAAAGGCTGCCCGCAGAAAGGCAACCTGACTTGAGACTCGAGCAGTTTCGGCGGTTTATTGAAGCGGACCGGTACGGGGCGAGGAATATGATGCGTATGCAACAGTGCGTTGTGCATGTCTTTTTTTATTCTCTTTATTTATTCCCCCCCCCTTCATCTTACAGGCTTTCCCCATGCGCACACAGGCTGCATATACCCGTTAGTTGTATATTACAATTTCAATCGTCAAATTTTGCAGCCATTTTAACTAAGTTTGATGTGCTTATCCGAAGGTATGAGGCCGCGAGAGTGGGCAGGCAATTCCCCATGTCAAACGCCAAAACATAATTGAAGAAAGAGGGTTAAAGGGGGGGATGAAAAGGCGTCGTTAATATATATCCGACGGCTGCTGTCCGGGTTTATAGTATAGGCAGCCGTGACGAACTCTGTACGCCCGTCGTCTAGCCCGTCCTCGAAGCAGGAGAGAGCACAGGCACAGAGCACCACAGACTCTCAGTATAACGAGATGCAATGCAAGGAGGCGGTATCGAGAGGCGAAGGCGTCCAGGTAAAAAAAAAAAGAAGAGAGGGGAGAAGGCCCATTCCCACGCAGGGATCAGGCAGGTAAGCACAAGATTCGGGACCGATGGAGTGCATAACGAAGGGCCCTGTAGTCAGTAGTGTGCCTTGTGTTTGGGTGCATTGCGAGGATGTGAGGGTATCCCCATACAGGATGTGCATACATTTGTCCTCGATTGTAGTACATGAGTACATGAGGCTGGTCTGACAGGTTCGTTTGTCTTGCACGAATCCAGGGGAAAGATACCAGCGCCATTAAGCCATATGTGTACCTAGCTACCGACCGCCCTGTGTACTGGCCAGCCGGAGCACACTGGGATACCCACGCTGAGGACGGGAAACACACTTCCCAGATTGACCACACACCCGATACAGCAATAGATAGATAATAATATGGAGCAGAAGCAAACGAGCCAGACCAACTATCATTAAATAGAGTAGCAGTCGACTCTCGCCAAAGTGGACGTTCTTCTTGCTTGCTCGATGGATTCCCACATCTGTGGATCGTCCTCCCGAACCGAACCAACTTTTCTTTTTACATTGCTTACTTTTTGCTTCTTTCTCAAGATCGATCCAAGGACAGCTTAGTAATAATATTAGTTCAGATAGCAACTGTCGTAGCGTGGGAAATCTTCGGTGGTGTGAGTTATATTTGATAAAGTGATATATTCGTTGAGTTGGGGATGGAGTCGTGAGAAGTCGAGCGAAGAAGGTTGCTGCCGAAGGGGCGGTTCCGTTTTAAGCTACTCTTCTTTCAACGTCACCCTCTCAACATCCTCTCTTCCTCGCAGCGACAACGCACTCAAAACACGGAGATGCACGCTTCTTTAGCAGAGACAGGCAGACAGACAAACGCACTCGAGCATCCTCTTAACCTCCCTCCCCTTTCGTATCACCAAAATTTGAGTCGTCGCTCTATTCGTGCACCGGGCGCCACGAACTCATGGCGCCCCCCCAGGCGAGCTAGCCCTGGGTTTCGTCAGGAGCATACGAAACAACTTGGCGGGAGGGGACGGGCTCATCGTCAGTGTTTTTCAAGCTCGAGATTGTTCTCTCGATGGCTTTTCTACTGCTGAAAAGAGAGGAAAAAGCAAGCAAGGGGTATGAGAAACAAAACAAAAAGAAAAGGGAAATGAATCGACTCTACACGCACATATATGCACACGCAGAAAAGAAGGGAGAGAAATATGCTCCAGTCATACATACCACGAAAAGGGAGAAAGCTAGCAGCGGGAGCCCGCAGGCTGCTTACTACAGAGTTACATACGCTGTACATCGGTTTGACCGACAGTCACCCCATTTTGACGCCACGGAACTCTATCAGGATGCCTCCATTGGACCACAGCGGGCTGCTTAAAACTCAGGCGACCAGCAAAGAAAAAGCATTCATATTCAGGCTCCAGAGATTTATCAAGCTGTCCTCCAGAATGATCAGTATCTCTCGCAATAAAAAGGGGGCTGAAGCCAAGAGCAATTTGGACGCGGCGTCTCGGAAGCCAGATCTTGTTCTTCTTCTTCCTTTTCTTTTTTAACACTTCAACTTTCGTCCCGATTGCCCGCTACTTTATAATACTCCGTAGGTTGTCCCTCATTCGTCGTCAGCTCCGGACATATAGTACAACGGGAGTTTAAATTATTTATATATGGAGACACAGCTTCAAAAGGAACAGTGTCCTCCTAGCCAGCAACCCAGGATGAAACTGTCCCTTAACTACAGAGTACTTCGTGCCAGCCCATCAATCATTTAGGTCACCTAAATGATCTCTCCTCTGCATTCTCATACTATGAATTGGTGGGAATAATTACGCCGAAGATTTCTACTGTGGTGACAAGCAGCAGGAGAAGCGGAAAAAGCAAAAAAACACGAAGTACTGTGCCCATTCGAAGTGCAGGGGAAAAAGGAAAAGGGTTGATAGCCAAAGCGGGCCTAATTAGTGACGAGTTAGTGCAGCCCTGGTTCCTCTACGCCCGAGTTTTGGCATGTCTAGACCCTCCCGACAGTCTAACAGCCTTACTTTTGAGGTGACCTCTCTCTAAAAGAAGCACGGTGCTCTGTACTTCTCAAAGAGGGCTGGTTACCTGGAGTACTCCATACTGGGACGGCGGGATCAGCTTTTCCTTTCTTGAAAAAAGGGTTATTTCTGCCACTCCGTAGCCCTTGATCCATGTGGTCTTGGGTCGATCAACTAACCCTGACAAATTCTATTTCAGTCCTTTGAAAATCTTACAGTTTTTCTTCCTACTTACTTACACTGGAAAGGTGGGGAGAAGAAAAGAACGAAAAATTTGGCATGTTTTCTTTTCCGACATCCCTTCAGCCACCACCACATCTCCCATCCCTTCCTTTGCAGCCTAAAAAATCAATATGGACGGCGTCAAATCGTTCTACTGGTCAGAATCCATGCATCTTTCTGCATCAGCCAGTCATTCACTCTTGGATCCCCTTAAAAAGGATGCTAACTACAATGCAAATCGGTTGTACCTTGCAAGGTGCCGGAAAGTACCTGGTCGACGAGTGGAAAGGCAAATATCCATTCAAGAGCGACAGTCAGAGCTGCAACGTTTCTCCAAATCATATTAATACTTCCCTCTGATATCTGATCGTTGCCCGCCCTCTCCGTGCTCCTGCTGAGGTGCCAGGAAAAGTCCCTTTCCGAGCATTCCAGAGCTCGGCCCGCCTCTTGCTAGGTTGTACTTTGTCTCCTGACTTCTTGTCACTCAATTCAAGCCATTTGCAACCCGATTGCTTATCAAGGTCTCTGGACGCTTTTTATTTTTTTTTCTGGGACAACACTCTAGAAAACAGCTCATTCCTGTCTTATTGACTATTAATTGAACTCTGTACCCGCGTTCCCGCTCGTTGATCATCCTCAGTCCATCGAGGTTATCCCCGGTTTTCATGACGCTAATATCCTCAGATCTGTTCTTGTTATAAAATATCTCCGTCCGTGCAGGCGCTTCTGTTAGTCGCGGGTATCCCGTCTAGTTCCACTTCTTTATTTAATCGGCATCCGCATCCTCGAACGCCAAACAGGTGGGTGTTAAAGATACTGTGGAAACATCTCGCCTGTCAGTGGTATTCTTCTTATTCCTCCATTCCTCGGCCCCTCGTTCTGCTTCAGAAGAACACTTCGCTATTCCTCCACCGGCTCAAAGATTACAAGAAAGGACATAGAGGCATTGGGAAGCACGCGCCAAACTAAACTACGATTGTACTTTCTATATTCAATGGCATGCGACACGGTTTCTCGTGCTTGTGTCAACACTGCTTCCCACAATCCTCATTTTTCCCCTGCCCCTTTCAGTGCAGACACGGTCTCTTCTCGAGCTCATGACATTACCGACCCATCTTCTACCCTTGCGTTAAGGTTACTCGCTCCTGACAGTACTCTTTTGGAGGATCACAGGAAGCATCAAAACCAGAATCATAGCCAAAGACCTGCAATTGGCCCGCCAGTTGGTTCAGCAGTCATGTCACACCACTACCAACACCATGATGAGGACCAGGAGTACACATACGGCAGAAACAACCAATACAGTTTTTCGCAGCCATCCTTCAATCAGCCGTATTCGAACCATCAGGTTCTGGCACCCTACAATCATCATCCTGCAGAGACCACTTCCATTGCCCCATCATACTCATCGCACCAAGCAATATACTCACAAGCTCCACAACACTCTTCTCTCCTTACCCATACGTCCTCTGCGGGATACCAATGTCATCCTCAATATCTGTCACAGCCCAGATTTCCAGCGCCGCATCGTCTGTTTCCCATGCATGAACCTTTTTGGGAGGTGGAGATTGAAGCCCAAGAATCTTGCAATGAACAAACGGTTTTGTCAGAACCCGTTATCCCAGCCTTGGAAGGGTTCCCAGATGTTCGAGAATTTGATCAACTCATGAAGAGGTAAATATCTCTTTATATAGGCCGTCAATTCCAGCCGGGTCAACTACATAGAAGCTAATTGAGCCGAGCAGCTACGTTGACGATCTCTCCGTCAAAAAGCAAGATAAAGCTTTGATTCACTCTAGGAGAGCACGAAACATCAAAATTGTGCTTACTGATCCCAAGGACACTGCAATTGAGTCTGCCCAGTTTAGGTACGTCCTTTAACCCTTGGGTGGGGTTATAAAAGAAAAACTACCTTTGGATACCCTGAACCCCAGATAATATTCAACCCACCAGTTTACCTTCATGTCTAATGCTACTCTAGGTTTTGGGTGAAGAAAATGTTCAGACTTGAACCCAATGATAGCAGAACGCCTGTGGTTTGTCACGTCTTTCTAATTTTGCGCCTTTAAATCTTCAAATGAGGATCGTTTGCTAATAAACTTGTGTTAATTACAGTCGAGGAAAATGATATGTCATGAAGGGAAGCCAGTAGCAATTCGTGAAAAGCTTTTCAAAATCCTGACTCGAGCACACCAGCAATGCCAACACGGAGGTCGTGATAAGACCTCGGCCCAAGTCCGGCGGATATATTCATGGTAAGCCATACCGTTCGTGAGCCATGAAGCAGCGGGCGAACAACGTTGTTCTTCCCCTATTAGAAAGCTTGAACTTATTGACACACCATATTTATCCAGGGTCCCGAAAGAATTGATATCTCGCTTTGTTAAAATATGCCCAACCTGTCAGGTCCGACGAGGAGGATCTCGATTAACACCCCCAACTTCATGCAGAAGTTCTCCTAAGCCTGATCATGCCCTAGGCCCTTCACCATATCTCCTGTCACCGCCAGATTCCCGCCGAGAGTCTATTATCAGCAGGCCAGGGGTTCCATATCCCGCACGAGCAGAGGCTCCACACACCAATCACTCCAACATTCCATCTGCACTAACCTGGCCACCAACCCCACACCACACGAGCTTGTCAAGTCAATATCATAACTCACATATGCAACCTCTTCCTTCAACAGCCAGCAGCTGGGCTTCACTTCCCCGAACGCTGACATCGGGCAGTGAAACCAATGGTGCTGGAGGGGGTACCCATGGATTGTCGACAACATTGTCCATGCCTTCGAGCCATCTGGATTATCAGTCTACCTACGATGAAGCTCAACACCTCCCAGAACCCCATCATTATTAGGGACTTATAATTCTAGAAAGAACCTTTGGGTATCAGCCTTGGCTATTCCGCGGATTCCCTAGTATGGTACAAGGCATATTGAGACCAAGATTCTCTCTCTTTCGTTTTATCTCTGGCTTTATTTCCTTTCTCAATCCTTTTTTTTTTCTATCTCCCACATTTTCTCTTCATACCCTTTATATGACAAGGCCAAAGGCACATACTTGTTTCATTCTGGAATTTTATGATGGAAAAAATCCACCAAGGAAACCACAAAGAAGGAAATTCGTTCTAATATATCAATACTAATGACGGAAGCCCATGGAGACCCAAGAGCTCAAAAGTTACCCACAACATACATGACACTTTCAAACGTTTGGTTATGGGAAATTCGGGGTGTTAAATGGACATGGAAGCAATTTTTCAATGTTATCGCATGGAAGCACAGGGAAATACGGGCTGTTTGGGAACACTTTGACTACATATTTTTTGTTTTGAACTTTTTCTCCTTGGTTACCCTCTTTCTTGGTTCTCATTTTTCCTTTTTTTCCTACGTCCACTTTAGGTATATTATCGCTGTTCTCGATGCACGGGAAATCCGTATGAAGAGGGTTAAAGCTTTGTAATATCAGACTGGCCTTCATGTCAACCAAAAGGGTGATTCAAATATCCCTTTTAATTGCCGATGAATACCCTCTTACGCCTTGTAACTACCCGTTTTCTATGTTGTACTGCAGGAGGCTGCAGGAGCCTTGATGGTCTGGTCTCAAAAACTTGCTATACTAACTGGTTTATGCACTGGTTGTTTTCTTATTTTCGCTACTGCTTGAAGAGCCTAATACTTGGATAGGAGCATAAATCTAGGCTTCTAGAATAAGTAAATAATAGTAATACATAGCTTTTGTCTTAGGAGTATTGAAGACAACTAACAGTTAACCTTAAAAGGCAGCCAAAGTGGAAACAGGAAAAATAAAAATGAAAAAGTGATATCGAATAAGTTGAAAATCAATAGTCACATTCCTTCTAAAACAGAGAGCATGTGTTGACATTAGCCTAGCCTCATAAATGAACATATAGAGGGATCAAATTTTTCTTAGATATACCTAGTGACGGTATATTAGACAGCGCATGCATTACAAAGTGTCTTGTCAAGTTAAAATAAAATAAAATAAAATAAAATAAAAGATTCCCATACCGCCTGTGGTTAATTCCGTGACATAGGGTTTGAATGAGTAAAAAATTTAGCAGACCATCCTTCCTCATTGTAAATACTATTATCAAGGATAGAGGAAAGATTGTTTTGTAAGCCTGCGTTCCCTTAAAAGCGGTTTGGTGACTTATACTGGTAGGGAGAATTTCTGGCCCTTGAGAACCCTGTTGCAAGACGTGCCATTAGGTATATTGAATATAAACTGAAACATAGACGGGTTAGGGGAACTCACTTTTGGAAATAAATCCAGAAGAAATCGGCGTAAAGAACGGTTTGAATAATACCGGCGACCACAGCAATTGGGTCGAAGTATCCGTCGGAGAAGTATCGGTAGATCCAGTTGGGAATATACAGAGCACGGTATATGCCCAGTGCAAAGAGATAATGGGTTGTGATCGTCTCGGCTTCACCAGTTCGCTGAAGCATGAACAGTTGTGGCAAGATGGCAACTGACTCTAGCCAGATCGAAAAGGCCCAGAGCATCTAAACTCGAGATATTTATCGCATTAGACTTTCCGAATACTAATCTATTGGAGAACTCTGGAGATCACTCACCTCCGAAGCTGTATACTTGTAGGGGAACAAAATTCCCAGGACAGCACTAGCCCCGAGCAGATATACAACTTTGAAAGTATCAATGTTAGGGTCGTTGGTTGGTTTAAAATCATTGAGCATCAGATAAATGGTATATGCGGAAGAAGAGATAAAGAGAATTTTAAAGATGGTGTTGTAGGGCGAGCCGGTGAAGTTCCAGAAAAGGTCTAACAAGAACACACGTCAGTATATCGTTCATAATCTTGTTCTTGCCGGGAGTGGGTATATGATCGCGTAGAAGGGAACTAGGGGTAAAAAATACCAAGGTATCGAGTGACGTAGACTATCAGGTACAGCGATTGTGACTTGAATGATATGCCCGAACAACTCTGTAACAGCGTCAGTTTGCAATTGGAGCAAAAGATATAGGTCCGAATCGTGCGCATACGCTGGATGACTTCATTTTCTGGAGTAGAATAAAGATAGAAAGAAGGTGAGAGATGTCCGCTACAAGTAATGCCAATTGATTAGCCTGTTTGTTTTCGCAAACAAATCGACACTAAATAAGCCAACAACACCCAAGCTGCTTTAAAGAGCGTACCGAGGAGCCGGAAAATATTCATCTTGACGGTTGTGCCTGGCTGGCCTCGTTTTCCAGGGGTGTATAGATAGTATGCGACTCCGCGATCAGGGGACGGGAGCTAATGGCAGGCGTTTTGAGGCCAATTAGCGTGGGATTGTAGCTTAATCTGAGGCAGAAGACTCTTCTCCATGCAACCAGTGACCTTGCATCTGGCAGGTGAGCGCAATTTCCAGTTCCTTAATCTTGTAGAAGCTGCGTGAATGTTGAAATTTGAGAGGTGATAAGAAGTTGTTGATGTTGACACGAAGGCCACAAGATGCTTTTTTTATTTCCTTAATCAGCTTTAATTTGGACTGGTCAGAACGGGTCATGTGATTTATCGATGACGAGGCACGGCATTCATAGTAGCAGACTCGGTAGTAGACTTCAAAGAGACTATAGCCAGTGTTGTACTATAGGAACGGAGGGTCTAAAGTTGGCGTTGGGTGCAGTTTGTGCTGGTATGGATACTCCGTATGGACAGTTTAGCTGTTGGCCAGGCTATACTCCGTATATCTAGTTAACTAGTTAATAGCATGAGAGTGCAAAGCCAAACGACTCTATAGGTTACTGTTTCAATGTGGATCCAAGTAACGCCATATACTCCGTATTATTCCGTGCACTAGGCGCGATTCTCGACCTACATGGTATGCTAGACATATCTTCGGTCAAATATTGAAGGTAGCAAGTGGTCGACAATTTGGAAGAATGGCATCACGATTAGTCATCCATAGCTTTAATGCGGTCACATGACCTTATCTCGTTTGGGTAATTTACAACGTCAACGCAGAATTTATATAGAAGAGAGCTTCATTGCGACCTATTCCTCACTCGCTGGAGGGACAAAGAGGCTGCAGCCGAAAATTTCTAAGAAGATTGAATTTGCGCATTCATTTTATGCTATTAATCATAGAAATACAGCAAATGGAGAAGGATGCAGATTTAGAGTAGGACAGACCCTGCGGAATTGAACAGCACCAAAAACCAAACCAAACCATACTATGCAGTCCCACAGCTCCCGAACCCTTTTAGGTGGTAAGCCTCTACCAAACGCCTAGATATGATATTTCCCGAAGATAACAAAAGGGTACAAGGAACATTAAAAGGCAACACCGCCTCCGATGCCTTCAGTTTCGGACATCCTCTGGAGATGACTGTCTGCTAGATCTGTTCTTAACGCAGCAGTCTCGCTTTCTCTGCATAGTTTCTCCCACTCACGAAGGCATGCCCGCTTTGCTCTCTGTTTTTCAGAGATTTGGTCTAAAAGTTTCTCTTTATCCGCTTCTAGCTGGGCCAATCGCTTCTCCGTTATGGAATCTAAACCTGACGGTAGTAGCTTTCCTCCTGGAATGATAGAAGAGAGGCCGGCTAAATGATTAGTAGGCCTAGGCGCACGCGGATAATTTGTCGACACTCCACTCCCATGTCTGAAGGGTGGCCGTGGCCTAGAGTCATGAGCAACGCCAGGGGCAGGACTCCCTCCTGCACCGCGAGGGCCGGATGGAGGATGTGCGTGATGCTGGGCGGCTGGGGCATGGGAACTGCCACGTCGTACCATGCTAGGACCTGAGTTAGGACCGGGTCTTCCAGCTTCACGAGGCCCAGTGGGAGGTCCATCTCTGTTGAAAACTGCTCCGGATGCACCCTTGGGCCGCGTTGGAGCAGATAGGAGAGCCATATGGCCTCCACGCGCGGGCTGTCGCATCGACCTTGAAGCCGCAGAAGGCCCAAGGGGTGGGGACCTTCCTTCAGGGGCATTTGCACTTTGGGATTGGATTGATAGATTGCTTTCAGTGCGAGGGCCCATTGAAGGTCTCCCTGAGGGATTCTGATTACGGTCGTATTCATTATCGACGAAGGGTCTTTGTGGTTCGTTTGAGCGAGGCGATTGTAGCTGATGATTGGTCGAGGGCCGTCTTGAGGGTGATGCGGGGCGGCTAGAGGGCCTCCTATTTCCTTCGGAAAAACGAGGTGCACTTGTGTAGGGATGAGAGCTATCATATTGCGGTCGTGATATAGAGGGTGGGCCATGCCCTGACGGAGTTGAGTAATTTCGATTCATTCGTTCCGGAGCTGGAGGAGAGGATCGCCGAGATGTTGCTGCGGAGCCATGCGCAGAGTTCGGACCAGAGCGCTCCGTGATAGATGGTGATCGTGGCGGCGGCGGCGGCGGCGGCCCTCTCGCGCCTGTTGGATCCCCACGGGAGCTTCGTCTATCAGCACTTCTTGACCGCCTACGGCCATTCATCCTTGGATCTCGCTGCTGTGTAATCTCGTTGAAGGGTGGAGACCGTGGCCGTTCAAATCGATTTCGCGGAGGTGAATTATTTCGCTCTCTCTTTGGTGCACGAGGTGCGTTGATGGCTGAAGGGGAAGGGTCACGGCCACGCCTCAAACTTGGACTCCGATTCCTATCAAACGGCGGAGGTGATCGTGATCTTCTATTAAACCTCGGAGGCCTATCACGACTTGGAGATGGCCTCCTGAAAGGAGAGCGAGGCCGGTTCCCAAAATTAGGGCCTCTCTCACGACCTCTGAATAAGGGGCTCCTTGACCGTGGCCTGAAGTTGCCTGGGGAACGACTTCGTGGCCTAGGCCGGCTTGGAGGTGCCCATGTATCTGCAGATGATCTCATCGGCGAGCGGTTACGAGGTGGAGAGCGAAATGACCGATTATCAGGACGAGGGGAGCGACGAAAATTGCGTTCAAGCGGGCGGTAGCTCTCACCTCCGCGGCGAGAATCGTCGAATCTAATGTAGGTGTCAGCACCATGGACATAGTATAAATAGCCATATGCGAGGTATTCCATCAAGCTGTGATCCATTAACAAGCTGACGGGTATTTCTTGCGAACCTTCTGTCACGATCCATGGCTGCCAGCAATTCACAGCTGCTTGGAAGTGGCGCTTGAGCGTGGAACTCGAAAGGTGTCCGGAAATTAGCAGCGCCGTGACTGCCTAGCGAGCGTCTTGGAAGAGGATACAGCTAATCAAGCTCAAAGATGATGTCGTAACCACAATCGACAAGGCCACGTCTTGCCTTGTAGAATCTCGCGGCTTGCTCTCTTGATGCTCTTAGGTATCAAAAACCGCGATCTTTGCCGCCGAGCCGCTAATCCCTATGGGGATTAGGCGACATGGCGCTTAATTATCATCACGTGTTTATACCCCTGTTTAGAGCAAGGGGAAACGTCAAAGCTTTGATACGTAGAAGGAATGGTCAAAGTCTGGATTACGTAGATTTATGTCTGTATAAGCATGACCGGCTGCCAAATAGCTTGCCTGTGACCTCCTTGATTTTCTTTCTTCCAAAAAAACGCTCATAGTTTTCGTGTATTATAAACTCTAACTCCTGTCCATACTGTACATATTTGACACCATTGGCTTACCGTTTAGCTCGCCTCTCTTCGTCTTTCTTTAATCGTTTCCGACTTTCACTCGCAATCATATCACTGAGATCTTCTTGGAACCAGTTCGGGTTCTCTTCCTGTTTCTTCTGTGAATTGTAAAGGTTCTTTAGGCTCTCCTTGTCCAGCCCATGTCCCTCTAGAGCTTCAGGATCCACGGCTACATCAACATCACCAGGTCTCTTTCTCTTTCGGTTCTCATCCTCTTCTCCAAGAACTGGAAGATTGGCTGTGGTTCCTTTGAGATCGTAAACCCTGTCGCCCCCAAAGAATCCTTTGACTTGAGTCTCACGTTCGGGAATGACTTGGTACGCTGAGCGTGGCTGCGACGACTCTTCTGTTTCGGTGCCCCTATGGTGTTTCCGAACATCAAATTCACCGGCAATGCTCTGTGTATCTCCGTACTCGGAGGGTATAGATGAAATCATGCCACTTGGAGTCTCCAGACCACTTGGCGTTTGTAACCCTGCACCAACATCTTCTTCATCCTCGTCCTCGTCATCTTCTTCTTCACTCTCCTCTTCTTCTTCCTCCTCTTCTGGTGGTTGAAGCTCTCCCCATAAATCCTTCTCGACAGGCTCTCCTTGCTGTACGTTTTGCTGGGTTTGTAACACGCCAAAGATATCACCACCATACAGAGGTCTGTTGTGTTCATCAACTGGAGGTTTCCCGTATCCTCCGGGATGGTAACCCCACATTGCACCTGGAGGTGGCGGGGCATTGAGACCAGGTATTTTAATCGCAGGGTATGACGGTGGAGGGCCAAATCGTTGCTGGTTAATTAGCCAAGGTGGTGGAGCTCCCGGGGGTATATTTAGCGCTTCCTTTAACTCATCACTGAGTTCTCCGGGTCGGAGATGCTTCAAGTTTGTCTCAAATTCCTTTCCTTCATAGTAAACCTCACCATATCTTGTCAGCTCCGGCTTCGTCTGGAATCGAAAAAACGCTTCGTAAAGTTTCTGATAATCGATGTCGAGTTTCCCCATCTTAGGCTGTACTCTCTCACGCTGTTTTTGTTTAAGAGTCTGTTGGTCCTGCTTTTCTAAAACTGCATCTCTCATTTCAGCAATACCCGTTTCCTGGATGAATTTGGGGAGTTGAAATGCGGCCTTCTCAATTCCTCTCTTCGAAGACAAGTATTCGCGTTTTAATGACCAATGGCCTGGCACAGGGACAACATTGCGATAAGTCTTGATATGGACTAGAAGCTTCGGATCTGAGGCATCGGCGTCTGTCCACTCCACAGCCTCAGGTTTTCGAACCATAGCCTTCAACTCAGCAACAGAGAGTTTATTCATCTGCTTCCGCTTCTTCTTCGAGATTTTGGTTTCCGCATTATCCTCTTCCTCCTCATCTGGAATGTCATCTTCATCAAAGTATATCTCAGGTTTATCGGACTTCTTAACGGTCGAGTCTTCGGCTTCGCTTTGCTCGAACTTCCCCATCACATCCTGATATAACTGAAACAGCTCATTGTCGGCTTCAGCTGGCGCGAACATAGTTGAAGCATAGTCGAGTTCGTCATTTTGTTTTGAATTGTCTGGCTTGCTCTCAGTTTTCGTGGTATTTGTGACAGCAGCAGGCTCTTCGGCTTGAGTCGTTGGTGTCTCAGTGTTACTTCTGGATTGCTCCTGTATCAAATATGTTAGCTTGAGCATCTCATGATGATGGTTTCCAGGGCGACATACCTCAGCCTTTTTCGCCTTCTTCTTCGCTCTTCTTTGCTGGTTCTTCGACGGCTTTGCGGCCACGGCAGGCATGGTGAAAAAAGTAGTGGCTATCACAGCCCAAATGCGCGCTTGTGGAAGGTCAAACCGATAAAACACGGAATCGCAATATGCGCGAGATAGGGTAAGGTTATAAAACTGGTATCTGATTGTTAGTAGAATGCGAGTTGCAGCGGTAGTTGTGTTAGCTATAGCAAGAGAATCGATAGATTTCGTGGTAAAAGGTAGCTGTGGCGCGCTCTCCGTATATCACGTGATATATATATATATATATTTTTTTTTCCCTCCTTGAGCTAAGTGAGATAAAGTGCCTAGGTATTTGCTATTTGCTAGGTCATCTTCATTAGAAATAGAAGATGACATTAGGCTACTTGAGGATTCAGCATATCTTAGGAGTGGCCATCATAGAAGTAAAGTAGTGGCGAAGTTAAATAATAAAATATGTTGTCCATTTGAGAAGACAGAGGCCCTTCATTACCTGATGCCAAATGTAGAAATTCCTTGTAAAACAAACCCGTTTATAGTACAATACACATCTAAAATAATACCTGCAAACCCACTACCTCTTCTTCTTCGCCGATTTGGACTCTATAAATTGATCCAGTTAGTACTTGGGGAGAATTTATGAAAGCAAACTTGCGAAGTTACGGATGCAAAAGCTCCTAATCACTCAATATGCATATGGGTATGATAGTGCGGTCCACCTTTCGGTAGAACAAGGGTTAATCATACCTGCAGCTGTGCGTTTCTTCTTTGGCGCTCCCTTTCCACGGAGTTTCCGTCTGTAGTCAAAATGGTTATCATTTGTCCCGCACAAGGGATGCCCCGGCTTCACTGCCAGAGGCTATAGGTATATGATATGTGAGGGATATCGTACATTTGCTTCATTTCCTCGTGATGTGACCTCAATGGATCGAAAGTAGTGAGGCCCATGGGTCGGTAGACCTTTTCGAGGTCTTCAAACGTTACGGTCTTTCTAGGGTAATATGATGCAAGAGTAGCTCCGCGTAGTCTTTGGCGTAGGATCTTATTTCCAAGTCGAAGGTTTTCGGGATTGAACGTGTGGGAGAAAATGCGGCATTGGGCCTAGGCGGATCGTATCAGTTGAGATATCTTTAATCCAAGAAAATGCCATCCACACGCGACAAATTTGAGCATTAATCGGAATCCAAATGGGTGCATACCTTTAGCAAATCCAGCATCCGCGACCTAGGAGCCGCCATTTTGTGAACTGTGTGGGTCGGAATCGAATTGGCTTGAACCTGCTGCGGTGAAAAGGACGAAGTCTTGCCTTCTCATCAACGGTTTTCGATCAATCTCGAAATCCGCGTTTAGAATTTCTATTCTTGGCATGCGCGCGGCTAGACTTGCCGAGTCTTCTCCAACACCAGAATCTCACTCCGAAGCTCCAAAGTCACAAACGGTTCAGATTTTATCAGCCTACCAAGTAGGATATTTCTTATATCTTTATTCTAGAATGATGGGGACTAAACGCGTGTCAGAAGCAGAGAGCTCTCAAAATAGCTCCCAGAATTCTAAGCGGATAAAAAAGGAAAAGGTATGTAGCTATCCAACGCTAGCAATCCTCTGAGAGTCGGTTTAAATAACTTACAAATATTTTCTGTAGAAAGGATCGCAAGAGAAAAAACATGGCGAAACACGGACGAATGGCTATTCCGAGGACAAACTCCCAGTTCAGTTTCAGCTTATACAGCTTCAAAGACTTACCCAAGATTTACTCGCACAATCAGATAATATTGAAACTACGGAAAAAGAAAATGCGAAAGACTTAATAAAAGGGTTGAAACGTATAAATAAGGCGTTCGAGAGTTCAGAAAATACGTCAACAAATCATACCAAACAGCTACCACTCCCGCATATACCGAGTGATTTACCAACGCCGGCCGTCACACCAAAGGATGTCAAACTACCACTGTTGCCTCCTATTGGAGACGAAGCATTGAAAACAGCTGTGTTTACACATACCGGCATCATGGAACGAGGACCAATTTCCACCCAAACCTCAGAGAAGACATACGACAGGCTGGAGGTACTAGGAGATGCATATATCGAACTCATCTCGACCAGATTGATATGGGAGAACTTTCCCACCTTACCTGCCGGGAAAATAGCACAAGCTCGAGAAACCATGGTCAAAAATGAAACATTGGCTGAGTATGCCATAGCATATGGCTTTGATCAGCGACTGAAGACCAGTTCGGATATAAGGAGTGTCCCGAAACGATGGACAAAAGTAATGGGCGATGTCTTCGAAGCATATGTTGCAGCGGCAATCATAGCTGATCCCAAGGGTGGGCTTCAGGCAGTAGAAAGCTGGCTGACTCAATTGTGGCTGCCAAAACTCGCGGAAGTGAAGGTCCCTTTGGCATCAGTGGCACTAGCGCAAGGCAGCAAGGCTTCTCTTAAAGACAAGCTTGCAGCCACTGTCATGAGCAGAGGGATTAAGCTGCAATATCTTGACGAGAAGCCACGTCAGCGTGAGGGTGGATTGGTTACTTCTTTTATTGGCGTTTACCTTACCGGATGGGGCTACGAGAAGAAGCTCCTGGGATCTGGCAGTGGTTTAAGCAAGTCTGAGGCTGGCAACGAGGCTGCACTCAATGCTTTAAACAATAAGCCTCTGATTGACCAGATCTCCGCGAAGAAACGCGAATATGACCAGAAGATGGCAGCTCAGAAGGCAGCGGCAGCAGCCACATCGAGTGCAGCAGAGACAAGCTAAATCTCTCTGTGTATGCCTGATGACAGAAATATGGCTCATGATCAAGGAGTATCTGAAGCCCTCCTTGGTACCCATGTAAGTCCACCCATCTGGGCTGAATGAGTTTACATATGTACCAACATGGGACACTTCAGGGCTCCCCACAGGGTTCTTCTATACGTACACTTTTTGGCATGATGGGCCCAAGAATTTTCGGCCAGCCTTCCATACACAGCCGCAAGACGCGTTATTATTACTAGAGAGTGGACTTGGTGGAATCTAAACCTCTTTTTGAAACAAACAGACATTCCATGGATGACATTATGGACTATCTAGTCACTCTGCCGACGCTCGCATCTCCTGAATAAAAATAGAATCCCAACGGGGCTCTGCGGCGCCCCTGATTAGTCATCCTGACCGACCAATCGCATCCATATCCGACGAGCCTCCCAGTACCGAAAACCCGTCATGCAACTGCGCAAAATCCGATGTTCAGCACAGAAACCTGCATCAAATTTAGAGCTTGCATGGGCTTCCTAATCCGATCTAGACCAACACAGCTGTCAAATTTTTACGGCTCTCGTCTGGTTTTTGCTGTAAGTTGACGTCGGTCAACATTGCTAGCTGTGTCGATAATGTTATTACTTCTGTAGTTACATGGTATAACTAAAATGCGCCATACAATGAATGGCTGCTAAGAGTACATATTTTTGTCTTCACGGCTTACGCGTGTTTCTGAAGTGTTGCATATTCGAAACTATAGCTATCCAACCCCCGGTTGCTACGCTCTCTGGTAGGATCCGAATTGATCTAGTTATATCAAAGTTGCAATGAAATGGGACTGATTGAACCTTTACCTTGTTAAGACGCTCGATATTTTCGTTGCGATGTTCAATTCTTGGGCCACCTGAGGCTCAGCAGGCAAGCGCGTTCCCATTATGGTTATCTCTCGTATGCAATGCTTCGTCGTGGATTACGAATCCTCAGTCCTCAGAAATAACCATCGTGTGGGGCCAGGCAGATGTTTTTCGTTTCTCGTAAGGCTTAAATGCGAGCAATGCGAGGTTGGTACATGTGTCGTCAGGGGATACTGCATAGCCTCTCCCATTGGGAAAATGGGTCGATGTATAGCGCTGTCCACGGCTGTTGGAAACGTGTCAAAGACAGCGAAAGGGAGATATAAAGTATCTCTCTCTTTCGCATTTGTTGTACCCTCTATCATAAAATGATATAGCAATTGCTTTGGCATAACGTCTCAATCTAGTTCCTTTCTCGTTTTTAGAGTATAGTTATTGATACACATCTTCTTCACTCTTATATATTGCCAAAGCTCTGAGCCTCACCCTGCACCGACCAAGCCCTGAGAGTCCGCCAAAAATGTCCGACCAAAGTCTCTACTTTTACAAGGCCTCCTTGCCAGCAGCAGCCGTCTTCGCAGTGCTCAATGCTATACCGGCAACTTTCCTCTTCTACACCACGATTGTTGGCCCCAAGACCGGCAAATACCGCAATGCCTCGTTCTTCATCCCCTTATGTATTGGTGGCCTCATGGAGGTATTGGCATATATCATGCGCTGCATCAGCATCAAGATGGACAGAGTCATCGCCCTCTACGCTGTGTCAAGCAGTCTCATCGTTGTTGCGCCGGTTCTAGTTTGCGCAAGCCTCTACCTCCTCGTCGGTAGGCTGGTCAGAGCCGGTCTCCCATCTGCAGGAGGGCAACAACGCATTCTAGGGATTAATCCCTGGTGGCTGCCGCGTATATTCGTTACTTCAGATATTCTGAGCTTCTTGACACAGGCTTCTGGAAGTGGAATTGCGGCGTCTGGAAACTGGATGGGAGACACAAAAACAACCGGTGAAAATGTCTTGAAGGGCGGTTTGGCTCTACAGCTGATCACTTTCACCCTATTCCTAGCTTTGGTTGCTCGATTCCATAGCCGTGCCAATGCTGCGTCTAAGAGTGGCATCGACAGCGGCGTTTTCAAGGTACTGCTGGGAATATATATATCGGGATTCTTCATCGAGGTAAGGGACATCGCATCCGCCGGGGAATTTCCGGCCCCTTACTCTTGTTTGCTGAACGCTATCTTCTAACCACTCTGTAAACAGGTTCGATGCATCTACCGTCTCATCGAATTCATCCTAGGTATTGATGGATATCCTTTCCGCCATGAATGGCCCCTATACGTGCTTGAAGGCCTGCCCATGCTCTTCGCAATGTTCGCACTCGCATACTTCCATCCTGGAAAATGGTTACCAAGAGAATCGTTGAATTCGGAAACAGACACCGAGGAGATGCAGAACAGGAACAGGTATTAAGTGGTAGGCTGACATCATCTTTGCTTCTGTTGCCTTGATGGGTTTCTTTCTTCAACTGGTGATTAGTGGTTATATATTCTCATCAAAAAATGCCTTTTGGAACCACTTTTTTTCCCCCTTGACACCCACCTCTTCCTGTTTAGTAGCCTAAAACGGCGAGCTTGGTTTTATTTTGTTGATCGTGATATTAATCTGGGGATGAGCTAGCGAGGCGTGTCGGGTATTGTTGTATGTATCGGTAGTGTTATTCTCCCATCATTGTATTTTTGCACATAGCCCAAAAAGTTTGTTCGTAACTTGCTTCCCACGTCGTTTGAAAATATTTTGTACTCCGTCCCCCAATGGGCAATAGACTCAACAGGCCACCTCACATACTTCTTAAGGTGAGGTGGCAGTTTCCTATAAATGACATCTACCCATTGAACTTGGTATAATGTCACTTCAGGCATTCTTGCGCGCTCAGGAATAACGGATAGTAACATTGGTACCATCATTGTCTCAATGGCTATATGGTGGGCAAATAGGATGAGAGTCAGGGTATTTTCAGCCGAAATGAATTTTGAAAACTGGCTTGTACTAAGGCTGTACCATGCAGAGTAGTTTTTCTCGTATACTTGGAAGGTATCTTCAGAAGAATTTTGGGCGGCAAAAAGGGTATCTAGAAGACATTTCCAGAAATAGGTGTGAACTTCATCTTCCAGCAGAGGTACTAGTGACTGCACCGATTCAATCCCACTTTGTAATAGAATTGGGTTGATTCTTAAAGCGTTGGTGACCTTGGGGAAATACTCAGTAAGATCGGCAGTCTCGTCAAGGGGAAATATACTTTTGCTAGCATTCTTTTGCTTTATCTTCGTTGTGATTAAAGAACAACCACGGATGAATACCACGAATTCAACAAGGGCATCGAACATGTATCCGGATTGCATAGTGAGAGCGTAGCAGGCCGCAAGCATAGCATCCAGCTCTTTACTGTTAAGATCTGGCTTCGCCATAAGCCGATTAAGGCCATTTATTGCCAGTCCCCGGTGTTCAATCGCATTTGTATCCGTGATCGGATCTCTGTGTGGACGAATGACAGAAAGATGTGATGCACCTAGTCCAAGAATAGCATGCATAACAAATTCATACTAATATTGAGCGGTTAATTTAGTGGGTAGAGAACTCTAACGGGGGGATTGCACTATTTCGTGGAGGGCGGAATTACCTGGTGGGCAAGGAGTGGGATAGATGCTACCCAGGCACTATCACTGCCAAATGGGAGATATGGATGAGCTACCAGCAGATAATGGTGAAAGAACCCCATGTCCTGGACCGAGAAAGATGTTGGATTTGGTTGAAGTCGAATAGCTTCAGTAGCCCCATTATTATAATCGTCACCCCGTGCGCCACGCGTGGGGTACTCGCATTCGAGGTGTTTTGATATGCAGTTTTCGCATTCGGGCTTCGTCTCCGAACACTTTTCGACGTGGTCAGCTGAGAGGCTTGGATTTCTGAGAGCTTTTAACGGACCTTAATTTTGCGTGACTTGCAATTATAACATCCAAAACGAGATTTTGTGTGTGGCCGTTTGGAAACAGCTCTTGCCTGACTTCTCGAAGCAATCATGTTAACTATGCCCTCGAGTGAGAAGAGTTTGGTAAAGTAGCGCCGAAGCAGGAAGTGTCTGCAGGTACAAGCCCGCTGTACAGAACTGCCAGCTAGTATACCCTGCAGAGTATATATACTGTTGGCACAATATTGCAGCCCCAAGGTGACGAAAGCAGTTTACGTAGTCGTCCTCCGGATGATAGCTAGGCGGTGGCCCCTTGCAGCCTGGTCTAGAAGATTGCAACACGAGGATGGGCGGCACCCCCAAATATATGTGAATTAATATCCTGGAGATTGATGTTGCCGTAGGGTTAAGTTCCTGGTAAATGAAGGCTGTAACGAGCTTGATGATTCACATTGCAGAATGAAGCATCGAGGTCGAGCTTGTTCCTCAAGATCCGAGATCTATTAATATCCGCCAATAATCGTACTAGCCGAATAGTCAACTAATTATTTCCAGCTGAAGCAATAAAATCCGAAAAGAGCGGATTGTCAACTGTGTGCTGGTGATGTGAACTGTTGATATAGAGATATCAACCGTTTGCATCTTCATCTGAAAGGTGGTTGTAACTGTGAGTTATAAATTGGCATGGGTTACTCGACTTGCTGCATCATTTACTTTTGGGCACCTGCAGCCAGTTTCGCAACAGGCCTAACTACCGAGGCCGAGGGTACGGAGTATAGTTGTCTGGCCTGTGGCCGGCCAAGCTGGTGTCTGTCAGGATGTATGCTGTTTCACCTTTGAAATCTTCACTGTCCCTTGTTAGTTAACTGGTTAACTAGTTAACGTCTGGATCGCGGTTCAAAGGGGCAGTATCTTGTGAACACTAGTAGCCAGGTAACTATCACTCTCGTAAGACTGCCTAGAAACTATTAGCATTCCCTTATAACTCATTACAAGCCGTCCATCTCCGGAAGAGATACATTACGCCATCAGTTAATTATGATCAATTAACTAGTCATTTCTTTTGTAAACCGCCCTATACAGCATGACTGAAGAAGGGGATCTTCGGGAAGGATTGTCTCGGCGAGGGTCGCGACGCGGGTAAGAAACCACTAGAATACTGGGGATGAGGATTCTATTGGAGGGATGGGGGCATCCTCTACCTTCATCCAGGACCTGGGGGGCTGGAATTGCAACGTCTTCGAGATATAACACAGATTTTCAACCTTCTTGCCTGGAAGTGTGTTGGTTGTTTAGTTACGTATGGAGTAGTGAACTCAGAGGTTGAAATATAAAAAGGAGCGGCCCGAGCTCGGGCTTTCCCGTGAAATATTTTAGTTACGATCCAGAGATCAAACATCCAACAAACGGATTTATCAACAACCCATATACCTCACAACCAAAGATGTTCGCCCGGAGACGTCTGTTAATCTCAGTGAAGGCGGTTCGGCATTTCGCTGCCTCCGCCAGATCATCGCTAGGTTTGGCACATCAAGTCTTCGAAAACCCCCAAGCTGCCGGAACCAATGGGCGGCCGATTATATTCATGCACGGCCTCTTTGGATCCAAGCAGAATAACAGGGGTATGAGTAAGTAAGAAGAGACCGTTCTGCCCTATTGCTGGCATGCTACGCTTATTTACTGATGCATTGTGTACTTGATGCAGGGTTTTGGCGAGCCAATTAGGGACATCGGTCTATGCCATTGTACGTTGAGCAAGAATCCCAAATGGACAGGTTCCTTAGATGAGAATTCACTGCTGACCGGATTTATGGCCCATTTAGGACCTTCGAAATCATGGTGACTCTCCGCATGTGCCGGAGCATAACTATGATGTGATGGCGGACGATGTTGAATCATTCATAAAAGACCGCAACCTGGAGAAACCAGTTCTACTGGGGCATTCGATGTTAGTAACTACTCAAAGGTATCATTGTCTCTGATGGAACTATGAGTTGCTAACAACTGTATCAGGGGCGCCAAAGCAGCTATGCATCTTGCTCTTCGGGCACCGGATCTGATCTCTGCGATTATTTCTGTGGACAATTCCCCAACCAAGACCAAACTAAGTGAAAACTTTCCAGCATATATCAAAACCATGCAAGAAATTGAGAATGCTGGCGTAACCAAGCAGAGTGAAGCAGATGAAATCCTGCGGCGTGTTGAACCCGTTTGTTTCCCATTGACTATTTCAACCCGTTTACGTATGCACCCCAGCTGACAGTATACCTATAGTCGCTTCCTGTCCGGCAGTTCCTTCTTACAAACCTTGCCAGAGATCAAAACGGACAGACTTTGCGATTCAGAATTCCATTGTCAATTCTTGGTGAATCATTACCACTTCTAGGAGATTTCCCATTTACTCAATCGGATGCTGTTCAATTTAGCGGCCCGGCCCTCTTCCTCCGTGGAACGCGAAGTCGATATATCACTGATAAATCGTTTCCTATTATTCGGCATTTCTTTCCGAATTATAAGCTAATGGACATTGACGCTGGCCATTGGCTTATATCTGAAAACCCCGACGCTTTCAAGACAGGCATGTCAAACCCATAGTTGCAATATTATTACAAACCGTTGCTAACTCTTGCAATAGCTGTCGTGAATTTTATGAAAGCTCTACCTTGAGCATTAAGCAACATCTAGTCTTATTCGTTTGTAGTTGCATGTGCTGGGGACGATTGAACATAGATTATAAATATAGAGTATTCCGGCTTAGAAACCTTTTGGCTGCCATTAATGTTTGTCATTGTTACGGGATGCGTCGATTACAATTTACTAGTTAATATGCTGAAAAAGAATACAGGTCATGCTTGATTTTAATCGTGAACTGTCTGAATACGGAGGCATAAAAGAGGTTTGGGTAGCATAGTCAAAACACCGAAGAGGGTGCAGAAAGAATTAAACGGCAGCGCCCTTTTGTTATTTCCCCTTTAAAGAAAAATAAGCTCTGCCATTTATATCAAGGACCATACACAAGGGGGGAAGGGCGTTAAATTCATTATTTTTTTAATTCCCTCCCAGCTCTCAAATATGACCTAAAACTGACCACGACTCCTCCCGCTGTTATTTCCGTGGTAGTAAAAGAGACATTATCTTAGATATTTAGACGCTGTCCAAAACCTTCTCCTTGAATTCCCGCTCGACCTATTGCAGATGAATTAATAATGAGCTTGGGAAAAGTATATACAGTAATGTTGATGGATATAACTCACCTTCTGTCCCTTGTCATCAGTGCTGGACTCGCCATGGAGAGCCAAGAGAGCGCCCAAATCGAACTTGGGCGACTTGAGGAGCTTGACCTTGCGGATGTGAACCTATATTCGCTTATCAGTATAACGGTTCGTCTGTAAATGTTGGCTAGAAGAAGGGCCTAACGTACGTTCTGGAGTGGGTAAATGCCCTGGGTGGACTTCTCGATTTCGCGGCCGATAACCTCAGGGACGAGCTTGGTGAGCTGGGTGAGAGTGCAGCTGGAGGCCTGGCGCTGGATGATCTCGGTCATCTTTTTGCGAATGGCACGAATCTGAGAGCTCTGGGCATAGGTGGTCTTCTTGATCTGGTTTGGTCGTCGCTTGGTGAAGGCAATGGCGAAGAGGCGGACGAGGTAGTCATCGGTGGTCTTAACGGTGACGTTGGCCTCGATGAGGGTTTGCCATTTGCGGACAAGAGACCGGAGCTTGTCAGATGTGAAGTCCAATCCGTGGAAGTTGGTCAAGCAGTTCTTTCCCTGGACTTCATCGACACGTAGCTTGATCTTGCGGAAGGAGTGGGCTTCATCCTTCTGGAGATCGGCGAGGGAGACCTCGAAGACACGGCCCTTCAAGTAGTCGTTTGCGTTCTTGAGACCAGTGGTTCGGTTGACGAGAGTTTTACCAACACTTGACACAAATCAAAATCAGCTCGCTTGTTCTTCTGTGTTGGATTCTAGATGGGGAGAGAATTTTTCAGTTATCTGGATGGAGGGTCATACTCTCGGACTTGGAAGGTGGTAGGGGCCTATATTTTTATATCAACTCGTTAATTATCCATATCCGAATGCGATAAGATCGCATTGTTGAAGGAATCAAGAAGCCAGCACTTACCTTCACGAGGTACTCATCCTTTCGTGTGAAAGGGTCCACGGTTCTCTTCTTGAGGCCCTTCTTGCCCTTCGATAGACGCTTGTTCCTGTGTTCGCGGCGGTTAGAGAAATTTCCTGCCAGCGATTAACATGCTGCATAGAAGGAGATGCTCACTTTCCAACAGCCATGATTGCGATTCGGGGTCTATCTTTTGCAGTTCCGAAAGACAGACAATCCGCTGGGCGTCGATGGGTTCAAATCGTGGTGGACGTTGTCGGCGTGTGATATTGAAATCAAAAAAATCCCACAAACTTCCCACTAAGCGAGTTGTGCGCGCTAACCCATTTCCGATTGTGTGCTTATGTAAGGTGTTGTATTTACTTCTGCGCTAAACTTAATTGGGACATCTGAAGAAATTTGTCATGATTCATGATTATGTAATTTATCTCTACTGAACTCAAAACTCGCTATGTAAAAAAGTGTGCAATTCGTATCTCAAGAAGTTCAAAGATGCAACAACAAGAGCCTGCCCTTCTAAACAAGACCGTAGATGGAGGTATTCAAGAGTGCAAGATTCATTTGAGGTAGTGAATCTGGCCGTCGAAAGTGCCCGGTTGTTCGATCAGTGCTATTAACCCGGTGTTAGAACCTCGATACCCAAATAATATGACTGGATAACTCACATCAACGTCATCCCATTGGCGTCCTTGGACATTTGACAGCTCCTCCAAATTCATGACTTTACCGCTTGTGACTGTGGAGGTTAAATTTAGCATGAGCACGCCTTAGGTATGTAGAGGGAAAACGTACAGTAACCTGCATGGATCTTCGCATCGATCTCGACTCTACTGTCCTCTGGTATCAATTCGTCCGGAATAGGTACTCGTTCAATGATCGGAATGCCTTGTTCGACAATTGCATCGTGTTTCATGCTGGGCAAAAATTAATTATATTTTCACACTAAGAACTTGACGGGCATATACATACTTGGACATGCTGAGCATTCGATCAATCTTGGTGATACCCAGCCAATGCAAGATCTATATGGTGGTTAGTTGAAATCACTACTGTTATTGACGACAATTTCAGCACTTACGTCTGGCATGAGAGCTTGGAAGCGCATATCCTACTACATCTTAGCACATAAGCTTGGATTAAGAGTAACTAGGGACATACCTTAACACCGGCGATATTCTCGGTTCTCTTGAAGTACTCGCTTGCACCTTTAACCGGGTTAGTAATACTCAAGGAATTAGAAGGAAAAATGACATACGATCAGTGCCTCGTTTACCTGAGTAGACGTTGGTTAGCATGCAATTCGATGGCTGATGGACCGAGTGAACTTACGGGCATTATAGACCAGGTATTTGGTCACTTCACCAAGAGCTCGTCCTTCCTTTCGAAAATATATGACAACACCGCTGCCACCCTTTTGGGCTTCCTTGACAGCCTCTTCGACTCCAAAGATCAGGTACGGACGGCAGGTGCAAATGTCAGAACCGAACACATCACTACCATTACACTCGTCATGGACGCGCAGAGCAAGCTTGGCATTCAGGTCGGACATTTTTGCAGGATCGCCGAAGATGTAAGCCGTTAAGCCTCCAATTGGCGGTAGGAACACTTTGATGTCTCCTCGGGTAATAAGTTCTGGGAATGATCCACCGGTGACCTCAAAGAGTGCACGGCGCAAAGTGCCCTCATCTACAATCAAAGCAGTTAGCGCAGGCCAATAATAGGCGGAGAATAGAGGACTAACCGATGCCAAACCGTTCAGCCACTCCGGGAAGATACCAGACAGGCTCTACGGCGACCTTGGTAACAGCCAACTCTCCGGTCTCATTGAGACAGATTTTCCCATCGGGCACTAATCTGCCTGAACGAACACTGTCAGCAAGCTCCGGCAATTTCATGTGCGCTCGGGTAATGGCGATAGTCGGACGAATATCCAGCTGGTGGTCCGTCCTCAATTCTTCGAAGAGCCATGGTGCAAGATGGCCCCACGGGTCCATGGCAACGATCTTTTTCTTATCACCCCATTGTGGGAAAGGTCCAATTTTCGTTGCAGGTTCGGTATTGGTAAAGTCTGGCCGATGTTCGGTATCTAGATTGTTGCTGGCGACTGCGAGAGCATGGTAGATGGAGTAAGACCCCCCGTGCGCCCCGATGGCTGCAGTAGAAATGAGGCTTATTAGCGGTGAACTAGTAAGTGCTGAAGGAGTGACGTGTCACCTACCATTTCGTCTCCGAACAGTGTCATACTGTCTGCTCACAACAACAGGCCCTCTAGCCTTTGGATCCATGTTTCCCCAGTCCATCTTGATAGGATCAATGCCTGATTGACCTGGATAGGTGGTGAGGATTATGCGAGATGTCCCCCCACGCTTTGGAGATTTAACTGCGGTGGGTGATCTGGGCACACCTGTGGCGTCCTCTGCAGCAGACTTCAGACGTCCCTCCTCCCCAACGGCAGATGTAGGCATTGACCCCGGTGGGAATTCTCTATCCAGCGCTTGGTCTTCTGTCATCATCTTCACGATATCTTTATTGAAGGATATATTCTCGATACGCCCGTTCATTGAGTCCAAAAGGAGACTCAGTCTTCCCTGGTCAAGCTCGAGCCTCTTTACCGCTGCCAGCACCTGTGCGAGTATTGGGTTCTCCTTCTCTTCAGCCGTCTTGGGTTGGGGATCTTTCGAGGCGTCGGAGCTTCGCTGCTCAGCCGGTATCTCCTTCGGCCCTGTCGGCTCGGTTTTCCCGCCCTTGGAAGCCATGGTAGATTCTAATTAGATCAGGTAGACGGTGCAGGAATCAAATCAGAGAATGAAGATCGGTCTGTATGTGCTAGTCAAGCTGTGTCGTGGGTCACCGCTTGTAGAAGGATGCAATTATCTCGTAGTAACAACTCCAACGCCTTAGTTAGCAGGGCAGGGAGAGGAAGGGGCTTTATATGGCCCAGAAAACCATGAAATCTCTGGCTATCAAAGGAAAGGTGAAGAAGAAGAGTGAGAAGAGGTTGGAAGCTATACAGAAGTGCCCAGCACCTTTATATCCCTGGCAGGATAACTAAAGAAGTAACACTAAGTAGTCCCTGCCTAGGGTCTCGTGATGCGGGGAGGACCAGCTTCCTTATCTGGAAATTCTGATTGGTTGCAGCTCTACAGTGGAGCCAGAAATCCAGACTAGTCTTGTCCTGGACTAGCGGATAACTTATATAAGCATTTTAGTTTAGTCAGCTTGACGTTTGCGTTCAAAGTCGCAAAGAAAGATGCGACTTTGAACCAACAGAAAAGACCAAAGAAGCAGTTGGACTGATATTTTTAATACAGCTGCTTTGCCCGAGTGATTCCTAGTTCCTGGAGGCAATTATATATCCACGAAGAGACTCGAAAGCCGTTATCTAGCGAATCAGTGAGAACTTGCTATTGATACCAGACGGACCACTCATTATGGTGCGAATTCCAGGCTCACTCCTTCTACGGCTGATAACTCCCTACTAACACCGATGTTCTGCTCAGGGAAAACGCAAGAAGTCATCACGGAGCACAATTAAAGGTCCTAAAAAGGTTCGCCTATGCGCATCGCCTGTGACCCATTCTAGGATTCCGGGTGTGGGCTAATACCGTTGTTTCGAGTTATACAGAGTGAACCTCTCCCGACGACTTTCGACTGTCTATTTTGCAACCATGAGAACTGTGTGCTTGTGAAACTCAATAAAAAGCTGGGCTTTGGGAATTTATCTTGTAAAATATGTGGACAGCGGTTTCAGACAGGGATCAACTGTATGTTCTATCCCTGAGCGCAACGTGACATACGAGCATCTGAACTAACCTCCCTCCTTTCTTTTTTATCGAAACGATAGATCTCTCTGCAGCCGTGGATGTATACTCTGACTGGGTCGATGCTTGCGATGCCGTTGCGAAAGAGGGACCCAAAGAAGGGGCAGGTTCTAGTGTTGGTAGAGCAGATCATGATGGACCTTCTGCTTCTGCTGCACCCGCTGTAGTTGATGATGGGCTCGATGATGACTACTAGATAATGTTTTGTTCTCCTCCACCCTGCATCCGTGGATTCTACTTTATTTGGCGTTCAGGTGGGCTTCTTCCTGGGGCGAAAAAGGCATATTTACCTAGGCAGATACTTGCATATAATTACGGAAATACCAGAAGATATACCGTCAATGGACTCGTCCTAACATACTTCTTATGATATCTTGATGTATGCTTTGGCTCAACACTCAGCCACCAGAAAACGCCGTTTGAGCTTTAAGCTCGACCAAGCTAGACGGACGATGCCATCCATCACCACCAGTATACACTCCAACTCCAATAATTGCAGAGGTACGAATGCCATATACCCTAAAGAGTATAGTACCTGTCTCCAAAGTCACCCAAACCGGGTATTATATACCTAAAGAAAAGGGGGATATGTTAGAATGGGTGGGTTTTAACAAGTGCTGGCCATGGTGGAAGACGAACTTCTTTTCATCCAAACCCTGGTCAATAAAAGCGGTAACAACCCTGAGTTTTGGGAACCTCTCCGCAAAATCAGCAACCCCCGATGGGCTAGCGATGAGATTTATAAATAGAATGTGGTCTTCCGGCACACCCTTTGATTTCAGTACTTCAACAGCCATGGTAGCAGAGCCGCCTATCCCGAGCCTGGTTAGCATATTGTAACAGCCAAGATGCAACCTGCACGAAACACCCAAGGTAATCCTTACCGGTAGCAAACATCGGGTCAAGCAACAACACCCATCTCTTTGCTATATCTTGCGGCAGTTTCTCATAAAACAACGCTGGCTTGCACGTCTCTTCATCCCTCTGTATCAGAATCTTCCCAATCCGAACAGATCTACAGCAGTCACGAAGACCCTGCTCCATCGCCTCGCCAGCACGCATAATGGAAACTCCGCATATTTTACCCTCGAATCCAACTCCTCCGTACGTATGGCCTACTGGAGTTGTGACTGTCTTCTGCACGACGGGGAGGTGGTTCAGGCCTTCTTCGACGAGTAGACGGATAATACGGTTGGAGTAAAAGACGAAATCTGCTCGACAGGTCCGCTGGTCTCGGATCATACTATGTACCACGAATCAAGGTAGAGCAGTGTTCAGCTTTTGCTCTATCGCCCACTATGTAGGAATAACTCACGTCAAGAGAGCAATAAGCTGTGGTGTTTGCGGCAACACACAGACATTTTCATATTTCACGGCCTTTGAAACAGTAGCAGATGGCTTTTTCTCATCCGGCATGGACACTGGCCCAACTCCCCTGACCGGTCCAGGTTCGTTGGATGCCATAACTAGTGATTGGTTAGGTAGCTTTCCCAGCTACAGCCAGGACAATAGACAGCTCTGTCTCCCCCGAAGTATCCCAAGCAAACCAAAAGCGAGTACGAAACTAGATGGCAGTCTTCACAGGCAATCTAGTATATTATCACAGACTTGAAGATTTTTTTGATATTCACAATGTGGGGAGAAGAGCTTTGAAAAGTTGTTTATGTGTGATGTTGTTTCATTTACGTGCGGGGAGACGCTTAAGCCATGTGATGAGGCTTGAAAACAGTCGACAAGATAGCTAACCAGCCAACTAAGTATTAGCTATATAAAAAGCAAAGAATACGATCTTGAAATGTGGTTATGGAGGGCTGTGAGGTTCGAGAGCGTATCCTACATTTACTGGACGTCCTGAGTCACTGTGCCCCTCGGCAGTTGTGTTGGTTTCTGGGTTACAGAGAGGCACCTGGACATTTACTCCTTTTAGACACGTAGGTTAGCTAGCGGCTCTCTGCAAGATGATTTGCATGAGTCTACTTCCAATATACAAAGCTTTCAGCCCGATATTGGTGGCTTTGCTGGTACCTGTGACCTTGAACTTGAAGTAACACTTTCTGCCTAGGTTTAAATAATTAAACAGTTGAGCAACCGTAAAGGAAATGAGGCTGAAAGGGAGATCACGGGGTTTAGCCACTTTCTACCAGGGAAGACCAACCCACTAGTTACGAGCATCACCACCACCAACACCAACACCAACGTCAACAAATCCTACTACAGCTGATATCAATTCGTACACGATGTCGGCTGAGCCGATTATAGTCTAATGGATGCCTATTGGGCAAGCGGTATCGAGATATTTTGTTGACTTTTCCAAGGTGATACTGCAGCTGCAGTTTATCGGTACAGTCTATGCTATCTTCCCTCGATCGGAATGCGCTGTACGCGTTTGACGGACTGTTGCTGTCGCATACAAAGCTAGAGAATGAAGAGCTAATGAATATTCATGCTGCTTTATTAGGCCAATCTGCCTTCACAAAGCAGGATACAAGCTATCTTCCGATGACAGACCATTTGATCCGTTACGGCGCGCAAGTTTGCGCTACCTTCCATCATACGGCTCGACCTCTATAAAGCCTTGTTCTGGCCTTACTTTTCCTTTTCTATCCGGTTCTCAAAAGTAGAGAGGGATTAGACATGTCTGCAGCCGATAATTTCACGCCATCGCGTAAAATACGGACGTATGGCAAACAGGCGCGCAGTGTGGGAAGCAGATTCTTAGAGCGCGCCCCTAGTGACGTGAACAAGGCTCACGGAAAGGCAAACGATTCTCCATTGGCAAAAAAAGGAAGGTCGCTGGAGACTAGGAAAAGCGACCTTCAAGATGTGGGATCTTCGACAGCACTACCCAAGGCTACGTCGCCCACAACGCCGCGTACGCCCAAGGAGAAAAAGGAGATAGACATCTATGATGTTCAGCTGTCTGACGAGGACCGCCAAAGTCGCACGCAGCCATGGCTTAAGCGAAGGAAGCTGAGCACTCCCAGAGTTGATTTGCGGTCAGAGGAATTTGATCAGGTTGCACCAAAAAACACTTTGCCACGAAAACCCACCACTTATGGTGCTGCCAGTATCCGTGGAAGCAAAGATGCGGCATCCCCTGCTTTGAATGGGAAGAAACAGCCTGAAGTGGAAGTGGTCATCCGCTCACCGACGAAGCCTAGGCAGGATTTCAACACCCGGGTCTCGAAACAGAAATTGGAGAGGCCTCCTTCCAGATCGACAATGCAGGAGGGTTCCAGCAGTACCTTGTTGAATGGACAGTCTATAGCTGCAAGTTCGCGAGATATTCCAGTACGAGAGCGAAGACCAAGTACACCACCGAAAAGAGTACCTCGATTGACAAAATCTTTCTCCACGGGTACAGACCGACTGAAGAATGTGTATGGCCGCTTTGGTGTTGGAAATGAGAAGGGGCGCGATGGCCCTGCAAAGAGTATCACATCTACTGCAGAACGAAAACGGATAGTGGATGCTTTGGGTCGTAGACAGATGGCAGATTCTTCGAGTGATTCATCGGGCGACGAGGGATCTGCCAGGGACCGGATTTCTCGGGCGAGCTCACATAGCCCCATACAGTCCGCCGACCACCGATCTACAGCCGATACCATGCCATTAGAAAGTGCAGGAAACACACGTTCTGGAGGCCAGAAACAGAACACCATCCATCAAGCGGTCACAAGCGGGTTAAAAGTGACATATTCCCGACAAAGGTCTTTTCTGAACGAAATGGAAACCATAGAAGAGATAGGTGGCAATCTGTTTGACCCTGGGTTCCCTCCTCAGGCTGACTCAATGGCAAGCAAGATAAGTGGTTCCGCGAGCCAGCCACCATTGGGTCTCGCGACTCAAACATCCGCCCTTTCGGCCTGCTTAGAAGAAGAAAGCATGAGCGGTCCTAGCACCATACGGAGTATTCATGAACTTCGTCGTTCCGGGGACAATGCAAGATACCACGCTATGATCGATACCATCTTTGAGGATATTGAAGACACATCAGCTTCTATATCCAGACAGCGTAGCGGAATGGTTCAGTTATGTACAAAGCTTTTTGACCCTCAGTTTTCACAACGTTTCCTGAGCAATGCCTTGGAGAAGCGATTTGCCAAGATAAATCACAAAGATTCTGACCTCGTTTGCGGCTACCTTACCACTTGCGTCTATGCTTTATTGCTAACATCTGGCTCAACATCACCGATGACCTTACATGATTGTTGGACACAGATCCTAGCCGTGACGCCTTTCTTACTCAATGAAGATAAAAGCATGATTGAACTGGCCAAACGGAAAGACTTGAAAATGACAAAGGCCGGCAAAGCAGATATCCAAGATATCTGCGGCAAAATGGCAGAAAGCAAGATCTGGACTAGCCAAACACCAACCACTATAACACCCCAAGTAATAACACTTCGTTGTCTTGAGTTGGCTGTTCGCAAACTCCGCGAGACGGGCAACTCTATGGAAACCATGCCTGTTTCTATTTTGCATCAAGTTATTCATATTCTGACCCAGCATGCATTGGTAGAAGATATACAAAAAGCTGGTCCAGATGAACTTCTTATTCTTGAACTTACACTTTCAATTTTAGAGTCATATACCATACACACCTTATCCTTGGACGAGGAGCAGCAAGAAGCACTAAAACTCCTTTCAAAATTGGGCCACTTGCTATCCATTTCAGGACCTCAGCAAGACGTTCGAAGCAGACAGGTACAAATTCTTGAGATCCGGCTAATTCTCAACGTTACCAACAACAATCCTACCCTTTGCGAGGAATTTTCTACTCCTAAGTTCATTGAAGCGCTCGCTCACGTTGTCATTTCCAACTTCCAATCCGTTGGAGATGAATCCGCGGGCCCACACAAGGAATCACTGCTAGATATAGTGATTTTAGCACTTGGAGCTCTGATAAACCTTACTGAATGGGGCAGTGCAGCTAGACGAGTCCTACTGGAATCACGGGTAGATTATACCACATTGATTGACAGGCTTATACCACTATTCACCGATGGTGTAGAAGCCATAGCAGAGGTAAGTGCTTGGCACCTACCAAAACTCTCAGTTATTTCCCCACACTAACAACTTTTTCTAGGCTGATTCCGTGGTACAAACACATTCCAATGTGGCATTTGGATATCTATCCGTCTTACTTTGCACCGCTTGTCTTGACAACGAGGCACGCTCCTATCTACGCTCAACGCTACAGGCTCGTTCCTTTGAACGTCTTCTAGGCACGGTTGAAGAGTTTCTTCATTATCACCGAAAAGTAGAGGATGAGCTTCACGATGCAAAAGGGGACGGAGAGGATGCAATGACGGGATTCACTTCGAGGATTCAAGGGATTGTCGATCGAATACGTGATGCCGAGAGAGCCTGAAGTTAGAGATGGATGATACTAAGAATATTATGAATTATGTTATGAAATATATCAGTTGTCATTACACTCGTTATTTAAAACCATGGACGTCCCTAGACTTTGTCGTTTCGAATGAGGTTTCTAAAATATTGCATTGCACTTCTGTGGGGATTTGAATACGTCAATATACCTGTTTGGTACAGGATATATGATGTATTTCAATAATGATTAAGCAGAGTTAACCACGCGTATTGCAATCAGAGTAGAAATTCAAGTCCTTCTCTTGTTGGAATCAAGGGAAACAGTATGTACCTAGGTAACTACAGCAAGTACTTCTATACTGGAACCCATTACCTTTCCCTAGCCGTTGGTCAGTAGGTACCCGCTTATACTTCCTTACCAGCTCTAAAACCTTACAACTATGTAAACTGTGCATTGAATATTGAAAACTAGAGCGAGAGAATGAGTAGATTACCCCACGCTGCCTCTTGTCGGGCCGTTCCGCAACTTGCCAAGCCAATACAACCTTGAGAGGCTTCATATTCGAATAGTTATTAGATATCATTTATACGGCTTGAAGTTGGTAGTTCAGATCGATATCAAGTAAAGCAGCTCCGAATTGATCTGTCAACGATACCGCCACAATGGAAATAAGCAATACATAGGGCTCCCAGTTGATATTGAATTCGGACGAATAGGAAATGCGACAACAAGCCTGACAAACGACAGCTTACGTCAACATTCCTTGCAACTGCGCCTCTTGTATTGTAACAGAGAGAAGACCCAGGTTTTTCTCTCGCCATCCACAATTAAGGTGCAGGGTCCCGGTTTTTGCATATCTCCGCCCCGTCTATCCCGCGGGATGCATAGGCCATGGAAAGAACGGCATCTTGGTTGATGTTGATGTTGTTGTTGATGTTTATTGGACGAACCTCGGCATAGCCTCACTGATTTTGACTGACTAAGCAGCACCAAGAAATATCACATGATCGGGCTCTCCGAACTTGATCACGTGCGAGAACGGAGCAACATGTCTATTTTGGCATCAAAGGCCTGTTCTTCCCATGTAAGTAAGTACTTCGATACTTACATCCAAGACATACAAAGTTCTTGAGCTTGTCGTGGCAAAGCTGAGGAACAGTTACCTCACTTCCTCTAACCGCCGAGAATAGCCAAGAGATCACCAGGAGAGCGCCGTGGCATTAAGACGACGTCAAGTATTACTCCGTAAGCAAGCATCAAATAGAGACCACCTTTGAAGAAAGTTGATGTCAAACACATTGGCGGCACCGGCATTGATGACACAGGGAGCTCCGTGAAAAGATGGTTTCCGAATCCAAAGTTGAAGCAAGCGGCAGCTACATAGGACGGAGAGCGCACTCCGTAGCATTGTCCTGTCTCAGATGCCTGCAAGATGTTTGAAGTGAAATTAGATTTCCCACGGCCCTTGCCGACGGAACGAGGTTATCTTCACAGCAGCCCTTTGAACCACCAGGGCGGAAGTTTTCAACGGCTAAATAGATTATGGCCCGGGAAGCTCCGTGGGAGAAATAAACTAAAGTTCGCTTTCTCCGAACACATATCCGAATAAGAGGTAGGAACAGGCGGGACCAAACGTTCCCCTACGGAGTATATGTATATATTATGTCGCATGTCAGATATCTAGGGCCGTTAATATTTCCGGGCTGGCGGAAAGAGAGTCGCTAGTGTTGACGAATATATACCGTTCTTGAATATAACTGGAACAGGGTAGGGGGAGTAGTAAAGATATCTGGCCCGCTAGAACGGGTCGTTGGGAATGCAACGGCAACTGGCCCACATCAGGTTGTGAAGTTTAGTAGAGTAGTATGTAGTTAAAATATTAGCTTCAGTCGGAGATAGTATATTTGTAGTGGAGATTCATTTCTGCCCAACGGCTAGTTTGTTGACAGGAGCGGGAGCTTCATGGCGGAGAAAATAGAAAGACGTCGCGTGGCCTCTTTCTCCGAACAAAGGCCCGTTGTTGGATATAAAGGGGGATATAATAAACAGCCAGTTTAAGGGCGTAGATGGTATATTCCGCCCCACTGGCTTGTTTCTTAACTGCAACCTTCCACCAGAGTGCTCCGTAAAAGAGGCGGAGGAGAAAGAACCCTAGCCATGCCTTGGCCCGTTGGTCGAGCGGAAGAAAAGTGCCCATCAATACGGTGTCCCCAGTCACTACGGGAGTAGCTGGTCGAATTCAATATCCATATCCATGGATGGCTGGGTATCCCGTGGCTGAGAGCTGTGAACCATAAGCCTCAAGCGCTATGCAACGCGGTAGAGAAGGCGGTGGCAAACGCCCTGTGACTTCACATGTCTGTCTGTCGAATAGACGGATGCGAAGCTCGAATCAAGACCAAGGCAGGCCGTCTGCACAGGCCGGAGCAGCGAATAACAACCAACTAACGGGAAATGCAAAGTTGGAAAAGAGACGAAAGTGAAGACGCGAAGACTCAAAGAGAGCAAAAGCCGAGAGCGTAAAAGAAGAGCGGCTCACGTGAGGCGGCTGAAGTGTCCGAAAGCAGCAGGTCGACCTTCTTTCTCTCTCTCTGACTTCCCACAAATCCACTCCGGTCCTTGTGCTTCACAGCCACTTCTTGTGCGTTGCCTACGGAGTGCCAGAGAAACAGTTAATGGATAATGATAGACAGAAGAGAAGATGCACGACGGAACCTCCGGGCGCTGGACGGCCGTCGCGCAGTGCGGACGGATACGACAGATCACCTCTGCGCCAGGGCGCCACCGTCTTGCACACCGGACACTGGCTGAAGGAGTCCACGAACGACCTGACTAAGACAGGCACCAGAAGCCAAAACAAACGAACTAGCAGGAAGGCAACGAGACGCGCAAAAAGCAGTCGAGGCGGATGTACGGCGGTGGATCAGGTTCTGGGGCCGTTCAGCTGACCAATGCCGATCCTTCGGGATGGCTTCTAGAAGGCGAGACGAGCTTATAGCTGTGTAATTATCACGGCAGGGGGAGGGCAGGATGGGTTGTATAAGGGTAACCTAGTTATACGGGGAGCGTGTGTAACGATGTAACAAGAGTACAAAGCAAGAGCTGCAGGCAGGAGACGAGCAGCAGGACAAACGACGACGGCGGTGGAAGGGGGGTGGGGGGGCAGAAGAAAGGATGCAAGAGAGGTCGAGGCACGTCCATCCAGACAAACGAGTTATGACAAGTTTACTGATGAGCACTGGCTAGAGGATTTTAGATTTCCAGGCGTTTTTGTCCGCTGGGCTCGATCTATCGGTTTATTTAGATCTCATCTGATCCGAGCATCTGGGAACAGGTCAAAGCAGGATCTTTTGTTCTTGCATTCTTTTTTTATACATATTTTGTATATTTTATTTCCTTTTTCTCCTGTTGTGACGAAAGGAGGCGGCCGGCCCAGGGACGCTTGCGTGCCTACCAATGGAAGAATGGGACAAGAGAAGCAGGAGACGGGTACATGAGTACCTAGTTAAGGTAGGTGAGCGGGCGAGAAAATACGGCGAGCTTGACGGGCGTTTCAAGAGCTCCCTGTATCCCTGTGCGGGCTATTTCAAACTGGACTGACCGGTAGATAGATCACAGAAGCAACGAGGGAAGGGAGAGAAAAGGATAGCAGCGCTTCAAAATGAAGCGAAAACAAAAAGCGCCAGGGAAAAGCGAGAGGCCAGGACGGCATCACCCGGGGTTGGTTCCAGGAGCAGAAGCCTCGGCGGCCTCGTTCTCGGGCGGCAGAGAGAAAGAGCAAACAGGCCAACATCTTAGCATCGATGTCTCGATGTGCTTTATCCTCAAAACGGCGACCAACCCGCGGAGTTCTTGTCGGCGGCCTTGGCCTGCCTTGCAAAAAGGGCCCAGACGCCGGGTTTTTTTCACGTGGAATATTACGGGGGTTGGGCTGTCCATGTATTCCGCTGGTATAAGGCCGCCATCCGGTATCCAAAGCAAGCCAGGGGCCCGCGAGCGAACTCCACGCTCCATCAGGTCGACCGCTGCCTCGTTGGTGCCAGAAAGTGCCGCAGGGGGTGGAGAGAGGGGGGGGGAGCAGGGCGGATATCCGACATGGGAGACACACTCTGTCTGGAGGAGGTGAGTACGTATACTAATCTATACAAAGCAGACGAGTGACATGCCTGAGAGGTCACCCATGGCGAAGAAGCAAAGAAGACGCAGGACAAGCAGATGATGATACATCCAGGACTGGCTCAAGAACTCAACGTCATCTCGAGATGCAAGCTTTCCCAGCATCCTGGCTAGATCGCAGCAGCCAAAAGCAAGCATAAAAAAAAAGGCCCAGAAGCAGCTACCAGAAGCATCTTTCCAGCCTTTATTTCGTAGATGTTAGTTGTTATATAAAAAGGCGCTGCCCGCCGAGTGCTTGAGCTAAGTCTAAGTACCTAATGCTAGTTCTCAGGTAACTTGTATCCAACTGAACTTATCTCTCTTTCTTCTTCCTCTTCCTGACCGTGAACTACAAATACGAAGACGAGGACGAACACTCGACCGAGCTCTGCGATCCATACAACAAACCTTAACAAGAAAAATATCTCGTCTTCTTCTTTTATTCTCATTCATCTTCTCATCTTCTCATCTTCATCTTCATCCTCTTCTTTATTTGTTGTCCTCTTCGCCAACATCTCATCTTCTTTGCTGTCTGTCCAGAGTGCAGCTGCCATCACGATGTCCGCAACCAAACAACGCAAGGTCGCCATAGTGGGCAGTCGGGCCGTTGGTGAGTGAACCCAACCAGATACGACTGATGATAACATCCAGAAGACAAGACAAGAGACAAGACTGACTGATGGACAGGCAAGTCGTCGCTGACCGTCCGCTTCGTCGAGGGCACCTTTGTCGAGAACTACTACCCGACGATTGAAAACACCTTCAACCGCACCATCAAGCACAAGAACCAGGACTACATGACCGAGATCGTCGACACGGCCGGCCAGGACGAGTACAGCATCCTCAACTCGAAGCACTTCATCGGCATCCACGGCTACATGATAGTCTACTCAGTCGCCTCCAGACAGTCCTTTGAGATGGTCACCGTCATCCGCGACAAGATCCTCAACCACCTCGTACGTTTCTCTCTCTCTCTCTCTCACTCACTCCCTCTCTTTTTGCTCTGGCCAATGCTAACTCCTTCTAGGGCCAGGACTGGGTTCCTCTCGTGCTCGTCGGCAACAAGTGCGATCTCCCCTCGGAAGTGCGAACAGTCTCTGCAGAAGAAGGCAAGAAGCTGGCCGAGAGTTTCAACTGCGCCTGGGCCGAAGCCAGTGCCCGCAACGACACAAACGTCTCGTCCACCTTTGAGCTGATAATCGCCGAGATCGAAAAGTCGCAGACGCCCAGCGAACCAGCGAACAACGGCAAGTGTCTCGTCATGTAGACAACCCCGATGTTCATGTTCTCGTTCGCCCTCGCCCTGTCGTGCCGCTGTTTTCCGTTTCCTCGGCTTTTTCCGTTTCTACTTGCTTTGTTTGGGGATGGTCACGGTCATACACGGCCGATATGAGGCGGCGGATGGCTTCTACGGTGCGACTCGAGTTTCGGCGTGTCACCTTGCACTCACTCATCCTCGATCGACCGATTGCACAATAAACAAACAATCGAAAGAACAAACGAATTCATCCCACCAAACCAGTAAAACAGTAACGATCACTGCCCCCATGCATCCCTTTTGATCACACTTTTTTTTTACTCCTTTCACTCGATCGACGTCTCTTCGAAACGAAACGAACTACTGGCTCCCTATCTACTGGCTGCAACATGGTTATACCCTTTGCTTCACTTCCACTTTTCCTCTGTTTGTAGCTCTTCTGCTTCTGTTCCTCGGGTTGGTCGGTTCGGCTTCTCTTTAATTTTTCTTTCTCTTTGCTCCCTCTTGCTGCGTTGTCTGTTTCTTTACCCCTTTTCTATTTTATCCCTGGCTGGATTTAATGCTTCTTTTTCTTCCCTTTTTCTCTCCCTGCCAGGGGCCGGTGGCTGACGCTGATGATGACGAGCATACCCCCTTTTCCTTCTTCTCTTTTCCTTTATTTTCATGGGACTATGGGTTGATAGACCAGCGTTAGAACGGATTGGGGTCAAGCACTGCGTGTATGTTATTTTATGTCATGTTCCTTCATGTTTTCCATGCCTTCTCATGCCTCTCTATGGTAATAACAGTAATATCTAATATCCTCCACCTCTTACCCTCCATCTACTCTATATCTCGTGTCCATCTACTCTATCTACTCTCTCTACTCGCTGTCTTGTATATCTACCGTCTCTTTACTGTGTATCCCTTTCCGCTTATCGACACGGCCAAAACGCCACGCCGCCCGAACTTTTACCCCTCCAGTTTTTCTCGACTTTTCACGATCTCGACATACAAAAAAGAGACAGTCAGGGCAGCGAAGAAAAAGACACTCGACAGTCTCGCAGTCGCAGTCGCTGCAGCTCATTCCTCGTCCCTACGCTGTGCCTGCTCACATAGAGTCGCGTCTCTCGCTCAAGTCGTTGGTGTCGACACTGTTACCGGCGTTTTTTCACCCCGCACTGCGATAAAGATAGACAGAAAAAAAAAAGATAGAAAAGCTGCATACAGCGGACAGGCAGGATGCTCGACATTGCAGACCTCATACCCGAGCGAGGTGGCGACCCAAAGAAGGTCAAGGAGAGCCAGAGAAGACGATTTGCCTCTGAAGAGCTCGTCGACGAAGTTGTGGCCTTGTACGAGGATGCTCGCCGGAGTAAGTTACTGACCGACTCAATGGCATGACTGCATGGACTAACATTCTTTTTATATAGCACGATATGAAGCTACCCAGGTCGGATCAAAGATCAACGCCGTACAGAAGGAGATTGGCATGAAGAAGCGGGTTAGCCTCTCACCAGTCACACAAGGAAAAATGGGATAGAGATATGGAAAAAAATGACTAACTCGTTATCGGAGGTCAATAGAATAAAGAAGACGCAACAGACCTGCTGGCAGAAAAGGCAAAGCTAGAAGAAGAGAAGAAAGCAATCGAGGATCGAGCAGTGCAGTGCGAACAGCTTCGAGACCGCCGCCTGAAGACGATCGGAAACTACGTCGATGACTCTGTCCCCATCGACAAGAACGAGGACAACAACACCGTCCTCCGCACCTGGGCACCGCCAGACGTCAAGGTCGAGAAGCGAGACTGTCTCTCTCACCATGAAGTGCTGTACCGTCTTGACGGGTACGATCCGGAGCGAGGAGTCAAGATTGTAGGCCATCGAGGATACTGTCTGACGGGCTATGGACTGTTCCTTAACCTTGCGCTGGTCAACTATGGACTTGAGTTCTTGTTCAACAAGGGATATAAGCCTAACCAGCCACCGCATTTCATGTTGAGAAACTACATGGCCAAGACGGCGCAGTTGGAGCAGTTCGACGAAGAGTTGTATAAGGTTACCGAGAGCGAGGATCCAAGCACGGATAAGTATCTGATTGCTACTTCCGAGCAGCCCTTGTCTGCCTTGCATGATGGCGAGTGGATTTTGGAAAAAGAGCTTCCTATAAAGTAGGCCGTCCTCTTTTTACCTTGTTGCAGGATATGGTTGTGGCTGACTATGCTTAGATATGCTGGATACAGCACCTGTTACCGAAAGGAGGCTGGAGCCCACGGTAAAGACGCCTGGGGCATCTTCCGTGTCCATCAGTTCGAGAAGGTATGCATTAAAACACCTTATATGTGTTTGTAGATACTAACAGCCATAGATCGAACAATTCCTGATAACGAAGCCAGAGGAGTCATGGAAGGCCTTTGACGAGATGATCGATACCTCCGAGGAATTCTACAAGTCGCTCAAGATCCCCTACCAGGTCATCGCCATCGTCTCGGGCGCCTTGAACAATGCTGCATCCAAGAAGCTAGACTTAGAAGCCTGGTTCCCCTTCCAGGGCGAGTACAAGGAGCTAGTCTCCTGCTCGAACTGCACCGACTACCAGACCCGCGAGCTGGACATCCGGTTCGGCTCGAAGAAGCTTACCGACGTCAAGAAGAACTACTGCCACGCTCTCAACGCCACGCTGTGTGCCACCGAGCGAGCCCTATGCTGTATCCTTGAGAACTACCAGCAGGAAGACGTAAGTACTACATATCTCCTTTCTCCACCCTTTTTGTGATGGCGTGTCCTAACATCTATATCCTGTAGGGTATCATTGTGCCTGAGGTCCTGCGCAAGTACATACCCGGCAACCCAGAGTTCCTCCCGTATGTCAGGGAGCTGCCCAAGGACACCACCTCGCAGAAGGTCAAGGCCAAGGGAGGGAAAGCCGACGCGGCAAAGGCAGACCTGGCCAAAGGCGTCGAGAACATGAAGGTCTAAATGTATTTCGCCAGACTATATTATACATACATAGTGCCACCCTGAATGAACAAGTAACAAACAACCACTACTACTAGCTAGTTACCAGAGTACCAAAGTATTGTTAGTCGCAGCCTGCATGAACTAGTGGCTTGTTCCTGGGCTGCAGCCAGGGGTCGCCCCGACGCCGGACGGAGGGAAGTCGATAGAGGCATCTAGGGCACGTATAGATCAAGGCCCTGAGGTGCATGTAGGCCGACATCACTCCAAGTAGCTACCTTATCTACGTCCACACTTGATCCCGCCCACCAGCCGTCGCTTTATGCATGGCTGAGAAGCGAGCCTTTTTTAGTCAGCGGGGCCAGTTTTAGCTGGAGCAAGCAAGAGTCGAGCGATAAGAGTCATCCTTATGCACGAAGCGAACAACTCACGGCGGGTGCGCTGATAATAGATAATACGCAATACGCAGCTGGCTATATAAAAAACCGCCCAATCCCTCGTCCTGACACTTTCTTCTTCTTCTCTTCTTCCTCGTCTTCGTCTTCAGTCATCTTCATCAGCATCAACACCCACTAGCATCGCACCGTCACCATGTCCCCGCCAACAGACATCAGCGGCGCTGCCCGCAATCTCGCAGACCAGGTCTCAACCAGCCTGAATCTCTCCGTCTCGCCCTCTCCTCTCTCCGGCTTCGATGCTCGAGCAGGCAGACAGGGCCCCGTCTCTCGTCCAAAGCCGCTCAAGCCCTTCGCCACCCAGGATATCAAGGTCCTGCTGCTCGAGAATGTCAACATCACCGGCCGCAGCATGCTCTCGGAGCAGGGCTACCAGGTCGAATTCCTCAAGTCCTCGCTCCCAGAAGACCAATTGATCGAGAAAATCAGGTCAGTTAAAAAACCTCCCCCCTCGCACTCAATTTTTCTCCCAAAGTCCCGCCGGCTGCAGCTATCTCCGATGCCGCAGAAACGTTCGGAGAATTTTCCCGCTGACGGAACTATGCAACTGCAGGGATGTGCATGTCATCGGTATCCGATCCAAGACCAAACTGACGGAGAGAGTGCTCAAGGAGGCGCATAACCTGCTGGTCATCGGATGTTTCTGCATCGGAACGAACCAGGTTGATCTACAGTATGCCGCCAACAACGGAATTGCGGTGTTTAACTCTCCATTCAGCAATTCCCGCAGTGTTGCTGAGCTGATGATTGCCGAGATCATCACCCTTGCTCGCCAATTGGGTGACCGATCGCTTGAGATGCACAATGGCACATGGAACAAGCTCAGCAATAAGTGCTGGGAGGTCCGTGGGAAGGTTCTCGGTATGTTCTTTTTCTTTTTCTTTTTTTCTTTCCTTTTTCGCTCACTTATAACTGCTGTTCACTCGTACTAACGGTATTTCCAAGGTATAATTGGATACGGACATATTGGCTCCCAGCTCTCTGTCCTGGCAGAGGCCATGGGCATGACAGTCATTTACTACGATGTAGTCAACTTGATGGCCATGGGAACCGCCAGACAGGTGCCTACGATGCAACAGCTGCTCAACACAGCCGATTTCGTCACCCTGCATGTTCCAGAGCTACCCGAGACCAAAAACATGTTCTCCACCCAACAGTTCGAGCAGATGAAAGATGGCAGCTATCTTCTTAACGCTAGTCGTGGAAGCGTGGTCGACATCCCTGCCCTGGTCCATGCCATGCGTACCGAGAAGATCGCCGGTGCAGCCTTGGACGTGTACCCGAGCGAACCCCGGGGTAACGGAGATTACTTCAACAAGGATCTAGCACCCTGGGCGGCTGACCTGCGAAGCCTGAAGAATATCATTCTCACCCCACATATTGGAGGCAGCACCGAAGAGGCGCAGAGTGCCATCGGTATCGAAGTCGGACAGGCTTTGATAAGATATGTCAACGAGGGAACCACCCTTGGCGCAGTTAACATGCCAGAGGTCACTCTTCGATCTTTGACCATTGACGAGCCAAACCATGCCAGAGTCATCTTCATCCACAACAACGTCCCCGGTGTGCTTCGAAAAGGTTTGCTCCCGTCCATTTCTCCCAATGTTTTCTGTCCTTTTCTCTTCTTTTTACAAGGCTAACGTGGCTCTAGTCAACGAGATCCTCGGTGACCACAACGTTGATAAACAGATGACTGACAGCAGAGGAGATGTAAGCTATTTTCCCCACACACAACTACAAAGTGGTCGACTACTCACATGATAAACTGCTAGGTTGCCTATCTGATGGCCGACGTCAGCGATGTCGACTCTGAAAACATCAAAGATCTATACGACCGACTTGAGGGTCTCTCATGTATGTCTACCTAACTATTCCTACATCCTGGTAAAAAGTTCTGCCAACTAACGAAACATTCAGCCCGAATTATGACCCGTATCCTCTTCTAGATGAAGTATACCGGGCCTTATAGAACACGAAAAACGGTAGCATATATTTTTTTTCATACATATATTCGTTAATATTTCAACCTGCACAGCCTGGAATTTTCGGACGGGGATAGTTGCTGGCAAATTGCTTTGAGTTGGAATAATGGATGGACGATGACGATTCTCACGGTCATACGCATGGTTTCTTTTTGTCGCTGTTACTTCTGTCTGTTTAGTTATTCTTAGCTATCTCCAATTCAACATTGCCACGAACGGGTTCGACGGCTAGGAGAAATATCGGGGCACTCATTGCACATCATCGAGAAGTGGCTGTATAGCAAAGAGAGGCAAGACTGCTTAAGTCATGGCAAGATAATCAAGTGCGTAGTATAATTCATGCATTGAATTGATGACGCGATAGACTTTTAGGTTTTTCTTGGCACAATAGCTTAACTAACTAGTAACTATAGATATAAAATGCCCATCATCACCGCAAAAAGATCAAAACAAGACATCGCTTGGGTTATTCTTATGTTCAATTCGCTCCATAAATTACTATAATAATATATTTACTAACTACATCCTCCAACAATATTCGAGTCACTCTTAGCTCAAACATATCTATCAGACATATACCTAGCTGGGGAGTATCAAAGACGATCGATACCTAAATCTACGATATATCACCTCTACAGCCGTTAGATATGCCTTCGTTCATGGGCTGGAACTACACCCGCCATCGTCAGGCCCCCCGCCGTCGTCAGGCCTACCGCCGCACTGATCACAATACGGCCAACAGCCCTCTCTTCAGATTGCCAGCAGAACTCCTTGCCATGGTAACCAAGAACTTGGAAGATGAAGACGACAGGCTTGCCCTAGGATATACCTGTGCCAGATTCTTCTATTCTGATGCCCTTAAGGATACCATATCAGACAAAGAAGCAAGATTCAGGGCACTCTGCATGCTGGAGTTGCGCAGGGAGCCGTGGCACGGCGAGCGACAGTATTGCTGCCGAGGGTGTTTAGCTGTTCATGGTTCCGCTGCTTTCTTTAGTATTGACCTGCTAAAAGATCCATCCGAACGTCATTGTAGGATGACTGTGAAGTGTATTAACCTGGGAATACACGGCATTTTCAGCTTTGCAGACATAAAGAAGTTTGTATCGCAAGAGAGAGGAGGTCGTGATACCAACTGGTTTACCAAAATATTTTCTTCGCCCAAGGTCACTCTAGAGTTTAGCCTCCCCATATTCCCTCAAGGAGCGGACGTTACTCCCGAAGGATTCAATTCTCTTTTCAAGATTATCGATTATGTACTCTGCCCACATATGCGGGCGAAAAAGTACGTAAAAAGCTATCTATATTGTCGAAAGCCTGGCATTGAGCCTCGCCCGGGGTGGATAGAACCTGCTGTGAAGTGCTATATTTGTAACACTGTGGTGACGCTTGGTGACTTGCCGAGTTCTACTCCTGGAAACGATGGCCGGGTATGGCTAGCAATTAACGTCAGTCGGCCCATTGGAAGACTCTATTCTCCACTAGAGCAAGAGTGGCTTAACCAGTCCTTTTCTGTCATGGCTGGTTATATAGATTGGCATAACAAGATTAAAGTCGAATGGTGCCGAGACTATTGGAGAGAAAATCCTACTGCTTATGTGGGTTGGCAGTGGGAGAAATGTCTACAGTATGTCCCATACCCATCTCTCTTTATCAAGGGTTGGTATTTTCGAAGATTTTGGCTAGTTACTGTTAGCGATCAGCCTTCAGCAGAGTGGAGAGTACGTCTCGGGTTATATTTGAGCAATCTTATTCCAGAATGGATACACAGGAAGTACGCGCCTGCCCATAGATTCGAGGTCTCTAACTGGACGGGTACATAGTGGTGAGACGCAAGTAAGAGGCAATTCCTGAGAGCTGACTTGTACATTATGGTAATATAGTCATAGGCGGTTTGTGTAGCTTGTGTATAAATTCAATTTAGTTGCGATCCCTAATTATGCTAGAGATGCTTTTGGTATAAAGTAATTAGCGGGAAATTGAAACGGGTAAATAATACAAAGGTAGGGATCAAGCGTAGAGGAAAAGGGTTAGCTATCGTGCCTACTGTGGTTGGACATAGTAAGAGAGTCGTGCTTTCCCTAGGTACATCATTAGACGCACTATTATAGAGGCCATCGGGCACAACATCAACATTCTCAGACGACGTCCTCGATCATTTTCTCGGAGACAGCAAGTAAATCTAATTGGCACATCATGACCTGGTCGGACGTCGCAAATTCAGTTTTTAACGGCATCAATGCCGTTAACGGGATTATTGCCAGATGGCAAGAGTGGCGGGCTCAAAGCCTGGAAGAAGAGGAGAGGGTGGCGGAGGGGGAGCGCCAACTACTGCGGGAAAGGACAGAGGCCGCCGCCAGGGATAATGCCCTCAATGTCAGAGAGAGGCAGGCCACTATTCTCCAGCAACAGCTGGAACAGCGGGAGTGCAATATCTCCCAGCGAGAGGCAGAGTGCCGTAGGCTTCTTGCCACGGCAGCGCAGTCTGTAAGGACTGCAAATCGGCTGGAGGAATCCGCCGAGCAGGCGTATATATACCTCCAACAGGAGGTGAGGCAGCGTCGTGGGGAGCGGGGCCGCAGATAGGGGTGACGGCCCTCCTACCGGTGAATGGGGCACCGGTACCTCGGAGGAATCCCCCTAGCGGGTAAAAAAATCCTCTGTTAAAGGAGGTTGGCTAGGTCTGGCAAGCCTAGCTACACCAGCGAGAGTTCGCACTTTTACGCAGTGCTGGTGACGAGTAGCCATAAAACGAATATGGTGAAACGAAGACGAACTCATAGCTCTATGGCCTGGAAGATTCAACCCCAGTGTCTGTCGATATATACCGATTGAGCCAAAGATATCACAGCGAATGTCATCACCCAACACCGAGGCTCCATCAAAGGAGGCAAAGCACCTCACGACGGCCACTTTCGATGCGAGTACATCCGCAAGATATTCCCTAATACCCCCGCCAATTAACCCGCCATGCCTTTATACCCTAAGGGCTCTATCGGACACAGATACCACGATAATGCCCAGCAAACCCCGAGGACCTTTATGTGATTCTCATACCATATGAAGGGACCGCCCGATTCTGCCACCAAAATCCCTGACAATCCTTGACGGGAACAAATTAAATGAAGAGAGAAAAAAACGTAGATCTAGCAAGCAACATAAGCTAGACCATGCCAAAACCGCATCATGAGACGATCATACCCGCTATCTCCGTGATAAGAAACCTAGCATCCAAAAGCTAGGGCATCAAAAAGAAAAGAAACGCACTAAAGACCTTCCTGTGAAAGACGCTTCTCGACAAATTTGCTCCTGCTAAGATGGATACTGGGTATAACCGGCGGAATGCCCCCCCAGGTACAATATTTGATATTCAGAAGAAAGCCCTCCCAGTTCAGGTCTCGATTTTCTCCCAGGAAAGAAACCACTAAGTTGCCTTCACGGAAAACACCAACAGGGAATAAGTGGCTATTATTCAGCCTGGCAAGGGACAAGAATGCCTGAAATCCGGATTCGTGGAGAGAGATAAGTATCGAAACACGGTCCAAGAACGAGACGAGCACGAAAAGCCAGACGTGACGTTGAAGATTGATGTGTTACTTCCTCGCCAAGAAGTGACTAGTTAACCTTCTAGTGAGTTATGTAGTTACCTCGGTAACTCACGACTAAGTTATCCGAGACCCGCCATCCAACGTCTTTGGAGACTGTCCATAGTAACGAGCGTACAGAGTACATTATTTACTCCTACCCGGATAGCACAACCCTGGCTTGGACAGATATTGTTTCAACCATTGCAGGCCAATTTCTCCTTTTGCTTTCTGGGGTTGCATTCCGCCATCGTCACCAGTAACAGCCGCCTAAACTGCTAGTTATTGGCCATGCCAAGTGTCCCGTCAACATATCAAATTATCATTATTTTATTCAAGCCTTTGTGCCGCTTCCCGAGGCTGTTTGGTCAAGTGCCTACCGCAAAATATACCACGGAAATACCAACTCAGACAATGGCAGTTCACTCGGTATCAAAGGAGCATTGCATCGCTTCATTAGCGCTAGCTTGGTAAGCCTCACAATCCACGGAAAATGGATGATAGAAAGTAAAAGACTAATAAGACACAGTCCGCGATGAGCGCTGATCCAGAATGTACCCCGAGCTATAGTATTGGCATGAGAGCAGAAACACAACAACTATACTGATCTGACTATCAATCGCCTTGGAATGAGGCTATTCTAAAAAAACCCTGCCGCAAATGTTGAAGCAGGTTTATACTTGGAGGTGTGCCATTATCGTACGCAGTGAACCACGCCCAGTCACAAATCAAGTGTCACTACATTCCATTACTATCAAAAGCCTATTGCTCGAAAAGGCCCTTGAGAGAACATTTAGAGGCCTTGAGTGAGGGTCCCAGCAGCCAGCTAAAGCAGCTGGCTTTCAAGGCTCCTTTCCACTCTTTATACTACCGATGGCATCTTTTTGAGAAGCTTCGGAAAGATAGACAGGACGAGAAAACCAAGACTCACCTCGTCGCCTTATATACCCTATACTATGGACTACTTTTTTTCCGGCATAGAAGTGTACACTAGCCTCGGCGGCTAGATCCGTCTTATGGATTTTAGTGGATAGCCAGTACGGAGAAAATATGGGTAAAGAATTCTTTGCCCCGGAATTTCGATACATCGATTGTAATGGGCTTAGCTTTCGTTATATTCCCGACTCGGTCGACATTCACAAATTCGAAGGCGTGGAGAAGCTTGTTAGTCTTGACTCATTTCCCTGCCGTCGTCATCTAGAGGTTGAGAAAGTGCTAACTGAAAATCTATATCAGGGTGAAAAATAGCTGTATCATCATTGACACGCATACCTTCAAATTTATGGTATATTTGGACCAAGCCTCGGGCCGATAGAATCTGATCCCGATTCGAATACGAACTCGGTTGAGGGAGGATTACTTGATAAAATCCACAATGCGATATGTAAAACCACCAGCCATACCTTCGGAGAATATCAGAACACCCGGGGAAATATGAGAAGACATGGAAAGATGAGTTGTTAGAAGGATGTAAGACTGACCCACTCGATTCATTTTATGATAACCTATCTGATATCAGTAATAGTTATTCTCTGAGTCCCAAGCAACACTTTCCCAGCACCCCAGTCGTACGTGGGTACTGCCTCGCTTTCAAAACATGAGGTAAACTCCTAATGCGATTGTTCAAGAGCACTTGTCCTAGGATGGCGAGTTCGATAATAATGTTTCCAGAAAAGGTGGTCAGAAAGAGATCCCTCCAATGATTTATAGACGAGAATAAAGCCGCTAATAAGGGAATAGATCTAGAGTTCATGATACGGTTAAGCGGGGAACCTGGTGTTGGTAAAACACACACAACAGAGTTTGGTTCGTTTTTCCATTTCAATTACTTGCTTAATCTCACCTTACTGAATGGAATCTAGTTGCTGAGATGCTTCAGCGGTTGTACTTTATGAGTGCAAGTGAACTAGGAAAGACAGCTACAGAAGTCAAAGAAGTGCCTGAACAAGCTCTAGACCTAGAAGCTCGCTCGACCGCTGACATACGGCATAACCGACTCGTCTCTCCCTTGGTGACCACCTGCCTAAGGCAAGTAACCAAGTAAACAAATTAACTCGCCCCTTCCCGTGACATTGACTTAACTAACTAGGTAGGTACCTAGTCACTTATTTAGTCACCTCAGTTCATCCATGAGATGTGTTTCTATCAACCACACGCGTTCTCAAACCAATCCATGAAAGCTGTCCAGAGTACAGAGCGTGCGTTATTCACTCTTGCCTGAACACCACAGACAGTCATTTCTGCTGTCACAGGCCAACTTCTCCTTTTGCTTTTTAGTGCTGCGTTTTCACTGTTGGAACTGGCGTTATCGCCGTTTACGCCGTGATTGCTCGATGGCCTGGGAATTGCAACAAATGATCTGTGCCTCGCTGGTCAATATATACACTCCCTTTTCACAACTTGCCAACGTCAATATTTGACATCGAGATGCCAGGCTCGATAACGTAACCATCTACTCAATACTCGGTATGTGGAGTTCAATCCCTTTTTCTAATATTTCCTGTAATTCACAGCCAACGAAGTTTGGCATCTATTAAGTCTTCCTTGTCCAATTACTAACTTCTTAGGTATGTAGCAAGTTGGCTTGCGTCTGCTGTTTAAGTAGATGAATGGTGCATTTCAACACTGCTGTCGTCCCATCTGCTCTTGCTGGTGGTAACGACGGAAACTCTGGCACTTCCAAGGTTCAGAACGCCTGCGGGAAAAATGGCTACCTCTGGCCTATCGCTGGCTCAACTGGAGAGAAGATGATCACCCTCAAGGACGGCGAAACTTACTCCGAGAAATACCGTACCAACAGCAATGGGGGTGGCATCTCCATCAAGATGGCTACCGACAAGAACCACAAAGATAGCTCGCAGTTCGAATACACTCTTAAGGATCTTCAAATCTTCTACGATCTATCCAACATCGATGGCTATTCATGAGATTTGTGAAGGTGGCCTAAGGGGTGCGATTTGAGAATGTGAACGTTGGAGATCTCCTGAAAGCTTCTGTTACGGTGGTGGGTTCTATTATTGGGGCCTATGCATATTGTTGCCTCAGTTGTTAAGTGGCTGTATATATATATATATATATATATTCTCCCTTACGCTTACAATCTGCCTTGTAATTCAAAAGTTAGATCCTTGAGCTCACTCACCTTGGCCTTAATGTACTCTTACTATAGCTACTCAGCCTCAACACCGTATAGCAATGCCAATTTCCCCTGGCATGATAATGTTGCCCATGCGATTCCACTTTTAATTGTCGCTATATGTTGATTATTTGTGTTCTAGAGTGATCCTCCTGAGAGTGCTGCTACCACCAGTAGAGCTACCCAATTAGGCCTAGAGAGCGCTGTAAATAGAGCTCCTGAGACTCGTCTGGATAGCAATACAGGTTACATCCACCACAGGATATAACTACGGGTATGACTGAGGTAAATGAGTTAGAATAGGAAAATGAGCCGTCTCGATCGCGCCTAAAACTTATGCTCTGATACAGCAAACGATATTGAAATTGTCATGCTTCATCCGCTATATGCTTGCAGAACTCCTGTTTAGTTTGCCTAATGCGCCTAATGCACAGTGCTCTTCAACGCTATAATAAGTGAAGAGCATAATGGAAAATGAAAAACGATGGGTTAATTATGAGGTGTTCAGCTATTTTCCCATAAGCTGCGAAGGGGAAAAAAGTTGGAGAAGGAATGGAGAAGGGGTGAATTATAGACAGAAATCTGCCCGTCCAAAGACGAACAAACTAGCGTCTATATAAATGATGCGGCAAAGAACTGGGATCCCCCGATCGACTGCGGTCTCTCATTTCTGGGCTTCGGCTTCGGCTTGGTCGCCAGTATCGATCTCTAGATGCTGGATCTATATTGTCTCGTCGTGGAGGCATGGACCCGTCACCCCCCAATCGATATCGGTCATTACCGCCGCCAACATAATTGGGCACATATGAATCTCGCCCGCCTTCACTTATACCTCCACCTCCTCGGGGTAGCGGAGGCCTATCACGTCTATTATCTTGGCCCGGTCCTCCACCCCGACGGGAACCAGTTTGCCATTGAGGATTAGCAGGGGCAGGTGGTTTGGGTGGTAAGTTTGCATCCCGTTGCCACCCCGGGAGGTGACTGTGAGGCTCTCCAGAAGCTTTTCGCTTGTGGCCGTGGACTGGGTCAGGCATGCGACTGTCGTAAGGGGGTCGGGATGATGGGTGCATATTATTTCCGTAACCAGAGCGTGCTGCTTGTGGAACTCGGCTTTTCTTTGGATCCGTCGTAGGGGCTCCTCGAGAAGACCCTGAGGTCCATTCACCATGTGCTCCCATCCCAACTGACCCGCCAGCGGGTGCAGGAGGTAAAGCAGCCTTCTGGCCACGGAACTTTCTTCTGTCAAGTTCATGGGAATCTTCAAAGGATGGCAGGTCGCCCGGCTTAGCAGGTAGAGGTGGGGTAGTGAAATATGGGTGTTTGAGCGCGTCGATAGCATTTATTCTCTTGCGCCAATCGAGTCTCAGGAGCTCTGTTAAAAGAGATATTGCAACAGGGCCTTGTCTGTGATTTATATATTAGTTTTTGATTTATTCAAAACATAATGGCTATACGGTTAATGACTTACTCTTGGAAAACGGTAGCAAGAGTTGGGCGTTTGAAACCAAAGGACCGTATTGGTTCTGCTCCTGGTAGAGAGCTCCATCCTGGCATGTTTTCCTCAGTGGGGGAGCCCACAAGGTTGAATATAAGCTGTGCTTGATTAAGGTCACTGCTTCCGGCGAGAATAGGTTTCCCCTTAAACATCTCACCAAAAACACACCTATTATAGTAATTAGCACTCATCAGATCTACTGATGGCGAGTTGAGGGAACAAGATGTGACCTTACCCAGCACCCCACAGATCAATCGCGGTGGTGTAGCGGCGTAACTGGAGAAGGAGTTCAGGCGGCCGATACCATCGAGTGACAACCAGTGTCGTGTACTCTCTCTTTGCTTCTCCGCCTCCTTTGCCAGCAACTGGTGGTGCTTCGTCGTAGGGTCTGGCAAGACCAAAATCCGCTATCTGAAGCACACCGGCATTATTAATCAATAAATTTGCGGCTTTCATATCCCGATGTAATATTCGATTCTTGGGTATCATATTAGCATATAACCAATGGTCAGACTGAAAAATGAAGGAATACCTCATGCAGATACTGGAGGCCTTTCAAAAGCTGTATCATATAACACTTTATTTGAGGCTCTGAAAAGTGAACATCTGGATTCTCTAGTAATCCAGACAAGTCATGCTCCATATAAGGCGTTACCATGTACATTGATGGTTTCTTTCGTCCTTCGCCTGTTATAATAGTCAGACTCACACTTAGAGACTGAAATACCACCCAAAAGGCGACAAACCTCGGCTCCGCTCCACCGCCATTTCCTGAAGCTGTAGGATATTCGGATGCGATAGTATCTTGAGAAGTTTGATCTCTCGTAAGGCCGTGATTGGGAACTAAGCCAGTAGTATTCGAGTCAGCCGGTACGCATGCGCCAGCAGCGTTCTATGAGGAACTTACCCCGTCTTTTTCATTGTGCATTAATATTTTCTTTAAGGCGACTAACGAGCCGGCTCGTTTGGACCTAGCTTTATAAACCTCACTTTAAAAGGAGGGACTAGATTAGCAAGAGTGCAGTTGCAATTGTGAGCAGCAGGAAGCTTGAACAGTACCCAAAGGTTCCTTCACCAAGTTTCCCTAAGAAGTCAAATTCTCGAATGGAGGAGCAGCCCTGGAAGCGTAAGCGGCCTTCTTCATCGCGCTCCAAGGAGCGTTTAGGTCTGGGCGAAGAACCCGATGCAAGCATCGTGGAGATTCTCCAAGGGATAATCCCAGGTCTCTATGACCGTAAAACGAAGCGTAATAAGGCTTTGGAATATTGGTATAAAACGCTCCTCTTCCCCCTGAGCCTCGCCTTGGACCTGTTGTCTCAGTTAGTTGGAATGCGCTGGCATACACGAGTGGTGATATTTGACTCTTGCGGTGTCTTGATAGCAGCTCGAAAGCTTGGTGTTGCGACTTTGAATAGAGTTCCCCGAAGATATGTTATCGGAGGCTCTAATCTTCCTTTCCGTATTACGTAATAGAGTTAAAACCAATCAATCATGTGATGGAATATGACTAAGCGGGTGATCAGTCTTGGCATTGATCCAAGCACTTTCTCCATGCAGCAGACACCTTCGTCACCGTCTCTGGTTGACGCTGAAGAAAAACGATGCAGGAGCATAAAGAATCCACAATATGAAGCAATAAATAGTTACTGATAGATTCGTTTCCCAAACTGTATGCGGAACCTGGAGATTCGGAATTAAAACTCAAATTCTAGATACTTACTCCGTATTTTCATTGTAAATAGACCTACGGCCTACGCATAAGTAGAGGTGGATAGTCTTGCTCCCTGATAGCTAACGAAAAAAAATCATTGTAGGGCTAGGCCAGGGGATAAGTTGTTTGTACTATTAATATGTGATTGGGAGTTGACAGAGAGTAAGAAGCTAAGCTTCGCCAAGCCTGGAGATTTTTCGTCAAGGACAAAGAGGCTCTGAATTGACGCTAAAGTGAGGTTGATGTGACGTGACCGACTAAAGTGAGGTGGATGTGACGTGATCGACTAACAAGCAACACAACTTTAACTAGATCGTCGAATTTTATTGGTCCACTCAAGATCACCAGTTACGCCCCACAGGACAGACAATATAAATATTATATCTATAAAAACTGTTCTTGCACCTTCCTGCCTCTCTTTCCGCGTCTCTCTTCTCTCCTTCAAGATACCCTCACAGCTACCACGTACGTTACAAGTCAAGCTATCTAAGAAAGATTTTATCATTTTCCAACGTACCAACAGCTTCACAAACATGTCTTTTCTTCGTCGGTTCTTCTCGAAAGAAGTCTGTGCCGCTGATGCTTATCCTTCACCTCCATCATCAGCAAGTCCACCACCAACAAGAAAGAGACGAATCGAAGGGTCATCAGAGAGCGATGGAGAAGCATTCCTAGGAGACTTGTCGATCTACAACCAGGATTATCGATGCGGCGGCCCCTATCTTGTTGAACTCCCCGCGATCACGAAAGTTCCCAGTCCCCAGGACCCTCTACACGCTAGATGGGAGAGCGAGCTTCTTGGACCGGTGGTAGAGATTCTGGACAAGAATAAGGTGGACTACAACCCTTACTGCGGAGTAGGCCCGGCGCAACGCGCATCAGACGAAGATGTGGTACGAGAGTGGCATGACACAATATTGATCTCAGCCACGAAACATAACCTGGATCGTTCTTGGTATTTCGCATGTAAGGAAATTCGGAGCCTGCTGGAAGCGAAAAATATGTCCCAATTCAATGTTGAGATTATCGATGCCCGGGCAAGTGTGTATCCAAGGGCGTTCCCAATTGACCCCAAGGATCCCTTCGTTAAGCAATGGCCACCACTCCAAGATATGATCATAGATATGCTCGGTGACAGGCACTGGACTCTACTGCAGCCACTCTTGCTAGGACAGCCCGACGATTTTCTGGGGCCACGCACGATGACAGTTTCACTTATGGTCAGGCCTGAGTCAACTAGTGATTGGACAGACGTACGTGAACGTATGGTTCAAATACTTGACAGTCATGGACTGAAGCATGTTGCTGTGACCGTCCACCGTGGGTCAGTTCTACACACTCTTTCTGATTTTCGCATTCTAGAAAAGAGAGACTGGGAGCTTCCTACTGTTTTCGGTGGAAGTATCGGCATGCGTGATTCAAATGCCTCTTCCGGAACTTTCGGCGGCTACCTAGAACTTCAGATGGAGAATGGTACGTGGCGCAAGTATGGAATTACAAATTACCACTGCATTCGAGGAAGCCTTCTAGATGCTGAGAAGAGCGATAAGATTGGCGTCAGTCCAAAGGATGCTCAGGAAAATCCCATTTTTGTGGACCAACCCAGCTTGAAGTACCACCAACAATCCATCGACAAGTACCTCTACAACGTCAGTGCAATGGAAAGTACTTTTCCATATGAAATCAAGGAATTGATAGAGGCTGGAGAGCCTTCCGTTTCTGAGAAAAACATTCGCCGCTATGAGAAACACCAGGCAATGATTAACTCAACCAATGCCCTGGTCAATCAAGGAATTCAGTTCGTTCATGACAAAGAGCATCACTTAGGCAGCGTTTATGTATCATCCGGATTTCGAGCCACCGACCGACAGTATCTTCTGAACTGGGCGTTGATCGAGGTCAAAGAGAAGCGTCTAGGTAGAAATGATGTAAGTTCCACTTACACATGATTTTAGTACGGTGAAAATGGTTGCTAATTTAAACAGATCCCTCAGATGTCAGATCATTGTTTGCCAGAAATTGTGAAGCCTCTGTATGATCCAGATGAAACGTACATATCCGGGACCGCAGCAATCACCGACGGAATGGTAGTTTTCAAGAAAGGAAATCGTACAGGTTTTACGGCTGGACAGTTGAATGGTACGAAAACAACTACCCTGCAGCACTGGATACAGAGCAAAGAAGGAGAGTGGACCGCAATCAGAGGTCAAGCCTACAGCGTTGCGCCAAATGGTTGTCCTGCTTTTGGCGATGCTGGAGATTCTGGCTCCCTTGTGATTGACTGTGATGGAAAACTTGCCGGCCTGTATCTCGGAGGAGACAGAGACAATGGATGGGGCCTGTTCATCGGCTGGGAGGACCTCTTCAATGACATCAAGCTCATGACAGGCTCGAATGTCCGCGTTCCTTCTACATAAGAGCGAGATGCCCAGTTTTACTTCTTGTTTTATCTAATACTCCATCCACCCTATTTGTCTCGAGGAAAACCAGTTAGCCGATGCCCGCGATGGTTTCTCACAGTCTTTCTTTGTTATTTGTATAACTATACATCCTTTGTCTTATCACAGCAACTCTTAATCTTCATTGATCGATGCCATGTATTCTGCAACCTGACTTAATGCTGTGCCGATCATCTGCCTGATTTCTGACGAGATATATGTACATACCCTACGCTGGTATATGGAAATACTTACATAAATATTCCATACTTCCACATTTAAATACTGCTAACCAGCACCAATCTGCGTCAGCCTCTGGAAGTGATGTGACAAATGAGACCTCGAGGCTTCGGTAGCGATAGAAGGCATTCCGACGCCACATGAAATCCCAGTGTTATTGTAGAGAAGTCTGTAGCGGATAATAGCAACGGTGGAGTAACGCCAAATCGGATTAAATAAGTAGTATTGTAATGGGTCAGATTTTCCAGTAGCTACCAATGGCTTCGGTATCTAAGTTACCTACCTAAGTTAACTAGGTTGACTTGAACTTACAATCTTTTACCCCGTCCCACCATACACATCCTCCTGAATCACTCTGCCACTCTTCTCCAGACGCTTCGGGAACCTTTCCAGGTACCTGTCTGATTGCCTGGGCCGAGGAGAAGCCTGGTTCAACCCACGTAAACAAATGGTTTCTGTCCTGCATATCTTTCACAATATGTTTGCTGTACATCCTCTGGTCGTTTGTTAGCGATAGATCAAACTCGGTAATATTCGGATTCAGCTGATCATGCAAACGCGGCGAGCTGATGGCATCTACAGCCGACATTCCCCGATCAATGACGTTGACAATGGTTTGTAAGGTGGCAGAGGGAATTCGTGTCCCACCAGCAGAGCCTGTAACAAAGTACACTTCTCCCTTTGCGTTTGTAACGATGGTAGGTGACATTCCGGAAAGAGGCCTTTTACCCCCTTCGATGTGATTGTTCGCAAATTCTAGTGGATTGTCGGGATGCTGAATGCGCTGGAAGTCAGAGATGTCATCGCCGAAGATAATCCCAGTGTTAGGATCCATGACTCTGCTTCCGAACCACTCGCCAACGCTGGTAGTGAGAGATATGGCTAAGCCATCGCTGTCCAAAGCGACAACATGAGAGGTTCCTCCGCTGTATCTCACTGTATCGTTTGACGGGCTAGATGAAAGGACTTTAGCAGCTCCAGGATATGGCACTAGGTAATCTAGAACATCTCGCTGAGCCTTATCCTTGATGTTGGCTTCATGTGGGAACCCGCTTTCCGCATTAAGCAACCATTCTTGATACTTAGCCATGTCGATGTTGGGGTGGAACTTGGGGTCAGGATCTCCCAGTCTGGACCTCTGTGGTTCATGCGTTAACTATATAAACTCGCATATAGAGATGATAATAATGTAAACGTACCTGAGCGTATCCATATCTCAATGCCTCAAGCAGCCAATGGGTACTTGGTCCATCAGTACCTGGATTAAATTTACTGGCAAACCTTTCCAGAATCTTTAATATGCTGAGTACGATCGACCCACTCGTAGGTATCGGTGTGCTTGTAACCGTATGGCCTCGATAGTTAATGCTGGCAGGCTGCCGTATTTTAGCCTCATAGTTCTGCAGGTCCTGTTTTGACATCAAGCTTGACCTTTTCCTTAAAGTTTCATAAGTGTGATCTGCAATTGTTCCATTGTAAAAGGTGCCCTCGTCTCCACTATTCGCAATTGCCTCCAAAGTTTCGGCATATTTTGTCCGGTTCAACGGGGTGCCCTTTTGCATCAGTTTCCCGTTAGGGCAAAACGTTTCGTACCAAGGGTATTGTCCGAACCAACCACATTCAGGGTATCGAGGGTCCTCCTCCTCCTTCAGCAATGGGTCCCACACAAGACGATTGACAAAATACATCAAATCATCATTTGCCTTGAAGTCGCCTTTGGCAGCTTGGATGGCAGGCTGGAAGAGCATTTTCCAGTCCAATTTTGCATATTTGTAGATTTGCCGGAGCCCCCGAAGCTCACCTGGTACACCACTATATAATTTAGTAATGACCAAGGGACACATTGATATTGCAAAAGCAAGGTAATGGAAAATACTTACACCGATGCACCCCCTACGTGAACACTGCGGTTGTTGTAGTATTCATCGGTTGCGCTGCCTGGAGCAGTTGTCCTGAAATCAATGGCTTCAAAGCCGTTCTCGTGTTTCACAAGAGCAAAGCCTCCTCCCCCAATGCCACTGTGATACATTGCTATTCAAGATTTAGCTTATCGTGGTACCTTTAAAAGATTTTCCAGGGAAATAGCACATACCAACCGTCCCAATGCAAAAAACTGTAGCTATGATCTATCGATCACAAATTCGGTCAATTAAAGCCCATCTCCATAACTTGACACAGCTGCTTTAATGCTAGAGGGATTTGACTTACCGCATCCGCTGCAGTAGCCTCCAAGTTATTGTTGTATAACTCAGCAGCCTTTTCATTGCAATACTGGCTTTCGCTAGCAATGCTAATGCCACGGGCCTTTTGGGTGGTTGTATTATTGCCATTGGCTCCAGGGGGGATCGCGGATCCAGCAACCAGAGAGGCTGACTGGAGGATCGCGGAGAAAATAAAAAGGAAATGCATTTTATTTCCCCCGATAGCTGTGGTGTAGCTAATGGAGGAGAGGCAGAGATACATTTCTCCCTCAAGACCAGATAGCAGTATATATAGCATATAGCATAGCTATGGCATTGTTCTAGAGAATATCAATCTTGCGGTGTCCATGGCCTCCACGCTATCCCCTCCTTTGTGCAACCGTATATAGCTGAGTTAGAAATCGGTTTTTTAGGTCTGGGAATATCTTCATCCAATGTAGGTTGTGGGTACAGCGCGTAGCTAGATTCATTGCTGCATCCTACCGCTTAATTGGTCAAGAACATGCATACATGACCCGGATAGCAAACAGGAGAGGGGTAGTCGTCTGGCAAATCCTCTCAGAGGCGCAAGGTGAAGATGATAATTACCCCTTTGCGACCGGTTGATGCGAGATTCTGGATAGCGGAACCAAGTTAACGTGGGGGAATTCAGCCAGCCTATTGAGGATGAAAAGCCAGTTCTTGTGAGATAACCAATCAACTCATATTTACAAGCCGAATGCTGAATTGCACAACATGCCAAAAGATGAAGTGACTCCGGATTGCCGATCCCTGCATGCCCTATATTGCATGGATAACGACAGTCACCTGCCAAAGGGCTAGCCGGCTCTGGAAGTTAGTCACCATTGAAATACTGGCTGACTAGTTGGTCCGTAAATTCATGTGCAGATCTTTCCCTCTTGCCTTTTCATCTTGATAGTAATGAGAACAAGCATGTAGCTATGATAGATGGCAAGACAGTGCGCCATGGTAGCTGTAATCAATCCATGATCTGTAGCCTGGTCCGGACAACCAAGGCGAGCTGTGTGAGGGTATCGAGTCATGGCAGGCTCGCAGCTTGAAAAATGAGTTCGAGTGAATTCACTTGCATACTGTACTCCTTCCATCGAAGGGAAATTGCTATTGTAATATAAACCAGAGGGGTGTGTTTGTTTGCCTTTATTATTTGGGTTGGAGGTACTCCGTACCTGGATGCGGTTTGATGGTTGCATTGACCGGGTGAAACATTGGCGCAGGCTAACAGCTTCCCAACTTTTAGTACGGCGAATTCTCCATTATCAACTGTTGCCGTAAACCTTCTGCCGGCCATCTCTGTGCTGCAACATATCCCATTGTCAGAATCCTGTTAATACTATACAGCCACAAATCTGGTAATAACAGTAGCTCAATTACTCCACTAAAGGTTTAGCTATGTACGTAACGGACCTAAACGGATAGTTACCGACCATAATGGCCCAAGTACAAGATATATGGCTGATGGGGGACTCTAGTCAAGTTGAAATCAATGACTCCACTTGTATAGCTTGTCCCTGGCAAGGTGTAACGAGTTTCGTGCGTTCACCATCCAGGTTGCCTCTGTTGATATGACCCTGACACCAAAGTTAAAAAGCGTTCCCATACTTAGAATTCCACCTCTGAAGGGTATGCAAAGGCACACTCAAAGGGTAACCAGATCGTAAGGATACTCAAAGCAACGTGGTTTCGATGCGGTTTTCTATTCCCGCAACCCATTATAATTCGAGTATATGTACCGGCATATTTGCCGCAGCTTAGAAATCCGCAAAAGAAGTCCAATACTTCGTATTGCCATACCAAAAATCCAGAGTCCCTTGCAATGTCTCAAAGCCTCAAAGATGAGATTTTCTATCTAGGGCGAAGTGTTTCCAACCTGGTTTTCCCTGCGCCGACCCGCCAAGCGATATCGACTCGGATATTACATTATCCGTTCCGCTTAAATTTCACGTGACTGGCAATGGCCCGACTTGATGTGACGCTCAAAAAGAGCAGAGGAAGCAACAATCACGAACAACCGGGAGCTTGTCGCATTTTCTGAACTCGGAGATTTGGTGGGATTATTTAGGTGCGCTAGATTAAGTGAATTGTGCTATTTTGACATCATCTAACTCTTCTTTTACTGTAGAACGCCAACCGCAGTCCCTCCGCAATGCCTTCAACCAACAACCACCCGATAAAGGTGCCTCCTGGCCCGCCGCTCTACAGATTCGCCGCAACTGCTCTTGGTGCCAGCATGTGGTTTTGGGTACGTTTCCCCGCGATTCATACCTGAAGATATTACTACAACCTTGAATTGGACTATCAATGTGTCGTTTCAGTGAAGATGAGCTAACTGGGCATATCTAAACCAGCTGATGTACCGCGCAAAGAAAGACGGCCCTGTTCTCCTTGGATGGAAACATCCATGGGACCATTAAATTAAGCTCTTCGCATTTCCTCATTTCTCTTATTGGCCGGTCTTTTTTTTATATCGACAAGGAATCCAAGGTGTTATATCCCGGCCAGTGGCGCCAGCAGACCAGTGGGTTCCGCGATGACAACGTGAAGCAAGCATCAGGTTCTGTCGATGGGGATGCTCATGTGAGAAATTCTGCAATAACTTGCGATAACACTTTGTATCACCAAGAGTATCTTTTTTCCTGCGACCGGCATGATGTATATATTTCATAGAAAGCATTGCTCAACAACACTTTTAGCTTACGGATACTATAAGAATGGTTAAGGACGAGATATTTCTCAGCCAGAATCATTCAATTACGCTATCTATCTTACTTACAACCCTTGGTCTCTATTCAAACAAAAAATTGGATTGGCAAAAAGGTATCAAAACGCAACACCAGGACAAGCAGGCCAGTGGTACCTGCTATGATATGTGCAAATAAAAGAAAAAGAAAAAGAAAAAAGGCCAAAATCTATATACTATACCACAAAAATCTGTCATTGGCCACCCTCAAGCAGTACTTTATATCGACGGCGCTGCTTTTTGGTATGTGGGCGCAACCAGCGATTTAAGCGGCCAATCCCCCGTGCGAGTTGCGGGAATACGTGGTTCTCACAAACCCAGGCAGCTGCAAAACCGCCCAATGCAAGGACTAATATCCAGCTTTTGAACTCGGGAGACATGTATGTCAGCTCCATCAGCTTGTACAGCCATTTAGCGGGCTGGAAAAGCATGTAAGAGGAGAAGAGGAGAATGATAATTATTGTGGCAACGAATGGAACTAAATGATATTATTAGTTACTGGTGGTTGTTTGAGATTTAGTTTGTACGAAGAAAACATACCATTAGAAGTTGCTGGCTTTCGGAATGGTTTGCCAGCACTTAGAACTACACCTGAAAACACATACTGGTAGCAAGAGACCAGGAATAGGGCAGTATTTTGCGAATTCTTGATGTTGGTGTCCTCATGGCTAATTTTCGGTGGAATATACCTAAAAGCTGTTAATCCTGGAGACAGGCAAAGTAGTACTGTAAGAAAATATATGATTCTTACCACTCAGGGATTTGGACAGTCTCATAAGCAGTAGCCTGAATGAGTATGCAGATAAGAATTTGTCCAAGCAGAGGGGTTAAGACCTTTCGCGAGACAAGATTTGCGGTTGGCCTCTTGCGGCAGAGTACTGGACTGGGGCCAATCCATCCCACTAATAGGAGTTAATTATGTACTGTATTCATTTGAGTATACATGTTACTTACTGAATATAGCCACAGGTAAAATTATCACCAGGTCAATGAAGAGGAACTATTACCATACAGTTAGAATAGTCTGGTAAGGGAAGCAGAGACTTGAAGTTTTGGAGGCTTACCTGGAAATCCCCCAGGTTCGATGCTGTTGCGTAAAGGAAGCTGACAGACGTAAATTGAATGGCAGAATAAAGACTCATATACTTGAAGCAGCAAAAGCTCGTAACCAACGCCGCTCTTCCTTCCCTATACCTTAATTAGCAGAAAAAAACGGATTGAGGGAAATTTGGAGACAATTTCGTTAAAATACCTGATGAGTTTTGGTACACATGATATATCAAATACCCTACTGGTAAAGGGAGCAGCAACTGAAGCCTCTGCCTCAGAAAGAGAGATGCCTACGTCTGCAGCCTTAAGAGCACCGCAGTCATTAGCGCCATCACCGCAGAATCCACAGCCATAGTTAAGAGACTGAAGCTTTTCAACGAGTTCATGTTTTTCATCAGGCGACATCCGAGCAAAGACCTGGCCACGAACGAGCATCTACTTTATGTCAGAGATATTTTTATAAAGTTGTCAGGGAAAGCAGTGTGTACCCTATTCAGCACAGCTTCAGGACCATAGTCAACAACCCAACGGAACACATCTCCCGTTACCGCAATGGCGTAGTTCGTTTTGTTGTAATGATTATAGGGAACAGAAACATCTGGCCTTGAGTTATGTGGAAGCGGCTATTGGGAGTTAGAAAAAGCGAGAAAAAACCGACGGACTAGAAGTAATGTAGAGTTCACACAGCATACCGTTAATGTATTCTCGTCAAGTTGATGATCCGGGTTATCAATGCTTTGCCAACAAAGCCGAGCGTCTGGATCCGAAGAACTCCCTTGGTATTGTTAGTGTATAATGTTCTCAAAATGATGTAAAACGAATGCTTGCCTTCAACAAAGTAGGGGACAAAACATGGAGCCGCGCCCTCGACAAAGCCACACTCTCTTGCAACACTGACTGCTGTCAAAATGTTGTCACCCGTACACATGACACTGCGAATACCTGCCTCGTGTAGCTCAGTAATAACACCCTTCGAGGTAGGTTTAAGTTTGTTCTCGAAGATGATGAAGCCGATAAATTCAAGTCCCGATTCGGCATCTGCTCTACTCATAGAAAAAATGTCTCGAAGTGAAAATTGTGGGATATGTTTGGTTGCACAGGCAATGACTCGGAACCCGCGATGGGTATAGTAATTCAACAATTCCGAGAAGTCAGGTGGTACTTAAACTGAGGGTTAGCAAATAGAGATATATATGCCTTTGAGTGCCTAATACTAACAGCTTTTGGGAATGCATATATCTTTCATGCACTCTGGGGCTCCTTTAACAAAGATGTCAACGCCATTGCTACCCGGCTGTCGCACCACAACACTAGCTCGGCGAAGTTGAGAGACGAATTCAAAAATACGAAGGATGGATAATTCAATAGCATCATTTGGCTCCTAGGTATTGGGTTAGGACTGTAATACGAGGTTCTATAAAATGAAAATGAGCTCACAGTTGTTCTCCCGGTTCCACCTGGAGGAGCAAAATTGGGTGGAGACCTCGCAATAGACGGAGAAATATTTTCATAGTCCTCATATACTTCAGCAGTGTTGTGGCTACCTTCTTCGTAGGACCAGTTTGTAAATTCGAACATTTTAACATCCAGGGGGTCACCAATTAGTTCCCCGTCTATCATCCTTAGTGAATGACAGGTTGCCATGGTGTAGAGAATGGCTGTATTGGGGCCATAATCCTGAGTAGGATCCCGATCAGAGAGCAACTGGGGTAAAATGAGCGAGGTCTCGGTTAGAAGATCGCTGAACCTGTATTTGCAATTTTTATTAATTAACCGCCTGGCGCGCATGATATGGGCTACCCTCTTACCTTTGTTCCCGTTGATGGCTGAGTCTAACACCGAGCACATCAAGGCCATCTTCAGTTAATGTTCCAGTTTTGTCAAAGCAGACAACATCGAGTTTTCCGGCAACATTTACCCTACAGACTTTAGCACCGGGTATACAAAGAGACCGTGGACTCAAACATACCTTTGTGGGCTTATGCAGAATATCTGTTGAGATTTGAGCCTAGATATCGCAAAGTTGATACCGATAGTAAGAGTCGCTGGTAAAGCTGGAGGTACAACGATGGTGATAAGATCAAGTGCCCGAACAATGATCGTATGCCAAACAATCTAAGACAGACGTTAGTTACAGTCGCTAATCAAACCAAGGATAAGTCTCCTACCTTTAGACGAATAAAATTGACAAATGAAACGACAAACCCAATAGCGGCAACAGTAGCCATCACAGAAATATACCGGAAAGAGTCCTGATAAAATTTAAAACCAGATGGTTTAGGGAACAGCATTGATCTAACAAGTGCACCCTTGGTAGTGTTGAAGCCTGTTCGCACAACCATGGCGAGAGCAGCCGCTTCATCATCTGCAGGATCCTGTGGCCGTCTGGCACGAATGAGCTTTGTACCACAGAACAGAAAATGCCTGGCTACCCCTGGGTCGACAGATGTTGCAGATAAATTCAACTGGGCCAGAGAATGATCGGTTACGGGAAATTTCGAGACCGGAACAGATTCACCTGTCGAAGTTAGTAGCTATGTCTGACTTGGTGAGAATATAAGGCAATAGGCTCAAACCTGTTAGCATGCTCTCGTTGACAATACAGTCGCCGGAGAGCAGGAGACAGTCACAGGGTATCTGTGTTAGAGAAGGGTCGGAAATCTCGAATACATCACCAGGTATCAGCTCGGTGGAAGGTACAGTTGTCCCTATGTACAAGCATAAAAATTAGAATTGGATGAATGTCTGATGCCCTGGTCAACCTACAAAATCCGCTTCTTAAAACTCTTATCTCGCACTCAAAATGTGCAATCTCACGTAGGCGTCGCATTGTCTAAAATGTCAGTATGTTTGGAATCAACAAGTTATTGAATATGAGGAATAGCATACTGATCTAGTTTCGATGGCGGTTGCTGTTATGCTAAAAACGGAGATGAAGAAAATACATGTAGCATAGTAATAGTATTCGTCCATTGACCAAAGGGTCAAACTGGCAATTTGAAATATGTAGAAGGGGTGGAATGCCTAGGTGGACGTTAGTAGGTGGTTCTTAAAGAGTAGTCAAGGCTATAGAAGGCACAGACTTCATCAAGCAGTATTTGTGGGATAGTCTTGGCCTGGATATCAATAATGTTTGCACCGAATACTTGTTCGCGGCTCTCCCTTTCGTCTGCATCCAATCCGCGACGTAACAGCTTCACATCTGCCCATGCAGGGTCCGCCCAAGTCCCACTGATACTAAACCTGTCCTGTACGGGTTGATAGAAGAACCGAACATAATGATAGTCCAGATATCGTAAATTTGACATTATAGGATCATCGTCATACTCGTAGTTCGCAACGGTGCCTTCTTTGTTCCCTCTCCCGAAAACAGTTGAGAGCTGGCGTCCATAGGGCTGGTTTTGGACATCCTGTATGGTGAATTGACCCCATTGGTTTTCAATAGCGACCCATTGACACTTATATAGTGGCGTGGGTGTCCCTATCAATGACACTCGCCATTTCGGGACCCATCTAAAGACGAGGTAGCCAAGACCGCAGGTCAGAATGCAGATGGCAAGATATGTGGTCAAACCAGCCATGCTAGTTGAGAATCCTGCAATGGCTGCCGTAAGGTCCTCTGAGGCAATGTATATCTTCTGGCTGATAATACCGTCTGATGACTTTCCTCCACGAGGGTGATCCGTGGAAGATGCGCGGCGCCAGAGCAAGGGGTCTTCAGCGGAATCATGCGAAGGAGTGGGGCCGAAATAACTAGAGGGGCGGAAGGGAGTCTCGATATCAACTTCCTGGTCGTTTTCGTGGCCTCGCTCGTGGTCATGATCTTCATGACCGCCTGACTGAGTGCGGTGGACATGCAGGTCACCATTTTCAAGCTGATCCGGCTCGATGACTGCCTCCTCGTCGCGGTCGTCCGGCCATACAAAGGATCCATTATTCTCTTGAAAGTAGGTAAAGCTGACGTTGGATTCACGACGAGAACGACGGCGTACAAAGGATGCAACGCTTGACGGAATGCTTTCTGATATAGGGCCAGCATAAACCTGAAGGCGTGGTGATTAGCTAGCTGCTTTTTACTAGGAATGTAGGGTCATTCTGCTCACCTCTTCTTGTGCCATCTCTACATCTGACAGCAGGCTTGTCCTATAAGCCATTAGCCTATACTACGGTCTTGAAACAAGGGCAATAATAGGAACGGTACCTGCTCCGCATGAAGCTACTGCGGTAGATGCTCCGTGGTCGGGGGAGGTCCCCGCCATTAGTGTGTTCGTCATCCATCTGGGGCAGTCCGGGAGCACACGCAGCATCCTATCTAGCCCAAATATGTCTCCGGATGCTATAGACTCAGCTCGAGGACGTAAACAACGTCTTTGGTCAAGCTTTCCAGAGCTTCAACCTTGATGAGCCATCGAGAAGATCGCCAAGTCACGGGTTCAGGGATCTTATCTCCACGTGATGTGGCTTGCGATAAGCCTTGGAGCTTGCAGGTTGCAGGGACGACAACACAGACGAAGACAACAAAGAAGGGAGGAAGGACGCGGAGGGAGACAAGGCACGGCCAGAGAGATTAGCAAGAAGAGGAGTGATGGAGGTAGGGAGGGAGACCGAGGTAAGCGGATGGATGCGTGCTTCGTAGCCATGGAGGACAGGCTACGCCTTAGCTGACAAGACCAGCACGAACCCCTGGTGAACACCCAGGTCGCTCAGCCGGTACCCCAGAGTCAGGAACTGCAGCTAGCCAACTAATTCTCCATGGCCGGCCTTGCAAATCCACACTTCCCTCAGCAAGTTAGCTATAAGATCATCTCTTTGGGTGGCCGCCTCCTCTCTGGCCCACAAGTTCCACCATAACCATCTCTGGTCGATGGAAATTCTTGGAATTGATGGCGGTCAACAACACTGCGTATCTGGGATATCGGGCTTAGGCTGAGGGAGGCATATGAGGGACGGTCTAGACAATGGCTTAATTCCCTCTTTGGCGAAACCATACGATAACTATCAGGACGGATGGAAGGGACGCTTATCGGCATTGTTTGTGCGCTGGAGAGTGTCATACCGTGCAGTACACTGCTATATAGGGCTTACGACGGTACTACATTCGGCTCGCAGTATCCTTCCAGCCGTGCATGGCCTTCACCAAGGAGTATGGGTGGTAACTGGTTCGTACGGAGAATAACTAGTTAACTACACAGCCATGGAGCTGGCTGTCGTACTACAGCGTGTACACGCCTGTCGATCGGACCGAGGGCGCCCAACGGATAGCCCAGGCGTCACAAACGTAGCAATCAGCCGCTGTCCTCCCTCTTAGCTCCCTTGTAGCCAGCGTATATAGCAGCAGTATCAGTATCAGCATCGGTGTCAATGTCGCTTCTTCGTCTTCACGCCTTGTTGTCGATGTCTGGCGCGCCAAGCCTGGCTTCCCGATCCGTCGTAGTCTCATCCACGCCAAAAAGAAAAAAAGTAGCCCACCAAACGTAAATCTGCTTGATAAGTCTTCAACGCTGAAAAATACAACCACCGCCTTCTCTCCCTCTCTCTCGCTCCCTCTTCTCCCACCACACGCAACGCCCTCGCCCACCGTCCTCAGTCTGTTCGTACGTGTCCTCTGTTGCCTTCTATCACGATGTCTGAGCCGATCAGAAGCAAGAAGCCTGAGGTGACTGCACCGTAAGTGTTATCTGATGCGAAGTTGTGCCCCCCTGGCGGCCTGGCTGACCGTACTTTGAAGGACCCCTCAGAACACTCCCGCAAACCATGCCCCGATTTCTTCACATGCCCAGCAACCTGGCATCGCCAGCATCAAAGAAGGTCCGTACCGCTGCTCATGTTGATACGCTTGCTTGTGCATTTTTCTCCTTTATTCAGGCAGAAACGAGCTAGATCGTTTACGTATGGTGCAATACTCTTGATGTTACAGCCCGCTGATAAGTCTCTATAGAGGACCTTGACCGAGTAGCTGCCGCCTCGCTCTTCGCACAGAACCCTAAGCTCGTCTCCATGATCCAGGGCAGGCTCGGATCTATCATCGGACGCTCATCCGGCTACATCGAATCTCTCCCGGCCTCTGTTCGCCGCCGAGTCGCAGGCCTCAAGGGCATCCAGACTGAACATGCCAAGCTCGAAGCCGCTTTCCAGGAAGAAGTCCTGCAGCTCGAGAAAAAGTACTTCGCCAAGTACACCCCACTCTACCAGCGCCGTTCTGCCATTGTCAACGGTGGTGCCGAACCCACCGACGCAGAGGTCGAGGCCGGCAAGAGTGATGAAGACGAAGAGGAAGATGAGAAGAAGGAGAATGAGGCCAAGCAGCTTCCCGTTGAGTCTGAGGAGACTCCTGCCTCTGGTATCCCGGAGTTCTGGCTGTCTGCCATGAAGAACCAGATCTCTCTCGCTGAGCTGATCACCGACCGAGACGAAGGTGCTCTCAAGGAGCTAACAGACATTCGCATGGAGTACCTTGATCGTCCTGGCTTCAGACTCATCTTTGAATTCGCGGAGAACGAGTTCTTCACTAACAAGACAATTGCTAAGAGCTATTACTACCAAGAAGAGAACGGATATGGCGGTGACTTCATCTACGACCACGCCGAGGGTGAGAAGATTGACTGGAAGGAGGGCAAGGATCTCACCGTCCGGGTAGAGAGCAAGAAGCAGCGTAACAAGAGTAAGTTGTTTTCATTAATTCGATCTATATGGACAGCCACTGACTATATACCCACAGACACCAAGCAGACCCGCGTTGTCAAAGTTACTGTCCCCACCGAATCCTTCTTCAACTTCTTCTCTCCCCCCAAGCCCCCACAGGAAGACGACGAAGATGTTGCCTCCGATATCGAGGAGCGTCTTGAGCTCGACTACCAACTCGGTGAAGACATCAAGGAGAAACTCATCCCCCGTGCCATTGACTGGTTCACCGGTGAAGCCCTCCAGTATGAAGAACTTGATGACAACTTCGAAGGCGAGTTTGAGGATGATGATGAAGACGATGATGACGAGGATGATGATGACGATGAGGACGACAAGAGAGGTGACGATGATGAGGACTCGGATGAAGAAGTATGCCTCCCTTTACCCCCAGACAAAGATCCCTTTCTAACCCAGCTCTTACAACAGGACGACGGTTCGAAGCCCAAGAAGGAAGCTACTGAGTGCAAACAAAGTTAAAGAACGAAATTCGATGACGACGAAAAAACAGGGACACGAAAGAGGCAAACAAGAAACATGTTGATAAAAAAAGAACGATATCATCTCAACTGAACACACACAAAAAGAGCCAAAAAAAGACTATCTTAACAATCATCGACCTCCAAATATGATGTCCCTTGACCACCCTACTGTCCCCCACCACACCCCTTACGTACCCTTTCCAATGGTCCCTGCCTCTTTCCAATACCCTCCTCTATGCCATCAGCCTTCCTACCTTTCTCTTTTCTTTCCAATGAACTGCTGCATTGTATTTCCTTCTCATCCCTTGTTTTTACCTTAACGTCTACGCTAATCCCACCATTTCCCTTCTCTCATTTCCATAGTTTGACGCTTCCCTCTTGTTTCTTTCCATGTGCATCTTTCTCCCCAACCCTTCCATTCTCAGTTCTTCATCCACCAACCCATAGTAACTTTAATATCAAAATATCAAGATTTTTATCTACCCCTTTCTTTCCCCTCCCTCTTCATCCCCTACTTCCCCTATTGTTTACCTCCTTTGCTACCGCCGTTACCTTTCCTTTATATGATACGACATGACTCCTCCCCACCTCTCTTAACATGGATGAGCTGTGCCGTGAGTAGTTGGGAAGGGAGTAGGGACGGATAACGGATAGATGATGGGTGAAGTGGACAGCGATAGTGATAACTAGGCGTCGGGGAATTTCCAGCAAGGACAACAGCCGCAGATTAACTGGACTGCATCTTTCATATTTACTTGGCTAGAGATACGGCGAGTATGGTTTGACTCTCTGTGTTTGATATGTTCTTCTATTGGGCATAAAAAGTTGTTTCTTCTGTCTGCCTTCGACCACTTCTTCGTATTTTTGACAGCACAGCATACTTTAACGATGGTATGAAACGCCCCCTGGCACCACTTGAACCTAGCACGTAGTCCATAGACGTCGAGGCAGCAGTAAACGCAACCCCCCTGGCCATGCTAACGCCGTCTGTCCCAAATCCTCTCGCTCGGCCTGTGTATATTATGTATTACTCCGAGATTGGCTGATGAAACATCCACTCCTTTTGATACCTAAACAAAATTCACCAACGAAAGTACCGTGCACGTGACACACCTTCACCGTCCGAGCTAACTAAAAACCTCATAATTCCTTATTTCAGGGGCTTGAGGAAGTTCGACCACCGACTCTCGACGCTATTTTCGACGTGAGAACCTGCTAACCTGGCCTTCCAGTCTGTTCCCGTCCTCGTCTGCGTCCTGTTCTTCGTCTTCGTCCCTTTATTCTTAACGACCCTTTTGCGAGACGCGCGGAGAGACAGACAACGCCTCGAGCTGTCGTCATTGTTCCTTACAGCCAACATCTACACTTCTATCAGGCGGCCAGCGATCTCCTTTTAATACCTCCTTTTTTTGTTAGCACGCCCATTGTTACTCTACTCTAATTCCGGAACCAGGAGACTAGCAGAGGAAGCCATAAAAGCGCCGTCGAAGAGCTTTCTTCACCCGCTTTTTTGTACGCGGTTAACGTTGCTCTACACCCCAGCCAACCAACCATGCTCTAGACCGCCACCCCGGGCTACGTGTGAGACGCTTTTTTTGCCTGCTTTTCTCGATATCTATATCGTTTGACCATAGCCGTGACGTTGACCGTGATCGTGGTCTTTTTTTCGTGTTATTTACTAGTTTTTTAATCTTGCCGGTACCAGAATACACGAGATGGTGCATACATATGAGGTCGGCACGCGGGCGTGGCAACCAGACCCGACTGAGGGATGGGTTGCGTCTGAGGTGACTGAGAAGGTGGTGGATGGGGAGAAGGTGAAGCTGGTGTTTACTCTGGAGAATGGAGAGGTGAGTCGTGGGACGGAGCTCTGTCTTATTGCGTTTTTCGTGCATTGGAGTGACTGGGACTAATGATATTGTGTTTGTATAGACGAAAACCACCGAGACAACCCTGGCGGAGCTGGCTTCGGATACAAATGAAAAACTGCCGCCCCTGATGAACCCGACGATGTTAGAGGCCAGCGAAGATTTGACGAACTTGTCTCATTTGAACGAGCCAGCTGGTATGCTCTGTTTACAGCTACTCGAGTAAATTAGGGTCCATACTTACAATTTCCATAATATAGTCCTCCAGGCTATTAAGCTACGGTACTACCAAAAGGAAATTTACACGTACTCCGGTATCGTGCTTATAGCAACCAACCCGTTTGCCCGTGTGGACTCCCTTTATGTGCCTCAAATGGTTCAAGTTTACGCCGGCAAGCAACGAGCTTCCCAGGCACCCCATCTCTTTGCCATCGCAGAAGAGGCTTTTGCGTGAGTAATAGTCCGTAATCTCAATTTGCTTACATTTATGCTAACTGTTGGCCAGTGACATGTTGAGGGATACACAAAATCAAACAATCGTCGTATCTGGAGAATCTGGTGCTGGAAAGACCGTCAGTGCAAAGTATATCATGAGATACTTTGCTACTCGAGAAACATCAGATAACCCTGGCTCATACTCTACTGGACGGGCAGACTCTATCAGTGAAACCGAGGAGCAAATTCTTGCCACCAACCCCGTCATGGAGGCCTTCGGTAACGCAAAGACAACGAGAAACGACAACTCATCACGATTTGGTAAATATATTGAGATTCTTTTCGATAACAGAACAAACATTATTGGTGCAAAAATCAGAACATACCTTTTAGAACGGTCGAGGCTGGTCTTCCAACCTTTGAAAGAACGAAACTACCATATTTTCTATCAACTTATTGCTGGTGCTACCGACGCTGAAAGGCAAGAGCTGGGGCTTTTAACTGTCGAGGAGTTTGACTATTTGAACCAGGGAGGAACACCTGTCATCGATGGAGTCGATGACAAGGCTGAACTCGAAGCCACAAGAAAATCCCTCACCACTATTGGGCTGAATGATGACATACAGGCCTCCATCTTTAAGATTTTGGCCGCGTTGCTTCATCTTGGTAACGTCAAGATTGTTGCTACCAGGAATGACTCTTCTCTTGAGTCTACCGAGCCATCTCTAGTCCGGACTTGTGAGATGCTGGGTATTGATGCCGCCGAGTTTGCTAAATGGACGGTTAAGAAACAGCTAATTACCCGAGGCGAGAAAATTATCTCAAATCTCAACCAGGCCCAGGCTCTCGTCGTCAGGGATTCAGTTGCTAAGTTCATCTACTCCAGTCTCTTTGACTGGCTGGTGGAGACAATCAACCGTAGCTTGGCAACCGAAGAAGTTCTTAGCCGAGCTACCTCATTCATTGGTGTCCTCGATATCTACGGATTCGAGCATTTCGCAAAGAACTCCTTTGAGCAGTTCTGTATCAATTACGCCAACGAAAAACTGCAGCAAGAGTTCAACCAGCATGTTTTCAAATTGGAGCAGGAGGAGTACGTTCGGGAACAGATTGACTGGACTTTCATCAACTTCTCCGACAATCAACCATGTATTGACCTCATCGAGGGCAAACTTGGTATTCTAGCTCTGCTCGATGAAGAGTCCAGATTGCCAATGGGTGCTGATGAACAGTTTGTCAACAAGCTACACCACAACTTCGCCGCGGACAAACAAAAGTTCTACAAGAAGCCCCGATTTGGCAAGTCGTCTTTCACCGTTTGCCATTATGCCATTGATGTCACCTACGAGTCAGACGGCTTCATTGAGAAGAACAGAGATACTGTCCCTGATGAACACATGGAGGTTCTCAAGAACTCTTCCAACTCCTTTATTAGGGATGTCCTCCAAGCTGCCACGGCTATTCGTGAAAAGGATTCCGCTTCTATGTCCTCCAGAGCAGTTGCGGCTCCTGGAAGGAAGATCGGAGTTGCTGTTAATCGTAAGCCAACTCTAGGAGGTATCTTCAAGTCCTCCTTGATCGAGCTTATGAATACTATCAACTCCACGGATGTTCATTACATCCGATGTATAAAACCCAATGAAGCAAAGGAAGCCTGGAAGTTTGAAGGCCCTATGGTTCTCAGTCAGCTGCGAGCTTGTGGTGTTCTCGAGACCGTGCGAATAAGTTGTGCCGGCTACCCAACCCGGTGGACTTACGAAGAATTCGCTCTCAGATATTACATGCTCTGCCACTCCTCACAATGGACGTCTGAAATTCGTGCCATGTGTCATGCTATTCTATCAAAGGCCCTGGGTGATATCACTCAACAGCAGCAAGATAAATATCAGCTTGGTTTGACTAAGATCTTTTTCCGAGCTGGTATGCTTGCGTTCCTGGAGAATCTTCGTACTTCCCGCTTGAATGAATGTGCAATCATGATTCAAAAGAATTTGAAGTGCAAGTTCTACAGACGGAAGTATCTTGCTATGCGTGGTTCAATTCTTGCTTTCCAGGGTCTCATTCGTGGATTCCTGGCCAGACAGCACGCCGAAGGGGCCCGCCAGGTCAAGGCCGCAACCACCATTCAGCGAGTCTGGAGAGGTCAGAAAGACCGCAAATATTACCACAAGATCAGAAACAATGTCATCCTCGTCGAGTCTTTGGCAAGGGGTTACCTTTGCCGCCGAAACATCATGGACAGTATCCATGGAAATGCTGCAAAGGTTATTCAACGATCTTTCAGAACATGGCGACAACTCCGCAAATGGAGAGATTATCGCCGCAAGGTTGTCATTGTACAGAACTTGTGGCGTGGTAAGCAAGCTCGTAGACAGTACAAGACCCTCCGTGAAGAAGCTCGCGATCTCAAGCAGATATCCTACAAGCTTGAGAATAAGGTTGTGGAGTTGACCCAGTCTCTCGGATCTCTCAAGCAGCAGAACAAGTCTTTGACCTCCCAGCTGGAGAACTACGACGGACAAATCAAATCCTGGAGGAGTCGGCATAATGCCCTTGAAGCCAGGTCCCGTGAACTGCAGGCTGAAGCTAACCAGGCTGGTATCACTGCTGCCCGCTTGACGGCTATGGAGGAAGAAATGTCGAAACTTCAGGTTAACCACAATGAATCACTTGCAACTATCAAGAAGCTGCAAGAGGAAGAGAAGTCAACCAGAGAAAGCCTTCGCCTTACCAGCCTTGAACTTGACAACGCTAAGAATGCTATTGCCGTCCACGAGCAGGAGAAGACCTACCTTCGTCAGCAAGTTGTTGAGCTACAAGATGAGCTTGAATTTGCTAAGAGGTCCGCTCCTCTCAATGGACTCAACGGAGACCTGAACGGAAACGCCCCTACTCAGCCAAGTTTGTCTGGTCTGATCAACCTAGTTGCTTCGAAGAAACCCAAGCCAAAGAGACGCAGTGCCGGGCTCGAGAAGGTTGAAATTGATCACCGTTTCAGCGGTGCTTATAACCCAAGGCCCGTCTCTATGGCCATACCAACTGGTGGAGTTGGCCGCAATGATTTCCGAAACTCAGCATTCGCTCCCGGAATTGACTCCGTGGAAATTGAGCTTGAGAACCTTCTCTCCGAAGAGGATGCTCTTAACGATGAAGTTAGCATGGGACTCATCAAGAATCTTAAGATCCCCCTCCCCAGCTCTGATCCACCACCCACCGAGAAGGAGGTCCTGTTCCCCTCCTACCTCATTAACCTGGTCACATCCGAGATGTGGAATAATGGTTTCGTGAAAGAATCCGAACGCTTCCTTGCCAATGTCATGCAGGCTATTCAACAGGAGGTCATGCAACATGATAGCGAAGATACAATCAGCGCCGGCGCATTCTGGCTCTCCAATGTCCACGAAATGCTTTCCTTCGTTTTCCTCGCAGAAGACTGGTATGAGGCCCAAAAGACCGACAACTACGAATACGACCGTCTTTTGGAGATAGTCAAGCACGATTTGGAGTCTTTGGAGTTCAACATCTACCACACTTGGATGAAGGGATTGAAGAAGAAGCTCTTCAAGATGATTGTCCCTGCCATCATCGAGTCACAGTCCCTTCCTGGATTCGTCACAAGTGAGACGAACAGATTCCTTGGCAAGCTTTTGCCCTCAAGCAACAACCCTGCGTATAGCATGGACAACCTTCTCAGCCTGTTGAACAATGTTTTCAAGGCTATGAAGGCATACTACCTTGAAGATTCCATCATTACTCAGACTGTCACCGAACTGCTCCGACTTGTTGGTGTCACCGCATTCAATGACCTGCTTATGAGGCGCAATTTCCTCTCATGGAAGCGTGGTCTGCAAATCAACTACAACATCACCCGTATCGAGGAATGGTGCAAGAGCCACGATATGCCAGAGGGCACCCTACAGCTTGAGCATCTCATGGTAAGCCCTCGTCCCCCATACTCAATTACAACATGTTCTAACCTTACCTCCCATTACAGCAAGCAACCAAGCTGCTTCAGTTGAAGAAGGCTACTCTGAACGATATAGAAATCATCCAGGATATCTGCTGGATGTAAGTTCTCCAGTATTCCCGTTTTCCTATTTTATTACAAGCTACTTACACATACGTCCACAGGCTCTCACCCAACCAAATTCAAAAACTCCTCAACCAGTACCTTGTTGCTGATTACGAACAGCCAATCAATGGTGAAATCATGAAAGCTGTTGCATCTCGTGTCACTGAGAAGAGCGACGTTCTGCTTCTTACTGCAGTGGACATGGAGGACAGTGGTCCTTATGAGATTGCCGAGCCCAGGGCCATCACTGCACTTGAGACATATACACCATCTTGTAAGTGTTACTCACATGCATTCATGTCTTTCCACACCCCAGTCTAACACATTCATAGGGCTGCAAACCCCTCGACTTAAGCGACTTGCAGAGATCGTTTCTGTTCAAGCAATGGCTCAGCAGGACCGTCTTGATAGCCTAGAAATGGGAGAGCCACCAGAAGACTAAACCCTCTGTGTCTCCTTGCATTGCTCGTCGTAATGGCCAACGATTACCCTTCGGCTCCCGCATACTCGCATTACTACCCTCAACTTTATAGACCATTGGACTTTAATCCTCTCTTCAAAAGAACCCATCTGAAAAGTTTTCAATGGACATGCATGCCTCTCCATTCCACCACAGAGGCAATAATTATCATTTCCTTTTTTGTTTTACCTTTTCTTTTGTTTCTTTCATTTGTTCGAGCCACGGTAATGTCTAACTCTTGTGACTATGTGATTCCCGATAAGATCATATTACGTTTAACCATTTACTCCGTTTTTCGAGATCTTTTGGTTCCATGGGTTTTTACTTTTGTTCGTTTGGTCTCCTTTTTAACGGATCTTATGCTCGTCTCTACTTCCTTACGTATCGTGGCCCTCTGATTTATACGCGTCTTAAAGTGTTTGGAGATCTCGCACCGATTTATTCTTCGCATCGGCCCACTGTTATGTTTCTTGTATTATATCTCTTGCACTTCACTTGCTCCCAAGTGTAAAATAGACCCTGCTTCGACGACTACGGGTAAAATAGGTATACACCCAGGGTTTCTGGCCTGGAAGAGGTGTTCGTTCAAATTCACCACATTGATGACAACATCTAGGATTTTTCATACTCGAAATGAATACGATATGACGCTATTACTATCGACGGCAAATAGAAAGATAGCTATTATATAGCGCATTCTCAAATACTCCTATCTATATATATACCTAGGTACCTAGCACCACCTTTCTTAGCTTCGGATCGGGTTAATCTGTGCCTAAGTTGAAGTTAAGTTCAACTGGCTTTGGTGGGGGCGTCAAAGTCATAAAATATCAGTCATAGATCATTTTCCCCAGCACCAATTTCGATCATAAACCTCCATCAATTCGACATATATCCAGACTCAAACCAGGGAGAATCAAGATGAAATCCATCAATTTCGTTACCGGAAATAAAAACAAACTCGCTGAAGTGCAGGCGATACTGCAAGACACCATCGAGGTCAAGAGCGTATCCGTCGACGTCCCTGAGCTACAAGGGACGATAGAAGAGATTGCCAAAGAGAAGTGTCGTAAAGCGGCTGAAGCTGTGAGTATTTTTATTTTCCATTTGATGTTGTCCCCAGTAACGGCTTTTCTCCCTCATGGTTACTGACTTCATGATATATTAGGTCAACGGGCCTGCATTGACAGACGATACTGCATTAGAGTTCAATGCCCTTAATGGTCTACCAGGTCCCTATATGTAAGGATACTGTGATGAATATCTATTATAACCATGTATTTCCTTTTTTTTCGTGGATCAGTTATTAACATCTTCGCAGAAAATGGTTCCTTGAGAAGCTAGGTCATGTCGGACTTAATAAATTGGTCGAGCCATATGAGGATAAGTCCGCCGTCACGGTTGCTACGTTTGCCTTCTGTGCTGGACCAGGAGAGGAGCCAATCCTTTTTCAAGGAAAAACTGAGGTGAGTGAGTTGTGAATATTGCTACTATGATCCCTCTAGGGGCCCTGCTTTTTGTCAAGGGTAATTGGTGAGATAAAGCGGCTGTACATTCTATGGATGTATTTATAAGGGGTACCGAGGGCTTTTTATATATTTGATATAAAATTAGACCCTGTCTTACCTCTTTGATAAATTGTAGGGCCGTTAGAGCTCATACTAACTTAGCAAAATATTTGGCAAGGTGCAAAGCTAATAACAAAAATCATCAGGGCAAGGTAGTTCCTGCTCGTGGTTCAACCCAATTCGGTGAGTGGAACTATTCTGGATTATCCCATTCAATCGTACGGCCAGAGGCTAACACCATTGACACCAGGTTGGGATCCGATCTTTGAATATGAAGGCCAAACATATGCCGAGATGGATCCAAAGTACAAGGTAAGTGCACCTTCTGTTTTCTGATGTCTTCATGACTGGCCGTTATGTTGACTGTATACACCATGTAGAACACGATATCCCATCGATATAAGGCGTTGATGAAGCTCAAAGCATGGATTGAAGAGCAGAAGAAGCAGCAGCAGCTTTAACTCTTCGAAATCTCTTCAACCTTTGGGTCTTGGAGTGGCAGGTAGAATGTCGGACATTGTTAAATGACCGCAGCCCTGGAACCAATCAGTCTGACGCTGTGGCATGCGATTGCTTCCAGGAATCTATCCACGATTTTATCCTCTGGCAGTTGCTCTCGATGGCATCGTCTGTCTCGCTTTCAAGCTCAACCACTATCTCCTCGTCATAAGCTTCCCTGGCCTCCTCAAGCAGCACCCCGAAGATCTCGGCGTCAAGGTTTTCTTGGAGCTTTTCCTCTGAATAAGATCTATATAGAGCAAGAATAGATATGTTAGTAAACAATTTCCATGGGAGTTGGCCTCAGGATAATAGCATAACTAAGTCAACACAGCTTACCTTGCTGCCAGTCTATCGTAGTGAATAGCCGTTGATGGGCATCTTAGAACCACTACAAGGTCAATCCAGGATTTTGGGAATAAATCGCACGCATGCCAGTCAATAAGGTATCCTCCTTGTAATACATCGGCCTCAATCTCGTCAAGCAGCTAAAATAATTCATCGAATTAGTATTGAATTGTTCATGGAGAGAAGGATATTAAATACCTTATCCTCATCAACGATATGGCTTTTTAGCTTCTCATCAAAGCCATCATAGCATCCCCGTTCTTTTGCGACTTGGTTTATTGACAAATGCTTCAGCTCTGTCTCTTGCGCCAGCTGCTCGCAGTGAACAGTCTTCCCCACTCCGGGAGTTCCGGTGATGATTATATTGGGTGAGGTTCTCATGGCTTCTTGAAGGCAAGTATTTTCAGGCGCTTGTTATATGATATGGGTTTCTGAATGAAAAATTAATCAATAATTAGGCAGAGGTCTAAACTGTATAATTCAATGTCATGTCTGTCCATCGAGAGACACAAAAATCCCGCCAAACCCCCCCGACCAAAAATTCTTGTCACGTGAAATTCCTATTTCTCCAACCCCCTTAGATTTTCTAGTTTCCAACACAAACAAAAAACCAAAGCAAACCCTGCCGTTCATATTCACCACAAGTATACCCAGAAGACAGGGAATAAGTACCATGTTAAACCTCGGTTGGAATCCTGTCTCTACTCAATCTCGGATGTAGACTTCTCTGTTAACGGTTCGAGCCTGTGATGACCGTTTAGCTGAAAGATGCTCGTTACTTCAAGGAAAACCCACAAACATACATCAGGAGTTCAAATGTGTCAAATTGTCGCAAATATCTGCTAGTCCTTCGAAATGCCTTCAGATAGGAATCGGGCTTTTCAGTGTTGAACTGTGTTCCGACCAGCTTTGAAGTTGCAGGCGATGTCTTGAACATTGGGTCAAACACAAGCAGGTTAACGCTGCGGTTTTCTCGGATTTCGAATCCAACAATGGTCATCGAATGACCTAGTTTTATATATCAGCCATTGGAGCTCCTAAAATGGTCAATAATCTCTATTGGAGGATTGAGATGCCCTACCTGCATGTTGTAGATATATCGGAGGGAGGTCCGTCTGAACAATTTGCTTCCCAGAGCCAGGAGTTTTACCGTTCAGAAAATACTCGGCTACTGTTAAATAGAGAGATTCAAAGGCCTTATCATCTGTCGTCTCGCTGCAGACTTTCGGGCGGCACCTGCACAGACTTAGTTATATATCCACTACAAACCCAAGCACTTTAAAATTGCTCTGTACATACGGTATCCCCGAATTTTGGAACAACGCCGCAGCCTATTTCACATAAGTCTATAGTTAGCACGTCATATAACTGCCTCCATAAAAACATTAGAGTATATACTCACCTCAGGGGTTCCTATATATTTCCGTGTGCCTCTTATTCCCCCAGTCTCTGTCCGCCCATGGCTGTTGAAACCATTATCCCAGGCTTGCTCTATCATGTCCTGTAGTTTTAATATCGAAGGGGTTCTGCCGGGGAAATGCTCATGACCCGTTGCATTGTTTCCCTGGATGTAAGAAACAAGCATTTGAATATTACGATACCCACAGAATCCACCTTCTTTTTGCATTTTAAATATATGCCGAACATTAGGACTGCAGAGGTAGGCTTGCTCTACTGAGTAATCTTGTTGGCAGAGCCGAGCAATAACCGGGATAAGGCCTGGCGTTTCATTTGAGACGATCTCAACTTTGTGCAATGTGCCGTCCGGTGATATCCTATTCTCACGGGTAATGTCAGGCCCATCTTTAAGCATTTTGTGTAGCCATGAAGGCATCTTGGGCTCTCGAGCATATGGCCCTAGCTCCGTTGTCTATCAAATTTCCGTATTAGCAAGGGGGTCCAGACTTGAATAAAGGCAGCACGCATTAACAAAAAAAGAAGAAGAGGCATTAAACCATACCCCAAGCTGGCCAGCTTTTCTCATTTTCTTCTTCTGCTTCGGGGCCTTTGCGTATATTGGTGCATCTCGCTGCCGTTTCCCATCGTGTTTCCCCAGCGCCTTGCTTAATGTGGGGGATATTTCTTCATCTTCTTCGATGCCTCCGGATGATCTCATGTTTGTGCCTCTGGTATCAAATCCCTTGGGTTCTTCGAGGGCCAGGCCCTCCGCAAGGTGTAGGTCTAGGTGGCTCATGAGCTGATCCTCAGTCACTGCCTCACCACATCCAGTAGGACAGTCAACATATTTAATGTCTGTCTCTGCATCTTCATCAGTGTATAGTGGTGTGTCACCGTGCCACCACTCCGGCTTTCTGGTAGTTCCGATATGTGTTTCTTCCTCTGCTTCTAGGAAGGGCGAGGTGCCATTTTCGGGGTGACAGAGTTCTACGTGTTGAGCCAAAAAATCTGCGTCGGCATCAGCGAAGTCACAGAATGGACACGATAGCTGTTCCGCGGTGTTCATCGTGATTCAGTGAAATGCAAAAGTTCTAATATATTTTTATATCAAGTAGGTGAATACCGGGGGTTGAAGTTGAGTGTTAACGTTTATTGCGGTTAGTCAAATGCTAAGTATTAGCGACCTAAGTAATTATATGAAAGTCTGCGTCAACTTAGAACTGGTTAACTTAGAACTACTACTTTGATCCTTCGCTCGTGAGTTGACTAAGTAGTTTAATATTCAACGTTATATTGGTCAAGATAATCCCCTAGTAGCTATTGGTATCAACTGGAAATGAGTAAACCTACCAGTATCCTTACGGCTTCGTTCAATAAATCTATTATAATACAGCCAGTGCCTCATTGAACAGAAAACCGTGTACTACTGCTTAATACCTAAAGACTACGCCATGATATGGCTGCCACGATGGTTACAGTACTCTGATTTTTCGGAAACAAACAATGAGATGAGTAAATAATGCCGTACGACCTTCTCAATCAACTGAATGAAGCCGGGTGTTATAGGGACTCAGAGGCAAAACGTTAAAATCCGAAGAACGTATGGTTCATGCACCTGTGCTTATATTTCCCACACAGCGATGCCTACAGGCCATCCAACAAATTATTGCATGAGAAAACCACCTCTGGCGCAACTAAAGACCTCCAGCCGACCGAGAAGACCCTGATGAGATGTTGCAGAGATATATGGCTGGAAGAAAGCAGACTGCTTGCCGTTCAATAGCCTTTCCGGATGCCTTCCGTGTGGCTCTGCGGGGAAAATTTCATTCCCGATAGCCTTTTATGTCAAAGGGATTTCGGTCATTTTTTAATCCACCTAGCATTTTCAGGTATATACTGAGATGAACATGGCCTCGCAGTCCGGATCATCGTGATTATGCGTCGTCCTGCGGGGTTTTAACCCTTGCATGATGGATTCAAGGTTCTTCCACCAGGAGAGCTAGGATCAGCAGGTTATATTATGTCTAATCCCGGATTGGGAAATCCCCCAAATGGACATTCGCGCGCGCGCTCTCCCCGGGTGATTAACATGGCCAGGGCCCTGAGACGCAACTTCGTATCGGTTGTCACGACTGAACGAGCAAGTCGTTACATATATTTAACTATTCTGGAGGCGCCTCTCGCTCAGCATCACGGCTTTCCGCGGTCCGTCCCGGTTATCCCAAGAGGAGCGAGCAAGTGTTGCACAGGGATGTCGATAGTATACTGAGTTATCGATAAGACTGGGTGGTAAAACCGCTCCGGGACCCGACACAGAGTCGATCTCTTTTGCCTGTCGTCCTGCCGTGGGATCTCGCGTGGCTTCCAGTCCATATTGCCATCGATACCACGGGCTAGACAGATCTCAGGGATCACCCGAAGTAAGCACAACGGTTCATGCTTCCGTTGAGATATGCCCTCCTTGCATTCTTCATGGCGAGCGCCTTAGCTCGACCGGGATCGTACGTAACCATGCACTGCCCGCTGCAACATATAACATCCATCTCTCCCTTGTCTCTTTTATGTTACTTCTTTTCTTCGCCTGTTGTTGAAATTGTCTTCCTTTATGCCCTTTGCCAGACAAACAAAACAAACATACCCCAAGTTGCTTATCTGCTCTGTATCAACGCTAGGCTAGATCTAGGTTGGCGCCAAATATTGCGTGATCCCAGCCGGCGAAACATTCCGCAATCGGACCACGGATAAACCCAAAGAGGCTAGTTTTGCCGCAGAAACGCGATTTTTGCAGCCGAAAAGGTTATTTTCTTACGTAAGTCCCGATTTGCAAATTTTCCAAAGCCTAAATCTTTGAGTCACTCTTGCAAAAAAAAAAAGATAAGCGGAGGAAAGAGCGAAGGACGAAAAAAGTTGAACATCCGCAGCCTTTCTTTTTGGGGCAAGAAGTATGAATAAACACTTGAATTCCGGCCTCGTCTCCTTCCCTACCACATTCCTTACCGTCGTTCATTTTCCGTCCGCTGCCATTGCTGTCCCGGAGCTGAGACCTGAGCAGGCCTAGCAGAGAACGAGAGACCCGCGGGGAGCACCCAGGATCCCCCACCGGTTGCACTTTGCTGCCCTCGCGAGCCATTATTATATATCACTATACATCCATAGCGCCACGATGAATGGCATTGAGCATGTAGTGAACGGCCAAACGGCCTTCATCGCAAACGGGGTCCCGCGTACTCCTCCCTCGGACTGGGTTGTCCAGAAATTCGGAGGTACAAGTGTCGGCAAATTCGCCCACCAGATCGTGGAGCAGGTGATCCAGTGTGTTACTCCCATGAAGTCTGATTTTTTACCCCTGGAATACAAAATCGTTGCTAACGGTCATTGCTTTGCCTAGGCCGAGTACCCTTACAAACCAAGTTGCTGTTGTATGCTCTGCCCGGAGTAGTTCCTCGAAGGCGGACGGTACCACTAACCGGTGAGTCAAACGTACCTGGGTGGGTGGTGTGGCTCCAGGAACAAGCTGTTAATGTGCCGGCCTTTTTTTATGTAGGCTCTTACGGGCAGCACGAGAAGCAGAAAACCCACAATCTTCACAATACAGAAACCTCGTCGACACAGTCCTATCCGAACATATCAGCGTCGCAACCGACCTCATCCATTCCGCCGAGTTGAGATCCCAATTGGTCTCCGAGTTCGATGGAGAATGCCAACGGGTGTTGAAAATTCTAGAAGCTGCTCAGACACTGGGAGAAGTCAGTAGCCGATGCGTCGATATGGTCATAAGTGCTGGCGAGAAGCTCAGCTGTCGTCTCATGGCCGCATTATTGAACGACCGGGGAGTCGGTGCTGCGTACATCGACTTGTCTGATGCCATAGACTTTGCAGCTGGCGTCCAGGCCCTGGATCAGGAGTTCTACGACCGTCTCGCCAAACTATTTGCTGAAAAGGTAAACGCCTATCCTGGCAAAGTACCAGTGCTCACCGGTTACTTCGGCCTCGTTCCAGGCGGCCTGCTGGACAAGATTGGACGTGGATACACTGATCTATGCGCTGCATTGGTAGCCGTTGGATTAAATGCCCAGGAATTACAGGTCTGGAAGGAAGTGGATGGGATTTTTACTGCTGATCCTAGAAAAGTTCCTACTGCGCGGCTGCTCTCTGCCATCACCCCAGCAGAAGCCGCTGAGCTGACCTTCTACGGCTCCGAAGTCATTCATCCGTTCACCATGGAGCAAGTTATCCGTGCCAAAATACCTATCCGGATCAAAAACGTCATGAAGCCCAAAGGCAGCGGCACCATAATATTCCCAGACTCACGCTCGGAACTAGAGCGAACTAACCCCGGACACGATCCCAAGTTCTTCCGCACTCGAGGCCCTCACTTCTGGGCGCACAGTGAAGGCCCCAAACGACCAACTGCTGTGACAGCAAAGCACAAAATTTTGGTTATTAATATTCACTCTAATAAACGATCCCTGTCACACGGATTTTTTGCCGGCATTTTCTCCGTTCTTGACAAGTGGAGGTTGTCTATCGACCTTATCTCGACTAGTGAGGTGCACGTTTCCCTGGCTCTACACTCGGAATTGCCTCTTCTCAATGGTGTTGGCCGTGATGAATATCAAATCATCGATGAAGATCTCCGTGGAGCAATCCAAGACTTGCGAAGATACGGAACGGTAGACATCATACCCGAGATGGCTATTTTGAGTCTTGTCGGACAGCAGATGAAGAATATGGTTGGTGTAGCTGGTCGCATGTTCTCCGTCCTAGGGGAACATAACGTGAATATTGAAATGATTTCACAAGGTACCGTTCATCCTTTCTACTGGTTGCCATATGTAGGAAGCTAACCATTACTTCAATTAGGCGCCAGCGAAATCAACATATCTTGCGTGATCGAAGAGCGAGATGCTGACCGAGCCATCAATATCCTCCACACTAATCTCTTCACCTTTCTCGAATAATCTAGCCTCGGCGCAATAGGCTATTTTGCATCATATTGAGCGACACCTCATTTGCCTCTTAAAAATATTGGCCAGTTTCTTTTTTGCTTTCTTTTCTTCTTCTTTTTGATACCCCTTCCATTATCTAACAATTTCTTCTTTAACTCTTCCGTTGTTTCTCCCGAAGATATTAAGGATATGAGAAGTGGCTATGCTCCATTCCAACAATGGAGCTAGACTTGCAAATTCTACATCTGCATAACCTGTCAAGGCGCTAGCTGCGAACTAACAAGGGTTAAACACTGTTGTGTTGTTGTTATTTTAGCGATGTTTTTCTTTTCATTTACTCTGGGCCATCTCTGGCCTTAGGACAGCAATAGACTAAGGCTAAGGCTGCTTTCAATACCTGCCTATGCTGCATTATCAGTGATATACAAAATACCTCCGCAATGGAGACGTCTACATAGAAAATAAACTATCTATAGAACACTTTACTCAATGCCTCCATAATGCCTCTTTTTTGTGCCCACTTTAACACTCAATGTAGGGTTTAGGCGCTTGAGCCGTACACGGATTTCAATATTTCACCCCGAAACCTTTGTCTTTCAAATAGGCGAATGAACAGCTTGTATAAATGCATTTCATTTGAATTAGCGGTATAGCTATAATACAAGGGCTCAACATACTTAACCTCCTCCAGCAGCAAGAGGGAAAGCAACCGAGCCATTCATCCCATCCGGTATGTAGAGAGCCTCTCTAACCCAAACAAGAACCGGGTACGTCCTCAACAGCCGCAAACCAATGCAATCTTCATGTAATCAAACAACTCGTTCCATTCTCATCGCCTGCCCCTTCTCAGTTCTCGTCATATATAAACGTCCCACGTTTAATGGCCTCCTCTCAGAGATTCCAGGTGTTGTATCACAGCAAGGTTGGCGTCCATCCATCGGTTGACGCAGTTTCGTGCACACGAAGACTCGTTCTTGTCCAGTGTACTGCCGCTGACTTTCCCTGTGATACATTTTGTCCAGCATATATCGGTAAGGTGGTGCACCGCTATAGGAAGGAAGAATAACGTGTTAGCCATGCTTCAACTTGCGAATATCGATACTGGGGCGGTAGCGGTGTATCCCGTAGAGACATAGGGAGAGGAATAGAGGGCATAATTACTTTGCTGGATTGTTGACTTCTGGCTTTCGTTGTGGAGGATTTGCTGCAGGTCCTTTTTGTCTGCTGGAGAGAGCTTGGAAGGGTCAAGTTGGATTTGCTGCTCCATTCTGTCTGGGTATTAAGCTGTACTTTTCGGAATCGGAAACTGAGTAACTCGGAGGACACGGAACACCGCTAACAGTGCAATATAGATGTGTATAATCGTAGAATATCAATTGATCGTTGAGTTGACTTGATGCGCCTTCGATAAACAGCAAAAAAACCTTTGAAAACGCAAAACTCCCCAAGGCGGTAGAAACTGGCAAAAAACATATTACGTAATATTCAAGCTCAAAAACAAAGTTTCCATCCGCGATAAGAAGAAGAAATGCAGACATTTTGAAGATATCAGTTAAATATTCACAGCAGGTTGTTGACATTTTACCCCAGCTTCATTCTCTCCCTCCTGATACTCTCATCCACCGGTTCAGATAGCTGTTGCAACCTATCTTAGCAAACGCCTCAATATGCCTCCGATCCGCAGCGCGCGAACCCGCAAGGCACCCCCAGACGGCTTCGACGATATCGAAGATACCCTCCTTGAATTCAGCAATAAGATGAAAGATGCCGAAAACGCCTCTCACGAAGGCAAGAAGAGACACGAGGTATTATGGCCTATATTCCAAATCAGCCATCAACGTAAGTATTCATTCCTGTGCCTTCCCGCCTACCCCACGCATACATGCTTCCAAGGCCAGTGGAACAAACAAGCTGATGGTTCGGTACGTTTCTTTGCGTAGGGTCTCGGTATATATACGACTTGTACTATGAGAAAGAAGCGATATCGAAAAAGCTATATGACTGGTTACTCAAGAACGGCTACGCGGACGCGAACCTGATAGCTAAATGGAAGAAACAGGGCTATGAAAAGGTACGTTACGTTGGCTGCCTTTCCCCGTGCTGGATTCAGGTGGGTGGGATTGGAGGGGCTGACATTGTACAGCTGTGTTGTCTACGATGCATTCAGACCAAGGAAACCAACTTTAACGCTACTTGTATATGTCGTGTTCCCAAGGCGCAGCTGAAAGAGGACCAGGGGATACAGTGTGTGAGCTGCGGGTGTCGCGGGTGCAGTAGTAGTGATTGAGATAGGCAAAGGAGGTCTATATTTCGAGGTTCTGATCGGGACTTGGATTGGGTCTTGGGACGTGGTGCAGTGCATGAGAGATGGGCGGACAGGCAGACGGGTGTGGAGACGGATGTCTTGTGGGCTTGTCTGCCTCTTGTCTATCTATGCAGATGCAAGGAGTCGCGTGTGTGACGGCATTATCTATTTCGGAGGTCTGGAAGCGGCGTTTTATCCATTATTTGGTTTTATCAAGCTATGTCGATGGAGTTTTTGCTTCTCTGTGTTTGTTTCAGCTTGGGCTTTGTGCTGCTGTTCTTATCTTGTGATACGGTTTTTTTGCTATTCTTGTTTCTAGCATCGCTTTGAGCGATAAATATTGTATAGATACCCACCAAATCCAGAATCTGCTATACATGACCATAAGATTACTATGCCCATTAGCATCGAGAAACGAAGAAGAGCTTGATTGGAATATAAAAGAGTAAAAATAAGTAACATTTTGTGCAAGAGGCATGCTGACGGCGAAAGGCTATCAACCAAAGTAAAACAACATAGACAGAGAAACAGGAATTAAAACTCGTTAGCCATGATCCGTAAACATCAACACATTAGGGTCATTGCAAATTTCCGCCCTGTTCCAGTTCCCTGTCCCTGTCCGTGTCCGATCCTGTCCATTAAAGCGCCTTGTAAATAATAACAAAACTCCATGCTAAGAAAGTATAAAGGCAAATAGTAAAGTGGTGAGAGTAAAGGGCTAGAGGTGAAGAAGGATAATAGGATGGAGATGGAGATGGAGATGAAAGGGAATAAAAAGGATAAAAAGTCCCAAAAGCAATGCAAAGAAACAGTAAAAGAAAAAAAGCCAACCCACTGAGCCTCCGCTGACCCTGACCTGACCGTCCGAAAAATACCAAAACATGACCAAGTAAAAAATAATGGGGAAGAAAGAGCATGTACCAACAATTTAATCACATATCCTGCCAGCCAGAGCAGATAGGCACGACTGGGGTAAGATGAAAAAGCTCAAGAATGATAATAGTAGAGCAAGAAATCGAGAATCGAGAAGAGGTAGGGATGGATAGTAAGTGGATGCGGGAGATGAGATGCTGTATGTGTGGTGGTAAGAGGATGAGCAAAATGACCAACAGGTGAAGCCAAGGGTAATGACCCAAAGTGCTGGTCCAAAAGAGTGAGATATTCCCACTGTAGTAAAAGTATGATCTGGAGTAATATGGGTTTGATAACGACGATATTCCATGCGGTCCAAGCATTGGAAACCAATGATAACATGGGAAGTAATGGGGTTAAAGGTGCTCAAAATCGAATTCCGCCCTTAGGCCCGTGACTCGAGCGTGGAGCCTTTCCAAGGAACTGTTTGGGTGAACGTTCTTCCTTTGGCTGCCCAATTTTCTCAAATCCCTGTAGGAGGTCGACTCCGTCGACGTCACCCGCACCATCTTCACTGAAAAGGTTGAACGAGAATAGCTCGTCATTGGAGGCGTCGTTGTAGCGGTTTGGTTCAAGGCGTTTGCAAGGAGACTCCTGGAACCTGTAGGCCTTGGACTTGTCGATAGGTGTCTTTAGGCGTGTGTTGGCGCTCAGGGCAGTGATATCAGTGAGGACACCCGCTCCGAGGCCGTCACCCTTAGCAGAACGCTTTTCAGGAGAGCAGAACGGGGGAGTGCCAACACTGGCCAAGAATTGGTCCGAGAAAGGATCAAATGGGAGACGAAGGTTGTCGTTGGGGGTATATACTTCATCGTGAATGTTAAATGCTGGGCTCCATGGCTGCTGTAGGTCTTCACCCAGGCCAAGACGCTTGATTGGAGAGTTGACCATCTGCTGGATCTTCCGGCGATGGTTCTGAAGGTTGGTGTTTGGTGAGAGGAAGGGTGGTGGTTTGACTGGCTTCTTAAACTTGATAGCTGGGGTCAAGGGTGCAGCATGGATGGAAATGTATTCGTTTCTAAGGGGTGATGAGCCAATGGCGGCCTGTGCTGAATCTCGAAGCGTGCCGAGACGCATAGGGCTGATATCGTGGGATGAAGACCGAATACGAGCGATCTCCTCTTCAGCACGGCCCCGTTTGATACGCGGAGGTTCGATATCTAGCTCTGATGTCAAAATATGTCCAGGAGCAACACGGGGCCTCATGGCTGAAGACTCGAGGGAGGAGTAATAACCACTGTCATTCATGCTAGAGGGCTTATTGCGCCTCTTTGAACGTGAAACACCGGCCGAAGACGAAGTAGGTCGGGAGGGTGTTGGAGGGGTTGCCTGACGGTGGAATATGCGTGGGGCAACCGGTGGAGATGAGCGCATTGCCTGTAGCGGCGAAGAGAAATGCTGCTCTGCCCGACCCAGAGATGGGGCCGGCTGCTCATCACTAACGTCATCTTCCTGAAGAGCTGGGTCGGAGGCAGGGAGGGTGGCATCAGACGAGAGATCTTGGAGGTTTGATGCTGGCACCACGTCCTGCGACTCAACTGTGATGGATGGTATATAATTTATGGTAGAAAGACCCGTATTGCTTGATGGAGGGGGCAAGTCTGGTTGTTTTGGCGTGCTCAGAGGCGGCACAGGCTGATGCTGAGTTGCTGGAATGGTAGACATGATGGGAGCTTTACGGAAGGGCTTGTCCTTGAGGAACTGGCCCTCCATTCCAGGCTCGATGACCCAGTAGTGGCCCTTTCCAGGGTCGTCCTTTGGCCGTTCCTGTTTGATAAATGCCTTGTGAAGACTGAGGTTATGGCGGATACTGTTCTGCCATCCAAAGTCTCCAGCACGGTAGAAGGCAAAGTTGTCTGATATCCACTTGTAGATCTGAGACAAGGTAAGACGGCGGTTGGTAGCACGTAGAATGGCCATTCCTATGAGAATAGCATAGCTGTAGGGTGGTTTGGAGCCGTCATCTTCGACGGGGGGCATCTCATGTGGTTCTGGGAGTCTAGGGGTTGCAGGAGGGGCTTGCTCGAGCTCCTCACGCCTGAGCTTCTTTGATGCAGGCACCATATCGCTGCTCCCCACAGTGAGTCTTCTTTTAGCTGGAGCATGCATCCCTGAAGCGGCCGAAGCAGTAGCACTAGAAGCAGAAGCAGAGGAGGCAGATGCAGAGCGGGAATGAGAGTGAGAATGAGAAGAAGACGAGCGAGGTGGAGGAGGAGGGAGAGAAGAGAAGTTTTCCTGGTGGAAGCCCGTCCTGCCCGCAGAAGAGGATCCAGGTCTAGCTCCAGAGGGCTTGGTAGGCACACTGGGGAACGTGGTGAAGAGTGGCAGGCGGGAGGATGGCGGCGGCAAGGGGCGCCGGGCCTGGTGGTGCTCCTGAGAAAGCGGCTTCTTTGCAGGCGAGTCTGTGGGAAACCTGGCAGGCTTGGGAGCCGTGATGGGTAGGTATTCCAGCTTATTGCTGTTGTGTGCGAGGTGGGCGCTCGTGCGACGCTGGTGCTTGATAGGGGACTGGCTGCTGTTGGAGCAGAAGGGGTCCAAGGAGGGCGGGTTCAGGACGAGGTCGCGGTTGTTTCTGGCCGAGTTTCCAAGGGGCTGAAGGGGCATCGGCGACGGCTGCAGCTGCTTACGCTGTGACTTGGGCCTTGCGCCTGGCTGTGACGATGACGAGGACGAAGCTGGCCGTGATGATGATGCTGCTGATGCTGCTGATGGCGCTGGCGGTGCTGTTGCTGATGGCGGTGGTGGTGGTGAGGCGCCTGGAGGGTCCTGGTAGATGCGTAGCGGCGGCGGATGTCGCGTCGAAGCCATCGTGAAAACCGCAGCGACGGTGAAGATGGGGCCGTAGATGATGATATTCAGTCTCTTGACGCGTCGGGGACGTCGTAATTCACGCGATAGATGGACGTGTCGTGGGCGATGGTGGTGGGTGATGATCTTTGGCGATAGCCTGTCGCATGCGCTGGAGTCGCGGAAACAGTAAAGCGATAAGCCAGTTCGATAGACGGTCTCTCTCGTGCGATGCGATGCGATGTCGATAGCAGTCGATAGCGGTCGATGCGCTGGTGGTGTCGCTGTCGCTGTCGATGGGCGGTGGTGGATGAAGTTGTAGCTGAAGTCGTGAGTTGGCGATGGTTGGAGGGGAGAAGTGCTTAGTCTCTTGGTGTTACTGGGAAAGCTGAAACCGCCCAGGCAAAGGCAAAGGCTCGTTGGTTGGCCACCGCTGGATCTTGAGCAGACGCAGGAGAAAGCACACGGCAGGCCAGGACAGGTCAGGACAGGAACTCCCTTGTCCCTTGTCTGCGAGTCTCCTTGCGTCTTCTTCTTTTTTTTTCTACTCCGTAACTCGCTGGCGAGGGCGAGTCTTATGTTTTACTGGCGGGATTCACCGCAACTCGCACGCTGGCTAATGGTTGAGTCGATCTACCGCAAGACTACTGTACGATTACGGGGCCAGCAGGTCAAACCCTGCCACTGGGGGGGTCGGCAGAGAGCCACAGCCAGCGCGTTTGGGCAGAGACGAGCGTGGAAGACAGGGCAGCGAGGCACCCAGTCGGGCCGCAAGGTGCGAGGAGAGAGGCGATTCAGAGGCCGGAGAAACGGAGCAGACAAGCGCTCGCTGACTTCATATTTGCCAGTAGCTAAGTAATATAGTGGCTGTGGCTTTTTCACTCTTTTTTAAATTAACATGGCTAGCGAGGTCCACTGGTGTTTAGAGTAGGACCCCGGCTCTGGGTGATCATCACGATATCTTTGTAGCATTTGTTCCGGCTGATATCTGGTAGGTCACATAAAGTTAAGGAAACAGCAAAAACCCCCTTCTCATTTCAACCCATTAAACGATTCCGAGCTTGGTGGCGGCAATGTCGAGCGCATCGATGTCTGGCGTTAGCCGGGCAAAGACCTTCTTGGATCCGTCCGGTCTGCGAGAAGAAGCAGCTTGTTAGCATCGCTTGTTACTTTTTTACCGCCAAACCTACTTCCCAATGATCCGCCACACGCAAAAAAAGGGCCAAAAAGAGATGAAGGAACCCACCGGATGAGAGTGTTGAGCTTGACGGTTTCTATGTCGTAGAGCTTCTTGAGGGCAAGCTTGATCTGGCGCTTGTTGGCCTTGACGTCGGCGATGAAGACCAGGGTGTTGTTCTCCTCAATCTTCTTCATGGCGGACTCGGTGTTGAGTGGGTGCACAATGACCTGGTGGTGGTCCATACGGGGGACATGAGGGATGGACTTTCGGGGGTACTTGGGCGATCGAGACAGCTGCAGAGTCTTTGGTCGGTGGAAGGTAGCTGATGTTCTGACCTTGCGGACTTTGTGCGAGTGAGCCTGTCGTTGCCGTCGTCGTTAACTCTTCACTCTTTCAATGGCTCCCAATGCTTCATCTTTCTGTATGTCTAGCTATCCCCCCCGTCTTCGCCTTCTTGATCGCTTATCTCTTCAATGGACGTATCTTACCCCCTTGAGGACGGCCTTGGAGGCAGCACCAGCCTTGGAGCTGGCCTTGGTGGCTGTTCAGCGTCATGAGTTAGCATTCGTCTCCCCAAAACGCACATTCGCATGTCCGTCCAATATAGATAGATTTCATATCTCTGTGGATGCTCGGGCTCGCTGGGGCCGCATCGTCGCAGACACCGCGCATCGACGCAAAGCAGGGACAGGAATACACACCTTTCTTGGTATCCTTGGGAGCCATGGCTGTCGATTTCACGGCGAAGTTCGTTGTCGCTGGTGGTGTCGTTTCGCTGCTTCAAACGCGAAATTCTTCGATTTCTTCGACGTTTTTTGCTTTTCGTCGATTTTCTCGCTTAGTCGAGTTCGTGGGGCACGTGATAATGACTAAGCATAAGCTTGAAGAAGAAAAGAAGACGAGGACGACAGCGACAGTAACTACTAGACATTTGATCATAGATAGTAGGAAGAAAGAGACGGAGAAGCGACGAGAAGAGGAGGAGATAGAGAGAGCCAGAATGAAGAGGAAAAAGTCGCTGGTGCAAGGACGGCCGCCGACAGTGAAGAAGCCGGCAGCGTCGCTATCGGCCAGAGCGACCCGCGACCTCATCAGGAGCCACCACCAGCTACACAAGGCGCGCGCAAGGGCAGCGGCAGAGGGCAACGAGGAGCTGGTGCGGCAACTGGATGGCGAGATCGCGGCGAAGGGCGGGCTGAAGAGCTACCAGCTCGCCAGCAAGAAGGGCCAGTCGAAGGAGCGCGGAGGAGATTCCAGCCATATCCTGCTGCAATGGCTGAAGCCGTTTCTCAGCAGTATCGAAGCACATACGGAAAGCGATGGAAGTAAACTACGAGTGCTGGAAGTTGGCGCGTTGAGCAGCAGGAATGCCTGCTCGATGGTGAAGACGCTGGGCGTTACGAGGATCGATTTGCATTCGCAGGAGGCGGGCATACTACAGCAGGATTTCATGGAACGACCGCTGCCCACTGCCGAGGAGGACAGGTTTCACATCATCAGCTTGTCCTTGGTGCTCAATTACGTCCCTGACCCCACGGGTAGAGGCGAGATGCTGCGTCGGACAGTCGAGTTTCTCACGTCGAGTGTCAAGGCGGAGGTTCTGCCAGCGCTGTTCCTGGTGCTGCCGGCCGCCTGTGTGCTGAATTCAAGATACCTGACCGAAGAGAGGCTAGACGATATCATGGCATCTCTCGGATATCAGCAACTGCAAAGAAAAGTATCTTCAAAGCTCATTTACTACCTATGGAGATACTGCGATGTTCACGTTAGAACCAGAGGCGCTGGCTATCCAAAGCAGATCATAAACCCGGGTCCAGGCAGGAATAACTTTGCTGTTGTTCTAAAGCCTTCTGTTTGATAGTACACCGGTATGCAGCATCAATCTGCCGTGCTGTATGGTGTGAAAGTATCAGTCGGGGATCTCCCATGTGGTCAGCCATGGGTGCCCGAGAAACTCCTTGGCTGTCTTACGGTCCTCTGGACGCCATGTTAGCATCCCTCGGACAAAGTCAAGGAACATCTCCTTGTTTCTCCCGCTGAGGACCACCTCAGCCTTCTCTAGACTCTTGCCCTCGGGAATTGGACAATCTGCTATCCATTTGCCTTAAAAACTCTATTAGCTTCGGACACGGCAGGAGCTCAACGTTGAGTTTACCATCTTCAGAAAAGAATTCCTTGCTTCGGATTCCCTTTTGGAGCAGGTCTAACGGCGGCGCGCCAAGCAGTGCGATTATCTCTGCCAGGTGGGCTCGCGTGGCATAATATCCTTTCTCTGGGCTGGGGTCAATTCCGTGGAATAAGTGGCCGCCCTCGAAGACGTCCCAGATCTGTGATTTTCATGTAAACTCCACCCATTCAATGCTCAAGAGTTGGACTTACCATGGCTCCTACATTCCATATATCAGCTGGGTAGCTCCATGCTACTTGCAGTATGACCTCCGGTGACCTGTACATGCTGGGTTGCGCATAGTGATTTCGCTTAACATCGCCGTCCACCACTTCCCCAAAGTCGCTGAGCACAATTACGCCCCAGTCATTTGGCAGCCCAAAACGTATGGACATATACACCGGTGCCCCGTCGACATACTTCCGAGGAGATGGCGTTTCCATTTCTTCCTTGACAAATGACTCGAAAATTCCATCATCGATTATTGCATGTAGTACATTATCCGCTCTGATATCTACTGCGTTGTTAGAACGCTCATCTACCTGCAAAGCTTGAGGCATCTATCTGTGTGAACGAGCCTGCACTCAGTGTGAAGGTAGTCCAGAGCAAGAAGAATGTGTTGTAGACCACCCTTCAGCAGCTCTACGGAGAACCGGCCGCTAGCATTTCTATCCATCAGATCCCTCCAACTATCCCACAGTGGCGCCTGAACAAGACATTCATGTTCCTTTCCCCCGTCCCGTTCAATTAAAAACGTCTCCACAGCTCTCCTGACGTGCCTGTGGCCAGGATGGGACCGGTTCGCTTCCTCAATCGCCTTACACGTTCGGAGTTCCCTCTGACAGGCCCCGTCGTGATCCCGCGCGAATATTTTCAACGCATGATAGCCGCCGTAGCGAAGGTTCCGAGCCAGCCAGACAGTTGACGTCGAGCCGTACCCTAGCTTACCTAGTACCTGGTAGGAAGAATATACGTCACCAATGTTGATGGGACAGTAGTGGCCTGCCTTGAACGCGCCATAGCCCTCTGCTTCGAGTATGCAACCTGAGGGAACAACCTCAAAGCCACCAGCTGGGAATTGTAGACGGGCCACCGGAGCTCGAGTGAATGCACCTTGTGCCCATCGTAACAATCTCGCCATCGACGTCTTCACTCCTGCATTTTCTCCTTCACATCCGCCGTAGTCAACTCGTATCTTGTCTGTGTTGATGATTCCATCACTTTAATGCCCGACTTTTCACTGCTGACATAAGCAACTGTCGTGGCTCTTTTTTTTTCCCACCCCACAATCAACCTTCGAGTTCGTTGATGGCTGAAGGAAAAAACCACATCTTCGACACGCTGAGTCGGCCAGTGAAACAGTCAGATACGTCTCAAACGACGTAGAGCGTTGGTTTAACGGTTCTCGACTTCTACCGGCCTGCGTGGGCAGACAGGCTCACCGATCAGGTCCAATCCAAAAAGTTTGACCGTGTCTTGGGCTGAGCTGAGCGAGCCATCCATCCAACATGAGCGCGCCGCAAGGAGCTGGCGAGGCGGAGAAGAATATCGAGATATGGAAGGTCAAGAAGTTGATTAAGCGCCTTGAGGCAGCGCGTGGAAATGGAACTTCAATGATTTCGTTGATTATCCGTATGTTGGATGATGCCCGTCTCGCTGTTATCACGATGCCCCGCTAACTCTGGTTCTGTTCTGCAGCTCCTAAGGATCAGATCTCGAGAGCAGCGAAGATGTTGGCTGAAGAATTCGTACGTCCCTTATACCTCCAATGGCGAAATAAGTACAAGAGCTGCTATTCTAACGGCTTTCCTAGGGAACCGCTTCTAACATCAAATCCCGTGTTAACCGTCTATCCGTTTTGTCCGCCATTACCTCCACCCAGCAGCGTCTGAAGCTGTACACCAGGGTTCCTCCGAACGGTCTTGTGGTCTACTGTGGTGAAATCATCACGTCCGAAGGAAAGGAGCGTAAGATCAACATCGACTTTGAGCCCTTCAAGCCGATCAACACCTCCCTTTATCTCTGTGACAACAAGTTCCACACCGAGGCCCTCAGCGAACTTCTTGAGTCCGACCAGAAATTCGGCTTCATTATTATGGACGGAAACGGTGCACTTTTCGGTACTCTGTCTGGAAACACCAGAGACGTGGTTCACAAGTTCAGCGTCGATTTGCCCAAGAAGCACGGTCGTGGTGGTCAGTCTGCTCTGCGTTTTGCTCGTCTTCGTGAGGAAAAGCGCCACAACTACGTCCGGAAGGTTGCCGAACTTGCTGTTCAGAACTTCATCACTGCTGATAAGGTCAACGTTGCGGGTTTGATTCTTGCTGGTTCTGCCGATTTTAAGAACGATCTTAATCAGTCCGATCTCTTTGATAACCGTCTTCAGTCCAAGGTCATCAAGGTTGTCGATGTGTCATACGGTGGTGAAAACGGATTCAACCAGGCTATTGAACTCTCCGCCGAGACTCTTGGTAACGTCAAATTCATTCAGGAGAAGAAGCTCATCGGCAAGTACTTTGAGGAAATCAGCCAGGATAGCGGCCGTGTTTGCTACGGTGTTGAAGATACCCTGAAAGCACTCGAGCTTGGAGCTGCTGAGACTCTTATCGTGTTTGAGAACCTGGACATCACTCGGTGGGTGCTCAAACCCTCCAGTGGATCTGACATCATTCTCCATACCACCAAGGCTCAGGAGGCCAACAGAGAGCAGTTCATGGACAAGGAAACCGGACAGGAGATGGAAATCGTTGACCAGGGCTCTCTCCTTGAATGGCTTGCTGAGAACTACAAGGATTTTGGTGCCACTTTGGAGTTCGTTTCTGACAAGTCTGGCGAGGGTAACCAGTTCGTCAAGGGTTTCGGTGGTATCGGAGCTATGCTTCGCTACAAGGTTAATTTTGAGCAATTAGCCGATGTTGAAGATGATGATGATGAATTCTACGATGGTACGTGTTACATTGCAAAATTTCTTTTATCCTACGTATAGGCATGCTAACCACTGCAACTAGATTGACAATATGGCGACCTCGCGGGTTGCGAGGAGGACCGCCCGGAAATCCCGTCGGGGAGTGTTCTGACGACTAGCCCTTTGAACCGCATCAACGGCGCCAAGGGCAATACAAGCGCATCAGCCGTTCAGATCTGTGCCCCACATTCCCTCGTCAGTTCGAAGCTTCTCAGGGGTATGATTCACTCCCTTTCCTAGGCTTCTCTACCAGTTATCACTAACCTCTCCCCTTTTAGGACCATCCAAGCTTCGCAACGTAGCCACTTCGAATTAAAGTGGTCATAGCAGAAACCTATGCTACGAGGGTAGACTGTTTGACGGACGTTATTTCAGCGTATCTTCTTCGCTTCGTCAAAACCCACTTCATAGCTGAAGACCGGATAAGATCGATACCTTTTCCCTTTCGGATTTGCTCGCTACTTTTTCAGATTCGAACCGGAGCTTGGATAGTACTTCTAAGTGGAAACTTCCTCCCCTTGCTTCCTACTAAATGATTTAAAAAATGTGCTTTTTCTGCTGTCGTCTTCTTGCGCCCTGCCTCGCTCTATGATTTGGAACATGAACGTCGATACTTTGAAGCTTGATGGCTTGGTTTTTTCTAACCATGTTGTTAAATTCAAGTGTGGGCTCATCCAGGGCCAAGTACTAGTATTATTCAGTTTATAACAATATACGCTCGTTACCTGCGATGTTTCTAGAACATCATTATCCACAATCACAACCCTTGCTAAACATAAAACTCGTAAATGGTGTCATATTCTACCTATTTCAGCTCCCTTAGATCCGTCCATAAATATCATTTCCCCAAAAATATCCAATTCCTTTACTTCTCCATAAGTTGATCTTCCCAACTCCCCAGGTTTCTGCACGTTTGCGTAATCTTCTGTAGTTCATGTATGACTTTGTCCACAACATGGTCATCGTGCACGCCGTATATCCTCTGGCATTCCACCAGGAACACATATTGCCATGCCTTAACACCCCCCGGACGAGAATTGATACTAGTCAGGTCGAGGCCATATTTCTTGAAAACATGCAGCGCATCCGCCAATGCACCGGGGGACGTATGGTCAACCATAAAGGAGATAAGTGACTTGCATTTTGACCCCGGCTTTGAGCAAGCCTGTGACTCTCCAGCAGATTTCAGTGGTTGAGTACGATTTGATCTGAGGTTCTCCAAGACAAGGAATCTGGTTGCGTTGGAAGGGTCATCTTCGATGTTTGCCTTGACAACCTCTAGTCCGCTGATGGTCCCTGCAAGTTCACTTCCAATAGCTGCACTTTTGGGGTCATTGTCCTTGCTGACTATCTCAGCGGCCTTGGAGGTAGATGATGCATCTTGCTTCTCTACTCCGCCGTACGCTGAGAGGAATTTAGTACACTGTCCCCAGACTTGTGGGTGAGAGTAGAACTTGGACACCTCTGGCGTAGTTTCGGAAGAGTTTCCCTGGCCGTCTATTTACTACTTGTTAATTATGCATCCTCTAAACGCTGGGCGTTAAGTAACTGAGACGGACCTTGTGCCTTCTTCATCAACAGACAGTGGTGTACGCTAAGATAATATTCTGCAGACACGGTAATATCAGGGTATAAACTCTCACGATCCGCTAACAAGTCAAGAGTTTGGACAACGGCGCCATTTGAGGAGTTCTCTAGTGGTATAATGGCATAGTCGGCCTCTTGAGACTGGACGGCGGAGAATGCATCATTGAAAGAAACCTCTGCTTTAAGGGTGTTATTGCTTAAGCCAAAGCACTCTATAGCAGCCTATTGGAACACTTGTAAGCTCAAGGCAGGCGCAAGAATCGTATTATGTACTGACCTGATGTGAAAAGGAGCCCAGAGGCCCGAGGAATGCAATTATGGGCTGCAGCAGAGCATTGGCGCCTAAGCCAGGAGTCGGAATCATAGAGGGCATCGCAGTGAACAATTAGACAGGGTAAAAAGAGATTATTCTATCATTTGAAAGATGATAAACCTGTCTTTCAATGTTTACCCAATATATGTTCTTGCAAGCATGTCCGTGGTCTAAATATTGAGTCAGTTAAACTCCCCACGGAGTTTGTAGTTATCCGAGATCGGCGAACCGCCTGTGGATCATGTTTGTATTCAACAAGCCGCAAACATCAAACTTCGTAAATATCTAACCAACTACGCCAACACAACTCACTAAATACCACGGCCAAAATAAGTGACTGTCCCGGATGTGCGCCTCTACAGAACACGCGAGGTAGATATGGTCCAATTGGCCAGGATATGTTCTGGTCAACGGCTTACAACCCTTTTACAAAGGCGCATGCTGAGTACAGCTCCGGCACTATCAAAGCTTGAAGACGAGCTGGTACAGCGCCGGCTACCTCTGATATACGACTACCTCTCGCCGCAGCCATCGCATCTCTTAAGCGTGTCCCTCGATAGTCTTCATGCCCCGGCTCCGTGCTCATCCGCTTCTACGGAGACTCAATGGCGTCTCCCATCCATCGCCAGGCCAGCTCCCATGCCTCGCGGCCACCATCTAATATATTTCCCACCCCAGGTTCCGTCGTCTGAACTACTTCCAGATGGCTGCGATGAACTACACTCCCCTGGCCAACCATATAATCGCCGGATGTGGGCTGGCGGGTCGGTGCGGTTTTTCGGTGACGGCGGCCCGCTGCTTAATGGACAGCGAGCCGTCTGTGTTGAAGGAATACGTGAGGTGAATATAAAAGGCAAGGAAGGCGAAGAGAAGATCTTTGTAGGAATCGAAAGGCGGGTGGCTACTGTGGATGAACATGAAAGTGATGATGCTGTCAGGAGTAGAGTCTGGACCCAGTCAGAGGAGGAACAAGGGGTCAGTATGGTGATTGAAAGGCGTAACCTTGTCTTTATGAGAGACAGAACATCAGACGAGATTGAAGCCGCGAAGTCTGCTGCTGATATACCTCCACGGAGGATAATGAAAAGTAATAATCATGGACAATCACCAATCCTTTGATATTGTGCTAACATCCAGCCCAGTTTCTACTACACCAGAATTCTCCCAGATCATCATACCTTCAAAGGCACTCTTGTTCAGATACTCCGCCCTTACATTCAACGCCCATTCCATCCATATTGACCGAGACTATGCACGTAACGTTGAAGGATACAACGACCTTCTTGTCCATGGACCGCTGACGCTCACAATCATGCTTAGCACATTCCAAAAACACGCGGCTGCATTAGGAGAGTCTATATCAAGTATTGAGTACCGAAACTTGGCTCCACTTCTAGTCGAGCACCAGATGAAGGTATGTGCTGCGCGCAAGTCCAACGGATCGACTGGCAGCTGGGATATTTGGGTAGAGGGCAAGGATGGAGGACTGGCAGCTAAAGGAACCATCAAGACGGTCCCAGTCGAACACGACAGCGGCCTTATATCCTAAGTGTCTGGTAGTTAATATACTTCCCGGGACAATTGGGATAGATAGTAATGCTGAAGTGCGCGGGTTTCGAGCCTCATCTTCCCGAGCGTCTGGCGGCTAGAAACACGTGCGCTAGTTGGTTAAAAGGAAAACTTGGAAATAGAAACCGCAGGGCTGAAGACAAACACGTTATTCCTGTGCCGTCTTTTGCAACCTCACCAACACCGTAATCATGGCACCCCGTACAATGGAAGAACTCGCTGCCCTGGCAGTTATGGATCCCGCCATGGCCGCTATCCTGGAAAAGGGTTCAGCCGTGCGGCCTCCAAAGCCAACCGACCCTTACTATGGCCGGAACGACCACACGGCAGCCAGGGAGCACAGGGCCACTATCTTGAAAGAAAAATGGGAACTCCGATACCTTCCTGGGCCTATCGATGAAGTTGCTGAAGAAGACCAGAAGATACCCGTCCGTGATGGCTCTGAAATCGCAATCAAAGTATACAGGCCTGTAACGAAGAAAGAGAGTGGAAGCCCGTTGGTGGTCATGTTCCATGAAGGCGGCTGGGGTATGGGAGACCTGACGGACGAAGAAGTTAACTGTCGACTATTCTCTCGGGACCTGGGTGCTATTTGCGTCAACGTTGAATACAGGCTTGCGCCTGAGTATCCATTCCCAACCTGGATCAATGACTCTTGGGACGCGCTTCAATGGTGTGCTAAGAACGCTTCGGCACTCGGTGCCGACCCTTCAAAGGGGTTTATAGTTGGAGGTGGATCAGCAGGTGGGAATATAGCCGCAGTTCTTGCGCACATCGCACGAGATGAACAGCTGTCACCACCTTTAACGGGTCAATATCTATGTGTCCCTGCGATTATGTGCTTCCTGCCGCCTTCTCATATTCCCGTTCAGTATCAAGCGGAATACCTCTCCCATCCCCTCGTGACACCATGTAAGGATCCCATTCTCAATGTGTCGCTAGGACCATTCACCCCACTTGCTTCCCTTCCAAAATTCATACTCAGCCTTCTACCTTTGAACCTTGTAGCGAAGGTTTACAGTATGGCAGGAATGAGTGGTGATATGTCGAATCCGTTGTTTGTGCCTTTCCTCTACGGTAAAGGGGAACGAGGCCACAGGGATCTCCCGCCAGTTTACTTCCAAGTATGCGGGCTAGATCCTCTGCGAGACGAGGCTCTGATATATGAACGGGCGCTAAGGGAGGAGGCTGGAGTGAAGACGAAAATTGACTTGTATAGGGGCCTCGGACACTACTTCTGGACAAACTTTCCTGAGCTTGAGATGAGCAGAACATTCGTGGAGGATACTATCAAAGGCATGAAATGGCTACTGGAAGAAAATTAGCAATTATTACCAGACAGAAAAGCCGTACAATATGGCAACACTGGCTCTTATGGTGACTAGACGTATTATCTTCCTCAGCATCCTAGTCTTCGCTCCGTATCCTCTTCAATCTTCCTTCCCAACCTCGGCCCAGGTCAAATACCACGTGACCATTCGGTGTAACATAAATCCGTTGTTCTAAATTAGAGTTTGGACTGGAAAAGTTTTTGTCTTGCGCCAAAAAAGCCACATATAAAAAAAAGACCACGACAGCTTTTCTTCCAGCTCCAACTCCAACTCACAAACACACACAAGCACCATACACTTTTGTAGCAAAAGCAGCTTGGTAGTTTAGTGAAGATGGACAGATACTGGGCGGCGCCGCCCGTCAGCAGGTGAGCTCCTATATCTGAGCAAGGGATAGTGTTCGCATTATACTGACCGAGCTCTGTTAAAGAACGCTGACAGCAGCTACATTTGTCCAGTCCGTCCTGGTTCATGGAGGTTTTCTGAATGGCATGCATGTTGTCTTCCTTTTACACAGGATACTTCAGATCCCGCCACAGCTATGGAGGCTTGTGACGCCGTTTTTCCTGACTGGAGGAGGCCTTAGCTTCTTCCTGGACCTTTACTTTTGTACGGGTCCACGAAACAACAAATGAGCACCTTACTATACCATGGACAGAAATCACTAACCGATGTGCAGTATATCAATACGCCAGCGATATCGAGGTTAATTCGCCTCGTTTCTCTGGACCGGGTGACTTTGTCACCTATGTGATATTCGTAGCTATTTTCATTTTGGTGAGTGGTCATTCATTCCTTGCCTGGCGCGAGGGTTATAAGCATGGCCTTTACCCTGTTTTATATTCTTCCTTCATTTCAAAAAACCTCTTAAATCTGCCCGCCCAGCCTCTTCTAGCTGAAGCGGTTCCTGAATTCGAGGGAGATTACCCCTGCACTTCGTGCATACCCATCATTCGCATAATATCAATCCTTCAGGGTATGCATGCGGTGTAGGCATGGTGGGATTGTGGTATAATTTGACTAGTGTCGATGACTATATTACACTGGTTATACTGCTGCCCTACATTCATTATATTCTCGATATCTTTTGTACCTAGCTTTAGAATACCCTTCATATCAACATTCTCTATCCTGTTGTCTTTGTTGTCTTCTAGTACTTGAGGCTGACGCATGTGCAGTTAACCGCAGGATTGTACTTGCAATCCTTCGTCTTCCTCGGAGGTACGACAATATCTATCCATAACTCGTATATTTTCTTTGCTCAGCTACTTGAGCAGCACGTCCTTCAGCCATATAGCTAACCTCAATAGCTTTATCTCTCGCTTTTCTCACCACCCTAGCTCACGATAACGCAGGCAAGAAGATGCCTTTCATTATTATCATGATTCCGGCGGAATACCTCCCTTTCGCCAGCTTGATTGCGACCCTTGTCCTCTCCGGACAGCACGCCGCAATTACCCAAGCGTGTGGTCTCCTGGCAGCCCATCTTTACGAGTTTTTAACTCGCATCTATCCTAACTTTGGTGGAGGCACCAACTACATCCAGACACCCCGCTTCATTCAAAAGCTTTTTGCTCCTGATGGTAACTTCGTCAAGGCACATGGTGGCTATCGCATGCAGCGCCCAGCTGAAGGTGATAGCTCGGACTCAAGAGGCACTGGCCAATCCACTGGAAGCTGGTTTTCAGGCTTGGGAGGCGGCTCATGGAAAGGTAGAGGAGCTGGCAGGAAGCTGGGCACTGGTTGATCTACCCTGCAACTCACTCCTTGTGGAGTACGGAGTAAGGAAAAATATCTTCAATCGAATAATCGGCGTTACCAGCCAGCATGAAAACAATACTTGCCTCTAATTTTATATGGCAAAAGCAACTAAATGTTGAAATAACATGATTATATAAACCGAGAGTCGCTTAAATGTTGAATGATAAGTAGCTGACGCGCGGTTGTTAGCGTCTAAATGACCAATAAAAATCTAGTGTTGTGGTCGGATCAACTTTTTTGCCCACAGCAAATTTTGACGCGAACAAAAATTCCAGACAAAAAAAAAAAGGAAAGTCTTCAAATATTTTACATCTTGCGACCCAATTGATAGCACCTGAAAGAGTGTTGTCGTCGCGCACCGTATTGGGTTTGCAGTGCTAATTGAACCCTGATACTTCCATTTGTGAATTTTCAAGTGTCCTGCCCTGTGGTGAAGAGCTAGATTTTTAACAATGGCCGCTACAACTGGCAAGGGCGATGTTGCCGACTACAGCATCAAGCCTGAAGCTGTTGCACCTCCAATTCCTACCTCGGAATGGCCTCTTCTATTGAAGAACTATGATAAGCGTATGTATTCTACTTGCAACTCATGTGGCGGGGGAATAAGTGAAAAAACCGTTTGCTAATATGTGCGGTCGTTAAATTTTAATAGTACTTGTGCGGACCAGTCACTTCACCCCCATCCCTAATGGATGCACTCCGCTCAAGCGTGACCTGAAGTCCTATATCAGCTCTGGTGTGATAAACTTGGATAAACCGTCAAACCCGTCGAGTCACGAGGTTGTCGCATGGATGAAGAGAATGCTCAGGTTCGCAATTAAATTTTCTTTTAGCTACTAAAGGTAGATGAATTGATAGCTAACCAGCTATTTTTTGGCCTTGATAGGGTGGAAAAGACCGGACACAGTGGAACTCTGGACCCAAAGGTTACTGGATGCTTGATTGTGTGTATTGACCGTGCGACTCGCCTGGTGAAGTCGCAGCAGGGAGCTGGAAAGGAGTACGTTTGCGTTATCAGGCTACATGACAAGATCCCTGGAGGCGAGGCGCAATTTGCTCGTGCCCTTGAGACGCTCTCTGGAGCTTTGTTCCAGCGACCCCCGCTGATATCTGCTGTCAAACGTCAGCTTCGTATCCGAACGATTTATGAGAGCAAGTTGTATGAATTTGATAATGATCGACACTTGGGTGTATTTTGGGTCAGCTGCGAGGCTGGTACCTATATCCGAACTCTTTGCGTGCATCTTGGCTTGCTCTTGGGAGTTGGAGCTCATATGCAGGAACTGCGCCGTGTTCGCAGTGGAGCCATGGACGAGAAGGATGGCATGGTGACTTTGCATGATGTTTTGGATGCCCAGTGGATGATGGATAACCACCGTGATGAATCATACCTCAGGAGGGTCATTCGGCCATTGGAGAGCTTGTTGACCTCTTATAAGCGAATTGTTGTGAAGGATAGCGCAGTTAACGCCGTCTGCTATGGAGCCAAGCTTATGATTCCAGGTCTCTTGCGATTTGGTAAGTGCCATAACTAGTCACCTTTTGATATGGACACATTGCTAAATGATATGTATAGAGGCTGGCATTGAGCTATATGAGGAGGTGGTTCTCATGACCACCAAGGGTGAGGCCATTGCTATCGGTATTGCTCAGATGTCAACTGTTGAGCTCTCTACCTGTGACCATGGAGTAGTTGCCAAGGTCAAGCGTTGTATCATGGAGCGTGATCTCTACCCCAGACGATGGGGTATGGGCCCAGTTGCTCTTGAGAAGAAGAAGCTCAAGGCTGACGGAAAGCTTGACGTAAGTTAACCTGGCGAGTCCTTTTTTGTTACTTACTTACTTCCCTTGCTAAATATCGTCTAGAAATATGGCCGTACCAATGCCTCCACCCCAGCCAAGTGGCAGGCAGAGTATAAGGATTATGATGCCCAAGCTGCCGGCACACCGAATGCCGCCCCAGCAACCGCTGCCGCCACGCCTGCAAAGGCCGTTCCAGCCGCTCCCGCTGCTCCATCTTCTCCTGAGAAAGAGGATGAAGAAATGGATGATGCCGACAAGAAGAGAAAGCGAAAAGAGGGAGAAACCCCAGAGGAGCGAGAAGAGCGAAAGCGCCTGAAGAAGGAGAAGAAGGAGGCGAAGGAGAAGAAGAAGCAAGAAAAGAAAGAAAAGAAGGAAAAGCGAAAATCCAAGCAGGCCGAGGAGGCCAGTGACAGCGATTAAAGGACCGGGTTTGCCCAGCAGGCGTCTGTTCCCTTAACCTTTTCTTTTGTATCATATCCCTTTTTATACCGTTGGAGTATGGGACTGATCCAAAATGGGCTATTCGTTTATGTTTGCCGGAGTATATGGTTGTCTTTGTTTCTTTGCTAGTTCCCTCAATAGCTTGCCCGGGTAGTTTGGCTGAATATACTGCATTCGAATGTTAAGATCCTGCATTCTTGTTCTTGGTATCAGCCCAAAGGTAGATTGTTAGGTGGGATCTAAAGGAATATCTCGAGAAACTGGCTGCAATAGAGGAGCAGTTATGCGTTGGTGGGTAGGTGGCCAGGGGATTTGGATATCTCGGCTGTGAGTGTGGCTTTGCCTTGTTGACGTCGTCGATCTTGCTGGCATGGCTGACATCACAACATCGAACTTCAACCTCCTCTGCCAACCTCACACGCACACACGACCACTCCGACCCCCGCATTGCTCTTCTGCTAGCTATTTTAGTCCATAGAATAGAAAACGAGGCACGACGAATAGAGAAATTTCGACCTTGCCGCCAATATGGCAGCGGAACTTGCGCCGATAAAGCTCAATCCGGAGAGCCACCTGATTCTAGTACAGCCCCAGCTTTCTCCCAGGTGAAGAAGATAGAAAATGAGTCCCTACTAACTAGTTATTTTCAAGGATCAACCTCTCCTACGGCTTCCACATGAGCTCGCTCGCCGCAACTTCAAGACTGTACAGCGCATCGTGGAGAGAGAGAAGGAATATGTCATTCCCGCACTGAAAGAATCTGCAAATGCCTCGCTCTCTGGGAACCAAGATCCTACCCAAGCACTCGCCTCCTTGGATACGATGATAACGCGGATGCAAGGGCTAAAGCGGAAAATGGAGACACTTCAAGAAGAAGAGAAAAGCATACTCTCCCAGTCTAGGAAAAGGATTGAACATCTCGAAGACCTGTTCGGCATTCAGAGCTTGGTGGATGTCAAGTATGACAGATGGTCAAAGATAAGGCTGAACAGGTTACTGGTAGACCATATGCTACGATCAGGTTATCTTGAAAGTGCAAAACAGCTTGCGCATGAGGAAGGCCTTGAAGACTTGGTGGATGTGCATGTTTTTGCGCAGTGCCAGCGGATAGCGGAGAGCCTCCGAAGAGGAGAGACCAAAGAAGCTCTACAATGGTGCGGAGAGAACAAAGTTGCCTTGAAGAAATTACATGTATGTTCCCTGGTCCATGTATGGTTGTCTTTGGCAAGGCTATTACTGACAGCTCTAAACAGAATAAGCTGGAGTTCGAACTACGGATGCAACAGTATATCGAAATGTTACGGGCTGGTGAGAGGACGGAAGCAAGGCAGCATGCTAAAAAGTACCTCACGCCGCACAGCGAGACGTACAAATCAGATATACTCCGTGCTGCGGGGTTGATGGTCTTCCCTCCTGATACTGATGCTGAGCCGTACAAGGTATGATATTCCAATGCTCATCATTAGCTGCTCATGGCAAAACTGATCATTTGTCTAGTCAATTTACTCTTCGGAACGATGGCAAACGCTATCCAGCCTCTTCATCAAAACCCATCACGATCTCCTCTCGCTCACATCACACCCGTTGCTACAGATTGCCCTCTCTGCAGGTCTTTCGGCTCTAAAGACACCAGCCTGTCATTCTGAATATACAACATCTGCCTCAAGTGCAACATATTCTGCAGGACCCTCGATATGTCCCATATGCTCTACAGAGCTAAACGAGCTTGCTCGCCCTATGCCGTATGCCCATCATACTAAGAGCTCTGTGGAGAATGACCCCGTTGTCCTGCCAAACGGTCGACTATATGGCAGAGAGAGTCTGTGTTATATGTCGAGCAGATCAGGTGTTAGTGCCGGCAAAGTCAGAGATCCCATTACATCAGAACTGTTCGATGTGTCGGAGCTGAAGAAAGTGTTCATTTCATAAGTCTGGCAGCAGTTAACATCCACTGCTGTGCTTGAGACCTTTTGTCTTTCGGGTTCTATTTATTGTCTCTTTATTTACATAGTTGATTCTGATGGTTCAGTGCAGCGTATTAATGATTAATGACCAATTCACCGACTTAACCTTATCCTTGAATCAAGGCCACAATAACCGGTCAGTATCAGTCACTCTCGCTTTCAAACCCCTTCGCCTTTCTCTTGCGTTTTGCAAAGCTAGTATTCCGATTCTCAAACCCTTTTCTTTCGAAAACATAACTTCTCGCCTCTCTTTCTTCTCCTTTCCACCCACCTCTTCCACCATCTTTTCCTTCGATAGCTCCTATTGTCCGCGCATGGGCGTAACCAGGATAGCTTGCCCAAGGGAATTTGAAGCTAGTTACAACTTGTAGGCCCGCGTGTCGGGCGAGATCTCTGATATTCCATAGTGTATATGGTTCACCCTCAAAAAGAGTCACGATGATATGGCCCGGTTCCTTTCTAGGCTTGTATTGCACCTCATCAGCATCAGAAGTCTGATCATTCTCTTCTTCATCTGGATATTCACCCTCGTCTTCAAAATCAGACCAATCCTCCGTTGAATTAGGGACTGAAAGAAGAGGCACGCATGCTTTGAAGAACCCAACTAGTAGCTCCTGGTTTGATCGTACTTGTCTATTCACGTCCGTACTTAGCCCACCAACATGTGGGAAATTGAAAGAGATAATATCCCATGGCCCTCCTGCCTCGCTTGCATGGTTATTGTCACCTTGCTTAGACCAGTTCGAGTAATGTGCCTTCCGACTTGGAGTCGGAAAGCCACTCCGTACCAACTTCCCTCCTCCGCCATTGGCACCTAGCTTTCGAGCATCAATCGAAAAGACAACCTTGGGAGAGGATATGGATGATTTCGTTGCCTGTGCAGAGCCATTTTCTACCGAATCGATCTTAACATGATCTTGCGGCTTTTGGTCCGTCTCTTCATCTAATCCTTGAGAATCAGCTTCTTCGTCTCTCTTACGCTTCAAACTGGTTTTAGCCTCCCGTGAGCCGGAAGAAAAGGCTTCGAGCCGCCCGATATGCCTTTTGGCATCTGGATATTTTTCAATTAACTTTTCTTCACTGTCATAGCAAGTTGCCATCAGCCTTTTTCGGCATTTATGGTGAGTTGCAAGAGATAGTGCAAATGAGAAGTCCCCTATTGTCGATAAATTAGCTTTATCCGCTTAATATACATATAAGGATAATAGAGCATACCTTCACCAATTAAGAGGACCCTATCTGAAGGTCTGAAAGGGATTTGCGGTTGATTTTGCTTTTGTTGCTGCTGTTTGGCATTTTGGGTCTTTTTCGCTGACGTTGATAACTTTGCAAATGATTTCATCCTCTTGTTGCTCTGCTTCACGGCAGGTTTCCGATTCTTGCCCATCTTGACGAAGTAACCAAGCCGTTCCCACTAAGAAAGGCCTGTGGTATCAAAGCGTAGTGACTTCAATTAGACATTCGGATAGTTAGCACACATATTGATGATTGACGGTGTTGATAGTCAATTGATTGGTAGAGAAAAGCTTAAAATTAGTTTAACCGCTTATTTTGACCTTGAGCCTTTCTTTGGTTTTTGGCGAAGGCTGAGATAGGTTTCACAGAGAGGCTGAGCCGGCCCTGTTGTCTCAGCCTATTTATATTTATAGATGTTTTTTTCGTGGCGATGGGAGTACGATGGACAGCGCTGTCATTTACTGGTAAAAAATACTGGAGACATGACTCTATGGAATAAGGTTTTTTTACATTTGTCAAAGAAATAGAAAAGAATGTTAAGACAGAAAGAAGTAGGAAACGTATAAGAGTAAAGAAAGGAATAAATACAGGATACTACAAATACTCATGGTGGTTCTCTGTAGTATATAAGAATTGGGGATATCGAAAGAAGTAAAGCCGAAGGTGACCCGAGGCCTCTAGCATGTGATCTAGAAGAAAAGAAGGGGCAGATGAAAATCGGCCGCATATTAAAAGGGGAGAAGTGAAATGAAATGATAAATTACCCTCGGGAAACCAATCAGCCAAAAAAGGAACAAGCTCTATGTTGCAGGATGCAGTTTGGTTGTTGGTCAACCACCAGTGTAGTCGTAAGAAGTAGACGCTGAAAATAACGTTACTCAACGGATAGTCATTTGCGGACAGTCCGGGGGATTCGTTCTTCTTGCTGGGTGAGCTGATAGAAAAACACCACCTAAAATCACTAAAAAACAAAGAAATAGATAGGCCCATCGATTGCATTAAAAGGTCGTTATGCCGAAGCCGAAGCTTCGCGAGAGATTTTAGGAGCCAGGACAGAGTGGGCAGTTTAAAGACCAGCTAATTTGCTCACGACTTGAGTCCATCTCTCATGCTTTGGGCACTGGCACTGACTGGGGGGTTCGAAGTGGGGAGAATGCCGGTCTTTGGTTTGGCGTTCTGCTTGATCTTGGCGAGAGCGTAAACAATACCACTGACAAATCCGATAGTAATGGCGGAGACGCTGGGGAAGGTGACTGGGTCGCCGAAGAACATGAGACCAGAGAGAGCAATTGGAAGCTTGTTGAGGGCTCCAACCATGGAGTAAGTGGTGGAAGTGGTGACGCGAACACACCAGGCGGAGGCGTAGGAGATGAAGACAGTAGACAATCCGGAGAAGAGCATGGCAAGGTAGAGTCTGTTACGGGTGTCGACGGGGAAGTTCTTGGCCACGTTGGTGGCGGACCAGTCTTCAACGAGGAGAGAGCTGACCATGAGAATTGGAATGGAGAGAAGGTTGTTGTAGAACATAGCTAGAAAGGAAGATACGTTAAAAAATGCGCAAAGGGATGACGGTTTCTGTAAGCTGACTTACTATCGAAATCCTTGAAGTTGGTCAACTTGATTCTCTTGCGCATTCCGAGGACATACGAAGCAGTACAAGCACAGTTAACCAACATCCAGAGATAGCCTGAGTTGAGGGTGGAAACGGCCCCAACGCCAGCAGAAGTACCGACGGCATGGGTGATATCAGCCCAGGCAGCGACAACGGAGCTGAGGACCATGAGGCCGAAGGAGAAGAGGGTCAGGCCGCTGACGGAGCCTCCAAACCACAGAACCTCACCGTAGGCGATCAGGATGATAGTAAGGTTCTTGAATATAGTGTAAACGGGGATTGAAAGGAACTTGAGGGCCTTGGAACCGGTGTAAATCATGCCGATAAGGAGGAGGGAAATTGGGAACCCTGCAAAGTGGCTCTGTTAGCTAGATGCATGGATGGCGGGAGAATTGAGTACACAAGGACATACATTTCTTTGCCTCATCTGCGTTGAAATCTCGGTAGTTGATGAACCCCAAGGTCTTGCAAGACTGCACTGCAATGATACATATAATAGACTGGGGAGAAGAGGTGGTTAGCGAAGCTGCTCTACTGTTAAGTTAACTGAGCGAAGTTGATTCCCGACTTACCTGAACACAGAGAAGGAAAAAGTTAAGATTGAAATCAACACCCGACAAAACGTATTTATTCGTCACGGTCATTAGAATAGAGGAGGCACAATAGCTGATGATGGCAAGAGTAGCATTGTTTGCTGCTGAAGAGACGGCCGAGTGTCGGGGTTGTGGTGGAGGTGGCTGCGGCTTGTAGCTGCTGGACGACTCCGAGTCCATCTTATCCATGGGGATGTAGTTGTCGTTCTTCTTCTGGTCCGACATCGTGAGCAGCTTATCCGACCTTTCTTATCGATATCCTATTAAAGGCTGGATCCGACGTGCTGTCGAAGTTCTGCGGTGCTGGTATGATACTCTGAATTTTTAGAAGGCCACCTGGGCGGTTTTTCCCTCTCTCAGGGATGATGACGACCCGGTTATAAGTCGCGAGACGAGAAGTTCCACGACAGGATAGAAGAAAACACGTAGCCGACCAGAAACACCAACGTTATAAGGAAAAAAGGGCAACGAGCGGCTGAGGCTTGAGGCGCAGACGGCGTTTGCAGGTGAAAGTCGAAGATGTTTCTTCGTCGTCGTCGTCGCTTTCGTCGCCTTTTGAAAAATGTTTTTGTAAAGATAAAAAATAAAATAAAAGATAAAAAAACCGGAAATAAAGGTTGAAAAATTACATTGGTATTCCGAATACAAGTATATTACGGATGACTAAGCAGATATATCCTTCTTCGCCTTCGCCCCTTTTTGCTTCTTCTGCTTCTCCTTCTGCTTCTGCTTCTGCTTCTCGCTATCATCGTCGTTCTTCTTGCCCGGGACTGCCTTGGGGTTGACGCCCTGGCGGCGGAGCTTGTTCCTCTGAGCGCGAGAGATATACTGCTCGTCCTCGTCCTCGTTGAAGGGGCCAAACCCGTCCTCGTCGGCATCCCCGTTCTCCGGGGTAATTGGGGTCCTATCAATAACCTCCTCGCCACTGTTACCTTCGGAGGTTCCTGGAGCCTTTCCAGCCACCTCCGCAGGGCTGGGTCCGATCTTCTTCAGTTTGCAGACGAAGAAGCCATCAACGTTTTCACGGTGGGGATAGTACCGTCGAGTCAGCGGCATCTTGTCGTCAAACTTTTTGTTCATGTAGCTTTTGAACCCGGGTGTGCCAAAGCTTCCCAGGCCGGTGTCGACTATCTTCACGTTTGGTCGTTTCCTTAGGGCGTACTGTACCACGCCCTCGTTCTCTTCAACCGTGACGCTACATGTTGAGTAAACTATGTATCCGCCTGTCTTCGAGGCATGGTTGGTGGAGTCGATGGCAGCAAGGAGTAGCTGCTTTTGCATGTGTGGTAGCGCCAGGAAATCACGCTCTGTCTTGGAGGTCTTCACCTTTGGATCCTTGGAGATAACGCCGGTTCCTGAGCAAGGGGCGTCGAGCAGTACTCTATCAAAGCCCCCAATGGCCTTGGGAAAAGCTGTCCGCGCATCCATATTTGAAACAATAGTGTTTTTGCATCCCAAACGATGGATATTTCCAATTAGACCCTTGGCACGAGTCTTACTGGCATCGTTGGCAAGAATGCTGCCAGTGTTCCGCATCAGCGCAGAGGCGTACGTGGTCTTACCACCGGGAGCGGCTGCCATGTCGAGGATACGCTCATGAGGCTGGGGTGCAAGTGCCATGACGGGGAGGAAGGATGAGGCAGCTTGAAGAATGTAGTGTCCAGCAAGATATTCCGGAGTAGCACCGAGAGGAACTGGTGACTCGAATACCTGAAGACCGACTTTTGACCACTTTCCAACGGGCTCTAAAACAACTCCTCGGTTAATCAAAGCCTGGGCTAGTGATCGCCTGTTGGTTCGTAGTGTGTTGGTTCGAATAACAATTGGCCGGGGGGACTCGTTAGCCTCAAAGAAAGAGAATGCTTCCATGGGAGTGAACAGAGAAAACAGCTTCTCTGCAAGGTAAGGAGTGTATCCGTAATATACACATATGTCGTTTAGTAGGAGGTCGGTATAGTCTGTACGGGATTTTCCTGGCTGACCGAGGGTACTCAAGTCACCAAGAATGCGAATGGTATCTGTGATGCGGGTTCGAAGCAGTTGCAGGTTTGGAGCCAGTCCAGCTGTGAGATTTTCATGCTCCGCAAATACATCTGGTGCATCACCCGCAATGTTCGTCTGCATGGCAGATTCTTTCAGCTCAAGCTCTGCCTGCGCAGCCTCCTCTTCCTTCTGCATATCCAGCTTCTTTGACAGACCCTCTATATTGGCGGCAGTAAGTATCTCCTCCGCATCCGAAAGGTCCTCGTCATCTGAAAACATCTTCTCTCTCGGCCGTTCCTCATCTGAATCGAACGCTGAATGGCTGTCAAGGTCCGAATCTCCCTGGTCCAACACATCCATATCGTCCGCTGATCCGTCACTGACACCATCTAGGTCATCAAACTCGTCGTCGAGCATCTCATCATCCATATCCTCATCAGGGTCCTCCGGCTCAGAAACCTCCACGGGTTTTGCTACCTTCTTCTTCCCATCTTTGCTGCGTGCGCTCTGTGTAGTAGACGCCTTGGTATTCTTCTGCTTCACAACGTCTTTTTTGCCCGCTTTCGCCCCATTTGTTTTTGCGCTCTTTGGCCGATCTTCGCCATCATCATCATCATCCTCAGCTCCTCTCCGTCGCTTGACTCCTTGAGGAGCTCCGTCTGCCTTGTCCGCTTTCCGCTTCTTAGCCGCCTTTTTACCACTTTTTATTGTGAACTCTTCAAGCGGCTGTGGAGGGCCCTGCTTCTTCCCAATGCGACGCCCGACACCCATCCTGCCTCAATCCTCCAAAATGAAGGCACAATTGGCTGTGCTGTTGGTTCTAGATATACAAATATTTCTGGTTTTTTCTTCCTTTTTTCCTTCCGCGAAATTTTGCTGATAAGGAAAAAAATAATTTTTAGAGTTTAACATATCACGTGCGAGGTACAGCTTATCAGATCTTACTAAGCAGAAGCAACGACCAACGGTCAATCTACAGCAGGAGATTTTGGTAGCCATCCAGTTTTGATAAACCGAACCCCCACCGATCACACATTTAAAAGCAGGAGATAAAGCTGTCACAATGGCGGAAGTATCATTTGCGAAGAGCTTCTTGGCTTCTCTAGACTCGAAGCCAATCAAAGTCCCAGCTGATACGGTCTATGACCCTCAGACATTCGCCCCTCGTTTCCCGGTAAGGAGCTATTTATATCGTGTTTTGCTGGAAGCTAGCATGTATTGACAATAAGCCCGCTTATAGATAATTCTCCCACGTCTAACTGACCCTCCCCATCCGCCTATGCCAAAGAAAGTCAAGACCACTGCACCACCAGGCTCATCCAAGGGAATCACCGTTCACTTAAAGTCAGCACGGAATCCTGTACTAGATATCAAGCTTCCAAACGTGGCTCTTGCTACCGCAACGGTCCAGGAACTTAAGGATGCCGTTCACCAGAGAATACGTCCCAGCAACGCAACAGACCCCGACCAGAGAGTGCCATTGGACAAGATAAAGCTATTATGGAAACGCAAGCCCGTTCAAGGAACTTCTATTGCCGATATTTTGGCAGACGAATCCGACATAATTAGGGGAAATAGCCCAGCAGAGTTCAGTGTGATGGTTTTGGGAGGAGCGTCTATTATTCCGGAGGAAGAGTTGAAGGCTGCTGCCGCGGCCACAACAAAGGCGGCTAGACCTCTTTTCGAATCGGACCCACAGGAGGATACGGAGATGAAGGATCCCGGCTCAGAAGAAGTGCAAGAAACACCGCAGAGCGATGCATCCTTGCGCTCTGAGTTTAAGGACCTTTATGATGCCGACACTTTCTGGGAGGATATGAGGATATTCATACAAGAGAGGATGCCAAACCCAGATAATGCCCCGGCTATGGTCTCTATCTTTAAAGCTGGGCTGAAGGACTACTTGAAATAGACCTATCATCAGCCATTAGTAATGATACTGAATAATGGGAGCTTCGCTTTCTCTAATTATATACAATAGAACGCCTATACCAAGAAATCGTAAATTGTATATATTCGTTGAAGGACTAAATTGATGCATAAAGAAGACATTGGGTTGAAACTTAGGGGTTTGATAGTATACATCACGGCAAAAGAAGAGAAAGGAAAAACGTTAGAAGTGATGTGTTAAGGGACTGAAGGAAAAGGAGAAAGAAAGCATTAAGTGCGTGTCAAAAGGAGAAGAAAGGATATGGGCAAAATCGTATCCTCCAGCAGCGTCGGGCCTCGGGGTAACATGGCTCAAGAAAAGATTCAGCACATGGATAGTTACAACCACCCATATCTTATAAGAATAATATTGTAAAGCAGAGGCGTGAGCTAATGAAGGGGTATCATCAGAACAAGATTACCTTCGCAAACCTGCGAAGGAGAAAACCCATGTCAAATATGCTCACTCAAAGGCGTCAGAAGTCTCATTATAGGAATAGAGTATAGATGAAAGACAAGTGTATAACATGGCCGAGGACCTATTTTTGTTCGGGGTAGTCCTCATGGTGCAGCGATAGGCTTGGTATTTATCGCGAAAACACCTTGACGACGCCGTCGCCGCCGCCGCTAGCAACCCATCTTCCGTCTTGACTCCAGACGACCGAACAAACGCCCTCGCCTCGCATTAGTCTATGGCTCGTGATTTCTTGCGTGCAACTTCGTTTCTCAAGGGACCAAAATCGTAAACTTGCGTCATGTCCAGCAGAGACAAGCTCTCGTCCATCTGGAGACTGTGAAAGAGAGGAGATTGCTGCCGGATGTGCTAACATTGTGTATGTGCATTGCCCTATTTGAGTTAGGATGCGTGCCATGGAAACGGGGGGAAAATTAAGGAGAATTTATCTTACCGCTGTTAGCGTCAAAAAATCTGATGTAGCGATCTTCGTAACCACTAATGACAACGCCCTCTACGCCACCGCTCGTGCCAGTAGCACCGTGGACAACGGACTCCTCTTCGGAGAGGGCTCGATTGGGGTCCAGGTTAGCTGTACCGTCGAAACCGATAGTACTGGCAACAACAGCATTGACACCAGTGGCTCGAGTGCCATCGTACGTTTCGAGGCTTGCCATACCCACAATCTCCTCCCCGGTTCGGGTATCATATACTAGAATAGACGCATCTGCGTAGGAAACAACAAAGTTGACTCCCGCCAATGACAACGGGCTGATGCAGGTAGGGGCGATGTCATTTCTGACAATCTGATGGACCAGTGTGTAGTTGAATGCCGTCGAACTGGCGGTGCTGGGTTGAGGAGAAGTAGGGAAATTAGAACCCGAGGAAATGGAGTTTGCACGCCTGCTTCCACCTGCACTCCTTCGGGAGCTGGTCTGGGGCGAAGAGAGTTGGGGCGGCGCACTTATAGCCCATATCAATATCCGGCCATCAGCAGCGCCAGAAGCGAGGAGTACGCGATCCGGACCTCCATTGGCGTTGCATTGATCACCAAATACTGATTTTGAAGTGCCTGGGAGAACGCAAACAGTCCAGACAGCATCTTTGTGGCCATCTAACGTAGCCTTGGGGTCGACTCTGCCACGCTCCCATACCTTAACACACCCATCTTGTCCACCAGAGAACACCCAACCATCTCCGGTAGCACGGCCACCACTAGAGAAGTTTTGGGAAGGCGGGCAGGCAGCGAGTGCAGTGACGGAGCCGTTGTGTCCACGGTGGGTGAAGTAGCTGGTGACATCAAGGTCTGAACCTGGAGCAGCAGCATTAGACCCGAAGACTCCGTACGTTGCAGGTATTATCCATCGTTTGATAGTTCCATCATCACCGCAGGTGCAAATCTCGGGTTCCGAGGGGCTTCCACCACCTGTAAATATGACGGATCGAACTACATCCAAGTGTCCGCGTAAGGCAAACCGTACTTTGAAGCTGGTAGTATCTGCCTTTGGAGCAGATCCAGAGAGTTCCCGGACGTCGGGGTTGCCATCACTTCGCCTTCTCCCACCAGAACTCTTTCTCCTGGATCCGCGTCCACGAGTGGGAGACTTGGGAGGGATGAAGTTTGCACTAGGGAAAGCATCTGTGTCTGGGCGGCGAGTAACTGGGGCTGGGGTAGGCTCGTTCGAGGGTGCTTCGTCGAAATTCCAACCATCGGCTTCATCAACAATAATGTCATTGGTCGTGGGTGGTTTTCCAAAATCTTCCTTCCCTGACAATGCCTCTGGAGATTTATTCTCTGATTGCGAGGGTTCTTCAGCCTTGGAGGGGAATTCATAGCTGGCATTGCGCTGCTCTTGCGTAGGCTCAGTTGTTCGTTGCGGCTCTTGGGCCCTCCTATCAAGGAACTCCCGCTGAGCCGAACCCTGAGCACCGTTTTCGTTGTACGTTGGCATCATCATTTGAGAGCCTTCTGGTTCTCGGGCCATGCTCACATGATTCAGTTGAGGTTGTGCCGGGACTAATTGCTGCTTTTGCTGCTGTTGTGGCACAGACTGTTGTTGCTGCCGTTGGTGTTCCTGGAGATAGCCGCTGTCCAATGGCTGTCGTTGTAGATGATGTTGCTGATAGTCGTGGTTCAACAGCTCCTGTTCGTTTATTTCCGGGGGTGGGTGGGATCCGGGAATGACATGGTAAGCCACTTCTTGCGTACATTTTCCAAGGTACAACCTGGATTTATCTCGCTCATTTTCATGTTGGGCGTCTGGGCTGTTGGATTCGTCATCGTCAGCGTAATTATCAAGTCCTGACGACGGCTTCGGTTGTTCTATATGTAAACGCGCATTAGCAAAGCAATCGATCACACAAACGGGAGAGGATCAGGTCCCTTACTCTTTTCCAGAGCTTTGAGACTCTTCTTAGCAACTTCTTTGGGGTCAACACTGGGCTCAAGCTTCTCCCCTGCGGCCAGCTTGCTTGATTTCTCCCTCTCTTTCTTCAACGCGACTTCGAGGATCCGGACATGTTTCCCTAGGGACTCATGCATCCTTTTACTCGTCCGAGCATCGCCTTCCAACCTCCCAATCCTTGATTTCATCTCTGCGCGCTCGATTTCCCAGGCGTTACGGTCACGTTCATGTCGATGCCACTCTGTCTGTAAGAAGCGCATCACACCTATAGACAGAACCACTATTAGCATAAATTCAAGCCCAGCCCTCTGTATAGCTATGAAGCTCCAATAAATAGAGCATCATCTTCCAGCAAACATGCAAAACTGACCCTGTAACGTATATTCCGTGCCCTGAGGCTGGCCTCCACCGTTGCTCGCATCCATGCTCCCACCACCCATTCCACCATTTCCGGCCATGGCAGACTGTGGCTGCCAGGCCATCAAAATACCAGGACGAACGGGCTAAAATATATCGGCAGACCAGCCAGAACCAAGGGTGGACAGGTCTATAACTTTTGCGAGGACACGCTTGGCAGGGTAAGCCGTCGACGGCGCTCGGCTGCAGAGGGAAAAAGGAGAGGTCAACTGCGGGTTAAGAATAAACCAACCGCCCCCGACGAAGCCCCGGAGGTGAGATGCAAGTATAGCAACGTCTAGACGAGGTGAATCTGCGGCGTTGTCGCCACCGGTTTGCTGCTTGAGGCCGAAGGTGAACAAAAATAAAAAAAAGGATCGCTGCTTGTTGTTCGAAGCTCACTTTTTAGCCTGCCAAGCCGCGATCTGGCATTCGGCGTCCCCCATTATATACAACAATAACATAGTGACAGCCGCCGGGAAGAGAGAAGAAGAACAAGAAGAAGAACAAGAAGAACAAGAAGAAGAACAAAAAGAAGAACAAGACCACGGATTGAAATTAAAGGGAGCAAGAGACAACAGGCTAGAATACTATTTCTTCTACCTCCATGCCGCAGTCGACGCAGGTCTTGACGCTCATCCCCGTCTCTGCGTTGTCCACCGGCCTCCCCCATTGATGGACGTGTCTCTGGCGGCCACCAAGGGTATCGCCAAACGAACCGCCGCCGCCGCCTGCTCTGTTCCTTCGATGGGCCTCGAACTGCGTGCGTTTCTTCAGCTCCTTGAGCTTGGTCCTGAACTGTGCTTCTTTGCGTTTCTTCTTGTCTGCTTCTCGCCGTTCAAACTCGGCGTCGAGACCCTCGGGAGACCCCCATTTCTTCGCCGAAAAGGCGTATTCTTCTACCTGGAACCGGAGGAAGAGCATCATGTTGTTCCATGTTGCTTTATGCGGGTTCGGCCGCTCCAGGTGAGGCAGTAGTTCTTCGTCTTTGAGCTCAGCTGGACGCGGATGTTAGGTAGATCAAGACAATGATATAGGACTGGCCTTGAACTCACGGTCAGTGAGGAGATAGTCTTCCCTTGCCTCTGTCTTTGTGAGTAAACTGTACTTCTCAGGGAACTTCTCCTTGCAGACACTGCATATAGAACACTTGAAGACCTCGTCCCATTTCCAGTCGATGTCCACCGTGCCGCATTCTCGACACTTCTTCTGCTTCCCGGAATCTTGGGCTGTAGCTCCCGGAGCAAAAGGCCCATGGGGGTCCTTCCGAGCAGCCTGTAGATGCTGATACCGCTCCCATTCATGTTGAGTCATATGAGCCGGCTTTCCATCTTTATCCTTGGAGTATAGAGCCTTGTTGTGAGGGTCATCCTCTGCGGTCAAGAATCCACCCTTGGTATCTGTCATCTTGCTAAAATCATACTCTACATATTTGGCAAATGCCCGTACTGGCCGTATCGTATCCAGCGGCCGTTCACCTGTCGTCGACGAGTTGTTTCGTCCATCTCGAAGGTTGGCCGGCGTCTTGGACGGCGAGAGCACTGAGGATATGGGCCTCTTCCGTCCAGCTACAAAAGAGTCTCCAGCGCCGCGGTTTCGTGCTTCGGCCTCTCGTTGTTCACGGAGGGCCTTTGCTTTTAGGCGGTTTAGTTCCTGGAGAAGGCCTTTAGCTGCTTCATGCCTTTGTCTTTCATTGATAACCAGAACATGGGCTGCCTACTATGCGCTGGATTTGTTCTGGAGTAAGCGGTTTTGGATCAGGAGCGCCGGCTGTTTTACTCGGCGTCGTGGGCTGTGAAAGATCCATTTCGTTATATCTTCACAAAATCCAAGAAGCCACTCCTATCTTTTAATAAGGAAGATATCAAAAAACTGTTTGCCTCGTTGGAATTCATCAACCAAAGTCCCAAAAATTGATAAGGGAGTTGAATGTGACTAAGTGGTAATAATACCGTATGTACCTGGTTATTTTGGCTCCAGACACCTTAATTTGTGTATTGTACTGGAAACACATGACTTGAGCCTCCTTATGATGTAACTTCGTTCAAACTCAAGGCAGCCAAAAAGACCAAAAATACGAAGAAGGCGAAGAAGAAGCTGAAAGGGACGAAGTTCAAGCTGACTCTAGGTGCGATGAATGGGAGCACTGATGAGTGTCCCTTAAGCCCAAAGAGCGTGCGGTCGGCTGAGTCCAGCCAGCCGTTCCCTCCACTCAGCCCTGACCGAGAGTCTCTCAACTATATTGAAGAGGAAGAACCTCGACCAGAAGGGAACGATGAAGATCGAGGAGACGCAATTGATAATGGTGATGGAGTGATTAATGGAGAAGCGGACGAAGAAGACCGAGGCGCGGAAGAAGCAGAGTTCCTCTCTCAATATTCGCCGCAGGCCTCTGGATCGGAGGAAGAAGATGAAGGAGAGGGCGAAGGCGAGGGAGGAGAAAGCTCTCAGGAAGAGGACAACTTCGCCATTGACCGGCCATACCTACGATCAACGATATCTCTACCTCATGCATTTGCGCCGCCGTTTTATAACCGACCACCTACTCCTCTCCCCCCTTCGCCGTCGTTAACTTCCCTTCTACGCCCGTCTTTTTCAGCAACAACTTCACGTCCTACAACTCCGGATAGCTCTGATGTCGAGACACCTAATGACACAGAAGCTGCGGTGGCCAAGTCCGCGCGTAATGCGACGACGGTGCCTCGAGCGAGTCCAAAAGTGCCTACATATGAGTATTATGGGTTTGTCTTGTACCTGGCGTCCTCACTTGCATTCCGTAAGTCAAGCTTCTTTTTTTCAGTAACTGAGAAGTAATTACTGATAAGATATAATATAGTAATGTATTTGCTATGGTCATTTTTACCATCTCCATTTCTACATAATCTGGGAATACACTACTACCCCAATCGGTGGTGGTCCCTTGCCATACCCTCTTCATTGGTGATGACGATCATCTACATATATGTTGCTCTAGCAGCGTATAACACGGGCTATCTAACCCTACCAATGGACAGCATTGAGAATTTAGTTGATGATGCGGCAAACATAGCTGTGATAGATAGCAAAGGGCGACGTCGGCCGGGTGGTTCGTCTAAGATGAACCCTGACTCCGCGACGGCACAGATCATGGGCTCGCAGAAGAGGATACCGTGGGATCAAGTTTGGAATGAAGGGACTGATGCGGTCATGGACATACCTATTGGTGGGGTATGTGAAGTCTTATATGGCAACGATGATGTTAATGAAGGTAATAATCGACAGTATTAACCACTGAATTGAGCTATTAATCCGGTCTAATAACTGTGGTACATATAATAAATGTACAGATTATGCTGTTAAAATGATATTATTCGATTTCTTGGTACGCCGCCATATGGTGGTGCTCGGGGTCAGTGCTACTTGACATCCGCCGTTTCACCCGGAAGGCTATTACTCTATTATTACAAGGCCTGGTATGGCTAATATAGATAATGCCATTATTTATGTCATTTGATCGTGACGGCCCCTATATGAGGGGGAAATTTGGTATATACATTATGCATTGACATGACATGACGGTTTCATTTCATCCAGTTATATCGATCATCCACCCCACTATTCTCAGGAGAATGCAGCAATTGCCTTCGTAAAAGCCTCAGCAATGGCATTGTTGATCAAAGGAGCCAACTTGGCGAACTGCTCATTCAGCTTGAGCACCGTCTCATCTCCCAACTTGGCCGAGAGATCCTTTTGCTTCTTGAGGTTGATTTTCACCAGCCAGTCGAGTGGGATGATGCCGAGGATGCCCTTCTTGAAGATAGGCTGCTTGCTAACGAGGGAGGCAAGCACAGTATCGATCTTTGGCTTAAGCTGGACGAATGCGGTGGCCACTGCCTGGGACTCCTGGTCGTTGAACTTGGCAGATTCCTGGACGGTCTTGATAGCGTCCTTGAGGCCTGAGGTCAACTTGCTAGTCTTGGTTTGGATCTTGATAGGAGTGATGAATCCGCCGTTGTAGGTCTTGACGACATTGTCGAGGTCGGTGATCTGCTGGGATATGGTAGAGACAGCGTTGACAACAGCAGCTCCGTCACGCTTGGCCAGGGGGGCGGCTACAACGGTGGTAGCGAGGGCGGTAACAACGGCCGCGAAGATGGACGAGAGCTTCATCTTGTGGAGTGGTTGCTTCTTTTATATCTTTGGAAAATGACACAACTATAGACTGTGACAGAGGGAGGACAGCAGTGGGTATATGTGGCCTGGTATCGCCAGCGGCCGAAGGAGTCCCCTTTTATAGACTCCATTGAGCCCCGTCCTCCTCTCCTCCGCTTGTCCCCCCGCAAATCTGGGGAAGGAAGAAATTGCATCTGTGCCGTCTGCTAGCAGCGATGGCGAACTTAATGCCCGAATAGTCGACCATCTCCGTGCGAGCTTTTCGTCTTCGGCATGTGGTAAGTTCGTATTGAGTGGCTGTAAAGCCGTCAAACCCCTGTACATCGCCTGTTCCTTTGGACGCTAGGCGGAGCTTATGGCTTCTCTCCTCGGCTCATGTGAAGATTTAGCATGAGAGCGTCTCTTCTATTTATTTCGATCCAGCCCAGCTTCGTTGGACTGCAGGATGCATGGGATCGTTCAGGGAAGATCAAAGCTTGCTGTAACTCGACAGAGGGGGCCAAAGCCCTGATTTGCACCGATAGCTGGTAGAGAGGCTGATGTTGTAGTTGTACACGAAGAAGAAAAGAAAGGCTTGAAAGCAACCGTAGAAGCCATCATAGATGTCCTCGTCATATATAACGTGAAGAGTACAGAGTACTCTGTAACTAGATGAAGAAGAGAAAACATTTGGACTTCTCATCCATCGTTTTGTCGATACACTGTAGTTGGTGTTGGTGTGGATGGTGATGTTGGCTCCTGGGCCGCTGGACTGCTAGCAAGTGGACATCTCAACCACCGCCAGCATCAGAGAAGAGAGGCCTACTTAGGTAGTCAACTACAGAGTACTCCATAGTTAACCAGGCAATGAATGTCTAACAAGACCTTCTCTCCGTCGGCGTCTCCTCCCGACTTTTCTTCGTCCAGCGTCATCTTCCGTCTAGCTCGATCCTGCGTGTTTGCGGCTTGTCCCTAACTCGCTTAGCGGCGCAAGCGGGAGGAGCTGTTCGGCCAATCAGAGCGAGGCTCTATCCGTTTTGGGATGCATGCGGCGGCTCATAATATTAAGCGCAGGACTTGATATCAGTCAATCCCGACGACAACAATGAGACACCAGGCCAGAGACGACAGCAAGATGGGGTATATAAACAGCCATGATGGACGGGCAGACTCGTCCTGTTTCTCTAGAATATCCTCCTTATCCCCATCATCATCATCCCCATTCTCAAAAAAGATTAAGATTCGCCTATTTACTTCAAAATGAAGGTTCCTCTCCCAAGACTCTCCTTTTCGCTGTCAACTGCTACACCCACATCCATACCTCCTGGCCTTGCATCATTCCCAGACAAGACAGTCTCTCTTCGTGATGGCCGAGTGTTAGGATACACTGAATACGGCTGTCCATCAGGCTACCCACTGCTCTACTTCCACGGATGGCCCTCGTCACGACTTGAAGCTTTTCTGACCGACTCAATCGCAAAACGGCATGGGATCCGTATCATCTCGCCAGACCGTCCTGGCTTTGGGATATCTACTTTCCAGCCTCATCGTCGTATTATTGATTGGCCAAACGATATCCAGGACCTCACCAGCCACCTTAAGATATCCCGCTTCGCCATACTGGGTGGTTCAGGCGGAGGACCCTATGCCGTAGCCTGTGCCCATGCCTTGCCTCATGACTCACTTTCTGCAGTTGGTGTGCTTGCAGGAGCTGGTCCATGGATAGCTGGCACCCAGGATGTACCTCTTGTGTCCAGAATGATGGGCGTGGCAGCTAACAACGTGCCTTGGGCATTTACCAGCATGACAAACATGCTCGTTGGTTCTTTACTATGGGTGTCGGGTACAAGCTACATCACACGCTGGCTCGATAACTGGATCGAGAGCACAAGAAAGGAAGACGACAAGACGCCCACGCAGGAAGGGAGACAGGCTCTCTTGCGTATTGCTTTTGAAGGGTTTGCGCAGGGATCTCGTGGGTTTGTGCATGAGGCACAACTCCTCTCCCAGGACTGGGGGTTTCGCTTCGAAGATGTAACCTACGACAAGATCCGGATATGGCATGGCACACAGGACGCAAACTCACCTATTCAGTTGACCAGATACATGGCAGAAAAGCTACCTCACTCGGAGCTCCAGGAGTGGGATGACACTCACTATACCATTGGCGAACGCCTAGAGGAGGTCATAACGGAGCTTGTGACCAAGGAGATCCCTAAGCCAGCCAGCTCTTAGCATTATTGTTCTATTTTATCCATCGGGTTGACCTTACATTTAAGCAACATTCATCCTCCATTTTAATTCAATGATACCTGATTTAGAATTATCCTTTCATTTAGCAGATAATGTCTCCCTATTCTACAGCTTTAACTACACAAGCTACAAGAAAAAAGGATCTTACCCCTAAGGAGATGGTTAGTTTACCAACTCGTGATCTATCTATGGACCTCTGAGAATTCCCTCCTCTCTACTTCGAAACCTGTCGAGGGATGATACATCCTTAGCCTACTCCTGTTATGTATATTTAATACTTTTACGGCCTAATGGATTGGACTATTCTTAGATCATCGTTAAACCGTGATTAGCGATTACTGAGTAAGGAAGGGGAAAGCGGCTTGATTAAGTAACCTAATAACTCGTCTGTCTGTCACTTAATACCGCAGGCTTGTCTATTTAGCTGAATGGCAGAGTACTTGAGTAATTCTGTTGCTGTTGTGCTTTCTGGTGCTGTCTGTGGAAGAGAAGTGTAGGCCGAGCTGGGAGGGAAGCAGCTGATATTTATATCCCGATAGGAGACATCCTTCGATGATACTCCCACTCGCGCATAGGCAATTGCATAAATGCAAGGAGAACTCATGGGAATCACGTCGAAGTATCTATTTCTGGCTGGTTTCCCGCAGTTCCCGATTAAGCACACGCCTGCCTCTAGGGGTCTATCTTGACGGCGTAGACATGGAGTTGTTGGGTATCGAAGCCATGGTGGGCGAATAGGATGACTCCCCTAGCCGCTGAAGATGTACAAGCAGATGGAGTCCTCTTGCGGCGAAGCCCTGGAATGGGCGCTAGCAAGCTAACAAATACGTAACTGATATGGTTTTAGCCAGTCAGCCGGAGGAGGTGATAAATAACTGTTGGATTTTGGGGGCTGGAGTTGACTCTCGGGCTTTTCATGCATTTCCGCGCTTGGGAGTTGCTTCGGAAGTTAACTAGTTACGCCGTGTTTGTCTCATTCACATCCTCGCTACAATGAATGGTTGGTTGACGTTTGTGTTCGAGGTACATGACAGGGGAAGATGCAGTTACACTTGACTAGTTTGTCTCATCGTTGCTACTATTGTTGTTGCCGCCGGTGACTGATTTGCAGCCTTGGAGGGACTTCCCATCTTTGACGTGACTTTTGTCAAGTTCTTTAGTTCACGAGGTGCCTATGTACTTAACTAAAGAATTAACAGCGTCTGCAAGAGAGCTTCAACATCACAAAATTTCATCACCAAATTCTATCGCCCTTAGGCCTGTTCAAACCCGCAACCTCGCAAACAGAGCTGCTCTGAGCGTTTATATTCCCGCGGCCGGTAGCCAACGAGTTATGGCGAGTCCTCCCACTTTAACGCTAACGACACTGCAGGACATGATGATACCCCGCGAAGCGATGACTTTCCCGATGATGATAACTCTGATTTGGGTGACTTTGTAACTACGGAGAGGGAAGAGTCTGATGTTAATGAGAGCTCCGAGGAGGGCTGGAAATATGACAAGGAGATGTCGAGAGTCTTCTATCCAGTCTGCATAGGAGAAATTCTCAACGACAGATACCGCATCGACCATAAACTCGGACACGGCGGCTTCTCTACCGTCTGGTTAGCTTACGACCTTGAAAAGAAGACGGACGTGGCTCTTAAAGTCACAGACTCGAGCGAGATAGGCAAATATGAAGCTCAGATACACGAAAAGATCATTCGGCGTGTCAAGGACACTTCCCATATTCTCACATACCTGAGGACCTTTTCGCTCCAGGGCGAAGGGTCTAATCGCCACCAAGTTTTGGTTTTCCCTTGGGTTGGGGAATGTCTCTTTGACCTTAAGATCTGGAAAATGACAATGGCTTCACGTATGTTAGCTGCCAGGCATTTGCTTGAGGCTCTTAATAGTCTACATAGCGCTGGGATTGTGCATCGGGGTATGACACCTCTCTCCCCGAGAAAACACTAAAACGGCTTTACTAACATTATCTATCTACAGATGTGACTGGCTATAACTGCTTCCAAGGCATTGCTCCGTTAGAAAACCATACCAGGAAGTACAAGTATGAACGACTTGGTCGCCCTCTTAAGCTGTCTATTGAGAAATGGCTTGAAGAGAACATTTGGAAACCAGGTCAGTTGGTTGCGCCGGTAAAGATTCCAGAGGACCTACAGGAAGACATCTTCTATCTTGGAGACTTTAGCCTCGCTATAAATGTTGGTGAACGAGTAACCCCTGAGCGCGAAGGCCGGCCACCCGTGGATTATTGCTCTCCGGAACGGCTTCATGGCTTTCCACCCAGCACAGCCTGCGATATGTGGAGTTACATGTGTGTATTCTCGGAGTTCTATTTGGGTTTCCGCGTTATCGGAAAGGGTTTGGGGGATGGTATTATTCCAGCTATGGTTGAAAGTCTTGGCCCACTTCCCGCTGAGTGGAAGGGGCGTCTTTTCTGGGAATATGAAGACCAATGGTATGATCAAAATATAGAGCCAAATCCTCAACGCCCCTTCGAAGACAGAATAAAACGTTTGCGTCCCGACATTGACCAAGCTGAACTTGAACTTGTCTCCTCATTGTTCCGCCGGGGATTCCGCTTGGAACCAGAGAAACGTCCAACAGCGGCTGAACTTCTGCAGGACCCGTCATTCAAAGCTCTGATGGACAGATATACTTGACATTCATTTTTTATCCAACCCATCAATTGTGCTTATGATCAGCACTAAGTTAGACTATCATGACTAGGATATTTTGGCCCTTCTAGAGCTCCAATGAAACTTCTTCATACAGCAAACGATAAAAAGTATGGATATTTTTTGCTTTTAGAAATATAAATGTCTATTTCGGGCCCGAACGAATATCAGCGTAGCATAAACTAGTTAAATGAAAGAAAGGATTTCAAACTAATATTTCGTCATCGTCAGAGGCTAAATGAACAATTTACGCCGGGAGAAGCCACAAAGCAACATGGCACCAGAAGGTATGAATACTTTGGTCTGAATACATTTGAAGAAGATAGTAGGGCTAGGGTAGAGATGAGTGAAACAGGTAAAAGCAGCACTTGGGTTAAGATAATGGAAAAAGATCAACACAGCCTAAACTCGGGGAGAAAAAGGGGGAGGGAATCGTGGAGGTTAAAACCACACCAAACGTTCAAGTCATGATTAAAAGTGGGAAAAAAAAAAAAAAAAAAGGGAGTAAACTTGCTGGAATTGGCTCAGGTAAAAGACAGGACGCCATTTAAAGAGACCATTTGATCTAGGGAGAGATTTTGAAATGAGATTGATAAAGGAGTTGGTTGGAAAAGGGGAGAAGATGGTTTAATTCTCAGTCCATGTATGGGTGGTAGGATGTTGTATTGATGTATTCGGTTTATGGTATATGATATGCGAATAGATATCATTTCTTAACATCTGAAAATCTTCACGACGCTGATGACTTTCTCTCGGCAGACGGGACAAATCTCGACTTGTCTCGCGCATGTTCCGCAGGCACAGACGTGTCCGCAGGTATAGAACAGTGAGTCCTGTTCTTCGGTATAGCAGATTTGGCAAAGGTTCATCTCCTCGTCAGCTACTTCCCAGTAACTGACTCCCTTGCCGTGACGTTTACCGTTACGGTAGCCGCCAACATATTTGTTGCCGGTCTTGTGTTCGACCCACGTCCCTTGGCCGTGAGGTTGATCTTCGAACCAGTCACCAGTGTATGTATCACCGGAGCTGTGTTCGATGGTACCTGTGCCCTGGCGCCGGCCTTGGACGAAGTCGCCAGAGTAGGTATCACCGGCTTCGGAGATGTGGGTTCCGCTGCCGTGGTAGTAGCCCTTGCAGAGGTCACCAGAGTAGTATTCGCCATTTAGAATGGCTTCAACGGTCTTTTTACCAGTGAAGGATTTGATAGGATGTTGACGAGCAACCGCCCAGAGGTATTCTAGCAGACGGTCTGGAGAGAGGAAGCACCCTGCCTCTACAAGCTCGGTTTGTCTATTTAAATAATGTGTTAGTATCTTTTGTTCAACTCATCTTTCGTGTTCGTTGCTTACCGGCGCTTGGGGATGGTTTTTCCAAAAATGATACATCCCACATCGTTCATCAGATCTCTGAATCTGTGACTCGATGAAACGCTGTGAACCGAGGCCACAGCCTTACGGCGGGACCAGAAGTTATATCCCTGATCCTCAGACAACCCTAGTGTCTTGCGAACCTCCTCGCGAACATTGCAGGACGACCTCGCGAAGAAAGCACCAACGGTTTCGACAGTCTGTCTATCCGCATCGAATTCTTGGACGAAGTAGTAAACTTGGTCACATGGAAGAATAAGATCTGATTTTATTACTGGAGGTTCAGGGACTGCAGGCTCTTCTCTTTGTGCTTCCTCCTGGCTTGTTTGAGCATTTGTTTCTTCAGGAACGTTGTTGCGTGATTCGACAATCGGAGAGCCTTCCATCTGCGAATCTTCGGAGCCAGAATGATGTTCTTGAGCTTCTCTGCCTTCTTCAGCTTCATTTCCGGCGGAATTAGTGGACACTTCTTCCACCACCGCGGGAGGAGGTGGTGGAATTGCATTGGCATCTGTATAACCTTCACTTGTGTCCATCTCCTGTGACTCATCTAAGAGTGCGAGATCCTGGGCTATTATTGAGGCAATTATGGCTTCGTTGGCAGCTTGTTCATCAGTCTGACCTTCAGGAGCAGGGGTAGGTTCAACCCCGTTGGTCTCAGGTTGATCAGGAGCGTTATCGGACATTTCATGTTCTGGCGGTTCTGGCGCGCTAGGGAGGTTGTCTGACTGCTGCTCTTGCCCGTCCTGGTTCTGAGGGGGTTGAATTGGTATTTCCTCGGGGCTAGCATCATTCATCTCGACATCTTCATCCTGACTTGGAGGTTGAGCCTCCTGGGTTGGCTGAGGCTGCTCCTCATTTTGAACGGGAGGTGGTGGAGGAGGAGCTGGTACATCGTCCTTCGTCTCATTTGCCTCGTTGGGAACGGGCGGTGGAGGGACAAACTCTGGGATAGAAAAGTATTTTACATCTTCTGAAAGAGAAATCAAAGTTAGTATGCTATATTCTGCAAGACATTCAATTTTTATTTATGCTTACCCTCGTTTAGGATTTGAACCCATATGCGCAAGGCATTCCAACCGAGACTCAAAAGCTGGGATCCCATAGAGACCAGAGGCTCCATGCTGAAATTGAACAAACGGACCTCATGCGGTGCTCCAACAGTCCACATACGTATTCTTTCGCTGGTGACTGGTTTTTCCTCCGTCGAGATTTGGGCGGCAAGTTTGGCCCTCAATTCACCAACGGTCGTTGACACGGGAACTGTCATTGTTGTGGTGTCCTTTTCTGAATTGAGGTGATCAATAACATCATATGCTGCCGCTGGATTCCGTGCATCTTTCGACACACCGTTTAAACCATAGAAGGCAACTGGAATCTGCTCGTCTGGTTTAACGGCCGACTTATCAGGTGAGATGGCCTGCATATAACGGTGCCATGCAGGCGGAGGGGTCCACGAATCAAGCTTGGGAGTCAAGAATTGGTCCTGCAGGTCGTTGCGGATGTAGATAAACGCCACTGCGATCTCGGCGTTGACGGGCTCCCCGTTTCCGACCTCCGCGATATCTAAGCCTTCGTAACTCTCCGCAGCAGTTTTAGCGGTTAAACATTCGATTCTGTAAGGGTCCTCTCCCTTGAAGGCGAGCCAATGTGTTCCTTGACCACCGGGGCGGACAAGAGGGTAATACCATCGTGATGTCCGATGACCCTTGTGCGCAATGAAGCTGAACAATGTATATTTACCCTGAGCCTCAGAGTCAACGAAGTTGGAGAGATCAAGTTCCTCGTTCCGGTGTACACGGTTGACGAGGAATTTCCATTGGCGAGCCTTCTTATCGAATTTCTGGCGGGCAAGCTCAACCTGGAGGACGGGAGGGAGTGACCATTTGCCCTCCCGGGATTTCAAGTATTCTGTGACACCACACTGGATGCTCTCCGTGTTTTCCGAGGTGATGCGGATGCGGCTGTTGAAATCACGAGGAAGCATATTCAGCGACTCATCTGACATTTTTGAGTCATCGTGCGGGCTGTCGAAAATGGAGGCAAGCTTCTCTATGGCATCGGTGCCAGCAAGCTCGATCTGTAGACTTCGTCGAAGGCGTTCCCAGAATTCGACTACATCTCCTGAGCCCTCGAGCAGGTATCTCAGCGCCCGTCGCACTCCTTCGGTGCGTACGGAGGCAATGTTCTCCGCGGTCATCTCATGCACGATAACCTGTAGTGCCTCGCACACTGGCTTCGGGCGCGCGGCTATATGGTCAAGATGGTCCATAACACCGATGCTCTTGACAATATCCCTGAACGGAGTTAGGAGAAGCCAAGGCACCAAGCCTGCTGTGTGCTGGCAGTAATTGACTGACACATCGCCCATAGGCCTGAGGCCAACAAGGGAGTAAGAATCCCAAATAGGCTCCGAATCACTGGAATGCCACCATAGGGACTTTGTAGGATCATCGAAGAGGCGGATATATGCGTCGAAACAGAGCGTATCGTTGCGGAGGAGGGCCTGGCGCTGCCCATGTTGACGGAGGTGGATGGTGTTCCACGGTCCGGGTCCGTGGAAGTGCGTCCATCCCCAGTCAAAGTTGTGGGAGTTGAATTGGTGGCAGGAAGATTGAGTCCAACCTGTCCGTGGTTCCTCTGGGTTGTAAAGAACGACTCCGATTTGAGCCGAGATACGGAAGTCCGGTTTCGGCTTGGAGGGCGATTCGCACTCTGTCTTTTCCTCGCTGTCTACCTCTGGAAGCTCTTCTCGGTCCTTTTCTTGATTTTTGCTGGCAGATTCTTCAGGTGTGGCGGGTTTGGGTGGTGGAGTGACAGTGGCAGCCAGCTTAATTTCCTGGTCTGGGGTCAAGTCGCTCAAAACGGCATCGGGAGCCCCCTTGAGGACTCTGAACTCAGTCTCGAGGACAACCTTATCCTGCACTGGCGGCGTTGGAGAGCACTCGAGATAGACGCTGAGGGATCCCACACTGTTTCCGCGAGGGAAGAATTTTAGCGTCCAGTAGTATCCGCCGATGTAGGCCGGTGGAGACCGAATGATGGTAGCTCTGTTAGGCTTTTCCTTGGTACCCCGGATCCCCGTTATCTTCCACGTTATACGGGCTTTCTCTATCGGCTTATACTCTGGGTCGTCTAATTCATGGTAGAATGACTTTTCGATGTAATCGTCTATCGAGAAAAGGTTAGTATGTATGTATAGCCGGATGCTTGCCGAGAGGTGACCGTGACGCTTACATTCATGAGCACTGTGATCGGCATCCCCGCTTTCGATCTCCTTGAGCTCGTCTCCCTCTGCAACGGAGGTGTCCTCCTTGTACTCGGCCCAGTAGGCCGGCTCATCGTTCTCGTCCTCTTCGTCATAATCTTCTCCCGTTCGTTCGGTTGACTCGCTGGAGTCTGTCGACCCGTCTGAAGCAGTAGAAGGTGAAGATTCCTCTGAGGGTTCCTCGTTCTCTCGAGGATGTGACCGATCATCTTGTTCAGTGGTGCCGTTTACCGGCGTATTCTCGTTTTGAGACTGTATCTGGCCATCCGCGGGTGCCTGACCGCCATTTGCGGCGGTATCGGTCTCCATCGTGTCTGGCTCTCCGTTCACAACGGGAGCATCCGCTGCAGGGGTTTCGATGACTTCGACAACCTGAGTGTTGACTGACTGCTCGGTTGTCTCAGTCGAGACCGGTGCAAGGGTTTCTACGACCGGTCGGTCAGGAGCTGATGACTCTGTTTCTGTAGCAGAGCTATGTGTAGCAGAAGATGGGGGAGCATTTTCTAGAGTGGGCATGATGCCGTTCTGTAGTGGCTGGTCCTGAGTCTGTTCGTCCTGGTGGCGATCCCGGGACTCAGGCTGTGGCTCTGACTCTTCCGAGGCATGAGTCTGAGGGGAAGAGGTATAAGGAGGGGCCGGTTGATGACTGAGTGAGGCTCGCTGAGCTTCCACGGCAACCTCCATTGGCTCTTATGAGCTGAAAGGCTGTGCCGTGAAGGGGAGGATGGCTGTGCGTAGGCTGGGGGAGGCTAGGCTGTACTCTGATCTTTGAAAGATAGGCTCTTCGGCTCTTCTAGCTTGCTGACGGATGAAAGACGAGGCAGACAGCACATCAACAGAGCCGCCAGAGCATGTATCTCGGCTGGTAGCTGTGAGAAGAGACCTGGTTAGCTGGTGCGAGGTGGCAGAGGACGATGAGACAGCTGTGACTGACAAGCTATGCGGAGATAAGAGTAAGCAACCCCAGCCAGCAGAGACAGGCTAATCTAACTACTGCAAGCAAGACACTCGAGAGATACAGTGGGCGTTCTCTTTGCTGGAGCGGCCGTGGTGCTGGCGAGCTGGCTGCAGGCGAAGAATGCTGTGTTGGGCGGGTGGAAAGGTGGATGGTGGAAGGTGGAAGATGGAAAGGCGATGATGATGGCTTTCCCTTGGGGCTCACCGTTTTAGCTGACCTCGCCCGAAGGTTTCGTGACTAAGGGAGGCCGCTAGCCCCAAAAGAGGGTTTAACCGCCTTGCGCTCGCCGTCCAACCAGCATCGCCGGCCGCGAGCAGGACCAAGGCAAGGCAGCCATCGACAGCGGCGAGACGCTCACGGACAGGACAAGGGCCAAGGGCAGGACAGGCGGGCGCCGGCGAGACATGGATGGCGGAGACGCTGGAGATCGCTGGCTGGAGACACGCTGGCCCGGTGTGGCTCTCCCTGTCGACCTGATCTGCCTGTCTGCCCAGCTCCTCCGTACACTCCGGTACCCTACAGACAAGCCCTCAATTCATGGCCATGACTCCTCGCTGACTCGGCTCTACTTAGGCTACGGTCTCGTCTTCCTTGCTCTGACTGGCTCGCGAGCTCTGGCCGAAGAGAACAAACACCCTTGAAGCTGGTGACTTGACCTCCAGGGTGGAACCGATCCACTGCCCCAGCATCTAACTAACTATCCAGGATACGGAAGTTTAGTCGAGACCACTCAGGTAACTACAAAAAAGGACCCTGGCTTGCTTGGTGATGGACTGGGAGCAGGCTGCCATGCTGCTGCCTAGATGGCGGCACAGCTATGGCAGATTTTGTTCCCTGGAACTGCTCCATGCACACACGCACGCACGCACGCACACATACACCTTCGCCCCGGCGCTTAGCTGACTTGAGACTTTTTCACGACAGGACATATCGAGGCTGCCTGTTGACGATGAACTCAAATAGATGGATCTGCTGGTCGCGTCCTAGGGCCTGGAACAACGCCATGTCATGCGACTCTGACCTGACCAAACGAGCACACACGATGAAACAAACACCAACGATCAACAATGTATCTATATGCTATTCATTACGGGGTAGTTAAAAAGCGACGATTCTAACAGTTCAGAATGAGCTAGTTACTATCTAAAGTGGCTCGGAGAGAGCTGTAGTGCTGCTCACACACACTCTTCTTCTCTTCCAAGCTCTTGTCGAAAGCGACTTGGCGAACCCGCTTAGCCAGTGCTGCCATTGACTCGAATTTAGCCTGCCAGCAGTCACTGATAATCGCATCTATGGGATCTTCGGAGTCCACTTCGGGAAAGATACACCGGCTCGCCTGTTGACCTTCTCTACCCCATCAATGTCGGAATACAGTTCCTTGCCCCGACTCAGGTACCAGAGCACTGATCCTAGGGCAAACTGTTCCGTATCGGGTCCCGCTTTGCCGTAGTTCATGTAGCGATGACGTATGGCTCCTCGCCCACCTCTACTTCCGTCAAAATCGACTAGTCGAAGGTTATCCTCGTCGTCAAAGAGGATGTTTCGAGGGTTGATGTCTCCGTGGGCGTATCCTATGTTCTCCAAAGTCACTGCTGCCTCGGCGAGCTGCTGCATCCATTTTAGGATAGGGTCTACCTGCCTTATGCGATCATAGAGCGTGCCGTTCTTGACAAGCTCCATAAATATCATGTCTAGCGCGGAGAAGTAAGAGTGAGCTATGTATGGACAGGGCTTTGTCTCCAGGAGCTCGAAGACGGACTGCTCGTGACGAACATGCTCTCCGCCCGCTCTGTAGGCAACCTTCACGGCCAGCTCATCGGATATGGATATCAAGACGGAATGGCCCCCAACCCCGTAGATGGTCGAACCGCTGTAGCGTGTCAACACTTGGAGAATGAGAAGGTTAAGATTGCTTGTATCGGTAGGCGATGAAGAGGCCCGAGTTAGAATAGGCACAAAATAGCAAAAGTACTCGTAGATGAAGTTGAGCCCCGGCATGCTGGCTGCTTTGGATCGTGAAGTGACTTTACAGTTGGCAATTAGCAGAACTAGACACGGATGTATAAGGCCGTCGGCCGTCCATACAGCATGCATAACTTGTCTTTGGTTATGTCTAGCCTTAGCGATTTTGATCCCCTCCAATGTAGCTCACTTGTACAAACACGAATCCACTGCCTTTGTCTATAGTTAAGGACGGCGCCAACATCATGCCATTTTTAAAACCTGAAGTCGTCCTCGTCAGTTGTCTCATTGGAATGTAGTTGCAGATTTTTAATTTCATCTATTTAATAAGTAACAATGGGCCATGCCAGCCAAACCAATAGTTGCTTTAACGCCTTGTATCCTTTGCTTAAGGCTTGGAGTTTGGTGGGTAACTAACTCGGTAACCTCGGTAACTTCACTTTAGCTAGTGACCAAACTAGTTTAGGATAGTGACTTAAGCATTTAGTGACGTCACCTCGTGTGTATATCTTTCAAACTTCGCACTCTAATCTTTCAACAGCTGTCAAGCTCTTGCTCATCAAAAGTCCACACCGGGCAGAGGACTCTCCTTGCGGCAGCCACGGCCCTGCGGACGTGATGACTCTACTGCAGGAGACCTGGGACCGCCTCCTGGAAGAGGGCCTCATTATTAGATTCTGCAGCATATGATGCTGGGTTCAAAGACTGAAAAACAAGAAGATCGCCCATGGACGGTACTCACTCTAGTACTACACCATCCATCCTAGGCAAATGCCTTAATTATACCCCTACTACCCTACTCTTCAGACGGCCCTGGGCATCGCAGATGACGAGTTGGCGACCCGCATTTGTAATGTCGTCGCTAAGGAAGCTAACACAGGGAATGGTGACTCCTGAAATATGAACTATGAAGCAATCGTCGTGTGGTGCCGTCCGTCGTTGTTCTGTGACGCCGCCGTCTTGAATTTGGTACTCCACCCATATCGCTGTACTCGCACTTATGCACCCACTTTTGGCTGAATGGCATATTCAGTTAATGACTAAACCTCGAAGAATAGCCGTTGAAGGCTGCCTTCACGGTATTCCTCAACATGGGAGCGAATACACATATGTTTTCCGAGGGTATTGTCCAAATTGGGGCCGCTGGGATATGTGGCAGGAAGATTCGGGGGCGATGGATACAAAGACCTCGATAGGGGCATTCCCTTCCATTCCTGCCATAAGAGAAATCCCACGTAGGTATCCAACTCTGCAGTAAGTTCCACAGCACGGGCCAAGTGAGCCAGCCCGGCTCCCTAGTTACAAGCCACGCGGCTTGGCCAAACATCATAAACGCAACTTGCAACGGCATTAACGCCGTTTGCGCTGTGATTGCTCGATGGCAGGAATGGCGGGCGCAAAGATTGGAGGATGAGGAGAGGAAGAGTGCGGGCCACGTAAGTAAAACCCAAAACTCTCATGCGTTATACCAACATGATATCGTAAAACTAATATGACAGCAGGACCATAGGCCAAAGCGGTCTGTCAATCCGTTTTCCGAACTGGTGGTGAAATAGCCACATATTAGGAAGGGTTTATACTCCCCAATGAAATGCGGTAAACCGGCATTATCATGGAAACTGACTGCTGTGCTCGAGGCTTCAGATTCCAGGGCCAAAATGATGATTTTTAGGATACTAAAAGCGGGAGGTTGGTCTCACGGCCATGATTCCCATAGTAGTAGTAATAGTAGTGGTGGCCAAAGCTACCCTGAGTTGCAAGGAGATGTACGTATATGGTAATTTAAGCTACTTTTGGTGACCTTCCTGCCTATTTGTTAACCAATCGTTATCCTTGGCAACGAGCAGCTTCATGATTCAGGAAGCAATGAACATCGTCGATATAGGTACTTCATCTATATGGCCGATGAGCGCATATCCGTTGAATTGTATGGTGTCCTAAACAAACATCAGATGTGCGAGCCTGAAGTGTACTTCTGTGCATCCTCTCACTGATGGATACTAACATCCTGTATGCTGGCTGCATGGGATGCCAAGGAGAGCCATAAACTCCATCACCTCGTATATACTCGTAGGGCAATCTCAAGTTTGTTTTTTCTGGGAAGCAAAGGTAGCGGCCACAATGAGAGGAAACACAACTGTTGCTTCAGCGTAGACCTTTATGCTGTCTGCGTTAGCCTTGATTTTTCCCCAGCTAACGGCTTCATCAGGTCGAGCCCCCGCATCGCTGCCATCAAACTCTTGGCCTGTATTGATATACACCGCGCTCTCAGCACCGTTGCGCATCAGACATGCATTAGCAATGTGATGCTTGACCACTCCACCACCGAGGATAATCATGCCAGCCCTTTTGGCGCGAACACTTAAAGTGTTGATGGCACGCACGTCCTCGACAATATCCACTCGTAGCTGGTCCGGAGAGGAGCGGAAAGTATGGAAATACATCATGTCGCCGAGGCTGCCGTCCGTCAAGGCAGGGCAAAAGACGGGGATAGAGTTCTTCCAGGCCCAGTAATATATGGATGACGGATTGTTGATTTCCTTGCCTAGACGGGCGATAATTTTACTTGGTGTCCAGTGGATAGGCGTTTCTGTCGACTTTGAGGCTTCTTGTTCGGCGAGAAGGGTGTCGAGAATAGGTACTACCCAGTCTTCAAAGGCACAGTAATTGCTGTTGGGCACGACAAGATTGCCAATACGGTTGAGGCCCTTGGAGCGAAGACCAGCTCCTGGAGAAGAGAAGCTGCCGAGATAAGTGGGAGCAAGGCATTTAATAAAATCTTCTTCTATACCGCCGGCGGTCGTAACGATAGCAGAGACATGTTTGTGCTGAACCAGATAGCGTATTGTTTCTCGCAGACCCGAGGAAACTAGGTTGGAGGTGTATCCAAGGAAAATTGTAGTCTTATCACCGGTTTCCGGGTCGCGCCAGGCTCTCTACATAATATGTTAGATAATACTTTGGTTTATACGCGGAGTAGATATGCCGTTACCATGTCGTTTATAACACGAGCCGCTTCGGCAACAGCACTGGCCTGGAAGCCCATTGTGGCCATGTTCTCAACTAATTCCGCGGCAGTAATGTCTCTGTCGGCATATTGATCAAAATCTAGCCCCTTGACCTGCTTTGCATCTTCCGGAATGGCTTCTGACGGAACCAGCACAGCTGCTTTGGCGCCCTCCGGCGCAGTATTTTCGGACATCATGGCGGGGTGTCGTTGGTCACTTCATGGCCTTTTTTCACCGCACAGCACTCGTTGGAGAGCGTCAGCCGTAACGGCTACCCAAAGTCGCCTTTGAACTGATTTTCACTTATGCTCCTATGCCTCTCCTTCTCCTCCTTCTCCCTATCGCCGTCTTATCTATCACGTCGACGCCGTCTTTGTCATTTGCTTCATCCCACCACAAAATAAAAAGGAAATAAAGAATTAGAGACTCTAAGCTGACTAATAACTTACCAGAAACGCTATTTTGTTTATAGTCACGTGAAATAGAGTTTACTATTTAGAATCAAGCTCGGCGGTTATTCGCTTGTCGCTTGGCTCGTCAACCAAAAAGCCGCGTTTGTTTCTCTTCGCGTCAGGTGCTACATTGATTTTAACTCGTTCATTGACGCATACTTGACGAGTTACAAGAGGGCACGAAAAAATCTGACAGGACCAAAAAACTGCAGATATCAACGTCGATGCCAGCTCGTCTAGGAGCCATGAAAAGATGGCCACGTCTCGCGGTGGAAAGCCCAAAAAACATGCTGTGGCAACCTCATTCCCGCAATTCAGAAAGCTCCCTGCCGAACTGCAGCTCATGATCTGGGAAGAAGCCTTCTATGCCACTGCCCCGACCCAAAAAGTTATCGAAGGCTTTGTCGAGGAAGATGCTATCGCTCAACACGCCCATCGGATAATCGAGGCCGTCTCTCGGGTTGCCAGCATGTATGGAGGTGACGGCATCGCCCCACCAGCTCCGGCCAGAAAGTATATGCCTAGCCTTATGACGTTCCCGGCAGCACAAATTCAAAGCCCTGCTCCAGCCATGGCTTATGTTTGCCGTGATTCGCGTCGCGTGTTCTTAAAACTAGGCCATGCATTCACCTCTCTTCTCTTCGACGATGACGAAGAATCCACGATGGACGTATGGTTCGATTTCTCTTCTGATATTGTCTATTTCCCCTTATTGGGCACAGAAATCAGGGATAGCTTCTGCTGGGCCTCTTCAGACAACTGGGAATACCGCCGGCGCATCCAGCACCTAGCAGTTGAATGGTCATTCTTCCACCAGATAGATGACGTTATGTTTACCTACGAGCTGCACTGGCTAGAGACTTTCATAGCCTTGTACAATTCCTTCCCAGCGCTAACGGACCTGTATATCTTTGTACCAGCAGTCCGTCTTGCTGAAGCGCCAGCTAGTTCATCTGGAAGCCCATCGGAGAGGACCACACTATGTAGACATTTCGAAGAACCAGACGAATGCGAGAGCCTGCCAATTATACTGAAGCCTATTCCTATAAGCCAAACGATTCGGCTTGCCAAGTGCCATTGCCCAGAAAGACCGCGGAATTGGGATGAGACAATAGTTGAAATTGAGGCTGCTTTCAGGTCCCCATGGATGAAAGATGCCCTACACCGTGAGTTGAAGGAGAAAGCTGATAACTTTCCACCACGACTTCATGAGAGGATATTTTTGCGCAAGGGGCTGGATGTGGATGCCTTACGCGACGTGGAGCCTCCACCAGGTTTGAAAATCCTGATAGACAGGTCTATACTTGGGAGGAAAAAGGACCGAATGTGATAGTAGTAGCATTGCTAAATTTAATCGTACCTACCTCCGGATGTTTTGTACTCGTAGATGAGAGAAGAAAGATATTCCAGACATGTTCAATCTCATTAACGACTATCTATATAATTTTTCAAGCTTTGGTAGAAATGAACACAGATATACAGGTATTTATCAACGATTAATGATATGTGAACGTATGAACCAATCCCATGTCCATGCTTCGGATCCGCATTTAATCAATCAATCCATCTTATCTCATCCCACCATTTAAAACCCTATATGCATACAAGAAAAAAATTATCCCGAAACACAGAGACCGGCCAATGTCCGTAAGAATAAGAATGGCTAACAGTAACAAAATAAAAAAAGCGACAGTGCGATGCAGGATAAATCAGAGATAAACGAAATAAAGGGCAAAAGGAAAGGGTATTGGGCTTGAAGGACTGAATTGAATATACCCAGACGAAAAGACGAAGAAGGATAATTATTTATGCAGTATCCTCTTTTTAGGCAGAGACGTCAGGGCATCCGTACACATCATGATAATACACAAGGCCAAAGGCGGCCAAGAACAAGAAAAATTGAAAAAAGTCGATATGATTGAACATTTATCCAGCAAGTTTTATTGTCTGGGTTCTTGTGGGTAAATATTATGGTGACCTAGCCCAGAAGGTGGAGGCCCACCTGATCCATGGCGGGGCCGTATATGTTGTTGGTGGATGCTATTTGACTGGCCGGATTGGTGTAGTGCGTGAGATGGTGTGTTGGAGTAGGGTAAACCACTATTGGAGCCGCTCTGTGGATGATGTTGACCCAGGTTTGATGGCGGGGTATATGATCTTCCCATAGCCATGCTTGGGTGACTAGGAGTGTTGGAAGCTGATAAGGGCCCCCCAGCACGAGGCATCCCTTGAGTATGAGAGACTTGTTGAGGAGTCATATGTGGGCTGTGGCCAAAAGGGGAGTTGCTACGCTGGCTTAGAGAGAGGGAGGATTGATGCTGATGATGCTGATGGTGTGGGTGCGACTGATGCGTGCGTTGATGTTGGTGTTGGTGCTGGTGATGCTGGTGCTGGTGCACCTGCTGTTCTTGTTGCATCACAGATGGTGGAGGTGCGTGGCGTGAAGTGGATGAGGACAGTTGCTGGACGTGCGAACCATACTGCGACCCGTTACTTCCGTGCATCCCATGCTGGTGGGACTGGGACAGTAAGTGCGGGGGCCCTGGCTGATGTTGGCTCTGAGAAGGTTTATGATGGTTGACTCCAGAGGGGTTGTACCCCGATATCTGGCTCACATGTGGGTTCATATTGCTGGGGCCGGATGGCAAGGGTGACGCAGAGCGTTGCTGCGAGACTTTGCTGGAGTACGGAGCATTGTGTCGCTGAACGGGCGACCGAGTGTGCGGGTGGGCCTGGATATGGCGAGGCCCTGGGGATTCCCGCCCTGCGGGTCCTAGCTGCGGCTGCGATTGCTGACCTCGGTCCTGTAATCCCTGCACCGGCGGCTGCTGCAAGGCCTGGTGGGAATACGATTGGCGTGGCTGGGAGGCAGCTTGAGACTGGTCTGACATATGTTGAAGGCCTGACACGGAGTGAGGTGTATGAGGCCCAGAACCAGGGAATCCATGATTATAGCTAGGCAATCTGGAGATTGAGGGGGTGGAGGATGTTGAATGTGATTGCTGTTGCTCACGAGGGTCAAACCTCGCCATCCAATCCTGGGTAGTTGAACCTCTTGTTGAAGTGGAAGGAGGCTCCGGATATTGTCCACCAGACCCAGATTGCACTTGGATTGCTGTTGCTGTTGTTGCTGCTGTTGGTGATGTTGAGACTGCGAGGGACCGGAATAATACTGCTGCTGCCTTTGATAATGATGTTGATCCTCCGAATGACCCGGCTGAGAGGACGAGGAATGACGCCCGTGGTAAACAGGCCGGGATGGTGAGGGAGGTCCAATGGCAACTGAGGGCGCTGACTGCTCGCTTGCGAACTTTTTCCTTGGCTGGGGTTCTTCTGGCTCGTCATTCAATATGTTCATGATATTCGAACGTTTGGCGGGAACTTGACGTTGAGGCTCTGGCGCTGTTGGTGCAACTGGTGCGGCAGCTATTCTCGTTCGACTATGGTCTGTGGGCGGGGTAAGAGTAGGGCCCTGCCGACCGACATTCACAGAATGGCCGGGAGTCAGGTACCCCGGAGGGCCTATTGGGGCGGGCCGTTCCATAGTTGGTATCCCGCTTGGGTCGGTGTCGAGCTTAATGTGCCTTTGAACTGGAGAGGTGACAGCAGAAGGTATTGTGCGGCTTGAGCGACGAGAGTGATGCCGCGGCGTCGTCGAGGTATTGCGTGCACTACCTGGCGGCTGCAGGTATGGTCCTTGAGTAAACGTTGGTGGCTGCGACAGTGGGCCGTAGCGTGGAATTTCTCCAAGGTCTTGAATTTGGGGCACAACGTTCGGGGTTTGTCGCGGGAGAGCCTGCAACGACATACCAGGGTTTACTTGGCCGGTCAATGACGAGGGTATTGGCTTCACGTCCTGCTCTGGCATGTGAGCAGCGATGTGAACGGGAGGGCGGCCGTCTCTACGTTCATCAGTGAAATAACCCATCCTTGGCCCTTGTTGATTTCGATGGGACGGAGGCAACTGTGAGGTGCTGACGGAACGTTGGTGGAGCTCATCACCAGTGGGAGCGAGGTTGGGCTGACTTGCAGGAGCCTGAACAAGGGGGTATAGTTTTGGTTGCGACCGGTCTTTCTCCATACCCTGACGTGGTTGTAGTACAGCCGATGCAGGAGCCATAGTGATAACAGATGGCTTGCCCTTAGGCGCTAACGTCCTATCCATCACATCGGCATGTTCCATATTGGGCGCCAAAGCTCGTGGCGCAAGAGAAGAGGGAGCAGCATCATATCGTCGCTTTGAGCTAACACTCGGGGTCGGTAGGGGTCCTGTGGGCTCGCCTCGCAGTTTCTTGGCTTCGGCTATCAATGCAACTTCTTCTAGTTCTGTCTTCCCAGAGTCAACACGGCGCTGAAAGTAGTTTTTGACCTATACAAAATGCTGTTAGCATCCAGGCGGCTCCATTAAATCGTCCAATTAGTAATGCATACCATGGTTGGCGTCTTTGTTTTCATGAATTGAGAAATAGCCTCGAAATCCTTGCCAAAATGCGCCACTAAGTCTGGGAAATCCCTGACCTCAGGCACAGACCAATAGCTTGTAGGCTGCAGTGAGCCATACCCACCATCGCCCAGGCCTACCTTTGAATCTGGATCAGGGGCCTCTAGACCCGGTTGGATTACTGGCTGCATCTGTTGCTGTTGCGCCTGCTGCTGCTGCTGCTGCTGTTGTTGCGCCTGCTGTTGCTGTTGCTGCTGCTGCTGCTGCTGCTGCGGTTCCTTGTTCCGAGAACTTCTACCAGGTTTGGAGCGCACCATAGTCTCTTCCACAGGCTTCTCCATCTCCTCCTTAGCCTTCAACACCGCATCAACCAACATGTCCACTTGACCATCCGCCTCAGGCTTCGGCAGAGGAGTGACAGCAGGCAAAGTACCACACGCAGCTGCAGCTGCAGATGTAGAAGGTGCAGGTTCCGCTCTCGAAGCAGCTTGCTGACCGCCTCCCTTCCCTCTTCGACCACCACGGCCGCCACCGCCACCACGACCACCTCGTCTTCCTGGGGCTCTTTCAGTAGACTGATCGCCAGAGTCCTTTGCACCTCCGCGCTTCCCAGACGCCGGTGTGGGGGTGTTACTTTCTGTGTCGGCGTTTGACTCGCCAAATGTGGGCGCGGCTGCCCGTCTTAGCCTTGGCCTACCAGTGTCAGTAGCAACAGGTGTCTCGGTGTCATCTGCATCATAAGCAGGGCGGATCCCAAGATCTGCCATGAGAGCATTAGATCTTGGAGCTCTTGCAGTTTTCCTTGCACGTCCCTTGCGTGTCCACTTCTTATTAAGCTTGGCTTTATACTTGATCTCCTCCTTAGTGGAGTAGTAATGCATCACGCACTGCTGGAATGTACGGCCTGGTAGTAGTTCAGCAATCTTACCCCATTTCTTCGGATGAGCCATGAATGCATCGGTGAAGGCTTTATGTTCTTCGGGCGTAAAGTCGTTAGGCGGAGGATGGAATGCAAAGACGGTAAAAGCATCGGCGGGATCGACGATCTGGTTAGTATCCTGGTACAGGCTTGCTTTCTTCTGGTACTCGTCTAGCATGTCCGGGATACGGGCTTCACGAGTCATGTCGGGGTGGACGGTAGCCTCTTGATCACGACGACGTTCCGATTCCTCTTGTGCAGTGATTGCCGATGCCTTTAAAGCAAGTTGAAAGTCAAGCTCACTGTTCAATTTATATCCCCGTCTTCCTTCGATTACAGGGAGAGCTGCTGCTGCTGCCGCCGACGGCGGAGGAGTCGAGGATAATTCCGACTCGGCTTTCCTCGCTTCCTCTTTCTTTTTGTCCATCTCACGGACTTTCAGTCTCCAGGCTTTGTAGTGCCGTGCGTACTGCTCACGCAAAATTGCATGTTGTTTAGCAACTTCACTTCGCTGTTTGATGATATCTTCCAATAGCGAATCCTTTATACGATCATGAAGTTTATAATTTTCCTGTAATGTTTCCATGTCTGAGAAAGGGGTGGGTGGACCAGAAGGTAAGAATGGCAGTGATTCAATCGCTTTCGCCTCAATGACAGGTATTGTCACAGGTGTCCCGGCAACACTCTCGATAGGCCTTATTTCTTCCACAAGTTCGACCTCTTCCGCTTCTTTACCCGATAGGGGGATAATAGAAGCGGGCTTGTCGGGACTTTCAACCTCAACGGCAGCTCCTGGCTGATCAAGATTTGCTGGTGCGGCACCATCAGCTATCATCCCCAGCATCTGGATCCTCATGAGAAGATCAACCACAACCGGATCCAGGAGCACAGGTGGTGGAATTTCTGATTTCAGAGCCAGCATTTCCTTCTCAAAACGTTGTTCGGATTGGTTAAAATCTTCTTCATCAAGGGCATCGTCATCGTCAGATTGCTGGTCACTCGGTTCGTCGAAAAGCATTGGAATCTGCTGCTCTGGCTCTTCCCGCACTTCTTCCGCTTCTTGAATTTCTCCAGCTTCTGGTGCATCAAGCATCGTTGTATCATTATCGGCATCACGAGATTGCTCCTCGATTTCCTCCCCCACCGAAGGCCGATTCTCGTTTTCGTCTCGTGGGGCCTCTCTTGGAGGCTCAGAGCCTTCCTTCTCTTTCTCATTCTCCTTCCCTTTCTCCTCCCCTTTTTCTCTCCTTTCCTCTTTATCTTTCTCTTTCTTTTCACCCTCTTCTTCATTCACGGGAGTAATAGAGGGCTTAATCTCATCCCCTGTATAACCGCTACCGCTGAGTGGACCCTCTGGTACGAACGGGCTTTCAAGCACCGGTCTTTTGTTCCCATCATCCCAAAGGTCTCTCTTACTTGATGGTGAGTTAGTAGCGGACAGTCTTCTATTTACATACCCTGGTCTGACCCATTGATTACTACTTTTGGCTCCAGGCCGTTGACCAGCGGAGCGCTGTTGTTGTGCTCTTGGTCCAGTAGGTATAGATGCAGGCTGGGAGTTTGGAGAAAGCGAGTTTGAATGAGGTGGTGGGGATTTTTGCGGTTGTGGTTGTGATTGTGTCGGTAGAGACGAGGCGCGGGTAGATGAAGGGGTAGCAGCGTTACTAGAGGTCGAAGGGCCAAGCAATGATGGGAAGAGGTCAGGTTCCTGTTCATTAGATAAAGAACGAGAGTCCTTGACTTTATTTGATAAAGGTGTGGGCTCGTGGGAGATGCCTCGTTCAAGGGCGGGGACAGGGTGACTGTGGTCAAGCATGTAGCTGGGTTGGACTACCGGGGAGGCTGATGGCGGACGACTGGATCGAAGTGGTACTTCAGTTTTACTCCGGTCCGGACGTTGCTGTGCATCTATTCTATCGGCTCTAGGGGCAGTCGGAGGTTTGATGGGCGTTGAGGGGAATAGATCAGGACGTTCTCTGGGCGCGTCCGACTGTGATGACTTTCTTGATGGTTCAGGGGTCGCAGTTTCGGTAGCGGGAGCAGCCGGGCCAGCAGAAGAAAGGGAACCGAAGGCAGGTACTTCCGGGGCAGCAGGAGAAGGAGAGAACTGGGGCGTGGGCCGTTCAGAGGGTGGTTCTGGTTGAGCCGGCGTTGACTGGATGTGTGTAGGTGTACGTATGGGAGTGGCATGTTCTGTCTTTTCTGAGGGCCGCCTTGACTCTCTGGGGGTGGAAGATGTACTGCCAGCCTTCCGGGGCCCTGCGGCAGCAGCAACAGCCTCGTCGTCAAGGCCAACTCCTGGCGCACCAACAGATATCAGGGTTGGAGTCTGTGATACAGCAGAAGACGGGTTGGCAGAATGCGAACCAGATGTCTTGGTATCGATACGGGTTAGCGGTCGATCTTTTTTCCAAGGCTCCGCCCGTTCAAACCTGTCTCTGTCGTCGCGCTGCGACCACCTATCATCGTCACGGTCACGGCGGTCGAAACGCTCTCTCCTGTCGAGTTCTCGATCGAGCATTCGATCTCTGTCCCTATCCCGGTCTCGTGGGTCACGGTTACGGTCCCTGTCTCGGTCCATGCGGACATCTCGCCAGCCGTCACGAGACCGACTTCGACCTCTGAATAGATCTCTGTCTTCTAAAGGCATACCTCTTCCTCGGCCTCGATCTCGGTCACCGCGCCCACGACCTCGCATCGATCCTCCTCGCATGGGAGGAAGGTCTGATAGTGGAGTGTTGAGCGAGATTGGTCCATCCCTAGAATTTCTACGTAGGCGTGGTATATCCAGCTCTCTGGGTCCGCTATCTCTGGAGTCTCTAAAATCTCTCATGGGAGGAGATCTCGATCGTCCTCGACCGAACCCCATCCGGCCGTGACCATCTCGTGAGTCAAACCCACGATCCCTACGAGGCCAGTCACGGTCTCCATCGCCTCGTCGGGGTGGTGGGCCATCTCTCATGTCCCGGGGATCGATTCTATCCCTATCCCGGTCTCTGAAGTCATTCCGGCCAGGGAACCCTCTTCCTCTTGGACCAGATGGTAGGAAATGGCCACCTCTGGAGGAGTCGATCAGGGCCTTCGGACCCCGGGGAGGGTCCCGGCCTAGTGGTGTAGAATTAACATCGTCGTTCCCCCTCGGCCCTGAAGGAATATGCGACGGCCCGTGAGGCGGCGGCGGCCCCCTATCACTATATCTAGATGGCGGTGGTGAGCGGTCCCGCGGCGGGAATCGAGAAGCCATAGACACGTGACTTCATCAATGTTTATGTAATATTCGAGGAAATAGAGTTTATCACGTGATTTCCCGATTTTGGTGAATGCAAAGGGAAAACCGGCCAACGCGCAAAGGGAATTGCGGGAGAAAAAGATGGCGAAATATGATGCACGAAAACACCTGGAAGAGCCGTTACTGAGACGTGAACCTGTCTGGATAGATGAGTGCACGATATCCCGGATGGAGATCGCGCGGCGAGACAAGCACCAGGTGGCGGATGACGGCGAGAAACTGCGCAAGCGATGGATGGAGCTTCAGATCAGGCAGTCAACCTTGCATTACAGGGATGCAAGGAGTCCAATTTCCGTCCGGACAAGGCGGGAAAAAGGGGAAAAAGAACGAGATACAGTCGATGAGCCTGGCGGATCGGGAAGCAAAACGAGAGCAATATCCAACACCTCCTCGGCACGCAGTTCTCTTGCGGTGAAGTTGATAAAGATGGATAAAGGAGTGACGAGAAAATGGATAAAAAGAAGAAAAGGGCGAAACGGCCAAAGAAGCAAGGGCAACTATCCGGCTAGAGATATATTAAGCTGAAAAAAAAAAATAAGAGAAGAAGATGCGCGTCGATGCAGCGCAAGTAACAAGTCTGGTTTCGTTCTTCTCTTGTCCCCCGTTTTCGTTATTTGAGGCTGCGAAAAGAAAAGCAATGAAAAAAGAGGCGAATCCCGAAACGGAGCATGGGATAACTGATTCTCCAGGCTCTGAGCTCTCCTCTGGCGGCTGCTGGTGGCTGCAGTCTCAGCATCCACGACGTCGTCGTCCTCGGTATATTAGTATCGTCGTTGCGTCGAGGAGAGAGGGTGGAGGGAGGTTGAAGAACTGGAAAACTCGACGATGCCGAGTTAGCTCTGTTAGTAAAAGAGTTTTGGCTTAGGTTAGCGGGCTTTGCGCTGTTTTAGGCAAGGACCACCTTTATTCGTTCCTTCCTTCTTTCGCGCGCATGAGCGTTGGTCACGTGGTAGATCCCTCTCCAGATCGTCTTTTCGCATCGCGCGCAGCTGATTTGGCCGCAGTTGAAGAGTCAAGGGGCGGCCAGGAGCGCGCCCAGGGTGATCGGATAAAAGGGGACAGCGAATCACAGCAGAAACCAGGCAGCTGCCCGTCCTTCATCGCCGAGCAGCCTTTTTTATTTTTTTTGTTTTGTGCGCTGCTGTGGGGGAGCCACTAGTTGTCGCTGTGGCTTTGGTCCCCTTTGGCCCCTAGGCGCCCTCCTCTCAGTAGGTGCCCTTTTTTGATTACGGAGTAATAAAAGTACATGGCAAAAAACATCCGGTGGGCCGGGTATCTTTCACGTGATGACTGGGGCGGCCATCGAGCGTCTGGAGCCTGGAGTCGTTTTGTTTTTGGCGACGCTACTCCGTACTTACTCCGTATTTCCACTAAACACCAACTCCAGGACTCCCTCTAAAAGCTCGGGAAGGCCATCTAAAAGGCGAGTCTTTCCCTTTCATTCCAGTATTACGGAGTATGTATCACAGGAGGCTCACGTGGCGGAGGTGGTTTGTCTTGATGAAAGGTATACATATGTCATCCAACCTTCAGAGGACGCCAGTGGCTATCTTTTGACGTATTCCACGCCAGCCTTCAGCCAACAAGGACACCCGATACCATGGAGCCTCTTGATAGAACGGCGTGCCTTTCGAGCAAACAGACTGTAGCAAGTCAATTTTCCTCTGTTCCATGCTGTTCGAGGAAGCATTCCGTCCTCTGGACACACAACACGGCCTCTAATTCCCGTTAGCGTGATGAGCGCAGCCATTCAGAATCTTACGAGGATCGAAGTACTCCGTACAACTATCATCAGGAGTTGTATGGCGCTAACCTGAAACATCTTAGCTGGGGGCTTGCATGGGTCTCGGTCTTGCCCATCAAATCGAACTCGCAAATCCCATCAAGCTGTGGACTGTGGACTGTGGACTGGACGGTGGATCCTGGCCTAGCGCTGCTCAAGAAGGTCGGGTTGCCTCGTGCTGACGAACCCTGATTGGCCACCCATTTCAAGGAACGCAGGGATGTCCGCATGTTCTCAAGCAAGACAGCTGCTGCAGGCGCAGCTCTTGGGGTGGTCGCACCACGCAAGCACCATCCAAGCGACCGCCCGAGGGAGGACCGCCATCGTGAAGCCTTGCCGCCCAGCGAGGATCTTGACCATGGCTCCCTGCATCGCCATTCGCCGCGACACGACCTACGCATGCATTTGTAGGTTTGGTTGGAGCTTTTTTCCCCCATGACGCTTCTTTTTTTTTCCTGAGTTAGTGGTTTGCCTTCGTATTTATGTATTTCGTCCGAGCAGTGGGTCACGTGAACCGAAGATGACGTAAGCGTTTAGTGCATTAAAGATGTATAAAAGATGCATAAAGTATAAAAGTGTTGCATCATCACTAACAACGGGCTGGAGTTGACTGACTGCTTATCGTTGGCTTTTTATTGTTAGCTATCTAGGAAGAAAAACCCCGACTAGGGGATCACCGGTTATTCAATTATGTCGATGGTGCACGGAGTGCATGTTTCGATTAATATTTGTGAAGATGTGATGAACCCCTGAACACGATGTAACTCCGTATAACTCACGCCTCGTAATCACTAGACGCACCAGATATCCAAAACATTATCTGTACGAAATATATTCACCCACCAATATCAGCCTTTTAATGGGAACTAGTCGGCTGATAGTATAACGCCATATCTAGCCATGTCGGTCACTGTATACATATAACATCAGACAACCCTGCCTATAGCCAATGCCTGGATGCCAGTTTTCACCATACACTGCATAAAAGGCGACAACAACAGTCATAGTGTAACCACTTCCAGATGCTTCTCTGGCTCTCTAGGCCCCTAGTTATATGATCGCCGTCGGTGCTAATTTTGTCCCCGAAACTCCTTTCCATCAACCGTCTAGCAAGGTAAAAGTTGGTCAGTGTTTTCGGCAGATTTGTTACGAGCGAGCAGCTGTCAGCCACCTAAGCATTACTAAACTATGTTCGCCACACTCGGCCCTTTCATGAAGAGCGAGATCGAGAGGAGAGAGGAAGCAGATTAGAAATGAGATGCCTCTTCCATTCGACGCTGCTTTGTATGCAGCAGTAACATATCTATATAAGAACCTGAGCTCGATCGCTTTAGATGACATCACTGGCGACACAGTTAATATCAACTTCCCCGCCTCCATATCTCCAATCTATATAACTAAATAATTACGTCGTTATCGCACCGATAACTACTGACTTTGAGCATCTTTGTTTAACATCACTCTATCATACTCGACAAAAATGGCAGACAAGAAACTCCTCGTTGTGCTTGGGGCTACCGGCAAGCAAGGCGGTTCAGTTATCAACTCCATCCTCGGCGATGAGAAAGCTGCATCGCAGTTCGCTATCCGGGGAATCACTAGAGACCCATCAAAGCCCTCGGCCCAGGCTCTGACTAAACGGGGAGTCGAGTGTGTCAAGGTTCGTTCCTTAGTTAACTAATATATGCCCGTATGCCACTCTCCCGGCTAACACTGTATATAGGCTGATCTCAACAGCAAGGATTCTCTTACCGAAGCTTTCAAGGGCGCATATGCTGTCTTCGCCGTCACCAATTTCTGGGAGACGGGAAGCGCCGAGACTGAGATCCAGCAGGGCAAGAATATTGCTGATGCTGCCAAAGTGTGTATCTTGTTCTGCTTTACATCATGAACGATTGCACTCGTACTGACATAATGTGAAATTCTTAGGAGAATAGTGTCCAACATTTGATCTGGAGCAGTTTGATCAATGTGACAAAGGGTATAGTATCTGCCTTATTCCCAACCAAAAATACACCAGTCTGACAAGCCATATTAGTGTCCGGCGGGAAACTCGCAGGAGTCTCTCACTTTGACTCCAAGGCTGCTGTCGAAGAATATATTTGCAGCATTAAAGTACCAGCCACCTTCTTCCTTCCCGGATTCTACATGTCCAATATCTCAGCTGGCGCCCTAAACAATGCATCAGGGATATACAACCTCAGCAACCCAGTTCCAAATGATACCCCCATACCACTTTTTGACAGTTCTAGGGATACCGGAAAATTCGTCAAGGCCATCTTGCTTAACCGTGAGAAAGTGCTTGGAAAGCAGGTATATGGAGCAACAGATTATTACACACCGGACCGCATCATCGCCGAGTTTCAGGCTGTGAAGTCACAGGATGGCCAGGGCGGTGCTGCTATCCGGATCCCAGATGAGGATTTTAAGGGAATTCTTGCCATAGGTAACATGTCAGAGAAAGCAAGGGAGGAGATGCTTCAGAACATGCAACTTTTGTACATGTTTGGGTATTATGGCGGCGCAAGCTTGAAAGAAAGTCTCGACGTAAGTGGCAGTTTGGTCATAAATGAAACTGGCGTTGTAAATGGGTGCTGACTTGTAACGATAGCTCCTTGACGAGCCGCCGACCACCTGGAAGGAGTTTGTCGAACAGGAACCTGCATGGGCTCATCTAAAGTGAAGGATTAGGAGGATGCCTTTTCATCTCCCAAAGTAGGATAACCATATTCCGGATGCAAGTTGTCAAAAGTATGGAACATAATAATTGAGGAAATATTCGTGGCACATCCATAGCCATCACCTAGGAAATATCAAACAATGTATAGGGGTATATAATAAATCAAACTTCGCTTTGCATGCGTTTATCCTTTAAGATGCGCTTATTGACCATCCGTTCAGCATACACTTTCCATAAATACCAAAATAGAAACGTGAGTAAGGTCAGTGGAATAGTTACAGCTGGGTATATCCACCACTGAGATGACATCGTAATCGTCGTAGAGTTGCCGCTTTTTCCTGAGGGACCATCGGACTGGCTGGGGCCACCGACAAGGTTGGTCCCTAGAAATCCCTATGTATCTGTGTTAGCTTATATACACTGATAGTTTAGCATATAGTCATGCTTACAGCAACAAATGTCCCAGGAAGGAAAACCATGGTCATGATTGCAATGGTACTCATAGATGCACTTTCCTTCATTGCCTCCTCGGCCATGCGAGCGCTGAAATGTGTACTGTGCCTAGTACTCAAGTTAAAAAGCTAGTTGATGATCTTGAATTAGTCTAGTCCCAGTCATAGAAAGAATTGTGGTGTGCAACCCACCAGATCCAAGAGCCTCTGAGCCCGCGTTGCTACATCCTCTATGGATGTCTTGAAATATGTAATCTGGTTCTCAAATCGATCATACTCCTCCTCTACACGGGTATAGAGCCAGTCACGGTTGTCCGGGTCAGGAGTACCCTTAACCATCCTGTAAAACTGGTCGTGCTGTTTCCGCAAACGAGAGAGAACTCCCAGGATGAAATTTAATTGTAGTTTATCCTGGTCGAGACTGGTAAGCGTGAGGTGTAGTCGCTGTATATTTATTTCTCCGAGATCAGAGCTTCCCCCGTGGGCCTTGACCTCTTCTTTCCTAACCGAGTCTCGGGGATCCCGCGCCGCTCGTCGGTAGTACTGGATGGTGCTATTGAAATGAAGTAGATGGAGAGCAAATGGATTTCCTGCGAGAGCAGCCGTGCTGGGATTAAGTATAAAATCCACCAACTTGTCGTCCAGCTCATCCTTTAGCGCTTTGGGGAGATCATTGAACGAGCGGTGTTTCAGCAGTATGACACTCGACTGCGACTTGACGTCGTAGTGTGTCACTATCGTCATCTTCAAGTCTGCCTCTTTGTCGACAGCTCGAATGTAGGCTCTTGCTCGTATCGCATACCAAAAATCTATCCCAAATCCAATAACAGTCAGTGCCAGTCCGTTAATAATACCCATACGACCTCCGCAAGAGGGGAATATATACCAAATGCGGTTACTTTCTTCTTCTTGTCATCACGACCGATTCGTGATCCAAATATCTGTTCCTGGCCCCGTATATGCGAGCAGGCAGACGGAGGGAAGTCATATCGAGCCAGTACTTTCAGCAGAGAGTCTAGCGAAATGTTTAGCTCATCTGCAACCTCGTCTTCGACATGGGCCGTCGTCTTCTCGTCGGCCAGCGCATTGGCTTTGATCACGCTAACAGCGGCAGCATTCGTATTTACCCGGTGAAGTATCTTCTCGTGGGGAGTCGATTCAAGGAGTCTGGGGAGAAGTACAGCTGTCAGTAAAGTGTAGTTATTCATGACGGCTACAGATTGTCACTTACATGAATCGTATCTGGGGTTGCGGTCCGACCTGCGACAAGAATCACCATCACCGTGCAGTTAGTATATGAATGATTAGATCAATCAATCATTGCAATCAATAGGAATGCTCACCAGCAACTTATGTAGAGCCTCATCATCGCAAAGCCGTTTCTTCCCTTTAATAGTAGCAGAATTAGATCAGCCGCTGGAAATCAAACTTTCGGGATTCCCGCAGGTGAACCAAAAGCTCGTCAAACGGGGAGAATCACCGGCGACTTGGAACGAGATAATATTCACGACATACCTACTCCACGATCATGGTCGAGGACGAGAACTCTCGAGGCTGCTGGATATTTTTCTGATCGCCATGAGGTCGATGCCGCTGTCAGTTCCTTCTGACAGAGCCGCCCGTCATCAAGGGCTGGTGAATACGAGGGAAGGCCGACAGGATAGTTTCGCCAGTCAATTTTGTCCATGGCGCACACTTCATCGACATTAAACAGAAGCAAGTGATACAGTGAGCCAGTTCTCCATCTTTAGCAAAGGGAAGGCAACAGCTCTGCTGTAAATATTTCTGTGCTGGTGATCGGATTACGAGCCGCACAGCCTTGCGACGACCCCTAGCTATGCAGGCCGCCTTGCTCCCGTGTTCGCTATTTTGGGTGCATATAGTCAAATGTCAAATTTAGGGCGAGGGGCTGGTGATTTAATGCGTGGCTACAGGCATTCGGCGTAGATATCTTTGCCTGCCGGGGTAACTAACTACCTAGTTAGGCGTCATCGAGGTTGTTGCTTCGGTTCCAAAATTCCGACCAACGATTTCGGCTGCTTCTGTATCTCGCCCGAATTTAAGCATCCCCATCTGGAGTTCCAGTCCCTTCTCTTCTCCAACCGCCCATTCCCAGTCTTCGGCTTGGTAACGTTGGCTGAGTTCTTCGTTTATACCCTGGATGGTATCCGCCCAGACTTGGAGGCGTTGTTGTGCAGTGCCTTCGTCTTCTGAATCGAAGTGCTTTGTAGATACAAAGCGGCCAAGTGTAATATGCCCCATGCAAGCAGTGTAGCATGTGTCTGTCTTGACTCCGCTGCTGATGGCCAGGTTGTGCAAGTCTCTCCTTAAATGGTGATAAGTATATGGGTCTGTCCCGACTGGAACGAACGCGATGGCTACCCCAACCGCATCGAAAAGGAGCATTGGCCTTCCAAGACGAGCAACCTTTGACTGAGATGCAGCATGGGTGGCCGGGAGGTCCAGCATCCCCTGGACTAACGGTCTTCCAATTTGGTTAAACACGGACCGTAGATGAGCCATAGGGTGACGGTGCGAGATCTCAACGACTGATAAATGTAGCCGAGACGACTTTGGAAACCACATGTCTATCAGGGTATTCAATTTTTCAGTTAGTTATAAGCGTAGTATTAAGTTCTTAGAAGTATCTCTTACCAGCCCCAGCTATATCTTTAAGCCTGTTTTGTAACCCAAGCAGGAGGTCGAGGATCTTCTGGCTTGGGCGAGCCCAGATAACCATGCAGTTGATGCTCTCATCGCTATAATGCTTCTCAATCTCTCCAGGTATACTGGTAGTCGCAGCATGAGACAGATACTGAACAAGAGCCGAACTGGGTGTTATCTTCGGCTTGCCGTCTGGCTGAGTCAAAGATGCGAGAGACCTTGACAGGCTCGCTTGTCTATAAGACTCATAGGCCTGTTGCACTTTTACCTGCGCGTCTCAGTCAGCCTGGGGTATCATTCAAATTTCAGTAATTGGTTGAATGCATCACTTACAGGGTTATCTTGACATTCCGCGTGGTCTAGCAGATCCTGGTACCAGTTCCTTGTCTGCTGGTCGGACTCAAGTTGGGCTGGAAATGAGAACATTTTGAATGAGCCACCTGCCGAGTAGTTAGTTATGTGAGATAATAGCAAGTATGTAATTAATTGAAATCGATCTGTGGCTTTGCAGTACTTCGATTCTGGGTGATTGATGTCCAAATATTTATACGAACCGCAGAGGATCTACATCGTGGCGCAGACAGCCGAAAATACGGAGTCGTTACATCATAGTTAACTAGGGCTTAGGATAAAATAAAGCGCTATGAAAGTATCGTCACACTGCATAGCCCAAGATTTGGAATTTTACCATATCTATATCGAAAGCATTGTCTGTGATAACCATTCGGTGCGGCGGAAGATACAAGATCTCAATTAGCTTTTATTTAAGCTTGATGTTGATATTTGCCCATACCAAATTACTTATACCCTCTTATGAGCTGTAGCTGGTCGGATTCTGAGCCTGACCCTATGGCCCAAATTTCTCATCGTGGCGTAGAATGAAGACCCATGTGCTGCCACATTTTTGTCGCCCATGACTTCCTCTACAGGAGCCTGAGCGACTATTGCTTTTACCCTCAGTTCTTTGGCTAGGTATGCTGTCAGTTGAACAGTATGTGAGAGGGTTCAAATGGTATCCGATAAAAATCACCTACCTTCTAAAGCCAGTGAGATCCTATCCTTTGCTTGTCCAACAGTGATACAAGACTCAGCGAGAGCGAGGGAAAGGTATATCAGTGGTTTGGAATAGTGATATCCAAGACCAGGGAGCGGAGGGTCAAAGAGGCGTGCCATTCGGACCTCCTCCCAAAAGATCCACCTATTCTTCTTCTGTTCATCATTGGTGGCCTTCCACTTGTCAACATCATAACCAAAGATGTTGGGGAATTCGATGCCCATTGCTTGAACATATTCATTCGCTTCCTGCAGGAGGACCAAACGGTATAGTACCGTGTCCAATAGTTTTGGAATTAAATTTGAACTCGCGTCGAGCTCACCCCGTATGAACTTGCGCAGTTGTGCATGAAATGCTACATTACCACCAAGGTTGTCTGCACCTGGCTTGGAAGAGAGATATTCCCTTGCCCGAATAGATAATTGGCGATTTATGGAGCCTGTCCGTGAAGTTGACGTGCATGTAGGGTCATTATCACCAGGGCTTTTTGTGCCACTAGGTGGAATAGGACGAAGAGAACTCCACCCCTCTCTAAAATACTCTAGTGAAAAGCCGGTTCGTCTGCCAAAGTGCATTTCCCATTCATCATTTTGAGAATAAAAATGGATACCTTGCTGGTCAGCTAAGGAATGGATGTTGGAGACTGTCTTAAATATACTGGCTGCCAGCCCCATGTATGTGGGATGTGTGAGAACGTTCATACGTTCCTGACCTTCATCCTCAATTCCTACGACAGATTGGACTATTGCTGATGCAATGCTGCTGCCACAGGCCCTACCAACGCTCCGGCTCAAAGACCAGGAACGGGTTTCTTGCTTGATGCCAGATCCAGTGATACCCGTAACATTAAGCCCAGTTGACTTTTTACAAATAGGTTGGACTAACCAGCCTCCAGAATAACAAGCAGTTGTAAACAGAGTTACCTTTGCTTCTGCTGTAGTCGCCCGGTGAAAGTCATTAATAAATAATAACTGGGGTTCATAAGCCTCTTCCTTGACCTGTCCGAGGCAGATACCGTGAGTATCTTGGTCCCCATGTCCGAATATCAAAACAATAAGCTGCTCGTTATGCTGGGCAGCGATTCGACTTTGCTCTCTCACGGTAGCCAGAAAGCGCTCAAGAAGGATTGTTGACGGAACGACCCGTATGTTACCAGCTCGTTCGATTGAGCCTAGCGTGTCTTTGTCCAGGACAACTCTTCGTTCTTTTCGAGGGTCTCCGTGCGCATACTCTCCATATTTTTGGACAAGGCTTTCCGGGCTTTCGGCTGTAAGCCAAACCTGAGCTTGAGTGGTGACATGCATTGGGGATAGAAGATGATGGAAAAGATAAAAATCACTAAAAAACCAACCATCTACACTTGGAGATGCTTGTCCGTCATAGTCTGTCACACCACACACTGCAACGACCCGGCTTGTTGGAGATATGTCTGGCGGACATGATATCTTAAATGCTATGTCTGCCAAAGCTTCCTTACGACCTTGGATGCGGTCAACAGGTATAAATCCATCTGGCATATCTCTAAGTTTCAACGCCATAACTGTTAGATAGAGAGATTTAGCTGCCTGGGTTGTCAATGAAATCAAAATATTGAAGTAAAGAGCGCGCAAATTCGGAGCTTCTGGCAGTTGTATTCGAATAAAATCTAAAAACAAAGAGGACATGGACGTCGCTAAATGGCGAGGTAATATCGTATAGAAGCCAATGACGTCATGTTCAACGTCTTCTTGAATATGCTTTCACTTACTTTGTGGAACTTACAGCTATCAGGAACAACACTAACTAATCCGGCTACACACATTCAAGCTCATATACACTGTCTACTAAAACCCTTCTGATAGTACATTCTGTCTGTACAGCTTTCGATGACTGGCTTACAGGGTCTTAGGTACACAAGGTCCTGCCATAGAGCCCTTATTGCTCCGTCCTACTCATCCACGCTCCTTGGCACCCTAACTACTTTCAAAAAGCAGAGATTTTCATCCTTGTGTTTACACCTATCAAGTCCATCAGTTTGACTAGTTTGATTATTACATCACACTCATCTGCTCGAGCCTATCATTCATATCTTGCTACTGTGCATATTTAATAGTCTCCCACTTCTAGCAGCATAACGAACAGATACCCCTGATCATCAATCCCGTGTTACTCGCAACTGATAGCGGGTCTTACGCCATTTTGTCAGCGAAGTTGCAAGCACAAGGCGAACGCCGGGAATTAGTTAACGGGCTAACTAATGGTACGGGGCTGTACCTGGGGGATATTCTCACGTGTGTGGTTAATTGGCCCCTTTAGCAGAAACACACCACATTAATTCTTCGGAGTAAGCATGTTTGCGCGTCAACACCTATGATTGGGTCGGCCTGCTTGGAGAAAGGGGCCACCTTGCTTGAGGGGAGCGGGACTCCCGTTTAATAAGTAAAGGGGTGTCCCCACCATACGCAAGACACAGTGGAAGCTACTTAAGTTGCGAATATCCCATGCCCAGACAAAAGCACCAGCGGACACGCCGATATCACCGGCTAAGGAACAATTAGCACGAATCGCTCCCTGGGCTATTATACCGCAGATGCTACATTACACATTACATACCTATCCAGGTACCTAGGTAGGTATAAACAACAAGATCTGATAAGCGATACCATTATACCTATAGTGGTCTGGGAGCCACTAAGATATGTTTCGAATGCTGAAGATTGGATACAATGCTGCTAGCCACACCTTAAAAATGACATCTTAAACACTTAAACCTTGCTGGATTGAATAAGAAGTCTTGAGATGGCCAAGCGAGTTTGCCGCTATCCAACGGCATGGGTTTCCTCATGCACAACGTACCATTCCCCCCCAGAGCCCCATGAACAACAATGGGGCAACGAACTATCAATGTTCCATCTGTTGCTCTTCCTCCGGACAGCTATCCCACTTGAGAAATGTCCGCATATGGCTGTGATATAATCATGCAATTATATGGTTTGGCGCAGTGTTGTTCTTGTCTTCCAATTACCTCGGAAGGTATTGATTCTTGTCATCACAAGAGATATCACGCAATACGAAATCTATTATGCTTATCGACATGGGGGTTATGCTCTTTAGTGCAAGCTTAATGCAAGATATTTTCTACTAGAATTTTCTAGTTTTCTTCAAACGCTGCAAAGTGACTGCTCGGCTTTTCACTTTCTATAAAATCATGTATAGTGAATTTAAGCAGAGTGATTTATGAGCTCCCATTGCCGATTATCATGTCTTAACGCCGTGATGGTCATGGATGAAGGAAGCCGCATAAACCCGAGTCCATGCTCGCGGATACCAGCATGTTAATTGAGCGTCTTGAACGCCGTACTATAGCACGTCACATATACTATTACCCCAGTGGATAATTAGCACTTGTGGGACGCCGCTTTTGGCAGTCTATCATACTCACCACGTTCCAAGCTCTACACGGACATGGCAATGTTGCAAAGGTATATAAAGTGAGATAAACCCGCGATCCTGATACCTCTCTACAGCTAGAGCAACCGGTCCTTACAAACGCCCATCTCAAGTGTACTCTCCTTTTTGTTTCTCCTCCTATATCACTGATTCCCATTTCTCCATTTCACCCTACTGCCATACACGATGCAGATTCTCGCGGCTCTCTCTGCTATTGGGGCCCTAGTAGCCACCGCTACTGCGGCTGCAGTTCCAAATGCGCCGGCAAAGCAATCCATGATTGATATTCAGCTTTCAGCCACTGGCAACACCCTGATCAAAGCCACTATCACCAACAAGGGAGATAAGGCTTTGAACTTGCTGCAGTTCAACACCATTCTTGACAAGAACCCAACCCGCAAGGTTCGAGTGTACCAGAATGGTAAGCTAGTCATACCCCCTAAAGCAACGCTCTGCATTTATTAACTGTATGAAATAGGCACCGAGGTCAAGTTCACCGGAATGCTTGCCCGATACAAAATGTCCAATCTCTCTCCCGATTACTTCACTACCCTTGGTCCTAAATCCAGTGTTGAAAGCACCTTTGACATCGCCCGTACCCATGATTTGACTCGTGGCGGGAAGATTACTGTCATGGCTTCTGGCACCATTCCTACCGCTGAAGGCCACGGTAATGGAACCTCCATTACCGGATATGCCAGATACGAGTCCAACAAGCTTGAACTGGATGTTGATGCGAAGAAGGCTTCCTCCGTTGCGCAAGCCATGGGAAAGGTTAACAAATCGCGCAGCACTATCGACAAGCGCACTAACATCGACACCTCCAGCTGCAGCCAAAGCCAACTTGAGGCCCTTGAAGGCGCCCTCTACAACTCTGCTGCCCTTGCTCAAGCCGCTGCTGAAGCTGCCCCTCAAAGCACCGACACTGTCGCTGAGTTCTTCAAGTCTACCAGCCGAAACACTATCAAAACCCTCGTCTCTCGTTTCCAATCAGTTGCCAGAGAATCCACTTATGTTAATGATGGCAGAACTACCTATTACTGCACTGATTCTATGAATGGCTGCTCACCCGGTGTTCTCGCTTATACTCTTCCGGACCAAAACCTCATTTTTAACTGCCCAATCTACTATTCCGATCTACCTCCCCTTGCCCAATCATGCTACGAGCAGGATCAGGCTACTACCACTCTTCACGAGATGACCCACAACTCTGCTGTCGTTAGCCCGTTCTGTGACGATCTTGGCTATGGTTATGATGATGCTACGTCTCTCTCTGCTAGCCAGGCCCTCCAGAATGCTGATTCTTATGCGCTTTTCGCCAACGGTAAGTTTATCCTTCACTATATTGCTGAACTTCGACTGACAATGTCATTAGCTATCTACCTCGGCTGTTAGGATTTTTGAGGAGGTACAAATAACATGAGATGATTTTTGTAGTTATGTTGGAGATGGAACGTTTATGTACCTAAAATATTTGATTCTAATAGTTAATAGTACCTTATGTCTCTTATCATACCGCGTCGCACCCATTCCCAAATCAATTTCTCCTCTGTAGTTGAATCCCCAACACAGCTTAGATTATTCTCCCGAATGAGTGAAAGAATGGAAAGTGGAAGTAAAAGCCCACGGTCTCCTTTTTCAGAAGTAAAATATATCTAATTGTAGCCCTGTTGCATTTTTTGTTCCGTTAAGTAGGCCAAAGAAATGACCGGGAATCTCGTAAGGAACTAGCTGTGGAAAAGTAGCTAGCTCTTTCTTCCCTCTTCAAAGACAAACATTAACAATCCACAGTAGGAGTCTGCTGATGATACACTAGAATAACTGACTAACATCTCCCAATTGGTAGACATTGGTTCTGGGTCTGCTAACTTGGTGTCAAACGGCTGAACTGAAGAAGTCCTCGTTAGTGTGCAGGTCGAAGCTGTTTTTGACACTTCTTTTCTCTCTCCCTGGCCTTTGGCATTACTTTCTTGCGGAGGAGGTACTCCGTAATGGGTAGCAGGGCTGGGGCCTATAATTACTGGGAGAACCGGCCGGGAAGTGGTGCTTGCAACCGCTGCTGGTGATGGTGTTGGTGCTCCCACCAGGGTCTTGTTGATAATTATGAATTTCGTTTGTGGTGTGTATTAGATGTGAAGCAGCAGAGCCAAAAGTTTGAACCTACATCAGTGGTCCGGCTGAAGCCATGTTTTAGACACCGGGGTATTCTGGGTATCTTCGCTATTGCCTGCTGGTATTGACAAGGCTTGGTTTTAGCCTGTAACTGGTGAGATCTGTTTGGGATGGGCAACCCCTGCACTTTAGTTAAATAATCGGCTGACAGAAAAGTCGCTAGCAATATTTATAAGGGGCTCAACACCAACGCCAGCTGGTTAATTTAGATAACTACCCACCCTGATAGATAGTGAATAGGCACAGGGTGCAAAAAAAGTACAAAAAAATGGGTGATTACCAACATACGGACAGTCGGGATTCGCTGGTGGTCACCCACCCAACTACTAACCGACCGGCAAGTGGCTTAAGTACAGCTGAGCGGACGGGAAGCTCTGTTTTCCACTTCCTGTGGTCGTATGTGCTTGACTCTTAATTGACAGCACTGATATAGGGTTGCTGAGGAAATCTGTCTGAAGAAAGGCAGGCTGGACTGGCAGGATATTTCCATTAATTCAGCCATATATTTGTGCCTAAAACAGGGGCACATAGCTGACCAGAAATGACATGCTCATATATACAACAAATACCTGCTAAATAAAACCGAAGTATCCGAATGTGAGGGATGAGAAGAAAAATGCCTGGGAATCATAAATGACATGTTCGTTTGACTGACAGGGTAGCGTGTCACATCACAATACAATCTTTATTTCTCTCTCTTTCTCTATAATAATCGTCACGCTGGGGTAATGAGGAGGTTGATAGCGAGGCAGGGCCTTGTCGTCTCCTACCTTGCATATGCGGACCTGGGCCATATCCAGACATTCGATTATACTGAGGATTTGGGCCCATGGGACTGTGGTACGGTTGTTGTTGATGGTGATTATGCTGCTGCTGGGGGTGTAAGGGCCCGTTAGGTGGTGGTATATATGCTGGCTCTTGGGCAGCCTGTTCATAAGTTGGCGGAGGGGCATTAGGGTCATTGTCGGCATTGTTCTGGCTAGGGGCAGGTGGGACCATTGGCGGGAACCCTTGGGTTCTTGATGGAGGTGGGCGGTGTGTAGTGGGTGTGCGAGGGAGGGGAGTCAAAGTAGACGGAAGGGCGGAATTAGGTCGTGTAAAGCTAGCGGAGCGGGTGTTCCGGATTTGATGCTGTGACCGGCCCCGCGGAGAGGCTGTTTCAGAGTTTATTCTGAGGTTGTTCTGTGACCGGCGCGTGGGCTGCAGAGGTCCCTGTTCATTTCGTCGGTTTTGCTCATCTTCATACTGTAGTGATAGTGCAAAGGCATAATCTGCGTCCGTTTGCTCGGTACTGCTTGTATTTTCCTTCGGAGGTGGCTCCCTTGCACTCGGTGGAGGCTGGCTAGGTGCAGAGTTGCTATGCCCTACAGGGCGGAAGTCACCAGAGTATAGCTCAGAGTTCGTGCCGTTGACATCTACTAAGCTTTCCCAGACGATCTCTGCATGGCCGGCATACCCGGCATCTGTAACTAATGTGAATAGCTGGTTGGATAGTGGGTGTTTAAAGAGTGTTGCAAAGTGGTCGTTCCTAAACAACACACAAATGCTACCTGACGGTATAGACCGCTCTAGGTGCTGAAGGCCAAAGGGGCTTAACTGTGTAGGGTTATCCACCGTCACAAATCGCTGAATGGTATCTATATCCTCAAACAGTCGTTGTTCATCTGGGGTTAATGACCCGGTATTTATAGCTCTAGATTCTAGATCTTCTCTTTTGAAATGAAGCAGCTGAATATCATCGTGATATTCAGCAACACGAAGCATAGCTTCGTGAGTTGGTGAAGATGGCGCCGCAGCCCAGCCGTGGACTAGCGGGAGGTTAAATGTACTGTACAGTTCAATATCCCGAGTTTTGAGGAAGGTTCCAGGTGTAGGAGGATGTAGTATCTATAAAGGTAAGTTAGTGAGGTAAAGGGGCCGAGGTAATTCGGGAACATACTGGAGTTAGGCGTGGGTTTACGTTCATTCCAGTATGCAACATTGTAAGAAACACGCTCAAGGCTTCGATATCAGGTAATTCTTCATTTCCATCCGGTGAACTTATGAGTTCATCAAACAAAGCTTGTATCAATAATCCTAGAGATATTCGTTCTCTAGAATTCAATGCTCGAATAAGTGGTGTTTGTGCATTAATCGGAGACCTTAACACAAGGCCGTTGACTAATGCAAGGAGTGGACAGGGCCCGTTCTCGTTCTGCACCAGAATTGGCGATTGGCGTAGCTCAGTGGTTCCATCTGTCCAGTTGACAATGCGGATATCATATATTTCAGATTTGTGGCTTGCATGTTGATGTGACGGCGCGGGGGTTGTGGGCTTCGAACCAGGGGCAGGTTCGATTATGGCTGGAACTAGAGGCGGTCCCGTCAGGTTTGTTTGAGGCTCCGGGCCTTGAGTTGCCACTCCCTTGCCTTTATCTATTCTCTCATCCTTAGCTTCGCTAAGAGTATGTAATTCTGGATTGGTTCCTGCGGGTTCTGAGTAGTAATCATGGGAGTCTAAATCAATCAAATTCTCTGATTCTGTTGGTGGCGTAATTCCATAGGCCGCGCGCGCCTTATCAGGAATTTTCGGCTTGTCTAGCAAGTCCACACCTTCAGCAGCCGCGCCTTGGCTGTTCTCTGAGTTGGTTGTAGTATTATGGGTGGGTGAAGTTAAGGACAAGCTGCCCATTTTGTCGCTGACCTGGCTGGCACCCGGTGAGTGGTGAGGGTAGAGAGAAGCACCCTGGTTCTCAAAGGTAGGGTCCGGTGTTTGATTCTCTAACGCATTTGACGCTGTGTTTAGATTTTCTAGAGTTGCAATCAGTAGGCGTTCGCGTCTAATTGATGGAGTTGAAGAAGATACTCACGATCGCGACTCAGCTTAGCTTTGAGGAATGGGTTGTTTGATTGTAGCTGTACCCCGGATGTTGGCATCTCATTCCGCGCCTGGTCATGTAGGGCGCTGGGATCCGTCTGCCCCGTTGCCTGCGGAGAAAGTGGTTGCATAGCCGGATTGTATCTTCGCAAGTCGCTATTTACACTATCGGCCCAGATATCTGAAGAGCTTTCAAGACCATTGGCAGAAGGTAGCTGGGGCAAGGCGGGGTGTCTTGAGCCAACCGTAGAGGAGTTCGTAGTTCCGTCTACGGCGTCGTTCCGGCCATAGTCAGCTGCATATGACGGTAGTGTTTGCGATAATTGCGCGGTCGGATGCGTATCGTTATGCGATTCACTCGCATTAGGAGTGGGCTCTGCGTTAGCTTCCTGTGACCTGTCCCTATATCCCGCATCATGACCGCGTTCAGGCTCAGAAACGTGTGTTGAAACCATGGTTGTCCTTAAGTTGTATGAAGTAGATAGGTATGAAATGTGAATTCTCCCTTCTATCAGCGAAATGTGAGAATAGTAATGATCGTGCTAAGCTCAAAAATCGGTCGCATCATAACACTGATTGGACTGCGGCATTATATCCTTTGGCGACGTGGTATGATGAGAAAATCGCCCCGTCCCTCTTTCATACGGAAGTTTTGGTGTCAGCCTGGATGAGGCGCAGGTCTCCACCCAATTCAACAGCGTGAAATGAGCAAAGAGCCGCGGGGGGCAAATAGAGCAGTCCTACTCGTGGGGCTATGCTCGGTGTGTTCTTTTCGCGCGCAGTTGTTTCGGTGCTGTATTAGCCCGCGGGTTCCTGTGCCTGCCTAGTTGTTAATAAGTTGTTTGTTCCATGCTCGCTTTGCGGTGTTATTAAAAAGAAGAAACGAACTCAGAAGTCGAAAGAAAGTTTAATAAGCGCCGGATGACGTAAGAGTACCTTCGGGCAAATAAAGTTCCGGCCCGTGGCTTTTGTCAAGCTTTTTCCTCTTTTAGGAAATTCTGACGGCGCAGCTTCGACCTCTTAACATCAACCGCGGGGATCGAAGAGCAGTTTGCGGGGTAGGACGCGGATCAAAATGCATTCCTCTATCCCGCCAAATGTTTATGTGGCGCTCAAGCTGCCGTCAGAAGTCACGAAGATTGTCCAAACAGTGCCTAACTCGTACGGTAAACCCCCATCTGGGCCAGTGATTGAAGTGGTAGCTAATCTGAATGCTAGGAACATATCGCTGGGGAAGTACGGGTCTTTTCCGTGCAATCAAATCATTGGAAGACCGTTCTATGCAACCTTCGAGATTGCAGACAATGCAGACGCTGACGGCCATGTTTTGCATATTGTGCCTGCAGCCGAACTACATACCGAAGCGCTGCTAGCGGACGGTGAGGGCGATGGCGATGGCGAAGCTGGAACGAGCACTCCATCTACCGCATTTCCTCAAGAGGATAACAGGAACATCATTGATAACAAGAGCACCCAGCAGCTCACAATGCAACAGATTGAGGAGTTAAAGCAGTCTTCTACGGATGCGGGGAGGGAGATTATTTCAAAGCTGCTTGAGTCGCATTCCGCACTGGATCAGAAAACTCAGTTCTCCCGCGCTAAATATATGCTTAGGAAACGAAAGAAGTATCTGCATCGATTCACGGTGGAGCCAATGGATGTGAGCGCGTTAACAGAATGGATGCTGGAGCAAAAAGACCCAGGTCGGATCCTGGAGCTACGAGACGAAGCGATAGGTTTAATCGGAGCTTGGGCCAATGTACATTATGGAGGTAGTGGAGAGCCTGATGGTGCAGCAAAATTGGATGGGGTTAATCAAGCAAAAGGACGATGGTTGATAGTGGACGACACTGGTGGCCTGGTTGTTGCGGCTATGGCGGAAAGGGCAGGCATTCTATATCCTCCCGAGGTGCTATCTGGAGAGGGGCTTAGTAGCACTACAAAGCAAGGAGCACGGCCTCCACAGTCTACGGAGGATGACGCGCCAGCGGTAGACGCAATGTCCATGTCTGCATCTCACACGACACTAACGGTAATCCACCACAACTTACAGCCGAATTTGAGTATGCTCAAATACTTCTCGCACGATATCAAATGAGCCTTCGGAAACTCACCCCTCTCTTTGCACTTGAAGACATTATCATGGCTACAACTTCTCCACCCGTCTGAGGATGCGATTTATGACATGAGCACAGAAGTTAGCGAGAAGAGCTGCTAGCTGGGAGCCCTCTAAGCGATCGATGCATTTCAAAAAGAAACGGCGCTGGACAAAGGTACGTAACACAGTTGACGAAACCAGAGCAGGCGGATTTGACGGCCTTATCGTTGCAACTCTTATGGATCCCGCATCTATACTCAAGCACACGGTCCCGTTGCTGGCTGGGTCGGCACAGGTCGTCGTGTACTCACCATATATTGAACCGTTGGTGCAGTTGGCGGATCTATATTCTACTGCCCGCAGGACGGCGTACATCACCTACAAGCGAGAGGTGGCGGAAGGGGCTGCAGATGATAAGGAGGAGGACTTCCCAGTTGACCCAACATTGCTGTTAGCGCCAACGTTACACACATCTCGAGTGAGGACGTGGCAAGTGCTTCCCGGACGAACACACCCGCTCATGACTGGCCGGGGTGGAGCGGAGGGTTACGTTTTCCACGCAGTTAGGGTATTGCCTGCAATCGGGAAGGTGGAAGCTCGAGGAGTTCAAGCGAAGAAACGTCGAACAGAGACTTCATGAATGGAGCCGGCCATTGGGCTTTTGCCCCTGAAATGCCACGATGGCCTGAGTCAAATGGGGTATACTTAACCATACCGGTACCTGGTGGTCTAGACAATGATAGATAAGGACACGAAGGATGCGGAATGGAGCACCCAGGACACTGGGTTTGCACGTTTTCCGACCACTAACTAAGGGGACCACTTTCGTGCTACTGCCGGTACTAATGCAGAGGCTGGATGCAAGGGGAGGGTTAAAGCATGGCGATGGTTGCGATAAAAACATGGAGGGTCGTTTCACCTGGAGACCGGACCTTCACCCCCAGACATGCTCATATTCAGAAATTGACTGGCGGGTCCTTGCCTAGCACGTTTTTTCCTGCTGCTTTAGTGCGGCGTTGAGAGAGAGGGGCGTTTTTCATACCCCGGTGTAGAGTGGATGGGAAGGATGGGAGAATTGATACATGCACATTTCTATGTATAACAACGGGGTTAACGAGTCCACCGTGTTTCACCAATTACATAACAAGGATGCTACACAGAACGTAGCCAGGTACTCCGTACATATGAAGCAAGCCCAGCGCCATGGAGCAGCACACTGCCAATATATTGCCAACATGATGACCGACTACCAAGATGTGAGCTGCTACGCACTGCTGCCATTTGCAATGACGACAGGCTACACGTGAAGTTCGATTAGAGCTCCTTGTCCCTAGCAATATACTTCGTAGAAGATGAGTCCCTCCCCCTAGCTATAAACTAACGAGCAGAGGCTTGTGAGCAAGGGCGTTCAAGCGACCTTATTTCTCTCTTTCTTTCTTTTTTTCCCCTGCTGCTTGGTGATGTTCCTTATCGATAACTGGTCGCCATAGCTGGCGCATCTCCGCTGCATCGCCATGGGGTACATGCATGTACTCTCCCATACATCGGACTACTGCGAGGTACATCACAGGTACCTTGGCATATGGGCGACACGTGCGGCTGCTATGGTCGAAGATTTGCTCCCTCTTCCCCGGCGCGGTCGTCGCCTCCAACCTAACGCTGCAGCCAACGCTGAGTATAAAAAATGGACCAACGAACTCAACTAGCAAAACGACTAAGGAAACGCCCAAATTAGAAGCTCGATGAGGGCAGATGTGCGCGATATGCGCCGTGCCTCGAATCAGAAGCTGGTTCCGCCTGCCCTAGCGACCAGCATGACCCAGGAAATGCCCATCGTGGGCTTGAACCAAGAGCCAGAAAAGGTCGAATGGACGGCTGTTGCACGCCAGGGTTGCCCCCTAGGCGGTCCCTGATACGCTACACCGACCAAGGCCAGTCCCCATAATCGGGGGTTTTCTGTGCCAGAGGAGACAGCATGAAATGCAAAGACCAGTTCTATATATACATTACACTCCGGGTACACCAAGCACGCATTACCGACACACTGGCTGAGGCCTAATTTTTACGAGGAAAGGGTATACTTGCACATATTGTCCGTACTCCACCAGAAATAACAAATAAGCACCGAGTTAATCTGGCCAAAACATCATCCGACTTGAAGAAGAAAGAAAAAAAAAGAGAAAGTGAGAGAAGGAGAGAGAGAGACGCGTACATAGCCCGGCGTCAAGATGCCGAAATACACTGCCAGAGGAAAAGAGTGCATGAAGAAAAGAGTGCGAGAGATGTGCTATTATTGTGAATTATGGCGGCAGGCGAGTTAGCCGCAGGGCCAATAGGCAGCAACCTGCCAGCCTCCCCGAGGATGCCACAGCCGTCGATCCAAGCTTTTTTGCCTCTGCCTCTTCTCGCAAGCCTCTTGCTTTCCCCCTTGTTGCTTCTTCTAAAATCTGAATGGGCAGAAGCCGAAAGATGACCCCCTGGTCGCCCAATCACCTCCTCGCTAGCGGAAATTCCAAGCGTCTCCCGCAACCAACGCCGAGGCGCATCTCCACCCAGAGGGAAAAACGGGGACAGCAGAGAAAGCAGAGAGAGAGAAAAGGCCGGCATGGATGCGAAAGGCTAAGAACTCGAGGGAAAGGGCCTTACTTGGGCGGATTAAGCTGCCCCGGCTGCACGGGCATGGCATCCTGCCCGTCATTGGGCGTGGTTTTCGCTCTTCTTGCTTTTTCCCCCCATCTCTCTTATTCTTTTTTTTTCTTTCTTTCGTTTCTTTTCTATTTTATCTTTGTGTTTTGAGCTCGACGGTCCCTTGGCTTGTCGGTTTTGCGGTGCAGATGGGAAAAACCGTCGTCAGAAGACCGTGAGCCCCAAGGGGGACCAAACCAAACGTCTTTCTTCATCGAATATATACTCCGATGCCGTCCCACTGCCTCCTGAACATCCCTTCCCCCCAGTCTCTTTCTTAATGGTCGTTGCTCTGCTTTGCTCGTCGATGGTACAGTCTGCTTGAGAGTGTCTCTCTTCCTCGCCCGTCTATCTATCAGTTCGTTCCACTCAAGACAAACAGCCAGCCAGCCCATGGGATGAGACCGGGACTTACACCACAACCACCCGCAGCACCACCATCCGGATCACTCTGCCCATCATGCTCCTAGCCACGGCCAAAGAGAGCGTTCGTAGCAGCTGGGGCATGTTCAGCCCAGTCGAGCGCCGTAACATCTTCCTATACATTCTAGGTATCACCTTCTACAAGTTCGGCCTCGAGGCCTTCAATGGCTCTATCCTCGCCCTCGCTACAAACCGCTACGACTACGACGCCCAGTTGAATCATTTGCCGGCCAAGACCTTCGAGCGAGTCGGTCTTCTAAGCGGCCTCAACCAAGCCTGCCAGTGTGTGGGCTCGATCATCATTGCTCCCTTGGTTCGTCGGGCTCCCGCCAGGCTCGTCCTGGTCATCTCAGTTGTCCTGTTCGGCCTTTTCACCGCTATCCTCATGGTCGTGGATGCGGCCACCGGCGGAACCATCATGCCTCCAGAGTTCCGTGGCGATCACCCAGCAATGGACTTTCACTACTATGGAAAATACAACACCGACGGTATTATACCCATCTACTGTGTAACTGGAGTTGTCTACGGGATGGTCGAGTTGATCCGCCGTATCATCCCCCGCGACATCGTCGGCGGAAACATCCAAAAGCTTCGTCGTCTCGACGCCATGGTCCACGTATTCTACGAGATTTCCGGCACCGCCAGCGCATTCTGCACCGCTCTCGCCCTCATCCCGACCCTGGGGAACAACTACTCGTTCATCATCACGCCTGTGTTCTTTGCCATGGCCGGCGCAACGTGGTTCTTCATCAAGGAGGCAGACACTTTCCAGCCTCCTCCACCTCCACTCATGGGCAAGCGACCAACCTATATCAAGGCAGTGTTTGTCTCCTTCTACCTCTTCGGCGAATCCATCTGGACTGGATGCAAGCTCCTCCTCACCAACCGACGCTTCATCTGGCTTATCCCCGGTTACTCCATTGCCTTCTACGGCCATCGCTATCTCGAAAACGGCCTTGCTCCCGCAGTCGCCCGCCGCTACCTCGGCCACTCCGCCTGGGCTAACATCATCGTTGGTGGCTCCAACTTGGGCGAATTGTTCGGTGCTCTTTTCGTCTTCCTCTTTACTAACCTCGTAACCACTCCGATTCCATGGGTTCGACTCGATGCCATCATGCTTCTCGGAGTCTGGTACCTTTCTTTCTGGACACCACCAAAGGACCAGGTCATCTATGCCTGGATCATCGCCGCAACCTTCCTCCCCATCTCCTTCGGCTGGGCTGCCGGAGACGTCTCTCTTGCAGCTTACATCCAGGCCGCTCTCGCTCGCCACGAATCCAAAGCTCAAAACGTTTCCGCCCTCGGCGCCGTCATGGCTTGCCTTTACACCACCTACATCGTCACATACGCCATTACATCGCCACTATTGGGCCAGTACATCGATTCGGTATACAGAAGCACTGGTGGTCGTGACGGAGGCAACATCCACTCTGCAATCCACAACGTTGCAGGTGTACAGTACAGCGTAATGGCTGTCATAATATTCGCCAGTACCTTCATCCCACAGGGAGCCTGGCGCATCAACCCCAAGATGCTATTCAACCAGAACCTTGACGCCGACCTTGAGGTTACTGAAATTGGAGATGGCATCGACCTGAAGAAGAAGAGCCATGAGCGAGAAACTTCGCTCAGCACAAATCCAAGAGATAGGGAGTCATGGTGATTGTTTACCCACTCCCCATCTCGCACCATATTCAAATCTTCTCTTCTTCTTCTATTCTATATACCCCTTATTTAAATTATAACTTTTTTGGTCCGGTCTCTTTCCCTTTGGTTTCAACTCATTTTGTCGCTCGGTTAATTTGCGTGGTGTTCTGGCAGGCTTTCTCTTTTTTCAATAAGTACACAGCTCATACATATGTTGATGCGAATCCCCCCGATACATACTATACTCCTCCTCCTCCTCCTCCTCCCCTTCTTCTTTCTATCCATCCATCCCCTTTACTCTTTCGCGTCCCCCTACTATATCGCACAACTTCGTAAGTTTCACGTTATCTTCTGGTTTGATAATGATGCATACGCCAGTTTTTATGTCTACATCTACATAACTAATTAACAACCAAGACCTGCAGTGTCTTACAGTACTCAGATATATATTGCTCTCCAGCCTAACCCCTCCCCCTTTTCCCACCGTTACTGCCAGATGATGTCTTTTCCTCATCTTTCCATTCTCTCTCTTAATTTCATTGATGTGACCGGGCTTGATGCCTGCCTGATAAAAACGCTACAGACGTGCTTACAATTTTCCTTGCTTACTCTACTTCTTATTTTCCCTCCTCGTTCGAAT